ACTCTTAAGAAGTTCCGGAATAATAGTTAAGTAGTAGTAAAGAACTTTAATATATACTATAAGAAGTAGTTTAAGAACTTACTACTTTTAAACAGCTGCTTAGCTATAAGAGTATATATAGAGGCAGTAAGAAGTATAATAGTAGACTATAGCCTTAAACTTACTCTTCTAGCAGGTATAGTTACTTAACTAAGAGTAGATATTTAGTTAAGCTTATAAGGTATAGCGATTAACCTTAGCTAGTATAGCATTGAACTTATAGATAAGCTAGCTACTTATAAAGTAATCCTAGAGTTAGATATAGCTTTAGATTATCTACTAATAAAGATAGTAGTCTTAATAGACTATTCTAGAACCTTAATAGTCCGCTAATAAGACTATAAAACTATAGACTAAGCGACTTTCTAGAGAACGCTCTAAGAGCTCTTACTCTCTATAGCTGAAATTAACACTATAATTACACTAATAGACCTTAATGATATTACTAATAAGGTAATAGAAGTAATATAGTAAGTAGTAATATTAGCTATAATAGAGAAAGAGTATACTAAGAGAATAGTCCTAAGGTTTATAAAAGCTTATAAAGAGGTAGTAGATAAAGTTAAAAGAGCTTAGAAATAGTAGAATAAGGTTAGGAGTACTATTTAAGACTTATAGGAGTTTATAATAATAAAGAGAGTAAGAAAGAAGGCGATCTAAGTTATATAAAGAGATATCTATAGAGAGAAAGTATTAAGCGTATAAGATAAGAAAAGGTTATAGTTACTAGTAAAGTAGATAAGATAAAGAAGTACTAAGGCTCTAGTATTTATACTAGATATTAGGAAAAGTAATAGAGAGTTAGTAGAAAATATAGAAAGTAAAGCAGAGGCGTTATAAGCTACTTTCTTCCTTTAATCTCTAGAGGTAGACCTAATAGATACGTACTTCTATAACTACCTTATACTAATAGAGCGATAAACTCTGATTAATAAGTAGGAAGTCTAAGAAGTATTAAGAGACGCCTCTTTAGATAAAGCCTTAAGAGAGAATAGAATCCCTAATAGGGTCCTAAAGGCTATAATAGATATTCTAGCTCTGATCTATATAAGACTCTTTAACTAGTTTATTTAACTCTAATACTATCTGAGTAAGTTTAAAAGATTAATTATAGTAGTATTAAGAAAACCCGGGAAAGATAACTACTTATAACTAAAGTCGTATTATCTAGTAGCTCTTATAAATATAATAGGAAAAGTTATAGATATTATCTTAGTAAAAAGAATATAATACTACGCGAAATAATATAAGCTTCTTTTAGCGTCTTATACTACAGGCCGGAAGTAGTCCTTATATAAGTATATAGTATACTTACTCCTAGAGAAAGTATATATAATATAAAGGAAATATAAGGTAGTAAGTCTCTTAATACTCGACGTCTCTAGAGCCTTTAATAATATCTCTTACGAAAGACTCCTCTATAATTTCTAAAAATAACGCCTATTAGAAGAGATTATTTAGTAGATAGCTAGCTACTTATAAGATAGAACTATATAAATTAAACTTTATAAGAGCGTAAGTATAAAGTTTAGAGTCTCTACTAGAATCCCTTAAGGCTTACTACTATCACTTATCTTATATCTATTCTATAATATAGACCTACTAGAGATAAGTCGTTTAAAAGAGCTAGTAATAAGCTATATTAATAATACTAGCTTTATAATAGAAAGAGCTACTATCGAATCTATAGTACGGAAATTAGAACTCCTATACTTAAAGGCAGAGGAATAGGCTTAGTAATATACTTTAGTATTTATACTATAGAAGTACGAGCTTATATACTTCACTTATAAAAGTAATAGAAGGAAAATTATAGTATAAGATAAACCGGTCGACCTTAGAAATAGTATAGAGGTATAAGTAAAGACTTATACCCGCTACTTAAGAATTATTCTAAATAGTGAATTAAATAGTATAAAATATATAAAGTATATTAAGATACAAGTAGAGAAATCTATCTAAGCTATAGGAGTAATCTCTAGCTCTAAGTAAGGAGCGTTAAAGGCAGATATACTAATACTAATTAAAGTAATTATTACTCTATAGATATTCTATAATTATTCTACTTAGTAGATTTTAAACCCTATCTATAGGAAGAAGATACACTAAGTAAAGTAGCTATAAACACTAGATACTTTATAAAAGAAAGCTCTATACTTAGCTACTAGAGCCTTCTAATTTATAGCTATAGTAGTGCTTAAGGCTGAGATAGAGACGTTTAATACTAAAGCATAACTTACTTAGCTTAGCCTAATTACTGTATATTAAATTAGAGCTTCTCTGATATACTAAGAGATAAGAATACTAAAGGAGAGAGGCACGATAGGTAAGGAACACCTAAGGAGGTTACTACTTTAGGAGCTAGAGAAAAGTATAAGATATATTATATTACTAGAAGTATTTAAGAGACTTAAGTAATAAGTACTAGTAGTAGCTGAACTATAATAGATTCCCTTAACTTATATTATTAAGGACGCCGAAATAGTAGTAGAATCTTATAATAAGCTCTAGTAGAAGAACCTGATATTATATATATAAATCTTCACTAATAGAAGTAATATTAAAGGATAAGTAGGAGTAGTTACGTAAGACTTAAAACAGAGAAAAAAGTATTAACTAGATATTAGTCTATTCTCTTAATTTATAGTTTATAGCGCTAAGCTATATAGTATCTAGATAGCGCTAGATATAGCCTTAAAGGATAATAATATAAGAAGACTTACTATCTTTATAGATAACTAAGCTATAATCCTATTCTTAGCACGCCCTTAGAAGTAGTCTAGCTAAATAATTCTATAGAAGATATACTACTTAGTAAATATCTTTTAATATAGATAAGTACTAGTAATAATACACTAGATTCTAGTATATATCGGAGTCCCTAAGAATAAGGTAGTAAACTAACTTATAAAAGAGGCTATAAGCTAGAGATACTACGAGGATAAGAGCTAGCTAATAAAGGGAACACACTTACTATAGCTTCCTTAATTAATCTTATCGTATAAGAGATAAATTAAGAAGGAGGCGAGATACTAATAGACTAAACGCTAGAACTAAGGCGAGATATCACTCTTTTATAAGAAAACCTAAAAGAAGTTCTTCTAATATTATATTAACTAATATATTAATAAGCTCTACTAGGGCTTTATAAAGGCTAAGAGTTTAGTACTAATCTAGATAAGAACTAATAAGATTAGTCTCTGTAGCTACTTTTATACGATTAAACGATTAGATAACCTATAGTATAACTGCGAATAAGCGTACTAAATAGTTAAATATATTATTAAAGATTACGAATACTTAGACGGATTAAGGGATAAGTACTTTATAGAGGTCTATACTAATATAAAAGTATATCTAAACGATCTAGAGCTTATCTCTAAAACAGTAGTTTTTATACTTACTATAAGTCTTATAAACTCGAAGGTAATATTTACAGACTTACTACTAAAGTAATATTCTACACTTTCTTAAGGAGCAGCTAGAGTAGTAAATTAGCGATAATATAATAAGGAAATTTAAGCTCTTCGCTAAAGAGGGGCTATAATAATAGTAATATATATTAAGATAAGAGCGAAAGGCCTAGGGAGTATATAAGATCATATAGAGTTATATAGGTTTTTATTACTTAATTTTCTTTTATTTATACTAGTTCCTTTTATACTCTAATTAGCTCTAGATACGAGGCTAATTAGCTCGTGATTATATATATAACTAGCCTATAACAGTACGTCTGTATAGCGCTAGATAGCAGCTAAATAGACTATAGATTTAAAAAAAAAAAAAAAAAAAAAAAAAAAAAAGTGACATTGAAGTCTCACATTTCACTACATCATCCGCCATCTGTGCTGCCCAGCATGGAGTGAGATATGGCCGACTACTGGTCAGCCATGGTAAGGAGATATAATCTTCTAGTTTTGTTCCCATAATATATTCCATGCAGCTTTTATCTCCATTCTAGCAATGCTATTTGACTGTGAAGGCTGCAATGATTTTACCAACGTACATGCCCTACTCGCTTCAATCCGGGCATGGGGTCTGGACTCTGACACGAATGGTATTCTATGTTCTAAGAACAATTCGAACAATCAGAAATAGAAAGACCACCCCGCTGATGGTTCAGCCAACCTCCGCTTGTTCCAGCAGACCCCTCGAAGATTTCCCGGGGCTTTTCCTTCTGGTGGAATAGGCACAGGATTGTTTCTTGAAATTCCGGAATCAGAGTTTGTACGAATTTACAAAAAGTTTCGGAGCCGAAACAATTCCAACTGACTGCATTGGACTCAGGAAATATGGGTATCGCCCTAAGAAACACCCTGGGGGGCAGGGTGGAATCAACGGCGTGCTGATTGTAGCCGAAGTAAACATCACGTGTATTTTCTTGGCTTTACTTACCTGTGTTCCATGGTAATACCAACATTGAGTCGAGAATTTTACTTATAAAGGAAGCAAAGATCACCTTTGAGCCCATGCTGTTTGCTCAAAGTCGATATACGGAGAACACTAGGCATCTTCGCTTTCCCTCAATCCTTGACTTCCAGCTATTCACTTCCAAATTCATGTCCCTGCCCAACCCAAACCCAAACGGAAGACTAGCTACGGAATATTTAGGACTCTATTACAACTGTAGCAAGAATACCTGGAACAAAAGTGGGAATTACTCTGGACAGTTCATGCAAATAAGAGAACCAACTTTTCGTAAATGCATCATATCTTGACTTTGTCTTCCTACCCAGATGTACAGTGTAGTATCTTGGAATCATTAAGTTCACATCTTAGAAACATTAATGTCTTATTTTTAAACAGTTTTTAGTGTCGCAAATACTTAATTTCAACAAGCATCTAGCTTTGTTATATCTAGATTTTGTCAAGACACACCGTAAGATGCCCTGCAAAGACATCACCAGCGCGGGAAATGACACCGTCAGGATACAGTCACATCCTTGGTAAACTCGATAATCGTCATAATCATTGCTAACCTTACAAATATGAGAGTTTCCATTTTTGCTTTCAGGCAAGAAGCTTTTGGCTTCGCTGCTGACTACCTCACCAGTGTTGGACTCCCAATCAAGTTAGCCTGAATGCAATACGACACCTGCAGTGCATCTACAAAACCAACATCTTTCCCCACTTCCCCAGCAAGACAGTTTCGTCCCGTCCATGACTTGACGTCAATATGGCTACTCGAAATATGCCGACGGTGACTCTGTCTTCGGGCTTTCGCATGCCAGTAATCGGCCTCGGAACATCTGTAAACAGTCACTTATCAAATATATTCATTGCAGGTTCTGACGATCCTGTAGTTCTCTAACACGTCTGAAGCGCCAGATCCAATCGAAGTTGAAAAAACAGTAAAACTTGCTCTTGAGATAGGATACCGCCATATCGACTGCGCTCCAATTTACCAGAATGAGGCTGCAGTTGGTCGTGGCATCAAAGCATCAGGCATTCCACGGAAAGACTTGTTTGTCAGTCAGCTTCAGACGTCTCTGACATAACATTCTGCATGGTACAATCAATTGGGCAGATCACAAGTAAGCTTTGGAACACAGAACATGACCCTGAAGATGTCGGACCAGCTCTTGACCAAACATTGCGAGACCTTGGCACTGATTATGTGGATCTTTACTTGGTATCATGTTATTCTCTCTGAAATCACGATCACAGACTGACAAAGACCAGATCCAATGGCCACAATCATATGTGAAGCAGACTCCTTACACTGCCTTCCCGGAGGATGAGAACGGGAATGGAATTACGACCAATGTTCCAATAGCATCGACGTGGCGGGCGATGGAAGCTCTCGTCGTCGCTGGGAAAGCAAAATCTATTGGTGTCAGTAATTTCTCCCAACCTGAGCTTGAACAGCTGCTCTTGACGTAAGTCTTTCTGTCCAAATATCTCTTCCACTCCATTTCTCGGTCCAGACTCAATATACAAATGCTCAGGGCCAAAATTCCTCCCGCTGTGAACCAGATCCCGGCTACACCTTATCGACGGAAGGCGGATAGGATAGACTGGTGTCGATCCAAGGTAAGTCAAGACTTAAATGCTACTCTCATCGTGGATTCCGCCCACGATTCCGTCTAAGGCTCAACAGAACATGCACGTCACGGCATGGGGACCCCTTACAATCGACCGATCTACCCAATACAATGTTGCAAGCGACCCTGTTGCCCAAAGAATTGCAGCAAGTATCAAAATTACGCCTGCTCAACTCATTCTGAATTGGGCAATCCAAAGAGGCACGAGTGTCATTCCAAAAAGCTCACAAGAAGAGAGGCTTCGGTCAAATCTCGAAGGTACGTCACAACTTCTGAACTGCATTGTCCACCGTGGAAGATATGTAGTCGCTAATTCGGTATGATGTCAAAGTTGTTGAGCTCTCGCCCGAGATAATAAAGCAGGCTGAGCAGCTTGAGATATTACTCTGACGATATCCGAGATGGGGCAGGTTTTGGGATCACGTTACTACGCAGTTTATTCTCTCCAAATGACAAACAATAGAGTCAGCTGCTTTGACCTGCGTGCAGAAGTGATTCCAAGGTTTGGCTTAAAACGTGGAAGGTAAGCCGATCGCTGCTATTTCCACTTGGAATGGTAGAGGTGTTTGCCGAGATGAATTTGGCATCGTGATTCAGAGAATTTGTAGCTCGAAATGGAAGTAAAGTTTCAAGAGCGGTTTGAAAAGGCATTTTCTCTGATGTTGAGAGCTTTTAGCAATCGTTCTTAAGAAAGCTTGACCTCAGTTTCATACAGGTAGACACAAGGTAACAAGGAGATGAAGTGCAAGTGACAAGTCAACTGACAAGCATTGGAGTTCAAGATTATGGGCTGCATGTTTTGCCAATTAAGTTCCCACCCTATCCAGAAGGCTTCTCAACACCTGCCATGAACTCTATCGCCGCGCTCACAATAGTCTTTACAACCTCGACCTCCTCCTTCGTCCTTGGCGTATAGACCATCAAATACTCATGCGGTACCAAGGAGCCAGCCAGCGTCATCCTCTCACCCCACTTCTTTGAAATCACCTCCTTGCAATCGGCCGGACTCAAAGACATATGCAATGAATAGTCACCACTTCCAGTACCAGCATGAACATGAGCAATTTCGCGTTTCGTACTCTTGGCGATGCTGTGCGGAGTAGCAACGCCATCTGCGACGAGAAAGGCATCTCCTGATTTTTCCAGCACAGAAGTCCGGACGACGGTATGTGACGAGTATTTCGCTGCTAGCTCTTCCATAGCTTGAGCGAGTAGCTACTCCGTCAGCGAAAGTGCTTCGTCAAGCCGGACTTCATACCTTGTGCATGTCATCTCCAGTCAGTTGAGTTGTCTGTCGGTGGGGAGCTATCCATCGAGAGATTTCCGGCCTTGGACCCTCCCTTTCCGGTAACTCTCCGTGCAAGAAACTCGTGCCGACTTTATGTCCACATTTTGCGATTTCCTTTGGATGGTCGTAAGGCAGAAGTGTGAAAGGATCAGCTCGAAGAGGCCCAAGACATAGCTGGGTAAGGTATCCAATGATGTTCTGGGGCAAGGCCGTATCGGCGACCTTCAACCAGTTATGATAATTCTCGAGAAACGCCATGGTGAGTTGAAGAAATGATAAAAAAAAATTCGAAAAGCGAGGTAACAAATTCAAGCCGCCTGATATAATGAATAAGGTTCTCATTGTTTGTCCGGTGGCAGCTGACTATTGGTCTGAGGCGTCGTTGCTGAATCAAGCTTCTGGTCAGACAATGCCAGCCAATTGGAGCTTTAAAGTCGTACGGCTGAGACCCCTTGTTCAAAGTGGCGGACTTTGCCATACCAAATTCCCCATCACAGAATTCCCTTTGTCGCCTTCATGAGAAGAAAAGGAGGTCTCTTCCGTTCATCGGCCCATTGAGGCGATTCTTTCAGCTGTTCGAGACTTGGTCCCCATTCAATAATAGCCGACAAAGTAAAGCCGACTTCCAGAAGGATCGTGATATACGTCGCGATCGTGCGGTGCTGTTTTATGACTCCTTCTGCAAGCCAGTTTGTCGTCCTAGAACCTTCGCTCAGATATGAATCTAGTGGCCAGATATTATGGCCTTCAGAATCCTTCACGAATTTGGCATTTCGGGGGGCGGTGAAAATGGGATGCTCGACAGAAAATACCAGCGTTCCACCAGGTTTCAGCGATTGATGTATCCTAGACACCAAATCGGGAAACTTCTTCAGATAGTGGAAAGTCAGCGAGCTGAAAACTATATCGAATTTGTTGATGGGCAATTCGTAGGTTTCTAGATCAGCCTGAGCATAAGTCACACGAGGATCTGTGGGGAAGCCAGCTGCCTTCGAAAGCATCTTCTCAGACACATCAACACCTAAGACTGAACCAGCGCCTTCCTCTCGAGCCCATCGGCATACCCAGCCAAATCCACATCCTAGGTCAAGGAAGTTTGTGCCTTTGGGATTTGGGATCAGAGCTCGCAGGTCTTGCCACTCCGGGGTCCCTTCAAGGCCCCGAACTTGACGAGGTAGCTGGATGTATTCTTTAAAGAAATCTTGATTATCATAGACATTCTGGGCCATGATTTCTCTAATAGCCGGCACTGGAACGGCGAGTTGGTGAGGAAGCTGCGGTGTGACAGAGATGCGGAAAGCCTGTCGTTGCCTCACGGAACTTCCGTGTAGTTGGGCAACAGCAGATATTGGAGTGTATGCGGGCGTTTGTTGCACATGCATGAGCGCCCCACCCATGAAATTCTACTTGATGAGTTGATACTTTCTGGGCAATTGTTGTTTCACTTTGAGGGGCAAAGAAACAAGATGCTTGATTTACGCCCAATGAAAGGCGTATTTATCCACACGTGATTTGAGGTTGGCGGGCATCGCCAAAGGGTCCGATTGCGGATGGGAATTTTTGGCCTCATAAACTTCTAAGCTGGCTTGAGTCACAACCATCCCAATTGTCAATTGCCACTCTCACAAATCAACGAGATGTCTGATTCAACTGCGCCAGTTGGTTTGGCTGTGCCGGCCACAAAACCTGTTCCAGTCGCAGAGGAACCAAAAGATACGACTCATTCGCCTTCCCAGCGGTACTTGTCAACAAGAGGAGGATCCTATGGAGTATGGCACCAATCAAAGTTGTAACAGATAGCAAAATCGCTGACTATGTCTAGCTTTCGTTCGAGGAAGTCGTATTGAAAGGGTTGGCATCCGATGGTGGACTTTTCATCCCTGAAGAGATCCCCGCTATACCCCGCGATTGGGAGTCGAAATGGAAGAACCTGTCCTTTTCCGAACTTGCATTCGAAATTCTGTCCTTATATATCTCTCCCTCCGAAATACCCCCTGCAGATCTGAAAAAAGTCATCAATCGAAGTTACTCAACATTTCGTACTTCAGAAACCACCCCACTTGTTACGTTGGACGAAACGAATAATTTACACCTGTTAGAGCTTTTCCACGGCCCAACTTTTGCATTCAAGGACGTTGCATTACAACTACTGGGCAACCTCTTCGAATACTTCCTTGTCCGACGGAATGAGGGCAAGACTGGGAAGGACAGGCATCATTTGACAGTGGTGGGAGCAACAAGTGGTGATACTGGATCAGCGGCGATCTACGGCCTGCGTGGGAAGAAGGATGTCTCAGTGTTCATTCTACATCCCAAAGGACGGGTTAGCCCCATACAAGAGGCGCAGATGACAACCGTCTTGGATGCCAATGTTCATAATCTGGCTGTTGAAGGCACCTTTGATGATTGCCAGGTGAGTATGTTGGAGTCTGAAGAAATAAGTCTGATTATTCTCTAGGATACCGTCAAAGCTCTCTTTGCAGACCCGCAAATAAACAAGACCTTGAATCTTGGTGCTGTCAATTCGATCAACTGGGCCCGAATTCTCGCCCAAACGACTTACTACTTCCACTCATACTTCACACTCACCAAATCGCCCGCATACAAGGCAAATCACAAAGTTCGTTTCGTGGTACCAACAGGAAACTTCGGAGACATTCTAGCTGGATATTTTGCAAAGAGAATGGGCCTACCTGTTGAGAAGCTTGTTGTCGCAACAAACGAGAACGATATCCTTGATCGTTTCTGGAGAACAGGGCACTATGAGAAGAAGGCTGTTCACGGAGCAGCTGCCGAGGGAGGCATTGCCGCAGACGGAGCCAAGGCTCACGAGGACGGCGTCAAGGAGACTCTCAGTCCTGCCATGGACATTCTGGTATCAAGTAACTTCGAGCGTCTATTATGGTTCTTAGCCTACGAATTCGCAGCGGGAGCAGGGATGGACGACGAATGGAATAAGAAGCAATCTGGTCAAGAAGTTGAATGCTGGCTGAAGGATCTGAAGAACAAGGGAGGTTTTGGTGTTCACGATGAGGTACTTGCGTCCGCCAAGAGAGACTTTGAGAGCGAAAGAGTCAGTGATGCGCAGACACTTGAGACTATCAAAGCGTTCTATACTGCGAAGTCGAGCTATATTCTGGACCCACACTCAGCCATCGGTGTAGCAGCATCTCTTCGCTCCATAGACCGAAACTCGCCTGCAGACACTCACCACATCTCGCTCTCCACAGCTCATCCAGCTAAGTTCGCAAATGCCGTAGATGTAGCTTTGAAGGGCGAGCAAGGGTTCAGCTTTGACAGCGTCCTGCCACAGGAATTTATTGGGTTAGAACAAAAAGAGAGAAGGGTAAGAGTCGTTCCTAAGGGAGCTGGATGGGAGGGTGTACGAAAGATCGTGGAGGAAGAGGTTGAGGCAGAGTTGAAGGGTACTAGATGATCTCGACTTGGGATGGCTACAAAAGCATTTGGTTGACCCTGGTTCGGATTCCATTTTGATATTGCCTTTCCATATCGTTGCAAGTCACTGGATTAGAGGTGTGCAAAATAATGCCAGCGAATTTGGCGACCCCACCATCTGCGACCCAACTCAGCACCTGATAACTGTGAGCCTTCAAGGCAGCTGCTTCATCGAAAGCGAGAATCGAAAATATGAATCATTTGTGTCTGTCAGTCACATAAATACAGACTCGATAGCGATCGGTCAATACTCTAGGATATCCTCAATCCCTGATTCTTCAAGCTTGCCTATCCAGAAAATGCTGTAGATTCATATGTCAGATGCCAGCTAAAGCTGCTACTCTTAACAAATTGTCCTCCAGAACTCACTCTGAACTTCTACCATTACCATTCCTCGCACACACAAAAGAGCAGAGAAAATTGGGAGACCTCCTCGAGCAATTATACGATCAAAACGTCGCTGCAAGAGAGCCCACGGATCTGGAGACCTTACTGAATACCATGCCAGCTTGGACAAAGGAGAAGGTGCAGCTGTATGCGAATGAACAGGCGAAGAAGCGGAACCCGTTTGTAGAGTACGAGTCTCTAAGCGCAAGAATCCCTCGTGAGCCTTCAACTAGTGAAACAGCTGCTGCGTACTATGAAGCTTTTTTGAAGTCCAAAAATGTATCAGAGCCAAAGAAGTCCTTAAGATGCCGTTCACCGCAGATGGGCTTGACGGAAATTCAGAACGGGCAGAGGTACGGGTTCATGAATGAGAACGAGAAGATGTGGCATAAAAAGTGCCTGGAATCAGAAGGAGAAATTACCAGGCTTTTGCTTCTACGTATATAACTCCATAGCTTTGCCGGGCGAGTAGTGACCTAGGACTTGTGGACGAGGCCAGCATCATGTTCGCTGCTTCGTATGCCTGGACAAAGCAGCATATGACCAAAGGATCTTCGGAAGAGCTCGACGACCACGTTTGCTGAAGTAGGTTAAGAATCTTTAAGTCACCATAATATCCTGCTCAAAATGGGCTAGCTCGCGGATCGACCGGAAGATGGAAGAAACTTACCAGGCGACATTTTGAAGTGCAAGTAAGAATTTTCGTACCAAACTTGCAAATTAACATTCGTAAATCTCGAACTGATCTATCCTGTCCTAAACGCCACGCCAAATGACAAACATATGCGGTATCCAACCACAATGACAGGCTTCCATGCACGCATGACCTAGCTTCGAGCCTCCCCCTACGTACTTCTCAGTTTCTAACAGCTAGATACTGTCTCAAGAACATTCGCTTCACCAAAACCCATGAGTAGGTCCAATCCGCCATCTGTCACTTTCATCCTGCTCAGAATTGGATCATCCGTTCTGTCAACAGTCCTTTCCAGTCTCCAATCGTCTTACATACTCAGTAGTATCTCTGCGTTCTTCCAGCAGTCTCCCGATACAATCTCGAGATCTCGCCCACGATCAAGGCAGTATCCTTCTCAGCGGTTGGCAGCCGGTGCCCAATATCAAACTCAATCTTCTTCGAATGCTTCTTATCAAACGAATCTCCAAACAGAGCAGCACTCTCCTCTCTCCACGGGTCTTGCAATCCGACAATATGCACGCTAGGAATTCTGATCAACTCACCCTTCTCCTCCGCCGTTAGCATCGACGTAAGAGGGGGACTGGTCCCATTCAGAAACACGGCGAATTTCAACAATCCCAACCTCTTCACGTCAGCAGTCTTGCTGGCTCGAATCTGCTGCTCCAGACAAATCCCCGCTGCCAGCTTCGCGCCCTGTGAGAATCCGATGATGCCAACGAAATTCTTATCTCTGCGCGCCAGGACATCGGCAATAAGCTTTTTGGTCTCATCGGGCATGTCATCACACCCGAGTTTTGTCCAGCGGTAAAATGGACCGCAACCCTCGAAGACAGGCATGACTCCAGGTCCGGGCGGGGCTTCAAACGGAGCATCAATGAAAACAAATTCAAAGGAAGCGGAGAGCGCACGCTGGAGTCGGATGGTCTGGATGTTGAAGATAGTGGAGTTTGTGCCGCCGCCGTGGAGGCACAGGAGTGCTGGTTTGGAGGCTGCACCTGTGCCGCCGGGGGAAGATAGGACGCCGGCTTGGAGGGCCATGTTTCGATAGCCCGGAGTCCGAGACGTGTGAGTGTTGGGAGTTGTTAGGATTTGCATGCTGAAATAATGTCGCTGAACCGAGAAGTGAGTTTCGGGGGTTCCACCGAATCGGCTCGGTAAATTCTGCAGGGGTAAGCACGAGTGAAGAGATATTCGGGATGAATGAAAGAGAAGTTGAGATTCGGACATCGAAAGGGTTTTATGAGATTTCTAAAGATGAGTCGTTTTACAAATAACCTCCGAATTGGAGAATGTAGAATCTTAGAGAACGTTGTGTCCGACTCCGGCTCGGTGAGTTTCATACACCGGGAAACATCCCTTATGAAGTGGATTCAGGATGGTATATCGCAAATTTGACGACCGAATAAGTAAATGCAGAGAGTTATATACCTCTCATAGTATAATATGTCCTCGTTTAAGTCAGTTCTATCTCAATAAATATACTCCTTGAGAACATTTATTACAAGTTGACATGGCACGTGACCAGAATCCGTCCTCATTTTGCTCAAGACGTCCCCTGTAGTCGGCCCATTTTCAATCAACTAAGCATCGGAGGACCGCATATGTAAGGTATATTCTAGGTGACCTCAAAATGTAGTCTGAAATAGATCAAGAATGAATCCGTCCGACTCTTTCGGTGACCGAAGAATCTCTCAGTCGATCCGTAACAAATACTGAGATCGTCAGAAAGATAGGAAGTACTTGACATCAACACATTCTCTGGCATGATCTCGGATTCCCTAGTTGTGTACTTTGACCGAAGCTAGATCGTGGCCTCCTTGGAAGAGAAGCTCTCCCTCTCCGGTTCCGGGGTGTCTCCAGAAGGCGTCCTCTGATCTGGTCTACAACAGCTGAAGACAACAGCCATTAGTACATACTCCGAGGATGCAAGTTAGCCTAACGTTCTCCAAGTAGACTCCGAAGTCCACTGTTTGTTACAGAAGACAGCATCGGTAGTCTACATTCCAAGGGCGATACTTCCAAAAAAGAACTTGGAGTCTCTCAGTGATGTGCAGGCAAAGACCAAGGTGCGAAGTTTTGACGCTCGCTAGTTGCCAGAGTAATAGTAACAGCTTGTTCAAGTCTTCTTTCGGTATTCAGGAAGGAAACGTGCTGAAGGATACTTTGTAGCGCCATAAGCTTGGCGAAAGCTGGTCATGTCTTGAACTAAATTAGAGTAGACCGCAGGTATATTGCTGGCCGGATCATTTAGTATGGTCTCGACACTCTGTAGGAATGACAGTTATGTGTTCAGCGTAGTATAAAAAACTTACCAGAGGTATAAGGTGTAAAAAAGACTGAAATTAGGTTGTAAACAAAGCGCGAATCTCCGGGAGATCAATCACAACAGCTCGCGGTTCAGTATTAGCTGTCTCCCAAATCTTGCCCTAAAGCTGGGTTGGAAAGTTTGGGAGAACAAGTAAAAGGTTCTCTGGAATTGGTGTCAAGCTCGCTCAAATTTCTCATTCGGAGGCCATCTCTCATGGCTGATTGCCCCGAAGTTCCGCAGCACCATTGCATATTAGATGGGCGAGCCAGACAAGGTGAGAAAGTACATGAAGACCACAAGCCTCTCCAGGATAGAGACTCTGCAAGAACTCCGAGTGCTTGAGTACAGTTAATCATTCTGGAGGGAGCAGGTTGACAGGACGTGGGAAAGTACTCAACATATAACCCAAACCATGTTCGGACCCTGTTGGAAAGCAAACAGGGATACCAGCCTTGAGAACTGGATACTGCTCTTGAACCGTAGCAATATACCGGATCGCTTCTGCTGAGGGTGACGGTGTAAGACTATAATGTTGTCAGGTTGCTTTATCATCAAAGCACTCGCGAAGGAATTTGTGACATGTGCGAAGATTCTGGAGAATTTTCTTGAGGAGCTGAAGTCTGCTGTTCTTGTATTGTAAGCTTCGCTTGAAGCTGAAAGCTCGGGACAGAAAGGAAGTGGGAGATATTGTGATCTTGATATCGCGATTCCCGGAAACACGCTGACCCCCAGCATATGACCATGCGTTTACAGGACACCAGCAGCTCCAGTAGAAGGATTCCTCCGTCCGCCAACAGTTCAATCGCTAGTCATCGTGCAGGATAAGGAGCTATTCGGATCGGAACAATGGAGCGACTTATTCGAGGCCGGATAGCATGACAGTCAATATGCTGCGCACGCTGAGAGCTTAGATCTCGGCTCCGGTCAGGGTACGAGATAGATACCTTTTCGGGTTAATGTCAAAAGACGAATAACCTCGCGGAAATTTTTCTTTCCCATTTCCACTTTTGTTAGTCCCTCTGCACGCTGACTGCATTAGCGTCATTGCGCGGTATCAGATCTCCATAACTCAACCTTCTTCCTCACCCTTATTGATTTCCACATCAGGACAGCACGAATTGCTTACCTTGATTAGACATTGGCCGCTTCCGTGCAGTGGCCAAGGCCCGCCAATTAAGGGGTTTTCGTTACCTCAGTCTTCAGGCACCTCTACTAAGTTCCGAGTTTTGTGGATCAAGGCTGGGCAGGCGTTTTTTAGTGGTGAATAGCGTACCTACAGTGGATCCAGGGGCATTTGGACCAATTAGGACTTAAGGAGAGTAAAACTCCGTAGAGGGCCTAAGGTTATTCGGGCGCGTTTTGGTGTGTTCGTCGAGTAATTCAGCTGAGAATCTCATCAACTTTAACACGATAAACCTGTAGTCAAATGAACTCGGAATAAAAAAACGAAAGCACCGTTGAAAAGCCCTGATTCAGGAGATTATTTTATATCCTAGATATTAGGTGATATTCTAACTCGTCAGCGTTTTGTTCTGAGATTTCAGAATTTCTGAAATTTTAATTAAAATCGCTGAAATCAAATCCAAATTGTGTAGCCTTAAATACCTGATCTTCAAAAAACAGCTACACAAAAAAGAAGTAGATATTTGTGTAGAGAAATAGCTACTCTATCTGATTGATTTAAGATATTTTACTTATTATTCGTGGAAAGTTGAGATATCTTAAAGTGTTTGAAAAATCGCGTCTTTTCACGACGCGTGTTACTTAACGAACACGAGATTTCGACTTAAATCCGAAGCTATATGCCTGATATACGATAACTTTTATTAGGAACTTTAATGATATCACTAGATAGATCAAAGATCAGTCTATTACCTTCATCTCAGACTTTTACAACTAGATTGTGGTGCAGGTAATAGTTGTTGTTTAAAGAGCAATTATCGCCGAAGCCATTCGACGATTACACTAAAATACGCCCGAATAACCTCAGACGCTGCGTAGAGAGGCCTCCTTGCTTAATAATCCTGAACCTTCCAAGACTTACTAAGACCACTAAAATACGCCATTTCCCCACTTAGCCTCTCAAGCAAGTCTGAGAGCTGAGATAAGGGTTTTCGTCACAGTGGAGCTTGCTGTGACCATCGAGCTTGCATGGGTCTGAATGTTTATCTGAACCAGGGTCCTCTTTGAACAGCATATCTGGAAAGAGTCAGACTCCGGGAATTGATGTGGGACCAAGTTTTCGCCCAAACTACTTCCTCTACAATGACCAAGTCAGTATGTCGGAAGCCATACCAAATTTTTGTCTGGACTTTGAACAGCTTTGGCCTCGGCAGTCGAACTTTCCAGGAGGTAGTTTTGGACGTAAACTTCTGCATCTCTGCCACCATTTTGAGACTAATCTTGCTTTTGATTTTTCCATATTTTCGCCATTAGTACCGAGAAGAAACAAGTTAGAAGCAAAGATCCCAACAACAGTGCCGCAATCACATTCGCCGCGGTGGTTGGGGGCTGAATCCTCGAATCGAGGTCTCCGCCAAACAGCCATGCCAGCTGGCATGAATCAACCCGCATAGGATCTCCACCTGTAAGCAAGTAAGACGGGAAGCATCCTGGTATTTCTCTCGTATCAGTGATTGATATAGCAGATCAAGCCCAGACTTGAGGCGTGTTCTTCCAAGTCGAACTGTGTCGGCCGCCACTTCAATTTTCAAGCCACTCCGCAGGCCATAATCGCTTTTAAACAAGTGTATCACCCACAATTTCTATTGACATTTGTAGAGTCTCGTCTCGATCGTCTGATTGCGTCAATTCTCAAGACATTGTCCCAATAACGACGGAAACCCCAACCTCAAGGTTTAGCGACATGGCAGCGCCAACTTACAACACGGTGCCGCAAACACCTACGACTCCAACATACATGCAATACGGATCTAGCGAGAAGAAAGATCATCCTCTTAGTGTTGTCCCTCAGTCCCCAGGCTATACTGGCGAGAATGGCGGAAGTGGCATTGAGGATCAATCTCCGATTATTCCCATGCTCTCAAAACAAGACAAAGTGAGCATCGTCTCCGTCCACATCAAACGAATTAGAACTAACCAGGTCAAGAAACTGAAACACAGAATCCGCTACCTTCGGTTACTCTCCCGGCTCGCTGGAACCGGAATAGCCCTCACAACTCTGTCTCAGGAAGGACAAACCATTCACTCCTTTCTGTCTACACAGGATACAATGCGAGGTGGTCGTGGGCCATGGGCGAAGCAAACCGAAATCTGGTCTTCAGTGATGATGTTTGCCCTCTCGCTCATCACTGCCCTGCTAGGATTCGGGATCATCATCGCCTACTTCTTCTCCATCAAAGCAGCCAACACCATCGCCGGCATCCAAGGAGGCATCGGAATGACAGTTGATATCATGCATTTGGCTATCTGGATCGCCCTTGCAATTGCATACCGGGTCGCGAAGAATGGGAAAGATCTCTGGGGCTGGGCCTGTTCTCCGATTGCGCAGAATATTCAGCCAAACTTCGAGGGAATCGTGAACTTCAAGAACGTTTGCGATCGAGGGGTAGGCATCTCCACATGAGTAGATGGCCGAAAGTTTATGCTGACATATATTCTCAGCAAAAAACATGGGTTCTGAGCATCGCGAATGCGGTCGTGAATGCTATTGCAGTCGGGATTTTGATATTAGTTTTCAAACGTACAAAGACGAAGAAGGAGATTAAAAGACTGACTATGGAACTTCCGCCGCGGACAGTATAGTTCACGACGTACTGTTGCCAGATATATTTGACATTGGAGGCTTACCTAGATTTTAAACTCCCACAATCACCGATGCCACTACATCTTTGCTACCAGATCACCGTTCATTTGAATGTGACTATTACAGGTTCACCGAAATAACCCAAATCAATTGATCTCTTTTGCAATAAGGGTCAACATGACCATCAGATAATAAATTTGCGCTTCCTATGAGCATGCAAGCCTTTTTGCGCAACTCGCTTAGCGACAAACGGCCCTTCTGGTCAAAACACAAGGTTGGCAGTCACTTCAATTGGTCGAAAGAAGTAGGATTACCTCACGCATGCAACGACAGAGTAAAGTGGCTATCAATCATTGAAAACGAACTTTTTTTGAGTGCTGGTCGGGTTTGTTGACAGTCAAGACTGGCTTGAGCCCTAAGCACTACGCTGAGGCTGTGGTGGGAGCCACTGCGTGCTGGCACATCTCATGGAAGGTTCTTGGGTACAACTCGAGCACTGTCAAGTTGCCAAAAGTAACATAGAGGACTTTTTAAACTTTTGCATTATACCTGTGAGCTATTGGTACTCCTTCGTTCTCTCCCGGTCTCTCACCAGCGTGGAGCTGTGAATCATTCAGGAAATGGAAGAGACACAGAGGTCAACAGACGAACAACGCGGAGACGGCGAAACGGCAAAACGGCAAGTTTAACTGACAATTCACGTGAAAAATTGTCTTGAGGCTTCCATCTACCAAGAGGGCGATACATGGGTATTAGGTGACTTCTAATAACAGCATCACTTAGGCTCTGCTTCTGTTCTCTCTTGGCTGCTTTGTTGTTTGTTGTTGGTGTGGAGGAACCTTGTTGATTAAACCTCTGTGGAGTCCATAGGTAGACTTAATCATAATAGAAGATTTGGCGCATTATATTCCTGCGTAGCTGCAAAAGTTCACTCGGCGTGTCTTAAGGTCTGTTGATGTTCATCCATTGCCCTTTTTTATGTTTACCCATGTAACTTGCCAATAGAGAGCTTCTCAACCAGTTGATTCCTTCCCGTTCTGCCTCATCTTCACAACGCGGTGAGGGTAAAGAATTACCTATACATAATTCACTACTTACAAACAGCTCAGCCCCGGGTAAGCAGTGATAGGCAGCAGCAAATTCTTGGTCCTCGAGGCCTGCGAAAGCGGTTTGATCTAATGTCCCGTCGAGTACCATTTTTGGAATGCGATAGTGTTGACAGGCATGATAAACGCAAGCGCAAAAGTCACAAATTCAGGTTCCAGTATATGAAATTCGGTCAGATGTTTGAGTTTGACTTGATGGAATGCCATTAGGAACACTTTTGAGAGATCCTGTCGTTAATACTGTTCCTTTGCTCTCAGGTGCGAGGGAACGGGAGCTCTTTGCTTCCCACTGCTGAAACTCGCTTGTATCGTCCAAGAGGCAGAAGCCACTACCCAGCTATTGAATTGCCAGCGTTAGCAGCCATCAGGCTCTGCCGCAGGTGTTCCTCATCCGACAATATCGGTGGCGTGGGAGGCTTTGACGGCTGTAAAGCTGCCTCTTTCGTCTCTTGCGCCTCCTCCATTTCTGGCTCAACGACATGGAACTCTTCAGCCCCCTCGTCTTGACTGTCCTCCGAATGCACCGGAGACGCACTTCCGGAAAAGTCTTCACCGTTCGCCATACTCTGACTTGCCATACCACTGAGAGCCGAGATGCCTTCTTGGCGCATCTGTTCATCCTCACCAGCGAGACGTGCTCTCTGCTCTGCTTCTCGCTTGGCAGCTTGACTTGGGGCTCTGGTTTTGAGCTCTCCTGTAACGCATTGAAGATAATAAGGCACTTCAATGCCGCTCTTCAAAAAGAATAGTTTGAGGTTCCTCGCTTTATCTTTCAGCTGAACTTGGTTTCGATCCCTCAAGACATCATTAAGTGAACCATTCGGTCCATAAAGGGCAAGAATCTGACTCCAGTGTGGTCCCTTAACTTGATCGAGCCCAGCCATCAAAGTGTTTTCCTCTTCATTGGTCCATGGTCGTCTCTGACTAGGCGTCCCAGGTCGACGCGCACTTGCAGTGTTCGCCTTGGTACTGGCAGCTCGCCTAGCCTTCTCATACAAAACTTGGGTTGGCGCACTTTGCGTGGGATATGGCACAGTGTTTCTGAGATCCGGGGGAAGGAGAGAGCCGTTCGAAGCGGTATTCTGGCTTTGATGCGTGGGAACTTCTATCAAAGTTAGCTGTAACCAAGGAAATTTGGACAGGACATACCAGAATTCTGCTGTGGAGAAATGTTGTAGCCCAGCGCTTTCAGGACCTCGTCAGCAGCAAGTTGCGCATGTACTGATATATCCTGGTCGAAAGTGCTTGATGCACCATTAGCACTTTGAAAAGTGTTCATAGAGGTCTGCTGATTCTCTGCTGCTGGCGTCCGTCGAGGTGATGCAGGTGCGGTAAGTGAATGGCGCTTCATATAGGGAGCCAGAAGTGGTTCATAATTCTTCCTCAGATAGCTGCTGACGCCAGTCAAGAAGCCTTCCCAGCCAAATTTCTCAGATAGTGCCTCTATTAAAGGTCAGCAGTGCAACCGAGACTAAAGTTCCAACTCACGTATTGAATCTACATCCGTAGGCTCGTTCATAAGATATTCTCTTCGACTGTTTATTGAATTTACAAATTCAAGTTCGTCCTGAGACAATGGGATATCAGGATGCCGCTGCCTCAGCACCTCATCAAAATCGTATGGGAACATCTCTTCTAGCACATCCTCCTTGGTATCTGTTTGCTCCTCTGAAGTAACCATGGACAGGTACATTTGTGTTTTCAGGTTTACCAGAAGCTCCCCAGGTTCCTTCTCTAGGCAAGCTCCGTCAGGTGTAACAATATCAATGAACGAAGAGCTCAATTCGTAGAACCCAACGGAAGATGCGAATACTGCCGCCGAGAATGAAGCCAAATTTGTGGTCCGAATAGTGGCTCGGTGCTCGGGCTCTTTGATGTTCAATTCGTCTGCGGAGAGAAAAAGTCCATCTTTCGAATATATCCTTTTTGTTTGGTCGAAGAGCGACTTCAGGGTGGCATATGCTTGCCCAAGTTCGGAGTCTGGATCTTGGACTATTCGGATGGTCTCGCTATAGGGTCCTTGTGCTAAAGTTGACAGTATCTGGGTAGACTATTTATGTATCAGCATATGCCATCAGAAGAATTCCAATCTGGCGCTCACCAAGCTTTCTAGTATTGGAAGACTAAAAATCCGCATGTAGAGATACGGATCCGATATAAAATCACTCCCAGCTGGTACGCCACTCTCGTTCTCGGTCGGAGCAGGAGTAAAGGAGGTGATGTTTGAAGGTGGTGGAGGTTGCGGTAGATACGTCTGAGTCTGATTCCGTGCTTGATTCTCCAGCTCGAATTGCTTCATCACTGCCTTCGAAGCCTGCTCTGCCAGGTCTGCAATGCTTGGGCTCTCCATAGGTACATTGGAGTATGGGGCAGCATAATCAAGCCTCTGCCTTTTCTCCCCCGTGTCTTGTGATTGCTCTGATCGGCGTCGTTTGAGGTATGGGGAGGTATCCGGGGAAGTGAAGGATGTGGGGTAATCGGAGACTTCATGCTTTATAGGAACGTCTACAAGAAGCACATGTCAGAAATACGTTGTCGATCTGAAATAAAGAATGTCTTCTTCAAGCACAATGCAATTGCGACTGTGAGGCCGGGTCGCAGGGTGAAAGCGGATTCAAACTTACCCATCTCCTCTCTTGAGGAAGCCATAGCTGCAGCCATGGTGAATAGATTTCTGCCCTTCAATTCTGGCTACTACCAGAGAGGAATTGCAAACTGAATGTATTTCCACTATCGAATAAAGCGCCAGAACCAAAGTACTGGATTATCAGCGTCGAAGGTGGCTTGGGTTTGACAATGACAACCGCGATTTTTTCCCTGGGTCGCCGCTCCCAAATTGTGTCACTGGTGTCTATCCTTTGCCGTAAAAATTCTGCCCCAATCTTCAGACCCTAACTTACATCATTCTCCATGATACACAATAGCGGCATTCGAAAAGAAGTCAGCCGGAATTCGCATCCTGCCAACAATAATGCCACCAAAGCCCCTCGTCATCCACTATGAATATCAAACTCACTCTTGAACGAGCCTGTGTTTAAAACAGAGGCTTGGTAGTCCGTCGCTTGAAAGCACTTCTCGTTTCTTTGATTCTCCATCTAAGATTAATGGAACTCCCGCTCGTTGCATGTTACCTTGTCATTTCCGAGCCTGATTCTCATCTCAAAAGTCCATTCAAGAGTCGAATTTTCAAATTATGCTCCAGTCTTATTAAAGGCTTCAGCAAAGTCCTCCTTTCTTCCAGTACAATTTTCGCACAGTTCATTCGTCTAGCTACAGAGCATTCGCAGTCCGACTTCCAGCTTCCTGATCTGGTCGTTGAGTGCATGTCTTCATAACATTCATCAAAGCTTCACGTTATCCAGTAAAAGCTTCCGATGACTGTTACATGAGAGAGCTCTACCAATGATAAGTATGCATCAACAGAACGACCTTATTATTCTACTCCCACATGTCTAGCATGGCTGCATGGAAAGTCGATATGCAGATTTCCAGCTGCTACGATCGACTCGAATTACTATCTTTTGAAGTCTAGAATTGTTGTCGCAGGTGTAAAGTTCCCTTTCGTCAACACTCTCGCAAGGGTCCAGAAAAAGCATCCCAGGATGTTCGCTCAATTAAAAGACCGTGCCATCATTTGTGTACCTCCGTATGATGGCGCATCAGAGTATACAGGGCCCTGCCCACTTCGTCAAAGCTCACGCTCTTCCCTTCGGCAGGGTCGAACGGCTTAACATCAGCTTCACACACAAACTCGTTCTTTGGAAGTGTTCCATTCTGGAAATATGCATTGACTACTGCGGCCTTGCACTTCGATGGCGTCGAGAGACTTGTATGCTAGAGGATGTCAGCCGTTTTACTCATGAAGTTCAGGCTATTATCTACCCCGAACGAATCCTGTATCAAGATTCTGGAACCTTTGAAACCACCCGCATTTAATCTCGCACTTGACAGAGGTGTCACATTGTCCGCTGAGTTAGCGATGAATAAAATTGGGCTGGCTGGATTGCCAGTAAATGGTCCTGATCTATGTTAGTAGATGAAGCTTGGGTCGTGGTAATACATACCTGTGAAATTCCACTTCGCTCGAACTGTCCACCCTGCGCATTGCAGTCTGAAATCCTGCGCCATTATTGCTCCCGTTGCCGAGCTCAAGCCGGTCAGAGCATCAACATATTTTTGGAATTCATCTGGCGTGTCGAGCAAAGGCTGGGCTTCAGAGCACATCACAGCCGGGAAAGCATCGCTAGTTCCCTCTGATAATTCCAATTCCACGTCTGATCCGTTGCCGCAAGAAATTGGAGATTTAGACACACCTTGGGCTGTTATGAATGGTACTCCGTCACCAATTTCTAGACCGGCAAGACCTTCGGCGAGCGTTGGGAATATGGAAATCGGCTGGTAGAAAGACTTGGAGATCAACCGCCGAACGCTAGAAAAGGAAATTAGCTCAGGTCGATTGGAGGGCGATTTATTGGCGGGAACTATGACAGGGCTTTTCTTGATAGCTGTAAGCAGCCTGTCGAGACGCTCCTTGATGGCTTCTGGCGTTTTGGCAAAGAATCTGCATCTGGAGGGACCAGCAATGTGACAGAAGTCGTAGAAAGCCGCCATGATTTTGTGGGCGTCATCAATGAAATGGACTGATGATCCGATCATCCATCCTCTGATATCCACGTTGCCGTCACTCACAATCCGATCAACCTTATCTGGGAACAGCGATGCAAACATGGATGCCAGAACGGTACCATAAGAGAACCCCCAATATCGAAGCTTCTGCTCTCCAATTTTCTCCATCATGTCGAGCATATCTCTAGCAACGGAAGCGGTACCAACAAATCGACCAGGACCGGCTTCTTGGACCCTCATTTCTGCGACATTCTTGATATCTCCACGCGGTTCACCTCCAATCGTAGATGCACACTGTTTTGACCAAGCGCTGGATTGTGCGTATGCATCGTAAAGCATACCTGGGTGGGCATCAATAACAGGTAGTCTGGAAAGAGCCCATAGTTCCGCATTTTGCCGGTATCCGTTCCAACAGTCGATTACCGGCCGAGTCAACCCAACTGCAACAAAGTGAGTTAAGTCCACCAAAGGGGGTCAAAATAGCTACCTCCGCGAGGATCAAACCCAATAATGTCCTATCTAAAATCAACAAAGAAAACTTCGTATCCATACATATTGACTCACATGATTTTTTCCAGCAATCGTCTGGTATTCTTCACCAAGTTTCTTCACGTACCTAACCAATCAGTCAGTGTATCTAGTTTAGTGAACTTCCATTGCCCGTCCTGAGCATCTTACCAAACACCACTACCTCCAGGTCCACCTATGCTGATCAGGACGTTTGCCGAGAAGTACAACTGAAGATTAAGTACCTGGATTGATAAACAAAGATCCTTTGTAGTCCTTCCTATCCGTAGCATTGAGCTTGATCATGGCTATTGATGCTCGCAGATCATCCGATGGATCCTGCCAATCGAGAGGCACCTACAACATGTCAGATTAGAACTCAAATCATATGAGTCCACACAAGTCTCACATCAAGTCTGGCACAATCGAATTTATCGTAGCATGGATGCCATTCGATTTCTCTCTTGGGCTGAATCTACTGGTGGGTCAGCATGAGCGCTCACTATGACCGAAATGCTTTAGTCCTTACATCCATCCACCTGAACTCATGATCGGGTGTCTCGCGGGACAATTGAGCTGGAAGTGTCCATTGACTCCAAATTCCAAGAGGCCAGAAAACCAGTGTAATCATCAATGACGAGGAAAGAACGAATGCACGAACAAAATTTCGTGTGTGAGGTGTTGAGTGGTAAGGTTTCGTCCTTCCAACTGTAGCAGTAACTTGTTCGTCCAGGAAGTCAATCCTGGAGTCCTTTTCGCAAGCCATGAGCCCCCGAGTATTGTGATACAATGACAGAAGAAAAGAAGAAAGGACAGAACGAAGCTGTCCCAAGAAGTTTCGAGGTTCATCCCGCAGTCAGCTGATGATCGACGCTGCATGTATGGAGGTCAGAAGTGGAGGTCCCTTGGATCTTGCATCCTGGCTCTGACGAATAAGCTTTCAGTTGGACTATCTGATCGAGCTAGAGAAATCTGATAAGCAATGCTAAAACGCCCCGGCATTCCAATTTTGAATAGAAGGAAACTTGTGTGGCTTATCTCATGGGAGTTCAAGCTGCCAACGAATCAATCCTGATTTTAATTCTGATTGTATGAACACTTTTCCGGCCTTCTAACGCAGGAGAAATATCTATCCAGATTTTGATGCTCACAAACTAAACCCGGACTACTCATCGGTCGGTTGGGGAGAGATGATGTGTCAGCGGATTTGATTTGTGAGAAGGTATTGAAGGAAAGTGGGGTGAGAAGCTCTACCTTATTGGATTAGCCTGGAATCTTGCGCATTCCTGGATATACCGATAAAAGCATATCTTTCAGAACGTGCAAGGCTTTTCGGAATACCACTATTTTTCTCTTAATGGAACGCTCCACTCCATATTTACAAGTATTGAGTTTGGAATTGCTACTTAATCTACGACAGGATCAACGAAGCATGGGAACAAAGAAAATGCAAATTGACCTATAAACTAAGGCCACCATGCTTCCGCCGCAGTCCTCGCAATGCATCATTCCACAACTAGGTCTTCCAAACTCACTCCGTATTGTACAGTTTTCAGTCATACAGATAAAAAGACGCAGGTGTCCCATATTTTGAGATCCTTTGACGAGACCCAACAGCAACAGCCAATCATGGAACGATCTTCTGCATGATTCTACTCTCAGACACCTCTATCAATCCGATGTGATTCACTTTCCTCTCACCATGCTCAAGCTTTACTACCTTGCATTCCTCAGAACCAAACTCCAGATCTTCAGCGATTCTTTCTTCTTCGCCCATCAATCTTTGCTGTCTTTGATACATCTTATAAAAGTTCCAGCTCCCCCACAGCTGGGCAGTGGCAAAGAGAGCATGCAACATCGGTGTCGTGACTTTGAATGCCATGGTCCAACGTTTCCACAAACTGCCAAACTGCCAAACAGCCACATGGTGACGATAGTCTCCAATATTGTTCCCGTATAAGTAGTGATACACGAAATAGCGAAGACTCTCCGTAGGAACTGATGTGAGGTCGGGCATACCCGATATAAAATGATAGCCACATGGGGAAGAAACTCGGAGACGATGTCGAAAGCTCCTGTTTTGGTGTCGGATTAGCAAAATGTTCTGAGAATCAATCTCGTATGCATTCTGGCATGGTAAACCTACCCCACACTGTACAGAGAATGAACTCGATTGTGGCATCTTTCTCCCATCCCAGCCTGAAGTTGATGGCAATAGCTACTTGCCCGATGACAATCGTCCCAATATGATGTCCGACGCTAACAGGTGATATCTTCGGTCTGTAGAACAGCTCGAAAACATACATTGCTATGAGCCTGGTTGATGAGGATTGGCAAGAGCAATTTTAAAAACATGGAAAAGTGTATGGAGTTTTAAAGTACTTGATCTCCTATTCATCGAGATCGGCGCAATGTTAGAACTCTTACATCTGGGCAGCGACGATCAAGATATCACCCATCGTCACATATCTTGAGCCAGCAAACGGCGTGTGCAAATCCTCATGAACAAATGCAACATCAACAAACGGATACGCAGCGATGATCAGAATCAGAATCTTTGTGGCTCCTGCGATGTGGTGGTTTACGAAGCCTCGTCGGGTGATCTCGTTCATTTGCGTGTAGATTTTCCGGTAAACTTTTCTTAAGAGGAATCCTTCAAGAAGGTAAAAGCGAATCAGAAAGTAAACGACGAAGACGAGGCTGATAATCAGAGCACTGAAAGGTGCAAGGCGAGATATAGATTGGATAGGGACGTGGGTGATATGAGGTCCTCTGAGAGAACCACGGTTCCCGGAGTCGTCCATTTCTTTGACACGGCACCTAGACGGAAGATCCAAAACTGATCAAATGTCGAAGCTATTTGTCGAAGATGAAGTTGGAATCCGGCTCACTTCCAACTCGAAAGAGAAATATAAGAAGTATAAAGATCTCTGAACTGTGGAAGTCATCAGCAAGAACAGAGCGTGAAGTGAGGTAGCGACAGTCCAGTGAATATGACTGCTGGGTAAAAGCTCAATCTAGCAATGACCCAGGCAGTTGTTTCAAGGGATGATCGTACCCTCTCTCGGAGTAAACTGTCTTATGTAGTGCTAAATGCAGAATATTAAGAGACTATACCTAGTATGAGACATTTTAATGTCAGAGATTAGGCAGAGCTAACTACGCAGAAGTTCATTCCATTTCGACACTCCAGGGATGAGGATGGTAAATAGAGTGCGGCTACACTCCCGAGAAACTCCATCTCCGATAAATCAGGGGTAATGCCCAAATAGCTAGCATTTGCTCGGCACCATTTACCCACATAGGGGACATTGTGGTGGGTTTGTGTGAGGCCCAATTAAAGGCCCGTGGTCTCACTATCGTGGCAACGCTAACAGACTAATTGACTTTTGTTTGCATGCTCAAAGTACCCGAAAGGTACCCGGACCCTAGTACCGACTGAATAAACTATCTCGAGGCTGGGATCGGGACCGTTTCTGCTTGCTCTGTCGAATCTCGTTTAGCGTACGTCGCGTCATGTCGACACAGATTTGCAGTCAAAACAAGAGGAACGAGCCAGACGAAGAAAAGGAGGTCGATTGACTGACACTAGCATACACTCATGGGCTTTGGGTCCTGCCCTGTTGATCTTGGCAATTCAATGCAACTAGGGACTTTGTTTTGAATCTTGGTGTTGTTGAAGTGCTGCAATAGTCAAGCTTTTTTGACGAGCCTTGGCACGGACCGATGGTCAAGAACGTCTCAGGTCGAATTGTGAACCCCTTTCTCTCTACCATCTACCAGAAATCCATTCTGCTAGACCCAGAGGATCATCCGCTGTCGGGTGTAGCTGCGCACAAGCCTGAGCATCAATTACTCGTATCGTCAAGTATCGCACAATAGCTACCAAATTTCCGGCGTGGCGGAGAGGGATTTATCCTGGATGACGCGGCACACCCAATTTGGGGAGCAAGGCATGTCACAGAGGCCAACTCATTGATATGTTCGGGAAGCTAACCATTCTATGGAATTTGGACCGGTTTTTTGTCCAAAAGCTGCTCCAACAATATCGGTCCAGCGACACTCCATGTAAAGCTACTTTTATTAACTCGGTTCCTTGCAGAACCGGGCAGCCTCTAGCCGCAGTGAATAGACGCAGGAGGTCTCTGAACAGTTTCCAGAAGCAACGTCTGGAGGAGCGGCTTTCCAGCAGCCATTCCATATGTATTTGAGACGACAACGTCGGCCTCGTGAGGAGCTTAGTCCACGATCCTCGCTGGTTAGTGTAACGGTTTCCGAAGTCCCCTTAACTTGCAGCTTTGACGCAACCTTTGTTCGTGCGAAATTTGATACTCAAACATGCAACTCTCCCATTTCGACAATGCACAGTCAGCAGTCATCCTGAAATAGTATCAGACTACAGCTGCCAAGAAGAAGAAGTACAGAAAATCCGTCCAAAAGTTGCATTTCCACAGAACGTGCCTTAAACTGCATACAACCAGGCATGACTCAGTTACTGTGTGGTCATCCAGTACCAGTTCTCATGATCTAGAGAAATACCTGAAGTGAGTCCAATTGATTTATAAAGAAATGCCTCACTTCCCAATTGAACAGTTGGAGCCTTGAGGTAGGGAAGGCAAGGTAAGATCTCACATGCCGCAAAAGTCATACAATTGAGTTTTTGAAATTTCACACCTCTAAACAACATCCTTTTCGAGAATGGTTTTGGCACTTTGGCTATTCCATGCTGGTTCAGTAGGTCATGACCTCGTTCGCGAAGATCACGGTCAAGGCCATCTCCTGCTCAGCACTCAGATCAGGAATCATGGGTGTACGAAATTTAGGCAGCAATATGACCTGTCTAAATCTCGTCTCCTTGGGGACTATTTTCTGATTCAAAGGTTTGATGCGGCATACCTAGGTAAGTAAGAGCGCGTGCTGTATTGTAACATAGTTTGCTGACAAAAGGTCAGAAGTGTTGAGCGGTGATTGGCTCGTTCGCTCCGTTGTTAAACATTTCCATGAGGGAAGATACGAAGCGAGGCTGTGCGACTTCTACGGCACAGATGACGCGTCGGTACGACGAGCCTCTCCGAACCCCTTCAGAGGCTCCATTCTTCTCCAGCCTTAACCGCTCAATTCTCTCATGCTGTTGGCTTAATCGTTCCCTGTCACGTGGAAGCGCAGAATCTTCCCGATCTGACAATAAGATATGCAGGACAAGCTTTGGATATTCCAGGATGCTGATGTTTCATTATCTCTGATACCTTGAAATGTGAACTGGGTTATTATTCAAGCATTCGAGAATCCTTCCTTACTGGTGCTTTGCCACGACCTCGTCAAATGTCTCCGGCGTTTACTCCGAGATGCTGGTGCTGATTCGAAGCTGAGGCGTCAACCCTGAAAGGGTGTACCTCCTAAGACCGAGGGTCGCAGTTTTGCATGCCTCGTTCTCGTCAGATTATATTCTACTCTGAGTATATAGCCAGTGCTTCTTGCTCGCAGAATGGCTTTCCAACCACAGCTTCGTTTCTCCTTGAACTCTTTCCTCAACAGTCGAGATGTCTTTCACTTCCTCGCTTCCCAGCAGCACTGCAACCTCCGCATCTACCTCAACACCAACATGTATTCGTGTAAAGCCCGATAAGAACGGTTATGTCCCAGAATGGGCCTGCGATTCTAATTACATGTACTATCCTTCATTCACCGCCGCAATTGTATTCTCCGTTGCCTTTGGCGTGTGCCTCCTCGTCCACATCTTCCAAGCATTCCACTACTCTAAGAAGAAGCTCTGCTGGGTCCTAATCATGGGCGTCGCCTGGGAATTCGCATCCTTCTCCATCCGTGCAGCTGGAACCCGGCATCAACAAATCACAGCCCTCGCCTTCGCCTCCCAGATCCTCGTCTTACTAGCGCCGATGTGGATCAACGCATTTGTCTACATGGTTCTAGGCCGCATGATCTACTTCTTCACCCCAGAACAGCAAGTTTTCCACATCAAGGGCATCAAGATAGCCAAGATCTTCGTGTGGCTCGACGTCCTGTCGTTCCTCACGCAAGTTGGAGGTGGTGTCATGATCGAGCCTAGCAGTTCGTACAAGACGCAGATGTTGGGCATACATATCTACATGGGTGGAATTGGCTTTCAGGAGCTGTGTATTCTGCTGTTCGCTGCTATTGCTCTTCACTTCGCGATCACCATGCGCCAACATGAACGCTCACGGGGCATCACTTCGTCGACGCAAATCCTTGACGATAAGCCACACAATTGGCGCACACTTCTATACGTGCTGTTCGCAGCGCTGGTACTTATTACCATCCGTATCATCTTCCGCATGGTGGAGTTTGCATCCGGTCTTGATGCTGACAAGAACCCGATTCCGTACCATGAGGCATATTTTATGGCGTTGGATGCACTCCCAATGTTGATCGCAGGGATTTTGTTCAACGTAGTGCATCCTGGCAGGGTGCTGAGGGGTGAAGGGAGTGAGTTTCCGAAGGGGCCGAGTAGGAAGGAGAAGAAAGAGGCCAAGAGAATCAAGAAGGAGGCGAAGGTGATTGCAAAGGAGGAGAAGAAAGCTGCCACGAGAGGCGAGAAGGAAGTAGGTAGGGAGCGAGTGGAGATGGTTTCATTGGTGTGAGTAAGTGTTTTGATGAAGAAGACGTTGGCAAACTGGCGTTCTGTAACAGGCTTCGATTGTTGCACATTGGCAGTTGGAGTTCGCAGATGGTAAAAGGGAGGCCTGCAAGGTAATCAGGTATGATAAAGGTCGAACCCAATTTGCAAACCTTTCCCTAGCAGAATATGATCAAATAATCATGGATCTCTATATTGTCATAAATAACGAAGAGTACTGTACAACGAAAGTGTTAAATGCACCAGTAGCTCCGCCTAAGCCTTCGTGGCCATAGGCACAGATTCCAAAGGAGCCTCGTGATCAGTGGGCGTCTCAGATTGAACATCCTTCTCCCTTTGGATTGTAGCGTAAGACTCCTTGAATAAGAATCCAGGATGGAAGATATTCAACACCAACACGGCAATCCAGCACAACACACCATCGAGGATGATGAACGATACTTCATCCTGCATAATGGGATTCCTCCAGCCTCCAGCCATCTCAGCGATACGGTAGATGCAGCGTAGGAAGATAGCGATATACGATATAAAGATGGAGATCAGAAGCCACTTGAAGCGCTTAGAGTGTCGAAGAGCACGATTAGACTCGTTGTGTTGCCCGGAGAATTTCTTTATGCGGAAATAAACGTCAAGAGCCATGCCGCCAAAGATGGCGAGGGTCACAACTTGGAGTACAAGTCCAAGCATCATCACGTTGTTGCCAGTGCTGACTTTACCGGTTCCTCGGGAGGCGATGACTGCTCCAGATCTGAGTATGTGTCAGATTACAGTGAAGAAAGGAGAATCAAGCAAAATGTCTTACGTCTGAATGAGAATCGACAAGATATCGCAACTAACAAAGATCCAAGTGTACAACCTCGGAGCAATTCGAGAGAATCTTGAGCCGTAAATGATAATAACATGCTTCAGAGTGAGATAGATGCCACCAGCAATGAACGCCGGCGATACTGTCAAACAAACAAGCTGAATTCCGAGACTTCGAGATAAAGTCAGCAACGTTCTGTATTAGTTGGACGACTTTGCTAAAGAAAACGTACTATGCCCGACTCCAAGGATCGCTTCTCAGCAAGTAACGGCCAACATATCCTACACCAATCAGCACCTCTTGACAGATCCTTCATGAGTGAATACTCACCAACACTCTCCCCAAAACATCCAATTCCTAATGCGACCAGAAAGGTCCAAGATCTTGATCTGAGGCCCTGAACGATATGTGCAATCATCGAGAGTCCAAAGAGGACGACCAGAATAAGAGTCACAGGCTTGTTTGGGTAGTAGCCGTAGACCGAGCTGCTGACGGGGCAAGTATCAATAGTACAATTCTTCGTGGACTGCCTCTCAGCCCGGCTGAGCAACTCGATGATAGACGCCATGATCCAACTAATTGAAATTACCTCTGTGAAAAGGTAAGAAAAGCAGAGAGGCGCAAAATGAAAACGCAAAGACGTTGGAGTGACGTGCAGCTTGAAGAAGAGCGGACGCCAAAAGGACAAGGCACTTGATGCGCCATACTTATCGGAACGACATCGAGGCTGTGAGTGGTCCGTATCCGTAAATGCAGCCTACCAATTCGCCCGACGCCTTGATGGATTTACCCAGTCAACCACCGTACTCTGGGGGCTCTTATTGCAGCTTTTGAAGAAGCGCCGTACTGTGCTTCATCTGATTGCAGCATCCCTCGGATGCCCCCTTTGGCCAAGGTCGTTTAGCGGGAGAATTTCGATCTTGAAGATGTTTTTGGAAGGTTGACCGTGTGGATTGGCCAGAATCTATATGAAGATCCTTGAAGCCGTATTCAGCGTGCTGTGATTGGCTGGTTTTCACTTGACTTTGTCTTGACTCTTGACATCGGAAAATATCCGGGAAAAGAAAGCCTCGAACCGAGCTTCCCCATCCTCCTCCACACATCAATGTCCTCGTTCAACTCCACGACATCGAATCCGCAGAAGACATTGCGCAGCTCCTCATCGTCATTCAGCGAAGAAAATATCGGTCTGCCAGACTACGCGCAGAATTCCCTCCAACATGTCGACCTCCCAGTCTTGACTTTAATATCCCATGGCCATGCGCCTCCTCTCGACCCGCAACCTCAATTAAGGTTCGATGTGCGAAATCTCCCCAATCCACCAAAACACATCAGAGATGCGTTCAATGGCACTTCGAGGAGGTTACAGGAATGGATGCTATCCGACACCAAGTTCTGCGGCAGAAGAGATGCTATCAGAATAGAGATTGAAGTGGAAATAACGAAGATGAACGCGGAGCGGGAGCAGAATGCTGTCCTAAAGTCAAGACACGACGCTGAAAGAGACCTGGGCGAAGCGCAAGGGGAAACGCAAATTGAAATGAATTTCTCAGCAGACCAGCCAGAAGATGGCGATGCCATCCCAAGTGGAATGGACTCCAGGTCGGAAAAAGCGGAATGGGCTGATCCGTCGAGACTTCGAGTGGGCATATCTTGCGCCATGGGACGGCATAGAAGTGTCGCGATGGTAGAAGAGCTCGCAAAGATGTCCTGGCCTGGCTGGCAAGTCGAGCTTCAACACAGGGATCTGAACAACAAGCCAGGCAGTGGCAGGAAAGCTGGTGCTAAGAAGAGTCGCGGAACGAGAGGAGGTGGCATCCCTTCTTATTTTGAGTTCGATTGAATTTTCTTTTCCGATCTCGGTAGTCATGAATGATTAGAGTCAGGAACTTAATTGTTACAGTGATTCTTCGGGATGTGCCAACTGTACAGCAAGCCTCAAGCGATCTTCACCACTGCCGATCCAGACAATCCTCCTTTCAGTCCCTTCGCATAAGCATTTCTGACCCCTTCTTCCGTCAACCCATCGATAACAAGACCAACAGACGGCTTGAGATCGCCACTCTCAAGCAAACCTGCGACTTCTTTCAACTGCTTTCCATCTTCCTCCACAATAAAGAACAACTTCTCCACTCCATTCTCCTCAATCTCCTCCCAGCCATTCTCCCCCTTCCTAGCCCAAGCAGGAGGCGGCGATCCAACTGTGACAATCCTACCACCACTCTTCACCAACTTCGTTCCCCTTTCCAAACTCTCCCCACCAACACAATCAACAAAAGCATCTACCTGACCGCCCTCAACCCCTTTCCTAACAACGTCCTCCCACCAACCTCCTTCTACATCCCTATAATTCACGACCAAACCAGTACCTAACCCCTTCAAACCCTCACTCCCAACGCCACCAACTGCAACAACCGCCCCTTTTCCACCCACCGCCCTCCTCACAACTTGAACAACCATCCTTCCAACCGCACCCGTTGCACCCGTCACAAGCACTTTCTGACCCTGCTTCAAAGCCGCCCATCCACAAGCCTGTACGGCCGTCAACGCCGCCCTCGGCACACTCGCTGCCTCAACATCTCCTAAACCATCCGGGATCTTGACCAGGAATTCAACATCGCACACAGCGTACTCTGCCAAACCACCTTGTACTACAAAACAAGGCATCAGAGCGAAAACCCTATCTCCAGGTTGAAATTGCTCGGATGGGGACGAGATGATAGTTCCTGCTACATCATGGGCTGGGATTCTCGGCCGGGGCGTTGAGGCTGGCATTGGCCAGGAGAGTTCGTATGGCGTTATTGCCGTAGCGGTGATGCGAAGGAGTGCTTGTGTTGCGGAGGGGACGGGGATTGGAAGAGTGGTGAGTGTGAGTGATGTTGGAGGGTTGTGAGGATCATAGGTTTGCGGCGTGAGGAGGGTTATGGCGCGCATTGTTGAGGGAAGGGACATTTTAAGGGAAAGGTATTGGATGGTAAGTATTTGTTATTGGGTGTTATTTGCGTGATCTTATTAAATGAAACGGAAGGTGAGTAGATGAAATTTTGTCGGATATTAAAGTTGTTGCAACTGTGATGTAGCTTTCAAGGCAGTTTGTGCAAAAAGAAATCTGAAAAGGTAGGACGACCGTGACGATTATATGTTCCAGGCTTGACAGCCGCGGTAACGATCGTAACACGACCTTTCAACACACATCTACTCGAAAATATCTCTCAAAGAACACCAACTAGTAAAAACGTACGTATAGCAAGCCTTCGTTCCTCGGCCAAAGAGGTCAAATATTACCCGAGGAAGCAAGTCGCTTATTCATCACAATCCGGGGCCGTGGCAGTAGCCTATTGACCCTAGTGAAGCGAAACGTTCCAGTATATAAACTGCATTGCATTACAATGGGAAAAATACTAGATCACTGACTGGAGACCATTGTGGTCTGGTATGTTAATGGATACTGCTTCGCCTATAAATAGATATAAGTACTTGGTGGCCTTCGATACCCAGGACCGCACCACGCCATCAAATCACATACACGCCAGTTCCCAACCCGACAAAGCGAAAACATAGACGCCTTCAAAGGAGCCAACAAGATAGATATGAACCATTACACTAGCAATTCTCCCTCCCAAATAATTCTTCCTTACTCCCATCAGCCCTCACCCTCTGCAATCCCAAATCGCTCCCACTCCCATCAGTATCTGGTCTTATCTCACTAACCTCCATCGTATGTTCCGTCTCGATGGTTACAACATTGGGTGGCAAGGTGTTGATCCTCTCCAGTTCCAGATCATCGAAATCTTTCGCAGACACCATAGTAGTGACGCCGGACTTGCGGCTCAGGTCTCGCAGATTCATGTGGTAGGCTTCCATATCTGAGATGGGTGGGCGTGGGATGAGACGGGCTGGTGAGGTGGGACCTGAGGAGGGTTGGAAATTTGATGAGGGAGAGGGATATGTCGAAGCGTTGTCTTTAGATGTTATCCAGTGGAGGACTAGGACGCTGAAGAGGACTATGGAAGATCTTGTGTAAGTTGGATTGCTGGAAAGAGGCATGGTGCATGGGGGATTTACTGTCAATGTTGCAACACATGAGACATATCCAGCCTGGCTCGCCTTTAAGTACCATGACTACGGTCAAATTGCTGAAGTCATGTTAGCAAGCAGTTAGAAGGGCTCAGAGGGATTTGAACTTACACAATGCTTGACGTCAAGGTACAGCAACTTCCAACGAAAGTACGAAGTGCGACCGTCCGGGTTTGGGAACTCCGATCTGTCTTGTAGGAATAGAGGGCTGGGTATGATAAAGTTAATAGAGCCTCGAATTTTCTCAGTGAGGTACTTACAGCGTAGAGGAATGAGAAACAATGAGGTCAGGTAAACCTGTATTTGTTAGCGGGAATTCTTGTGCGATGGAGATTAAGCTTGCGTTAACTAATACATCAAATGCTATGAGGGGTATCATGGACTCTCTTTTCATTCCGATTCTACATGATTCTTGCTCATAGTCTGCAAATCGAAAGTAGAAGTTGAGGGCGATGACAACCAGGTATGGAAGCAGCATGCCAAAAGAATTGAATAAATAAAGCTTGTCCTTCAGCCTTGAGTTTGAGCTTCTCCGGACGATATACTGCGAAGCACCCCATTAGCACATACACATCAAGTAGAATGATCGATCAGGAACATACAACACGCTCTACAAGGAAGTAGTATATGAACTGTTCCTGTAAGCAAATTTCACTGTGAAACGCTATTGGAAGTTTGCCATACCACCTAGACAAAGTCAATTTCCTTACAATCATGATAGCAGATTAGACGTACTTTTGTTGTCATGTAGCAACTCAAACACAGGATTAGAGCAGTAGAGCATATTGACTGCGAAGAGTCTATTCCATAACCTTGGGACAAAATTGCAGTCCCAGAAACAAAAACGATCGAATCCGCGTATATGATCAAGATTACTACACATCCTTAGCTTGAATTCCCAGATGTCACCAAAGATTCATGACATACGCCAACACACCAGTGGTAGCCTGCTCCAGTTCCGTACGTTCTGAACTCGACGAGCTATTAAATTCAGTACAAGGTGTAAAGGTGGAAGGGGAAATCCTACCAAAGCATACAGATAAGGTAGCCATGGACAGTAGTGATAAAACCACAGACACAACCGTTCCAGCTCTCGTTTCTCGCAAAGGCAAAACCATTATCAAGATTTCTGATCCAGAGGGAGCTTTGCGCACCAAAAACGGCAAGCGAAATGAGAAAGCGAGGGGAGTTACAATTATACAAGAATTCAAGCAAGAGATTGAACCTCTTTGCCTGGGCCGTCCTCGACTTGGAGTAGGGCTGTCGTGCAACCCTTTTGAGCGTGAGCCAACGGGTCCATGCGGATATTCGAAGACTGGGCAACTAGATGCATCTTCAAGACTTGAATAAGAAAACAAACTACTCGTATTCCCTGCACGGGATCCATACGCGGGCCATCGTGGCTAGCTTGTGGAGATCGAACAATGTTCCAGCTACGAGAACGAAGTAGGCTCAGTAGGTCACACATACTGCATGAAGTGGCTGTCAAAGAATCCGACAGCCGTGCCTATTGGAACAAGACACCAACTGGAGGGGAATGTTACACATTCTTCGGGAACAAGCAGCCTAGAAGTGAGCCTGTACGAGAGTCGCCTCCTCCCAAAATACGCACTCGGCTCTTTAGAATCTAGGAATATGTTGGGTATGCGCCACTAGACACACAGCATGACCTGCAAAGAAGACGGGCACAGGAGCCAAATTCCAATGTTCTCAACAATGACATTGTTGGTATTCTGTGAGACATCAGAGACTCGGCAGAGACATTCCCACGCAGAGCCACCTCGGAATTCATTCTGGAGGCCGCTATAGGTCCAAAGATTTTGGCGTAACACAAAGTTCTTGGGGTAGGGATCGCCAGTGGCCTTCGAGGTCGTAGCTTCTGCCACATCCAGCCGCCTTTCAAGCCTCAGCTTTGCTTTTCAGACCAAGAGAAAAGGAAAGATCTGACAGAAGTTGAAGAAAACGTTAGACTCGAGATGATTGTGTGAAGCTCAGGTCCAGCCGAACGCCCCGAGAGATCTAGATCTGCCTTCTGATCTCTAGAGTGTGGTCGTCCTGAGGTCCGAGGCCTCTTGAGGCGCCAGTTGAGTGTCCTTCAGCAACGATCTCCCGAATTACAGCTCTCTGGACAGCTGAACATTATCCGCGTCAAGCGGAGTTTGAGGCTGGATCAGAGTATTGGAGACGTCGGAGGTTGCGAAAGCAGTTGATTGAGGGCTCTTGAGGTCTGTGCGAAAGCCCCAAATGGGGATGCATTGCTTTTCGTCCATTCCATAGCCACGGCGCGTAATTGATTAAGGTCTTTACCTGGTGTACGGAGTACAAAGCCGTGAGGTGATGGCTGTTGATGGGATCGACAAGCCCCAAACGTGATGCCCATCCCAGACTCAAACGTGGCATGCCAATGGGGTTAGCGTCGCCTCGGACCCCCGTTATTTGCCAACCTCCGCATGTTCGACCTCACAACAACATTCACTTCGAGGACCAGGTACTCAGTCATCATACATCATGTTGATTCACCGGTTCTATCTCGTGCCGCGAGGAGTCTGAAGCATTAGCAGCTTCAATTCGTTGGAACTCCAAAGACACAACCTTCCACGTTCACGATCTGTCCACCGACACCTAGATTTGGACTCCTTGCGTTGTTGAAAAGAGTGTATTTTATTTTTCATGCTGTCATTTTCCACCGATAAGCCGCCCGTTTGTTCAAATTTGCCGAAACTAGGTACAGAAAAGAAACCCTCAGTCTATCTACAGCCTAGCTGTCTGATGTATGTACAAGAAGTCTTCCGATATCTAATACTGATTCTTAAGATCGCAGTACTAATGATCCAAGGAACATTTAGAGAGCCTTGAAGGTGGAACCAATAGGACCCCACTTGATGTTGGAGTATGTGACGGATGCGTCTGGGCTCTCGGCTTCGACAACCTTTGGATCTCCAGAATCCCTGCTGCACTCTCCTCGGGAGACACCTGGCTCGCTCTCGTCCTTGGTAGGTGGGTAAGGAGCATCCAACCAGAGCATGTTTGCGGTATGGTCATCCCAGATGGACATGACCAAAACGACACCCTTCTTCAAGGCCGCGCCCATAACAGCCAAGCCTCCCTTGGTCTTGAAGATATTGTTGTCACCGAAGGCAGTCTTCTGAGCCTCACAGAATTCGTCGGTGATGGAGTTACCGGTGACTCCTTCAATAGCAGACTCTGTGTTGGCGTAAGTTACACCGTCCTGGACATAGAAGCGCTTAATCTCAACCAGGGTGCCGGTGTCGGTGTTGTCGTTGGTGATGAATTGGGTGACAACGGTCATCTTCTTGGCTGTATCGAGCGTCTTACCCTGTCCGTAGAAATCGAGGACACCCATACGGTAGGAGTTGAAATCACATCCATCGGCATCGCACAAGGACGAGTATCTAGCACCGATTCCGCAGTCTGTTCCAGAGCAGCGTGTCTGTCCGACAACTGAGCAAGGATGACTATTCCGGCTTTGTCAGCACTTGATGAGCATCGATCTTTCAAGAAGACTTACGGTGTATATGCTGTGGAGACGGAATTTGCCTCCCAAATATCCATCTCGGTACAGCAAGATCCATATTGCCCAGCACCAGCATTGACGTCGTTGTCGGATGGCTTCCATCCAACGGAGTTGGCCTGATGATGCAAGTTAGCTTGTGAGTCTCACATTATTGAAGCTTGGATCTGAAATCAGGGTACACTTACTTGACCATTGATGAATTTGACGTCCTGTGGACATTGAGCATCGCAATAACCAGTTCCGCTGTCGAAGGTACAGAGTCAGCAGTGAATCTCTCAAGCAATCTCTTGAGGTAATCCTCTCTCAGAATACATTAGGTGGGAGAGGGGGAGAACATACTACTTGGCACCGGCCTTGTTTGTGGAGTATTTTGACATTCCACCATCCTCATCCATCGCCGAGAAGTAAAGAGCACCGTTCAGTCCACAGGGCAAGTTGGACACATCCACATCAAACGTAAACTCCTTGTTCAAGAGCTTGAGCATCTGGTACTTGGTTTGACTGCCGGCGGCCATCAAGTATGTTCGAGATCCGACATTGGTCTGGTCCTTCTTGGTGACAAAGTTGAGCTTGAGAGAGTTACCGGTGGTGGTGATACCGTAGGTGCCGGAATAATCTGCTCCATCCAAAGCACAGTTGGTAGCGCACTTGGCTCCATCAGGGCAAGCTTCTGTGTTCCAGGTGTTGCCTGTGTAGCAATTGGTGTATCCAGAAGTGGTGTGAAGCCATCTCCAGTTTGCGTCGATGACAATTGACTGAGATGAAGTCTTACATCCGCTCGAGGTGCAGATGCTTACTTGAAGAGCAGGATGGGTCTCTGTAGTAAGAGTTCCAGCCTGCTGTGCGCTGGCAGCGACGAAGAGGGAAGCAAGTGCAAGTGCAGAGGAGATCATGATGAAGGAATGTATTGCTGTTCTTGGATGCTGAAAGAATGTCCTGATGGCGTACTTCCATCTCTTATATGGACATTTGACTCTCCTTTCTCGCCTGTCGGCTAGCTCACTTAATACGTCGTTCATAGAGATATGGAAACGCGGGGAGACCACCCGACGGAGTGTTTGCAGCCGAAAAAAATGTTGACCCACAATCTCAAGGCTTCATCGAGTTGGAGGCGTTTACACCATGTTGGCACCATTCCATACGCCGCCTGCGGTATACGTCCAGTCACTTACCAAACCCAAGAGTATTGTTACGGAGAAAAGTTTTGGAAGCCGCAAGCCGCATGAACAAGAGAAAGATCATACAGAGGCAATATCAAATTGAGCACTAGGTGCTGTCCTTGGTCGTTTCAATTTAACCCTTAATAGTGAGTGGAATTCCTGCGATAGGTCCAAAACTTCGGTAGCATCCACCTGGTAGAACAGCCTAAAGAGGTGATATCTTGGTACCTGACATGATTAAGAGCACAAGCTCATCTGTTATACCTTGTTGTGTTTGCACGCATTTGATTTACTTTGTTTGAGATATGGACCATGGACATAAACAAAGCAGGAGCAATCTACCAGACAGCTATTACGAAATTCCTCTGCCTCTGGATATAGACTTCTGTACTTTCGTCTCTATCATAAAGCTCATCTTCTGCGCACCAACTTAGCTTCCAGTGGCAGATCCCTCCGAGATACAAAGCGAAGCTTATGAATGTAGATCATGGCTTGAAAATGCCCGATTATGATGACCAGTTGCGCCTCTTCCGCCAAAACTGGGGCCGGACGCGGGGGGCACGGCGCGGGGAAACACAAAATCCATCTGCCGGTGGGGTTTCAAGACAAGGATATTTTTCGACCGATATATTAAACTTCAAGGGTCCATTCAGCCCCGGCGAGGAAGTCCTGAGATTTCTATCATCATGTTGGAAATATGCAGTATCCAGTCTACCAGGGGTGCTTCATTCTGGCTTGGGTTGCGGGAACGGAGAATATATTGTATCAAATGTTGACGATATGAAGCAAATTTTGCACCCACTTTGTCAACGATTGTCACCTCAATGGATGTTGTATCTTCTTCCACAATAGAAAAAACCTTCAATCGTCTCCTTCTCCCTCCATGCAACATGATTGAAACGTTCACATACGAATCAATGGTGCTGCCAAGCCGGCTGTAAGAATTTCCCCGGGGGCTGAGATATAGACCAAACTCAGCACCCATGTAGATATCATCTACTATATGAAAGAAGTCCATAATTCGTATAGAACCTGATCATCTCCTCGGTTGGAGGAGCCTAAACTTAATCTTCTTTTCTTGCACCTGATCTCGACATGCGGCGAAGATCTCACCAGCAGTTTAGGCAGAACTTGCAATATATGGTGACAAGTGGGACAATATTGATTAAAGGGATCATTTAATGTCCGAACATCACAAAACTATGTTCTAAACATTGGAATTTGGCGGGCCAGGAGTCAAATCGCAGCCCAGTTTTTGTTTTGTCGTCGCTGCAAGCTCTAAGCGATGCAGCAGAATTGCAAAGCAAAACAAAATCTGCCCACAATCTTTCATGTACCCTGTACATCCGAAATTATATTGCCGAATCATCAGACGTAGCACGTAGACAAACTGTAATTGGGTAAGAGTCAGATGGTGAACAGCAAGTTCGCCACTTGCCCAGAGCTCCAGGCTTGGGTGCAGTCATTTCGACCTTATAGACTAACTTTCATCTCAAGTAATTGCGATCCCTACCGCAGCGGCTGGTTAATGGATGCCTCCGGTCAATGATGATATCGACATTTGATTGAAGTCAATGCAGCTTCTTGGCCAACGTCCTGGACAGGGAGGAACGGCTGTCCCAGCCGCCAGCATGTCCACATCCTTTGGATATCAGCAACCTCAATGCCAGTCTTGGTCTCCCCGGACATAAGTGTTGTCAGAGTTGGAAACTATCGATATGCACTGATACGGGTCCATAAGAGACATATGTCCGGCCGCCGTGCAGCAACAGTGACGATAAGCGTAAATGGTCGTGTTGTATCTCATATACATCCAGCTAACTGGATGACTGACATGGCGACAACCATAGACTCTATCCGCGCGTGCAGGCGTGTCCATTCCGCCTCTCCGAAATAGGCATATTCCGAGGTCTGTGAGGCTCACAATCGTTGATAGTGAACAACTTCGGATAATCCCATGCGGAAGTGTTACAACTGACACCGGAGGCTAAACAAGTAGTTTCGCCGAGCAGATCTACCAGCCCGCATCTATCTGTACAGGCCCAAATATACTATGTCCGACATGACAAATCGTTTGACAGTCATTATTTTTTGTCTACCAAGTGAATCTCGAAGCCTATATCTGGGGTTCGTTTGGATGATCTGCGACAACATTCTAGGATGCATATGCAGCAGAAGAATCTTCTCCCCTCGTGAGTTGTCAACGGGCAGTACAAAAAAGCATGGCATGCTTATCTGCATGATGCTACATGTTCAGTCTTATACTGTCTGATTACGACGCAGCCCACCATATCGATCGTGTGTCGAGGTGCTGGGGCAGGAAAAATTGGCAGATGGTCATTCTTCTTTGGCCACTTCGACCGAACTTCGACATTATCACGCGGCAACTCCTCCATTACTGCTGCAGGACATTGGGAGTGTTTCCTGAAGTAGACTGTGTCCCACGCCAACCTGGCCTTCTGTCTCTTTAGCAAGCAATGACATCCTTTCTCGAGACAAATGGACGTAGTCCATCGATGAACACGAACTCAGACTTTGCTATCGTGAATAAGGAGGGTGAAAGTAGACGTGTTCAATTTCCGTAAAATATATATGTATCATCCTTCAGAAATACATCAGCATACCATGCGAACGTAAGACTGTCAATACGTTGCGGGCATTAGACTGAGTCTTCCTCCGTCGACCAGTAATACTGTACCAGTCAAGTATGCACCAGCTCTGCTTGTGAGGAACAAGATAACACCAGCCATGTCCTCTTCAGTACCGACTCTCTCGAGAGGAATCACAGATCGTGAAAAAATACCGTTCCCGATGATGCCGGCTGCCAACTCAGAGGGAAACACTTTTCAGAGTCAGACATAGCCAGGAAGTGAACAGAGAAATTGCCGAGAAAAATCAAGCAAGGCATCAGAATCAGGCAAAGACTTATTTCACTTGACGGAAGGTTGCAAGACATATGGCCAGATAATATATGAATAAACTTACACCCTGGGGCGAGAGTATTGGATCGTATCCCAAATGGCGCCAATCCTGTTGCTAATTGCTTCATCAAATGCGTCGTAGCAGCTTTAGACTGTCCATACGCGAAGCCACCTGGGACAGCACGATTGAAGCCACCAATACTACTCGTGGCAATTACCTGACTTTTCTGCTCGACGTTTCCTTTCTTATTGCCCTCATCGAGAAGTTCAAGGAACGCGACAACAGTAAACCATACAGCAACAGTGTTCAACTCAAATGTGCTTGCATAGTCTTCGAAACTAGCATCTCCGTAGGCTTTCTGAAAGTCCGCGATACTCGACTCGGCTGTGATCGGTATGGACTTTTGGGGACCAAGTATTCCTGAATTGGCAACGAGAACATTTATATACCCGACTTCTGATTTGATGATAGAAACGAGGGAGGATAAAATGTCCTTCGAGGTGACGTCTCCAACCAGCGGAATAATATTGTTTGTATTGACCGATTGAGCTGCTTTCTCGAGAACTTCTTTCCGCCTGCCAATGATATAGACTTTGTGTGCACCATTGAGAGCCAAAGCTCTTGCCATCATCAATCCAATTCCTGCTCGATATCAGTACGCGATCTGCAAAGTTCCGAGAATGGCTGGAATATACCTGATCCTCCTCCTGTGATTACCGCAACAATGCCATCTACATTGAACAGATTTGATGCCTGAATTGAAGTGGTCGCCATCTTGATTAGGATTTGAATTATCGATATGCAGTGAAACGCACAAAGAGATTGCCACTTATCTACTACTTACAATAGCTCTAGATCATTGTCTACGACCTCCGGTCTCAAGATTAGGTCCGAGGTTGCTGACATATGGGCATCATTCCACTTTGGCGGTGAGTTCTGCCACCCCACTGCTCCAAATCCGAATTAGCGTCAATCAAAATATCGCAAGGCTGAAGCTTTTCTTGACTGACGCACTGCACAACGTCCACAAAATGCCAAAACGCAAGAGATCTACCTTTGATGGTTCGGGCGATCGAGTCCAGCATATGCGCAAGGAAGATGCCGAAGCAAAGCTCACGCAGAGTAAGAGATTGCTTCACAAAGCCCTCAAAACAGCGAAAGGCTTTCAGCGGCAGAAACTGGGGAATCGATTGAAAATCGCAAGGGCGGAGAACAAAAGCGAGGATATCATACGGATCAATCGAGAAATAGAGGCTTTAAAGATGATAAATCTGGACCAGGCCACAGACTCTCATTTACACAAAACCTTGTTGAAAATCAAGAGACTGGCGGAGAGTGAAGTGCTGCCAGAAGAGGTGAGGAAAGTGGTTCCGAGGCCTGATATGTCAGAGGAGATGATTGCAGCATCGAATAATGTGTTGAGTGGGATGACGAATACGAAACCAGTCAAAGATGCAATACCGCAGATTATCACCGGGATGTATATTGCGATGGGAATTCCACCGCCAGCAGCACCTAGCAAAGGGAAGGGGGGGAAGAAGGAGGAGGTCAAAAGAATACTGAAGCAATCGAAAATTGGAGTCTCCCGACGAGTCGATACGGACGACGAAGATCTTGAAGCAGAAAATGAAGGGCCCAAATCCCAGAGAGTAACAACAAAAGACCCTGCTTGGGACGGATTTGAATCACCTGGAGATGACGAGGACAATGGTGATGAGGATATGGATTCCGAGGCAGAACTGGCTCGCTACGATGCCCTCCTGGGCGGTTCCTCGGACGAGGACAGTTTCAACGAAGAAGAATACGCCGTTGAGAGGAAGTCTTATCAATCGAGACAACGTTCACTCTCGATATCGTCAGCTTCGTCTAAATCAACTGCTGAGATCACAAAATCACAATCCCCAGAGGCAACACAACGGCGAGAGAAAAGCTCAAAACCAAAGGTACCCATCAGTGCCCCCAGAGGGTCAACCTTCCTACCGAGTCTTAATGCTGGTTACTGGTCCGGATCTGAATCATCTGCATCTGATTTTGACGATGCTCCTCCTCCCGTCAAGAAGAACAGGCCTGGCCAAATGGCACGACGGGCTATAGCTGAGAAAAAACATGGATCAGGTGCGAATCATATCAAGAAAGGTTTGCCACCTGTTGCAGAGATGGGCAAGAAGAAGGGTGACGGATGGGATGCGAAAAGAGGTGCGACTGATGGCGGAAGGGGCCGAAGGGGAGGATTTGGAGCAAGGGGGAGAGGTGGCAATGATAGAGGTGGAAGGCAACGAGACTTCAGCCAGGTGACAGGGGAAAATGCTATTGCTGTTGAGCCTAGGTTTCGGGAGAAGAAGAGAGACGATGTCGGCGTACTGCATCCCAGTTGGCAAGCTGCGAAGAAAGCAAAGGAGGAGAAACAGACTGCAACATTCCAGGGTAAAAAGGTCACTTTTGATTGAGCTAGTTTCGATACCCTTGAAATGAACAGAATCTTGAGAGTCACACAACGCTGGTTTGAATATGGAGTGGAGGTGTTGCTTCTCAATACTTTCCGTTGCGCTGCGATCAGGATTCTGTTGATCCACCGAAGCGAACCCTGTCAAGAATCCCAATCCTGATCTTAACGCAACGGATAGATTCCGGCGCAAACGTTCTCGGCGATTTTAAGTGCTTCCCTCGAGCTGATCCTCTCCAAAATCTATGCGATCTTTAGCAACCTTGAGCCTGACATGACATAGCAGACTCCTTCACCGCAATCCAATTCTCTTCCTCACCACCCAAAGAATAACCATCCCAAAGTTCCCAAAGCCCCAGCATGCACTACAGCATGAACCCAGCGCCCACCGAGTGCCTTCCCATACCCCTCATCGTGAGAGGTAATCCTTCCAACAGCTCTCACCAATGGCGCAGCATGATAGGTGGCCAGAGCACCAGCCACTCTCCGACTCGTTTCATCCACAGGCCGAAAAGCAAATATTAGAGCAACGATATTGGAGCTCATGAGTAGGACGGCATATTGACGTATCAGAGCGTGCGCTTGTGGAACAGGTGTTGAGAGCTGCTCGTTTGGCCTGAAGAAAAAGTTGAGTGATGCCGGAAGCTCGAGGAGAGCGTGAATCAGAAAAGCTGGGTTGATTATGGGCATTTTTAACAGACCGAGGCAAGAAAGCTCACTGGATTCGCGTGAATTTGGGGCATGGAATACCGCGTGATGAGTTGGAGTTGGATAGGTAACAACTATTTACGAGGTCTAGGTATCGGCCCATGCAGTAATCATCGGACCGGCCGTCCACGAGTTCCGGGCTGCCGGGTTCCCTACTGTACCGACATCTCGCTTCGCTTCCGCTAAGTGATAACAACAATAATACGCCGCTTTCAATCAGTGTAAATTGGAAATGAATAAAGGGCCTACCGAAATATTTTAATCTCAATCGAAATTACATCTTTATCAAGTGGCAAATTAAGTAGTCTCCATGAAGTTCGGAAAGATATCTGTCCAACACTCACTCATCAACGCGAAATTTACACATCACACCCAAAAAGAAAGACTTCTGGGCGGCAGTACACTGAGTCAAAATCGCGGATAAATTTTGCGCTCTCGGTCAAGTCACTGGGCTTATACTATGATAGAGTCACGACAGAGCTGTCACACACCCAGGTCACCTCTCTCGTCCAATACCGAGATAGAAATCCCATCCCCGGCCAACGCATCTATGCTAGGCTGTAATAAAAATAGGAGGAGGGTTCGTAACATTGTTTTGCAATACTAGGCATGAATTGACGGTAAGTGGAAGAGGAAAGTAGGTCTCCGATTCGTCGGTGAATGCAGGTGTCATTCTTACGTTTCCCGCTCAGAACCAGTGATGAGAGAGATTAGAGATGCCTGGTCTCTTGGACACATGATCTTTACTGGATATCACAACTCTACGGGTACAACTGGAAGGCTCTCAGTCCTGGAGAATTGCTGACCAACCGTACGGAACGTCAGGATGAATTCCTTACAAGGCAGCATTACTAGAGGAAAGAGTGAGGTATTTCTCTTCCCTGATTTTGAAGCCAATTTTAGCGTATTCCTCCTTGTTGTTACCACTCGCAGGTCTGGTTGCAGCAATCTGGAACTTCTGGCGGAGCCCCTTGGAGTAGTACAGAAATTTCTGAGGCGAGACAATGAACATCTGCAGATGGTGCCATGGCTGATCAGGGCAGCTTGCTCTTGCGTTCAATTGGAAGCGAGATGTAAAGCTGGCAAGGGCATTGATAAATCTTCTCGTTCGGCAATTCTTCAATTTTCATGATCTGCCACCGAACAGGTGTCATTATCTATATTAGCTGCCATTAACTACATTTAGTGGAGCTGATTAAGGTATCTCATATCACTCTTTTTGGAACATGCTCATCATGCCCCTGGCGTAGCTGTCACGAACAGAAACCTCAGGCAACTGGCGATCGACGCGCCCGTCTGATACCACGAACGTTGAACTAGTAACTTATCAACAGTCTCACACGATACCAATCTCACGAAAGATTCACTCGGACTCGAATGCAGAATGATTAAAGATCACCAAAAGATAGAATTGCTTCATATCAGGGACAGGGAAAGTCTATTTATATCATCTACCAGCCTTTATCACCAACAATCCTGATGTCAGGATGTTGATAGGGAGTCCAGAGCCTTGATCTATTTGGTCTAAATTGCCGCTCAAAATTTTCTCCCGTTTTGCAGCGACTTTTTCCCGTGCGAGTGATCTCGGGATCGGGCTCTTGGTAGGAATCTCTTGCTCGCTTATTCGCAAATACTCTTGCTGCCTTTCGCATCTTCTCTTCCAAATCATCTTCTTCGTCTCTGCCAGTTTTGCGCTTACACTTAGAAATTTGAGCTCTGCTATCGCGGAGAGTCCAGGCGACGTGCTGGTCGTACTTTATGTTGTACATACGGCGCTGCACTGGATGTAGTAACACCTCTTTTGCTTCATTGATCTGTGAAACTGTCAGTATTATACGTGTAATGAAGGAATATGACGGCATATACTCTTTGGAATGCTTCTGTGGAGACCCGGGAGTTGTTATTCTTGTCGGGGTGATGCTTCAAGGACACCTTCTTATATCCCGTCTGGATATCATTCATGCTGGCGTCTCGAGAGACTCCCAGGGCTTTGTAGTAATCGAAGAAGGGCTCGCGATCCATGATGAGCGACTGCTGTTTGTTTATGGGATATAATGATTATATGAGGTCTTGTTTGGCGCTGGCGGTATGAGATGGTTTAAAAACTTGTGCGACATTGATTGTGAGTTGGAAAGGGAATTTTCCCGTAGAGAAGTTTGAGTTTATAGTATACTATGATTATTGGCATGTCAACTGAAGGTTGCGGCTCTAACTGGGCGGTTCGCTTGTCAATTGTGGTACCGAGTCGCTGGCGTCACCGTAAACCAGATTCCGTTGGAAGCTATGTGCACACCACGAGGCTGCGTTCAAACAACTCGTATTTGCTGCTTGCAGCCTACAAACTGGGCGAAATAGTAAGTCTGCTTATTTGCTAGCTAAAGCGCTACAGCTTAGTGCTTGGCTTGGACTTGGACCAGTTCTTTTGTTTGTTTTGATACCTCGCTTATTTTCTCACGTGCGGGCACGTATCAGGAAATCCGTCGTGGAATTTTGAAGTCAGAAGTGGTAATTGTGTCTGGCCAGAACTCAGTGAACTCTACGTCCATTCATTATAGATAGATGCTAATTTTCTGTGCATGTTCAAGTCCCCTTTGTGTTGTGTCGGTGATATAAAGGCGAGAAAGTTTGGCAGAACCAGATCACCAGATGCACAGGAAAGTCAAGCCAGCTAAGACGGTTCCTTGGGGAAAAGTCATGTAAACAAAATCGACGATAACGCGACTAATTTGCGGGTAGATCCAATATCAGCCAGGGCAGTCATAAGTCACCAGCGCCGACACTTTTAGCAGGCGCGGGTGAGGTATGGGGGGCGGGGACTAATCACCCAAGTTTGTGCAAAGAGCTTCGAAATCATACAGCGGCCAGAATGCAAAATTCTATAGCAGATTCCAATCTTTATTTATAATGCGATCAAGAATGCGGATTGTCAGCAAAATAGGTCCAGAACAATGTGACCTTGAATGACGGCCAGCATTTCAGCTGCCAATGCTGAACAGGGCCATATCTCTTTCGCTTTTAATAGCCAGCACGGAAACAAAAGATCGATAGAATACGAAGAATTGGGGCTAAGATACAGTTCGAAGATGCAACTCCATCCGAGAGGCGAAAAGTTTGGTTGACAAGTCAGATGTCGAGCCACGTGACCAACACGCTGCCACAAGTGGGAGTTACCAATCGCGATCTTATTGAAAGTGATAAATCCCGAAAAAGGATGTCGGAACATGATTAAGAACAGCTTGTTCATCGGCCTACCTGACGGAACATAGGGGCTGAGCAACTCAGATAAGGCCGAACTACTATCCAGCTGCGCCACTCGCCTCTGAACAGAAATATAGAGATCAATTTGTGGCTTCCAAAAGATAGTAAAGATATCATCACGAGTAAAAGTACAGACAGATCGCCGGCGACAAATTTGTCCCTGCTGTTGCCTGCACACTCTTTCATGCTGACAGTCCTCGTCTACTTGACGAAGCTGGAATGGCCGCACCGAAAGGTCGAACCACAAATGAACAACATGCTATGGAAGCAAGTCTACAGATATGAAATAGCCACAATCTGCTCAGGCCAGCTAGTGACTGTACCACCAAGACTTTGGAGGTGGATAATCCTGACGTTAAAGCTGCTGACGTCGAGGAGTGAGTGAAGAAGTACAAACGAGAATGATTTAGTCTGTGCACGCCTGATACTTTTGTCCTGGCATGCCAGTTCCAGTGTTATTTTGCATGTACGGTCACAATGATTGACGATGAGGAGTCCAACCTTCGAGTTCTTGAAGCGTCATCCTGGGGCGACAGCAAAGTTGGATTTTATGTCACCGACTTTTGGGAAACTAAAGGTAGTACAGTACCCCCCCTGTCCCAACGTTAAATCGCCACTGGCGCCTAGGCAGCTGCTTTTACGCTGCTCTTGAGTGTTCCCCTCACGCTTGCTCTGTTAACATACCAAAATCGCGTCACGTTATCCCCTTGTCAATCTTTAAAACAGCACGAAATCCTTCTATTTCAAGTATAAATAATAAATAGAGCCGCCCCACAGTTTAACGTTGGGACAGGGGGGAGTACTGTAAGTCTGTAAGGCATCGCATTCGAATGCGAGTAAAAGCTAGCTTAGCGACCTAGTCCGGCCCCGGCAGCGATGGACGTCCCGGAGATAAATGGCCTACGCTGCGTAGTGTCTAACATGTCGCTGTCAGAGAGTCCCCTTCCGCAGCTTTTAGCTTGCGAAATAAAAAGATAGGCACTGACCTCACTCTTACAGAAGATAAGACGGTAGTGAGGCAAACATGTTTTGATCAAATAACTAGTACTCAGTATATATTCCCTGCTGCCCTGTTCAAGCATGTGCCAACAGACATTTCAAGAGTGTGTTCTCGTGGTGACATAATTCGTTAAAGTCGTTGCTGCATGCCGCCCTGGCGGTGGCTGGGATGCGGCATCTCACTAACCGTCCCGAGCCTGAGAGCCAAACAAAACACTACCAGTACAGTAGCTGCTGCAGGCGCACCACTTCCCTGCAATCGAGGGGCAGGGCATGGCAGGGCATGGCAGGGCATGGCAGGGTCCATCGGTAGGGTAGGGAAGCCACAACCAAGGTCCAAGCCCAAGCCCACTGGTGACAATCCCACTAACTTTCTTTCGTTACTAGGTACTGACCTACCATCAGGGCTGTCACTCGTTTGCTGCTCATCGATTTTGTTGAGGATAGCCCAGGCGGCATCCAATTGTTGCATGTACTTCCAGGTTTGCTGTAAAGGAGACACTGAAAACAGGATCTTGGCTTCTATCACCTCTCTTTTACCCTTGTAACCACCTACTTTGCCTTTCCTTAATCAACCCCTCCATACTCGACCGCCTCCTCTAGCACCATAGGACCACCCCCTCCACACTTTACGGCAGGCACACGACCCACTCCCGGTATCAAGAGGAACAGCTCGAACTTCTTTTCAATCTGTGAACTTGCTGTCTGAGCCTCGGCAGAATCAGCTGCTTGACTACTCAATTGCACAGGACTGTGTCCCTGAGCTGGAAACTTCTTCTCCACACAACACAGCTGAGATCTCTGGTAGAGCCTCATACAGCTTCACATACCTCAATTGACTCGAATTTGGACCGCAGAAATCGCCGCCACCATGTCGCCATCTCTAGACACCCACAGTGGGACGAACAACCAGTTCGGAGAGCTCAATCTCTCCATCACAGGCTTGGGAGTCGAATACCCTCCATATCAACTCCACCCAGAAGCTCTGGATACTCTTTGCAAACGCCACTATCCAGATACACCAGCGTTCGTCCATCATACCACACACACTCTGCAGATATGGAGAGACATAAACTGACCCTCGCCAGCATGACCAAAGTCCGCGCCATAAACAACTACACAGGAATTGATAGTCGCTCAGCAATTGGCACAGTGGACCACCCCATGGCGAACATGGACCGCGCACCCACGATCACAGAACTCTGCGAAATCTTTCTCAAAGATGGCGTTGCGCTCGCGGTAACCGCTGCCCGGAAAGCTCTCCACGAAGCACAGCTATCGCCTACAGATATTACGCATGTCGTTTCCACCACCTGCACAAACAGCGCAAACCCTGGCTTCGATCACTATGTGTGCAAAGGGCTTGGAATGACACAGCCGGTAGAAAAAGTGCTCCTGCATGGAATTGGATGTAGCGGAGGTCTTGCGAGTCTGAGAACAGCGGCCAACTTGGCACTGGGAAGTAGTTTTCGCGGGAGGAAAGCAAGAGTATTGGTCATTGCGCTGGAGATCAGTAGTCTGCTGGTGAGAAGTGAACTGGACAGCGTACATGAGCTCCAGGAGACAAGAATTGGCGTTACGCTATTCAGCGATTGTGCGAGCGCGCTCGTACTGAGTAACGGTATCGGTGGCGAAGATGCCGAGCCTGTGTACGAGCTGTTTGGGTGGGACCACAGGATGATTCCTGATACCGAGCAGGATTTGGGATTTGATGTTGATCCATTGGGTATATCACTCTCTGTTCTTCACCTAACGTCGATGTTAACGAGCCTTGTTTGTAGGTTGGAAAGTCGTCCTCTCCCCTCGAGTCCCAAAACTTGCCGCAGCAGTCGTATCACCAACCTTTTCAGATCTCATCTCCACTCTCCCCAACCTTCCTACGAGCTACAAAGAAGCCTCAGACTTCGATTGGGCTCTCCACCCCGGCGGTGCAACGATCCTCTCGGGCGTCGAGCGCGCAATGAGTATCTCAGCAGAACATATGCGCGCAAGCTACGACACATATATTAACCACGGCAACTCGTCTTCCGCCACCATAATATCGGTCATGGATCGCCTGCGGCAAAAAGACATGGATGAGCTTGCGCCGGGAGGCAAGGTCAAGGATTTTGTAGTTGGCTGCGCATTTGGACCAGGTATTGCTATCGAGATGTGTATGCTGAAGAGGAATCTGAATCATGTGAGAAGGACGCTTGTCACTACGGGAGAGGCGACTCCGCCAGAGACGGAGAGCGAGGGCTCGAGAAGCGAAGGCGAAGCTGAAGAGACAGCAGCGAATATCAAGAGTGCGAAAGAGAAGGGAGTACAGATCAACGAGAAGTTGAATGATGTGCATCCAGAGGTTCCAGAACAGAAAGATTCTTTGAGCGAGGCTCTAAATGGTGTTGATCTGGATTGAGGATGTGGATACGAGGCGAACAGATCAGAAAGGGCACGCTTCGTGGTCCAACATCTAGAGGCTCACGTGTGACTAGATGACTTGATCAGATAATGTGGCGTTTTCAGAAGGTGGGATGACCATAATAACAGGATGAAGGGACGAGATCAGCATTCTGTTTAGATTCGTACAACCAGATAACTTGGTAAGATGGAGAACTTAGACTTACCTAGGTAACAGCACAAATGCAAATAGTTAAACATGGCCACGTGCAGTATTCGTAGATTGCGTTGTTGGCTGTCATTGGACCAGAGAGCACTGTCTAACCCCACGCACGTCAAAGATCTTTCATTACTTCTCGTGCATCTCCGGCGGGCGCTACTGAACAATTTTGACCTTGCCGCCTTCAAGTCAGCCTACCTGACGACACCTCTTTGTGCCTCCTTGGTTTTCGAGGTAGATGCCAAATCACAAGAGACCGAAAATTCCACTACTGAAGACATTTTGACTTCGGTCAGGTTTTCATTAAAGCCTCCGTTTTTGGTTAGTGATATTATACATACAGTCCCAATACTCTTCTCGGGCGTTCTCTCCCCACCGTCCACTTCCTCTCGAGGTATATGAGCTGTGGAGATGGTCCCAAAATCATAGAACTCCAGCGCACCATGCAATACCAAATAATACCCCACGCCACGCCATGCAAATCAGCCCAATGAAGCTGCACTTTTCCGAGTGAATCCCTAAGAAGTATTGGTAGCACAATGCCTATGCGGCGATGTAGTGTACGACAAGGATTAAGCGGAAGGCTCAGAGTCCCATCATCTGCACATCGTCTTCCTCATGCATGTCGTCTCCATCACTATCATCATGCTCATCCACCAGACGCACGACCTGGCTCCCACCAGCTCTCCTATCATGCAAAGCTTCGCTCCGGACCATTTCCTCTTCGTCGTCCTCATCCTCCTCGCCCTCCTCATTAACCAAACCCTCGGTTTCAAGTTCAAGCTCCGCTTCATCAATCCCCGTATCCTCATCTTCATCATCGCTCGAGATGGCAGGTGGTGCCATACCACCCATGCCCTTCAGATCCTGTCCGCCAGCGACCTGCTTCTCCTTGAAAATGTTCATACCTTTCATCTTGCGGAAGCGTTTCTTGTTGAGGATACTGGCGCGGCCTTCTTCAAGGAGTTGGCCTTTCACGGAAGGTGTTACTTGGTTGCCGTTTGAGTCGTTGAGCCAGAGGGGATTGATAATGCCTTTGGGCTTGCCGGCTGGTCGGTTGTGTTAGTTTGGGAGTGGAGGATGATGACTCTCAGGGTAGTTCGAGTGTGGACGGGGGAACTCACATAAATCGGTAGCCTTGGGTCCATCGCCCATATGCCACGCGAAAGGAATCAAGTGCTTCACCTCCAAATGTTCTTTCCACTCCTGCCTCGTCGCAAATGCCGGATGATCATCTAAGACTGTCTTCTCACCATCTGCTCCCTCAATAACTTTCTTCGCTCCGCATTTCGCCCATAGACATGTCACTTTACCGAACTCTTTCTTCTTATGTACGATATGAATGTGTAGACGCAAGGTCTCCAGATTGTGTAACTCGGCTTGGCAGCCTTTCCACTCGCATATAAAGGGGTAGAATATAGGCTCCGGCTGTGGGATGAAGGGCTGGTGCCGGACTTTGAACGGCCGGCCTTTCTTCTTGTACGTAGGCGTACTCGTACCGCTAGAGCTAGCTCGTGCCTTAGCTTTCAACTCCGACTCGACTGTTTTGAAAGGGCGACCTCGCTTCTTTGGCGTGGGCTCTACGCGAGGCTTGTTGCCAACGGGACGGCCACGCTTTTTTGGCACTGTGTCTGCTGGTTTGGCTTCTGCGCCTTTGAGTGGTCTGCCTCTCCTGGCAGCAGATGATGGAGCGCCTGAGGGGTAGGGACGGGAGTTTGCTGCGGAGTACGGACTTGTGCCATAGAACGTCGCTGGACTTGTAGGTAATACTACCTGGAAGCTGGATCTAGGCGATGCCGCGACTTTTGGAGTGCTTGAGAATTGAAGGGTGCTTTGCTGGTAGTGTGAGGGATGTGCAATGTTTGCAGAAGCTCGGAATGGTGCCTTGGCTGGTGGGGGTAGATCGGTTCGGGCACGCCCCTGACCTATCGATGACTTACCTCCATGGATCTGACGGGATGGTTGACTGGGCCTTTCAGGGTATCCGAACCTGCTGACTTGGATTTCAGGAGGTATTTGAAATCCATAGATGCTGGAGTAGGATGCTTTCTGGCTTTCGGACGCTGAAGTGGTAGATCTGTTGTCTAATTTAAGCGAGACCGGCTCAGGGGAGGGCGACAAAAGGGGTCTTGGTGCGTGATCAGTTCCAGGTTGCGATGAAGAACCCTGAGTTCCAAAACCAGGAACACTTGGCCGTTGAGAGACACCATTCGCGGCTGTTGTGCTTCCAATAGAAGCATAAGGCGTTGAGTAACTGGGAGGACGGATTGGCTTGGGAAGAGGGTGGCTGTTGCTTCCTTGGTGCATAGGTTTTGACGAATACTCTCCTCGAGGGTTCGAAGAATGCCCCGACGATTGGTGAGCGACTCTAGATACACTAGACGAAGAACTACCAGGTCCCGAACCAAAGGGAGAACGATAGCTCCCAGCAGCAATACTTTGTTGGCCCGTCGTGCTTGGCGTTGGCATATTGATTAGCCGTAGAGCAAAACCTCCCGGGTCAACAAGATCCCAAGGAATCGTACTGGATTAAAGCTCTCGCTCACTATTTGAGGCCTTCCTTCAGTCCATACAGGTAGTTTTTGAGAGCTTAGGCAGGGTGTTGACTTAAATGGAGCAGGCAGGACATCACGTGCTACCGATATCTGTAATTTACTATAATTAGCATCTCGGAAAAAGAGTGGAAAAGCCATACGTGATTTAAAATGGGAAGCAAAACAATATGCAGCCATAAAAAGAGCAAAATATAATGTGTTGTGGCAAACAGGAGATGGTGAGGGTGGTTAAAGCGTAAAATGAGCCTGAGGCCCACTCCAAACGCCGCGAAATTTAGAAAGAGAACTCACGGATTAAATGAGGAATTGTCGTATTTGGCCAACCACGCCTGGGGCTGCACGAAGACGGCACGCGCTTCGAATGGATGAACAAAAATGAAAAATATAGACGCTCCTTTTGATGCTTCCAGCGATGCCCCGGACGTGAGAGATGAAGGCGCGTCGGGCGTTGAAGTTAAAGCAAACAAGGCGGTCGTGGTTGTAATCTCGCGAGCCTTCTCCGCTTACACCAGCTATATTATGACTAAGCACCTGAAGCTAGTGCGCTTGGCTCAATAATATTTATAAATCATAATCTAAGACCAAGTTTATATTTAAAGTAATCTTTTGATCAATTTATTGTTATTAAAAATGAGAAATTAATAATAAAAATAATACTCTAAGAAAGTATAGTGTTAAAATAACATGGGATAATATGTATTGTTTTTTATAAACTTCCTTAGGTAAAAATAGATGCAATAATTTTATCTAAACCTTATAATTGTGAAAGGTCGCAAAGCTGAATTTGTTCTGGATAAGGTTGTAATAGCACGGTTTAGCGTTAGCTAGCACGTGAGCGAAATAACCACGGATCAGGTGATAACCTCTCTATTAGCGCGAATATCAAGCTGAGGAGCCCTCGATTCCGTGGAGGGCGCTCGAGCCTATATAGACAAATTCCCCGGGCTATTCCCGATTAGGCCTAATTACACTTGACGTAAAACTTGACGTAAACTCCCATAGTAGCGTAGAGCTATTTCCCTTTGCGTATAACTAAGTGGGTAACTGTCGGTAAACCCCTTCAGAGTTAACCGAGCTCTACCGAGTCTTACCGAGCTTTGCCGAGCTCTAGACTCTTCCTAATCGGGTATAGTAAAGAAGTAGTTACCACTACCTTTACAAAGGTAGAAATCAATTCACTTAGAAAATAATTTTAGATCAACTCAGCAATTCAATTGAAGAATCCATTTCTGGATCATATAAAGATAATTAAGCCATATTGTAATCTTCATAGAATAATTAGTCAGTTGAATATCGTTTGTGATTGGTCAGCTTCCAAGCGCTGAAATAATCCTGCGAGCTACGCTAACTCATTTAGGTTTCAGGTTACAGAACGCTACACCAGTAACGCTAACGAATCTCCAGGTAGGCTTCTGCAGCACAACTTTTCACTCCTCTCCTTCTGACCACCTTCCTTGCGGCCTGCAACCAGGTTCTCTATTCATTACTATTCAATCCATGACTTCTTCTCCTTCATAGACTTTGAGCACATTCAGTAAGACAGAGCTCAAAGGCAAACCACGTATCATTGCTGCCGTAAAGCACAACTAAGCCTTTCTACGAAACTGTACTTCGTCGCTTGTTCCCAATCAGGCGAGGTTGAGGAGATATTCAGGCAAGATGGCGTCCGTCGTACCTGCGATGTTTGCTGAAGCGGGATTTGAATGACCTAATGCCGGTCTTGCAAGTGGTTCTGTTTTGGTGATGGTATCTGGTCCCCAGTCGGCCGGAGTTATCATTTGTTTTTGAGGATATAGGTAAGTTCTGTAGTTAATGAATGCGGTGACCTAGCTGTCACCTACAGGTCCTTTCTATCCCGGCAGAGCTAGTCTTTTTCGAAATCTTGTGGTGTCAAGTTACACTAGTGGTGTTGCTGAGTTGTAGGTAGCATTATGAAACTTGACTGAAGACTCGATTGCGTGGCTTATCCAGGATACAACTGTCGAGTGTTAGATCCTAACTACTTCGTGGAGAGTGGTTGAGCACTTGTGGTCAAGACACGTAGAGTCTGTGGAGGAAGCCCTGGCAGAGGAAACGATACGCACTTGGACCTTCATTGATGGTGAGTGCATGTTCATGGGCGTGTCTCGCTGAGGAGTTGTCGATAGAAATCCGACGTTCCTTTCCTACCGCGAGCTTGACGGTGATCTTTTTTCAATTGTAGCATTCTTCGCTCGGCATCCTGCCGATTCTGGTTCAGGAGCATTCTCACCTGCTGATCAGTTTGCTGCTGCACTAGTTCTCGTTCCTGATTTTGTGCATCTTCTCGTCGAAGATGCTGGAGAATCAGCTGTTGGGTCGCTTTAATAGAAGCTATGGGATTATTACAATACGAACTGGGAAACGCAGCAGCCCGTCTTCCTTCGACGTCACAGCAAACGAGCTACATCTCCAACTTTCCCGAGCACTCTTCTGATGCGGCTCGTCCCTTGGAAGAAGTTGTGTGGGATGATTTAATTCCCCTGAAGGAGTGTAATAAGCGGCTGCTGTGTATACTCCTCCAACGGGCTGCTCGACGAAACGGAGCGTTGGTTTCGGCGAGATGGTTGCAGCTTTGGGCTTTTTCTTGTTGCAGTTGCCATTGAGTGGGTTTCCCTTCATGACTTTCGGTATTTGGCCCGTAGTGATATACGACAGCCGCGTGCGGATATCCTTTTTCTCAGGTGCAACAACTGCAAATGTCGAATCTTCCATGTCGTCTGCTTGTTGGACTACTCTCGATTGGCAATCATTTTCAGATCCTTTGTTGACGCGTGCAAGGAGACTTCAAAGGACGTTTTGGTTGGCGATGCACTACTATAGATTTGTCTTCGCACTTGGTATCCGAGATTGCATCATGATGCCAACTATTGGACTTGGTGTTGTAGTTCGCTAACCATAAGTGGGGAGGGTTTGTGGTAATACTGGCAGATGCATCCGTCGATCAGTCAGGGGCTCCGTTGATGGTTCAGAGGACAGTGTCTTTAAAATATATTTGTGGATGTAGACGTGAAATTCAACGGGCTTGAATTGTCGCATTTGTTTATTTATTCAGAAGCAAGGAACCGACCAGTGGGCTCCTTCTTCTCCCGTTTGCATTGAAAATGACAGTTGCTCCTTCTTTTCCCTCCCGTCAAGAGATATCTATAAGCTGACTTCAATATACCTCCACAAGAACCGCGGGGAACAAATTCTCGCTACTTATTCTTTGATGGCTATTTCAACTTCAGAAACGTAGTCTGCTTGCTGTTTGCTGAAGATAAAACGAACACATTAGTAGGTTGTCGTCCCATCAGCCTGTGCCAATTCTATCTCCGGAGCTTTTGGCGCAGGACTTCGAGGTTTCCAGACGCTGGATGACACAAAGACTGCTTCCACGGCCTCATCTGATCGTCTTGGATTGCTGGAAAGTATCTATTTTGACTCTCTCCAACTCTCAATTCATGCCAATGGCAAGACTTAGCCTAGCTGGCTAGGTGGCAGACGCCAGTCAGAACCATGAAGATAGCGGACTTGTCAAGAGGAATAATTCGTACTTTACCGCCTTATCTGGATCTCACTGTGCCTGCTTCGACTACATTACTGTTTGTGGCGGTTGGTGCTTTACTTCATCCAAAAAGTGGTGGTCAGAATCGGGATGGTTCTGTTGTTCTCGTCTCCGTTCTTGCTTTCTTTATCGATCTTGACAAACGCGAGACCAGTGCAAATATTTGCCGCTACTGCTGCGTATGTAAGCCTTCTTGTGTAAAAGTTGAGTATCTTCTGATATGCCCATAAAGCTTAGCTTCGCTTCGATTCAAGTCGTGTTTGTTGGCAGCCCAAGTGGAACGACTTAATGATCTTTTTTGCGTTGGGTACGAAACACACATGCGCCGAATGGGACGAGAAAGCGCCTAGCAGTATACCTGTCCATTAAAAGTGCGGTGCAATGTATGAGAAACGAAATGCCCAGTCTCACGATACGATGTCGGTTTTGCCACTGTCATCAGTTCCAGCGGAAAAATCTGTTCACGGCGTCTTTGGATAATGTTTTATTTTCTGTCTTCATCATTCTTTTATCAGCTTCAAGATTGCAAGTTTGAGTGTCCTCTCTTGTCATTCTAATCAGTTTAGTCAGGGCACGGATCCATCCGAACTCTACAGACACGTTATCAATCAGTTTGAGTTCACGCCATGAGCCCTGGCCCTGCGCATTCCGGTACCCCATGAGTCTGAACACACTGTTTCCAAGTTTTGAAACGCTCATAGCACGTCCCTCTTTGTACTAAATCATCATGTACAAGCAACCCCGGCCTACAAGTATCAGAAGTTTAGTGGGTTATTTTGCTATCTGTCAACCAGCTCGATTGATTTAGACCTGAAAAACAAACAGAACATATTAGCATGGCAGCGATTGACGTAGTTCCCATTCTGCCGCCAAATTATTCCCACAATTCTATTTTAACTTTCCTCACTACCTGAAAAGTTCGAGCGATTATTCCCAAGGATCTGGCATCTGGAATATCTGCACCAGGTCGCCCCATGTCTTCGGTGACAAGGTCAATCCTATCCCAAAGCTGCGGGTCAAAGCGGGGTGGAGATTGTTTTCCAGACGTTCGATGATGTCTGATATGACAAGAACGACGATTGCATTCTCTGCATCAAGCTACTAATGTTTATCTCGTTATCATCTTCACGACCGAAAGCCTATTGTCTGTACCACATGACACTTTGCCACATAAATCCGATGATAAATGTTAAACAGAGCCCACGAGTCATTTGTTGACTTGTAGATGCAGGGTCCTGTGCGAGAAGAACATTCATTCCTACAACGAGAGACTTCCGGAGTTTAATCCTAGATGATGGGGAAGAGTATCCGCAGTGGAGTGAAAGCTTCGCCGCCATGGGCTGATTGTTTCCACATATCCTAGATTCAGGTGCAGTCATCGCTTGGTTTCAACCAGTATCTCCTTGTTTAAAGATGTGTCTCTAATTTCAAACCGGTCTCCCAGTCTTAAATCAAGATTCGCTATTTGCTGCTCTTGGAAACTGTTCAAGAAATAAGTTTCATCATCTTGCTCCCTCGCGACAGAGACTACTTTGGGAAGTAGCACACAATTTCCCTTGTACCTCCGTCTAAAACCATATCGACAGCAGCATGCTCCCGTCGTTGTGACTTGTGAGCTTGCAAGAACGTGAAGAACAACGCAGATGGAGCCTCCTAGTGCCCGAAGCAGTCCAACGATTTCGGTACATCGAATTTCACAGATTCCTGGAAAAGATCACTTGGATCTTCTGCCTTTCTCTCCAATTGGTACCTCCCTCGACGACGCAACTCTGAATATGGCGGACGACCTGGACCAAAAGGTACCCACATTCGAAGATGCAGACACAGCAGCAGAGGCAGAATTCTTCAATCTCCAACCACCACCCGCGTCAGCGAACGATGTACCAATCGAGGATGTTGTCAACCGACTCTTCTCCATCGAACACCTTCACTTCATCTTAGGAGATCACCATCTGTTTTACAAATTCTCAACATTCCTCAATCGCTTCAGACCGAGTCTGGTTCCGACCCTAATCCGATACCTGGAAATGCGCAAAGCGATGAAAGCGATCGAGTATGCGAACGCAGTCGCGAGGTCGATTCGCTGGCCATCGCATACAGATTACTGCAAGTTCTCGCGGGTTCAAGCTGCGTCGACCGATGCTCGATTTCAGGATTATGCAGCTAGAGAACTACTGTTACTCTGCTCGGAAGCTCTCCCGGCTTTCATTACGCACACACTGATCGGGGTCGTTAGTGATTGTGTCGCAAGGGATATAACTGGGCAAGGAATCCCAATAATGCGGGATCTGGTGGGAAATCTGGCTGAAGTTTACTGCCTGACCGACCCATCGGTTCACGATAATCCCATAATATTTGCAAGTGAAGGTTCGTTCTGTTCGGAAGTATACGACCATGGACGTTGACTGATCTACCCTCGCAGAGTTCCACAGAACAACCCAGTACGGCACGAATTACGCGATCAACAGCAACTGCAGATTCCTGCAGGGTCCAGCGACAGACAAGGATACAACTCTGAGGCTGGCAAAAGCAATATCTCTTGGACAAGAATCAAATGAAATATTACTGAACTAGTAAACCCCACCTGCCAAATGTCGTAATATGAAAACATAACTGACATACGCAGTCGCCGAGACGGAACTCCCTTTGTCAGTATGTTCTGGGCAAGCCCGCTTTTACCTACTTCCCACTGTCTCAGGAGTCAGGACTTCTTGGGACACACCTCGGGCCTTTCATGAAACCTTCCTATGAGGCCAATACTAACTCTCCACTGCGTGTAGATCTCCTCATGTGCTCACCTCTCTACGACGACAAAGGCGTAGTTCGCTATTTCATCGGCGCTCAAATCGATGTCACCGGGCTAGTGAGAGAGGGTCTTGGAATCGAGTCCTTCCGGGCCCTCCTTCAAAACGACGAAGCGAAACGCGTGGAAGCGAAGCACCATGCAAGTCACAGAAACCTACAATCCAAATTCTCCGCGCATCACCCGAAGAATAAATCCAGAGAATCTCTCGCCAAGCTCCAGGAATTGAGCACGATGTTCAGCCAAGAAGAATCCGATGTCGCCAGAAGCAATAGCCGTGGAGGTGACGAGTCAACAGAAGGCGGCTCTGTCAGGTCAGGTACACCGAACAGTGTGAAGAATAGAGGGCAATCAAAACGTGTAATTGGCGGTGATGAGGTTGTGGATAATGGTCTCAACTTCTCGCATATGAATATTAGTAATCCTAATCCCATGAACATGAACTTACCAGGAGTCTATAAACATGTAAGCGAGAAGGAAACATTCCGAAATCTCAATCCCTGGATTTGATTCCAGAAAATGTGCTTACGCTGAAAACAGTATCTCCTCGTGCGCCCTTACCCTTCCTTGCAAATAATATTCGTTTCGCCATCCCTCCGCATTCCCGGGCTTTTACGCACTCACCTCTTCACCAAACTCGGCGGTCCAACTCAAACGATCTCAGCTCTCGAATCCGCGTTTCGGGATGGCGCTTCGGTGACAGCCAAAGTACTTTGGCTACCCAAGAACACACACGTCGGCGAGAGGGGACGTGGCCCATCAGAGGTCAAACCTCGATTCATCCGTTGCACGCCTTTGCTGGGAAGCGATGACCGAGTGGGAGTGTGGATGGTGGTTCTAGTCCCGGTAGATGGAGAGCCCATGCATTCTAGTTACGGGACGAGGGAGCCGATGTATGGCTTGGTGGATGAGATGGCCGATGAGAGGAGGCGCCTTGCCGCGAACGGGAGTCGGTCGAGGAATACCAGCCGCGCAGGTTCTATAAGGGCTACTCCGAGTATAGATCTGACAGCAGATGGCGGCTTCGGACTGAAAAGTGTGAGAGGATCTAGGACGGGAATGTCTGTTGGGAGGGTAGGTGCAGGGAGAACAAACGGTGAGCCGGATGATAGGCATCTTTATGCCGAATATCTGAGGAGTTCATCGAGTGCTGGGAGTCGAGAAGGAGGGACGCCGAACACTAGGAAAGAAAGCTTTGCCATGTAACTGGAGAACTTGATACCCCATATGTAAAAGCTGACACATCAAATGTCCCCTCGAAAAATTCCGTTCACATCTCACTGCGGACTTAGAATCGACGACTAACACAGCTGGATGTGTAGTTAAGGTTATCGATGATGCCAATAGTAGAGCAGCAGCTAAGTTATTATTATTGTTGTAGAAACATAAGGCGAAGAATGATGTTAATTAACCTTCAATTCCGACGATTACTTTGAGGGGCCCACGTATTGTAAGCCCTGGTACGTTCACTCACCAACCTCTGAAAGAATCTCTACTTAGATCAGCTTTGGACCCTTGTTGAAAATATTTTTGGGGTCGTAGCGCTGCTTCAACTCTTTAAGTCGAGGATAGTTTATGCCGAACATTTTGTCGCCATCAGAACCGAAACCTAGATGACCGTCAGTCTATGAAGCTGCGTATGCGATATCATACCGACCATCGTAATTCATATACTCTCCAATTCCATCTTCTGTTACGGAGTCGACTTCTCCCACGGACACCATCGCTAATCCGATCTTTTGGAACTCCTCCTGTACCAAGTTTGTCCAGCGCCGAGCCTTATACCTCAACTTAGCATCAATAATCTGCGGTATCACAGTAGGGAGTACGAAAATGCCATTTAAATCTGCTCACCTTCCCACGACAAACATCGTCTAGTTCTTCATTTGTCCAGGTCATCACAAATACCAGATTTCCGTACGCGCCTCGATTCGAAAATGCCGTGGCAGTCTGGGGTATCTTGATCGGATTTTTGAAAGGATAGTATTCTATGAGAGCAGTTGAAGTGTCGGCATCCTTGTGGTCGGACACAAAGTCGGTAAACTCGTCAAGGATCGTTTTGACTGTACTGAAATTAAGGGGCACCATGAAAGCCGAGCCTTTCATCGATCTGCGAAAGCCATGGGAAAGGCTATCGTTCATATACGCGTTCATGGCCGAGTAGGGCATCTCACCCATTTTGAGGACGGTCGGGTTCAGCTAGAAGAGAAAGTCATAGAATGACTTTCCAACAGCTTCTCGTCCGTTGTAAAAGCAAACTGCTAGTAGGGAAGGGGTATCTCCAAAGGCCGGAACCTTGGAAAAAGCAACGAGGAAGAGAGCCTTCTCATCGCAGATATCTAGAAACTCATTTCCGTAATCGATCACAGCAGGAAGCTGATCGTTCTCAAACCTGAGCATTGCCGCCCAAACAGGATCTTTCTGCTCGTGAGCTCTGTACACGAAGGAGGTAGCTACCTAGAACGGATCAGCGAAGAATGATTCAGGGGTACCAAGCGAGAGATGCAGACACGGAAGCAAGTTCCGGCTCCTCGAGCGGTCCAGAACAGATCCATATTCTCCTTCTCGGAGGCAGTGACGATTTGACCATCAGCAAGCACGTATTCCACAGCCAGGAGGTTATCAACCACAAGACCATGAGCTGGAGTCAGATAACCGTAGCCTCCACCCAAAGTCAGTCCGCCCACCCCAGTATCTGTCGGGAACTTCAGCTCTCTGAACATGTCCATCTAATTTACCGGAATCTTGGTTCTGGATAACAGGCAAGATCTTACTCACGATTAACTGCGCCACCTACAGCAGCAAGTCCATACTTCTCAGCTTCTCTATCAATATCCCTCCAGAGCGCTCCTCCTTGTGCCGTGATGGTTTTCGATTCTGCATCAACGGTGACTCTCGATTCCTAGAAATTTTAGATCTAGGCACAGTTCCGACGCAATTGGGGATGAACATGACCTTACATTCTGGAAAGATCAATCGACACACCGCCGTCAGAAGATGATGAACCACTTGTTGCGCGGCCTCCTCCACTGATAGCAAAATCTAGTCCATGTCTATTACAAAAGAGAATGGATTGTGAAACATCTTCAGCACAAGCGGGAAGTAGAATAAAAGACCAACACCCGTCAGATTGGTACTCCAGGTAAACTCGGCAGAATGCGGATCATAAGATATACTTACGGCTGGCTTCTCTGCAGCTTTTGACCATCGCTTTATGTATTTATCATACAATTCAGAGCCAGGAAGAGCGACAGCAGCTGCATTTGACATAGCGTCCATGGTGCCATGATTGGGGATCTCGAAGCTCTGCATTCTGAAGGCCTCTTCAATCTTGATGGTAGTGTTGCAATAAGTAGTCGAGGTTGCTAGGTGGCAGATGAATGAAAGCAAGCAGTCTATATGAGATGATTAGCAGATGAGAGACCATGAGTTACTTGAGAGGTCTAAGTCGTATGCAGAGGTTGGACTGGGGAAGATAGCTTGAGAAGGGGTGCCTGCCTCGTTCGTACCCCATGAGAGGTTCTTAGAGTGGAGAGAAGTGAGTAGAGCACGATGAGATGATGTGGAGAAAGCGAGTCTTACAACCTAGTCTGAAGTCTCTGTCACATGTGTGCGACCTTGTATTCATATGTTCTGTTACCAGTGTTCACGAAGTTCAGTCCTGTTCGCCTTCGAGGTGTAAGGACAAACAGGATTGCCGATGGTGTTCCCAGATGGAGGTGAAGATTCGAAGTCGTACTTGCCTTGTAATCGCACATCAAGCGGGACTTGTATGTCGTACTCGGCCATTTAGAAGAAATCTCACTCCCGACCAGGACAATGCAAAACGTGACAAGAGGCGACATTGTAAATATGCAAGGACCCAGAACCGGAAAATGAAAAATGAAATGCTATCAGCCCACTGCGAGCTGGGTCGATATCGAACAAAAACAATCTCTGAGAGGACAAGCTGCCACTCAAGAACACTCCTCCAAGACTTTGAAGACTCACCAATAGACCATTCACCATGTTATCTCTCTGCATCATGGTGGCTCCTTTCATGTCAACGCTCAGGTACGAAGATAACGATAACTGGGCAATGCTTGTATCGTGGCTAGCAAGCCCAACAAATTCATGAGTCTGAACTTTTATCAAAGTCCACTGGCAGACCTGTCTACCTTGGGTAGTCAATCTCCAATGATAAGAAACATGTGATTATTCTGTGCTGTTGACGGGGAAGGGATGCAGCGAGGAGAAGGTCGAGAGAGCTGGGAGGTTGTGAATGCTCTGTGCTCTGTGCTCTCGTGTGTAAGTGGTGACATCAGCTTGCAGGGATTCGCGTCGCGGGGCTCCGACGCGTTTCGTTTCTCTGTACAATTACCTTGGTGCTCTACTTGCTCTACTTCTTGAATATATAAACAATAAATCCGCACAAGCCGGGTCTACAGACATGCCTCCCCGCAAAAAGGCTACTCGTCGCTCCAGCGGAACCTTTGATCAGATGCAAGGGTCCTCAGCACCAGCACTGACCCAAACCACACTACCATCTCCCAGAAAGCGCATCAGTGCTCCCCCTGATCGAGTGTATAAATCGTCCACACCCTTGACGCAAAGCAAGCTACCGGTACCAAGAAAGCACATCAGATCATATGGAAAGAAGACATCGGTTCGGATTCCGAAGCCAACGAAGCAGGAAACTCTTACACAGATGGACTATCTGAGGATGAGAAACCCACCTCCATTGGGTGACGACGAGCAGGACCCGGTTGAGGTCGAGGAGCCAGACGGAGACTACGAGAAGCAGGCAAAGAAACGGAAGAACAAGCGGAGGAAGACTGCAGGGGATGAGCCGGACAGCACACCATCCTTTCATACGCAGCGTCTTACACAGATGGAATGGAGTTTCACATCCGCACCAGACGAAGAAGAAGATCCTTCTATATTTGACGTCCCAAGTTCGTCGCAAACAACTCTACCCACACTGTCCTCGAGGAAGAAGACCGGAGAGTCATCTAAGGCCAGCGCTGCAGATCCACAAACATCTCCAATAAACGAGATGCCGCCGCCACAAACACCTCGACGAATCCTGGCGACAGAAATTCCTTCGTCACAATCCCCAGCTACTCCCGTCTCGGTTCGTTCTGGAAAGTTCTTAGGACGATCTCCCTTGAAAGAGACACCTATTAACACCCCAATACCTTTCAACACTGGTCGACGACCCGAACTCAGCCCTGAAAAGCTTCCCAAGCTTGAAGTCAAAGATACTTATGATTCGGTCGATACAACTCAATTTAGCCGAGTTCCTTCTTCGCCAGCCAAACGGCCAAGTCCCGCGAAGAGTGTTCGATTTGTATTCCCTGAGGATGATGAGATTGAAGAGCCGCTTTCACCAATGGTGAAGAGGAGGTCGACTCCAGCTAGAAAGTCAGCAATGAAAAGAACGGTGATTTTGGACTCTGATGCAGAGAGCGATGATGAAGTTGATGAAGTTGATGAAGAAGAAGACGAAGAGATAGCGCCAGGACGAGAATTTGACAATGAGGTTGTAGGATCCCAAGAATTGGGCAATGATGAGGACTATCGTGTCTCCGAGTCTGAATTATCGTGCTCCGTAGAGCTCGGTCTGAGTAGAGACACATTAGATCAGGAACATCACACCGCAGAGTCTCCAGAACTTGGAAATGATGAACTTGTTGAAGACTATGCGGCTCAAAAGAGCCAGGAGGAGGAAGCTGAGCCAGAAACTTGCTATGGAAATATCGGCCTGGAGACCCAGATGGAAGCTGACAGAATACTGGGCTCTTCCGAGCTACGCCACATGACGAAGGAACCAGAGGTTCCACAGGATGAGGATGACGACGACGAAGATGAGAATGAGGAGGAACAGGAGGATTCTGAGATACAACACGAGACCGCTGTTGAGAAAACGCAAATCATGGAGAGCCAACGCCTTTCCACGCAACATGCTCACTCAATGGGTCCAAGAACAGCCGAATCTGACGTCTTTGTCTCGATGCACCCCGCACATGTCACAAATATTGTCAGTGGTGCAAAGAATCACGAATTCAGGAATTGGGCATTCGCTCTTCACGTCCGTCGGATATGGATTTATGAGATGAAACCTACCTCTATGCTAAAGTACATGGCGGAGATCGGTCCAGCCAAGAAACCAGGTGAATTGGCGGATGACATGGGGCTGGGTAATGTTGACTTCAACAAGAAAGCTTCTACCTGGAGGGCATACGAGATCCTGCAGGTTTACCAGCTCGCAGATCCCAAGCATCTGCCAGAGTTAAAAGAGAATGGATGGCTGAAAGCACCGCCGTCGAAAACTGCACGAGTTGCACCTGCTGTGATAGACGAGCTCATGGCCAACCTTTTGCCACCATTGTTCCTTGATCGCTACAAACCAGAACCGGCTGCTCCAGCTTCATCATCAACAGATACGCAAGAAGTCGATGAGCAGCTTGTGTGCACGATGAAGCAGTTTACACAACCTGGCGACCTGTCAAAAGCATCTCCCGATCAAGTTGACGAAGAGGTCATGTCCGATGAAGAAGGAGACGAAGACATTGAAGAGAGAATACCGTCCTCCCCATCACTGCAAGCCACTCCACGGCCTGCCCCAAGATCCATCCGCCTACCACCGCCATCACAAGCGACGACCGTTGATTTGAGCCAAACACAAACACCAATGCGGCATTCGCAAGGCGAGATTATTTGGGAGTCTCCCGCACGACCCGTCAACAGCACACCGGTGAGCTTGCCGATTCCTCGACACAACTCCTATCTAGAAACACAAGGGCATGAATCTCACCCTACGTTTTCGATGTCTTCGTCCCAGATACTGTCAAAGACTCAGCTGTTGTCGGATAGTTTATTACAGGATACTGTGCCGGGTCCGCCGGCTTTCATTCAGGATTCGGATGATGAGGATGATTGATTTGGTGGGTGTTGGATCGTGGAATATGAGTATCAGGCTATGAGGATAGGATATTATGAATTTGGGGTATATAGTGGATAAGAATACAAGATTATCACACAGAGCGGTAATTACCCCAAGTAATGCTCGCTCCTCCAGACTCCGATTCCCATTATATCATTATTGCGAACGAGTCCTCTCCTTGCCGCCCTCACGATCCAACCCAGTTCCCCTTCCCTCCGCTTCCTCCCTCCTCAAACGCTCCAACTCTCCCTCCAACCTCTTCATCAACCTCTCCAGCACCCATTCTGCCTCCCCCTTCCCTCCCATCAACGGACTCCTATGCCCCATCCAACTCCACTCCAACTTCTCCCCATTATCCTTCCCCTCCACTCCCCCCACAATGCCGCCGCCGCCGCCCAACCCCTCCCTGTCCGCCTCCGGCTTCCTCACCGGCCGCCTATGCGTCTCCTCGCTACTCTCGTCTTCACCAATGAGTTTCAGGTACCAAGCCCATTCTTCGAAGCTGTATTGCTTTGGTGGTGAGCTGTTGAGGTGTGTCATGACTTTGCTCATTTCGCGAACGAGGATGACGTGGTATGCCTTTTTGCTGGAGGGTAAGTTGGTGGGTTTCTTCGTTTTCTTGCCGCTCTGAATTCTGGAATCTGATCCGTTGTTTTCGCTTTCATTTTTCGCTGAACCGTCATTTTCACCACCCCTCTCGCTCTCCCCCAACAAGCCTGGCGGCATCTCCTCCTCGTCCTCCTCTCCTTGAACATCCTTCATCTCAACACCTCCGACCCTCCCCCTAGTAGCCTTCCCAACTCCCTCCTTCACCGTAGCCAGCACACCCTTCTCCCCCGGCAACACCGTAAAGTTGCCCACCCATAGCGTCAAATCCCTAATTCCTTTCACAATCGTGTCGCCCATGTTACTAATCAGAATCGTCAAACTCGGCACAGCAAGTAAACTCCAGAATACAAAGAACGCCTTCCCGGCATTGGAGACAGGGTAGATATCGCCGTAGCCGATGGTCAGGAGAGACGTGTAGGAGAAGTAGAGGGATGCAAAGTAGGTCCATGATTGAGGGTGGGATTCAGATGCGTAGAAGATGGCGGCGCCGGCGAACCAGAGCGCCATCCATACGGTTGCGGAGATGGTGAGGGATGTCCAGAGGCGGCGGGTGTGTGCGCGTTCTTGGATGCGGCGCATGAGTGTGAACTCTCGTTCCCGGCGTTCGCGCTCGGTCTGAAAATTTGGTTTGGATGCGAGGGTTTTAGTGGAAGCGCGGGATAGAGGTTGAGGGTTGGTGTTGGAAATTCCATTGGTGTTGGTATTATTGTTCTTATGATTATTTTGAGGATTTTGGTTTGAGGAGATGGGTTTCAAGACGGCGGCTCTGTCTTTCTTTTCTAGTTTTGCGATGAGTCGGCGGCGTTCTTTTTCGACCATTCGAGCGCCCATTTTCACTTTTCCACGCTCGAGGACTAGGGACCGGATAGATCCAATTACTAGACCTAGAATGACTTTAAGTTATAATGTTAGTTCCATTTCATCTACAGTGATATAAAGTATAGAAAGGGAAAGCCAAGAGAAACGTAAACATAGGTCCACACTTAAGCGAGCAAATCTTGTTGAGAGAAATAGGGGGAACTTGGATGTATCACTTACTGATTCCACCGATCGCAAATGGGAAGAGTAATCCTCTCCCTGTATGTGTACTCGGCGAAAAGTCCCCAATACCCACCGTCAACAGAGTAAAATCCGCCCAATAGACAGCATCCAAGAAATTCCAGCCCTCAATATGCGCAAATACCGTTGCGCCACACAGAAGATACACCAGGAAACTGATAGTCTGTAACATCAGCGTGCGTTGGCTCATGGTCAGCTGAAATTCCTTGTCGTAGTGGCCTTTTGAAGCGCCCCAGACGGTGATGAGCATTAGTGAGGCGACGAGGAAGTAGAGGCTCGCGGAGAAGATGGCGTAGTAGAAAGCTTGGCTGAAGGCGTGAGATGCTTTGGGTTGGATTATTAGGGGGCCGGATACGCAGGCGCAGAGGCCAATGAGTGCGAACGAGGATATGTACCTAGATGTGTAAGTATTGGGACGGTTGTTTCCGAGGAGGACATACCAGCCAATGATTGTTACTGGCTGAGCAATAGAAAAGCGTACTCGTCTCGCCATGTTCAACAGTAAGAACAGGTTCGATATCAGGGCAATCGCTAGTTGAGCTGCATTGATACCGATCAACCTGTTCGAACCTGTATATCAGTAAGAATGCTCTCTTGTGATTATATGTCGAGAAGTTTGGATATGTCCTACCATTTCGGATCAGGCAATCTCACACCGTCAGCTTCTGATTTACCTGGCGGAATCTCTTGTCTCCAAGGCACAACGAGAGCACATATACTGAAAGCCGAAGCCATAGGACTACAAATACCGTCAGCCTTCCACCACCCTCACTTAACACAAAGCTCGGCAAACTCACCCAAACGTTCCAGCGATCAACGGAAAAGCAGTACTTGCAAGCCACCATCGACTAGGCGCTAAAAACTCCTGTTCCTCCTCTTTCGTGTCATTTCCTTCCTCACCCCTCTGATTCTCGACATCTTTCGCATCATTTGAGATGGGCTCGTCCAGACCTGGATCGTTCATATTGTCACAACCCCGAAAGCTCTCTTCCTATCTTGGCATTTCCTGTGTAGACCAGATCACATCTAATGTCTGTGTCGATGTCGTGCTTCGAGAGCAAAACAATTATGCATGTAAATAAATAGAACACTGTGCAGTGAGGACAATGAAATCAGTAGGTGCAACCTGCCAAGACATGTCACAGCAGTTTGCAGAGAAGGTGGATGGACGGGGAGGTCAGTAGTTAAGAGATCCACGCCGGTTAGGCTGGCGCTAATGAAGCTTGTCTTGTCTTTGCATGTGCATTTCAAGGTTCTGCTTGGATATTAATGGCTATTACGAGAGTTATTGCAGGGTCCTGAATTTCTGCTTGGTACAGGAGGTGCTGGTGACGTAGTTTGGCCTATTCCTTGGAATCCGGAGACGGGCTGACGGGATGGGTGGTGGGGATCAGGGATTACGCGGGACATTCCCAGGTTTCTTGCTTCTGCTTCCATTACCTTAGCAACTTCAGCCTCGATCCAACAAACTGGCTGTAGAGTGCAATAAAGACGAGAAAGAGACTGTTCGAGGGTGGAAATTACTTATGATCGAAAAGTAAGTTCACTTGAGATGATTAGTTCGGTGTGTAGCTACCCCTTACGCTAAGCAGAGTTAAGATCCCAAGCTACAGTAAGTGGATAATTGATGCAGAAGGTAAGTTCAAGAGGTCCTGTTTCAAAAGTTACTGAGGTACCTACCATCTGTTCATTCATTGCCTTCATTGTTCTCTCACCACAACCTTACTCTCTGTTGTCCTCCGAATGAAAGAGCCAACAAGTAAGCCTTCGAAGCTTTGCTCTCCATGGGCATATCTGCCATTCGAAGGGAAAGTGGTTTTTTTGTTCTTAACAAAAGAAGTCATACAATGCCATTTTAATGGTCACTTGCCTTCCAATTGGAAGTTTGAAGGAAATACGTACTATATCACTTTGCAGTTGCTGAGCGCTGATATTACTCGCTTTGCCTCTGTTCCATAAGCGAGAAATAAATCAGCATTTCTTTACATTGAACGTATTTACAACAGCCTTGCTCACAATCGCATCACATTGAAAAGAAGTCCATGTATATTAGAGAATAATGGGGGTCAATTTTTTCATTATCTGCCCGTCTACTTGTATTAAGCGCTAAAGTCTGGATGTCTCTCCTCCAGCGACCAGCAGTAAGCATGGTCAAGGTGGAAAATTGGGAAGTGGCAAAGACTCCGAGAAAGGGTCAGAGACAGTGCAAGTCTCCTTCTTCTCTCCTAGCTTAGTAGTCATACTCCTCATCTTTGTGATCTCCACCAGCTCTTTCCCTCTCCTCCCTGGCCTTTTTGGCTACACAACCATCGCACCATCCAGGCACATCCTGCAAGTTACGACTTGGCAACCAGCCCTCTGTGCATTTCTCATGGTTGGGGCAGATTTCGAAACCAATCCATATGCGATGGAGGCATTGAAGCCAAGTTCGATACGTGTGGACGCACATCTCGAGTCTTTGTGTGGTTCTTTGTCGGTTGCTTTGTCCAATTGTTCGAGTGCTGAAGGGAGTATGCGGACTCGAGAGCGCGACTGATTTGGAGACGATGAAAATCAGAAGGCTTGTGCTCTATGCGTGGTGCTCTTATAAGTGCTTTCCTGTGGGTGTTTGATGTAGAGAAGTGCTGTTCTGAATGTGCTGTTTTTACCTTCTGGTTGTTCGAGCTCCTTTCGAAATGATCTCGAAGATGAGCTGTTCGCGCATCGAGAAATCTCCTCGATGTTGACACCATCTCAACGCGAGGAGGCCTTCTTATGAGTCTGGAGTCGCGCGAGATGTTACCGAGACTCCATTCACCATGTCTGTTTACCTTTGTCGAGATATGGTGAGATCGCCATTCACCCTTGGCCATTTTATCAAGTATTATCGCAATACCCTCACGAGTCAAGGTAATGAACAATAGCAGAAGCTGGAAACAAAACCATGAACTGATTGCACCATGAATACTTTCAAATTGCGTTAAGTGTGCAATCAGATCAAAGATATTTGTGACTGTCGTTAGAGATCAACGCTTTCTAGATCTGCCAAATGTAAGTTTTAGCTACGACCCCATTGAGACGCATTGAGCTAATGTATAGTACAAGTCGGCCATCTCCCGGTATCCATAGTTGCCCAGATTATCTTGTTCAACTCCCAAATATGCAGTTGTTGAAGCCAGATCTATCCTTAGACCTTGTAAAAGCAGAAACCGACGTAAAAGCTGGCTGCCTCCATTTCCTCATCACTGACAAGTAATGCACCACGGCCTCTCTCTCTGACACCCATACGTTCGCTCAATGGGCCCAGAATCTCATCATCCTTCTCCGTCCGCCAAATCTCGTCAAAGGTCTTGTGATATTGCATCTCGAGGTTGTAGTCCTCTGCAATAGCACGAAAAGCCTCCCATGGAACAACATACTCGGGAACCTCTTCGACGGCTTCGTGCAAGAAGAAGTTATACTTCCAGCCGAATGGAGGCCGGAAAATACCATCGGCCGGTGTCTTTCCTGGGAAACGGACTCTATAGACCTCATTGCCCCATTCTGCACTCTCCTCGGCTTCACCCTCCTCGATTTCACCATCATCTTCCTTATCCTCTTTCTCTGCTTTCTCTTCTGGCTTTGTACCATTCTCCTTGTTCTTTTCTGCCTCAGCTTTGGCGGCGATTCGTGCGTTGAATTGCTCGACTCTGCCACTGAGAACATCAGAATTTGGAATAGTTCCGATAAATCTGCCGCCCTTCTTAAGAGCTCCTGCGACATTTTTGAGCATTTGTCGAGCCTTTTCTTCGCTCTCGAAAGCATAATGCATGCAGAACATCATGCTGACAACATCGAACCCTCCTCCACCAAATCTCGAAGGCCCACCAGACCCATCAAATCCAACATCTCGAACCAGCGAAACTTTCTCAATGGTATCTCCGAAGCAGTCCTGGACGTAGAATTCGCCTTGGAACAATCTTTGCTGCGGTCTGTTGTTGTATCCACCTCGACCCCCGCGACCTCCACGACCTCCTCCGCCACGGCTTGACATTTGTCGATACCTCTCTTTGGCCTGATCAATTGAAATGTCTGCTGGATCTAAGCCAACATACAGCTCGACTGGCTGTGGTGCCTGCTGCCACTTGCCCAAATCACCCCCCTTTCCACATCCGATATCTAGTACCAGCAAGCCTTTCGTAGCGGAGGGCCCTTCTGCAAATACCATGCCTCCGCGCTCTTGTACCGGAGGAGTCCAGTCCTCAGCCGGAGAGAACTTTTGTATAATGGTACTCTTGACCCAATTGTTGAAGCTTCGAAGCCCTTTAATTCGACTGTCCGTTTTGCGCCAATCCCGACCTCGCTCTGGTACTGCATTGTAATGTTGTTTGACAGCATCGTGGATACCCTGCTGAGCAGCTAAAGCCTCAAGTTCCTTCTCGCGCTCGATCTGCTTTTGTCGAATATGCTCGCGCTCTGCATCTGTGATACGAGCTCGCTGGCCTGGGCGCTTCTGCTTTCGAGGTGGGGGAGAGGGTGATCTTTGGGGTCTGGAGGAGCCTGGAGCCGAAGGCGATCTTCTTCGAGAATCAGAGCGATTGTCTACGCGCTTCGAAGTTGAATTCGAGGGCGACCGTGAGCGTCTGCGTTTTTTGGCCGGTTCGAGTTTGGTGGCATCGAAAAGCTGAGGTTGCTCATCGACAGCAGATGTATCTGCACCACCCGCCATAGTTGCTGCGTAATTGAAAGGCGAGACTCCAATTGTTCAAACTCGAGATGCAAAAGATGGCAAGCTGCTTGGAAGCCAATGTTGTGGAAATATTGTTTCGTGTGTGATGAACAAAGAATTTGAGTTGTATTCACCTGCAGGACAATCGACCCCAGAAAAGCAAGGCCCCAGCCTCGCCTCGCGTACGCTAGGTGCCTGGCGCTGAATCTCAAGAGGCTCGCGAGCTTGAGCTTTGGAACCAAACAGATCAATAACTCATCCATCCACCGAAATAGACTACCACCTCCCTGAAGAGCAGTCTACAGTCACTTCACCCCTCCGAAACCTCAATTTCTCCTGTCAAGATGGGTTCTGATCCTCAATACGCGAAGTATCCACTTCTACCCATTGCCCAGCACATCTTCACTCTTACCAATCCCTCTGCGCCAAAACCAGTCCAGCAAACGTCGTTGAAGTCTCTCCAAGACGCGATCTCTGAGCATAAGATGGCACCTCTGTATCGGTACTTAGCACACCCAACGGAAGGTATCCTCAACGAGAGTGGTGTCAGCTCGTCGAAGTCAACAAAGCCCTTGGGACGAAAGCCAAGCGCGGCTGGTATGGTGGCAAGCAAGCATTCAATACCCAAGGTCGATCTGCCATGGGATGATTCATTGTACGAAAAGTTAAAGAAGGAAAACGACGAGGAGCTGGAGGGCTTCAAGAAGGAAGAAGAGGAGGCTGCGGAGAAGGCTGGCGAGACTGAGGTTCAGGCTGCGAGAGGAAAGCGTGCAGAATTCTGGGCACGAGTTGGAGACAAGGTGGGGGATACAGTTCTGCTCCAAGGCTTGGAAATATGCTAATGATGAGCGAATGTAGGATCGTGCAATCGCAGCGTATGAAGAGGTATTCGAGAAAACCGGTGTCTTGGGAACAAAAATTGATATTGTACTTGCTATAATCAGGATGGGTCTATTTTACGGGGACAAGTTACTGGTCAAGAAGCACGTTGATAGAGCAAAGACATTGGTTGAGAGTGGTGGAGATTGGGACCGAAGGAATCGATTGAAGGCATACCAAGGTCTTTACCTCCTCACAGTCCGGTCATACGCTTTGGCCGCTCCCCTCCTCCTCGACAGTCTCTCAACCTTCACCAGCTACGAACTGTGCAGCTACTCGTCACTTGTCGTCTATTCCGTACTCGCTGGGTCCGTCTCGCTAAAGCGCGTTGACTTCAAGTCAAAGGTTGTAGATGCGCCAGAGATCAAGGCAATTCTTGGGGATGGCGAGGATAAGCTTCTGGCTCTGTCGGGAGCACTCTCAGCTGGCCCTGGTGCTGATGAAGAAATGAAGGATGTCTCATCTGCAACTCCTGCCAAAACAGCTGTAAACCTCACAACGCTGGGAAGCGATCAACCCGAGGCTGAACTTGCTGTCGATTTCTCGCCACTTGCTCAACTCGTTGGTAGCTTGTACACCGGAAGCTATCGATCATTCTTTGGAGCTCTGGCTGCTGTTGAAGTCAGCTTTCTGACCCAGGATCGCTATCTTTACGAGCATCGTGGCTGGTTCGTCAGAGAGATGCGTCTCCGCGCTTACCAGCAATTGCTGCAAAGTTACCGTGTCGTTGGTCTTGAAAGTATGGCCAACGATTTCGGTGTCTCTGTTGATTTCCTGGACCGGTAAGTGTCTATATTTTGCCAATAGTTGCGTCATGCTTACGATCATAGGGATTTGGCCAAGTTCATTGCCGCGGAGCGCATCCCATGTACTATTGACCGTGTAACCGGAAAGGGTATCATTGAGACCAACAGACCTGACGATAAGAACAAGCAGTATACCGACGTTGTGAAACAGGGTGATCAGCTCATCACCAAGCTTCAGAAGTACGGGCAAGCCGTAAGACTGAGAGGTAGCGAGCGAGCATAGATGGTTTATCGATACTGAGCAGCGACAGCATGCATACTCCGCGTTTGTACGATATCATGGCGGATAGAGAAGCGCCTTCACACGAATCAATCATGATCTTGTGCTACCAATTGAGCTCTTAAGAAGGGTAGTGGAAGTCCCATGTGAAATCATTGCAATGGCAAGTGCCATAACAACCATACTCAGTCCTTTCGCACGCCATTGCGTTTTCTGTGACAAGGGACGAGTGCTTTTCCTCCATTAAATTGTATTGACTACGGAGTATTGCATGTTGGGATAGTGCTCAAGCTGTATGAAAAGAGATCAATGAGGAAAGATACCCGGGATGACAGACAACTGTCCGACCGAACTCGTGTAAGAATCACTCCAGAGAAATAACTTCTTGTTGGAGTGCATCTGCGCTGAAAGCCAAGCGCTGCTTTCTCAGGAGATCGCCTTCGGTTGCGATTTGTCCCGCTGATCCGTTCTTTATTGCTTTTGGCTGCATCGCCATTAGCTGCAACGTCACCAGTTGTAACTCCCTCTCAAGCGTTGGGAATATGCAAAGGCTTCTGATGTTTGCGATTTATCTTCTCGAACGCCACTGTCATGTATCCTTACCCCAGTAACGCCGTCCATGCAGCCCAGCCAAAGACGAATTCCTCAGCTGTCATTCAAACACCAGTCGGCCTGCCAAATTCTCAACGATACAGACTCCCCTCATCAGCCTGAAAGCCTACAATATAATTCCTTCCCTGCCAAGCTATTGGGATCAAGGTCAAAATATTCGTGAATGGCGTTCCATCTTTCTTGAAGTTCGTAAAGCGTACTCGGGACTCGTGAGCTGTGCTGATATTGTGCTTCACTTCCCTCTTAGCAACTGAATTGCCTTGGTTGACATTCCTGTCTGAACAGTATCGTCCAGGCGGGTGCTGCAGAAATCGACAGTTCCGTCCGATGACTTCCTGTTCGCTATACCCCGTGAGATTCTCGAAAGGTTCCGAGCAGTACACGATTGGGTGGTCTGGAGCTTCTGCATCACAGAGGACGAGAGCTACGGCACTATCGACACTGCCGATCTGAATTTGAGGATTTGGTCTGTTATATACTTGAAGCTATGGATTTTGGTGAGCGAGAACACCAAGTTACTGGCTCGAAGATCAGGGGTTCTCGGGTCCCAGGATTCTCGGGTCCCAGGATTCTCGGGTCCCAGGTTTCGCAACGATGGAATAGGCTTCGACACAGAGTGGATAACATAGAAAGACAATAAAGAACATACCAATACGTCCAGCATATCAAATCCGCTCGGTGCGTACACTCCTTGAAAGATGAGCGGGTCATTCACCGGTTGACTGTCGGCCCATTGTTGATTCGAGTATGAGCCATTCGATGACGAGCTCTCTCCAGCATTGCCATTCGAGTTCGAGCTCGTACGTCCTCCCTGCGAAGCTTGACTAGCATAAGTTCGAATCTACAAACAACCAACAGATATTAGTAACAATCACGTGACTATTAAACAAGCCTGGACCAGGCCTGTCTAGAGTAGGTAGGCAAGGTTGAAGCTGGAGCCCTCACCTCATTTAACCTCCTCGCCTGCTCCTGATACTCCGAATTCATGCTCAGCCGATGAACCAGAAGTACTACGAGTCATAGAGCGACGACATAGCTGTATGGTCGAATTCGGACGCTTGTATGTGATTGCCGCGGCATGAGAAAGCCGTTTAGTTTTGTGTTTTCATCAACTACTTAAGCAACCCATTTCTTCATATCAAAGACGTCAACAGGGCCGTTTTTAGTTGGTTCGATCCAGAGAGCGTTTTATGGAACTGCCGATCGCGAAAGATAGAGCCCACTTGGAAGTCTGGACAACCCGGCGCCCTCGTGTGCACCGGCATATCAGTCTCACTGTCAGACCGGGTAATTGTATGGGTTCGCGATAGGAACCGATTCCGGGACAAAACAATGTGCCGTATTTTCTGCGATAGAGGCGCATCACGTGAACAGCAATAGAAATATCGTGAGTTTTTGGCGCATGCAGACATGCAGTAAGTCCCCGATCCAGCTCGGGAATGAGTTCTGTTACTTAGTTTTGTCACGTAGGTCTTGCGTCCGATACACGTATTGCCTCAATCTCGAGACGGCTGCCACGTTTCAATGTCAATGATTGCAGTTCTGGCTTGGCATGTCGCGATAAATCGAAGAGCCTTACACTGACTACACACGATCTGATCTTGAATTTACGACTGAAATGAAGGCTGCTGTGACCCTGCTTTAGACGTCCTTTCTACGTCCGTATTGAGAATAGCTGTTTCTCATCCCTCGATAAAGAGGGGTATCCTCGACAGACTTCCTCCCGTGGAGCCTCGTCATAGAATGCCTATGGCCGGCTCCTCAATCCGGCTCGAGTCGCTTACAGATTTCAGAGAATGCAAAAACTTTCACATGAGCCTCCAATAGAACCAAACGTCCCGCACGCAAGCAATATTGGTGGCGGTAGTTTCTATGTGTTATTGCCTTGAAATTTGGATTGAGGCTTTCTGCAGAGACTCTCAATGGTCGTTCCTGTCAAGTAGATGGTTATGCTGTGCTAATTTAGAAGGCATAAGCGGGATATGACTGAATGTCGACTGGTGATATGCCATGGCTGCAGCAATACACCAGCAGGGCGTTCCCCGACCTGTCGACGTCTCCGTCCTGACGCCTGTATATGCTCGCTCTCTCAGCTAGTGCTGTCATGTGTTGGTATGTAATTTCGACATGCGTCAAGGCCCACTTGGCTCAATATCCCGATCAAAGGAACGATATATTAGTGCTATGCGTTTCTAGTTACACTTTGGTGTGATTTTGGTTGCACCGGACACTCAATCCGCAGTGTTTTACTTCCGGCTGCTTGCCTCTCATACTGTCGAGGGACTCGATGACAGAACGCGATGGTAGCGAGAATATTTGCGATTTCAAGGTCGCCATATACGTGGTCGGATCGTTCTTGAATGATTTCTCTGCATTGAGTACTGTCGGTTATGCTGGCAAACCGGGAGAGAGACCAAATGAGAGTCACAGCAAACGGGAGTGTTTGGAGGAGCAATCATCAATAAAGCCATGGTAAGGTCGGTTCACCTGACCGCCTCGCAGTCTCATCAGAGGTTGACATCTCTGCTGCGCCAAGAACGCTTCTTGGTTTAGTCTGCCACCAATGGCGGCGTCCAGTGTTGCCCCAGTCGGAGATTCCTTACTAAAGTGCCAGGAGAAGCGGAGCACTCGTCTTTGAATTCCAAGCCAATCTTGGTGGTCAGTCTTTGGCTGCTTAGGAGAGAGCGCTGCGTTGCATTGTCGTTACCATGGATTTGAAACTGTGGAATGAGTTGAGATAGCCCATACGCCAGGACTTGTTTGAACTCATGACTAGCCAAAGCTGGACTCTGATTCTGGATTCACCAAATTCACCGGATCAGCTTTGGCCGTGATTCCTATTATACAGGTCACCCATACATGAGTTCGATGATGATACTCATGGTTGAGCCTTGTCCATTTGGTACGCCATAAATATCGACTGAAGTGAAGACTTCTTGGGGAGCACGCGAAAGATACGTATAATTTCCTTCCCTATCTCTTTGACATGGCCACTTATCTTTTGTCGATCATGACATCGCTACCAATTCTCAAGCGAGCTCCAATACTGTTGACCTCAACTAAACTTATCATGAGTGCAGTGACGAGCAATGCCGGTAATGCTTGGGAAAGTTGGCTTCATGCCACCTCTTTAATAGCTGAGTTGGGAGATTGGCCACAGATGTGAGCATCCTTGAGTTCGAGCAGTGAAGGAGCGACCATATCTGAATATCGCAGTAACTGCACTGGAAGCTCTGTGTGAAAGCCTTTTGAAGTGCTCCAAAAAAAGCCAAATAATACCTGCAGCTTGACCAATCCACTGTCTATAAAGTGCCTCGAAACTGGATGCTGGACAAGGTTACTTATCAGAATTGGTATTTTGGCGAGCCTCCACGGCATTTTGGAGGCTCGCTTAGTGTATGCTTCTGTGCTGTTGTCCTGACAAATTTGCTGGTCGAAGTCCTTCAGCCCGCGAGGGTTAGTCAGGCCGGATTGCCGTTAAGCGAGGGTGATATGGTGATGTCGATGAGATGATTTTATCTGACATTTGACCACCAGGTATGAAGTGGGAAACATAAGAGCCAACCAGCTCTTATGCTTCATATTGAGACGTAATTACACATAATGAATGCTATTTGTTCGTCTCCCTTTCACACTGAATGTTTCATTTGGTCAGCAAGGTCTTCGTTTGTTTACTTTCTTGCAGATATCAAGCCAATCTCTACCAGTCTTGTACGGCAATGTGAGCGATGGCTAGGTATTGCTAGATCATGCTTGTGTTACCAGTAGCTCTTCAGAAACCACAAGCTGTTCCTTACGAGAAAATGTTCTTCGCCCTTTATAGGATGACGCTCTGTCACAATGAAGTTGAGTTCAGGGGCACGGACAACATCAATTTGATTGTCGTGACGCGCCGACTTCACAAGGTATGTGTGATTTATAAGGCAACTGTTGGTGTTCTGGAGGTTGAAAGAATTATCGTTTGTATATCCACGTCAGGTGTTGAGAATAGTCTCTTAATGTTCATGAGTACAGATGACTACACATCATCCATTCCTATGCCATCGACCTGCCCAAGAAAATTGCCTTGAGCTCCCTTGAGGAGCTCATTAACGTCCACAGTTCCCGCTGTCAAATATCTTTCGCTAACACCAACGTTGACTCTCTGTGCCAACAAGCTCTTCAGCTCGCCACGAAGAGCGCCCAACTCTCCTTTCGTAAGCGCTCTCATTTCTTTCTCCTTTAACTTCCTCCCAGTTCCACGTCCCTTCCGCATTCCGCCAGCAGCCTCAAATTCCTCACTATCGTAGTCTACTCCCAGTTCCTCAGCCGCTGTCCTCACCCATTCATCATCGTGCCCCTTCTTCTCCTTAGCCAAAGCACTATCGGCGAGCTTCTTCGCGAGCGTGACTCTAGGCTTGAGACGGGATACCACCTTGCGATCAATGTCTAATGATCGCATGTAATACTTTGATTTGTTTCCTCCCCCTGCAACTGCGTTCTGCGCATGTACCTTTGCAACGAGACGGCGCATTCCGACCACTTCTTCAGGGGCGCACATCAGGATACTGGTTCCCGAGGCTTCGGCTCGAGCTGTTCGGCCTGAACGATGCACGTACATATCTGCTGCTCGGGGAAGGTGGTAATGGATGACCAGCTGAACTCCACCGATATCAAGACCACGGGCTGCGACATCTGTTGCGACAAGAATCGAGCTGGTAGCTTTGGGTGAGGAGAAACGCTCAATAGAGCGCATTCGTGCCTTTTGGGCCATTTGAGAGTGCAGGGCGTGAGCGTGTAAGTTGAGGTTTTGCAGCATGGGAGTAAGTCGACGGACTGAGTGGATGGAATTTGTAAAGATGAGTGTCCGCTGGTTTGGATGATAAAGAAGGAGCGAGTACAAGTACAGATCCTAAGACAATTAGCATGAAGGAGAGATCATTACGACACGTATCTTACCTTTTCAGTGCCTGCACACTCCACCATTCCTTCTTTAAGCTTATCGGCCATCTGCGAAACAGGATTGACATCCACGAATTTCGGCTTATCTTCTCGGAAATTAAGCTTCTTAAGAAGATACTCCATTGACTCCCCGTCATCCATGAGTCCATGCTTTCCCTTTCCGGCGAGCTTTTGCTGTAAGCCTTTGTGGAATGTTGCAGAGAAAACTAGGGTCTGTCTCTCCGGAACACTTTCATCATCTTCCTCCGCATCCTGCTGTCTATCAAGTGAATTGATAATCTCCTCTGCCTCCTTGAAGTGGCCTTCAGTCAATAGTCTGTCCGCTTCATCGATTACCAGGAACTTGATCTGCTTGAAAGCTGCTGTTAAGTCAATACTGGTGCTCATCACTTCCCACAGTCGACCAGGCGTTCCAATAACTACATCAGCTTTCGCAAGCTGACGTTGTTGCTTCTGGACAGACAATCCTCCCGTAACCGCCGCCACGTAGGGAGCATTCCTAAGACCTTTGCAAAGGGCTGTGATGTGTTCCGTCAACTGATGTGCCAATTCGCGGGTAGGAGAAAGGATCAGTGCAGTCGGGGGCCTTGACTCTTTCAGGGCAGCTTCATCCAACTCTCCATATCTTTCCAGCCAGCTTTCCAGAATGGGTATGCCAAAGGCAAGAGTCTTCCCAGACCCGGTAGATGCTTTTCCTACGACATCGTGGCCTGCTAAAATTTCAGGTATGGCGGAAGCTTGAATCAAGGTCGGTTTTGCGAATCCCATTTTCGAGAGAGCAGAGAGTGTGTCGGGGGAAAGATCCAAGTCTGCCCATGCCGAAACGTCAGTCTCCTCCACTTCTGCGTCCTCCTCCAAAAGCTTGAACACATTAGTACTGGGCTCCTTAAGTTTTGACTTGTCGTCTTCTTTCGTCTCTAACTTTTTGGCCTTGTCCTTTTTGGCCATTTTCTCTTTCCTGTCCTTTTGCTTTTCCTTCTTCTCTATCCTCTCGGGCTTCTCTTTAGCTTTCTGGGTGGATTCTGAAGTATCGGATGTACTTGGCACGCTTCTCTCTGGCTCTTCATCTCCAAATCCTTCGAATTCTTCGTCTTCGTCAAACGTAGGTTTCATAGCAGTAACCTATATCGAATTAATCTCCAAACTCCATGCCATTGTTATGAGTACGTACGAATTTAACGGTATTGCCCTCCCGAACGACTTCTACTCCTTCGATCTCTTCTAGACCAAAGAATCCCTCGGCGTCGTTAAACATATCCGGCATCTGCACCTCGTTCCATGGCAGTGCATCCAGCACCACGGGACGCTTAACGACAGCATCTGTTGGTTGTTTCACAGGCTCAATCTTTTGCCGTTTCTTCGATTGCTGGCTGGCATTAGGTACGGGCCTTGTTCTTTTCTTCTGCTCGGGTGCCATTTCGATTATGTAGGGCGTCTGTGAGGATTTAAGCAGGAGCTTTGTGTATTGGGAGTTCGCCTTGGGAGGGAAGCATCCCACCAGACTTTTTCCACAGGGTAGTTATTTAGCGCGGTTAGCCTTGCGCTAGTGAAAATATGTAACAGCCTCGTGCTAAGCCAACGCCAGCCTCCAATGAGTCTCTGCCTTGCAGCTCAGAAGAAATCCGAAAGCACTGTAGTCCCCTGATCTCTGGTCATCATGGGTAAATCGTCGAAGGACAAGCGCGATGCGTATTACCGACTGGCAAAGGAGCAAGGGTGGCGTGCGCGGAGTGCATTCAAACTCCTCCAACTTGATGAAGGCAATTTGATCTACCCTGGCGTTTTGGTGACATGCAGCTGACTGGGAGCGCAGAATTTGATCTCTTTGCTGGTGTAACGCGTGTTGTTGATCTTTGTGCAGCTCCTGGAAGCTGGAGTCAAGTTCTCTCCCGAGTTCTCATCAAAGGCGAGAAATTTGGCCGAACAGCCTGGGAAGACAAACAGGAGAAAATTCGTCAATTGATCCTCAAATCTACCGGAGCGGAGCCTACGCTTGCTGAAATACAACAAGAAGAGTTTGAAGCAGAGAAGAATAAAACAGAAGCTGCCGAGCTGAAGCCTCGGAAAGATGTCAAGATCGTCGCCATAGATCTTCAGCCTATGAGTCCCTTAGAAGGCATCATAACTCTACGTGCAGACATCACTCATCCGGCGACTGTTCCACTTCTCCTTCACGCTCTCGATCCGAAATATGACCCTTCATCCCAATCACAACATGCTGTAAATCCCGTCGATCTTGTCATTTCTGATGGAGCGCCAGACGTTACGGGCTTGCATGATCTCGATATATATGTACAATCTCAGCTGCTCTTTGCAGCCCTGAACTTGGCACTCTGCGTTCTACGACCTGGAGGAAAATTCGTGGCAAAAATCTTTAGAGGACGCAACATAGACCTCCTTTTTGCGCAACTTAAGCTCTTTTTCGAGGATGTCGTCGTTGCTAAACCGAGGTCAAGCCGTGCCAGCAGTGTGGAGGCATTCATTGTCTGCTTGAATTTCAACCCTCCAGAAGGTTTCAAGGCCAGCTTGGAAGAACCTATGGGCGTCGGGGACAAACTGTCCAAGATGGTTACCACAATGACTGGGGGAGAACCCATTATTGCCCCGACAATACTTCAGGAGTCCGACTATGGGACGTGGTGTCAGAGCGGCCAAGTGCCTCTCGCTTCCGCGGATGGTTTGGTGGAACTTACCTTGCCAGAAGTCGAATCGGAAGCCAAGAAGAATGGGAGGTGGATTGCTCCATTTCTTGCCTGTGGAGATCTGTCTGGATTTGACGCGGATGCTTCATATCATCTGTCAAAAGATCACGTCTCATTGGATCCAATACAGCCTCCCACTGCTCCTCCATACAAGCGTGCTCTCGAGATGAGAAAAGCTGCAGGGGGCGCATACGGAAAGACCAGTATTTGATTCCCCGCTTCTACTTGATTTCAGAATAGCATAGCGTTGGCGTTGGATTTGGGACTGGAGCGGATACTCATCATGATCTATATCGCGAGACAGAGGAGAGTCATCGAGTGAGACTTGACCTTGGCTCTGGGAAGCGATTATGCTGCCAAGAGATGGTCGGAATAAACCATACAGAGATCAAGTCATTAACCTGTAACACCTCTTTCGTGATGACCTGATTTGATTTGATGCGGAAGTTTCGAATGCAATTCTCTTCCACGTTGGGCTGATTTTACACCAGAGTTCCCATCCGATCCCAAGCACGACGCTGGAACTGTGTAGCGTTCTATCTGTTATGTTTACACATGGAAATTTGGGTCTAGGTTGTTCTGTGCATATCTTCTCCCCCTCTCGACTGGCTAGCATTAGACGACTGGAAACCAAGATCGCGTCGATTTGCCCTCCGCCATGTTCTTCTTGTAGACGTTGGTTTGGACTGTGGCGGCATAGTGTGGTGCAAGTTGCCATTCTTTGCGTTCAACAGGCCGTCGTCACTGGACGGGTACCAGCATCTGGCATTCATCGCCGGCGATGTTTCCATTCCACGCGTTTGGTGCCTTGCATGATGCACTTCGCCGTACTGGTCATCATTGAGAATACGTGCCTGCAGAGCGACCGTAAGTTTCCAGCAATGCTTCACTTCTCCAGCCACCCATTTCCGCCGCCACCAAGGTCTCTTTCGTCGCCATGTGTAACCACGCAGAAAGCAACAAGCGATGTCACACTCCCATTCGGTTCGAATCAAAACCCAACACCAAGCTGCTTTCTTCTTTTTTGAGGGTATAATACGAGGTTTCATCAGAACAGCGTCAATGCGGTATCAAGAGTAGAAGAGTTGACACCTACCGTTCAGAGAGGTCCTGCTTCATTTGAGATCCTCTTAATTGTGCTCCATCTAACTTGACAGCTGTTTATGATAGCGTTGCTTGCATTTCAACATCTGCCTTTATCTGAACCCTGTGGAGCTGTCTCAGTCTGCCGGAAATCGTGATACATGGGAACTTGCGACATGGCTACCTCACTCTGGCTCATGTTGGTTGTGATGAGAGCTCTATGGAATGCTTCATACAAAGAACGGTATACAGTTGTATTTGCAGTTTTATATGTACGCTCTGATGGCGTGTTTGAGCTGCATAGTACGGGTTGGATCCACTTTGCGAGCCGCAATTGCCTCGGAACTAATGATTGCACGCAATGACAAGGTCAATACCTGCCTGGTTTCTACTGTGCACTTCGACCGTGCGCCGATCAGAGACTATCAGATGCTTGGATATGCATATTTACGTTTGCACTGTATTCTGTATTCTGTTATCGTTAGGTCATGTCGACTTTGCATGCTTCATGATGTCGAGTACTCCATTTTGACGATGGAGTGTCCAACTGTCATCATATCCATCGGCGTGGTTCACTTGTTGGTTAACAACACCACTTTAACTTCCATGGATGAATCTACGGGGCTGGCTTCATATTCGTCGCAGGTAGTATCAAGTCTATGCTACCAACTCTTCAGTTTTCGACGACGAGCCGGCTCATGAAGCAAGACTCTTCTGTCGGTGCCGAATTCTTGAAGTCCGCGGGTAGGATAGCGATGCCTGCTCAATAAAGTATCGGTCGGAACACTTTTGATCAAGGTGCAGAACCGACAGGTCAGGAGCAGTTGAAAGCATAGACATACATAGCCTTTCGTGCCCTATGATGAAAATACCCCTGTGTTTTCGGCTCAGCAAATTCAAGCGACTTCTTAACTACATGGCCTCCGCTTACGGCTTCTGTGAACATGAATTCACCTTCTATGAGCAATCTTATCGTCTCTAGCGAGCAAACGTGCACTCTCAACCCAAGACTTTGAATGTTGCTCCTTCATCATCTTGAATCTGGGTTGAAGTTCTATAAAGCTCAGCGAGACTGGCTACTCGACCACCATGTCTTCCGCTCACCACAGCATCTTAGTGGAGCCATCAGCGACAGCTTCAATCAATGCATCCGATGCCAAAGACGATGAAATCCCTCTAGACAGTATACCAGCTCCACCGGTTGAGAATGATGATCTCGAGAACGCGAATCCAGCCCGGCCTGCCACTCCGAATTCGTCGCGGAGCGCAAAGATGCCGCGAGCTGATGGTGGTCGAGATGCCTGGCTCTTCCTGGCCGCTTTCTTCGTATTCGAAGCTTTTGTTTGGGGTGGGTGCTGCCTCATAAGCTGCAGAAATATAATCTAACGCGACAATAGGCTTTCCATTTTCCTTTGGGGTCTTCCAGTCTTACTACAGCACCCACGCCCCTTTTTCCAACAATCATAAAGGCATTGCAGCAATTGGAACATGCTCTACTGGTGTCATGTATTTATTTGCCCCAATTTCATTGCATATCCTCGAGGCATTTCCTTTCGTTCGACGCTTCTCCTCGATCATTGGTCTGGTGATTGCCACAGGTGCCTTGGTTGCCTCCAGCTTCTCGACTCAAGTTTGGCATCTGATCGCCACTCAAGGAGTCCTATACGCTATTGGTGGAAGTTTCCTATACTCACCGACTATGTTTTACCTTGATGAATGGTTTGTCGAAAAGAAGGGCCTTGCATTTGGTGTTATGTGGGCTGGTGTCTGCGCCGTACGTCCATTTAGCCGAGTGTCAACAAGCCAATGCTGACAGGTTTTTAGAGCGGACTCGTCTTTCCGTTCGCTCTAAAGGCGCTGCTTGATGAATGGGGCTTTGCCAATACACTTCGCGTCGTAAGTTCGAAAGACTCGTTCAAGCATCTTTAAAGCCAGGCTCTCAAGTTGGGAAATTTCACTGATGCCATCCATTCCAGTGGGCAATCATCCTCTTTTTCTGCTGCACACCCCTAATCTACTTCATCAAGCCACGGCTGCCCGCCAGCTCGTCACCACACAAGAAACCCTCCTACGCCTTCTTTTTCAAACCAACTCACATCATCCTCCAAGCCAGCAACATCTTCGGATCCTTTGGCTTCTTCCTTCCCGCCATTTACCTCCCCACCTATGCCATATACCTCCACCTCTCGCCTCATATCGGCACTCTACTCATCTCGCTCCTCAATCTATTCTCTGTAGTTGGATCTATAGTCATAGGGCACCTCTGCGACAAGATGCACGTCTCGCATGTCATCGCTATCTCGACATTCGGCAGTACATTCTCCGTTTTCATCCTGTGGGGCCCTGCGAAGGAGATAGGTTCTCTCATCATCTTCGCTATGATGTATGGCGCGTTCGCGGGTGGATATTCTGCGCTTTGGGCAGGCATGATGAAGGAGATCCAGCAGGTCAAAGGCTGTGAAGATGTTGGTATGGGTCCTCTGATGGGTGTGTTCGCTGCTGGAAGAGGCATTGGTGCTGTGGTCAGTGGGCCTCTAAGTGAGGTTTTGTTGAATAAATCGGTTGGTAGAGTGTCAGGATTTAAGAGTGGCTATGGTGTACTTATTGTGTTTACGGGTGCTAGTTCTTTTGCAGGTGGTGTGGGATGGCTTGTTACAAGACGCATGAGAGGACGTGTTGGTGCTAATGAAGGATCGGTCCCTGCTGCTTCGATTTAAGATGACGGTAGTGTTTCTGTAAAATTCGTGGATGGACGCTCGATGAACGGTTGGAAGTGCTGGATGACATGCTGGTTGTAGGGTATCTTTGTGCTGCGGCTACTTCTTGAGTGTGTTTGCGCTCCTTGGCAAGTCTCCTGCAAGTTGAAGACTAGGAATGGAACTTATGGTACCGTTTGTCAATTTTCGTGATTTTAAAAGTGTCTCGCATACATTCTCTGTCATGGACATCAACATAAAATTTAGGACATCATGTGGTCGAACGTTCTTCGTTCGCCTGTCGTAAAGCTATCCAATCCCGAAGCCTTACTCGCCAACTTATGAAGCTGCAGTACTCGGACTTATAACCATATTCAGCCAGCGTCCTGGCCTGTAGATGTACAATCATTTAGTCCCCAACGAAGAAGTGGGGATCTACCTACGTAAAAGAAGTGCGAAGTGCAACAAAACGAGAGACAATTCATTAGTATACGAATGGCATACCGAGATAGGTTAGCGTGAGGCAAGTAATGTGACGAAGATCTTTTCACTAGATACGTGCTACATTTCAATTTGATCTATTTTAGGTCGTTGGCAGATTTTTGCTTGTCGGCCCCGGCGCTTTGTGTCGTTTAATTCACCTCAGCATGAGACAAGATAGTCGAAATTGACAAACGTCAATAACGCAAAGTTCGACGGTTGCTGCGCTCAGTCAAAGTCAACTACGATGAGCGATGGAAGGATGCCGAAGTAATAGACCAATCAAACTCGCGGCTGAGGAGTTTCTGGAGGATAAGTGTAACATTTGTTTACATGTAGATCCTTCAATTGCGACAAGCGAGATAATTCTGCGACCTAAGTGCTCCACGCCAATTTTTGGTCACCAAAATTTCCTAGAATAGAGGAGTCAAGCGGAACATTATAATTGGGAATGGATAGAGCAGGAGGGCATTTGCGATTCCAATTTTTCTTTTTGGGTTGGGCTTCTGATGCATGGGGGCCTGAAGGTTTGATGCGGATCGAAACCTTGCTATGAGGTTATATGTTCTTGAGAACAAGCAAGTCAGTATCAGTATGAATGTACAGGGCCACTCGTTATTACGATATAGCAGCCCTTTCGTCTCAGCCTTGCAGAGTCTTTAGTCGCCAAGGTGAGCTCTTCTTCGAGACTAGGCATGAAGCAGCTATGCTGTAGGGTCTGAATCCATGCAAACCAGGGGCAGCAGGGATGGAAGGAGGGTCGATCAAGGAATGGGTTTACACTCTAACCCAAATCAATTTAATTGTGAACTGTGGCAAGCTTCTCTCAATCAAACCATCCAAAAACGATGGCGATCAATGGTGGACAAAAATCATAGATTCCGGTATCAAATTGTAGGCAAATGAAGTATCACTCCCTCCACAGCGCAGCAGGTCTATTTCATCGCAAAGCCAAGAATTCCAACTTAAATACAACTCGCAATCAGACAAACACGCCAATTAAACCCTAATTTCCAGCCACCTTATGCAGTCTTCTTCCATACCGAGTAAACTCCGATCAAACTGCTAACCGTTCCAGCCAACCCAACGAACCCGTCATCGAAGCTCGTCAGACCAATGGCAGAGGTGGGGATTGTGAGATCGCAAAGGTCGGAAAGAAGCTGGAGATTAATTGCTGCTCGTTCCCTGTATCGCAATTAGCCAAAAGTATAAATTGGGTGGTGACTGGGATATACTTTTCAATTCTCTTTGTAGCAACGACCCCCTCCCCATCCTCCTTGCTGATGCGTTTCTGCTGCTGTCTCAAGTTGTACAGCGAATACGTGCCGGAAACAGCACTGAATATCAATCCAAACATCCAACACCTGTAGGCCTCCTTTGCCAACCGTTGTGTCATAGGACTCTTTCTGATGCCCGCGGCATCCAAATATGTGACGGCATCCAGAGACAGGTATCCTGCATATCCCAACTGTCGTCCCACGGCGCAGAACTTGATAATGGGATCCAAGCTCTTGGAATCTGCCGCGATAGCTGCTGCTTTGAAGTGCTCTACGTTCTTGCCCACGCGCATCAACTTGCGTGCCAGTCCGAACTGCTTCTTAATAGCATCAAAAGGCGCGATTTCCCCAGGCGTGCCGTTCGTACGGTAGAGGTACCAGGCGTAGAAGCGTGAGAAGTATTGTATTGTTCGGAGAAGCTTGTCGCGGCCCACGGTCGTCGCTACGTATTTGAGATAGTGAGCCACAGAGGGATGATAGATGAGGGAGTCTGCAACCATCTTGCCGGTTGTTTGTATGATTTAGATGAAGTTGTGGCGGGGGGGGGGGGTTATGAGTGGTATGTGAAGAGTGAAAATGGAGGTGCGTCGGGAAGATGTTTAGGAATTGACAGTTGTATGCTTGTGAAAGTCTGAAGTCCCGGGAGACCTCGGTCGTCGATCGGGATATATCCCGACCCCACTGGGAAAACACAAGCCCCACATTACTGCAGTGGAGATCACGTTACCTCGTGTCATGCTTCACCTCATCCTTGTTCATCCAACCAAGCAGGACGCGTCTGCCTACTTCAGAAGCTACCTTCATCATTGCTCTCGAATTCTATAAGGCATAAACACAAACAATTTGACGAGCTTACGTGTATCCATATCAAACCTCAAAATGCCTGAGATCGCTGAAGGTACCTTTAGTCCCTGCCCCACAGATATCTATGACACCATGATAATCCATAATCCATACTCATACTAATTTGCTGCCCAGTTGCGCGGATTGTTCATCATTTGAAGAAGAGTCTCGTTGGCAAAACTCTCTCTGTAGTCAAGGCTCAAGATGATGCAAACGTGTTTGGAAAAGTTGGGACCAGCGCGACGGAGTTTCAGACGTCCTTGACAGGAAAAAAAGTTCTGGATGCTGGCCAGCAAGGCAAATATTTTTGGTATGCATGTCAACTTCTTCTTCGAGCGTCATGAAAGGGAAACTGCATTTTACTGGGAAACCTTACTGATAGTACAAAGGATGATCATGTCATCTCCACCGCATCCAGTGTTTCATTTCGGAATGACCGGTAAGTATCCTAGACCCACTACCACGTCGAAAGCTAATATACATATATAGGGTGGTTTCATATTCGAGGAGAGCAGACTGCTTACTATCGACCGAAGGAGACAGACAAAGAAGAAGTATGGCCACCGAAATTTTGGAAGTTCGCCCTGGAGACCGACAGCGAGCCCAAGGTCGAAGCAGCATTTACGGATGCTCGGCGATTTGCTCGTATCCGACTTGTCGACTGCGCTGCCGAAGACATCAGAAACACGTCACCACTCAAAGAGAATGGCCCTGACCCAGTCATTGACAAGGACATCTTGACAGAAGAATGGCTCCTAGAGAAGATGAAGAAGAGGCATGTTCCTGTGAAAGCTTTCATGTTGGATCAAGCAAATATCAGCGGTATTGGCAACTGGGTCGGGTAGGCTTGCCTTTCATTCAATGTCCAAGAATCACCGCTGACATTATCAGTGATGAAATTATGTACCACGCAAAGCTTCACCCAGAGCAATACACCGACACTTTCAGCGCGGACCAAATCAAGCAGCTTCATACGTCTATGCTCTATGTCTGCCAGACAGCAGTCGATCATTTGGCAGATTCGAGCAAGTTCCCAGAGGAATGGCTATTCAAGCATCGATGGGGCAAGGGAAAGAAAGATGCGGCGACCACTTTACCCAATGGAGCAAAACTTACCTTCCTAACTGTTGGCGGCAGGACAAGTTGCGTGGTGCCAAGCATTCAGAAGAAGACTGGGCCAGTTGCTGCTGATGTAGATGGGAAAATGGGCGGCGGTGCAGGAAACAGCGCAGATGCTGGGGAGGGAAGCATAAGTAATAAAGCCAAGGGACCTTCGAAGAAGCGGAAGATTGTCCTCAAAGAAGAGGAGGATGAGGAGGATCTTAATGAAGGGGATATTACTCCCGTAAAAAAGAAGCGCACCTCCACCAGCAAGAAGGATCTCAAGACGGCAGAACCCATACCTCAAAAGCCAAGGAGATCGAAGAAGCTGAACGTGGAAAAAGGGACAACAAAGTCTCCTCCTGCCTCTAAGAAGGGAGGCACAAAGGCCAAGGTCGAGAATGAGCCTGTGAGTGGCAGACGTCGATCTGGTCGGGTTACGAACGGAAAGATTTAATCCAACGGTTTCGGATTGTACGAACGCAGCAACAGTGTACGACATTTGAAGATGAAGAAGCCATCATATACCAAACCCAAATGCACAGAAAAAGTCGCGTGGGTCGCACAGCACAAAAATGGTTGAGAAGTTATGATCATACCAGATCGGTCTCACCAACAACCTCGCTGATAACACATTATTTTAAGTTCTTTGGGCACCCAATGATTTTCGTATCCGTATTTCCAGCACTGAGTTTCTTTGGGGTTCTAACCTTATATGGAGCATGGAGCATCTCGTCAGCGTGGGGTAGACTGGGTGTTGTATTAAAGTTGCGGGTCCCAGCTTGTCTCCATGTTTGGGAACGAGATCCCTAGTCGGGACTCGATTTATGTAACTTTGTTTGTTCTTGCTTCGCCATCTGAATAATTTGTTCTCAACTTTCAAAAACTTTTGAGGCGACTACGCCGCACATGGCTATTTCTTGGCTGCTTGTCCTTCTCGTGTTCGTTCATACGCCTCTTTCATTGGTGGTATTTCGTTTGGCAGCGCTTGGCAAAAATGGCCTCCGTATCTCCCCGTCACCGTCGCAGACATCTGGATACAATTTTCATCCGCCATTTCGAAGATAACTGCATGTGGTGTTGTGGCACAACTTGGCATGACTCAAAGTGATCAAGCCCATTGCAGTCTTGCGAGTTGATATTGTTAGCGGGGGGTTTGACAGATATGAAGTCGCATGGCACGCTCCGCACCGTTGCCCGAGTCGGCGGAGCAGATTAGGTTCAAGATTGCAATTCTAGTATGCGGCGTTGTGATGGTTCTGCCTGCCATTGTGTCAATCAAAGAAGCTACCCGGCGTTCGCTTATTCTGGAGCGCATTTCACCATGCCAGAGCCGCCTGGGCATGCTATCCTTGCTATCCTTGCTATCGTTCCTGTGATTCTGTGAAGCTGAGTGGACTCGGATAGCGGATGTCTGGCCATCCGTCGGGCTTGTCGTCTTGTGAGAGGCTCTCGCAATGTTCGCACCCACTGTACGGAGTATTCGTATTCTTCTTCGCATTCGCCTGCAGGGATGGTAAGGGACTAGAAGGGAAGGGAAGCTGCACTCGGCCTGGACCCTTCGCGTGCACATGAAATTATTGTTCATCTGGTCTTCTCATATTCGGTCTTGGCTTTGTTTCCATGCTTCTCTCTTCTCTCCTGATACCCCACCTGCTTGTTGTGACCTTTTACAGTTGTTGGCAGTCCTCATGTCGTCAACCATCTCATCTTCTTCCTCTCCTTTAAATAATTGACTGTACTAGTATTTCCTAATTCGTCGGCCCCCGCGCCATCTGCGCGCCATCTATATCATGGCGTCCGCAACACCATTTGGCGTTTTGCCTCAGGCTGGGGCTGTTGCGCAAACAGTTGAGGAGAAGATAAATCCAACAGGCGACACCTACGCAAAAGAGACTGAAGGACAGTCCAGCGAGAAGACCGGTCACGAATCTCTACTGGATTCTGCAGATGAAGAAGAATTGAAGCCCCAAATCCATCAACTGGCGCGAGCTCTCACACACCACTCAGTGAAAAACGGGGAGGGAGACTACGTTAACCCCTTCGAAGAGACCAACAACCCAATCCTTGATCCTAGATCTGACAGTTTCAACTACAGATCATGGATGAAAACAGTTTTGGCTATTCATTCGCGGGACCCCGAAAAGTTCCCCAAAAGAGTTGCTGGAATCGCCTACCGGAATCTAAGTGCGCACGGATTTGGTGAGGCCACTGATTACCAGAAGACCTTTGGAAACTACCCTCTGGAAATCCCGTCGCTCTTCAAGAAAATCATTGGCCGTAGGCAGCAGACCAAGATCCAGATCCTGAGGAATTTCGATGGGTTAATCCGAAGTGGAGAGATGTTGGTGGTGCTAGGCCGACCTGGAAGGTAGATTTGTACTCCCCAATACGATCTTCTCTTACTTATAATCTCTACTAGTGGTTGTTCAACTTTGCTGAAGACTATTTCTGGAGAGACTGATGGATATTTTATCGATGAGAAATCGCATATCAATTACCAAGGTATCTCGGTCGAGCAAATGCACAACGATTTCAGAGGAGAGTGTATCTACCAGGCGGAAACCGATGTCCATTTTCCTCAACTAACAGTCGGACAAACTCTGGAGTTTGCTGCGAAAGCTCGAGGTAGGTTTTCTGACTGCATAGTCAACATTTGTTTGTTAATGTGTTTTCCAGCTCCCCGGACCCGAATTCCTGGCGTAACGAGAGAACAATACGCCGCTCATATGCGCGATGTGATAATGGCTGTGTTCGGTCTTAATCACACACTCAATACCAAGGTCGGAAACGATTTCATTCGTGGGGTAAGCGGAGGAGAGAGGAAGCGTGTCAGTATCGCAGAGGCGTAAGCAGAAACATTTCCTTCTTTCTGGTGTCATTGCTGACTTGGGAACAGAGCTCTTGGGGGAAGTCCTCTGCAATGCTGGGATAACAGTACCAGAGGATTGGACAGTGCCACTGCATTGGAGTTTGTCAAGACTCTCAGACTGTCGACTGATCTTGCTGGTTCGGCTGCAGTCGTTGCTATTTACCAAGCCTCACAAAGCATTTACGATATTTTTGACAAGGTTGCCGTCTTGTATGAAGGCAGACAGATCTATTTCGGGGATATTCATGCCGCCAAAAAGTACTTCCTGGACATGGGCTTTGACTGTCCTCCACGACAAACAACAGGCGATTTCTTGACCTCCATTACAAGTCCAGCAGAGCGTGTCACACGACCAGGATTTGAGGGCAAGACACCATATACCCCTGACGAGTTCGCTGCGGCCTGGTACAAAAGTGATGATAGGGCGAAGTTGATGAGAGATATCGAAGAATTTGACACCCTGTATCCTATCGGTGGCCCAAGTCTGGAGCTTTTCAAGGAAGGTCGTCGAGGTATGAAAATATATAAGCCAAGTTGTGGACAATCGCTAATCAGTGGCAGCCGCTCAATCCAAAAACCAACGCATCAAATCACCATACACGCTTTCAGTCGTTCAGCAGGTCAAGCTCTGCGTACAGCGCGGCTTCCAGAGACTTCAAGGCGATATGACACTGATGCTGACCTCCTTCATTGGAAACGCTGTAATGGCTCTCATCATTGGCAGTGTATTCTACAATTTACCGAACGAGACTGCTTCTCTGTACAGCAAAGGGGCGCTACTATTCTTCGCAATTCTAATGGCGGCTTTCCAGAGCGCTTTAGAGGTAAGCCCTGTGCGTGAAATGATTCCGAATACTTTACTAAATACGTGGCAGATCTTGACGTTGTATGCCCAGCGACCAATTGTTGAAAAGCAAGCCAAATACGCCTTCTACCATCCATTTGCTGAAGCTATAGGTATGACCCGCTATCCAAACAGCTATGACATTGACTTACAATTGATCAGCCTCCATGCTGTGTGACCTGCCAAATAAAATAGGCACGGCTACCTGCTTCAACCTTGCATTGTACTTCATGACCAATCTTCGGAGAACACCAGAACACTTTTTTGTGTTCTATCTATTTGCCTTCATGTGCACGCTTACCATCAGCATGTACTTTCGCTCGATTGCTGCTATGTCCAGGACTTTATCTCAAGCAATGGCTCCTGCAGCACTATTCATTCTCGCCCTGATTATCTACACTGGTTTCGCCATCCCGACAAGAGATATGCATCCTTGGTTCAGATGGATTAATTGGTTGAACCCTGTCGCATATGCTTTCGAAGCTCTGATGATCAACGAGTTCCACAAGCTGAAGATTCCGTGCTCTCCTGCGATGTTCGTCCCAGCTGGTTTAGGATACGAAAATATTACGCCTGAACAAAGGATCTGTTCGACTACCGGGGCCGCAGCTGGTGCAGATTTTGTGGATGGAGATACGTATTTGATGGTTAACTTCAAATATGAGCGTGCTCATCTCTGGAGGTACGTATTTAAAGTAGGAGGTACATTAGTGATACTGTTAGGCTAACAGGAGTATCAGAAACCTCGGTGTTATGTTCGCACTAATGGCCTTTGGATGCGCAGTCTACCTCATCTGCACTGAGTACATTTCCGCCAAGAAAAGCAAGGGTGAAGTCCTGCTCTTCAGACGTGGCAGAGTACCAGACCTCGGATCCAAAAAGCCTGATGAAGAAGCTAATGTTGATGATCGCGTTAATACTGAAGCTGTACTTGCTAGAGAGAAGACTGTGCTTGATGCACCTCCCTCCATTCAAAAGCAGACGGCAGTGTTTCACTGGGACAGTGTCAACTATGATATCAAGATCAAGAAGGAGGATCGTAGGCTCTTGGATGACGTGTAAGTTGTTCCACGGATAGTAACCGGGACGTGTGCTAAACCTGGTGTAGTGACGGATGGGTGATACCTGGTACTCTCACAGCACTTATGGGTGTTTCCGGTGCCGGTAAAACAACGCTTCTCGACGTCCTCGCAAGCCGTGTCACTATGGGTGTAGTTTCTGGCCAGATGCTCGTTGATGGCCGAGAAAGGGACACTGGCTTCCAGAGAAAGACAGGATACGTTCAGCAGCAGGATCTCCATTTGGCCACTTCAACCGTCAGAGAAGCCTTAACTTTCAGTGCAGTTCTTCGCCAGTCAAAGACCATCCCCCATGCCGAGAAACTTGCATATGTAGACGAAGTCATCAAGGTCCTGGAGATGGAAGCGTATGCTGATGCGGTCGTCGGTGTCCCTGGTGAAGGTCTCAATGTTGAACAACGTAAAAGACTCACCATCGGGGTTGAACTTGCTGCTAAGCCGGCTCTTCTTCTATTCCTCGACGAACCTACTTCCGGTCTGGACTCTCAAACCGCATGGTCGATTCTCGCACTCCTCCGTAAGCTCGCAGATAATGGACAGGCTATTCTCTGCACAATCCACCAGCCTTCCGCTATTCTCTTTCAGGAGTTCGATCGTCTCTTGTTTCTTGCACGTGGTGGAAAGACTGTCTACTTCGGTGATGTGGGAAAGGATTCGCGCACTTTAACCGAGTACTTTGAGAGGAATGGATCAGCTAAATTTGGACCGGATGATAACCCTGCTGAAAAGATGCTCGAGGTGAGTCTCATGTAATTTGAACGACACTATTTCTGTGCTAATTCGAACAGGTCATTGGAGCAGCTCCTGGGTCAACCACTGATATCGACTGGCCTGAAGTCTGGAAACATTCTCCAGAACGACAAGCCGTGAAGGCAGAACTTGCTCGTATGAAAGAAACACTCAGTCAGAAGCCGGTTTCTGAGGACCCACATGCATTGGATCAATTCGCCGCTCCACCAAGTGTACAGCTCATGGCTGTCCTTCTCCGTGTCTTCCAGCAATACTGGAGAACGCCTTCGTACCTTTACTCGAAGACTGCTCTCTGTACATCAGTAGTAAGTTTTGGTCGGTTGTTCTCATTGACCGCCCCTGTAGTTAACACATCCCTAGGGTCTCTTCATTGGTTTCTCTTTCTGGGACGCACCCACCTCCTTGCAAGGTCTCCAAAACCAGCTCTTCGCAATCTTCATGCTCCTCACAGTCTTCGGCAATCTCTCCCAGCAAATCATGCCTCATTTCGTAACTCAACGCTCACTCTACGAGTCCCGTGAACGACCATCAAAAACCTACTCTTGGGTAGTCTTCATTCTGTCCAACCTTATCGTCGAGATGCCGTGGAACACCCTCGGGGGTATTATTCTGTACTTTACCTGGTACTACCCTATCGGTTTGTACCGGAATGCTCAGCCTACAGATGCGGTTACCGAGCGTGGAGGACTGATGTTCTTATTCTTGTGGAGTTTCGTCATGTTTGCTGGGACGTTCACACATCTTGTTGTGGCTGGTATTGAGACCGCGGAGACGGCTGGTAACGTGGGCAATCTGCTGTTCTCGCTGTGTTTGATTTTCAATGGGTAAGTTTGCGTCTTCCCCTTGCTCGTTCCATCTACTACTTCCCAAAGAGAAGAATAAGCGCGGATTAAACTAACACTCCTACCCAGCGTCCTCGCCTCCCCCGACGCCCTCCCGCGCTTCTGGATATTCATGTACCGCGTCAGCCCTTTCACCTACCTCGTATCCGGCATGCTCTCCACCGGCCTCGCCAATACCAACGTGGTCTGCTCCTCCATCGAATATCTCCACATCAACCCGCCTTCCAACCTCACGTGCGGCGAGTACCTCAACCCGTACACATCCGCCGCGGGTGGTTACGTGCTCAACGAGGGTGATAGCACGGATTGCAGTTTCTGCAGCGTGAAGTACACGAATGTGTTTTTGAAGAGTGTGAATGCGAATTATGCGGACCGGTGGAGGAATTTTGGGATCTTGTGGATGTTTATTGTGGTTAATTGTTTTGGTGCTGTTGGGTTGTATTGGTTGGCGAGAGTGCCGAAGGGGAAGAGGAAGGTGAAGAAGGAGTAGTGGGTTTGCCCTTGTTGTTTTGTGCTTTAAATAGGATACCTTTTCGCGATGGTGGGACGTTCGATATGGAAATTCTTCGTTCATTTTCTTTCTTGTGTATAGTACGAGTAGAGATATAGACGGGTGCAGTAGCCCGAACCAGGTGGAGGCGCATTTGCCAGAAAACATGAGGCATTTAGACACTAAACCATAGAGGACACGTTAAGCAGATAACTCATCTCACCCTTCACAAATAGAAGCATCAGTCATGCAATATTCAATTCAAATCTTTGCTTCAGATGAGACTTTCATTTCATCCAAGCTACATTTAGGGTGACCTAGCAGCATGTGTGTTTGCTCTATACTCGCCATCATCTTCCTCTACTCCGTCTCTTTCAACTCCGCCATTCTTGCCTTTCCTCACCCACCTAACGACTTCCATGTCGATAGTCGCACTTCCTCCAACTCCACCCCGAAGCAGTTCCTCCCTCCTCCTCTCCCTCCTCTCCTGCCTAACCATCCTAATCCTCTTCTCTTCCTCTATTCCCCTAACGACCACGCTCGCTTCCCTCTTGAACACTTCATCTTCGAGCTGTGTGACCCGCGCTTTCGCCTTGAATTCTGAATCTGTAATCGAGTCTAGATTTGAAATCGTGTTGCTCCTCGGTAAGCTTGCACTACGCACCGAGAAGCGAGATATTGGAATTGGAGGGTCGGTGCGGTGGGTGTTGGGACTAGGGAGGGTGGAAAGCTCTGCGATGTGCGGTATTGGCGGGAGATCTCTTTCTTGGAGAGAGGTACGTAATGATACTGTTTGCGTCTGTGTTTGTGATGATGTTGGTAGTGGTGGAGGCGGTGAGACAGTCTTCCTCGTATACGTAACGATATTCGCGACCTCCTTCCCTCTCACCACCTTTGCTTGTTTACCCTCGCTTAAAACCGTTGTGCCTCTGGTCGTAACACTATCCCGTTCACTACTCCTCTCATTTTCAGCACCTGTCCTTGTACTCATCGTCTCACTGCGTCTCCTCGCCTCATAAGAATCAAACGCCTGATCTAGGTCCGTCCTCCAATGCTTAATGTCGCTCGCTACACTCTCACGTGCGTACTTTGACCTGCTTTCCGGTACAGCAGGATCCGTTATGGTAGCTGGCATCCCAGGTACTTCAGAAATGATAGCATCGCCTTCCAGCTCAGCAAGGATCGTTTTCCGACTCTCCCGCTTCGTATACATCTCCTCGAACGCACGACGCTGCACCATACTCGATCTTGTATTAACTGGTGGAGCGACTGGCTGCGATTGCCTCGTCGACATATGGCGCAATGACCTCGTAACATGGACTTCCAATCCTTCGCCTTTCTCCGCGTCGCTGTGTTTGCGTTTCGGTCTGGTCTGTGTGCGCTGCTGGGAAGCCTTTTTGCCGAAGAATACAGCAAAGTTTTTGAGGTTGGATAAGAGGGGCCGGAAAATGGCGAATGGGGAGGGTGATTGGGGTTGTAGGGCTTGGGCTGCGCGATGGCGGAGGGCGAGCCAAAGGCAGATTATTGGAGCTAGGAGAGATAGCGCAGCGATGATACTAATATAGACGACACGGCCGCTGAGTCCAGAGGCTTTGCTCTGATCCGTGGCTGCGCCGATTGATGTTTGAGCGCTGGGACTGGTGGATGTGTTGTTTGCGTTGCTGCTACCGACAGCTGTCGTTGGAGACGAAGCCGAACTCGCAGTCGGAATTGTTGTCGCGGATCTAGTTTGGGTGGAGAGGAGATCAAGCATACTGATTGCTGATCGGCTGCATGCACTATCCACTGAAATTTCTCCAATCGAAACCACGATTTCTAACCCTGTGTTTGGATCCAAACAGTTGATGGCTCGGGGAAGAGGCTTGGATGTTGGTGTTGATATTCGAGTACCCGTAGCAGTACCCGTGGCAGCGGTAAGTGTTCTCGTGGTACCCGCGGGAACGAGTGATGAGGGACCGGTCATATTTTGAAGAGTGAAGAGAGGTGAAAAGTAGGTTACCGAAAGGGTCGAGGCGAGAAGAATGGTGCCACGGATTCCTAGGAAGTACGCATCGATTGCGTTTGTTCCCATATCAGAAGGAATATTGACATTGTTGGCAATAGTAGAAGGATTGACGTCTGGAAGGTTCCAAGCAAAAAGTGGGATCTAATCAATCAGTCAGGCTGTGTATTGGTCATCGACACAGGCGAACATAGAAGACAAATCTTGCATGGTTTGGACGCAAATCAAGTACAGGACTCGCAGATCGATATGCCAAAATAAGGGCCATAACTTACAGGAGAAGAATACGACCCGGCAAGAAGATACAGTGAAAAATTCGTCATCTGGCTGAAATATGGCGCTGACGTCGATTCGGCAACATTAAGAACAAAAGGAACCCCCCCGCTCATAACCTCCCCTTCCGTGGGCTGGCTAAACAAAACCTGAGCGGACACGAGAAATAATCGTCCCGCAACAAGAAACAAGAGCTGGAAGCGCATCTTGGGCAAACTTTTGAAGAGAAGACAAGAAAAAGGAAGTAAGCAAGCAGGTGGAAGTGGCGTGAAGAGAAGAATATAAGCTAGGAGAGATCTCTATATACAAGGACATGGAGAGAAAGCTTGGGTATGGAGGAGGAGAGCTATGCCTCGCAGGGCTGCAGCTCCTTTACGCGTCAACCCCTGATAATCTGGATAAGAGGTGGATCTGGGCAACACACCCGTTTTCAACGTTGGAGGACCGGAGAATCGAAATAGAGGGGGAAAACAGAGAAGCCTGAGCCCGGTAGAAACAAGCCCATGCCCGCCTGCCCAACACCCATGCCATGCTTGCCTCAGACCTTCAGACCTCGCTTACCGTATCCTCGGCGCACCTTAAACCACTAGCGGGGAGGTTATTCGTCGGATATCGCAGGCTTCCCGTGATGTGGCTGTGGCACCCGGCCGCACGGACAATGCGTCCTGGGATATCAAACACGCCGTTGAAGCAGCTGTCGTTGGAAGAACATTCCGATGTGGGTGGCGGGGATGAGTCTGTCAAAGCCAACGGACATCATTGGATCAATCCTGAAAGATCTTCGTCGATCAAGAGACGGGCGCTATCAACACCACTGGATGCTTGTTCTTTCCCCTGTCGAGCTGTGAACTTTAAAGATTCATCGACCAGTCTCATTCTTGCCCGACTCTGGAGATTGATTCGAAGCGTACTTAACTTTTCAATGCTACATCGAATTGTAGATATCAATCCAAGTCTCTCCTACAACACAACGACGGCGATGTCAAATCTCCTATAGAAGCCAAAAATAGCCCTTGTATCAAGACAAGGCTAATGATGAATTTGTGGTCCCGGGATTGCTTCAAGTTTTGTATCCGGGCTTGACCCCACGACGAGGCGCAGCTGTCAAAACTGTCATCTGATAAATGATTGGCGTGTTTTGAGCATGGCCGGGAACTTGGAACGACCAGTACTCCATCGAGCCAAACCGCCGTACGTTGGCACGCTCAAACAGGACTCGGTCCCGTTGTCGTTCCTTCGCACAAACCTTACCTCTGATCCAGTTCATGCCGGCACTCTCATGATTACACAGAGAAGTCTGCCTCATGAGATGATATGGGCAGGGAAGCCGAGGTCCAGCCATCTGTTAAAATCGAAACAAACATTTGGAATCATATCAGACTGTCTCTCGATAATGGCTCGTAGGTCTGAGCGGTAAACCGGCTTTCCTGTAGGCAGAATCAATCATCTCCATTTGTTTCACGGAATCTTCGCCTTCCATCCAGATACCCGAAGATGACCCTCTGCCTTTGATTCTGTACACAAACTGCTCCAGTTGGTGTCTGTACGTAGACCAAGATTCGTGTCCTTGACCTTTTCGAGCTTCGTCCTGCCAGGTATAGGCCTTCTGATACACGGTTGTCGTCCAAGTTTTGAGGGGTTGTTTGTCAGATGAGCTTCGGATAGAGTGATGCTCCACAATATCGATTCGATGCCACTACAAGGTCAGGATGTCAGTATAGAAACATGGTACAATCATCGTGGGATCGAGGGATCGAGTCGGAGGTATTCCGTGGGTTTGGGAATAACTCAAAATGAGCTCACCACCACAGGCATAAGCATATTCCAAATGATGACTTTCTTGACAACCACATGTTCTTTTTTACTTCCCTCTCCGAGGCTTTCATCCTGGATAACAGTTTCACGATGTTCAACCTCGCACCTCGGCCATTGTAACCCCGGAAGGGGTCCTGGACCATGTAGACTCAGATCGATATACATCGTGCCAATTCCTCCATTTGGGAATCGCCATTTAGCCGTCACTTGAGGAAAGTTAGCGAATGCGGGCTTCATAGAATGTATAATTTGTGGAAATGTGTAGATCGGATGTGTTCGCGAGAAGTTCCTTTTCTAGAAAAGTCGATCCAGAAATAAGAGGGGTACGCTGTAAGGATGTCCACGTACTAGCCTGATCGCACCTCTGATCAAACCCCTTGGGCATCGGTCTAGGTACTGCCTCCAAACATTCGTCTGGTTCAGTCCCAAATATTAGGCGCAAAAACAACTATAGTACACCAAGCACAATTAGTGTTCGTTACTTGGGTATCATTGCAGAGTAACAACGTCGACATGCTACATGTGAGAGAACTGTGCTGCCGCAGCCGCAACCTTCGCGACTTGATCTCGAAGAGGAGAAAAGAGCATGTATGATAACCCACTGTAGTATATGCACCCATATCCATCGTGACACCTCCCCCAATATCATAATCGAACCGAATGTCCGTTTCTGGAAATACATAACGCGGGCACGTCATCGTCGTATGTGCCGAAACGACATTCTTGTGATCAATATGCGCGAGAAAGGCAGAACATGCAGGATGAAAGCGCGAATGGTAGGCTTCGAGGAGGACTGGGGCATTTGGCTGGGAGAGGAGGGGTGACCGGAAGAGAGAGGATGCTTCCGAGGCGTTGGACGTGGAGGGTTTCTCGAGGAGGACGTGTTTGTGTGCTTTAAGAGCTTTGACTGCCCATTCGTAGTGGAGGCCGTTCGGGAGAGGGATGTAGACGGCATCGATCGAGGGGTCGTCGATTAATTCTGGTTTGCAGAAGGTCAGTCAGTCATTGTTTGCTTATGCTGGACGAGATCTGAGCTCCAACCTTGATACGATTCATGTACGATTGCAATACCATGCTGCTTCGCATACGCAGTAGCCCTTTTCTTGTCTCGTGCAGCTACAGCTACAACAATGACATCTGGATGAGATTTCGCAGGTCCAATAACCGCAAGTGGTCTGATGCTCATCAGCATGGCTTGCGCATTACCACAGTGGAGACAGCTCACGCGATGGTTGATGCGCCCAGAAGGCCAATCCGCAAGGCGTCCTGGCTCTTTGCAGGCCTTGCTGGATAGGCCAAAGCCCAATTACGGCGTACGAAAGGGATGATGGACGCCATCGTGGGTTAGTTGCTGGTGTGAGTTGACTTTGGAGGAAGACTGATGGAGAGGCTTCGGAGCGCTGGCGCATAGCACCCTACCCGATAAGCTTACTTATGTGAAGCATATCAACTGATCAACCAGCGCATCTTTGGGTGCTTGAACCTTCAGCGGCGTCAATTATGAAACTTGGTATTCAGCTTATGCTAAGTATCTTTCTAGACGTCATACTTTACAGTATCGAGCTGCTGCTGCAGATCAATTCGGTGGACCAGCTTGACATGACCGTCACCAATTATGGAGCTCGTCCTTTCACTACCAGACCTCATCCAAACTTCAACATCCCAAAACATCCGAAGCTATTGCCAATAGAGCGCTTCTCATAACTATATCAATACGTAATTGACTAGTCAAGGACATTAATTAACGTTACTCGAGCTAACAGAACCTTTCCATTCCTCCGCTTACTCGGACTTCGCATCCTTCTCATGCTCAGCATTAATAGCATCCGCAACAGCAGCCCGGCTCTCAACAGACTCGCCCTTCAACAAACCCAATTGGTTCACATCCCACCCTTTACTTGTGAGATACTCCCTGAACTTGATATCCTCTTTCGTGATGGTATCCTGCCCGATGAAGGGGAGGAACACCATGACCACGAACGCCGATAGGACACAGAAACAACTTGAGACATAGAAAGGATACTGAGCAGAAGCATTCGTGCCCTTTCCTCCTGCCGCCTCAATATATGGGAAGATGTAGGTGCCAACAAAGGCACCAACCTTCCCGATCGCAGCAGCGATAGCATAATATTGTCCTCGGACTCCTGTAGCACATGTCTTCGATGCAACCAGTCCAATATTATCCCCTGGGCCGAGTTCTCCAAGCGACAAGAAGATTCCGTAAACCACGGCAAACCCAACTACATTCTCGGGTTTGGCAAGGGTTGGATATAGACCGGCCATGATGAAGCCGACCACAGCTTGCGCAAATACACCAGAGGCTAGGGCATACTTGGGACCAATCTTGTCTGAGTAAATGGAACCCAGCATAGCACCAGGAATATAGAACAAGTTGATTACTGTGTTCCACCCGAAAACTGTTGTGAGTGGAGCTGTATCTCCGTAGATATTTGCGAGAATTGTTGACGAGAAGATACCGAAGGAATAAGTAGAGAACTAGGAATGTCAGCAAGAGTTCCTTACTTTATTCCAGAGCCTTACGTCGTAGAGGAACCAAACCAGGGAAACGATGCAGAGCCTGAATCCATAGTATCTAAGTACCAATAGGTAAGGAATTCTGACATATTTCATGCTCTCCCTGGTCGAGTCAGAAAATTCTAAGCTCCTAGCAGCCATCAGACTTGTAAGACTTACTTCTTGAACTCCTCGGGTTCCTGGAGCTTGATCCGCAACCACAGCAAAATCAAGGGGGGCAAAACACCCAAACCCAAGGAGATTCTCCATGCAGCACGCAGATGATTTTCTGTGCAAATAACCACGAGGAGATAAGGTATGAAAGCACCAATGACGAACCCCCAGTCGATCATGACATTGGTAAAAAGGATGAACCATCGATTTCTTGTGCCGGACTTGAGCTCTCCCGTGGCTTCAGAGCATGCAACACTACCTGCTGGATACTCTCCTCCAATACCAATTCCGACGAGGAAACGATATGCTGTAAGAGCAGCAAACATGCCTTGTAGACTGCCACCGGCGCCGTACGATCCTGCTGCAAGAGCCGTGAAAACGATGAGGATAACGGTCGAGAGTAATAAAGAGTTTTTTCTCGACCACTTGTCGCTGGTATAACCAAAAATGAGCTGGCCGAGTACAGTACCAGCGAATGTGATGGCGGAAATGTTCTTCTGGGCACTGGATCCTTTATATCTGGCGCCGTAGATCTGGCCGAGCATTGTTGATACGGAACCTATGACCTACAAAATTGTCAGTACTCGCGGACTAAGTGCGCATAGTCTACCTACGTTGTTCACATATCCATCGGAGAAAAGACCAGCTCCGCAAGCCATGACCGGCCAGAGCTTCGCCCATCGATTCTTGCCTGTATTCTCCAAATCCGTTTCCGCATTTTGGACATAGGGCGCATCCGAGCCAAAGTCGCCTTGCGCCTGGACGGCTGGTTCCTTCTTGAACCCGAACATTGCTGAGGAGGAGAGGTCTGGAGTAGAGAGAGATGTGTGAGGCGAGGAAAACAAGAGTGAAGTCGGGGAAATGGGAAATGGATGATACTTATGTGGTGTGGCACCGGGGGAAACGGTCGCAAGGTACTTAGTCTTGCAGCTCAGCTATTATCAGAAGCAGAAGCTCGGCTCGACCTCACGAAGACAGGCAAGATTGACGTTGGACCCTCGAGATGGAAGGCAGGGCTCGGCACACGGCAGGGATTTGCACGGGGGGAAGCCATCCAACATTGGACAAGCTTCGACGTTTTGTTAACTTATACCGAAGACTAGTTCAAGCTTTTTGCTTGGGGGAATCAAGCCTCCCCTCGAGAAAGCCACCCGTTATGGTTATGGTTATGGTTATGGTTATGGGGTAACTAGGCGCGTGATCATCCTGTGGCTCGAGGCCAATCATACGGTAGCCGAAAGATAGATTGCCGGTGTGGTGGGTGCAAGGATGCTGAGATGTTCGCTCAGTGGCTTGGGAGGGCTTCAATCCTCGACATTTCTTGAGACGAGAAGATGGAAGCGACTATTGACCAGAACTTCTTATCGCCTGTTATTTGCCTGCGACTGGCCTCTTTAAATAGAATAACTTCGACAACCTAACGATGCACGCTTTTACTACGTTTGTTTTGCTGTCAGTCACAGCCCAGCCAAACCCAGAGACCATCTCAATCCTTACGCACACACCAACCACCGCTAGTTATTCTTCTCGATCCGCTGAGCTGCCCTAAAGGATGCATCCATACCCTTAAATCGGGACTTAAAAGGCTTGACTTTCCAACGCCCAATAACATCGTCGCTGTCCTGCACGCCCGCTGGCATGATAAACAGAGCGGGTCGCAGTCCCCCCTGCACAAGAGGAAGAGCTGGTGTATCGGTGATGCCGACTTTTTGTTCAGAAAGTTGCCCGATGAAGTCGGATGACAGCCCGGTGGTATTTGGTGGCGTCTGGCATATCTTCTGGTGCCGTCTGTTCCATCGGAGACTTTCCGGCATTGTCTCATGGACTTAATGAGGAGAGACGACCGCCAAGACTTGAAGCACGTGTGTACTTGTTTCTCTCAGATCGAATTTTGATATTGGAGTCTAAGGCGGCTTAGCTGGATGATAGTTCTGAGGAAGGAACCATGTGGAACCTGGCTTGAAGCAATCTAAATTGTAGACTTGTGGTTCCTTCTGATTGTTCTCCATTTTGAGAGACATCTCCAGGCTCATTAGACCAACACATGTTTACAATAGTATTGCTCCTAATAATGCAGCCCACTTGGGGAATGGGTCATGGTCCTAGATCCAGCTTCTATTGAATTTCTTATCCATAAGAGTGATATCGTCATCTCGGCCAAAGTGCGAGTTGTTGATAGTGACTGGGATCGGCTTCAAATTCCACTTGGAGGCCGGGCTTCAGATGGGAGGAGTGGTGTATTTGAAAGCATTTAAAGGATTGATAAACTTTAAGAAGTAGAAATTTAAGAATTCTCCACTAGCTGATATATCAGATAATAGCTCCGTCGCTATTTGTACTATCCACTACCTAGAGTCCCTAGAGTCCCCAGAGTCCTACTCTATCCCCATCAACCATCAACTAGATACCATTCTTAGCCAGGAAATCCAACATCAACTTCCCAATCTCCGCAGTCATAGTCTCCACAGCGAAATGTCCCGTGTCCAACAAATGGATCTCCGCATTCGGCAAATCCCTCTTGAAAGCCTCCGCTCCAGGTGGGACGAAAATCTCATCATTCTTGCCCCAGAATGCAATGAGTGGAACTTGCGACTTTCGAAAGTATTCTTGGAAGAGAGGATACAAGGGAAGATTGGTACGGTAGTCGTAGAAGAAACCAATCTGAATCTCTGTTTGGCCGGGCCGCTCCATCAGTGCCCAGTCCAAGTAGGGAGCTTCAGGGGCTACTTGTTGGTCATGAGAACCGTTCGTATATTGCCATTTGGTAGTTTCGAGGGTGAGGAGAGCTTTTTGGATTACAGCTCGTTGCTCTGGAGTATCCTCCATCCATAGCGCTTGAACAGGTGCCCAGAACTCGCCGAGGCCTTCTTCGTAGGCATTGCCGTTTTGCGTGAAGATGACTTGGATGGCTTCTGGTCGCTGGAGCGCGAGACGGAATCCAGTTGGTCCTCCATAATCGAAGACGTATGGCGAGAACTTCTTGATCTCAAGGACGTCAAGGAATGCACCGATGCTTGTGGCGATGTTCTCAAATGTGTAGCTATATTGGCGCTCTGCTGGTACTTCTGTGAAGCCAAACCCTGGAAGATCGGGAGCGACCACCCGGTACTTGTGGCTGAGTAGCGGGATGAGGTTTCGGAACTGGTGAGATGAACTTGGGAACCCGTGGAGAAGAAGTATAACTGGCGCGTCCTTTGGACCGGCTTCTCTGTAGAATATCTTCAGGCCATCAGCCTTGACGAGGTTTGTTGTGTAAGCAGACATAGCTATGATATTTGTTCTATAGGCAGTTTGATGCTTTGAGTGTGTATCTGATGGTAACGAATTTTGTAGTCGAGAGAAAACTGGCACTCTTTATATATTCGCATCGAACACATCATGCAGCCACATGAGGAAACCTTATCGTCGTGGATAGTATGCAACTCTGCGGTACATCCGTAAGACCTTACAAGATTCCAAACCTGGAGCATGATTATAACATAATATTGGCCTAAGTCTGAGAGTTTGGATCCAAGGTGACGATAGTGGGAACATTGGCGGCGTCATTTGTAAGCGGCCACGCTTCGTGATTGAAGCTATTCATTAAGTTCCATTGGGCGGGGAAGCCTGCAGCCTTTCAACCCGCTTTGGATTCATGTGGAATGATTGATCATCCAATAAATTTACGACCACAAGTGTCTGGCAAGGCTAGATTGGCCGCTGTTTGAAGGGCGCAAATGCCTACAGAAACCTCGGGTTTTGAATTGTCAGCCCACCGGCAGCCAATGACTGGTCTGCATTTTGGCGACACAGGCGAGTAAGATTCCAAATGGGCCATTTTACTGACGTCTAGCTTTAGTAATCAGGCTGCTGATGTCTCCGCGGAGCTGCTAGTCGCTAAGTCTTTCAGGCGCCAAGTAAACATCGATTAGATTCAGTCTCCCCGAATATTAACACGACAAGGAAGTCCGCCTTCCATTGGCAGTGTCAGACTGTTCTTACTGATTCTCTCTTTCTTGTCGGCAAGCTGAAAGTCGAATTTAGCCAGCAGCGTAGCTATACTTTGTACTGCAACGGATATTGCCATTGTCTTGCCCAGACAAGTTCTGGGGCCACCATTGAAGACCGGATACTCGAATGCGGTTTTTGAAATAAGAACGCCGTCTGCCAGCCATCTCTCTGGCCTGAACTCTGCCGAGTCTTCGCCCCATATCAGTCTAGACCGATTCATAGCCCAGGTACACCAAACAAGAATAGAATCCTTGGGGAGATATGTGCCGTCTGGAAGGGTCGTCGCTTGTTCACACTGCTTGAGCTCGAAGGGTACAGGTGGGTACAGTCTAAGCGCCTCATGAAATACGGCTGTGACATATGGGAGTGCTATAGGCCGGAATATGGCCGTTTTGAGATATTGGACACTACCTGTTGGCCATGTACCTGGTCGAAAAGAGGGGTCGAGCTCAGCTACCTGCATCACCTCCTGTCTGACTGCTTCGGCCTTACTAGGATTTCGCATGAGCAGGTAGAATGTCCATGTCAGTGCCTGTGCAGTGGTGTCCCGACCTGAAAAGAGTTAATGAAAGGAGCCAATGGCAGCTGCCGTGACCGTTTGCTCACCAGCAGATAGATAATTCAAAGCAGCATCTGCAACCGTGTCTTGGTCGTCAATAGAATCGAGCAGGGAATTTATCAAACTCCCAGACATTGCATCTAAAGCGGAATCGGTTTCGGTTGTCTTGCTCTTTCTGGTTTGAATAGCATTGGCAACGATCATGGAGCCAAATGCTTTGACTTGTGCAACTGAATCCCTGAATTTTTCTCCAAGAAAGATCTCACTGATCTGCCACAGCGGGTTCTGAAATCTTTCTCCTGTGGCACCGGAAGCAAAGTCGAAGGCTTTCGAAAAAGGGTCCGAGTTGTGAATGTCCATCTGTGTGACCATTAACTTTGAGTAATGGGTTGCTAACTATCTTGGTGCAAGGTTGGCATACATTGTAAGCCATTCGACCCATCAGCTGGGTTGTCAATTCGTGAAGCACTTCCTCTAGATCCACCACTGACCCCTGCTTGACTTCTTGGAGGCTCTCGACCGTCTCATTGAGGTAGTCAGGAAGAGCAACGTCGTTTAAGACTTTAAGGTTGGTGTTGTTCAAGAAGTGGAGGCCAGCCTTTCGCTGAACCTTCCATAGTTCACCGTCTGCGTTAATGATACCATTTCCTGAGATGTGTAAGCAGGTGCATCTGAAAGATTAAATTTACCAAATTACCAAATAAGTCCCATGACCTCCTCTTGAAAAAGTCACCCTTGGCAAAGATGCCTTCGTTCTTGAATACATATTCCAAGTTCTTCGGGTCGTTGATCACCACACCAGGTGGCAGAGATGGAACAGATATTTGAAAAGTTTCGAATCCAAACTGACGCTCACATTTAACAAACCACGAAAACAGCTTGTGACGTGCTTGTAGAAACAGAATGCCGTTTCCCACAAGCGGCAAGGTATTTGGAGGTCGCCTTGAAGATGTGTCAGCGAGGTCTTCTGAGCACAACGGCCAGTCCGCATTTCTCGCGCTATCATTCAAAACGCAGACGACCGTGGCAAACTCAAAAAAAAAAAAAAATTGAGGAAACAATCCACCGAGTATACCAGTGTACTCTGAATCGCAATCCAATGGCATGTTCTGTCGTACGACCAAACCAGGAGAGGCAAATATTTGAGAGTGGGCCAAATAACTTACTTCAGGGCAACTCCATTCCTTCTTATGGTCGGACTTCTAAGTAGAAAATACGCAGCAAAGAACACAAACGAAAACAAAACAAAAAGCGTTGACGCGTGCATTTCCAAATGTTTATGACCAGGAAAGTTTGGAATCAAGGAAGTTGGGGAGAACTAGTGTGCCCTTGGCACTAGCCTCGTCCTCATGTTTCGTCTCAGCCGTGTCAATGACTTCTCAAAGTTAAAAAATCGTTCCTTCTCTCCCACGTTTTCTGCCATTGAGTTCTAGCCATAGCTATAATGGTTCTTCTTTGCCCCCGTATTCACTTTTACGAGATCAATGACCAAGAATGGTGCGCAAATCCGTCCAATTGCTCTCTAAAGTCAACCTAGCTAATTGCTGCAAAAGGTTTCCCCAATACCTCCGCGAAAAAGTCCAATCATGCCTCACACTCTGCTGGACCTTCCGCGTCCCAGTCCTGCAGAAAGCTTCACCAGCCCAGCTCGTAGCCAGCACGCTGTACCGAACTCTTGCAGACGATGTGACGAGCTATACATATGTTGATTTCTGCGCTGGCGCAGGTGGACCGACACCCTTCATCGAGAAAGATCTCAACGCACAGCTCTCCTCCCGCACACCTATTTCTCCATACACCGCATCTATCAATGCCTCGAAAGCAGCATTGAATCCACGATCTCCCCGCGCTGTAACGTCGCCTCGGACATTGACACCAGACAATGGAGCTGTGCAGTTCATCCTGACTGATCTGCACCCTCACATCCCAGATTGGACGGACGCCTCAAAGCGGAGCGAGAACTTGACTTTTATATCTGATCCAGTGGATGCTGCGAGTGCGCCGGCGAGTCTGAATGGTGCGGATGGGAGGAAGATCTTTCGATTGTATAATCTGGCGTTTCATCATTTTGAGGACAAGCTTGGCTTGGATATCTTGCGGAATACCATTGAGACGGCGGATGGGTTTGGGTACGGCTTCCCAATACTCGACTTTGACTTCTAATATGCGGTTTTAAAAACAAGCAAGCTACTGGAAATTTACTGACAGTTTCTATAGTATTTTTGAGCTCCAAGAGAGGACATTCTCGTCCTTACTTACCATCTTCGCTATGGGTCTGTTGATGTTCCTCATTACGCCATTCTACTTTTGGAGATCTCCCGGCCACCTTTTCTTCACGTATATCATACCTATCATTCCATTTGTTTTGGTCTTTGATGGGTATGTATCCTCGTTACGGACGAGGAGTGCCGAGGAGGTACAGGCTCTAATGAAGGATTGTGGAGCATCTTGTGACGGCTGGACCGTCAAGAACGGTCAAGAACAGCATACTTGGCCCACAGGATATATGACCTGGGTAATTGGCATCAAGGGGTAGACCCTTACCAGAATCTTCATGGACTAGATTGTAGATATCCCGATAGACCTTGACTTACAATAGGCCTTCCTAAGATACCTTGTTAAGTCATTGGTTGAACAGAAGACCATTGTGAAGAATACGTTTATACATAGTAGTTACTCATGGAGGATTACCATTTCTCGTCATCACAAACCCGAAATACTCAAAGCCGCCCGCACCATCAGGATCGACTAGTGTCTCAACCCCTAACGTCCACTTCTCTTCTCTCAACAGCAGGGGCTTCATGAAATGCGGCTGTCGATACGTGATATATAACCACTTTCCACCTGGCTTCAGAACCCTAGCAACCTACACCACAATTAGCGTTACACCCCTCACTCTCATCTCCATCTCCACTCTGACTCCATTTAAAGCCAACCTAAGATAAAAACGAAAGTTGAAAACAAGAAAAGACATACTTGATCAACATAAGCCCCAACGTGCTCCCTCACATCCTCTGGCGGATCCCACAGACTGCCATGTAGAAACGCATCCAGCGTACCCTTATCAATCGCAACATCGATACTCGCATCCTGGAATTCCAGTTTCCGTACATCCATAACAGACCACGTCGTCCCCAGCGCTGCGTACTTCATCATCATGGCGTTGATGACCACTTGCGAGAAATCGACGCTGATCTGGTTCTTGTACCCTTCTGAGTAGAGATCAGAAGTTAAAGTCTAACGATTCTGTTAGTGATGTCTTGTGAAGTATATAACGATAAGATGATATCAAAGCATCAATCTCAGGCGAATGTCTCTCGCGTAGTGGGGAGATAATCTGAGACAAAAATCTTGACATGGAGATATGGGGAAACTAGAAGAGAAGTACAAACACTGTTTCCACATCCCAAATGCAATATCACCTCCGCTCCTCCTGGTATGGGTAACCATTTCTGGAAAAAAGCTCGTAATTTGCTGTAGTCTCTGAACCACTCAAACGAGGGAATGGTTTGTTCGGCAGTACTTTCATTGCTGTCTGGAGATGTGATGTGTTCTGCGTATCGATTGTCCCAGAATTCGGGCTTGGAGAGTTCTTCTAGTTCTTTCTCGGAAGACATGATGAGTGAGTAGAGCAGTATATGCTCATGTGAGGTAACTTACGGCTACGAGAGATGAGACGCAGGTAGCATGGGTAGATAGAGGGGTGAAGGTTGAGATGGTGGGGGTTTTAGCGAGGTGGGGCAAGCTTAAATTTTCCAATTGCTTCACTATCCATACCTTCTTTCCTACCTAAGATACGTTCGATTGAGGCTTCCTGGTGCCGTGCAAGACGCAATGATCAGAAGATCGTGAGATGAACTTGACACAATCTCCGGTTCTTGTTGGTCGGTTGAACATGTCTATCTAGAAAAATCTGCAGGGGAATTACCGAAGTCCTTAGCGTTTACATGTTCCTTCAGAAAGTCGATATTTGCATAGAGGAAGAAGCCGCGCTACCCTGCTGAAAGTGATGAGAAACGTAGAGGGTAATAAACACGAATTTCCTTCTCCTTTGGCTGGGGATGTCGCAGAGCATGCGTAGTTTGCAAGGAGTCGGTGAGTAGAAAAGGTAGAGAGTATGGCCTTGAGATATCAACCTCCCTATAAGTGGAAGAAAACAGTATCGAATCTGTTCAATTAATGTCAAATTTCCTGCAAACAGCCCCCTCCCCATAGCCGAGCTGTAGAGCAATGTCATCATTTATGTCCCCAAATTGCAAAACAACGCCGAGACCCGACATCAGTTCATACTCATCTCCTCGTCTGAATCCATCGAAACTGCAGGCGGAGCTAAGCTCAAGCCACGACTACGTGCTCTTTCACGCTTGATCCTGGCAGCTTTGGCTTTATTATCTTCATCGATATCGGCCACAATGTCGTCATCATCATCTTCATCATCGATCTGTTCAGGTCTACTTCGCTGAGTACCTCGGGGATTTCCGTCGTCTTCGTCATCATCGTCATCATTACCTTGCTGCTGCAATCTTTCCCTGTTGATAGCTCGTTTCACCTTACGGGCCATAAGCTCATCTCTTTCGTAGTCGCCCAATGCAAGCATCTGGCTTGTTAGCTGGGCTATACTTTTTCTTGGATATGGTGTACTTACTGCATCACAGCCAGTCTGAGGGCATTTTGCCACTTTCCGGTTGCCATGTGAGCCTTGGAAGACACGAGCTTCCGTCCTATGATAGTCCACCAGTCCTGCTCTGTCTATTGTGTGCTTGCATTTGTTGTTGGTGACGGGGTCGTCGTAGTAACGTAATGTCAGAGGGCACTTCAGACTTTCGGAAGCACTGGCAATAATGACTTCTTCATCACTATCATCGTCATTCCTGCCCCTGCGAGGATTATCGTCGTTCTCTTCGGGGAACCAAGTGCTAGGATGAGGGACATGGAGGCCTGAGTTTGGATTCTGAGCATCGTGTAGGATTTGTTTGAATGTTTTGTAGTCGTTATTATCACCATACCTGCGGCAGCATTAGCGTAGATGCATAAGCGGACCCTCGAGTACATACCTTGACCGCTTGCTTCGTGCTGCATATTCAGCAGCACGGTCTTCCCTTGCCTGCCTGAGCAGTTCAAGTGCGCTCATCTGCTCTGGATCTGCCGCGGGGGGTTCGGCCTCCGCCTCCTCCTCCTCTTGCTCTTCACCATCACTATCAACGTCTCTCCGTCTCCGAGGAACAGCGCGACGGGGAGCAGGCGTAGAGCTAATTTCGCGGACAACATCTTTCATAATAGTGCTTTGTATAGCAAGCTCATCGCTGTAGTCGATCAGTTCTCTCATAGCCTCCTCTGCCTCGGCTGTGAACTTTGTATTATTCCTTTCGAATCCTTTCAAGCAGACCTCGTCATTAATCTCCGCCTCTGGCTTGTCTTCGTCTGGTACCCCCTCTTTCCGGCGCCTCTCAACTGCCCTCGGAAATGCCTCTTTTCGAGTTACAAGTCGGTCATTGCTCTCTGCTGCAGCTTCTCTGACCACTCCCTTCGCGCTATCGAGATGCCTCCTGTACTTGCTGTAGTCGTAGGTGTTGCTTAAGGCATCTAGAGCTTGTTGAGCCTGGAAAGAAAGAGCGCATACTGGAGGTTCGTAAGGAGGAAGCTCAGTCAGTCGCGCGGGCTGACGTGCAGGAGTTTCGGAGGCACGCGGTTGCTGGCGACGAGGGGCAGGAGATGCTGCGTCGTTCAAACGCGACCTGGAGACTAGTCGTCTATTATTCATCGTGATATCAATCTGCTGAATTGCGACTGCGACCGATGGTCCTATTTAGATGTGAAAGCCGATTTGGTGCTTGAGTGTGACGCGCCTGAAACTGAGACGCGAAGTCAGGACAATCTCGCTAGAACTTAGGGGAGTGTCACCAACCAAATACGCTAGCACTTGTATACTTTTCAACCAGCTTTCCTTAACGCATCTATCTATCTCCGTGTCCTGGTCTCTTCGTTGTTTTGGGACAGCCCAATGCAAAGGTCTGGCTGCTGTCCTTTGTTCGAAGCATTCATATCGAAGTCCTCTTCAGCCTTCTGCAGCCTTGCGGCAGCCGTCCAATGGAAATATTTCTCCGAGTTCACAGCGTTCAAGGATACTCAGTAATATCACTGCGCCTCGCAGTGGGCATGCGGCCCGATGCGGAATAGTTAAGTCTTGAACGTTCGATGTCTTGCTCATTCTTTCGAACTTGGCCTAAATCCCGACGACCATTTTATAACGGTCAGTATGCATATCACTAAACCTTCAAGAACAGCACCTGCGAATCCTCGATACCTTATGATGTGTTGAGACGCAAGTCCAGCACAACCCTGACTGACCCGGCCTACCCTCTCCAAGCGTTTCGGGGAAGACGCAGCTACCGCGGCCTATTGGCATGGCTACCAGGCGGCCACATAGGAAGTCGAGGCTAGGTTGCAAGCGATGTAAAGGTACGTCCATCCAAAACCGTGATGTACCTGACATATCCTGATCCGTTGCAGTACGGCGAATGAAAGTAGGTCATTTGGACTCCTCCCTTGGTAGCCCCATCATTTCGTCACCTCCGCCAAAGCTGAAGAGTGCTAACGTGGTGCTAGTGTGACGAAACTCATCCGATATGTAAGTCTTTGAGTGAACCGTAGTCGTTCCATCGTAGTAAAGCAGTCTGTTGATATATGTTATAGGTATGAACTGCAGCAAACATGATCTTGAATGCGACTTCAGTCCGTCGAAGGACAGATCACCTGCTTTACCATTACCTCCGGTAAAACTCCCGCCAGTGAAAATCCCTCCATTGAGGAGGTCTCGCGAGAGCTCTCTGGCTTTTTCTGAAAGCTCCGGCCTCAGTGGGAGTGCAAGTCCAGCCGATTCAGATTCCTCTGCAATATCCACCTCCATTGTAGTGAGGAACAAGGATAGCAAACCATCACTAGCCTATCCGCCGACTATGGATGACTTTACGTTATTGCAAATGTTACAAAATAATCAGTCTATCCCAATGCATATGGGCACACCCTCAGACCGACTTTTGGACCTGAGGCTCATGCATCACTTCATGAGCATGAGCCCTCGAACCTACTTCAAACTCCTCGGACCGGCATCGGTTGATGAGCTGACAGCTACGAGAACTATCTATGTAAATTGGATCATGCGACTGGCTTTTACAAACCAAGATTTAATGGACGCCTTACTTGGATTCTCGGCATTCAACTTACGACGTCTAGACTCGACTGACCGGACTCTTGCTCAAGCATCCCACGTCTACTTGACTAGGGCAATCTCAGCACATGCTGCAGAGCTGAGTAAGGGGATTAGCAGCAATAACGGGGAAGTCCTCTTTGCTACAGCATGCCTCATCGCTTTCACTTCCATCAGCAGCCAGCAATACATCTCCGCAAGCCCAAACGGACTCCCGCTTCACTGGTTCCAACCATGGAATGGCCCGCGCGCCGTAGCAGCTGCTGCATGGTATCACTTCCAGGATCCAGAACTCAAGACCCTTCTAGAACATGAGCGCATCAACCAAGTCCCACCAATTCTCGACGAAGACTCACCACCAATCTTCAACTTCCTTCTCGAAGATCTCGACAGAGAAGCCACTGACGAGGAGACTGTACAAGCTTACGAACTGAGTGTCGTCTGGCTGACCAAGATGTACTACAACCCTCATAGCGAATACGTCTTCAAATTCACGACCAAAGTGCAGCCAAAGTTCGTCAAGATGCTGGAGCAAAAAGATCCTCGGACGTTGACCATCGTGGGCTATTTTTTCATGCTGTTGAGGGTCATGGACAAAGTCTGGTGGCTTCCGGTTATGACGAGAGACCAGTTTTGGGCTCTCGTGGGCATGCTGCCTGAGAAGTGGAAGCCGAGGATGGAGTGGGCCGCGAAGGAGTTTGAGAAATGTGAGAATGCCGATGCTGGCTTGGGCGAGATGCCAGTATATGGCATAGAACGGCTTCAGAATACCTAGCTGCAATGAATGGCGAATAAGATCTATCTCTACTCAATTTTGAGCTTCATGAAACTATGCGAGTCTTTTTCTGGACGTATCGTCTGGATCTTGATTTTACTAACCTGTCCAATGTCCTGTTTGCTAGACTGTCTACTCGAATAGGCCCATCTAAGAAGAGGGGCACCGGGGTTGGCATTGTATCAAGGAAGGAAATAAGAGATCAGGAATGTCCACCTCAAACATTCAATTACTTCCCCATCTTACCTAGTGCCGTGACCCATTCCCGCCGCCCACATCCCCACACCCGCCAAATCCCCACTCCACTCTCCCCTCCACTCCCCGTCCACCTCAAGGATTTATCTTTCTACCTTTACCCTCCGGTATCGTTCATCTTCATTATTTACCTTCTTTCCTTTTTAGAATTCCCATTCTCTCCTTCACATATCTGCAAAAGAAATTTCTACAAACTAAACGAGAACAAACCAGAACAATGGCTCCCAAAGGTCCCTACAAGTTATGCACTGTCAACACGGCGCCTGAGAGAGCGAAGCGTCTTGTTGGCCGAGTTGTCGAGGACGTCAAGGAGGAATTTACGATTGTGCATGCTGAGAATGCTGAGAGTAAGTTTTGGCCCTCTACGCTAGTGTCTGGAAATTTTTGAGATGATCAAATTGTACTTGGTTTTGTGTTTGAAACTTTGTATCTAAAGGACGAAGGTGTATGAAGTCTTGAATTCCGAACATGAGCTGATTTCAAATATAGGAATAGAAGATGTCAAGGCGATGTGTGAAAGGAACAAACCTGATGTTCTGGTATTTAATCCCCTCTCATATACCCGTTTCGTCTTTCACACCGAGTCAGTGATGGTCGAGAACCTCGGCACTAGTCACAGCAAGATCTCATTGCATATTTCAACTCAATTCAGAGTGCGTCCACAGCGAGTTAGGCTGACCAAGATCAAGTTCTGCGCATCAATGTGGACCAAAGAAGAGAGTGACGAGATCCAGAGGATAGCGAAGGAGACAGTACCTGGCATCAAGACGATGGCTATCCCCCAAGGACTGCAAGTTGAGAAGGGACCTGATGCTATCGTGGCGTTCTTGAAGGAGAAGTGGCCGGGATTGGTCGAAGCTTAAATGCTGTCCTTGAGCTTCTGAGATGGGTGATACCTATTTCATTCAACTTGTTAAAAGCAGTGGTCTTGAAAGAGCCCCTTTGTCACGTTTCGAGTCGGGAGCAAGCTTTGAAAGAAGAATACCTACTCGCGATAGATGTACTTATGAATATAGAACCACAACACGAGATAGACGATTTCGCTTTTCTCACGCTCAAACTTTACCTCACGACATCTTCGGCCATTCCGATGCACCTTTCTATCTTTTGAACTCCATTCACAATCCTTCAACATCACGCCTAGACCTCGTGACAAGCCGAGCCGAGTTTCCCAAACTGGCCATGTCTCTCAAATGCAAGTGCACGGCACAGCATGGTCCCCTTCACGCAGCCGCAGCCCGGCCACACAATTGGACGGTGCAGTCTGCGGGCTTGAAGGGCTGAAGCTACTGCTGACGCGGCGAAACATAATCCTCGGCCTGATCGAATCCCATCTCGCTCTACTCGTATTCATCACGCATCACTGCACTCCGTATCTCCAGGTCCACTTCTATTGATTCTCTGCCTCAGCCATTTGCTTTGCATGACATCTGTCCGTCCATACAATTAGTACACTGTTTGTTCGTCTCTTCTTTATTCTCATTCAGTGATAGAGAGATATCTGAGCTCAAGATGAGTCGTACACGATATGAGCCCGTAAGTTGCTGTTTTGCTTGGTACAAAAAATGGTTGCCTGAAGCGCGGACTTTGAGATGTGGATATGGAGGAATTGGCTCAGGAGAGAAGACGAAGCAAGAAGACAGAAAGAATATGATGCCTAATACAATATCTAGGTGCCTCAAAGAGACGAAACCATTATCCTGGAAAGCATTCATGGCTCTCCACATTACAAGTAAGGGTTGTCGCAGTCCAGTTGTTCTTCAATTCTGTACCCCCCACATTGGACTCTTCAACCACAACCACAAGCTCCAACCTCCACTTGACTACCTCCTAACACGCAACACAAGTCTCTTTGCTATTCTCAAGACACCCTACTAACAACAATTCCTAGCTACAACTCAGGCCTAGCCAACAGCGTCGCATCCTCCCGCTACGAACCCTCTATCGCTGGCGGTCCTCCAGCACCTCCCTCAATACCCAACTCACCCCCTCCCAGCTTCCACACACACTCCTCACCAGGAACACCCCGCCCAACTCCCAGCACAACCACCTATGCCTCGCACCACTCGCACAACGAGTCCTCCGCTCCATCATACGCCGAGTTATGGGGTGTCGCGCCCTCCACGTTCGGCGGGGACACCACGAACACCAACACAATCGGCACGTCGAACGATGCGCTTGCTACCATTACAGGGCTAAAGCAGAGGATTGAGTGGTTGGAGGAGAGTATTGGACGATTGCTGATGGAGAAAGATCAAAACGGGAATAGGAACGGCAATGGAAGTGGAAGCGACAATGGGTCCGGCGTTGAGGGGAGAAAAGAGAGAGATAACTGCTGCGTGACATTCACGGATGCGTCGCCTGATCTGGAGAGGGCTTTGACGGCTGGTAAGGGCACGAACTGCTGTGTTACGTTTAGGAGTAAGAGTGATGGGCGGCAGAAGAACAAGGGTCCGTTGCTGCTGTGTCTTATTCTGTTTATGGTTTGCTTGACGATTGTATCGGTTGCGGAGGCGGGCTCGAAGAAACAGTACCCGCCTGGATCGAATGACGGAGAGTTGAATAATGCGAATCAGTCATGAGGGAGAAATGGATTAGGGGTCAGGGATGGCGTTTTAGAAGGTGAGCTGATTTCACGCCAGGCACATTTGCCTTTGGGTCTTAGGAGTTTCTTTTGGCTAGGGACTTGTAGCATTTATTCAGTCTGATAGGGCTAGCTAGGTGTGATGGCTAGAGGAGCTAATGTAAGATGGATGTGGTAGGTATCAGAACTCAGGTTAGTTGTACCTAGATGTCAGTTCAGCCATATGGCTAGCAAGATGTGTGATAGCAATAGCAAGACACTCCAGTCATTTGAGATCCTCCGTACCCTGGCCGTTCAGATTGCCCCCTTCTCTGATTTAACAAGACCTGCACTTACGATTCTCTTCGTCCATCCGATTTCCTCCCAGTCTGTAGGTCTAATATTGATGATGTCAATCGACCAGCCAGTGGAGTTATTAGTATCTCTTCTCAACCTTCCGATGCACCTGGCCATCAAGTTCTTTTCAGCTCCAATGAAGGCACGGCTCTCACTTTCTGCAAGTCCTGAGGTTTTGTAGTTGGCTAAGATACCAGTCGGGAAGGGAGGGCGGTCATGCCAAAGATCTGCAAGCTGAAAGTGCTGCTTGGTAGTACTAGGCTCGCGAGATGAGAATGTGATCCGTGCAAAGAATTCGACGACAGCATCATGCTTCAGAGCATGGCATCTCGCACCCTCTCTGAACATTTCACCAACTCGAAAGCAGACGCGAAGAAAGCTCTGAGCCGAAACTCCAACGATTGGGCATCGATCGAGAACCAAGGAAGGAAAATCGGGGCGAGCGAATGGCTGCAAAGGTAAGTAGTCGTGACGATCATCTAGCGTGACTTCTTCAATGATTGATGAGTGAGTGACAGCCTGAAGTTTGGTGTAAGCCGAGCGCTTGTGCAGATTTCGAGGCCCCAAAGGTATGGCATGCTTCGTCATCTTGTCTGCAATCGCGTTCTCTTGATCTGACATGGGATTTGACAGCATTGGTACGGTAGATTTTCCCATGTTGTCATTCGACCTGATAAAAGACCAGTCTTCTTTCTCAACAGGATCTGATCCTAGTTCCTCGACATGCTGTACTTTGAAGGGACTGTGCCCGTCAGCAAAAGACCCGCCTTCTACATTCCCTGGGATTACAGATGTTGGCCGTGATTTGGGAGGAGAGAATTGAAGAGATTTGTCATATACTTCCCCTGACATAGAGCAATTAGCAAAAGAGTACTCGAGGCTCGGAGGAGCTTCAAAGGTCTCGAGGACGCCTTGAACATGCGTGGGTAAGCAGATCATATCCTCCTCATCAAGCCCTTCTTCCAGTGGGAACTCGTCGTCGGAGAATATCACGGGTGACGTTGGGGTTACATCCTTGATAACTTGCTCGTCTCCAGCAACGCTTGTGGTATGTCGGATTGCACAGCTGCTGACATGGAGGTATACATTCAATGGCGCGCTGACAGGGCTTCTGTGAACTGACTGTGTCTCAATTCGCTGTGTTTCTGGTATAGCTGCCTCAGACGCAATGGCGAGCAAGTCTGCGTCATCAACACCCTCGTTATCGAATTCATCAAGGTTGAAGTCGTTGATTACGTCTCTAGGTGTCGTCTGAGGGTCATCAAGATCAGATCGCTCAACCTGGGCATCCACAGCGTGCGTAGGGCACGAAAATTTGGACTGTGTGGGTTCAGTCGCAGTTTGAGTCTGTTGACGAAGTTGGCATACGCCATTTGCTTGTATATCTTGCACAGGATCGGGCAAGCCTCCATGATTGTGTTGGGAGCCACTTAGCATTTTGCCATATTCAGGACTGTGCTTAGTAGTAGCTAGATCAGAGGATTTCGGCGGGTGGACAAGTGCAGGTGCCATAAGATCACTTCGTTGGTAGTAGATATCAACATAGGCCGGCATTTCTGTCGGCTCTTTTACTTCACTTGTAGAAAGATCGTCACAGTCGAAACCGTTCTGTGAAGGCTCCGAACCAGCTCCAGGAGCCTCAGGAGCTATGAGCAGAGGAGTTGTAAGTCCACTGGTAAAGCAAATGGCTGGATCGTTGATAAGTACGTTCTGGGGGAGGTCCGTTGGCTGGCTGGCTGAATACGCATTCTCATTGCCATTGTATCTCACATTTACATTCCAAATAGCATCGCTGAAGAACTCATCCTCTTCATGAAGTTGACCAGAGGTCCACGCCGCTCCCTGTGACTGCGGAACGTGGCATTTTGCTGGCTCAGCATTATGTTCTTGACCATCCAGGTCGCCTTCGTTGAAGGTAGGCTCGTTGATTGAATGGCAACCATACTCACTAGCGAGCTGTGCTTCTTCGGCCCCCCCGACAGAGTTATCAGCCAACTGGAGACTTCCGCTTCTAGAAGCAGGCAGTCCGGCTTGAGTTTCTGTGCATGGATTGTATCTGAACGTAGCTAACTTGTCGAGAGTTGTCTTTGAGATGCCATTAAACTTTGTTTTCACTACCTCTTCTGTGCTCGTCCAGCCTTGATGGATCGTAACGGGCTTCGACATAATGGATTTCTCGTCATGAGATGTCTGGCGAGGTAGAGAAGGCTTTGTTATGACGGGGTCGCGAAAGGGGCCCGTTGGGAATTTTTGTTTTCGGGGATTTGGTACTGCCTCCTTGGTCCCCCACTTGCTAGAATCGGAAGTAGTTGTCAATTGCGAACACTTCTCGTCCTTGTGATATTGAGTAAGTGAAACCTGAGACGGGTTGTCTAGCTTCAAGGCTTCTTGCTGATTCTTTGACTCTCTTAGGGTAGTCTTGGTACGTTTGGCAGGCGCCACTTTTCGTCTCTTGGGAAATGATGATTCAAAGTCTGGACCTTGATTCTGAGCTGCCACGTCGCCTTCGTCCCTGTACTCCCAGACTCGCCCAATTGAAACAGCTCTGCCGTTTTCCGCGTTTGTTACGCCTCTTTTCTTTCCCCTTTGTCCCTGGAAATCAGGTGCACTTTCAATTGTATGCAAGAAAGAGGTATCGTCAATAAGTCCAATTTCATGAAGGGTCCTCTGGGGATCGACGAACCGAACACGGGCTCGAGTAGGATTGATGGGGGTAAAGGATGATACAGATGGTCCCGACATTCTATCCCGATAGATAATTAGCAGATTGAACGCAACGGTGAATAATGGGCAACCAACGTACGTTGATTCACTCTCCACACTCCTTGGCTCCACCATTGCCTCTCGATCCCAGCCGCGATACAAAGACATCAAGGCTCGTGTTGAATGCCGCAAGTTCCCAACATCTCAGTGCCCCGTCCCACCACAAAGTTGATGATAGATAGGAAGCAGTCTCTGCTGGAGGGGGGAGGTTGAAGGAAGAAGGAAGAAGGCTGGATGAGCATCATTGAGAAGGCCCCGACAAGGCTGAGCTTCGGGCCGGCTTTCCCCAATCCGGCAGTTGAAGCACATCACATGAATGGAGGGGCACGTTCATGCAGCCACTGCCATTGCTACTCCAGCCTCGTCCGCAGTATCATATTATGCCCAGCTCTCACCATCGTGGGCTTCATCTCCTATGCGTGAGCCTTCGCACCGACGACCATAACGTGAGCTACGGGCTCCTTCGAGCGTTGGAATTCATCTGTAACCCCGCTTTCAACAAACAAGCTACCCCGCCATCCTGGCTGTGTCCTTTGTCCGACTTCAGTTCATAGCTACCAAGCCGAGCAATCGCCCATATCCCTCGTTCTTTTTCGGCTCCTCGAGACTTGTGCTTCTTATCCAAGGATTCTGCGTCTCTATTTCTTTCTACTGTGTCGACAAGGTGTCAGCAACACGTCCCGAGACTGCCGGACTCTGAGATAGGATTGGGTAGCCGGTTATCGAGTCTTCCCACACATTAAAGAAAGTCACGGGAAGGTATCGTGACTGCTGGAGAGGAATTTCGCTGCTATGTTCTCTCACGTAAGTCCAAATGTCTCTCTCATTGAAATTCACACGTGGCCTGCCTATGGACATGTTGAGAACACGGGAACGGTCTCTAGATTGCCTCGAATCACCCAGGCTTGTCTGGTGGAAGCACATCACCGTTCCTCCTTGATCGCTTCATGTCTGCTAATGTGCAATATGGATTTATAGAAGAAGCCATACTCGGCTGTCACCGTCGCTGTTGAGAACCTCACTAGTGAAAGCTACGAGGAAGATGATCTCGCAGGCATTCCAGACTTGGTAGAGGCAATCAAACTACAAGCAACGGGTCCAGCAGAAGCTGCTCGCTCGATTCGGAAGAAGTTAAAGTACGGCAATGTTCACCGTCAACTTCGTGCCCTTACTCTCTTGGATGGCTTGATTCAAAATGCTGGAGCAAACTTCCAGCGTACTTTCGCGGATGAAATGCTTCTGGAGCGCCTGCGTGTTTGTGGTACTTCGGATCTTTCTGATCCGCTTGTGAGAGACAAGTGCAAAGACCTTTTCAGGCAATGGGCAGTTGAGTATAAAAATACTCGAGGTCTCGAGCAAATTGCAGGTCTTTATAAGGTACGTCTCCACAGGTAGATGGAAATGCATCGTGTTGACATCCCCGCAGCAATTACCTCGCCGAAAACAGGTTGTCACTCAAGACAGATCCAAAGTTCTGCGCGAAACTGAGCAGAACCCCTTTGAAGGCGACGAAGATGAAAGCCCTGCTTCGGCATCACAATCTCGTCAGACTTCGCTTGCTCAATCTAGCAAGAGCTTCTCACCTAGTTACCCCACCATGGCTGTCACATTACCTGATTCGAAAAAGTCAAAGAAAGATAAAGACAAGAAGAAGAATAAGAAGGGGAAGCCATTCGATTTGAACGCTGAAAAGGACATCATGAAGAACTGCATTGCCGAATCTTCGGTGGCATCAACGAATCTGTTGAATGCGTTGCAATTGGTCAACCGGGAGCGTGAACAGATTTCCGAGAACCAAAACGCCGTACAGCATTTTGAATCTTGCAAGTTGCTTCGTCGAAAGATTCTTCGTTATGTGAGTCCAACAGATCCAATCGTATTAGGCCCTCTAATGTCTCCAGATTCAACTTGTCGAGTCAGAACAGTGGCTCGGCGCTCTTCTTCATGCCAACGACGAACTTGTTACTTCGCTCATGACATTCGAGCAGCTTGATCGATCTATCGATGCTGATAGCGACTCTGATGATGAGTTGGCTAACCAACAACACATGTACAGAGGTAGGCCTTCAATTCCAAACCTGCACGTTTGCATAGCTAACAGCACAACAGTCATGACTGAGAAAGGCAAGGAAACAGAGACTGCCCAGTCATTAGCTGGTCTCAGTATCGGTGGCAACAGTCCAAGCTCGCGTGCTCCAGCTCTGGCTCCTAGACAGCCACCGAGACCTGTTCAACCGCCACCTCCAGCACAGGAAGACGAAGAGGATGAAATCGATGAAGAAGACGAGGACGATCCTTTCGCGGATCGTAATGCTGTGAACACCCCGCAAGTCGAGAAGCGTGAACCAGTGTGGAGAACGATTTGATTTTCTTGGAGAAGTCAAATGCATACAGGCTAGGCTGGGAGATGATCATATTAGGTGCCGAGGTCCGGAATATGGCATTGACCTGACAGCGATGTTGTCACGCAATGGATATGAGTAATGCACGCCATGACATACATTTTAATTTATTTCGCTGAACATTCTTTGTCACTATTGAATTCAAATCAAGTGATAGATCATTATTGATTTCCGTCGCATACCTGGTCAACTCTTATCACACTTTCAATTTAGACCATAGATTATTACTTTCTCCCCCCTACCCCCCCTTAACAAACGTTAAAGGTGGACTTTTGTAGGCTGAACACCTGAAAGGCTTATTCTCACTGGTAGACGACCCTAGCAATACTTAGAGCACGAGCTAAATTCTGGTCAATTGTACAAGTAAGAGTAGATAGAAGGTTTGAGATACACTCGAAGCCCTGCTTAAGGCTAAGAATCTGCAGAATTATTGGATTAACACCTTAGCTGACTACCCACACGAGGTCCAGTTTTCATGAGGTTTAACGTTTGTTTAAGGGGGGGCGATATTAATGCACCAAAGTTACTTGGCCAGTCAACTCTGCTTGGGTTTATTTCAGGGGAAACTAACAAAAATTTTCAAAGTTTCATTAGTAGGACACAGAGCCTCACCTGTCACTTCCTCTGCCCCTTTTCTACGAAGAGCTGTGGTAAGACTAAACCAAAAGCATAGTTGATTACACTCGCCTATTAAGTTCTCGTTGGAGGGTCCGAAGCCCAGTCAAAATAGAGACTTTCCGCACCTTATGCGCTAACGACATCTGAATACTCATGAATGCCACATGTAGGGTATTTTAGTTAGTCACGTTTCTTTAAGTTTAAAGATCGTCAGGTTACTGCGTTAAGCTCTTATCTAATCTATCTTAAGATATATAAGTTTTGAAGATCAAAAGGATAGGCGAAGCCGATTAAACCAGATATAGTAAACGAAAGGAGTATCGTGGACGAATCTGAATATTTGTCCAAACGAATATTTTATCGTGATTTAGACCTATATATATAGCGAATATTCGTCGATCTGTAGCATTGTAGTCGTAGCTATACCCTTTTCTGAAATATTCGAAGACGACAGGGGCTAGCGGAAAGTCCCTAATAGCGAAGCCTTTACGGAGGTTCCCTAGCTCTCCCCTGGGAGATTAACTTGCTCGTGACATTTCTTCTTCACAGCGTCGCGAACACGTGGAAAACTTTAAATTCATTATCAGCCGAACCTGATCTGCAATCCAAGGAATAAAATCTTAGCGTATCGGACTTCGTTGTTGTGCTTTGTGCGATATGATTTTGGGTAGCATTATCGCAATTAAACCTTATTCAAGTGTCATAATGAACGAAATACATATAAAGACCAGGTGGTCTCCCCAAGGATATCATCTCAGCACCCAACGTTCTTTACTTGCTTTCTTGTCACTCTTTTAGAATCTCACATCATCATGAAGTCAATTCTGGCACTCTCTATGGTGGTAGCTACCACCTGGGCGGGCTCCGTTCATGGTCCAGGACTAGCTGCTCGTGGCAGAGCACCTCTGGATGCCCGCACTACCCAGAGGCTTATCAAACCTGGATTCTCCATAACATTCATCGACACATTCCATGGAGTTCCCGGTACAATTCCATCGTCTGACAACTGGATTTTCGATATCGGGACTTCATATCCCGGCGGAGCCGAACGATGGGGAAATCACGAGTATCAATCTTACACCGACTCTCCTGACAATGTCCGCCTCACCCACCGAGACACCCTTATGATCTCCCCACGCCTTAAGCATGGTCAGTGGACATCAGCAAGAATCGAAACGCAACGAAAGGATTTCGTCGCTGCACCCGGTGGCAAGTTGTTCGTCGAGAGCAGGCTAAAAGTCGGCGATAATCCTGAAGCTCAATCTAAAGGCATCTGGCCCGCTTTCTGGGCTCTGGGTGAAAGTTTCAGGGGTAACTTTACCAACTGGCCGAGTGCTAGTGAATGGGACTTTCTGGAAGTGCTCAATGGGCAAAACAAGATCTATTCCACCATTCACTGCGGCACCGCTCCTGGTGGACCGTGCAATGAATACAACGGTATTGGTAACGGCGGCGTGCCGTTCACGAGAGGGGTATGGAACACGGTTGGCTTTCAGGTTGACCGGACTGCGTCTGGCAAGGGCAATGGTACTTGGGTTGATGAGTCTCTGAGCTGGTTTTTGAATGGAGAGAAGGTCTTGACTGTCAAAGGGTCAACTGTTGGCGATGAGCCTACCTGGGCCAAGTTGGCTCACGAGGGACACTTCTTGCTGTTCAATGTCGCAGTTGGAGGCTGGTGGCCAGGTTTCCCGAACGATCAGACTAAGGATGGGACAGGTGCTGGGTTGGAAGTGGACTATGTTGGTGTTTGGAACTCGTTGTAGAATTAGTACGGCAGCCACAAATTGGGCTTTCTTATGAGAGATGGCGAAGTGGATGGAGAGAAAAGCAACGAGGGCATGTGGAACTTGTAAGAGTTAATTCAATGAGACGCGATTTAATAGCATGTCGAATCCCATGTTCGCTTGAAGACTGCATCTTATCGTAATGCTTGTGGTGGACGCAGAAGTTAATGTCTCCAGGACATCACCTGATGTTTACATCGGTTCAACTGTTCAATCTCGTGGAAAGTCTCTCCAAGCTCCACTGCCAAGAGTAAGGCATGCCCGAACCCTTTGAAAGGAATGTTTGCAGCGACTGTCACTATAAGTCAAAAATTACAATTCTTTCCGAATACTGTAAAAGAGCGTTCTATTTTCATGTGAACCTTGCGGTGCTGTAACTCCAAAGTCTCGCAGGTAGTCAGATATGTACAAAATGCCAGGTATCGTCATCACGATCTACCATCTTCCACACTTATGTATAGAGATATCCTTCTTCTCCAGCTATCATTGCTTCCTATGCTTTTCAGAGCCGGACGTGACGACCACGGATAGCAGCAGATCGGCCAGCAACAGCCTCGCATTTTCCAAAATCAGAAGTGCAACCAGCACCACAATAGTCCGCCGTTGAGCCGCACCATCCCCATTTCGAGCAGCAATCTCCAAAGACAGAGCCCAAGCAAGTTGTCGTTCCTCCACACTCACCATTGGTGCTGACTGTGAAAGCGGAGCTGGAAGGGTTTCCTGACGGCATGCCGGAAGGGATGCTGGAAGGCACTGTGGAGGGTAACTTGGAAGAGGCACTAAAAGCAGAGCTGGAAGGAAGGTTGGAGGGACCGCTAGTGGGATCTAAAGAGGAGGCAACAACAGCGATCGTCACGGTGGTGGTAAAGATTCCGCCGTCTGCTGCAGAGTCTGCACCAGCGCCCTTTGCTGGAGCCGCAGTTGGAGCCGGGCTTTGAACTGAAGATGGTGGAGCGCCGGATGAGCTTGCTGGGTCTGCAGAACCTGCTGCATCCACTGGTCCTGCTGGGGCCTCAGAACTGCATTCGCCACTGAACGTATTTCCCTTTTTGGTTCCGACTGTTGTGACATCTGGGCCTGGGTTGGGGAAGAAGACGTCGGTCTCGTCTGCCGTGGTACAGCCGTTACCGATGTTGGCTCTGAAGATGTCAGGGCGTTTTTCGAAGGGGATTGCTGGCGCAGGTCCACTTCCAGATGCGATTGTCACACTGGCGCAATTCATATACATCTCACGGTTGCCTGATAATCAGTTAGAGGGACTCTTTGAATATTCGAGCATTGGAAACATACCTGTGTGGTTCCACCAAAGCCAGCCAAAGACCGCAGCGCCATCTTTTGCATCGGAAGGGACGTTGAATTTGAATTGTCCCCCGGTGGAAGTCGGGCATGCACCTTGGTAGGAGTGAATAACCTTCCATGTCTTTCCGCTGTCATAGCTAAGAGCTGCTTGACAGGATCCGCCATTATGGAATGCAGGCGCGTTTGGAGCCTCAATCGCACCGACAATAGTGAAACTGTACTCCGATCCGGCATTCCAGGTGACGACGCTCTTGCCGGCTGGAGTTCCCAGATCAGAAAGGTGGCCCCGGCAGGGAAAGTTGCTACCATCGGGGCTAGAAACTGTTAGCAAGTACGTTGAAGAAGGAAGAATCGAAATCTGTACCTGAGAGGTGCGTGGTTATTATTGTCTTGCTTAATGGTGAAGCCGTTATATCGACCGGAGAGGGCGGGTGGCCATTTCATTTCCATATGTGCTTGGGTTGTGGCTACAAGTGCGACTAGCGCGGTGAAGAAGGTAGTTGGGATCATTTTGCAAAGAGTGGTGGTATTCAGACCCGCTGAATAGTTGTTGAATGTGTGTTGTGGAAGAGAATTTTTTTGTGTTTTTCGAAATGGCGTTTTTTTTGGAACGAAAGTAATGGTTCCAAGAAGAGGAGGGAGAGGAAGTGGCCCAGGCCAGTATATGTAGATCTCGATGATTCTTTGTATGTACAGTAACAAGAAGACTATTATTGTGCAGGGAGCGAACTAGTCTACCTATTGACAATGAGCGTGTTGTGAGTGAGAGCGGAAGAACTTTTGCGCGTGAATGGCATAAAGGAAAACACAATTGAAAGCAGACAATGGCTTGGCAGTCGGGTAGACCTCGCTTTTGTTTTGGCAGTTGAGCATCCCAGTACAATCACTAACATCAGCAAAAATTATGCTTCGTGCACCTTTATATATTGAAAGCCTCGAGTAAGCTCTGGACATTACCATGTTTCACAGGTAGTGATGCAGCTTCAGGAGGCGCGCCTGGCATCGCTCACAAGGTAGCTGTGACCAGAAAGAGACCCGAAGCCCCTGTCAATCATTAGAATAGAACAAGAAGACACAAAGAACTTGCATCTGTGTTACTTAGGTGTATGCATGGTTGTAAGCTAGCTCCAGTCCGTTAAGCAGTCACATCATTTGACTGGATATCAAGTGCTTTGAACGCCCCACCCAGACCTTTTTATGTATGTACCCAAGTGGCACTTTATGATAAAGAACTGCCCGGCAGATCATGGATAAAGGCGCTGGAGCAATTCGGCAATGTTGACCACCAACCAAACGTCTCGAAACGCAGGTCATCGAAGCGGCTGCATTCCCAGCGGCTCGCTTTACATCCTTGCCCACAGGCGGACTTGGTGACTGAGCTCGACATTATGGCTATTTGTGACGGCCATCAGAGTTTTGAGTTTCAACGCCACAACTGTACTGGAGGGCTTCGGGAACAACGTCAGGTGGAAAGGAATGGAGAGTTCTTTGACAGTTGCAGCCTGGGAATAGCTAATGATGGGTGACGTTGAAGACCCCGCGATGACTCCACACTCGCCTAAAAATAACCGCCAGGTCTCCCGCTCCAGGGGTTTATTTACAGTGCAGCTCGCTAAGACCCCCAGTGGGCTGAGGTGCAGTAGCCTCAAATGAAAAGAAAGAAACACACTGGTGATATTCAAGATATGCAATTGTAAGAATACCTATGCTATGATATCGTTTAATGGTCTTTCCTGAGGAGCATCCGCTGGGGCCCACTTCGTCGGAACCACTTGGTTACATTTCCAACTTCACGAGCTCCACCAAGTTATTTTCTTTGGAAAAGGTAGCAACGCCTAAAACTGACCTCTCTTCTCTATATCCAGTGCACGGTTCTGTCTAACCAGGAACCCGATTCTGTGGTCAGTCACCGTAATATTGTGCCGCGAGCTGTGCATCAAATTGGGAGATAAAATTGTACTCTCTATGTTTCTCAACTTCGCCAAATATGAAAACAAACACTCACCCGAGCTCTAAGTAACCACTCAGGACCAGTCTGGAGAAACCCGGAATATTTATCATCCTCCATACCGGCTTGCCATAGCCAGCCTCATACGGTGTCCGCTTCTTCACTAACTTAAACCCCTTTCGACATAATGGGCAATCTTTCCTCCCCAAAAACCAACTCTGCAAACACATGACATCAAACACACATCCCCGCGGCAACTTTCTCGAATGCTGATTAGTGGTCTTCATTTTACAGATCACACAAGACGAGGCTGTCCCTTGGGAGGGCGGAGTGGCGACTGAGATGCTGGCACCCACACTTGCCTGATACTAAGGATATGTATCTATGAAGATCTGTACAGCGCAGTTGAGAGTAGGGCAGATGAGAGCCTGATTTAGGAGACATGGAGAGCGGAGGTGGTTGAGGAGATTGGACGGCTAGGAGATACCCGTATTGCGAGGTAGACGACTTCTCTTCTACGTAGTGGATACAGGAGATATGATGGTCAGTAAGTGTCAAAGTATGACCGCAGTCTTTATAGAAGTCTATCTTGACTCCGCAGCAGATAATGTCGCCTACCTATTGACCCTCCAAGCAATTTCTCTTTTGCTCAGACTCCTGCGTCTCCTCAGGGTTCATTTTACGAGAGAAGTTGGGAGGCATTGCAAGAAGTAATATACAGCAGGCATACTTGGTATCAATGTATAGTAGAGGATCTTTTTATTATTGGACTAGGACTATACAGAGTGAAAATCTTCTAGGTTCACAAAACTCCCGTGCCTTTGTTACTCTCTGTGAAAGCGGAAGTATGTTACCATACTCTTTCCTCTTTGCTCAACAGTCCTATTGTCCCATACACACAAAGACAAATTTTGAACAATAACACCAACGATGTTTGTAAGCAGTGAGTATGTTTACGACAATAAAGACAAGGATACTCGAGTGCCAAGACTCGGGTGTCTGGCTGGACTTGCCTTATCCAAGCACGATCACTCTAAACTCAACATGTCAAGGACATCTGACAATGAAAAGAAGAACAAAACTCCCACGCCTACCTAGATCTCGACTGACGTGCGAGGATCATCAGATTATTCAATACGACTATCATCATCACCTAGCGGAAGTAGCGGGCAGCAACTTTCCTCGAATGCAGGGACTTCTCTATATCATTCGTCCATTCTGTGATGACATAACTTGACATAGCGTGGTGGCATAAGAGCCATAACAATAATCAACGACAGCGAAGCAAGTCCGTTATCACTCTCATATCAATCTCATGAATACGAAGTTCTAGACCAGCAGGCCCTTGAGCATATATACGCGTCAGCAGCGGCTCAAGTAATCATGCGTTACAGGAGTTGTTGAGGATGCGAAGCGAAAACGTTGAGGCTTCCCGTAGTGACCAAGAGAGCATGCAGCGCGGATGCGGATGATGTCTAATATCTGCTCCATCCCATCTGGTATCTTCCTCACAGGGGCTTTGCGAGACTGGCATGGATGGCAGATGACATGCAAGGCTATGTGTGAGATGCTTACGGTACATGGATATTTATCTCTGATATCAGATTACAAAACTTCCGTTCCAACGCAGCTGTCCTATCGGCTTGAAGGGGAATTGCATGACCAAACACGTTCACGTCCTGATGAATGATGGATATCCTAGCCTCTCTGACTTTCTGGATGGACGAATTTATTATTTTTTAGATTAAACTAATCTTTAAACATTCATTTTTATTTTAATTCTTTGGGTTTTCGGTCGGATGTCTGCCGAGGAAGTCTGACTCGGGGAGGACAGTTGGTGAGCTCACTTGCCGAACATGGAGCCCCGCGAATGCGGGGTAGATCATGGCTTCCAGTCCGCGAGGATTTCCTTCATCTGATTTGAGTAGTGAGACGGCACAAAGTTTAACGTCTATGACACCTATACCGAGTGTTTCTCGGGCAAGTTCGGAGAGGTAGCGTGCAATCATGACCGGGAAACACTGAGTTTGTGCCCAAGGATGGTATGATAGGTTGGGCATAAGACGGTTGTAGTTCAAGGGAAGGGAGTAGTGTGTCGAAGCTAGAGCTGGCATTCTCCAACTGACAGGAAAGTTGGAGCGTTCCGCACGGAATGGAGGAAAGAGAGTTTGGGACTAGGTATTGGTATGTGGAGAGACTCCGATGGCGGTAATTTCCCCCAGACGGAGCCATGCATCAGGGCGACCATGAAGGCTTGGGAGGAGCTCAACTGTAACGTTTTCTTTAGGGATCCAACTACTACTACTCTGGGGGCCAGAAAAGAGTGCACTTAGACTACGGGAGTTGCTGTCGGTAATTTCCTTCCACTTCGGAAGAAGAGTGTCTTCCTTAAGACAATGCCGGCACCACATCCCAGCGTCGGCACGGATTCATAATTGGGTTAGAGGATCTGGTGACAACCAAGTTGACGGACCCAAGGAAAACAACTGATCCAAATGCCCAGGATTGCCCAGGATATTATTCCAAAAGCAATTTTCTAGAAGGAACCTCACCACCGTGGCAATGGTCACGATGTTGCCAGACGCCGCTTGGCAAGAAACCGCAGAGCGACACTTGACGCTGCCAATGGCGGAAAAACAAACAGCATGATAGAAATGATGTAAGGATATCCCAGGAAGTCTCGGCAATAAATTTGAAGGGGCAGTGATGACTAGACTTTCACGATACAGACAAGTCATCAAAATCAAAATGTAAAACAAGAAAATGACCCAAGCCTTCGGCCTGACAACCTGGGATCCTTCAGACCGGTACGCTAGTACTCAACTCCCTCATCGAAAGATATCCCCGAGCGCATAAACAACTCCCCAGCCGACGAAAAGATACCCCGAAGGACATCCACGTGGTTGACCCAGATTCCCTTCCCCCGCAGTCCCTTGGCAACACTTCCGCCTTTTGGAACTTTCGGAGAGAATCCCGCTCAAAAACGACTGACTCGTTGCTGGCAGACTCAATGATGAAATGACAAAATAGTAACTTGTGGAAGACAACGCGGAAAGAAAAGTTTCCTGTTGATGACCTAGAGGACATGGGAATCTAGCTCTCAGCACCAAATTCCAATACGAGGTCAACAAACAAGCAAGAAATAACATGCCACTTTCTCGAAAGTATATCACCGGGCAGACGATGACAGGTTCCCTCGAACTCTAATCAACATTCCCCAGACTCTGTCCAAGAAAAAGTAGTTCCGACGATTAAGCATACCAAGCGAACCAAAGCCAAAAGAATGAAGAAAATAATAAATAAATAAATATTCATTCAAAACTAAAGCTCCTTGCAAGCTCCAAACGATATGGATATCGGAAACGGTCCTCTCGGATCATGCACCTCATCGTCATCATTCAACTCAGACGCCGACCCCTCCATTGCGGGTTACCCCACTGGGAAGGCGTACCCCTCCAAGCCTGGAAATAGAAGGGAAAGAAGCGCCGCGGTTCTGCCACCGTCAGACGCCGTTTTCCAGACCAAGAGCCATGAATTTCAGGTTGCAAGATCTTGTCCCTGACTACCTTGTACCCACTTGATTTCCATCCCAGATCCAGAAATACAGGAGCTCCACATTTCACGTCTCAAGAGTCAAGAGTCTGCAGATCAAGAAGGCTAGAAGCTCATGACAGAGGATCTACAGTACGCAAGTCGCGGTACTGGAGACGGTAGCGGTACCTGCTCTCCACGCTAGGGGGACAAAATACCGGTCTCGAGACAAGCTTTAAAGGGATGTGCAGGCTCGAGGAGGTAAACAATTCAGTTCATGCGAACGATGCGGTATGCAGGTTTTTTGCGTTTGATCAATGCAGAATCTGCAGTTGAAAAGGGAGCGGTCAGTCCCGCAGACTACAGTACAGGAGGCTTTCTTTCTTCAACAGCCCTGCGGTGAAGGTAACTGAGGACCGCGATACCCGACTTCACCGGAGTACCCCTCCTTTGACCCCCAAATTCTTCTCCAGGTTATTGTTTGCTTTTTGGAGAATGACTTGGTGTTTTTCACTAACGAGACCGGCAAGTCCTGGTAGAGTAAATAGCGAAAGAGCATTATCATTATTGCAAACAATTACAAAGTCGGCGACTTCCAACTCCTCCAAGACACATACCGCTCTTTATGGAAGGTATATTTGTACCCCTCCACCATTCATGAACCACACAGCCCTCCTCAACATCTTCTGCATCACATCAGGCTAAATAGCTTCGACTACCCTCTCCAACCGGATAACAGACACATCAGCAGTGGAGACCCAATAAACCCTTCTTGCATGTAGCCAAGTCCACATCTTCCACGCCAGCCTTACCAAAAAAATTACCCTTGTTTTCCCTTAATGAGGTATTTCCAAATCCCTTGTTATCACATATCCCAACACTATCCGAGAGTCTCGGCTATCACATCCAATGCGCACGTAATGAAATAAAATATATGACCGAGCCCTAATGAGGAATTTTTCATCCTGAAACCCAGCGAAAAGAAGACTTTGCACGCGCTTTGCAGATATAATGGGGGACGAGAAGTAGGGTGGAGACCGCACGAAAAAGAGAAGGGCCGTCAAGTTACAGCCTTGCGGATGCTTTCATGTGATGATGTCTCCACTGCATTCTAGAACTTACGGCATACGAACAGTAGCCTCGTGGCGACGGATGAATCCGAAGATAGTTATGTTAAGGCAAGATAATGCACTGCATTTGGAGAATTCGTAAGCTCATGATTCAGTTAGAAAATTTAACTTGCTGGTGCTGAATATTTCGTCCCATCCACGAGATATCGCCGACGGAGGTAGCCGAAACAAAACAAACCATATATTTCAAATACCTTGCCTAGGTAGCATTGCGCAATAATGAATTAGCTCCAATAAAGCTTGTCTCATTTGCATACCATAAGCAGTTCTTTTTATTGTCAAATAACACAGAAAAGTCAAAACGCAAACGGAACGCAAAACACCAAGTCATCCTTACCTGCAGAGATTTTCGTTTCTCCGTAACCGCTCCACCACCTCCACGCCCACTCCTGATCTTCACATGTGTCCCCAAACTCCAAAATATCGCCTCCACCGTCCAATCACCGCAGGCTCTTCACCGCCGTTATGCAAGCGCTGGCAATAGGCAACCTTCCCAACGCACAACTTTATGCTAGGTGGGTGCTGGCCCTACTGGGCTGTGCTTGAACCAATAGAAAAATTGTGAAGAGGACTATTTATGCAAAGATGTTACCTAAGGTCAAGTCGACTTATGCGCCGTGGATTAATGATTAAATTATGTTTGTAGATATGGTATGCGCGCGCGCAACGCCTGAAGCGCTGTGGTGATGTTTGTGATAGTGTTCCAACAGTGGAAGCGCTGAATCGAAACGCTGAACTGGTGAAGTTCGCCCCTGAATTTAAGCGAGAAGCCCCCAAACAAGACCAGCAAAAGGTATTAAATTGGAGTAATGCAGCTTTCTATTTCAGCTGCTGTTCGATTCTACTCTATACAAGGCTGATGGAATATTATTTTAAGGGATAAATGAATAGATGAATTGATACCCGAATACAACGTACCTTGGTACAGAAATCCCGCTCCATCTGATCTGACCTCAGCCACCATCGGCTCACCAATGCAAGAAATACGATCTCCAAACTTTCGTCACTCTCTCGTAGAAGCATCCAATCCAAATCTATACCTTTCTATTCCCTTTCCTTGTCGCAAAACCCCACGGTCATACACCCCCCAGACCATTATCTTGTCTCGTCTCGTCTACCTCCTTTCCTCTGTACATCCCCAGATACAGTCATCCTCATCCCCGGTCCAGGATCTCCTACCCCGACTTCCCCGCTCCAAACAAATCCCCTCCATCGTTTAGGAAAACACCAGCAATAGTCAAGATCTCACCTCGAAATGCAACATAGACAAGGAAGATGACCACACATAAAGGAAGTGGCTGGCCGGTCCGTCGCGCTGCAGTCAGATCAGGGTATCGTCCAGCATGCTCGGGTCAGATCTTTTGCATTTTGGTATGAGGCGCGGTCGGGGTCATATGTTCAATTTGTATTTTCAAGTTCGATTTCACGTTGAACGGAGAGGATCTGATTTGGCCGAATCGGCGACCGAGAAGAGCAGGAGGAGGGAGTGTGTTGTATTGTGACCTAGAGAGGATTCAACCGGTGCGGTCAGCGTCAGCTTTTGTTCAGCTCGTCGGCAGTTACTTTCGAGACCTGGGAGACGGTGAAGAATTGTGTACTTCAGAAATACAGAAATACAATACAAAATAATAAATGAATAAAAGGAGGGCGAGAAGTAAGCACGCTGGTTCGACTAGGCGGATCGTCTATGCAAGACACGGTCTCAAGAGGAGTTAAAAGGGTGGAGGAAATTGATGGACGAAAAGGGTAGCAAAGAACAACTCAGCACTATTCCCTGTGCAACCTCAACTTCAACAAGTGACCAGCTTCATCGCCCGGCTCATATCATGCTTCATTGTTTCACATGCAACCCCCACGGTCATCGCATATTCCAATGCATTCGTTGCCCGGCTCACAGTCGCAGTCGAACGTTGAACCTCATCACGGCATCGGCTGCCACGCCAGTAAATAGTAAGAGCAATACTTCAAGTAAGCAGAAGACAGTAAGCAGTTCTACAAACATCACCACCACAAATAGGTAATGTGTGGTAACACACATTCCCGCAACCGGGGTCTCCTCCTCCTCAGATGTGCATCAAACTTTTGAGGACATGTTCAAGAAAGCCAAGCACTAGATGCAAAGTCACGATAATGCACGTTACCACCAGCATCTCTTGTATCAGGCTTCTCAACCGGGCACTCGTTCCCCTTTCATACTGTCCCTCTACACTGTAGCACGACATATTCATTACTCCAGGAGAAACTCCAGTTAGATTCCCTTTATCCCGCTGAAGAAACCCCCACCTCCGTCATCTAAACACAATACCATCATGGCGCCTCAAGCCTCAGCTCATCCCAATGGCTGGGGAATTACAGTCAGACTTCCAGGCCGTGACACAATCCAGAAATTACATATCTAATCACTCCCATGCATGCGCGCCGGTATTGTTGTACGACACACATACATACGCCCCATCCCCATCACATCGTATCCACAAGCCATGTGTCAACACCCACCCACGCCAAGCCCTGCTGCTACCACCTGCCTGCCTACCTGTACATGTATGTATGAATGTATGTATGTATCTATCTATCTGTATGTACAACACCATCGTGAACCCCACCCGCGCATCCGCTGCGATACGACGTGATGCAACGCACTGCATCGCTGTCGTACATGCAAATGCAGAACAGAACAGAACTGTCGTACGTCGTACATACATCGGAAAGTAGGGAACATCACATCGCATCACATCACATCACATTACATCGTCTATCTCATCAGCAGCACGGTGCGGCACCACATGAAAGAAAATGACCAAAGCCACAGTGGGACGGGTGTGACTCGAGGCTGCATTTTGCTGCAGTGTACGGCGTATAAGACGGACGTGACAGGAGGGAGTTAGTTGGATGGGTTTCATTTCCTACAATAGTAATAGAATGGTCGCGAGAAGTGGTTTCGTTTCAATTCAATTCTTGACGTAGTGAGGTAGCGAGTTTGAGAGTTGTTGTCACAGAAGTCACGATAATGCAGAGAAAGGTGGGAAAGTTTGGTATACATGCAAAGGTTTTCGATTGTTTTTGGATCGCAGCTCTGCTAGCAGACTGGTCATACTACTCGCTATTTTCTTTTTGATCCTCCACAGGTGTTGTTGGTTGATAGAACAAACCCAAACCACCTATTCTTGCTCGTTCGCTTGTTCGCTCACTTGCTGGCTCATATTCTGAACCCAAGTCACAAGCCGACCCTCAACTATCGTAGCACACCATGTACAAAAATAAGGTACCACTGAAACTTCAGTTGGCCCACACAAAGATCAATCCCTGGTATCTTCCGTAAAACGCCGAGAACCCCCAAGGTCAAATGAGTTTGATCAGTTCAAGACTGGAATCAGAAACTCGGTATCAAAAAACAGACACAGCAAAGCAGCTCAAAAAGTGTGCCGCCAATCTTCTTTTCCCGTACCAGACACATGCTTTGCAACCAACGATGGAAGAAGATGCATGGCCAAAAACGCCACCCATGTTTAGGCCGTTCCGCGCGCGCAATGATGTGAAATCGAGAAATCATAACAATAAAATGTCGCTGATAAGCAAATGCTGTTGCTAAAAGCAAGAGGCATTATCCTTTGCCCAATGCCAATGCTCCGTGGTGAACCGCACGCCTGCTTCTATGCCAAGAATGCTAGGTCGATGAATGCTGATGAGGCTGTGAAGCCGATGTAGCTTTAAGTATACTTCTTCGTTTGCTGAAGGTAACTTGATGCCAACGTATATATGTTTGCCGAATGCTCAATGCGCAATCCGTTCTTGTCCCGAATTACATTATGCGACTGATATGAGTTGTTGTATCTACCATCCTCTCGAGTGGTATTCGCCCAATCCCTGACCATAGTAGTCGTTCCAGGTTGACTTCTGGGAGTCTTCCTTGTCCATGAAAGCCTTCTCGGGGTATTGCTTGAGGTTGGCGACATCATGTGCTGTGTGTCTTCGCTTAAGAACAGCATTGGCAGTCTGCGACTTCTGCTTACGCTCCCAGAGGAGATGTTGGCGAAGACTGACAGTGAGTTCCGAAGCAAGCATGTTTCGACGGGTTGTTCTTGGTGAGAGAGCCAGTTGATGTGGGGTAGTGTTTGTAGTGGTTTGAATGATAGGTTGAGCTGCTGACCGTGGGATTTCAGAGATTGGCTTGAGACCTTTCTTCATCATGAGAGGTGCGGCATCATCAGAGTCTGGTGACGCTGCGAGGGATGGTCCATTAGGAGAGGATGTGCGCGATCGATGAAGAGCAGGAGTTGATCGCGAAGCTGCAGCCGCAGTAGCCAGAGCATTGGCTCGGTCATTCTGATGAAGCATGGTGGTGATCAAGGATCGGCGCGAGGTCAAGTTCGGTCTCGAGTCGACGCGTTGGAAGAAGGTCTTCTCGTCGATGCTGGCGTTACCACTGTCCTCTACTGAATCCTCCCAATCCGAAGAATCGTCGTCATCGTCGATAGCACTCTCGTCAATCTCATCCTCGTCCGACTCGAAGACGTCGTCGTCGAAAACAGGCTCCTCCTTGATCGTCCGGGTGGCAACCTCCTCTTTGAAGGAGGTAACCTTCTTATTGGCAAGCGGTCGGCTTGCAGCCAACGCACTTTGCAGCTTCATCTTCTGAGGTAGAGAGCTCTCGTCCTCGTTTGATGAGCCGCCGAAGCTGAAGACGGCCTTCTTCTTCTGCTGGATAGGTTGCAAGTTGCTCTCCATGGAGTTGGTTTGCTCACTCAAAGAATCTTCACCTGAAGACCCACCGAGGGCGAACATGTTGTGCTTCTTGGGTTGTGGTCCTTTAGCAGCTGGAGCGTCGGTGAGGTCGGTTGTTGGGATAGACGAGGGTGCAGTAAGAAGAGGAATGGATCGGTATGATGAGCTAACATGTGAAGGCGAGAAGCCTCTGACCACGCTCGTGGTACTTCTCTCCGAGGTGGCGCTGGTACTAGATGATGCTTGTGATCCTTGCGCCGATTGTTCGGAGCCAGCATCCGAGGTAAACGAAGTGTCGACGGGTTCGACGATTTCGGGAGTGGCAGGTTGCTCTGGTTCTGGGATCTTCTGGGCCAGAGGCGCGAGGTAGGTGTGTGTGCTGGGAGCGAGTGGCTCGAGGTCCTTCTTCTCCTTGATTGTGATGACCATCCTCTCGAGGTCATCAGGTGTAATATGTCGTTCGCGGCCCCGACTCCGGCTGTTTACTGAATCGTGCCTCTGGATTTCTGGGTGGGCGATATCGACGGGAGCGGATGTTGAGGAGGAGTTGTCGGTATCAAACTCTAGAGCGTCTTCATCTAATGAGTCGAGACTTCCAGAAAGACTTGGTACCTCCGTGCAGGAGTACCGACCTTCTGAACTTCTTGATGAGATGGAGATTGCTGGAGTCGTTGCATTGGCTTCTGATACTGGATCGCAACAGAAAGTCTCTCTGTTCCATAACCTCCAGCTCAGGTTCTCTAATCTTCGTCCTTCCTCTAATGATCCTGCGCATCTGGAAAAAACTATGCACGAGTTAGTCTATGACCTGTTGGTTCGAAGCCACTTCTCTGCTCACCTGTCCACATGCTGAAGAGGTTCTCGACATTTCTGGTATCGACCTTGTGGATGAGACCAGCGTCGACGGTCAAGACCGGTGTATTTAGTCGTGAAGGCATAGTGTCTGATCTGCCCGAGCGCGCGAGCTGTTATAAGAGTGAAGACACGACTGCTGCGAGATGCTCGCGATTGAATCGCTGAGCGACGTGGAAAATGCGGTGTTTTAGTAGACGACCTGTTTGATGGTCGAATGTAGAGAGTTCCGCGCGGTCGAGGGGTAGAAGTATCGGGTGGTTCAGTTCTTTAATCGGTATCGTAATCGATAGCAGCGGCGAGATGCATTAAACGAATGCGGCGGCGGTAGTGTCGATGATGATGAATCGATGCGAAGGTGCTGGAACAGTCACGATGTGTCGATGCTGTAGAATAGTTGCACTGCCGGAGCGGAGGAAGACTGAATATGGAGTTGTACTGCGTGCGTGTGTATGCTGTTCGGCGGAGTGTGTTGTGGTTGTGTTGTTGGGGAGAAGTTGAGAAGTGCAGGAAGGGCACATATGATGGATATCGCGTATGGAAGTACTGGCCTGGCCTGGCCTGGCAGGGCAGGGCAGGGCAGGTTGGGTTGGGTAACTGGGCTAGGCCGTTTGGCGCACTAAGGTATTTGCGGTCGGGTGGACCCAGGGGGGAGGAGTTGGAGTGGGGTGGGGTGGATGCTGAGGTGGGTGCAGCACTGCAGGTGTGTGAGGTGGTGTTTTCCAAAAGGCCCGAAAATGACTAGCTGCAAGGGGTAGCATCTAAGGAATCCGCTATCACGAAAGGGGCATTTTCCTGAGATGCCGGATTGGGACGGGGACGACGCTGAACCCTTGTCGTCGTCGGGATTGCAGGGTCGGTCAGGTCAAGTCGGCGCGACAGGGGAGCGGAGAGGGGAGCTCGGAGGAGAGGGTGAGGGCCAGGGCGAGGGCGAGGGCGAGGGCGAGGGCGAGGGAGAGGGGAGATAGGCTTAGAAATTATGGGGGTGGGCAGGTTGGGAGGCATCCAGGCAACTCAGGCAAGAAAGAGCTCTTAAGTTACTCGGGCATCCTCCGATGTCTCGTCTCGTGAGTGTGATTCCTGCGCCTGTGACGATGCTCTGGCTTTGGTGCTCAGGGCATCATCCCAGCGTCCAACTCACTTCACTGCTCCTCCAGCGGTCGTAGATATTTGACCGGCGTTGTATGCATTACTGTAAGAAAGCGGTGTCATGAACCGAAATCAATCAGCTGTTCATTTTGCTGTCTCCGGTCCACGCTCGATCATCGGCAATTACTCAATTGTATAGAATCTTGCCCGCGCAATTGCTTCGTTTTTGCTGTTCCCAGTGCCAATGCCAGAGCCAGAGCCAGAGCCAGAGCCAGTGCCAGTGCCAGTGCCAGTTCCAGGCTCTCATCGCTGTGCGCAGCCTCAGTTGCGCCGCTCTTTGCCTCATCCGAAGTGCCTCCATAGCCTGGCCCCTCCTGCTCTTTGAGGTCCCGGCACCACGTGCACCCTCTGAATGGCCTCTTCAAGCCTTGGAATTCGCCATCTCTCAGCGCAGCGCACATGACCCCTCAGCACGGAAACTCCGCCCGCGGAATGATGAACACGCCCACTCTACCGGCCGCCGCGGGGGGATCCAGGCGTTCAAAGGACAGGCAGCAGAAGAAAGGAAGAGAGCAAGAAAGCAAGTTCATGTTATTGACATTATTCAGGCTCAGACTCACCCAGACTGGGTCTTAGCAGTCTCCCCGCTCGGCTTCGGACCATCTGGCAAATGATTCTTCCAGGACCCGACAGCAAAGCACAGCTGAACGCTGAAAACGATATCAGAGTTTCGTGTTCTGGCCAGTGGCAATGGACTCTAAACAGTGGGCGATGCTGGCTGGGCCTGCTGGCAATAGCGTCTTGAGGTTCCTATTTCTGACGCTGGCTCGCTCAATCATTGCAATAATGCGTTCGGTGGTGACTCCAATACAGCCAGCGGAGTCAATACGAAGTGTCGCATGAACACTGGTGAAGCAACAATGTACGGTTTCCAGTCCAGTCTGCCAGTCAATGACTCTTGAAGCACCAGCTGCAATGAACTGTGACCAGTCGTGCTACAGCAAAAGGACTGCCCTGAATCCCTGAATTTTTCTGACCGACTTGCCTGAAAGCACTGAATCGTGAAAGACTGAGAGGTGCTGGGAATAGAAGCGTGGGGTTTTGGCGGTCAACTCTTCGCCCGTGACCGCTGTTCTGTCCGACACTTCTCAGCCTTCCCCAAGAACGGAAAAGCCGACCGGTGTTCTTGGAGGATGTAATACCCCAAGGGGCAAGACGCCTCCAAAAGCCACTACCCGGCACTTCGTCTGGTCTATTGCCAATGGGGCAACATCTCTGGAAGAGGCAGTTCAGGGCTGTGGTGGCTTCGGCGGCGCTCCACCACCGGGGAGACTCCCAGAACCCCCGGTTGCACACCTCCCTTTCGCAGGGCATCAACCCGAATCTTTGGAACTCCCCAGCAAGGAGCCCTGTCTCGCTTGTCAAGTGTGCTGCACCGGTCATCGTGAAGCGAAGGCCAACCAGATTGGAAATCCCAGCACCATCATTTGACACCAACAAGTGTGAGTGAGTGGCTCGCCATGAAAATTGATAATAGCAAATAGACCCTTCAGCGACTCATCCCGCGCACTCGTCTCTCGTCTCGTCTGTCGTCTCATTTGTCTCTCGGGACGGCTTCATCATCCCCTCTCGCCGACACGATTCGTGTGTGTTATGCTGAGCAGTTCGGAATTTGCATCCTCTGAACCGCTGTCGTTGAAGGAACGGAGTATCGTGACCTCCTTTCCCCTCCTGATTGTCTCAGCCGGAAGAATGCACACGCTGGAAACGCCGTCACATTGTAGAACAAAGTTTTCCGACCGAAAGGATGCGGAGAAATGGAGGAATCCATTCACTGAGAACGATACTGGTATTTTACTGGATATTCTACGAACTTACGAATAAAGCCCGTCTCATTTCCGCTGTCATTATGGCTTGCGAGTTACGAGTTATTCGCATTGATGTCAATGGAACAACAATTCGGGTGATGGGGCCGCTGTTGTTATTGATGGCTTGAGGTAAAGGCTCCATGAAAGTTCCGAGGCTCGGATCAGTTTAGGGGACCAGATGAGGGGACCAGATGAGGGGACCAGATGAGGGGACGTCTTTTGTTCCCTTCTCGACGACGAAAACACCTCGGAAAGAAGCATTTGGTGTATCATGAAATCGATACCAAGAAGCCAAGCCTGAATACATGTGATACCCGTACCTAGAAGGGCGAGTTCATGGGTTCGAAGGATAGTAACAAGTCACGGTCACCAATTGGCACAAGAAATGTCGTGCGCCGACTTCGTACAAGCACTATACTTGGCCTACCGCATTACTCTCAAGTTTCCCTTTTTAGACTTTACTTTTCAGATCAACTTAAATGAGTCTGCTTGGATGATTAAGAAAGGAGTCATCTAAATCATCTCATATCTCAAATCGTCAATTATGGATAAAATCTCATCCGTCACACAGCAAGTCAGAAGACATCTTCAAACATCAAAAACTAATCCGCCCATCCAATGTAATATAAACTCCCGCTTCAAACGCCTACCCGCTCGCCAACGCATTCTTCCAGAAGCGCAACACACCACACCCTCAACTCACTCATATACACACCCTCATCGTAAAGTTCCACACCCTATGTTGTCACGTCTGTCCTGATGGACGGGACAGCCCCACCCAAGACAACGGGAATTACCCCAAGTTCACCCCCACAACACTAGCCCTATTCAGATATGGAAGACATCTCTCCGCTCTCCCGAACAGGAACGCCACAATGTATCCAAATAATCCATCGACAGGTCATCCTCTCAACCAAGCATTCCAAACCCAACAGAAATTCTCTTCTTCATAGGCTCTATCAATAATCCACTCAATAATTCCATTAGTCAAACCATCCATGCGAATTATTTTTCAACAACAAGCCCTACCATCGTTCCATCTTCCAAGCATCATTGAACTCTCGCAAGGTCACAGTGATTTGATTTGATTTGCGGCGCATCCATCATGTGGCTTCGCGATCACCCCAAAGCGGCTATCGTTCAGATCTCCCAACCCCCAAATCCTACCAATCTCAGCCCATGTTGTGCTGATGTTATTATCACAAATGACCAGAACACAGCATATCAGCTCCGCGCATGCATGGTACAGCACCGGCAGCTAGGAATCTACTTCCCCGTCGCCCTGCCCTGTCACTCAGCGTCGATCAATCGGACTTCCAAGGCCGGTTTGCGAGTGGTTTTTATGACTCGTTATAATTTGAAGCCACCTCAATAAATATGGCCTTCAACATTCCTATGCGGACGTATGTATGTCTTTCGATCCGCCCCTCGCAAATCTGGAACTTGGAGCTCAGGAATGTCGATTTGAATCGTGCGCGATGTCCTTGCATGCATTATCGATTGACAAGTAAAACAAAACAATTGCCATCTCGAACAATTGAATCAGATATGATGTAAGACAGAACCGGAGGAGACTCCTTGCCCCGAAACTGGTTTCTACTGGGCATGAGCGAACCCCACGTCTCCCCACGTTTCGCAAGTCGCCACATGACAATCAAAGCGACCGCAAGGCACGACCCGTACCGCCTGGTCCTCCTATCTTTCCTTCGCTGACTCGCTTTGTCAACCTGGAACTGAGGCCTCTTCAGCTCAGTCGAGTGCAACTCATCAAACCCCATCGCATCACATCACACTTCTCTTACCCAACACAAACAAATAAAAAATAAAAGCCAGACCCTTATCATATCATTCGCTATCAGATAATCAAATCATATGTCTGGCGTTAACCTTCCTATCATATCAGGATTTCTCCCCCGTCATAAGGAGAAATGACATAAATCCTGCTCTATGATTTTTTTCATTGGCTGGCAACGCGGGCCTTGTTAACCAACGAATTCAAAGGATCTCAACAAGTCACATCCACATTCCGAATTCGTTGGTTGATATTTTTAACCACGCTCAATTCCTGAACAGCAGCCCTGCGCCTGCGAACTCTCCAGCGTCCTCAAAATGCGAGTAATGTACGCAGTAGAAGCCCCTGAGCCAGGCCGGCAGCCAGGCGATGAAGAAAAAAAAGGGGGTCATGCGCAGCCCAAACACACTGCAGCACATCAGCCTGTGCTTTCCAGCGTTTGAACAACTCATGAAACACGCCCGACTGCACACAGATCTCCCTAACGCAAAACCACGCCTAACAAAGGCAAAGCAACAACGCAGCATGGCGACATGGGGAAATATCGATCACACTCACATCTTAGCACTCTATCTATGACTCTGGTGTTGTCAAAGCTCGCATCGTGGATGAGATCACTTGCCCATTCCAAATCTGCTTTGCTTTGAGTTAATCGCTTGTGCTGCGCTCTGTATCGCTGACTGACAGCGGGGCGGATCCTCGCGCCGTGGTCGCGGTCTGTTATTGTTCGCTACCGTACATCAGGCGAGCTGAATGCTTGGGCGAAGCCTGAATATCGATCAGATGGGCAGCAAAACACAGCTATAATGGTCTATCGGACTGGCTTTACGCGCCCGAGACAACTGTACCCATAGTTAGGCAAGTATATTGGCAAAATAATTATTTGATTTGATTTGCAGGCAAGGTAAGAAGGAAAGCAAGGTGCGTGATGGACGATCCGAGCGGCTGGTAAACGTTCTGCCCTGCTGAAAACAGGATCTGCCTGTCCATCTGCGAACTTTGGGGTTTGACAGCGCAGAGGTCAACTCACGCGTGACAACTCTACTACCTTGGAGTATGTACGTACGATGGTGGATGAGGCACGAAGCCTTACTCAGCCTCGAGTTACAGTTACTACATCATCATCTCAGCCTGGCTGTGGCAAGCGACGACACCTGCATGAGCTGAGCGGAGGAAGGCTGCTCGTGATATCCTGTCCTAGGTAAAGTATATCACAGCAAGGAATCTATGGAGTAGAAGCGATATGCATTGGATGAGGAACGAAGCCATTATGTCACATATGACTCCCATGGGGCCAATCCGCCCTGAGCAGGAATCCCATTAAACTCACCATTAAACTGGAAAGTAACGCTCTCCAGTCTCGGAAGCAGAATGTAACTCGGTGCTTACGTCTCTCAATCTCACCAATCGGAGCTGCTGGTATCCCTCGATCTCATCTCATCTCACCAGATCAGCGCGTCCTCCGAAGTCACGATAGGTGCAGTCGATCTATTATTTGGTGGTAGTCACAAACACAAAACACAAACAATAACAATTCGGCTTCAGGCACCCATCTTCAATAAGGGAGCCCCAAGATTCCCCACGCGGCCGCCACAATGCCTATTTGTGTTTGTGTGGAGGTGCCCTGTGGTTCGGGATGCAAGCCGCGGTATCGAAAAGCATCACGAGGACGACTTTGATACTCAGCCTTGCCTGCCCTGCCAGCTTGGGCCTTCGCCACCCCTATGGAGGTCGAAGACTCATCAACACATATCACGAAGACGGAAGCGGAAAGCGAGACGCTGCAAACGAGTTGCCTGCTTGCGTGCGCTTTCATCCTAAGCGCCTGAATGGAATGCGGCAGCGATTAAATTCCAAAGAAACACGCCTAGTAAATAATGGATGAACCAATAAATACTGTAAAATAAATTGTGATAAGAATAATAATAATGCACCGAATAATGACTTCCTCCCCACGGTTCGGCAACATCCTGCAAGGAACGACCGAGAGACATCCTTGGGTCCCTTTCCATTGCGCCGAGCAAAAACGATGACAACGACCCTTCCAGCCATGGGCTTGCCATGCAACGGCGATGCGAAATGCCAAACAAAATCAAGAATTTCCATTTCGGCCCTTCTGTTTCGCTGGCGAGGGTCGGAAAAGGGTTCGAGTGTTTGACATCATCAATATCCCCATGGGGTCGTGTCGAGGTGCTGGTCAGGTCACGACCACAACCTGATTTTTCCTGACTTTGACCGGACTTGCCTTGACTGGTCTTGACTTGCTTCGCTCCTCCCTCTTTCGGCAATTTGCCGTTTCCTTATCCCGCCCCCCGCCAAGCTTCTCCAGCAATCCCGCTCGGTCGGCGGGATAAGGTGCGGAGAAATCTGGGGTCAACTATCTTTCACAACGTCTCCTTTTGCTTGTCTTTTCTTGGTATCAAACTGTTCATTAATTATTTTGAAATTATTTTTCAGCGTCGAAAGGATGATGCAACGAGTTCAAAGTGGCCTAGAATTTCTAAGACATGGAGAAGTCCAGGGTAACATGGTAAAGGAATATTCCCATTCGGTCGCATGTATCTTGTACCTCGGGTCCCACAGCACATCTCCACTTCAGCAAGCGCGCCGCTATCACAAGGAGATATCGCCTCCAGATCAGTTTCGCGGTAGCAAATCGACCCTTTTCACATGCGCGCGTGTGAGGTACCATACTCCTTAAATTCCCGATATCAACAGTCTACTATGGAAATGACTACTGAAATTGAAACCCAGAGTCGTGTATGACTCCTCTTCAAAGCTCTAGTTTAGCATAGCATCGCAACAAACGGAGGTCCTCCGTATCCAGCTCTAATATGTGATATCCCCGCCAATCATAAATTTCAAAACTGAATTTCCTCGAATGTCGAACCATTGAACATAGTTAAAATGGCTTGTTCAGCCTAGCTGTAAGGACGGACATGACGGACTGTATTCCGCCTGCGCATTCGCAGCTGATTCAGTACGAGAGTTAGAGCAGGCTTTCGTGGCTTGCGCCTGACCTTCAATTCTGGGAGCGCATTCGCGCTTAGATTAAAGTTCGTGGATTCCACGCGTGAGGGATACACTAGATGACGGCAGTGTAAGGTGGCATTTTCAAGCGACCCTTCTTCTCTTCTCATCCTCTTCCCCCAACTTCACTATTCAAATAATGGTGCATTATGTACCCCGCAAGCAAGCCCGCACCAGACCCTGCGTCGTCCCATGAGTATCATGCTTTTGCCTTTGAAAGTAAAGCGCACCGACCATGAGAAGTCCAAGATGTCAAGCACCAGACTGCTCGTGATGCTGTTGGGAAAGTGATGAGCATAGTCAGCTGCCCAGCCCAGCGCAGCAAAAATACAGCCGAACGAATCTCCTTACTTTTTTGGAGAATATCTCTCACTGCAGTTAGGATGCTACGAGCTCTACCTTGTCGTCTTTCTTGCTTGACCTTCCAAAGATAGGCATCATTCAGCTACCTAGAGACTACTAAATTACGTTTCCCCGGATCCCCCGATTCCAAGACGTTTCATTCATCATGCCACAAACTCACGATCTCACATGCATGCAACTCCCGGCTTGCGCCCCGGCCCCACCTCCACATGGCATTTCCCCACCCCATACATCCCCTCCTATCAATTCCAAATCCTCCACTGCTTCAGTGCATAACTCGGGACCTCTAGCTCGTACTCACAATTTCCGAGTTCCCCAAGACACGGCGAGTCAATAAATGAAAGTTCCATTCCGCACCCGAGGCAGTGGCACACGACGTGCAAAAAGTTCATGGGGATAGCCTTTATCCGCGGTTGATATTCAGCCTGTCTGGCCGTGTCGGCTAGCAGCCGGATGCGGATTTTCCAGAACATCTGGAAATTCCGAGTCAGCTCACCTCTCTATGTGCAGAGAGACAATCGGATACGGTACCACCAATTGCGAAACTGATCGAATGCGACCTCGCCTTTCTTTTGCGGTGCAAAGACTCTCTTCCTCTCATTGCTACCTTGGCAAGGCTGCCTACATACGCAGCGTCGTAGTTGACAACTCCTTACCAAACTCTCTTTAATATATCTCACCCGCTGCTTTCGGAGGTTTGTTATGACATGTCAACTCTCCAGCCTTGCAGCGCCAGTAACAGGAGAGCAACAAACTCTCCCAAAATCTGGTACAGTGCGTACCGTCACACATAGCGGAGAAAACCCCTCTTTCTCTCCATCCTGCGTTCGCTTCCAAGCAGCTGGACAGTTTGGTAGCTCAGCCTTCCCTATGAAGCCTCAAAGGGTGTGCTGGAAAACTGGTAAAATAGAGTGGCGGCCAGGGGATCAACCACAATCTTCCCCGGCACCTGTGCCGTTAGGGATTAGTCTGGGGTGCTCCAGGGGGTGCGGCTCGGCTCTTTCCCCTGAAAAGTGATGCGGAGGATGGTGAAGATCAGGCGCTGTGCATCATCCACGACTCGCTTCCATGGTCGGATACACCCAACGTAACGCCGTGGGTTGGATAGACAGTTGCGATAGGATGATCAGAAGTGATTGAAGTCCTGATTTGGATACTCGACATTGATTTAATTAATCGAATGCCTCATTCCCAGGTAAGCTGAGTGAATAATGTATTTCCGTCCCCGGATATATACATTGTTATGAATTAAATAGAAAGAAAGGTTTCGGACGAACAGTCTCATGGCATTGTTTGCTCCTAGCGAGCCTCTCCCTGTGACCAGTTCCCGATCATGCAAACTCAGTAGTCCCCACCCAGTGTACACCTGCATTACCTCAGTCAATAAAGATTAAATAGACCCCCTTGATGAATTGCCAAAAATGGACAGTAGTCAGTTGTCAGAAGATGGAGCCTTTCTGGAACATATCAAAACACAAAAAATTAAATCAAACAATACTCGGACGAACTCTGCCCAACGCCAGAGCCCGTCATCGATTCGAATTGGGAAGTGTAATTACTGACTCGGGGCGTCGAGAACGCTGATCAACATCGCATCAACCAATTTTTTTCTCGAAACAGAAATCCCGGTGTCTCATCTGAATTTCGGGACGGGCCTCGCAGCAGCCCAGCCAAAGGAAAGCGCCGTCGCGCAGAAGGATGTTTCAAAGCCACTTCACGATTTTGAGACCGCACGATGTAGCCTGAACGCACGATGTTTCGTGCTGCGAGTCAGGTTGAAACTTTGCTGGTGTGATAGGGGTTCGTCACGATGCCATTCTTTGCATTTTCACTCGACCGCGGAAGCAACAGCCGGTGCTATGGCAGTTCAAAGCCCAGGAATGGTCGCGAACTCTATTTGTTGGTTGCAGCAGATCGCATGAAAGTGTTGCTGCATGGAAGCCAGAGAAGAGGGTGAGAGTTTGGCGATTGAGTTCTATCAAGTTCCCCAGCTGCGACTCAGTAAAGAAGCTTCACCTTGGTAATAGATGTCGTGATGGTATTTCGGAACATTGCCAAAATTCAGGTCACAGTTCGTCTTCCTCAAGCCCCTCGGCTGATCACTTCGTCTTCGAGGGAGATGTCCCTGATATGCTCATACGATCCGGACCCGACAAACAAACAGTCGGAAATCAAGCCTCTCCTCATTCAGCAGCTCAGCGAAACTCTTGCCTAATCCGTCGTCACGAAGGAAAGAAGATCTGGGTTTGCTCAGACCACATCAATGATCAGTATCCCCAGGACGACGGACCGTCTCGCGGACACCCTCCCGAGATTACAACTGCCAGCGTATCTGAGAACACCCTGCAATCAAGGATTGCCATCGCAGAACGGTCGGACCAGAGTCCCAAATAAATAAAATGAAAAAATAAAACGGCCATGCAGTAGAAATAATAAAATTGAATATCTTTGACCCCTGGAAGCAGAGGGCATGAACACCCGCCTCCCAAAAGCAGGGACAGACGTCGTTAAGGTTCAAACTGAACCCCTGACCAGCCATGCCATTGGAACGCTGCCCCAGAAAGCATTCCAGAAAGGGATTTCCGGAAGCAACCCTTTGACCATCACTGGCCGCGGAAGCTGGCTCTGCGACCCGTCCACCGTAGCCTCTTCCTCTCCACGAGGCCCTCAGGATCAAGGTATCGGCAAACCGTGAGCTTGACTCTTCACTCTCTCCCCAAAGTCTATTTTCTCGGATGGGGTCTCAATGACGAGTCGACGACAGCTACGCAAGTCATGAGCAGAGAATGCGCTCGAGAGGATGTTCATTCTTTCCATTATCTGCTCTCTTTCACATGCGTCTGCACTGCAATGCAGTGCGACTAAAATGCTCCCGGAAGCGCGTCGTGTGCAATCAATGATCGGAAGTTTTGAGGCTAATCATCTCCATCGCCGGCGCAATCTAAAGCTGCGCCAGTTTTGCATCTGCCATGCAGGTACCAAACTCCTTCACAGCTCTTTTCCCTCGACTCCATTGGTGCGCATTTCCCACTCTCCTTCTATTTCACGTGCCAGTCGTGTCCCCAGCAATCCATTTCTTCTAGCGCAATCCAAAAACGCCTTCCATGCGTCTGCCCCCTGCGTTTCCCGCCCTGGATCCCTGGGAACCACAATCCATGCGCTCCACTCACCTCCATGCAACGCACTCCACCCTTTTCCGCCGGCTCGCCATGTCCAGCGGTCCGACTTCACACATGGCATTTTTTTCACATCACGCCCCACGCGTAAGCGCCGCCTCACCAATGGCCATCCACGCAATTGTGCCAGACGGAGATCAAAAGATCCAGGCCTTGTCACCTCCCTGTCGGTTCTCCCCGCTTTGGGCGAAAGAGAAAGGCCGGATGAATGCGGACCTCCCTGGCTAAATTGCTGCCCGAGCTAGACTCCTTGGAGAAATTATCTGGACCAAAGGACGACGGGGCGGAGAGGGGAAGGAGGAGAAGTTTTTCCGTCCGGCGCAGACGATCGGGACATGTGATGAGGGGTTGGTTCTGTGTCACGAGGGATTGTTGGATCTTGTGCTACTACGTCTTGCAAATTGTTGGTCGACGAGGAGAACCTCATATCAGCCTCGATGCTGTGCCACAGCTAATACTCGGCATGTAGGACCGGTGTCCCTCCTTCGTCGCCTTATTCCATCTTGAGAAAAAAAGGAATGTTCTCAATCGAGAATTCAGTTCATCATCTGAGGTTTTCATCTCCAAGAGCAGAAAAGAGCTGCAAGTCATGCGGTGCTGACCGCCACTTTTCTCCAATGGCAAACCGAACATGTCGCCGACAACGTTACTTTTCTTCCCCAGTACCAAGATTCAGCAACTCCACCAAACGAAAACGAACAGGATCTCCCTCCCTAACCAGTGATATGGAGAGAAACCAGTGATATGGAGAGAATTATTACAATTAACCCAAAATATCGCGCCATGGAAATCCAGACTTCCCCCGGGCCCCGATTAATTGCAAACAAGAAGAGGAAAATCACGCACTGGGCAGGATACCAGGGTTTTATCCTTACCTTTACCCACAATTCCCATCAACTTCCAATCTGAGCCCATAGTAATGCAGGGTCTTTCTCGCTGACAGCTTCCCCGACCCCAAAACACCGAGACCACCGACCCAGCCCAATGGAAACGAATTACCAGCGATCGAGGATTTGAAAGTGATTGAATCCTTGGTAGAAGAGGAGTGTATCCACCTCTAGGAGTTGGGAGAGGAAAAGATGGGCACCTCCTCGTCGGAACTCTCCATTGTTGTCAGGTAATCTGGGGTCATGTCGGTAGGTGTTCGATTTCTCGACGCCGGCCCAAGCGATGTTTTGATAGCATGTTCATGTCGCCGGATTATTGGCGTGTTCGGTGAGAACTTATCACAAGGTGATATTGAAGAGGGGAAGTGCCTTGAGAGGAAAGTGTCATGATGATCAGAGCTCTCCCTCAGGGGGTTCACGCCGCAAACAATTGTTTTCCTGACTTGATTTATTCTCCCCTGTTCTTGCTTGTCCATTATTCTTATTATTTTTTGCTGTGCCCTTATTTTCAAACAGCGGGTGCTCCCTGCGTCTTTCCTTTTTACAGAAGGCGCAAGCCCACCGTCTCGTTTCGTGTTGTCTTATCCAGTATTGAACCCTTAAAAAGAGCCATCACTTCGTCACCCAACCCCCCAATTCACACCACCACCCAAACCCCCACGCGGGATGCTCTTTCGAAGTAGAAGGTGGGGGGACCAAATACCTGGCATGAGCGTGGCATTTCAATTCCGTGGGATTGGATTGTGCGTGGAGCTTATCTTCTGGACGCCTATCACAGGTGTCAAAAGTGCACGAGTGCCAAAACCTGGCAGGAAAGGGAAGGTCGTTGCTGCTTGGCCAATATGTTTGCTTCATCCGGAGACCTCAGTATTGGAAAGGAAGGAAGGGACGGCTGTTTCCGGTTTCAAACTCTCTTCTGTGATGAGCAGTCGCTACCCACTCATTGTGATAGTACCAATCCTACAATGAAAGCACGCAAAAATCACTTACCCTTTCGATCACTTTTCAAGCTCTCATTTGTGCCTATCAAACCCATCATATTCAAGTCCAAGACCCCGTTAATGCACCGCAATCAATACCTAGCCCCATCCAAATCTCAAGTCCACGGCTCGCTCCTACCCTAAATGCCAAACCCCAATCGTCGCTTCCCCCTCTAATCAATAAAAAAAGCAAGTCCCAAAAGTATCAAGGTTGATATCTGATCCCCTCCCAAAAGAATTTAAGAATTAAATTTACAGTAAAGTAAATCGGAATAATACCCCATGTCCTCCCCAAATACAACATTCATTCAAATCACCGTCCGTCCATCCATCACACCTTCCTTTCTTATTCCTTCCACCAATCACACCTGCATTCTTGGCTATCACCTCCCTCAGATCATCCTCAAATCCAACGAGCAGCAAAGATTGTTAACGGTCCAGACCCCCCACCCACCCACTTCCCGAAAACCAGTTCCCCTTTTAGCGCCGGGGAAGCAGACTGGACTTTCCGCGAACCAGCGTCCTGGGAATCGCACTTTCTCCCCCTCGCTTCCCAGAACCGCAATCGCGAGTGTCCCCAACGCCGACGCCATCTCGGCTTTCTCATCTCCTTCGCTTTCTCCTCTGCTCTTGACTTCCCGCGTCTCGCCCTGACTTGACTTGAAGCACGGCAAGAAACGTGGAGGCAAGCGTGATTGATGCGTGAGGAGAACGCCAGATTTCACATGTGGAAGGAGAAAGGGGAAGGGGAAAAGCACGTCTTGTCTTGAGGCTGTGAGTCTGTGACACGCTTGATTATTTTGCGTTCTTTACGCGTCGTGCATATGTGAAATTATCAACACGACTAGAGGAACGTCGAAAGGCTATTATTGTAAGGTAGGTCCTGTAGAATGCTCCACGGGATCGGATTCACTACTCGATAAACAGATAAGCTTGCTTACCCCTCAGGTAAACATCGCTGCTTCCAGGCCACTCATCTGGACAGTTCATTCCAAAGAGGACTCAGTCCGATGTTGTGGTGTGGTGTTCCTTTCGCGTTTACCTTTCAAGCACTGTTCGTTTAAACCGTGTTGATCTGTTTATTTCACTCCTCCCCGATACTTCCGGACCCTGCACCCGTAGTAGTTCTGTGCACCAGCTCAATTCTTGTTTCGTTCTTGTTTATTATTATTATTATTATTATTCATTCATTGGGATTTATTTTCTTGGTCATATCAAGAAAGAAGCGCCCACGTGTATCCGCCGATTCCTGAATTGGGCAGCACACCGATACTGGATTGTGGTTTGCGTCGGTGGCGGTTTCGTGGCTTGACTGGGGGCTGACAGCTGGAGCGGAGACCCCTCCGTGGCTTCCTCCACTTTGTCTTCCAGCTCCAACCTCACGCCGTAATTCCTATTTCTTTTTCACAGTATCCCAGTTCTCAGCTGGCCTGAAAGCAATATCTCGACTGACGTTGGTGATGAATTGCCAACCAATGCTTCAAACAAGCTCCCTTTTTGATTTTTGTCAGGCCACTTCGTGGTATCAGGTTGTTGGTGTTGGATTTCAATCTTGGAGAATGAATCGGATCGATACCCGGTGGTGATCCTGATGCGTTCCTCACCAGGTGCCCAGCAAGATCTCTACCCGAGATATGAGATCGCTGCTACTGTACGGTTACCAGATAGCTGCCGATGCGGGTGAGAATGCGGGTGAGGAAGCAGCATCTCGGTCGGATGTGATAGCTCACATCTTGCAAGAGGACATACTGAGTATCCAACCTCTTTCAATTTATGTTTGTGCTTGTTTTGTTACTTCTTGTTTGTTAGGTTTGTGTGATTCTTTCATTTTTGATATAACTAGTAAGTTTTGTCAAAATATTCTTCAATATTACTTACTTCTAACAGGATCAGTCATGTTGTTTATATCACTCTTGTTTCTCATATCCAATCTATCATTTATCGCAAAACCCACCGCTCGGAGCATTTCTCCTCAGCGCAGCGGCAATGCAGCTCCATTTCCCCGCCTTTCAAGTGATCAAGTCATCGTTTTCCCCCAAAACCAACCTCCACCAACAAAAGCATATCGCCAAGCTCAAGCCTCAAATGCCATATTCAGATGCCAACAGCCACTATCCAACTCTCCAACCCAACCTGATGAGCTCAGCATAATCTCGATTCCAATCTAGATCCGATCCGATTCAATAGCCATAATGTCGCCCTAAGACGAAAACCAGGGAGTTGGGATCGTTGAATTGCAGAGGTACTGCGGGAGAGAATACTGTAACGGCATGTCGCCCGCCGTCACGCTGTGTGCTGTGTAACGACCTGCCCGGATGCCCCTCCGCCTCTCTCACATATTTTCTTCTTCTCCTGCTTGCAAGACCCTGCAGTACACACATGTGCGGTACGGTGCGATGCGATGCGGTGTATTGTGCAGAGAGTGGGAATGAAGAAGTAAGTAACCGCCTGCTTTCGATCTTGATACTTTACTCCGTGAATTGTGCGTCTATACGCTGTGCCGATTTCCCTTTTTGGCGGGGTGCATGGTGAGGGTGAAGGAGCCGATGATGTGAAGTAGTACTGTACACGACACCAGGTACAAAAGAGACAGGAGAGCTGTGGTACCTATGTACTGGTTCTGCTTCTCTGTCAAATGTGTAGAAGCATTGGTGGGATGCTTGCACATTCTTGGGTAGATAGAAGCATGCGCTGCGGGAACGGCTATGCAACTCTGTCCTCCGTTGAAGATTGCATTATTCCAAGAAATTCATGATGTACCTGTCTTACACTGATCAAGATATGTGTACAGTTTCTTTGCATTTTCAACATCAGAACCTTGCCTTCTGCACACCGCATCCGTCGAAATGCCAATGAGGTATTGCGCGTGCATTTGCTTCTTCTCCCACTCTCTCAGTCTGCCTACTTACCTACCTGCATGCCAGGCATGTTGTATTGGATTTTTATTTTTTGCGGACATACCTCCGGCCCAGATTCCCATCACATCACCAACTCCATACGTATACCAATATACTTTCCCTTGCCATTACCCACAATATCCATAACACACGTGCCCGTCGATCAATATCTCAGCGTCCCCCTTACCTGCCCATCCCAACTCCTCTCCCCCACGCTGCATGTACTACTGCCCGCACTGCGCAGGTGACGAGAACCCGGGACGGTAGGAAGGGTGGTGACAGACCCGCGTTAAACAGAAGCAGTGTCACTGAGAAAATGGAAGTGGCACAGCTTGGTGCAGTCCTACCCGGGGTAAAGATATACATATGTTCTTGTATATATATGCATGTAGGGCAGGATGGCGTACGGACAGATCTCCGAGTGTGGAGAGGTCTAGATCTTGGTGCCGATGTTGGTTATTGGCTGTGGCTGAACTGCAGAAATGGATGAGTGTATTGGGTAGGGCGTTGGTATAACTCGGACGGGTTGGATCTTGCTGGGTCGTGATAGAGCAGTGGGTTGTACGGGTTTGTCATTGGACGTCCAGTGTGGGGGTTGTACGAGGGTCGATATTAGAAAAAGGGGGAGGAGATGAGTAAGAACGAGAGGAGTTTCCTTGGTTACATATTGAAATGCAGTTGCTGATCCTTTATATTCTTTGGGCAGCGAGGTAAGCCATGTGATTGTGTTTTAGCGAGCAGTAGCTGACGGGAAGCCTGGAGCAAGTAAACACTCGTGTCCTAAGCCACCCACAACATTCAGCTCGTTGAGGAACAACAGCCGTCCACTCTCAAAGTAATACAGTACACAATTGACGACCCACTACACAGAATCTATGCCTGATGCAAGTAATTCTTCGGCTTCGCGTCTCCCCCAATGCGCCTAAACTTCCTCTTGTCCTTCCTACTCATCTTTACCTTATCCCTCGTCCCCTTTCCTCCCTCCCAAAATCCACCAACGCTCTTCTTCCCCACCAAACTCCCATGACAGACTCCGCAGTCCTCCGGTTTGTAGTTCTGCTCTCTCGAGCACCATCCACAGATCATGCGATTCGCCCATTCGTTCGGATGGTCCTCTGCTTCATCGTGGCACTTGTCACACGTATACACTTTTGAGCAGCAGCTGAAGCGAAACCAGCGGTAGCTCTTTGTGTAATGTCTGCATCGGCCTCGCTTTGGCAATTCAGTACCTGGTACTAAACCGAGTGTTTCGCGTTTGCGGCGGGGTCCAGAGGATGGTGGGAGGCGGTTTGTGGAAGAGATGCGGAGGAACTTCACGGAAGGGATCTTGAAGGTGAATTTTTGGTGGCATTCTCGGCAGATATTACTGGTTGATTCGCCTTGAACAGATATAATTCCAGGAAGAGGATAGACAGTGGAGCATTGTGAGCAAGTTGGAATGAATGTGCTAGAAGTTGTTAGTCTTCACTGCAGGTAATGAGTAAATAAAAGTCTGGGATCATACCTGGGTAGCATGTCGCCAATGATGCAGCCTTCTAGGTCGAGGAAACCTGCCCTGACTGCGTGGGCGTGAAGGAGATCTCGACGGAAAGTGACGCTGAAAGTAGTCGTGCATTTGCGACAGCTTGGAGTTTTGGTCACGCCATCCTTCAGTCCCTTGACCTCAGTGGTGTCCTTGCATCTCTCGCATTTTACGGAGATATTCAAAGCCACAACCTCAAGTAATTCGATACCAAACAAGTCCAAAAATGGGAAAGAGATCGCCGTACCGCGTTCAGGATTCTGAGCTGGCTGCTTTGACGTTTCTCCATTCCCCTCTGGAACTTCGACTCCGCCTTCTTCATCAGTAGTCTCATCTCCTGTATCATAAGAGTCAAAGTCGAGGTCGTCCGAGTCAGAAGCTTCGCCTCGTTCAATGAATGTCCACTCTGGAGGTCGAGTAATGTATTGAATGTGGCTGCGTTCCGGATCTTGATGACCTTCAATAGCAGACTTTGTGACCTCTGTTTCCTCTCTCACAGGTAACTGGATTATTGGAGCTGGTACAGGATTGGCTTCTAACTTCGTCTTTGCCAAAAGATGCATATTTTGTGCAAGATAGTTGACATGACCAGTCAATGTAGTGGCTTTCTGCTCCGTCGACCGTTGAAGAAACCCAACTTCGAGTGGCTTAGCCTCGGGAATATCTAATTTGTCCAGCTTAATCCGACAAGGCTGTAGGGGATATAAGAGAGGAACAAACAAAACAACGGCTTTGACAGCCTGTAAGGAAAGAGGTAAATCGGTTCTTCGCTTGGGCTCAAGAGGAAGGGTGTAAGCGATTCCATCAGGAGACATCTTGTAAAGAGGTAATCTTTTCATCCGAGCTTCCAGTTGTCTAGTCTCAACTTCTCTTCTCTTCAGAGCTTCAGCTTTCTCTTGAGCCGTGTATGTGATAAGTGGTTCGACATTTCTGAGAGTTTCTTTCCCAACTTGTATACTTGCAGCCGCTTCTATCAATGAACTTGCAGGCCTGAAAGCGGGCTCAACTGACCTTGAAGGAGTCGCTGAAAGATGTCGGGTATCCTTGTTCGGCAACAGCTTTATTGTCTCCGCCTTCGGCGCAGATAGGAAAGCTTCAAGGTTCTTGTCAAGACACTTCATGAGCTCCAATAGGGTAGACTCTGGCTTCTCCTTGACCATATTATCGAAACCATATTCGACATTGAGAGAAAAGCCTCGGGGGATGTCTTTGTTCTCAACCTTCAAAGAGGGTCCCTCCTTCGGATATGCGACTGGTACTGAAAGTAAACATTCCAAGGATGTCATCTCAAACGGGAAGTCCGGGTCTGACGGTGCAAGGCTGAACTTCAGGAGTGTGGCTCCCCCACCTGGTTGCTTGGTCTCCTTTGGAGAGAAGCGTCTTCGAATCTGGCCTAGTTGAAACTCTCTCGGATCTTGAGTTTGGATTTGTGGGACTGGTTTTGCTACCACACGGGAGCTGGGTACGGGTTTTGTAACCGCTTGACGACGATCCTGTATCAATCCATCCTCTGTCACGAGTTGGCCAGCAGCTCCTTCGACAGATGATTCGGGCATCTCATGAGTTGGCTTTGCATTGGGTGCTCCGGGAAGTCGTGTCTCATCATGCAAGAATTGACACTCGTTGCCCGCCCGACAATAACCTATTGTGTCGATCAGCGCTGGCCTCACTGTTCTCATGCTCTGCTCTCATGTCCTTCAATCGTCGGGCAAGTATCACGTGGAACTCGAGGAGGCTATGGTGACAGAGCCAGGATCTGGTTCCCAACAATTCGATATCAAGATGTCAAATGCTTTGGTCCCCCACGCCCGTAATAAGCGGTGAAAATCACTTGATACATAACACATGCTGCACAACACACTCCTGCATATGCAAATAAAGGCGCATCGAGCCAATGGAAATATTCACAAAAAATAGGAATTAAATACCTGCTCTGCCGAAGTATCGGCAAACCCTTGTTTTCAGCGCTGATGCTGCTCCATCGTGCAAGGCGGAATCATGGTTGAGTGTAGGAGGGATGTCTGCCAACGCATCAGTCAACCGAAGCAGATGACCCCGACCTCAGCCACGGGCCGCCATGATATGCATTGCAACCTCTGTCTCCAGTGCGATGCATATGGTGTGGAGGCACTGAGGAAGGCGGTGTGGGCAGCTGCTGACCTGTGTGGGCGAGATGAGGGGAAATACTCGTAGTGGCTGGATCAGGGCTGGATGCCATAATTTCAACTTGATGACAACGACAGTCGGGCGTCGGGGCGCGCGGATGTGGAGAGATTGGCTGACGATAACGAGGAGGGGACGACTGTGATGAGAGAGCAGATGCACTGCTGTGTGTTGATTAGAGAGAACGAAATAATGTCCAGGTATCACAACTATAGAGTTGCTTAAAGAGAACGAGCGGAGATGTTCTTATGATTTGATTTGAATGTCGTCGTGGTTCGGTTGTGATCACGAGAAGTCAGGTCGACGCTGCCACGCGAGATTGATGAGTCAAGCAGCGGCAGAGCCTTTGCCACAAGAGTCACTTTGGCCTCTCATCTGAGTCACCGTTCTCGAGTTTAGGAATATGCAGCAAGGCAGCGGATAAACTCAAAGTGAGTGAGAATGATCCATAGCTACCTACCTCGGCGGGGGCTGTTTTATTATTATTTGACGAATTAAATATTATTATTTATTTGATTCAAGTTTTGTTTTTGTTTTCGCTAATCGCCGACACAAGCGTCAATGACATCATTTATTGAGTCTCTGTTGACGCCTCAAAACTCCCATATCTCGGTCCAGCATCGGTTTCCAAGATCTTATCCCAAGTGTCGATTAACGAGAATGTTACTGTTTGTAAAACCAAGGTTACTTCAGCCTTGTATCGTCATGATTGGTCTTGTAATTGTCTGTAGTTTTCTGGAGTGATTGCCAAGGCGCGGATGCGGCAGGTCTGTTGTCCTTCAATTCCTTACCATGTTCCAGCTGATGGTGGCTGACAGTGTCAGATAGTGCTTGCTTGTGTTTTCCCTGGTCTCGGATCTCAACGTCAAATGTCTCATTTCCCCACCACTCTTGTGGTGGGGTTTCTATTGCTTCATTCTGGTCATTCTTCGTTTGAGGCTCAAGTGCAGCCGATAGTCTCTTGATATGGGCACTAGCCTGTGAAGGTGTTTTCTGTTGTACATCTGCCCATTCCACATCTGAGCAGTCATAAATTGAAGACTGTTTCAAGCTTTAGGCTATCTTTATTTGAATTCAAACATGTACTTGTTACACCCCAGCCTCGCCGGGCAACCCCAACATCGTTACGATTTGCAGACTTCAGTCTTGGATGGAGATTGTGAGGTCTTCTGCAAGAGGTCGACATCAGAGACCTGCATTCTCACCTTTACTTCTTTGCATACGGACTCCTTACCAACTTCAGTTAAACTGGCAGTCCCTTTTTGGCGAGCAGATTAAATGTAGTGATTTCTGGCAGTCCCAGTACTCCCCTCATCACTGCAAGGGATGTACCTAGGTTGATTGGAATGAGTTCTGCGTCAAATATCGTGAACTTCAGCAACAAGGTAGGCTTTACTGCTCAAATATTCATCAGCAGCTTCTTGTCCTAATTATGACAGTGGAGTTCGGATCTGAATCCCACTGCTTGTTCTATCGGCCATTGTTTTATTGACTTGCAATATAATCAAGTGACATGGAAGGGCTTACCCCTTCTTCAGTTTCTACAGAATCTTTCTTGATTCGAACACCACAAATAGCTTGTGGAGATTCTGGCCCCCAGATTGTGTTGTTCAATGTCCATGGCAAATTTTCTTTGTCGTTGTGACCTGCATCGCGGATTCAGTCCATTTTTGTCACAACACCTGAACAGTCATTGTCATGGAGTACAAAGCTTTATCATTATCAAAGAGATTTCGATTCTTAAGAGTGAATTATTCAGCGCCCGGTCACAAACTAATTATGTTGGTCATATATTCTCATGACCAACACAGAAGCGCACGAACACTTCAAAGAATTCTAACCAGACACCTTGGTGCAGCACACCACGCCAGAAGCACGTAGAGATTTCACACCCTCCGAGCGAGGAGAGCTACGAGGGCTCCAAAATTGATCTACCCGAAAAGACATGCCACATTTTCAGTCCTTTCCATCCTCCGCACCACCAATCCCGCCACAACCCGTCCCCGGCTTCCTCTGCCTCCAAGTTCTTCTCCTCTACGAGAAATGCGGCCACATCGAAACACTCTTCCTCCACGAGCACCCTTGCACAAAGCAATACCGTGGCTGGCTTCCCGAGCCTTCGCAATACGTGCAAGTCAAAGGTTGCCTCAACATGAATCGGCACTTTGCCATAAAACGAGATCCATGTGCGAAATGTAGTGTCCCAGTGCCCGCTGTGAAGAAAGGGTTCTTCAAGATTTGGGGAAAGAGCAGCGCTCCAGATGTAGATGTGAAAGAGAAAGGCGACACTAGGGAGACTTTGCCCATTCGGGAAGTTATCAAGAGAAGAAGGGAGTGGATGTGGGAAGTGGAGAAGCAGGAGAAGTGGAAATTGAAGAGAGAAGAAGAGATAGAAAAGTTTAAGAAACAGAGAGGTTGTTGATCAAAGAGCTTGATTGATTTCATGATGCCTTGTCAAGGCTTTCCTGTGACCACCCGGAAAGCGGTCAAGTGTTGCTACAAGCTTAAAGTGATTGCAAAAGCCTTTGAGTCAAGGACGGACATCGATGACTGCAAGTTTTTGTATGGCCACATAGACCTCTGAACATTGCTTGTGCTTTTATTGGAGCTCAGGGCGGTTGGAGGGAAATTGTTGCGTAAGCGAATGTAAATAGATATTATCAGCGGGGTCACAGACAACAGATATTCCATTGGCAAGGCACACAGAGATAGTAACAAAAGCATGTGGCAAGAGAGAGCGGTGCTTTGTCTCACGAACACCTTTCAAAACCATTGACTATTGATAGTAATATCCTTTACTCCTTTGTCCTAGATACTTCCTCACCACAAGGGCCTCACAGTATAAAAAAAAACAGGTGATTTGACAATGCACACAATAAGCTCCCACTTCTTAGAAGAGGTTTTGGTACCACTTTCCGCTGCTAGACAATAAGAAGTTTTTGAACTCTTGAACAACCCTAGAGGTTCTGAACAGTGATGATGGCCGCCGATATATGATGGACAAGAATGGAGCTTGTCATATCAGCCTTGACACTGACACATCCATTCTCATCGGTCACTATTCATTATACTATATACCACCGTCTAATATTCTGACAGGCTCCACTATAGTATCCAATTATGCCTGCCGGAAAATATGAAAAGTGTGCCAACACCTCCATCATGGTTCCAGGATCTTTCCCAAAATGGTGGGTACCAGCATCCCAACCATCCTCTACTTGCCAAAAGATCTCCTGCCTCTACCTGACTTGTGGATGCATCCATAGCCCCACCAGTCACACAGAAACATGTACCCATTTCCCGACCACATCAATACAATACTACACCCCAGTGGAGAACTTCCAGCTCTGTGTAAACCTCGAAATCATATGGGCAACTAAGGATCGGGAATGTAACAGCTGCAAAGCTTTCCGGCAATTCTACCCTCTCGCGCCAGTTCCACCACCCAATTGGCAGAACATCATTCCAATCATTCAGCCGACAACGATGTAAATGATCTATGAACGCGAGATGGCTCTACAAGAATCAAAAGCTGAAGAAGAACTCGAAAAAGCGGTGGCACAGCGGTGCTTGGAAGTCAAAACAACGTGGGAGAATCATGTTCTGCAACTCCTGGATAGAGGTATGTTGGATCAGCAGCCTGATGTCCGCGCCGTGGAAGCCGGGATAGTTTACGATCTCAGGATTCTGGGCCCATCCAATGGAAACCTCAAGATTGTGACCAGCTGCGAGATTGAGCATGTACCCGAGGGAACAGAGAAAGGAATCTACAGGGCGGAGCTGGTTATTGAAGTTGTATCTGGTGTGGATCTAGAAAGGTGGAATAGCATCCCTGCCACGACGATTCCTGTCAAGCACGCTAAGTCGAACTGTATGGTCTGTTTTAGTCATCCTGAATGGTGTTATTCCATTTCTGACGAAGGGATGAATACTCCTAGCACTGTTAGTCCCGTCTACGAAAAGGGCTTAGGAGATATCCCTGTCAGCGTCAGTAAACCTAGGTGGCGCGATTGGGGCCTCCTCCACGGGATTTACGATAGCTATTAGCTACTAGATAACGGCAGCCTTGAGAGAAGAAGATGACAGATTTCAGTACCTAGGCTAGGATAGATAAGGTGTGTAGCCTCTCTTCATAATTCAGAACAGAGCTGTTGGTATATACTCTGTAGGAACTGTGAATAAACATCATGCGATATTAATATGCCCCAAACATGAAAAGTAATTGTGATTTTATCATGATTTACAGTTGTAAGATACTCTGATTAAACATCAAACCTTTCAAATAGACTCATCGCATTTCCCATCCCAAGGACAATCAAGTTAAATCAACAGTTGCATGAATGATAACACAGTAACGTGTCTCCCTGCGTAGCGAGACGCACCCTGTAACGAGACGAATCTATAGTTTTAGAATCACAACTTGTTTTTAGCAGGCCTATGAATTTGTGCTTAGAATATGACTTTCTTTAACTATTTATCCCTAAAGAGAACACTTAACAAGAAGAAAATAACTGTGGTTAGTTGTGCTATTAATCGTTTTAATCACGCTACTAATCGCCGTTTCGGCTATACCCCCATGCTTAATCACGACAATTAAAGTCTCTTCAAAATTCGGAGCACTTAGGGAAAGGTCCATAACGAAAGAAAATGGCTCTAAATTTTAAAGAAACTCAGAGACAGAAAGAATGCTGTCCGGGAGTTTCGCCATTGGGAGGAGAGGGGCCACATATTTCGGTGCTTAGTAATATGAATTAACCGAGTCAAAATATACTATGTTCACGCCCGGGCTCGCTAAATTTTACTCATCCACTATTCTGAGGCCCGGTCATGTGCGTGGCGTGCCCTGACTCAGCGTTAGATGTCCCCGGGAGCATGTCACGTGACTCGTAGTTCTCGCCGCTGCCTAAGCGCGTACTGCAGCTTAAGAGACCGCCTCCAGCGACCTTGTTTCTAACAATACCTAACCTTACTTCAGTCGCACTTCGGGAAGTATCATGGACGTCTCGCTTTGCGGAGATTGTAGCGACTTCTTTCAGAGCAATCACCACGATAGCTGTTACGGCGACGAGAGCTGGCGACGTTTTAAGGACAGCTTAGATGATGACAGACTCATCTCTCGAGTTATAAAGACAGCCGGTATGGGCTGCAATGTGTGCGAGACTGTCGTATGCAAATTCAGATCTCTCAAGTCAGATCTACTGGTCATCGCCCAGAAGAATGGCGAATCCGTTAAATTCCGAGTTGTTATTGAGGAATATTACAACACAAATCTGCAGTGGCAAGAGGATATCGACCGACCGTTTCTGCGGGTCTCTATCTCTCAAGAGGAGATCAAGTTCCGATTGTGGCGCGTTTCAAAAACCCACGTTGCAGGCTGTGGAGTGAACGATGACGATAAAAGCACAGGCTCAGAAAGCAGCTTCTTAAGAGCAGAGAAATGGTTGCGCAAGTGCATGCACGATCATGTCAACTGCAACAGCGTTGATACTCTGGGGGACTGGGCCCCTAGTCGGCTGCTCGATATAGGACCGGCAACGAACTAATTTCCAACGACAATCAAACTCAGAAAAACCGACAGCTGGCAGAGGTCAGTGCACTATACTACCTTGAGCCACTGTTGGGGTTCTGTGCAGCCCTTCAGGCTGTTACGGAGCAATCTGAGTAAACTCATGGATGGAATATCTATAGATGCCTTGCCGAAGACCTTTCAGGATGCAATCTATGCTACTTGGAAGTTTGGAATCCAGTACCTCTGGATTGACTCTCTATGCATCATCCAGGACTCGAAGGAAGACTGGAATTTCGAATCGTCTCTGATGACCCAGGTGTATGGCAGATGCCTGTTGAATCTTGCAGCCACTTCTTCGAACGATTGTACCGGCGGCCTGTTCCAAAATCGACCACCTTCTTACTCGGGCTCACGCTTCATATCGGTAGAGAGCATGAAAGATGGCTTTAAGTCATCTTATCAGTTATGGGATCAAAATGTCTGGCCTGCCAGCTTCGAATCCGCCAAACTTAACACTCGCGCATGGGTAATGCAGGAGCGCCTACTGTCACCCCGAACACTGGGCTTTGCCAAGGAACAGCTTTTTTGGGAGTGTAGATGCGATCGCTGTTGTGAAGAATTTCCTTTTGGATACCCTTCCGAATTATTTGAACGACGCCAAAGGGACTTTCCGCAGCCTGGGATACAAGATAGGCTGAAGACTCATTCCCTAAACTACCATGCGGACAGTCGATTCGAAGAGAACCACGCCCGACGCCTGAGTCTTGCATGGCATAATTTAGTTATGCATTATTCGAGGAACGAAATGACGTATGAGCAGGACAAACTGCCTGCAATCAGTGGGATTGCATCTTTGTTCGCGCAGAGACTAGGCACCGACTACCTCGCTGGGCTATGGAGGTCTACTCTTCTAAGTGACCTCCTCTGGGAAGCTAATCCCGGCGACTCCGCTATGAAACAACCTCTAGAGTACCGAGCTCCTTCATGGTCATGGGCTTCTATGAACTGCCCTGTGAAATATCTCCCTGGATGGATTGTGTCACCCGAAGTAACAGTCGTCGAGGCAGCGGCACAGCCCGTTTGGGAAAGAAGTCCATTCGGCAGGATGTCAGATGGGTACATTCGTCTCAGTGGAAAGCTCATGCATAATCTGACTGTTGCCCCTTACCGTGGACATTCCTACGCATTGCAGGCCTGCGGCTCAGAAAGCCATTCAATAGCTGCAGAGTGCACGCCAGACCAGCTATTAGGACCCGCAGACATGCAGCCCGAGATTTTCTGCTTGCCTGTGGGATCCTACTGTGAAACCTCACGGGCACTTGGAGACATATTGTACGTAGGACTGGTCTTGGTAGCAGATGAAGTACAACGTAGAGGCTACTACAGAAGATGGGGTATCTTCGTATCACATCAGAGGTGGTCTGATAGTGCAGACAATCAAGCACCAAACCACCGATATACCAATGATGGACATAGCACAATTGTTCTCAATTGAAATAAAGCCTATGGTCGCGTAGCTTCGGACCTTTTATAAAAACGTTGCTATCTATTAATATTGTAGAGGTTGCGATATTCCAAGGCGCATCAGGGTTTACATCTTCATCAGGAAGAAGCTCTAAGCTTTCCCTGATGTCCTTCGAGGCCAGGTCGTACTTTCGCAGCTTGGATCGGTCAAAGTAGGTAATTAGAAAAATCATTTGAAGAAGTGAAGTGTCTTTGACGCATAAAGTACGAAGAGGGATAGACGAGCGGCTTTGATTTAGGCCAGAACAATCCAGAGCTGCATTTCTGTACAAGAAGTGGGGAGTCCTACATCATCAGCCTTGCAAAATGTGCGGGGTAGGTGGAACTGTCCATATTTATCGCTCTACCACCTGGCTACGCCTGGTTGGTGAATAGCTGGACGCCGCAGAAATGACAACGAACGAGTGAGAGGCCTCGCCGAGTGATTTTCGAGCATCAGGCATCCAGCGCACAGCCACATAAGTGAATGGCGCTAAATTATAATACTGCATATATGAAATTACTCTAACCGGTACACTCTTAGGCAGCGACAGATTTTATTAGAATTTTACCGACGTTACTATAGCCACACCGCGATCCGTGATCGCTTGTTGGAGGAAGTATCAGCCTATGTGGCAATGGCGTATGTCATGGCGCGCTCTGGCCGCCACAACACCAAGAAAATCTTTTTTGTATCATAATGAAACTCGGAAATCTATATCTAATCGTTCTATTATTTTGAAAAGGCGAAAAGAGCCCAATGGTGGTGCCGCGGGTCAAGGGGTCCTATTATACCATAAAAAGAGGCGCTCTATAATTCAGGTAGGCGGCGACGACGTGATCAAAATTTTCAGAATTCATAGGTTAGGAGTGTTCGGGAGAGGTATACAATGTAATTAAAATAAAAATGTAGAGAAATTTTAACACATTCAAAGATTTGGAGTCGCTTGAATTCAAGGTACCTATGATTTGTCTCGTTACAGGGGGTGTCTCGCTACGCAAGGAGAGACGTTAGGGCGGTACCAAGTTACATGTAGCTCACTACCATAGGAATCTGGCTAATGATATCGTTTTTTAGGGGGCTGCAGTGGACCGTATTTCCCCGACAACAAACAGCTGAAATATCCTTCTTTCTTGGCCCGCGGGAGGAAGCCGAAGCTCGATGTAGGTGCCTGAAAGCGATACCGCATAACTTGGTAAGTGGTAATATAATTTGCCTTACCATACAACTGGCTTCTATCTGTTTGAAAAAGTGGATTGACTTGAAGGGGTTTTAGTCCATCGCTAGTTCTCAGGGTGTTCGTAGGGAACAAAAGCAAACTGGCAGAGGAGCTATGCTACTTTCTGCCAAAAATGGACTTTCTCCATATTTTTTTTTAAGAAAGATTGATCGACAATGTTTTCTGAAATCTGTGGGACATTATGGCAAGATCTTGTGCTGCCAGTCATGGTAGGTAGCGTTCCTTCGAGAAGTCGACCAATCGCATTTCAATTCGCTTAGAGGTAAGGGATGTCAACAAGTGAAATCACCCGCCCATCGTGTTACTTATCATGCCCAGAAATCCGACCAAACAATACAAATTCGAATGAGCCGTATCTAATTAAATGAAAGAACCTTACCTCATGGGTGGGAGTGTCCCTGTCAACTGTTTAGCATCTTCCAAGCACCAAGCTACTCTTCCACTACCGAAAAAGAAGCGTGACGGTCGCAAAATCACTTGTTTTCCCCTTCCAACTCTTAATTGTCAAACACGCACCAAAGACCATGCAAAGGAAAGTTTATCTTATTTACCGTCAACAAGTTACAAACCTACTTGATGGAACGGCATACCAGTAGCAGGTTGTGGAGGATAGGTACCTCTCTACACTTGTCATCTCTGCCCATGCCCTAGACGTATCTGGATATGCCAATTGTTCTCCTTTGTCACCTTTTCTCAATATTTCTCTGTTTTCTATCATCCCTTTTGTTTCCAGCAAATATAGTGGTACAGTGTCTATTTGACTCGTGTCGCCGGTTGGCCAAGACCCCCGAACCCCGAAAATTGCACATCGCACTTCGGACAATTGCTATTTTGCGCAGCGTTTCATTGGCAACGTGCAATTCCGATCTACAAGTTTTAATATAGGTGTAAGCGCTAGATACTTTGAATATGGATCAATGATTCGAGTTTTGCATTGGCAGGGATTTGGGCGGTGGCATATGAACGGTCTGACTACATAGTTGTAGCTGGACAACAATTTTCACGAAGTCGCCATTAACGAGTGATAGATACAGGCATCAAAGCCTCTCTGAGTTTCCATCACTGAGAAAGCAGTGCTTATGTTGTCCAAGATCCAATATACCTTGGCGCTTCCTCTAGAAATTCCAGCAAGATAAATGCGCTCCTACTTAAATTCAAGACCTTGGCACCTCTTGGGCTTACTGTGTTTGTATGCAAGAAGAAGTGTCTGACTAACAGTTACAGCAACAAGCTCCACCAAAATTGGGTATATATAGCGAACAGTCACTCCCAAATCATCACTTTCCATCAGCAGAACATTCATCAGCAACGGCGTGCTCTGACCAATCACTTCATTCGCACTTGAACCTATCTTGGAAAACAGGCAGCTTCTTTCAATCAACATGAAACTCACCATGACTTTCCTCCTTGGCCTTGCTACTGTCGCTTCTGCAATCGAAATCCGCTTCTATGGCAACAATGGATGCTCCGGGCGGTTCAATTCTTGTTGGAACGTCAACCCCAACCAGTGCTGTAACCAAGCGGAAATGAACTCCATCAGTTTTGAATTTATCCCAAGCAACTGGAGAATCACGGTCAAAGGCTATGATCAAAATGCTTGCAACCGACAGAAAGCACAACTTAATACCGTTGGCCAGACCAGAATGTGTATCGGAGGCGATGCTCCTTACACTGGTGGCGGCTACAACTTCTATGGCCGAAAGAGGGATGATGACCACAGTAACGTGGAAGCTGCTCCATCTTCTGAATGCCTACGCCCAGATATCTTTGCCGATGAAGATGGAGTAGAATATTCTGCCCAAAGCTTGAATGATGATGAGTTCGAGAAGCTTGTTGCCCTATGGTACAATGGCACGTCTGTGTCCGACGTTGGTAAGTGACCTTTCTGTTCTGTCATGGTTAATATTAGAAACAATCTCAGGAACTTTTATCAAAACATACATTTTGCACAACAGCTGATATACAGAACAGTATCGACCTTCTCATCGTTCACTCTTAAGGAGTAAGCCAATGATACGCTACAGTTTCTGGCAGGGGATAGATACGTGCAGTGAACGAAATCAGGCTGTTGGCGGAAGATCAGAGGTTAGGCGGGTAGAGAAAGTGATTTGGTGCTCATGTGGTTTTATGTTCAGATGTGGCCATACAGCAATCGTCCAGTCATTACTTTCGCTGGAACAAACCGACAAGCTCTGTCTGTTATTTAAACAGTCTTTGAAACAGCATACTTAGTGTTGGCTATAAAGACCTTGATGTACCTCCGACTCTTCCAAAAAATAAATTCCTCCACGTAACAGCTCGAGACCACAAATCGTCTGATGCAGAGTTGTACCAAACCAAGCTCATCACCTTACGATCGATGTGTAACCTAATAGTAATCCATCATCGCTGTGGGCACCACACAAAGGATTTTTCCATGTGTGGGCATCACCGCGCTATTGGAGGCTTGGATGTTGAAGCCTGCGATGAATTCTACGCTCACAGTCTAAAGAGCATGAAGAGGTGTGATGTTTGTTTGCGTCGCGGCGGTTGACACCCTTTCCCTACAGGGGTTTTATACAGACAACGTCTGTAAATTATCTGCATTTTGTTTATATTCCTAGTAGTAGTAAAATACAGATAAAATTCAGACAATGTCTACTATAAGTGTATCCAAAAAATACAGATAAATTAGCTTGTGTTAGGGGTAGGTAGGAGAGTTCAGGTAACTCAGACCTTCTCTGTTTCAATATAAACATGGACCTATTACTTACTTTTAGCACACTCGGAGGGGGAAAGAGGGAGACCTACCTAGAGGGAGAAGGAGGGAGACCTTAGAGGGAGACCTTGGAGGGAGACCTACCTTGGAGGGAGACCTACCTTGGAGGGAGACCTACCTTAGAGGGAGAAGGAGGGAGACCTTGGAGGGAGACCTTACCTTTAGAGGGGAGGGAGACCTACCTTTGGAGACCTACCTTAGAGAGAGACAGAGGAAAGAGACCTTACCTTAGAGGGAGACAGAGGAGGGAGATAGAGGAGGGAGACAGAGGAAGGAGACAGAGGAGGGAGACGGAGGGAAGGAAATCAAAGGGAAAATTAACTTTATTAGTTAGGAAACTCTTAGAAATGCACATAGTAACTGTATTTCCCTTAAATTATAGGTAATGTCTGCATTTTCACTCTAAATCCTCAAAAATCGATTAAAATCAGAGAATCCAACTGAGAAAAATGCAGACAATTGACCAAATTGTAGATAAAAATCCCGTCTAAAATACCTGTTTACAGACAGTGTCTGTAAAAAACCCCCGTAGGGTTTGGATTTGCTCTTTTCGCGTTTCTCTACCGTCGAGCAGGGCCCCCTTAAGAAAAGCAGAATTAAATAATATTGCATTGAAAATTCAGATCCAATGTCAGTTTGAGGAGTTGAAGCCGAGTAGCTGAGAAGACCTTTGTGCAAAGTGCTAGAGGCACCAATCTTAACGTTGTTTCTTTGTTCGCTGCTTTTGAACAAAAAAACAGAGATCAATGTGCAGTGACATTGTAAAGCTATTGAAATAAGTATAAATGCTTGAAATGTGCGATGGAAATGTGAGTAGACATCGTTCAGTGCTGTTAAACTATGCGGGATTGCGCTCATTCTGTGCGTTCCTTGCTCCGGTCCCGAGATTCCTAGGTTTCGATGAAGGTCAATGTTGACATTGACGGGCTCTAGATGACACGAGGCTTAATGCTACCTAACCAGTCCAAACCGGAGGTCCTGGCAGAGTGTAAGATGTTGGCTGAATATGTGTTAGCACGAGAGATGGTAGGGTATCAGAAGACTTCTAACCACTGGATAGTAAATATTCAGCATCAGTCCCGGATCCGTCGCTTTGTACGCCCCTGGAAAAGCAACAAGCGGCCCTGGAGTTCCAGAACCTCCACCAGTGACGTTTATCTGTCCGCAGGAAATGTAAAACTGGGCACCGCCGGCTGCTGACGCAGAATGTAGACCGATGTGCTCAACCCGAAGCAGGTACTCCCCGTTGGGGGTTGACGCTGGGATTTTCCAAGTCACGGTTGCGGCACCTGTTCCCAAATCGAATCAGCACTTGTGTAGGATAAGACATTGGGTATACATACTGTCCGAAGGCCATGTTAGTGACTGTCCACCGAACTTCGGCCCTTGCGCGAATATCTTGAACCACACACTCCCGGAACCATCCCACGTTGATGCAGTCGATCCTGCTGGAACCTTTGCCATGTATGCCTGCAGTGGACCTGGGTGGTAGATAGGTGGATCGGCCGTGAAACCAACTGTCGAGCCAGCAGTCACACCGAGAGTACCTGGTGCGAAGATTGAATCGCCCTTGACGTTGCATCTGATATCCTTTGAAGTTACGTCTACCACAGGGCTGTATGTATACGACCCAGACCATTGGCGAACATATTGCCACTAGATAATCAACGAGTCAGTAAACATCGGGTGAGAGACTTTTGAGAGATACATGGGCTATTTTGAAAATGACCTACTGCGGGTGTTTTGGTAGACCCAGAGATCAGGGCTGGGAAATCATAGTGTGCTCGTACCACTGCTGCTAGAGCGAAGAAAGAAGTTATGACTTTCATCTTGAGAAAAGATATTACAGAGTGAGTAACGAGATTGGTCTCTTGAGACAGCAAGAAACGTCGTACCACGGCTCAGCTTATATACCCAGCAGCAAATCCGGAACAACGGAAGCAGAAGATTCCTAGAAAATCGCAGCCACTTTCCTTCTTGATCACGTCCATGTCCGATTGAAGCTTGGAAGGTATCTAAGGCCCCCACAGTCAGAGGTCAACCCCAGATTTTGGATGTAGCCGCGGCACTTAGTGCCCCGGCATTACCAATTGAAAATTGAACTATGGGACCAGCTGATCGTAGATTTTCGACTGAGGACGGAATACGTTGATCATAATATATCTCGTATTTGCCTAAACCGGCACCAGGGGAAACGGGCTTGCCTGAATTTATCCGGACGAGGAGAAAATACACGTGCCTCGTTTAAAGTGACAACAAAACGAACAGGGGCGTTAGGACTTAATACGACTAAGCCCCGTGGCTTGGTCTCATGTTTTACATGATGTGCCCGGCCGTTTGTTAGTTTCTGTCACAGTACAGTACACGTTTTGATTTCGTCATTCGGTGGACGAGAAACGAGAAAGTACCGACAAGGTCTGGTAGTAGCGTATCTAGGCACGGATAATAGTAGCCCTTGATGGAGTTGCCAAAGGAACATGGTGTTTCCATGAATTAGAATCCAAGAGTTCAATGTAACAGCGAAGCCTGAGAATAGGGCCTACAGCCCTCAATACGACTCTTCATACGACTGAAGAGTTACTTTCACCAAGAGCTCTCCAGCAGCTCAACAATTTTCTCACAAGCTCTCTTCCGTCCTCCTACTTTACCACTGATATCAGCGAGCTCTCGGGCTCTCGAAGCCATCTGTGAGGCTTCGTTACTGTCATCTAGAACCTTCAGAAATGCCCGCGAAAGTTCGAGACCTTCGACATTGGGAGCGGTGTTTCGACTACCATATACTCCGATGCCTAACCATTCCACTCTGTTGGCAAAGTCCAGTGTGTCGAGCCAACATGGAAGCACAATCTGCGGGACACCAGCGCTGAGAGCTTCGTGGAATGAATTCGAGCCACCGTGATGAACAGAACATGCAATAAGACCTGTTTGGAGGATTGCTAGAGGATCAACTGAGAGCCATTCGACAATCCGGATCCTGCCATTTGTTCTTTCCGCAGAAATAGAGCCAAGCGATGCTTCGTTCAGACCTGAGCCTGAGAATCCACTGTCAGGTTTGGCCTTGGACGACACGGCTACACCTCCAGATGTTTTCAGTTTCCATAAGACTTGAATGTTGGGCTTCTTATCCAACAGTATTTTCAACCCCGACGAAAATTCACGCGCCATAGTATCATCCATACGAATATGGCTGCCAAGATTTACGAGGATTGTTGGGCCACCCTTCAGCCAAGCGAGGAGCGCTGGATCCTGCCGTGAGACTGGCGAAACCGGGAGGAGGATTGGTCCACATGGAGTCACATTTGAAGGAATATGACAAGGGTAATCAGTCTCAGGCACTGATGGTACGAGGCAGTGATTATCTTCTCGCCAGATATTGAACACTGGAGGCAGGCTGGGCAATTGATTTGCTTTGCGGTACCGTATGAGTGCTTTGACTTTTGGTGAAGTGACTAATATCCAGATCAATGCTATTTTGAGGTAGATATTGGCAGGAATCAGGTGCCATGGAACTGGGTAGCGGAATCCCGAAGCAATTCTAGAAAAAGAGAGATCGTCAGTTTACTTCATTGGATTTTACCAGGAGACCTCACGTTGGTATAGTAAAAAACTGTGAGAATAGCGATTGCTTTTTGCGCAAGAGCTCGAGAAACGTATTTGGGCTCAAGACCACATGTTTTCGAGAGAGTGTATTGCATGCTTCCAGCCCTTGACTCATGAGCGGATCCACGACGATAATGTCAGGCTCAACCGAGCCAACAATATCTAAACATCTCCAGTAGCTTGACATGTATTCTGACTCGGACCATGTATCTGCCATTGCAGGTAACGTGAGTCTGTACGTGTTCAAAGCACCTGTAACTCCGGGCGGGAATGGTCCAATAAATTCATCCTTGGCAGCAAGAGCATCCAGAGCCGCTGGCCCAGTGATGGCGTGGAAGACAGCGGCAGTTCCATGCTCTGGCAGGAGTTCGTTGAGCTCATTTATACGCTAGGTAAGAGAGGAGTCAGCAGTTGCCTCCAGAGCTTGAGTATAAGGATGAGATCTATGTCTCCATAACTTTTGAACATTCAAGAGAAGTATATATGGTCTCTCCAAGTAGTACCTTTTGGAGAGGTGCAAATGATGCGATATGCACTTCATACTCTTGAAGAATGAGTAGTTCGTGTGAGACTGCGAGGATGACGTTCGCCTGCCCGTACTCGCTGCTTGTAAAGAGCAGAATCCTCTTCTGTTTGCCAGTGTCTTCATCTGAAGATACTCCCGAATTATGCGGCGACTTTTCGGTTGAGTCCATCACTAAGATAATTTCCAAAATAACAAAGGTGGATGTACACGAGCTGAAGACGTTGATTTAGAGTGAAATAGAGGGAAAAGTCCCATATAACCCGTATCCGGGACCATGCGTTTAGCCCCGGCAACGGTGGGCATGCACATGAGCCTACACCATATTCAGCAGCTAGCTTTCAACTACTGTCAAATCAGTGGAATGGCAGTGCCGATCTCTGAAGCATAGTCGGAGCACTAAACAAAATCCGAATAGTGCTTCATGCCACGCCATGAACTCTCGTCAAATAGAAGAAGAAATGGAGGTCGATCTCTTGTAATACACGCTCGCTTGTCCTGAATGGTAAAATGATAAGGCGATCTTGGACAGAACTGGAGCTTCTGGAATGTACAGAAAGCCAGGTACAAGCAGAATGAATGCGGCTCAGGATGTTCCTCAGGATGGGCGACGGCAATTACAGCTGACCTATACAGACAGTACAGACCGAGGGTATGTCACTTGGAGCTCGCTTGAGGCAAGGAGTTCAAAGTACCCGAGTTGCATCTCGCCATGTTTCTTCGGGTGAAACGGGGTGGAACATGGCGCGAGTCGCCTCAAGTAGGAAGTGACCAATGGTATGTAGCACCAAAAGCCTTCGGATGCGTCTTTCTTGAGTAGAAGCCCAACACTGAAGTAAAATATGATAAGTTTGATAAGGTTGAGGGGAAATCTCAGTGCCGGCCAAGTAAGGTTGCGGCATCAGTTGGCGGACTTATGTATGCCAAGCATTTAGTGCAGGGACTTGTTTAGCCTCGGCTTTTTCAAGAAAGCGAACAGAGACCCAACATCATCTGTCTTCCATAGACGTGTTCCGCAGTGTCGCGTCGTAATGCGGCAGCTATCATGAAGCCGTGACCTGTAATGTAACTTGCCTTCTCAAGACATTGGTAAAGCTAACTGGATTCTCCAGACCCAGCCATAGGTATCCAAAAGCCTTGTAGCTTTCCCCCGAACCTTTGACATGCATACTTCTGGAGAGAAAGACAGCGAGGCACATATAGCAAAGGGTGGCTAGGATAGAGATATGCAGATACCTCAATGGTGTGTTAAGCAGCCCTGGCAGAACGACAAGCGACCAACGAGCCCAGAAGTCAGCGGGGTGCTAGATCTTGAAGGGTGAGCAGATCGGGTGCATATTGAAAGTTCTTGTCAACCACGTATGCCGTGAATCATCAGCATGTCTTTGGCATACCTGACCAGAAAACTAACTCTGGCCAATAACTGAGCGGCTGTTGAGCTTCTTTACTCCTTCATAGGACGAACGGCTCCAAGTGGTTGCTAGAAACTCTTGAGTTGGCCATCCAGGACCGTACATGGAAAGTGTCAGACAGCATGTTCTCGGATTCGATCTGGCAAGGCAATCAGGAATCTTCTTACTAGAAGACTGAGCTTCCTGGAACCCAACGTTGGACTCATTAGATCTGAGCCGGCAACGGGCAAAGATGTGAGAGGTTCTCAATGAAACGAAGGCAAGAAAGATTTGGAGAGAAATCAAGTCAGGTTGTTCAATACGATGATTCATGCTTTCACCATTCTCTTCTCGCTTGAAGTCAGTAGCAGGTGGAATAGGTCAAAGCTGATGCTCAAGTCTTGTGCCATCATTCCAACATGTTTGTCGTTGCGAGATCGTGTGAGCAGATGAACCCTGCAAAGATTATTCGGCACCGTTATCCAATCAATTTCTAGAGCTCCGGACTGCAAGATACAGTTCCTGTCTTCCGCCAGCGTTATTCAATTGCCGGAAGAGCATGTTGGGACTGCTATTCTGTCAGATGATAGCCTGAGATTGCAGCTGTTTGAGAGAAATGGAGGTCAGCTGCTCATTGAGAGCGATAACAAGGATACTGCTGTCACCAAGTTGGGTGAATGAAAGTTTCGGAGTTGCCGATTGAAATTTTATAAGTTTGGATCCCCTATGAACGTGCGTAGAATTGATTTGCACCAATTGTGAAGTTCCACGTTCGTACCAAGTGTATCTTGACCTTACCACACAGCCTAGGCTTCTCTTGAAACCCATAGAGACCTAAATCAGGACGATTTGCTTCACTTCTGCATCTCTGAACCAATCTTTGGTTGAATCAACCTCAGCGACTCCTATTCTCTCATATTCTCCGGAAGAAATTTGTTCAACAACCAGCACCCACTGTTCCTTCTCCAGTCTTGAGCCAACAAAAAGGCAGCACACAGTTCTAGAGGAACACTTGCCCATGATCGGCCCGTACTTCTCAATTTTGCAATTGATGTCTGCATACATGAACGCCTCCTCGTCTTCAAAGTGTAGAATGTGTGAAGCTGTTCTATAATCGGCAGGAGACCGATGCTCAAGTGTGCAGAAGATACAATCTCCCCCGATTTGCAGCTTGCATTGCGGGCCGAAAATCAAGATATCGTCATCTAGGCCATTGCATCTTGCAGTAAAATGAGGATCAACTTCAAAAGGAGGGTTGGCGTCCCACCATGGGTAGCCGAATCCATGTTTCTTTGCCGAATTGACGCTGACGGAAGCCCAGGTCCAAGTCGGACAATGACAGTCTTGAGGAACCTCAACTCTTGTGCCCTTTTGATAGGGGAATTTCCGCCACAAGAGGCCGCGAGCCAGATCACCACTCCAAATTCCCAATAGATAGAACCCTGGGAGAGTTCTACTAAGTCGAGCAGCAATGCCCATGACGGCTGGTAACTGGTCTGAGGCTACTGTTATGTTTAAACACGTGAAGCTCTTCGTGAAATCTAACCAGAAGTCATAGGCATCCTGAGTCGTCTTGACGCTCCCGAGACTTTGTGATATTCTTCTAAAATTTGCTTTCAAGGAGAGGGTTTTGTTCTGGCGCGTGTTTCCGGAGATTAACCTCTCCCAATCAAAATACCCACACTCACAAGATATGCCCTCGTGGCACTCCCAGACCAGTTCTTCTTCGTGGAAATGAAGGAATACAGGAGAAAAAAATCGTTCTTGCAAGACCCAGGCCCGAGTCAAGAGAGGAACCCCACCGCTATAGGTTAAGAGGGAGTCTCCCATGATCTGTTGATGAGACCTCGTTTCGTATCTAACACCAACTCCATCCGGGAGCTCTGCCCCAGCACTTAGCAGACGCGAATCCTTATGCATAATACTTTTTCCAAAGTATGTTACATGCTTTCTGGGAAACAAGCAGCCGCCCAGACTTGAGCTGGAGCCTGTTGCGGCGAGAGTGATATATGCACGGGAATAGACATCATGCATTTTAGCTGCTTCTATTCCCCAATCGTGTTGATCGTCCTGGATGATACATAAAGAATCGATCCACAAGTAGGAAATACCTACTGCTTCAGTGATCCGTACGGCGTCCGAAAATGTTTTCGGTAGCATTGCGAGTTCGATCCCTGCAAAATGGCTCTGAATTGTACTTGTCGTTGTTTTCAGAGGGGCCCCACCTGGACCCCAGCAATGACTGAGTGCCATATATCTTCCGGACATACCATTAGTCTCCAAGAGCTTGATTCGGAGCTCATCGGATTCTTTCCTAATGTGCAGAATTCGGGTAGGCAGTGGTGTGACATCTACTTGCCAATGCTTGTGCTGCTGTGCACACACTCTGCTCTTGGATTCTATAAACTTTACCACCGAGTCAATATCTAGTTCTGCAATCACATCTCTTGCTGGAGCCACCAGTTGACTATTTTCGGCATGATCTAGGTTCAGATGAGCTTCCGTTGGAGTCGCACAAGAAGAACCAACCTTCGGTTCTGTATATCTCAATGGAAAAATATTCTCCTTCCACGGTTTCGGAATCTTCCATAACATCCACGATTACGGAGTATCCATAACGAAGTTTCACCATAAGTTCGCAATTAACCAGGTCTTCGAAAAGACCAACATCCAATTTCAGGAGCGGTTTGCTGAATTGTATCACCGCGTCCTCCAACAGGTTACAGGTCTGGCAGCCAGATTTCGCACTGGAGATCACTTCGCAAAAGCTGACGGTGAGCTGACGCTCGTAAGGATTATGATTAAACTCTCTTTCTTTACCGAATGAGCTCCAGTCAAGATTAAGACATGCTGGACAGGTTGAATGGGTTGGTCGAGCTGTATTGATTGACAACTGAATATTGGGAATAGGTGCTGAGCCCATCGAATGTCGCCGGCGCTTTCGAGGGACAAACACTGCTGTAAAGACACCTTGACTGTCCATTCCGTTGCAGGAGATCTAAGGGATCAGGTCAACACAGTGGCAATTAGGAGCCCACTGTCAACGTGCTCATGCCTTGTGGTGATGCTGTGCCACCAGTTGGCAGGTGATTAGTCAGATTTACAAGGCTAATATTTTCCCCTGAGGTTTGCTGAAGCTAATTAGACACGGCAACAGTCCTGGTATAGAACTGGATGGAGTCCTAGAGTGCCCGGGAACTGGAAATCGCAACTGGCTTGCAAAATATCTCAACAGGAAGAAGCAGAGCTTCCGTCCTTCCCGGTCCATTATGCACAGGACGGTAATGATGTACTCAAGGTTTGTATTCGATCAAAGCTCATGGAGAAGTACTAACGCCCGTTCGTTTCATTGTGGCATGAATAGAACTATGATCCTGCATGGTAGACCAAGAAGATGCATTCTACCGAGTGCTTGGGCTACATCAATTCGTCACAACCACAGCGCTCTTGATGAAAAGTCCCTCAACAGCGACCTTAACTAGGAACCTTACCACAGCAGTAACACTCACGCTATCAGACATGCTCATTCCCTCACCATTACTCCCTAGCGTTCTCACCTCCGTAATCTGGGCCGACTTCTCCTCGTCGAATTGGAGCCTCGCAGTCCTAATAAGAGTCCAGTCCAACTTCGTCAACCGAGTCTCCTTGTCAACAAGCCCGTGATCTTCAAGAGCATATTTGATATTGGTCCATCTCATGAATGCCTTGCTCAAAATGGGTAATCTGCCCCACGAATCTCCGACGCCTGCCGTCGACATCACCACGATACGATGACAACCGGCTTGCTCCAGCACCTCGCAGATATTGGCACATGAGTCAGCTAGGAAGCAAGGAGGTGAGACTTGAGCTGCGAAAGGGCTGTCGGACTCGCGGACTGTATTCAGTGTGGTGATTGCAGCAGATATTGGTTGAGAGGGTGTTGCCAGGAGAGCTCTGTTTATGTCTGGTTTTGAAAGTGGCGAGCCGGTGACGACCGTGAGGCCAGGACGAGAAGTTATGTTCGCAAAGCTACATACGAGGGTAACAGCCGTGTGGCCCTGAGAGAGTATTTCGGAAACGACGTGTTGGCCTGTCCTTCCTGTAGCGCCGAGGAGGAGAAAATGCATGGTAGTTAACGATGGCAATTGTGATACCGGACTTGTCTAATTGGAAGTGCAAGGACAACGATGAATGTATGTTGCAGAAGTGCGGAGGGTCTGTGGTTCCATATATATTGTTGAGAATGTCTCCGGGGTGCGGCGAAAGTGAGTCCAGTAATTGTAGCTCATTGGCCAGCTCGGTCTTCATGCTGGATTTGGAAATCGCGTCAAATCTTACGCTGATAGATTTCTTCGTCGAGAGACCCGTGGACTGCTCTAGGCTACTTCCATAGGTGCTGCAATACACCATAAAGAGCTTTGTTAAGTTTGACAGAACCAGTAACGAGTCTTGCTATGCCAGATAATGGTGCCTTTTGTGCGCACTGGAGCGTGGCCTCAGTCGCTGCTAGTCCCATTGCAAGTTATGTAAGTCTGGACTCTTTCGCCCACATCGTTGGCTAGACTTTGTAATCGTTCGTTCTCCAGCTGCAGCTCCGTACATGTCGTTGGCGAGGAGTCAAGTGCTCCTAAGAGAATGATTCTCAATATCAGACGAAAGATCCGCAAGAAAGTCATCGAGATCGGCTCAGGTCCCATCTGGATAAGCTCGAAATCATTTAGCCATGAGTCCAGGGAGTCCAAAATAGCATTTTTTTCGGACTTCAATTGGAGAGCATCCTCCACCGACACGACTTGTGACATTTTGCTCAGAAATTCAAGTATTAACTCAGCAGTTACTGTAAGTCTTGTCCGCATATCAGGCAAAATTGTGCGAACATTGGGAGATTCATCGGTTCCTTCATGCGGGCTATCGAAAGACGCAGGTGAGGTCGTCGGGAAGACCTCCCGTACTGCTGGAGAATCTGCGAATTTACAAGGCGCAGAAAAAAGCTTGATGATGAAGACATCCACCAGAGGTAAATGACCATCGTAGGCTGGTACTAACTGGCTCCCTTCGATAAAGTATGGCCTTGCACGGTATTCGTACATAATTCTTAGACCTCGGATGATATGTTGGGCCATGGCAGAGTAATTTTTCTGTACTTGCTCAATACTGATGAAGATCTGGCAGCAACGTAATGCCGACTTGATTGTGCTGGAGCTCGGCAGTGACATGTTTGACGCAAGACCTCCCAAAGCCATGTTATATTGCTGAAGGCCATAGTGAAAGCCGGGAGTCGGGTGAGCGACAGACGTGGGGGTATCACCGGATATTTCGAGGTCCTGCCGAAGTGCTCTCAGAGACGACACTGCGTGACGTACAGAGGGATCAGTCAAACTGGCTTGGAGGACTTGTCGGGCTTCTTCAAGACAACCCATATTTACATTAAACAGGGTCTTGGTGGAGAAATAGCGATTGAGGAGTTCGATATCCTGAGAGATAAACCCAACAGTCGGCTGAACGATCCCTGACAATGCAATGGACTTGTTGCCGCCAGAAGAGACCCGTATACTACCGATAGACTGTGCTTCCCAAGATTTGAACGCGGACTCGTAGCCGTCACAGGTGCGGCCAGTAGTTGTACATCTTTGACAGGACGGCTTGATCTCATCACATTTAATCTTCCTGATCCTGTGGGTATGTGAGCACGAGTTAATTCCGAGGCAAGCGATGGCTATGTCTAATTTTACTGACCTGCAAGTTTTACAACCAGTTTTAACCTTGCTTCTTCTTCCAGTGTTTCGTTTGCGGGCGACAACATCCCGAGGTCTGGCCACCATTCTGGAAAAGGAGAAGGTGGAGGAGACGGTGTTAAGGTCGGACTTGACGCTCATATAAACTTCGAGCTCGACATACAAAATTGTTCAGCGGAGAACAAGACGTACGCGGAGAGCAATCCGAGCCGCCAAATTAGAAGAGCTCATTCTCTTAAAAGATCGAGGAAAAACCTGAAGTTGAGAGGGTCTCGCTTTAGATAGTTGCGGCGACATGTCAGCTCTAGCTCGATTGGGTCGCAAGAGCGAACAGACCAATCAGCAGGTTGAAGGATCCCCCACCTCGGAGGTGTTTATTCGCTCATTGAAGAGCCGAGTATTGTAGGTAGAGAACAGGGGACGCTTGTGGTCGGAGATACCGCTCGGTTTCGTTTTTATGTCAAATGTCAAATGGTGTATATATATACTAGCTGGCGGACCTAATGTCTACCAAATTTTCAAATGTACAAGCTCAGAAACAGCTCCAGACTCGCATCAAAACTCATATCCAACGCGAAGATGCCGGCATTTACTCTCTATGGCGCTCGGGGATCGACAAATACTGATCGAGTTCGTTTGACTCTCGCTGAGGGTGGCTTCACAGATTATGAAATGGTGCTTTTAAATCTTCAAAAAGGAGAGCAAAATGTGCAAGATTACTTCCAATATCGACCGAATTCTCGGGAATACTTAGCTAATGCCATCGCTCTAGTCCATAGAACACATGAATCGTCATCCATGGGGCAAAATACCTGCTCTTACTTCGAGCGACGGCTTCACGCTCTACGAGAGCCGCGCCATCTGCAAGTACCTCGCCACGAAGTACTCCTTCGCACTTCTACCTTCTGCTTCTGATGTAGAAGCCACTGCACTGTTTGATCAAGCGCAGTCAGTAGAGACACTCTACTTCGCCGAACCAGCAGGCAGAATTGCATTCGAGAAGTTCGCGAAGCGATTCATCGGCTTGTCTGCCGATGATGCCGTCCTCTCGGATGCGTTGCGGTCTGTTGAAGGGTTTTTTGATGTTGCGGAAAAGCTCTTGCGGGAAAGGGAGTTTATGGCCGGAAAGGACTTCTCGCTTGTGGATATTTATTATATCCCGTTGATTCAGAGACTTTTTGCTTGTGGATATGGAGATATCATTCTTGGTCGCGAAGCTGTAAGCGCTTGGTGGAGTCGCTGTGTGGACCGTCCGGCCATTCAAAGGATGTTGGCTGCTGACAAGGAGGCTATGGCTGCTGCTAGTCGATAAAATGAGCATGAAGCTAGTATGATTAATAAAGTGGGATTTCTCTTCAAATTTTGGTGAATCCTCCTCCATCAGCTTGTCGGATGAGCATGAGTTTGATGCGACGGACGCCTAAAGGCTCTAGGCCTGCTTCGCCTGGAGGAGCGAGGAACAAAAGTTTCACCAGTGCCATGTTCATTATCTTCAAATTGTATATCTGCGTGATCTTACACCCCTAGCATCGCCAAGATCTCAAATCTTGGAAGTACGACTTTTCGATTTAGCTGTAGATAGAATTGTCAACAATCGTCATAAGTAGCCTATCAGGAGACTCACCCTCCATTTCCTTCTTCTTAATCGCAAATCTCTCCATCGGCGCATTTTCAACAAATCTCTCCGCGAGAGCATCAACAGAGTTGACAACCGCAATCAACCTCCCATCCCTAAGCGGGGCATTCTGCAATCGCTTCATCTCCATCATACTCTTTGGATCGTTAAGGTTCAATTGCTCCTCCAAATATTCCTTGACACTCTGTTGGAACCCCTCATTGTCAAACACACGGTTTACGATTCCGAATTCCTCAAGTTCCTTAGCAGTAAGTTTGCGACCAAACATGAAAAACTCATTGGTGCGGTGCACTCCCATGCTTTGAGCGAAATTAATGGCCGAACCGTTTTCGGGCACAAGTCCGAGTGCGCTGAATGGAATCTGTAAATAGCATGATGAAGATGCGAAGACAATGTCTGATATGCCGGTGAACCAGGCCGCTCCCCCACCAACAGCTGGACCGTTGAGGGCAAGGACGAACACTTTCTTGTGATCAATAATGGACCGAAGCATTTCGAGCGCTGTACTCCAGGTTAGTCCTTTGCAAAGTTATAAGGTAAGATGGACGTACCAGGTGTAAATCTCTGCATAAAAGCAAGCTTCTTCTCTCCATCGTTCGCATAGGTTTGGTTTGATTCTAGTCCAGATCCTGCTCCCATTTGGTGAGCCACGATCGAAATACATCAGAAGAGGATAAGCGCTTACCCCTTACATCTGCACCAGATGAGAAGAATCTACCCTCGCCGGTAAGGACCGTGAACACCGTATCGGGATGTTCATTGAGTTCTCTGATGGCGGAGATGGTTTCCTGCGTCAGCTTGCCTGTGAACGAGTTCAAGCTCTTTGGTCTATTGAACTAAGGCATGTTTAGTTGAAGCTTGCTTTAAATGAATGGATTCGAGATGTTACTTTGATAATTCCTATTTGGCCTGAGATTTCCACGATGACTTCCTCGTATTTGTTGGACATAATGATGGTTGCTGACCAGTTGCTGATATCTCGTCTGACCGGAGGCGCGCGGGATCACAGCAGTGATAGCTTAATTTCCAGAGTCGATGGATGTAGGGTGGATCTTCACATTCATTCATCAAAGTAACAAACGGGATCAAGGTAGCGAAGGTCAGTAAGTTGCACAGGATTCCAGAAGGGGAGGTATGTTGATGTTGGTTTCGGCAGCTAGCTATTCTGCGGGGATCTGATCATTAATCCTCCAGTGCATGGCCCCCTGTATGTACTGTCCCGAGGACCCATCACCGAGGTCCACCTCGGCAAGGTTTGTGCTTGCTTGACATTTGACCAGGAGTCGGGACCTGGGGAAAATATACTTCGATGAGCACATCACGGTTGACTGAATCTGCATCTGAATTCAGATACAACAATATTTGTTATCGAGGGAGCCAGTCGGAATGCCTTCTACTTATTGTCGATAGTCACGCCAAGCTAAGAATGGCAAGCACCTTCAAGACCATGATCTACTTGTCACAGCGTCGTTTCCGTGATTGAATGATCGAGTTTCCTTCCAGCAAATTCGGCTTAATATACTTCAAGGTCAGAATGAGGCAAAGGGTTGTGATATCAGCTTGTGGAAGCCGATTCATCTGCCCTCAAAAGGAGCGAGGTAGCTCCTGAGAGAGGTAAGACCTATTGAGACCGGGATAATTAATGACGCCCGAAGTGAGGTCGAACACAAAAAGGGAATCCTGTTCGAGACGATTGAATGCTCTTATATTCATGCAGCTTTTTGCTTCTCTCAGATCTATCACTTTCGTTTACGGTTCGTATCGCCATTCACTTGACCTTGTCCACTAGTAAACCTCACTTCCTTTCATTTTTTGAGTTCTATGATCCACCGGGGCCGCCTAGTAACGCGAATCTGCGAACAATGGATGGCCCTATCTCTTCGTATTCTAGTCGAGCCTTAGTCAAAGATCATAACAATCAAGGTGGGTCAACTTACCGGCTTTTGTGTGACAGTAGCTTCTGAATTCGGGGGTTTGGCCCAACAAACTTCCACCGAACCACGGGCCATGCCGTTGTCGCTTGTGAGAGATGACTTGCACTTCCAAACCACCACTTCGTGCACCTCCACTACGCGCCTCGCTCGCTCTGATTCTGTCATCAACGAGATGCTTGATGTCACGTTGTAGCCTCCTTCCGAAGTCCTTGTATAATGTGCTTCCACCTGACAGAACAATGTTCTTGTATAACCCTCGGCGCACATCGATTGGCGAGGATTGGATGACACTATCAACAACTGTGGGTAGAGGGGTCAAAAAATCCGAGGAGTAGATTTCGGGGTTGAAGAAGATTTCTGGCGCAAGAAAACGTTCATAACCGACATCGACTGTCACTTTGCGACCTCCTGGCTGGGTAACTTGATGCTTCGCAAAACGTGTGGGATCTCGATCAAAACGAGAGAATTCCTTCACAATATCTGGGCACACATAGCAGTATTCTTCCTTGATCTCACCGGCTGTTTTGAGGGAGGAATCGGGCTCGCCTCTGTCTCGTAGCAGGGACTGGACGAAATACGTGATGTCTCGGCCTGCGATTGGGATGGACTTGATCGAGGATCCAATAACGTAACCTTCAGCAACTGGAATAACGTGGGTAACGCCATCTCCAGAATCAATGACTGTCCCTGTCAGAGAACGGTCCGAGACCTTGGAGGACGTCCACGAAGCTGCCAGAGCTAAAACTGCCTGTACCGCGATATACAACCCAGCACAATTGAAAGACTCGAACATGATCTCGGCGGTGTTCTCGCGATTCTCGGGAGGATTGAGAGGCTACCACTTCCGTCAGCAGATACTCCGAGTTGACAATGATGTATAACCTACGGGCTCTGTCAACAGAAAGTAATGATCTTCTGGCTCGACTCGAAGGTACTTGAAGATTGAGTTCGACCAAAACCTTTCCATGTAATCCTACGCCAGTTAACCGATGCATTGTGCCCAACGAACAGATTATACCTACCCAGTTTTCAATCTGACCATGGCGGATAGGATAGTTAATATTATACCCTAGTAAAGTCATTATACCGTCTCCATCCTGCCATCGGCGTACATACCTGGTCCATTGGCTGCGGCAAGAGCTTCATCACCGATGAAGAAGTCCAAATCCTCGGTGCCGCGCTTCATGTTGAGGTGCCCACCCTGTCCAGCTCCCCCTGTGAGATACGAGGGCTTGTTGGCTACAGCAGGGCGCCCCGATCCAGAGCCACCACCGGCACTACCAGCTGGACCTTTTGTTGCAATCGCTGTTGGAAAGACAAAGGAGGGGGAATCGTTGCCTGCGAAGCCTGTGTATTCGTCAGCCTCTGTACAGCACCAGATGCCATCATAGAGGACTCACCGAGCTTGGAGAAACCGGTACCGCTGGAGATTGACAGTTAGCTGCGTCCAAAGTGCACATCCAGACATAGTCATCCCCCTGACGGAGCTGCCTTCGAGGTCGGGGTACACATACTTGTCCATGACAACGGCCGGAGTATGGGAAGCCATGTTGGAATAAAGGCTGCGCAGAGCACTTCCACCTCTTCGGAAAAGTTATGCGACAGCTTTCAAAAGGGGCTCGTGGTTCTAGGATTCGAAGGTGTCCAGTTACCGTCAGTCGACCAAATGATGCGCTCAAGATGACAGCCCAGGCAGTTGGTAGGTGTGGCATCGCCTAGTCTCCCAACCCCGCCGCCTCCGACGACCATCATGGTGGGGAATGGTCACGTGTCGTGGAACGACTTTCAGAATGTTTTTGTTTGCAAGGAGGGGAGGCTCCTTCTCCAAAGCCCATACAGCGGATTTGGCGTCGAAGGAGGAGAGGTGGGAGATCTTTACTGTAGCATTGTCCTGCGGCTTCCTGATGGGGAGAAATAAAATAGGTGAAAAGAGACAACCTTTTTCCTCGTGTCCTGCAGCCATCCATTTTCATTTTCATTCTCACCAACACCCATATCCTTTGCGCTGTTTCTAGCTTTACTTCACAAGTCATTCGCTTCACTTTGGATCTCTATACCTGCACGAAGCTTCGAGTATCATTTTACGCTCGCTTCCAAGCGCGTTATTCATGACTTGGATCGAGCTTCATATTTCCTAGGCCGGCGACAGCTGCAGTAGCAGCACATTTGTGAGGCTTCCTCGACCAAAGCTTGCCATCGTGCTAACATCTCAAGGTCTCCCGAATTCACCTCTGAGATTCAACATCGCGCCTCCTAAAGCCTCATTTTAATAATCCTATTGTGTTCCACAACAATTCTTCTCTCTCCAGACCTACCAATTCTCAACTTTACTCCCAAATTGTTTCATCAGAATCCAGTTTGTTTGAACTGAGCACTGTCGCCAATCCGAGATCAACAGAACCGAACACAGGACGAAGACAGCTACTTTCGTTTTTCATCAACATTCTTCGAGTCCGATCTAATGCTATACATCGCCATAGCATAAAGCTACAAAGCTCGGTGTCGATCTAGATCGTTCGGACCCATTCTTCTAACTTGAAAGGTCATCTTTTCCCATGCAATCCTTCGACCTATTGACTCGAGACCGCTCAACCTCAGCCAGATTCAGAGCTGCCAGTAATCAGCTCCGAAAATTACGCCAAAGTCTGAGGACTTCGCTCTGCAGACACCACTATCAGCCTGCCGATATTGTTCCTTCACCATTTCACAACGACCCTGAAGGGCGGGAACAATTGGCAAGAGCTGTGGCGCACGCACCTGAAACTATCTCACAAATACCTTATCTCAGCTCAACCATGGATGGGGCGACCGATAGACTGTTCAGACGGAGCCACCAATCAAATCAGCAAGGCAATGTTGCTGCGATCTTTGTCCATGCTGGTGCCGGTTACCATAGTACTACCAATGAGCATATCCACCTCGGGGCATGTGATAGGTATGTAGACTGACTGTTGAACGGCTACAAGGTTTCTCGTGGTTAGATATGCTAACACTGCCACAGTGCTGCTCGAATGGCAATGCGTGTTCTGCAAGGAGGCGGAACCGCTGTTGATGCAGTAGAAGCTGCTATCAAGGTTCTCGAAGACAAAGAAATTACCAATGCTGGCTATGGAAGCAATTTGGCAATCGACGGAGTTGTAGAATGCGATGCTACCGTCGTTGACTATCTTGGTCGGAGTGGTGCTTGCGGTGCTACAGCACGTAAGTTCAACCCCAACTCCAAGGAATTGGGTGAATGATACTAACTCATTATTTAGAGATTAAGAATCCTATACATTTGGCTAGAGCAATCCTAGAAGCCTCCAGTAAGCCACTCTCCCTCCGAAGAGTTCCGCCAAATCTCCTTGTTGGGCAAGGTGCTACGGACTTCGCATGGGAGCACGGAATTCCCGTTGTTCCGCATGAAATGCTTGTTTCTCGAAATGCAAGAGATCGATATATACGCTGGCGAGAAGACCTAAGGCGCGTGGAAAGCGGTGGTCGTATGACACCTAGCTCGAGTGCAAGCAACAGCCAAACAGACGAGCTGGACGCTGAGTATGAGGAGCGCGTCCGAGCAAAGCAGCGACGAGATCATACTGCTGCTATTATCAATGGTACATGGAATGAGGGTCAGCCGGATTCCCCTGGAGCATCTCCTCAAGTTACTCCAGGGCGTGAAATGTGTACTCAAGATCCCTGTCCAGCTCTTCTTTCTGTCAGCCCTCCAGCGTTTTCCAGCACTGCGACCTCTCGTAGTCGTGGTCATTCACCAACAGGTCTCCCCGCGAAGCGCCCTCGTTTCGGAAAGTACCACAGTGAAGACAGACGGACGCATTCGCTGCTCGGTCCAAGTGCCGACTTGCATAAGAGCCCACCTGAAGTCTCTATGAGCAAAGATGAGTTCTTTTCCAATGATCCACCTCGACCTGGTAGCAGCGATGGGCAGCACTCTCCTCCATGCGAAACAGAAGCATCCGAAATCAGACCTTCTCGTGCTTTCTTTGAAGAGGGCACTGCAGAATCCCCGCCTAAACTCTCCAGGAGAGGAGAAGAAGACGCTATTACAGATACTGTTGGTGCCATTGCTATCGACATGTACGGGCACATCGCCGCAGGCTCGTCCTCTGGAGGTATAGGTATGAAACTCCGCGGCCGTGTTGGACCTGCTGCTCTTGTTGGCATCGGAAGTGCCGTCATTCCAGCCGATGAAGCAGATGAGGAGGGCATCACCGTGGCAGCTGTTACGAGTGGTACCGGCGAACACATGGCAACTACCATGGCTTCACAGCGGTGCGCAGAGAGGCTGTATCACAATACTCGGCGTGCCGAAGGTGGTGCAGATATTGATGCGACCGAGGAAGAGGCCATGGTGTCTTTCGTCCAGGCCGATTTTATGGGTCATCCAGGAGTCGTGGGAAGTAACTCAGCAGGTGCTATCGGTGTAATGGCTGTCAAAAAGACCCCGTACGGATTCTTCCTCCATTTCGCACACAACACCGACTCATTCGCTTTAGCATCCATGCATTCAAGGGAAAGGGAGGCTAAGTGTGTGATGTCAAGAATTGGAGACCATGGTGGTGTTGTGCAAGGGGGGAGGAAGATTCGAGTCGACTGATGAGTGTAAATGCTCCCACCCTGTAGTCATCATTACTGCGTTTGATTTCATCATTGTTTTAGCATGGCGTTTGGTAGATGGCATAGGCCTCATAAGGATGGGGACATGACTTATGATTGTGGCCTAGCGGCGGCACAAAATTGCTTTGATGGCGGTCAACATGGGAGGGCTCCTTATTCCGAACCGTCGAGATATGCTGGTATTTTTTAGAGACACATGTCTCGTAGATAGCCTGGCGAAGATTGTGGCAATGGAATGCAGCTTCAGTGCTCGCTACACACCATCGAACTTATAGACAGAATTCAGAATGCCTGGATTTCAATCTTCACTGTGGCCTTTGTGATTCTTGACGGACATCTTTGCACGAAGCATGCAAGCCTAGAAGCAATTTTCATATCTGGTTACATTCAAAGGGGATCAATTAAATGTGAAATGGTTGGTGGCAGACATTCTGCCTGGATAACCATATTGAAAAATGGAAGGCAATTGTTTTGCCTGTGTAATGTTTATCCCAACACAATACGTTTATTCTCCAGGTGCCGGAGTTCCCCTGGCACTTCCAGTCTCTACTCCGTTTATCCTCTTCTTTTTCTTCTTCTTCCGAGGTATGACTGCTGGCTTTGCACCATAATCACCCAGCGTGAGATGTGTAGAGCAAGTCAAGCAAATTGCTCCTTCTGGAGGCGAGCAAAAAACTATAGCCGCATTAGAACAATTTTTCGTTCAAGTCAAAACGATGGTTGCCCAGAAATACTTACTGCTCAAACATATACTACACACAAATCCTACATCCACCACCCGTCTATGGCAGAAACAAGCAGCTCTGAAATCTACCACCTCCTGCGTTGGAGCAACTAGATGCTTCCTCGCCATTTGATCTGGCAGAAATGCCATCATCAGATACTGCAACAGACCCTCTGGGTTCCGTAGCTGCATATAAACTCCTTTGGTAGTATCTGATGCTTGCTGTAGGAAGACAGTATCTCCCGCGAGTTTTAGAATATCGATAGGGATCCGTAGCCGCTGCGCTGCAAATGTAGTGTTCATTATTGGAATGTATTGGTGTGCCAGATCTCCTGATACTGATATTACGAGGATACGGCTTTGCAAACCGACGACATCTGCAGTCTCCGCGTTTGGGCCTACAGGCTTGTCTTCCGTCGATATGCCAGAGTAGGCTGCAGATGCTTTATTGATGTATGATAATGCCAGAGTGAGAGCCCCAGCCATTTGTGTTGTCGTCGTTGTCCGTACATCGCTTTCCGTTGTAGAAGCTATGAGCTCGCGGAGAGATGTGAGAAGAGTGTCTTCTATGAGGGCGAAGGGGCGGTATTTGTTAGCATTGTCGAGATTCGAGGCCGTTCTATCGGTCATTTCGACGTCTTCGGAGGTGGAGGGGGCACTAGGATATAGCCATGCTGCGCGGTGGCTGTGAGATGCTACTACAGCAACTTGATTTGCATTATTGAATGCTAGGTGGGCATTTATGAAGACGAGGAGGTTTGAAATCGCTTTCGAGAGAGGAAGTGTGGATTTGAGGAGTGCCCAGGCGTGGGGATTGGTGTCTAGCACAATGACCAGAAGAGAAGGTGAGGCGACTGTATCATTGTGAGACTAGATACCATACCAGAAGCGATATACCAACCTTTAGCACCAACCTCATAATGCTCGGAGCCATCTACCGCGTTCATGGTGGAGGCAGATGAGGCATGTCAGCCTCGGGGGACTGGGAGACTTAGAACTGCGCTTCTGCTAGAAATCAGCCTTCGCAGACTTTTGTGACTGCAACAAAGCCTCAAGTAGGTACCCACAAGCTAGAGCCAGTCCAGCTGGGTGAATATATCTTCTTTGTTGTTCCGACGAATGTTAAGCTACGTCCAACATTCGAGCGCGAATTTGCTCTGTCAATCCCTGTCAATCAGTGACGCCTGGTCCCGTGACATGGCCCATAAAGTTCAGAATGCCCCTCTTCATTCTTCTTGGCCATTAACTTCATCCTTCACTAAGATAATCAGAATATTCGAAATGTCTTCTCAACTCGTACCGGTAGCTGATCCCAGCGTACCTGCAACATCAGAAGCTGTAGAGAAGGCAAATGTCTCTCTGGAGGACCGAACATTGCTACTTCTTGCTCAGCTGATGGAAGGCGGGCAGGAGGATGAAGATACTTGCAGAGAGCTGAACTCCCTCACCAAGCTACTCACAGATGAGTCGTCGAAAGAGACCAGGTCTCCAGGACCACATAAGCCTCTCTACGATCTTCTCGATACAGATTGTGTAGAAACTCTTTTGGGCTATCTGGATATGAGACAGCCGCCAACAGTACGGGGCCACGCAACTTTGACAACATCGGCATATCTCAAAGCTGCCGGAGACAAGGGTGTCGAGGCACTTTCAAGTTTCTTCCATACAACCGTTGGCAAAGGCACCTACGATGACTTTATCACTGCGTTTTCTGTTGCAGCTTCACTCTTCCCTATCGTTCCCGATGTCATAGCTGACCTCTTCCTGAGTGAGGGCTTCGTCGTTAGTCTCGGACCTTTGATGAGACGGAAGTGGAAGAGCAGAAAGGTCGAGCAAGCTGCTTTGGAAATGCTGAATGCAGCCTGTATGAACACACCTTGTCGAGAGGCTGTCAAAAAGTATTGCACAGAGTGGCTGGACGAGATTGTCACCGATGTTCCTTCCGCTGTTGTGGATGTTTCATCTTCAGATAAACATCAAGTTGTAGAAGATGGAGCGATGCAACAACGTATTCATTCCGAGGCGGTGAGAAATCTAGCTGCTGTTGTTCTGGCCAAGCTTCAGGTAGGTACTTTCTCGTCTTGGTCTTCACGTATACAACATCAAGAATACATTGGACCTTCCATGCAAGTATTCTAACTAACTTCAGGATTGAAGGCTGTTACCTCGGCCCCAAGTGCTGGAGAAGAGGAACGAATACAGCCCGCGACAACCAGTATTGAGGAACTTTCGGACATGTTCAAGAATATGATATCTACAAGCACTTCGCAAAACACATCAATAGAGGGCTTAGCATACGCTTCTTTACAGCCGAAAGTCAAACATAGCTTGGCTTCTGATCAGATATTCTTGAAGAATTTGATTAAAGCCTTGGGAGAATCACCTGCGAAATCACCTGCGACTTACGGAGCGCTCACCATTCTTGTTAATTTGACTACCTATCCACCTTCTCTTACAGAGGAGCAGAAACGCATGACCCAACTCAAAGCCTATGCCAACGCCTCGAAATCATCCAAACCAGATCCACTAAACGATGAAGAACATGCCGCGAAACGCTGTCAAGCAGTATTTGATGCTGGTGCAATTCCGATTCTCGTCACCCACAGCCAGCACGGCTCGACCGCCTCATTAATGCTGGTTGTCTCGGTCGTCAACTCATTGTCCAGAACTACGAAGATCCGGGGACGGATGGCTCAACAAGGAGCCGTGAAGCTTCTCCTTCATGCATACTCTGTCTTTCCCACCGATAATATCCCAGCACGTCGAACAACTGCTCATGCACTAGCTCGAATCCTTATATCCACCAACCCTCAGCACGTATTCGGAGGGTCTAATCCGCTCTCAGTCACCTCGGCTGTTCGACCACTTCTTCTGATCCTTGGGGATGATCCCTCAGTCGAACATCGAGATCTGCTCCCAGTATTCGAATCCCTCCTGGCTCTTACCAACCTTGCCTCGACAGACGACACAGCTCGAAACCCCATCATCCGGATTGCATTCCCCCAGATCGAAGAACTGCTCCTATCAAATAATAAGATGGTGACGCGAGCAACGGTCGAGCTGATCTGCAATCTCATGCAAGCACCAGAAGGTGTCGCCAAGTTCGCTGACGGAGGCAGGCAGGCTAGCCAGCGAATGCACATACTCCTCGCGTTAACCGATTCCGAAGATTTCGAGACTCGCCGGGCAGCTGGTGGTGCCATGGCAAGTCTCACAGAATGGGACACCGCTGTCAATGCCATTCTGGAACGAGATCGCGGTGTACCACTCTTGCTAGGGCTCTGCAAAGAAGACCAGGAAGAATTGAGACATCGAGGAATCGTCTGTATCTTAAATTTGATGACGGCACCAGGGAAGGTTGGAGAGTGGGGAATAAAAAAGGTGAAGGAAGCAGGCGGTGTCGATGCTTTGAAGGAGTGTTTGAAGAAATCAAGGAGTCAAGAGGTGTTAGAAATAACTGTTGAGGCACTGAAGAAGTTGCTGGCGGACGAGAAGCCGGGCGCCGCGCTGCTTACCGAATGAACCAGATCATCCTCAACTATATGAACAATCATTCCAAGCAGTCAAAATTGATGACACAATCCCCGGAAGATTTGAGTTCGCTCTAGGTTCTGCCCGCTACAGCAGCATGTCTCTGTGGGTTTTGTGTCGTTGCATTCAGATCCCAGATCCCTCCTTTCACCACACCACAAACTCCCCATTAAGGATCCTGACCATAAATCCCCACATCTCAACGGTGGAATTAGCGTCTCACGTAAGTGATCGTCTGTCAGCAGAAAAGTATGGAACGTAAGGCTGAGCCAAGAAGCCAGAAGCCAAGCAGCTCGTGCATTGTGCAATCGAACCAAATTCCGGCTTCAGTCTTCTGATTCCAAAGATTCGAGACTCAAGATCTTCTCCGTCTTCATCACCGTCGCTCTTTCTCCAACCGACCTTCTAAGCGAAGAACTCGCAATTTATGTTATGACTTGCAATACATCAAACCCCATTCCGCGTACTGAGTGTCAAACCAGAAATAGATACGTAGCGCCAATGCCAACGCTTGGGTGCTGTTGTTTATAAATTTTTAGATTGCATGGTTCTTATTTACATGATTGTCTCCCCATTCAAGTGGTCAGTGTTGAGCTGTCTGCGAACAACCACTTCACGTCATGAAATAAGTTGTAGAATCAGATCGTATCCTACCAGAGACAGGATGATACAATATAGGAAGGAGCTATTAGTATTCGGATGAGGTTTTGAGCAAGTTGCTCCGTCTACTCAAACAGTACATTAATGACGGGCACACGGTGGCATGGAATGAAAGGTCCAGGATTTCGTACGGTCGTAGCTTGTTCTCTATTATTGTTGTGATAGCATTGGGTTGGGAAATGTTGGCTGAGAGGTGTCACAATTCATTCATCTAGTTCGAGTCCTCTCTTGATGGCTTCCTCGACCCTAATATACCAGATGCAAGACACTATCGCCAAGCTTGAGTTCCTGGATTGGAGTCCTCGAGTCCAAGTTTCCGCAACCACTGGCTAATCCCCAATCTCTGGTTCTCTGATGGCCCTTCTGGATTATTTTACAATTGAGGATTTGTTGTCGTTACCTCTACACTAGGATCGCAAGAAATAACATGTCACAACGTAGTGGCGCGTTTCGAGAAACACGTACGAGCTCGACAGCATCAACAGACGGGCCTTTCCCACTGGTAACGATCCACAATATGTGATAGATGTCTACCAGCACCTATTTTGAGCGACGAGAATACATTGGCCGAGTCTAGACCACGGACGACTTGCTGGGGCTTGATTGACATTGCGGCACGCAAAGTGGCCTTTGGTGCTTATCTGCAGTAGTACAGCCGTAAAAACAGCAGTTACAACAAGTCTATTGGAACGGAGATACCACCTGCCCCTGAGGAGCTGGGAGGTAGAGGTACCGCAATACTTTTCGAAGGTCATGCAAAGGTGTTTCGATGTTATGGCCGTTATCGACTCGGCTCTTTCACATCTTAAGCTTATTATCAAAAAGACGCCAATGCAGTGTTACTATTGCCCGCATGAGTGTGATGAGACCTGCAGATGAGAAGAGTATATCGAGACGCTGCATTGTGACGTCGCCACTTGTTCAGTCTGCATCGGCTTTGGAGGGACGTCTTGCCTTGATAGCGGTGACAAGTAGAGAATCAAAACTCTAGGAAAGGTAAGAAAGTATGAGAAATATCATCTTCGTTTCGTAACGACTCAGGAGTCTTGAACTTTGTTATGACAGATGTCCGAACGGACAATGGTCAGGGCTGATTGTTTGCCAGGGGCCGTAATGCTCCCTTCCATCGGAACTATTTCCGTAACTTTAAGCTCTGCCAAAAATTTCAATGCACATTTTATCCCAAAGAGCTTCTAGTCAACAAGGATAGATTCAGAGATTTCAACCATGGCTTCTTGCGTCTTGTGCAGCCTTGGCGCCTCCACGCTGCCACTGCGGAGAACTGGAGAAGGCGAAAATCCATGACTGCTGTGCCTTTGCAAGGTATCCGATAGACCAGCCGCCGCCCGGCTCTTATCTGCGATAATCCATGGTCCATTCTTTTGAATATAGGAACCAATAGCAAAGAGCTCAAACGTAGGCATTGCGGCATAAGACGCCTCCCCCCATCGAGACCCGTGGCTATGACACCACATCGCGAACAGCTGCTCTCGATGGCGCTCGATGTGCACTCGTCTGCGCCACATCTCACTGATAGGCAGCAATTCATCAAGAGAATCACGGGATGAGGCACTGGCTGTAGGGCGCCGACATGCGAATTGCTGGGGTTGGAGATGGAAATTGAGATGAAGATGAAGATGAAGATGGGGCGAGTTTTGTGAGCTGTTAGTTAGATGTGCAGTCTAGTTTTTTGATGTGGAGCGAGGAAATGCCATCCCAATCATTTCAGGGTCCTAGGGGGGGCTTTCTAGGGGTCCAGCGTGGCGCACTCAGGGTCCAGAGGTCCCTGCGTCCTTTGAACTCTCAAATGACGTGAGAGACTCAAGAGTACCCCACGATGCTCGGAAGGACGTGCTGTTGACATCTGGGGTTGATTCCAACTGCAAGAATTGTTGGCACTTGTTGTTCGACAACTCAATGTCTCATCGCACAAGTCAACGGGGAGGGGAGTAGCTGCGGGTGCCCATGCTTGAAGAAACAACACATTGCGGCAAACGTCTGGGTCCACTTGAATCCCCAGATGGTTGAAGCGGAAGAGCGGGGCAGCTGCAAAAAGACTATATCAAGCCAATGAACAAGACCAACATGATCGGCTGCGTAAGGTTCCAAGAGCTTAAGCCAGCGAGGATATTCTCCAAAAAGCAGCGGATTCTCAATAACTGCCCACGTTTTGGCCAGCCACTTGTGTGCAAGAGGTCTAGTGCTCCTAGGGTCTCCAAGGGTCCAAGGGTCCAGAATGACTGTCACTGTCCTACCGCATTCCGGGAGGATGCCTTTTGACCCCATACCCGATCCGAAGGTCTGGCCAGCGAGATCGAGAATCTTGGGCTGTCATCTCCATTCTCTCCATGCCAAGTATATCTGTTCGGTAAGCCCCCCATTCCGATCCACTGCATGGACCTCTTCCATCCCAGATACCCCCTCATCCAACAAACTTGACCTCTACCCCTCGTCATCATCAGTTCCAGAAAGGTACTATTTCTCGTCAATCACCCTTCGCTCTGTTTGATCCGTTCATATCAGCAACGAGTTCAGCCCAATCTCGATCGATCTACCCTATCTCCTCGATCCTCGGTCATATCAGAAGACAAAGAATATCTAAGATGCCTTCAAGAAGCCGAAGTTATTGCCAAGCCGGCAAAGACAGCATCATGGTCACCCCAAGGAACCTCGTCAACCCGAGTTCTAACTTGTTCGATAAATCTTTGAACGGGGAATTCGCCCAGGAAGATTGGGACGACTGGATGAGATGGGAAGGTGCAACGACGACGGATCTGATTCCAGCTGATATTCAATGTACTGAAAGTATGGAACGTCACGATGCATCTCTAGAGACCTGGGCCATGGGAATCGAGAGTTCGGGAGTTGACATGATGCCGACGTCCTACTCTGCTGGCACCGACTTCCCATTTGCGGATGCTCCATTCGAGTTCGAAGACACACCACCATTATCAGCAGGCTCGACAAACAATCAGAGAAACATCCCTCTATACCCCACGACTGGAGCCAATCCAACACAAGGGCAGGTGCAGCAAGAGCTTCGCAGGTCCTATCGTGGATTTTCCTCCCTCACTGAAGCCGAAGAACGGAGCCTGCAAGATATCGCCATGCCATCCCATGTACTTCCCAATATCAAAGTTGCCTCAGCGTCCGCTTCACCAGCGGCATCCCAAGCATCCCAAGCATCGCAATCCTTCTCTCCTTCGCCCGAGCCAGAAACTCGTACGCGCAAGAATAATAAACGCAAATCGGTGGACATGGAAGACCAGCCAAACAGTGCACTGTGCCAATCGAGAAAGCGGGGTCACAACGCCATCGAAAAGCGATACCGAACAAACTTGAACGCCAAGATCGAATCTCTGCGTGAAGGAATCCCGTCCCTCTATGGGCCAAATGACAACGGTGGCGAGGAGGATTCCGTCCGCGAAGGTGATAGCAAGTCAAACCAGCAAAAGTATGGAAAAGCAGCGATTCTGATGAGAGCTCTCGAGTATATCAAGCACCTGGAGAAAACCACGCAGAGACTCGGCAGCGAAGTTGACACTTTAAAGACACGCGTAGGGGCCTTTGAGAAATTGGCTATGAGTGGGAGCATCATCCTCAATGCTGGCGGCATGGAGGCAATGAGCAGACCAGTCTTGGTAAAGAGTGAAACGCTCGAGAGTATTCAGTCGGGTAAGGTCTGAATAAATAGGGAAGAAGAACCACAGGCTGATGACAACCAGACTTCCAACAAATCCGACCAAAAGCAAAAGTAGTCGCTGGACCAGCTACGAAGAGAAGAGGCTCAAGACAGACAAAAGTACAATGAAGCTTTTGATGCAGAAATTAATCTTGAAATCTAATATCTGCGCAAGAAACAGGAGCTCAACAGTTGAAATATATATAGTCTTCAAAAGGAGTGTTTTGGAGTTGGAGATCAATGAAGTTTGCGACAGCGCCTGAACCGGCTGGCAGGCGATGGTCTCATGAGACCCATGAACAAAATAATAATAGTAACATCAATAGTACGGGGCAAAGCCAACAAACATCTTCATATTCCAATAGCCGTGTTGAAGTGAAGAAATAAAGCAAAAAGCAAAAGAATGGACGACGTCGCAACAAAGTTGGGATCTTAAACTAGTCGGATCGCTAACCAAGAGGCCATGCCAAAAAAAGAGTAAAGTGACTAGCTACATGAAGCAATTGCTACCCATACGCATTTCTGCTGTTGACTTTTGGGGTATTGATCTTCTTCATATCAGATGGAGAAACTCTAGCTTTATACTCTTAACCAACTTTGAGCGTCATCCGCGACTTCAAAGCGGCTGTTCACTGCGTGCTCGCTTAGCTCGTGCTCTCTGTTTTGAATTCAGATGCCTTGCATTCTCTCGTCCGCTTCCATATTTGGTATCATTAGAAATCAACACGAAGTAGTGATCCCATGGATGAATTAAAACAGATTAGTCAAATGTCTAAGAGTACCAACGGAAAACTGAGTCAAGGGTTCAGTTGGCTGACCGCTAACGCACCATTCCCTCCATCAAATCTTCATCTTACACAAAATCAAACCAAGGGAAGTCTGAACAACCCTCCTTCGACCTCCATCTATCCCTCCTCTAACTACAAGGAACAGGAGCCCAAAAATTACATTTGATGGATGGTACTTAAGAGACAGCCTCTGAATCATGGAAGGGCCATCGACCCTCAAGAAACCACGCTCGGGATCCCACACCAGACGTAATTTTCAAAGTCAACTTTACTCTGAACAAGTCCATAGCTCACATATACCCCGGCAAAGCGAGTGATGAGCTATATGACGCATAGCACAAACTCGCAAATTATAAGTGTCTCTCACCTGTCCCGCTCCTATCACAAACGTACCTGCTTAAGATATTCCCATTATCTGCTGACAGCAGACGGAAACATCACCATCCCAAAACAATATACCTATTATTGGTATGACAGACTTGACTAGTCATTGCATTTCGCAGATAGATCAAGCTATTTCAGACAGATAGATGACTGTTCATCACAACCTTCACTGTTCTGTAAGCTCGACGACGCTCGACCAGCATCCTTTGTCTCAACACTCAAGCACTGCTAGTCACTAAAACTTAAAACACAAAAAGTTACCCAGGGTAGCGAGTGGGACATGGATGGGAAATGAGTGTTGGGGATATCGGCAACGTAGGAGACTGCTGGTGAGAGTGAGAGAGTGAGAGAGAGTAAATAAGCAGGCATTTATTAAGCGAAAAAAAAAAAAAAAAAAACCTCACCAAAATCGACCGCAGTGCTGCGAAGCAAAATGAATTGGCTTGAAGAAATGGTGTCCTAGGTAGTTGCCGATTATGGGTACCTTGGTACCCACCCACTCTCCAAAGCGAGAAAGTAAGAGAGCACCGGGCATGTCTCATCTCCACTCACCTTCCCAGCTATTTTGAAGTCCAAATGATGTCACAGAAAAGTCTAAAAAATCGAGCAGCACCACTCAAAGATTGAAACGCCATCCATTGAATTTTCATACCATTTCAATTCAGTCCATTCCATTTGCGCACATGCCTCTCCCGATCCCATACCAGTAGTTGTTGTAGTAGTAGCAGTAATAAGCAGCAAGTTTTATCCTCAGAAATCTCCTCATCAGGTACAAACATGGTCCCCGTCCCTGCCGACCACTAATCTCTATTTGACTGAGGAGAGAAAGAAGAAAATTGCCTGCACCCGGTAGAAAAAGCCATATGTACAAATGCAGTCCCAGTCCCAGTCCCAACCCTCCCAAAAAATTCAACAATTTGCTTTGACCGATCGATATGCATGCCATGCCAGTGTCATGTTGTGTTGTGTTGTGCGCCATTCAGTAAGTCCACACCGTCGTTGCGCGTGTGGACGGTTCTCTTCTCCCTCTATTGTCCTCTTCTGCCTTCTCTGTTCGACATCACTAGAAATCGGGCCAAGATCGAAGTGCCTTCACGAAAATAATCCGCCGCCCTTCTCCTCCTTCAAATGCTTCAAAGCAATGAAAGAAACAGGAGAATACTTCTCAATGATCAAAGTCTAAGCTGGCATGTGCTGTAGACTGTCTCTCGCTCGTGGCCGTCAAATTGCATACGCGTAGCAAGCAAGCAACTTTTCCCGCGTCTTGCAAAATCAATGTAGCGTTCTATACTCAAACAAAACCCACCATCTCCGGAAAATTTGTAGAAGATGGCTCGCCAATGGATGCTCCTCCTCAATGGTCATATCGTCCGTTGTTCAGATCTTCGGTTTGGTGGTGGTCGTCTCCATCGTGATGTAAAGTGACCGAGTTGAATTCCTCGAATGGATCCAGGACCTCACCACCAGGTGTGGCCAGTCCAGAATCGAGAGGTACTCCTTTGGGAATTGGCATCATTGCTCTGCCCCCACTAATATCCACACTCTCGCTCTCTTTCACATTTCGGAAGTTGACGGTATCGACACCTCGTCCTTGATGTGGGATCATCGGTGGCTTCATGTGTCTGATGAGAGCCCATTGGGTAGTGCGGAAGAAGGGGTGCGTCTTGACATCAGAGGCTCCAGCCCGAGCGCCAAGTCTGCGATTTTCATCCTTGATGAGGAGTTTTCTAATCAGGGATTTGCACAAACTGTTGTGGTCAGCATCTTGACTCCTTTATTAACCTCAATTTCCCCACTTACTTAGAAATTTGTGGCGTTCCAGAATGCTCGGGGAACGGGACATCATCTCTCAAGATATTGGCGAATGTAGCATTACGGTTCTTTCCCTTGAAAGGGGTCGTTCCGTACAGCATCTCGTAGATCAGAATACCCAGAGTCCACCAATCTACCGCACTTGTGTGTCCACATCCCTTAATGACCTCCGGCGCAATGTATTCCTCTGTTCCAACAAACGAATTCGTCCTGAAATTGTTTATGCATGATTTCGTATCGATCGTTGGTAATGAGTTAACATTTGCACCATTTCGGCCCAGAATCATGGTTGGCTTTCCACCAGGGTCAGACTGTTTGGAAAGATCGAAATCTGACAACATGATGTGTCCTGATTGGTGAAGCAGAATATCTGATACAATTAGTAAAGCAATGACTCAGGGACAGGGAAACTTGCTCTCTGGCTTCAAATCTCTGTAAATGAATCCCATCAGATGCAGATATTCCAAAGCAGCTGTAACCTCCGCGGCATAGAATCTCGCATCATCTTCTGGTATGCACTTTCCAGGACGAGTCTGCAAGGCTCGGAAGAACTCTCCACCACTGCAGTACTCCATACACAGGTATAAATGATCCTCCGATTGGAAAGAATGGTATAGGGTAACGATGAACGGGTGATTGCTTGTGGCCAAGATTTCCTGCTCTGCCAAAGCTCTCTTGATCTTATTCCGCTTGATCATTTCCTTCTTGCTCAATACTGGAATTTGTCAGCTAGAAGGCACCAGCGCGAGTAGCACATTACATACCCTTCATAGCATACAACCTGCTGCTCTTCTTCTCCCGCACCAGGTACACTTTTCCTACATCTCCCTTTCCAATCAACTTAATCTTATCAAAACTGCCTGGTCCCACCTCTACATTCCGTACTTTGATGGAATTCGAACTATATGTCCTCCTGAACGCCATGGCATTTCGCAAATTGGGTGGTTGTAGAGCTCCTAGGCTATCTTGTGCAGGGCCAGCGAGAGGCGATCCATTCGTCTTGGGATCCACCAGGGACAGCATGCTGGTGCTGGCATTGTGTGCCAATGGCTCCTTACCAAGCTCAGCTGTGGCAGGCCTATCACCGCTTCCCTTACCCTTTGAGAAAAGTCCCTGAGCATTTGGAGCACTGGCTACTCTCCTCAACTTTCGTGCCAACTCTTCCTTCCCAGCAATCGTTGCCTGATCATTCGCTCCTGACACGGCATCAACTTTAAGGGTCGGGGTATCAGGTGGACTCGGAGGAACCGAACCTTCATTGTGGTGTCGTAACGCAGGAGGGCCCTGGTGCGCGAAGTATGGATTGGCATGAGCCGTAGGACTGACCCCATCATCTAAAGCATTGCCCTCACTGGCCACGGTCGTGGAGCGATTCCGTCCTGAGCCGGGGAAGAACTTGGACTGTCGGAATGAGCTCTTGCTCTCGGACTTTATCGAGCCATCTTTCTTCTCATCATTGCTACCTAGAGTGTTGATCCGGAAGAAGTTCTTCAGCTTCTGCGGAAACGGGCTGTGGCCGTTGGGGTGCTTGTTGGACGACATCGAGATGCCCGAGAAGGCTCGTTTCTCGCTGGGGATCGAGGTTGGAGACGAGCCGTGAAATAGAGCCGTCATCGAGAATCCGCAGCAGCTTTAACAACAGCTGCACCGCGGTACTCGAAGAGTGGCTGTCGAGTAGGAAGGGATGGGAATGGAATGGAATGGAGGACGTGGTGAATGGGAGAAGGACCGTCTTGCGGTGCCGCCGTTGCGTTGACAGTCGATAGTTGTTGGACCGTGCTTCGCAGTTACTTATCAATCAAGGCCGATATGTTCCTCAGCACACCAGCGGAAAAGTGGCCCTCGGTTTCGGTTTCGGGGGGCCGTGGCGCAGTTGGCGATGCCTATCGCTACTGGGCCATCAGAAATTTGAATTCAGGAGGGCCCCGAGTCTGCCGATGGAGTAATTACAGCAGGTGCAGGAGCACGAACACGACGCTATTCGGAGATTTTGGGGGGGGGGGGGGGGGGGGGAGAGGTACTGTAGAATGGATGAACTGATGGGAAGGACAAGACAGGACAGGACAGGACAGGATGCTCGTTTCTTGGTCTTGGGCTGCGCTAGATTGGTGTCCCGCTGGTCTCTCGGGGCGGATTATCAAAGTGGAAGCTGCACTCTCCCACTCCCACTGCCACTCCCACTCCCACTGCCACTCACTACTCCAAGGTGGGATGGGATGGAATGGGCGTGTACAGAAGCCTGAACGGGCCAGAAAGGGGGCGATCCGACAGCCTGGCCACTCCGCTGCTTCCTGCTAAACTCCCCAAGGTAAGGTATCGCGGGCCTTGACCTCAATAATGTTCTGGAATCCAGACACAAGAGAAACACAAGACACGTCTTGGAGTCGTCAAGGAGGATGAGACAGTATGTTGTTACTTTGGTAGGGGTGTTTAAAAGGATTGTAGTCAGACGGAGCAAGAGCGAGGAAGGAGTTGATTTTGAGAGCGAGACCGAGGCATGCACAACAGGAGTAAACTTCGATATTAACTTTTAGCAAGCAGATATATCATATTGGTTCCCCCTTACGAACTCGCACTCGTTCTTCATGCTCTATTGCCTGGCTCTACTGCCGCCATGCACTGCCAATAGCTCAGCCCTCCTCAGCCCTCGTCCTCGGAAGCAACATCAATGGCTTCACCCAGAGCCTGTTAGGACTGGATCCGACACTAATCATGTTTTCATCATACTGCAATGCTTTCTTTTCGATGGTTGTAATTACAAACAATGCCATCTACTCCGCCTCCTAATATCATTATGGATTACAATTCTTACTCCTCTTTATCATTTCCCCCAGCCATTATTAGCCCTCTCCCGCCGCCAAAACCTCACCCTCTCTCTCGCCGGCCCCTCCTCCCCGCCTCTCTTCTCCCTCGTCTCCCTCGTCTCCCTGCCCAGCGGCAAAATTCAAGTCCACACACCCAACACTCTCAGGTAGGTAATTCGTCAATTGCCCTTTTCCACATCTCCTACCTACCTACCTACCTACTCGAGTAATGTTTCCTACATCTCTCCAATCCCAAGGCAGCGGAAACCCCCGTACCGATCGGAATATCTCCATGCACGTATGCACTGCATGCACTTCGGCTTGCCTCGAACAGCCTCCGAAGGTAAAAAAAAAGAACCATTACCAATCCAATCCATCCCCATCCCCATCCCATCTCGAACATCCATCCCACCTCGTCTCATCCCCTATGATCTCATCCTTGCAGGGATCACACAGTTCAAACTCAACCCCGCGAATCGCGATTTACTGAAGTAACGAGTCGATCAAATTCTGATCGTGTAGGATATGACAGGAGTATAGAAACATACTCACAGAGCAGCAATATGTTCCGAATCAACCAATAATTGCTAATGTTAACATCCAACATCCGAGCCAAGGCCCGCCTTCTCTCCTCTCCTTCCCCTTCCAGACCAAACTCCTGCCATCCTCTCACATCCATCCAATAAACTGAAATCTACTCCTTCCCAAGACGCAGCTATCCTCCACAAAAAACATTATGCACAGTCAACCCGCAAAGATAACCCAAATGGCGCCATTTATATTGGTACTTACCCCTCCTTCCAAAAGCAAACCTTCCTAGACGGAAAAAGGAAAAAAGCAAACACTTGAGATGGGCCAGCGTTGAGCCGAAATTCCGACCCGAGACCCAGCCGATCGTTGATCTAGGACCATACTCATTGGATGATGTTTCCTAGTAGCTTAACTCGGGGAAGGAACGGCTTCTAGAACTTCTAGAAGATGCATAGGCACATTTGGCTTGAAGCACCCAAATGCACAGCCACAGGGCATCAATTGTAAAGACAGTAAGGGAAGGGCCACAAAATCACATCACATTACCTCGCACAAAGACATCGGATTTCATTGCATGTGTAGACATTGACCTATGCGTGACTGTGCTCATGATCAGTGAAACCTCTTGTGTAATGCCGCTACCCTTACCAGTAGCAGAGCAAAAGGAAACCCAGTGTCAGTATCTCAGACCATCCCGTATCGTCGCCACCACATTCTTCCCCAGTCCGAAAAAGAAACAAATAATTCTACAGCATGCCCAATATCATCAATGAAAGGCGATTAGATGCAATATTGCAATAGCCATGCGAATGATACATGTATCGAGACTCGTATGAGATGAAGCATCTTTCCGCACCATGTACAGAGGAGAGAAATATAATGTAGGTGAGGCAAATCCATCAGGCTTGTGGTACAGCAGCTGACACCGCAATCCCAAAGCCTAGTCAGGCAGACATATCGTACATCCCTTACAATACTGAGATTGAAATGTTGAGAAACCGAGGACAATAATCCGTCAAGTAATGAATGGAACCGAAAACGGCAAAGATGAGATAATGTGTCAGCAATTTACCACTCCTCACCAGGACGGACAGGTCCAGTACGGGTGGTGTTAGGGTTCCATCCTTGATCAAGGGTACTCTTTTCGGTCTCTTGGAGCTGTTCACTGATCTGTCTCAAGTATGCCTCGGCAGTCTGGGGACCAGGAACACCATGGCGTTCATTCTTATCTTGGTTGAATGGACGATTCTCGGCTTGTGAGTTTGTGGCCTTGGTTGAAGCTGACTTGTATGGAATATATTCAGCTGGGGTAAGAGATGCAGCCGCGGATCCACGATATTGAGGGAGGAATCCTTGAGCAGTGGCAGACGAAATGGTTCCCATCAAAGGAGTACCAGCTCGGCCTTCGTTCTTAAGCATCTGCTGCAAGAAAATTGTCTGTTCGTCAACACTTCCGAAAGTCAGCTCTGTCTCTTCACGTGGAACGTTCCAGGGAGACTTACTTTTTGAAGTTCTCAACTCGCTCATCAAACGACTTCAAAGGCTTGGGAGAAACTCGGTGACCGTTGGCGCGAGGAGACAGATTAATTTCGACGGTTGACTCGGTTTCCTGTGTGTCGCTGGCAGTAGAATCGACACTGATGACGCCGTTCTCGCTCTTGTAGCGTTGAGAATCGCGACCAGCTGGTTGCCAAGAATCATCGGACTTAGCATCGTCGACCTCGTCCTCGGCTTCCTCGAAGAATGTAGCGTTCTCAGGGGTGACAGGTGCTTCATCCTGATCTCTGCTGAATCGTACAACAGTGGGCTTTGGAGAGGGCGATCTGTATCCGGGGCATCCCTTCTCCATGAACAGTTTCGAGAAATCAAGGCCAGGAACCGACTTGACGACCTTCTCCCCAACAGTAGCCTCCTGATTGTGACCAGATCTTGAATCGCGGGACCAACCATTATGCAATCCTTGTGTAAAGGTAGACTGCTGCGAATTTCCTCTGCTCTTGGCATCCGTAAAGACCGGTTGAGGAATTGGCTTAAGGTATGCAATATCGTTCGATGGAAGACGGAATGGGTACGTCTTCTCAGGCTCGATCTCAAGTGATACCTGGGTCTCAACCGACTTAACGGAAGCAATGCTGGCAGGCTTCTTTACCGGGGAAGGTGGGTAGAAATCCTTTCCATCAAACTTGGGCAAACCACTCTGAACAGATCGAGGTGCCTTTCCCCAGTACAGATATCGTGCACGAAGCTCATCATCTGTCAATGGACGAGAATAGACCAGATCATTAGCGTTGGCAGTCTGAGCACTTACACCAGTTGGGAGAGTGCCAATGAGGTAAGGGATAGTCTCGGATGGCGGTGCCGAAGTGTTTGGCTTCATCGCAGGAGCTTGACTATGTGACGTACTCGAACGCTGGTAAGATCGAGACTTCTCATATTGTGTATTATGATGAGAGACGCCATGGCGAACTTCGTCCTTAGGAGGATCGTAACCTCTATCATTGCCGAACTTGAAGCCGCTTCGAAGCCAATCAGTGGTAGAATAAGCCATCAAACGAGCTGTAATCTCGGCCACTGTTTCCTCAGGCTCATTATCTTCAATAGCCGAAGTTGAACGCGAAATGTGCTTTGGGTGCTTTGGTTGAATTGATTGTCCAGCCGCAGAAGTAACAGTAGTACGAGAGCGTGGTTGGAATGGTGGAGCCATGGCAGCTGCAATAGTCAACTTGGATTTGGACGGCAAATCTTGATGAGAAGCACTGTTGTCATATTTGGCATCGGTCTTTGTTGCAGTGTCTGCCCGAAGACTCTCGGATACAGATCGAGTGGACTTGTGCTCTTCGTGTGATCCACCGGACTTGTTGTCACTACGACGAACAACACCTGTTGCAGTACCTCCACGACTACAATTAACTTGGAGAAGTTCCTCCATATGGTCGATCTGGGAGTGGAGGCTGGTACGTTGCTGCTCTAGCACTGCCTTATCCACTCTGTTTTTGTCGCTGCCCAGAATTGTATCGATCTGGTGGAGGTGGGCTTGCAAGACTTGAAGCTGGGATTTCATATAGTCTGAAGGCAAAAGGAGACCGGGAACCGGCATATAAGGCATGAAAGGTTCAGAGCCTTGGACACCATTCGGCATAGCCAACATTCCAGATTGCTGAGCAGGTGCGAAGATCACAGGATTTGGTTGATTGGCAAATTGGAAAGGCAATGCAGAAGGCATAAGACCAGGTGGTTGAGGAGCAACCTGAGGAAAGAAGTTCGGATTACCTAGCATGCCCATGGGAAGAGGAATTGCATTTGGAGGGGGTTGGTGGCCGTAAGGAACTGGGTAGACAATCTGACCATTGTAGGTGAATGGCTTGGTCTGGTCGAATTGAGCCGGTGGAGAAATTTTGATTTGCTGAGGCTTGACCCCAGGAAGCTGTGCGCCCAAATGTGATTTGGAGAGCTGCTCAGCCGCTCCAGCGCCATAGTAACCAGGTGGTGGGGTAGGCATGATGGGAAAGCCAACTGCAGAGGATTGCGGATGCAAGTTGAATGGGGGCAACGAACCGCCTGGAACCTGAGGAACCTGCGAATACACTGAGGAGACGTCTTGAATCCAAGGGACTCCACCGGGAAATTTAGACTCGAGCTCGTGCTCGTTCTTGTCAGTGATAACCTCTGAAGGTGTAGGAGCTGGAGATCGGTTGTTTGGTACGATACGACCACCTGCTGTGACACGTACGTGGGTGGGTGATACAACAGCTCTGTAGAATTTTTGGAAGTTCTCAGATTGTTGTGCGGCGAAGCCAGATGGTGCAGAGTGTGGTTGAGAAGATCGATCTGAGTTCTCGCGTCTTCGAAGGTGCCAATGAACAGGTTGAAGGCCTTGGACTCTGCTAACCTCGAGGGGGCGCGGCTCACTTTGCTCCGACGACTCTGTAACGTTCTTTCTGCCTAATTGGCGAAGGACAGGCTTGTTCGTAATGTCTGTGAGGTGCGCGGAGGTGCAAGAGAACTGCTCTGGTCTGCGGAGTGCCTCCTCAGGGATCCTGAAGATGCAAGCTGTTAGGCACCAAATTAGCAAAGGTGCTTGATTAGGGTAGGAATATCGACACTTACCAATATCAGGGTGTTGGTTGATGTTTCTGACGAGGCAGGTGACCACGGGAAGGGAGCTTCTCAGTCTTAGCAATTCGTCGACGGAGTAGCGACGCGTCTCGGTAAGCACCTCCATCTTGGAAAATGATTGTGTCGACAGGACTGATGCTACCTAGCGGGGCGATTTGCGCAAGGTGTTATGAACGGCTTGACAAGCTCCGATATGTCGTCTTCACCTATGTCCGGGACAGCAGGTGAGTGAACCTACCATCTTGTAAGCCTCTGTCTTTCATGTTCTGGACTTCTATTGCTGATCCTGCATGGTGAATTGACTAAACCTCCAAACGCGCATAACCTGCTAGCCACGGTAGAATCACCAGAGTCGCAAGCCAGCCGGGAATTGATCAGACACGGGTCCGTCGAGATGATATCTAACCCAAGCCTTTGCATTGAGCGCCCCAGTGCTGTGTCCACAACAGAGAGAGTATGGGAGGAGGAGTACAAGAGAAACAATTCACCAACAGCACACAGGCTTACCACAGAAGAGAACGACAACGAAAAACCACGGTGCCACTGATGAAGAGGAATGTGCCAGACTGTGCGCACACGGTCATAGACTTTGAAGGATTGAGATGATGCCAGCAAATGGAAAGGAATGTATAGAGAGGCGTCCAGAATTGTGGAGGATGATGTTGTAGTTGAAGGGAAGAGAGAGATTAAGAGTGGATGCTGTGAAATGTGATGCCCGCGCACTACGCAGGAGTTCTCGCGTGGCAGGAGCGATACAGCACTGATGCGATGCGAAGCCGGCAACAATTCACCACCTGGTCCAAAAGAGAAGGAGCCATTCTCTATATCTGTAATAGAGAAAACAGGCTGCTGATTCTCTATCAAAGATATGCTGGATGCAGCATATCGTTGAAAGTAAGCGTGCTGCCGTGTTTACGGTGAAAGCAACGGCTTTCTTACGAGGTGACCGCTTTGAGATCTCGACCAAGCAACGGCAAGTTCGAAACAAAAAGAATTAAAGAAATTTCCGAAGTATATGGTTTCTTGCAAAAATTAAAGTTCTCCTAATGCCGAATCATCTGACATGGCGTTTTGAGAATTACGAGCCTTGTCAACATGCAAGACTCCAATATATCTCTTTCGAATTGGAGATCTGCACTGTTCTCCTCAGTTCACGTTCCAATCTTTCTTCTTTCTTTGACTCAGCCCCATCGGTACGGTAGAAAGAGTCATCTCAGGTTTTGACAAGTTCGTCAATTCCACTAGACGCGTCTGTTTAGCATCATGACTTCAAAATTATGGTCAAGACAAAAGAGAAGCACTGGACAGCATATGCGGGATGGAAGTGAACAAACTTTCAGAAGAGATCACTCTTAGCACTTCTTTATGGTAGCTGTTCCCAAAGCTGCTGGTCTGGTTTCAAGACTTGTTCCTTTGATGATCGTCTCCTGCAACAATATCCGCTTGCATGAGTAGCTCAATACTGCCTGGACATTTCCCTGTTGCATGATTTATCACTCAAAAAGCTTCAATATGACGTACCGAAACAAGCTATTTCGATTGTACTATCTTCGCTGTCGTGCTCAGTGTCCTTCCACTGTTTCTACCTTCAGAAGAAACTCCTTGCGAGAGAGCATCGCAAGTGGCTCTGGTCTAGACTTCCATTGCCGCGTCGCTTTGAAGATCCGCCAGTCCTCCCTGGCGATGCAGAAGGCAGAAATGCTTGAAAGAGAACCACTCTGAATGTCATGAAGTCAATTTAAGCCCGATCACGTGTCGGTGTCTATCAATGGAGTGTCTCGGATTAACCGGACACTGGACGGCGCCGGAAAATCCCTCTGTTCCCAGCAATTGCACCCCATGGCTACAGTATTACTAATTTCCACATAATTTAAAACTGCTCAGAGAGCAGCTCAACCTCGGATGATGAGTTCAAGAACTGCCGCTATCGTAAGACTCTTACAATCTTGAATCCCAGAGCGTTTCTATCACATATCATTTTCTGTACAGCGCAGAGGCGAGGAGTCCATAGTCGCGAGAATGCGGTATGATGACCATGCAATGTTACGGCGACTCACTCGTTCCTACAGGCTCGAGACTTCTGCTCTTACCACTTCTGACTCTCCCCCGACCGAACCAATGATGCTCTTTCACACCCTGCTGGTCTTTACGCAGCATGCATCATCGACTCCACTGTTGCAGCGCAATTCATCCAGCTGTCGACCTCGCTCTCCAAGGTTGGCTTGAAAGCAGAATAGACCCAGAAGACTGGCACTGTTTATCACTCGCGAGGTTCCAGGAGGTCCATGTCATGCATTCATCAATGGAATGGCGAGGAGAATTTCGCGTTTCTGTCCGATGCGCCTATCTGCTGAATGTTCTCGAATGAAATTTTCTTCTATTCTCGGGTTGCTTTCTGGTGACGAGATACTTCTCGCCTAGGCCATACATGATCGTTCGAGATTTAAGCTCCGATTGGACGTCCCGCCACGAACCAAATCCAGATTATCAATTAGCAATTGGTGCTGGCATCATTTTAAGATCATTACAAGCAAAGTCTATGAGAGCCCAGCTAGGCTTGACCGACACACATGCTTGAAGGGTGTCGAGTGGACCTGGATATGAACCATGATTGGAAATCATCAGGCTTCCCAAAGATTCAAATTTGATATCCTTTGCAATCCGGCAGTCCTCCTATTCGTCAATTGACAATCTCTGGAACATCTTCCCATCAAATGGTAATAACTTCCCATATCTTTCCGAAATCAACGAATCAAAGGCGTTTCGTCTCGCCTACCACCCAATTTTACCTTCCAAGAATGGAATGTCATTAAGTAACATGATTCATTACGCAGAAGAAGGACGCTCGCAAGTCGAAAATAGCAGAAATCCCCATAAATGCTCGACGACAAGGACGTACAGACCAACCATTTCAAATTCCGCCCGTACAAATAGCAATCTCCACTCTGCTTTCGTCAAGGTAGAGTGGCACCGAAAAAGAACTCCCTATTCCCGTTTCCATAAAGTGTATCAGAGATGACCTTCGTTTCCGGTTCAGTTTCTTCCTGCAGCCGGACTTTGGACTCCGATCTTTCCAGTCTCCTGAGTATCAACCCCATCCATCGCAGAGATGGTAACTGCAGTTGGTCCAGTGACGCTGGGGAAGGCTGGCTCGGCTGGCGTTTCTTTGACAGCCCAGCCACTATCCCAATCACTTCCAGCAACGATCTCCATGACGGTGTAAAGAAGCATGCCATCTTCGAATTGTGGTACAAATACCTCTCGTGAGAGGCGGAACGGAGCTGACATTTCAGCCATTTCAGAATCACGACCGTCTGCCTGGGATGGACGTCAGCGGATCCCTCACATCTACCTCGTGAGAGCTTACAAGACAATGTGCACATGGTGCGTTATTCACCCAAACCCAATGCGGGCAATTGTAAGTCAACCAGTACTTGCACCGATACTTATAGTACCCTCCAGAACCACTCATGGTGATGGACTTCTACCCGCTGGCAGAAAAGCGATGAGTCCACGTCGATAAGACGCGGGAAAAGAGGGATTACAGGAAGCCTTTAAAGGTTTCCTAATAGTATGAGGAAGGACTGTGGATCTCAATTGGTACAGGGTCGAGAGAAGGAAGCCGAGCCTTCAAGCTCGGAAAAAAAGAAAAGAGATCTGTGTCCAGGATATATACGGAGGGAAGCTCCATACACAAGGTGGCCCCCTGCTTTGCTCTGCCGACAATGCAACATAAACCCTACCCAGTCCTCACCACCCCTCCCGCGCGTTCATCCTCAGCTTCCAGCAAGATAGACAGACCAACGAAGGCGTTGGTGCATTTCGCTTAGAAAGGTCCCGGGAATTCTGGGAGCTGGGGTCTATCCTGGAACCCCCTCAAAGTCGAAAATTGCGAATTTTCCTCCTCACTTCACTGTAGCACTCTAAATTGGATGTTCTCACCCATATGCGTCTTTGCCTTCGACAAATTACCTCATCGCATCACCAAGACTCATAATCCACTATTCGAAAACTTTATATCACCTTCTCCGAGGTCTGGACTGCAGAAAAAAGCCTTCATCTACTGTCCTTCCGGACTTTCCTTGTACTACGGTACCTTCTTGCCGCTATCAGATGGAACAGGGTTCTAGGGTGCATCATTTCTACAACGGCTGATGGCGTTCCTGGAGCGGAGTACCCATGAAATCTCCAGTGCTCCCCCAATTGACTTTCCCCCACGACAGGCTTGACAATACGTCGAAGACGAACATTTCTAGTGATGATGGGCGGTCGCTTGACCACACGCGGATATCTTTATCCAATACTGGACTCCGGGGCAGGTAAGGGAAACTTGCCGGGCTCACAACCATGCAGAGCCTGATTTTGTGGTGTTTCTGTAGCTGGACTTCTGGTTCGAACGATTTCACACTGGATTTCCGATAGACACACACGCAAATACCCATGCCCGGAAGCTTCCTGTGGTGCCACCACAATCAGCGTCCTGACCCATGCAGTGAAGGCACACCGAGCGAGGATCACCAGTTGGACATGGCCAAGGTCCGCGACAAGGATCGCACCCAGCAGCCCTAGTCGCATTGCCTTCCATCCCACGTGCAGAGAGCGCCATCGAACGATGTCAGTGCACTAAAAATGCAGCGGCCGCACCCCGAAACTCGCATCGCCGATGATGAATACAGTCTTGTGAATTAAACACAAGGCAGGATGAGGACATTTCAAGCTTCTGATGTTGTTGGTCTAGGTTTTGAGACTGCTGCACTAATGGCATACCGGCTTTTAGTGTTTTACCGATACTGACCCGCAAGCCGACTTCCCAGTCTCGCCAGTGTCTTCCTCGGTCCTGCCCCATCAGATAGATCATAATGTAAGGTTCAAGGTGCGACAAACGAGCGCAGAATAGTGGACTGTCGGACAGTTGTTTCTTTCTGGAAGGATCTGCTGTCGTAAGTCCAAGACTCAGAATCCACCCAAATCCACAAGTTCCATCAGCAGGACTCGAGCAGGACTCAGGAGTCATGATGAGAGAGGGGCGTGTCAGCACTTACGAAGCGAGAAATTTACCAAACATGAATTGCGCTCGGGCCGGGAAGAGGCCCTAGTCAAGTTTCTCACCCGCTGTCAAGAACACTTGCTTTAGTGGCCGTTTTTGGCTGACGGCAGCGGCCCGTTCTACAGTAGGGTGTTGTGTTTCGTGTACTATCAGATGTCATGTCAAGACAGCAGGTACGGAGTAGGCTTCAGCACATGTAACGGCTGAAAAATACTCTTTCTTCACAACCTTAGTCAGACTGGACTGTAATGTTGCAGAACGCCATCATTTACGAACGTTGAGAAGTCTTGTGGGGAGCGGCAACATGGCGTTCTTGTCCCACGCACCGGAGATATCTCCAACCACTAAGGGAGCGGGAGATTGTATGCCCATACACTGGTTTCGCCTCGACAGTTGGGGAAATTGTAACATCAATGAAAATCAAGATCTGGTTTTGATTCATGATGGGTTGCCTCAGTCTTCAGCGGCCCCATGCGCGACTATACTTGTAAACTAACGAAATAAAACCTCTCGTTTCTTGGACAGAATCCGAAGGAAATTGCTCTCCTCCGAGTATCTGGTCCTTGCTAATGAACGGCCGACACTGTGCTCCTCGTAGCTCTGGTTGCATCACTACAGACAAGTTCTAGAGTGCGCCGCCTTGTTGACGCAGCTACTGTTTGTTATCAGGCTGTTGAAGGGTGACAATGAGAAAGCAACATTTGGACTTGAGACAGCAACGCCACCAGCTTTAGAAAATACGACAGATATGGAATCATACGAGATACCTATCCCCGAACTGATTACTCCAAGCGCAGGTGGAAATTGGAACTTGAAAGTTTGGTAACTCAGTCACAGGCAACAGTGAATTATCTCACTACCTAGCCAGGCACTCGTCCAATCACGTACCACCATCCAAGCTATTGTCAAGAACACTTCATTTCTATAGATACGGAGCTTCAGCTAAACTACGGCTGCCCAGTCGAGACAGCGGAGTTAATTCCAGAAAGCACTTGCGAAGTGGAGCTGGTTTGGCTGAGAGTAACACAAAAATACGATATATCACATTCCCCTCTTCTCCTCGCTGGCCCTCACTATTTCCAGTTCAGACATCCTCCAACACTACCACTAAACCTCCCGGTGGATGTAATTATCCGCACACCAAAATCGACTGCTGCACAGAACTACTTTTATATTACAAAAATATTAATAAAACATAAAACAGCAATAATGTAATATTATAGCGCTGCTTTTTTTTTTGAATAAAAACACACTATTCTTATGATTTTTGGTCTGTAGTTGACTTTTTAATCGGACGACCAAAAGGCGTACACCGGGAGCAAACCTCCCAACCTTACTTCGGATCCATTCCTCTTCCAGCCTCTCACCAACTCCACTCAAGAATACACTAGTTAGACCCAACGACCTACGGTGCGGCGGCGGCTCAGCAGCTGTTGGCGCTGATTAGAGGCCGGCGCAATTCCGATCTTGTAGTTGCATCTATACATATCTTCGATATAACAGGACGAATGTACGAACGAACCTTCAATTCGTTATGCACAACATAGACTACCTCCGGGACAAATCCTATTCGACAGCTGCAGGCGTGCTAGTGTCATGATGGACCTCGGACCGCCAGTTACATACCTCGGATGCCGATGCGGCGATACTTGAGTATCATGTACCTATGCTAACTGATTATAAGGTAGGTGTAACCCCACGCTATCTGCACTTGTGCATACTCACATGCATATTACCAACATTTGGAAATCCAGGCTTTCATTCGCCTGGAATCTACCGTTGGCGGCCCCATTTCATCTCAAATATGAATGTTGAATATTGGTGAGAACAAGCTGTCGCTTGGCAATTCATGATTCGACACTATCACATGGCAGGCAGGCAGGCAGATTGACTGGCTAGTCCCTTCTAGATAACCAGGATATCCCTTCCTCCTTTCCCTTTTCTGTTGCGCCACTCGAGCTCCGTCTAGCATTTCAAGAAATAAAACCGGGATTTTTCTTCGCTCCCTCCTATGAATAAACATGTGCGCGTACCTCTTGCAAGGCATTGTTCGATCGACCGATCGACTTCTAAACCGAAACGATTCTCTATCTATCTTCCTCCCTTCATGGCTTGCTTTCTCTTTACTTTGTCCAGTGTCCTCTGGAGAGATGTCTTGATTTCACCCTTTTGGAAGGTCGATAGATCGTAGTAGGTTGGGGCGATATCCTGTTCACATGTTAGCAATGTAATTCCTACTGAATACGATGGTAGGGAAAGCATAGGGCGACTTACCAATAGCCACTCAGGTCTGACAGCCGTGACAGTTCGGACATAGTTCTTCGTTGTGAGCACAAATTCATTGTAAACTACCCAATCGCTGTCGACGCCAAGAACCGTACTAGGGTGAAGCAGAACGCTCTGATCATCCTTAACAGTCTTGTACGTCTTACCGGAAGGATCCTTCTTCGCGACTTGCATGAAGAAACCAGCGACGAGCGCACGGCGGATGTTGGTGTAGTAGTCTTTGTCGTTGAAATCAGTACTGAGGAGTTCCAATTCCGACTTTTCCATGATTCGCTTCAGTTGCTGACGAACATTGTCGGCAGATTGGAGTGCTCGCAGACTCAGGAAATGCTCATGACACCATTTCTTTTGGTCTTGTTGAGCTGCAGGTCCTTTAAAAGCGTGATAGACATTGAGCATGGTGAGGTGATCACCGTCTGGGTGTGCGAAGAGGGCTTTCATCTCGTCTGCGCGCTTCTTTGCACTCGCTGGTCGAACAAATATCTGGGGAACTGACAGCAGAGCAGTCAGGGACAAGATCTCGTTGGAGCAGTAAAACTCGGGCGAGGAGATGAGCATGACAGCAAGTGCTGGGTCGAGAGGAAACTCAGAAGCAAGTTTGCCTAGAGCAGTCAAATCTCCATCATCATCGAGACAAGCAAGGTAGTTCAATTCCTCGAGTGCTCTCATCAATGTCTCGGGGGCTGGTGGATCCATAAGATCGAAATGTACCAAGTCATCGATTCCAAGCTTTTTCAACTCCAGGACAGTATTGGCAAGATTTGACCTTAGAATTTCGGGATATGTCTGCTCAATAAGCTCCTTCTTGAAAGCAGCCTCAGTGTATAAACGGAAGCACTTTCCGGGTCGTGTACGACCTGCACGACCAGCTCGTTGTTGTGCCGAGGCTTTGGAAATCGGAGAAACAAGCAGAGACTCGACTCGTATACGTGGGTTGTAGACCTTCTGTTTACTGAAACCAGGATCAACGACGTACACGATACCGTCAATTGTCAGAGAAGTTTCTGCAATGTTGGTTCCTACAATGACCTTACGGCCTGGTCGCCCGCCAGGTCTAGCCGGTGGTGGTGCTGGCTCGAAGATGCGTTGTTGCTGCGCAGGAGGTAAAGTTCCATAAAGTGGGTAAACTTTCAATGGCCCTGCATCAGCTTCTCGTATCATCTCGTCTGCCTCAAGTGAGATCTTTCTACACGCGTCTTCAATTTCCTCCTCTCCAGTCAAGAAAAGTAGAATATCTCCCTCCGGTTCGGTGGCATGGATTTGGAGAACTGTTCGCAGAGCAGCCTCGACATAGTCTCTCTCCGGCTCTGGGGTATAAAAGATCTCGACGGGATGAGTTCGACCAGGGACAGCCAGGAGTGGCGCATCGTTGAAGTAGCGCTGAAACTTTTGTGCATCGAGTGTAGCAGACATGATAACAATCTTCAAATCTGGACGTCTCAGCGCAACTTCCTTTAATAAACCCATCAGAATATCCGTCGCAAGTGTACGTTCGTGAGCCTCATCAAGAATGATGCAGCTGTATCTCGTCAAGTTGTGATCATGCATAGCCTCTCGCAGAAGCATACCATCGGTCATATATTTCAGAATCGTCCGGGAAGAAGTCACATCTTCAAATCGAATGCTGTACCCGACCTCCTCACCAAGCTTCACATCCATTTCATTAGCCACACGCTGAGCAACTGACATTGCAGCGACACGACGAGGCTGGGTACAGGCCACGAGCTTTCCGTTGAAGTGGGGTAAGTCGTCGAAGAGGACGAACTGAGGAATCTGTGTAGTCTTTCCAGAACCCGTTTCACCAACGAAAACCAGGATCTGAGTTTTGTGAAACATGTCTAGGAATTCCTGTCTGTATTACTGTCAGTATCTGAGCCATATAGAGGGTTTGTCGTGCTGCGCGTACCTCTGCTTGTGGACTGGAAGATCTCGTCTGGTCTTCAGAATATTGAAGTATTGTTTCGACAATGGCGCATTGTTGAATGGGTTCGCAGGTCCATCTTCAGCAGTATGTGCTTGTGCAGCAGTGGTAGCATGTCTTTTGAAGCCTGACAAGCCAGTTTGCGCGCCGTTGCTGTTGCCATTGGAGTAGGAATCGTCGATTTCAACTTCGTAGTGATGCGCCAGGTAAGGGTTTTGCTTAGGGTCAAGGTTATCGGTCCTCGCCCTCTTTGCTTTTGACATCTCTTGCTGATCTGGACGTCGGTCAGTCATGGTGAAAACTGACTAGAATGGGAAGTTTGTGGTGTTTACTTCAATTTGCGCGACAAGGCTGCCTACAAAATATTTCAAAAATTCCGATAAAGTTCCACTGGTGATAAGCTAAAACCACGCTAAGATAATAATCATGTGACCAAACTGCTATCGCGACTTTGAGCCGCTCAGCTGCCCTGGTTCATCCTCGAGTCCCCCATATTATTCGGATACAAGAATGGCCAACGCAGACTCTCCAGATCCCACGAAGGATCTTCTTCCAGTCGCAAATAAGGAGGATGAGGTTGACCCAGTTGCGCCGGCCGCTGAACCAAAGGTGCCGACGCGGAAAGATGCTTCGTTGAAGGACTTCCTCTCCAAGATGGACGACTATGCGCCAATTGTAAGTACGAGCCGCACGGGTTTTCAGCTGTTCTAACAAACAACCAGATCCCAGATGCTGTTACGAACTACTATCTGACAAAAGCTGGTCTTCCTCCTCCTCCCCAGACAGACCCCCGCCTTGCCCGCCTGCTTGCTCTCGCAACACAGAAGTTCATCGCAGATATCGCCGCTGATGCCTATCAATACTCACGTATCCGTTCATCCAACTCCTCGAATGCGAACAATCCTATGGGAAACTTGGGTGCTGCTGCTGGATTCCCTGTGCCAGGTCAGCCAACCGCTGCGCCAGGTAGCAAGGAGCAGGCAGGTCGCGGCGGTCCTCTTGGTATCCAACGACCAGGTTATGGAGGTGGTGGGCAAGGTGGTAGCCAGAACAGAACCGTTCTTACAATGGAAGACCTGGGAATGGCTGTTGGAGAATACGGAGTCAATGTCAAAAGGGGCGAATTCTATAGATGAGCGGTTCTTGGACATACAGGAAGCTAAGGTTTGGGTTGGCCTGGTTTGGTTTTGAAGGATACAACAGGTGGCGTTACGTGCATAATGAGGCGTTTCATTGCCATGGAATATGGCAGTCATCATCTGGGCAAAAGTGTTCGATACTTGCACACAAGGGCTTGCTAGGGTAAATGAAAGATCTTCTAATCAACCGAATCACATTGATCAATTATCAATACGAACGAGGCGGAAGTCGGGCTATCTTGAAAGCAAGAGAAGCTTACTCCTCGTTCCAAATTGAAAGTTGGTTTGCATAGCTTTCAGGATTGCGACTTCATGCAATGTTCCACCCAGCGATAATGTTCCTATTCTCGTAGTCCATTTCCAGTGCCAATAATACATCTAACCAGCGAGCGAGAATTACTGGACCATATTCTCGCGTTTGTATAATACAATCGTCTTCCTACAGAGAGTTCGTTGATAGCTCCCAAAAACGCCGCCCATCGATATGCCGTTTCATTCCGTTTACTTGTTCTTGCTCTGCCTGTATGAGAACCTTTTCCTCGTTCTGTGCCATGATCAGTCCTAATTAATTCACGACAGAATCGATACATACGCCGAAAATTCACCAAGTTTGTGTCCGACCATGTCTTCCGTAATCGCTACATCGTGGTATATTTTCCCGTTATGCACCTGGAACACAAGTCCTACGAAGTTGGGAAGGATGGTCGCGGATCGGGCTTGGGTCTTGATTGGAGGGACTTTCTGGCCTGGTGCTGCTCGTTGGATGGGGAGTCTACTCGATGTCAGAGGAGGCAGTTAACATAGATGTTGACTCTTACGGCACGATGTTGGGTCCTATGGAGAGTCAGTGACCATCATCTGTGTAGAATACAATATACATTCAATATACCTTTCCAGACTGAACGCGCCAGAAGGGCCCGCGTGGGATTCATTGTTGCGCTGCTTGTGAGGTCGGGTTGTCGTCCTCGTAAATTCGCTTCGACAAAAGTTCATCCAGAACCGGAAGCAAAGTGACCAGGCTCCAGGCTACATTTGCAGGGATTAAACACGCTAAAGCCTGTCGCGTCTCCCTGACATACGACCTCAAGATCCCTTAAATACTGTGCATCCAGCAGCCTTGCCCGCGACTTCGATACAACATCGGAACGCAACAACCCCCCAAGGTCATATCTTGGACTCATTGTCTGCTCTCACCAATTTCTTAAGCGTATCGAGATAAATTAGCAGAACAAACTTCTGAAGAGAGCTACGTCCACCTACAATATGCCTCCGCGAAGCAGTCAGTTTGCACCTCATTCTCTGTATTTACTTGATGCTAATTGAGTATACAGGCGCGGACACTATTCGTATCCTTGTCGCTACTGATAGCCATGTAGGTTACGAAGAGCGAGACCCAGTCCGAAAAGATGATTCATGGAGAAGCTTCGACGAAGTTATGCGCATGGCAAAAGACCAAGATGTAAGTAGATATATTCGTATGAGCACAGCATATCTGATATCACGTAGGTCGACATGGTACTCTTGGCTGGTGATTTATTCCACGACAACAAGCCATCCCGGAAATCTATCTACCAGGTTATGCGATCTCTTCGACAGAACTGCTTAGGAGAGAAGCCTTGTGAGCTGGAGTTCCTTAGCGATGCAAACGAGGTTTTTGATGGTGCCTTCAATATCGTCAACTACGAGGACCCGGATATCAATGTTGCTATTCCTGTCTTCTCCATTCATGGCAACCACGATGATCCAACAGGAGATGGTCATTTATGCTCTCTTGACCTCCTGCAAGTGTCAGGTTTACTCAACTACTTCGGCCGAACGCCAGAATCCGACAGAATCGAGATCAAGCCTATTCTTTTACAGAAAGGTAATACCAAGCTGGCACTCTATGGTATGAGCAATGTCCGAGATGAGAGACTCTATCACACATGGAGAGAAGGTGGTGTTAAGTTCTTCTCACCAAGTATTCAAAAGAAGGAATGGTTCAATTTGATGGCCCTCCACCAAAATCACCATGCACATACTGAGTCTAGCTACCTTCCAGAGAACTTCTTACCTCAGATGTTGGATCTCATTATCTGGGGACATGAGCACGAATGTCTGATCGATCCACGCGAAAACCCAGAGATGGGCTTTAAAGTGATGCAGCCTGGCTCTTCCATTGCAACGTCGCTCGTGCCTGGAGAAGCAGTCTCGAAGCATGTTGCTATTATTAGTGTCACTGGCCGCGATTTCACTGTTGAGAAGCATCGCATCAAGTCTGTGCGACCCTTCATCCATCGGGAGCTGGTACTTGCGGACGACGACCGCTTCAAGCGCCTCGCCAAGGTAAAAGACAACAAGAGTCTTTTGACCGATAAATTACACAAGCTGGTAAACGAGCTTATTGAAGAGGCGAAGGAGGAGTGGCTTTCGATTCAGGATCCTGATGATCCACCAGAAGAGATACCTTTGCCGCTCGTAAGACTCAGAGTTGAGTATTCGGCGCCTGACGGTGGCAAGTTCGAGTGTGAAAACCCTCAGCGATTCTCTAACCGCTTCTCCGAGACTGTCGCCAACCGAAAGGATGTGGTCCAATTCTACCGGAAGAAGACAGCAAGCAGTAATTATAACAGATCATGGAGATAGAAATGAACTTTCACTAATAGCTTCAGGAAAAACGAATTCTGACTCGAAGGAAATGCCCGATGCAGAGGTTCTGGCAGCTATCACCAACGACAATATCAAGGTTGGAAAGCTTGTCCACGAGTTTCTTTCAGCTCAGTCACTCAAAATCCTCCCCCAGGAGCCTTTTGGAGATGCTGTTACTCAGTTTGTTGAGAAGGACGATAAGCACGCTATGGACACCTTCATTGTCGATAGTCTTGCTACGGGAGTCAGAGACTTGATGGGCTTGGATAATGAGGAAGATGATCTTGAACCTGCTATGGAGCGATTGCGCGAGAAGCAGAATGCTGATTTCAGAGCCGGTGTCAAGAAGCCAAAGAGAAAGGGTGTTCTGAAGCCTGTACCTGCAGGATGGGACTCGGACGTCGATGGCGAATGGGCTGACCAGCCTGGTTCGATGGTCTATTTAGACAACGATGACCAAGAGGAAGACCATACTCCAAAGCCTGCAGCCAAGCGTGGTGCAAGGAAAACTGTGGCAAGTGATGACGATAACGAGTCGGTCATTTCCAATACGGCCAAGAAGGCTCCGGCAAAGAAGGCTCCAGCGAAAAAAGCTCCAGCAAAGCCCAAAGCTGCACCGAAGGCAAAGGCACCCGCAAAGGCACCGGCAAAAGGTCGGAAGAAGGTTCTGGAACCAAGTGATGATGAAGATGACGACGATATTGTCATGCTTGATGAGCCAGCTCCAACAAAGTCGCAACCGAGACGAGCTGCTGCTACGACTACGAGAGGTCGGCAAACGCAGCTTAATTTCTCGCAAACACAGGCAAAGAGCCAGGCTGCCCAGGAATTGAGCGATGATGAGATCTCGGATGATGATGCATTTGAGCCAGTTCCTGCATCATCTAGAAGAAAGTAGGTCCGAACTAAGAAAGAGTGATGGGATTTGGGTCATGGGCATTGCATGGGAGTTTTCTTTAAGCTATGTGGCGATATGGGATTTGGAGAATTGGGAAAAGCTTGTGCAATTTTGTTTTGCGGGATACCACATGATGACTTATGATAGATGGTAAGTTAGGGAACTGCGTGGTCGATACTGATAGCTATCTGAATTGCACTTCCGTGCTAGCACATCTTCTCCCAAACCGGCGGAGTTTTGTACCTCTAATGAGACCAGATTGAGGGGGGCTATTCTGAACGGAGTTGCGACCCACTTTCGGCAAGTCAGCGCCCTTCAGGTGACGCGCCTTTGGGACTGTTAAGCGGATTGATAGATAGGCTTCCTCAAGCGAATAGGTATACTCAGATGTGAACATAACACTCAATTTCAACTCCTTACTCTTTACACTCGATAAAATAAGTAGGCCATTCCCTAATCTAGTGCTTTACAATAATATCAAATCACCTAACCATGGCGCCTACACAACCGAGGTCAGCCTTTCTCTTAATCGACGTCCAACAAGGCCTCACACATCCAACCCATTGGGGCCCTTCAAGGAGTAACCCATCCTTCGAACAAAATACCGAATCCCTCCTAAGCAGCTATCGCAAACTCCTCGCCTCAAGTACCTCATCAACGTCCCCGGCACGCCACAAGATAATCCACGTGCAACACTCCTCCCTCCACCCCGACTCACCACTGCACCCTCCATCCGCAGGCTTCTCATTCCAACCATTCGCTACTCCACTCACATCCGAACTCATCATCACCAAAACCGTCAACTCTGGCTTCATCGGCACGAACCTCGAGGAAGTCCTCCGAAAACACTTTGCTGGCGAGCCAGGAAAATTGTATCTTGCCGGTCTGACGACGGACCATTGTGTCAATACGACGACACGAATGGCGGGGAATTTGAAAGTTGCAGATGGAGAGAATGGAGAGGCAGGAGAGGTGGTTTTTGTGGAGGATGCGACGGCTGCGTGGAAGAAGCCGGACGGCGAGTTTGATGCGGAAATTGTTCATAGATTTAACACGGAGAGCTTGAGAGAATTTGCTACGATTACGAAGACGAAGGAGGTTGTCAAAGTGTGGGAGAGTTGGGCGGCCTAGGTTGGAGTCTGGAATCGGAGTGTGAAATGAGCTCTCTGTAACTCCTCATGAGTGCCAAGCGTGTTTACAATTGTCGTCTTTTCATACTAATCGATCTCCCTCGAGGTTCTCCTACTGAATCCTGTCGATCAATCCTCACACTGCATGCTGCTAAGTTACTGCTTCTCAAAGTCCTATTGATAAGTATGATTACGTTCTGATGATCTACCCCGAAACTCCGATCCACTTCTCTCTATGGTCAAGTGAAAGGCACCATATCCTATCTAGGTATATTAAGTTTAGCTGTCTACTAGATGAAATTCGAAAGTCTGAATACATCAACTCACGATCCCGGTAGAGAAATAAATATCCTGTTTGTTTCTATTGCCGAAGAAGCACAACCGAAGCGATGATTCGCGTAAGTAAACAAACTGCCAAAACGCCAATATATATATATATATATGCAAATGGAGAAGGGTGAACAATCCAACCCTAAATGAATAATAAGAAATGAAACTATAGACGAAAGATGATCAAACAAAAAGAAATTTCTTTCCTAACGACGGAAGTCGATATCTGAACAGGGGCAACGAGAATGGTATGCTTCTTGCCGCACCCGGGGAAGGTGAACAAGGAGAGACCAATATCTCCATGAATAAGAAACCTGTTCAAGGCAATTACTCTCGCAGTATTTCATGCGCTGGTTGAGGTAAAATCATCTTATTTCATTAGGTAGATGAAAGTGGAAGAAAAGTGGGGCGCATTGGGTGTGCCGATTTGCTGGACTTGAACTTGACGAAGGTCCACAGCTCGTTCCAGGAACATTTTCAATACCACGCATGACATATCAGTGATCCTTCTTAAGCGATGACATCTATTTTTATCTTGCTAGTTGAGCTAATGCTTGCTTGATTGCCCTGTCAGCGCAAAATCAACAACACGTGAGAACGCGTTTCGTGTCCATGCGCTGGACACGTCGCCCAAGCAAATACCCATTTCTTTCTCTGGTGCCTTGAAGCAAGCTGGAAATGTGAGTCACATTGTTCATTTGCATATTCTTGCTAGTAAACACATTTGTACCACCTCACATCAGCTATGAGGACAGGCCCAGTACCAAAACCTCAGCTCAATCCTTCATTACAGCAGTTACACTCTTGATTCCGCAAAGACTTATACCAAACCTCGAAAGCAAGATCTGAACAGCTTCGATACATAAGAATATGATAACTAACGAGGACCTGGTCAACAAGGTCACAGAGTATGTGGAGGCCTACATGAACAAGTTCGATGGGTCACACGACTTCAACCACATCAAAAGAGTCGTCGGCATAGCACACCGTATTTCATCTTCGATCACATCTTCCAGTCCTACAGACACCACTGATACTCAAACAAGCGCTCTCGACCCAACGATTATCACCCTTGCTGCTCTCCTCCACGACGTCGGCGACCAAAAATACCTCGCAGAAGGTCAAGACCCTGCCACGCAAGTCCGTGACCTCCTCCTCAATTTGGGCGCCTCCCCTTCGCTCGCCTCAAAGGTGCAATCCATCTGTCTAGCCGTCTCCTTCACTTCAGAGATCAAAGACCCATCTCACGCCCTCGATCTCATCGACAAGCACCCGGAATTGGCCGTTGTTCAGGATGCTGACATGTTGGATGCTATTGGTGCCGTTGGCATTGGGAGATTGTTTACTTATGGGGGTGCGAGGACGGACAGGAATATGCATGGGAGTGTGGAGATGATGGATTGGAAGCTCTTTAGGCTGGAGGGGATGATGAAGACAGAGAAGGGCAAGGAGATGGCGAGAGAGGCGACTAAGAGGATGCGGACGTTTAGGGAGTGGTGGGGTGAGGAGATTGGGAATGAAGAGTTTGGAGCTTCGGTTTTGAAGAGGATGGTTGAGTGGAGCACTGAGGATGGGAGCTCCACAGACATCGCTGAAAGTGATGCTGACCAGAACTAATAACCAGTCCCTTGGAAGGTGGAGCGGCCCTTTGTGATGTAGGCAAAGATTTGTTCGGCGATCGTACTAAATCGACTGTGTTCCCGGCATACCAGCTGTAGTGCCGGTCTCGCTGATCAGCGAACTTGCAGATTCTGACATCTAGGTACTTTAGAGCTTTGATGTTGAATGACCGCATTCTACTGACTCGTACTCGTCATATATTGCCCAACAGTCTTTTTATCTTGCCGGCAATACACTCCCACGTCTACATGTTTTCATTTGCTCCTCATTTCTCACCGACCCCAATCCCCAACCCCCAAACTCTCTGCACCCAACGCCAATAATCCTGCTCTCCACCCTTCCCCTTGAACATTTGGACATGCTCCGCGCCCTCCACCAACTTCCTTAATACCCTGTAACCCTTCTCCTCCGTAGTCCTCGCATGATTCTCAACGTCCCGCCAATCAATCGCCAAATCCTCCTTACTGTATATATACGCCTTAAGACACTTCTCATCAAACAGCTCTTTGTTGTAAAATGCAAAAGTCGGCCCCCAAACCAGCTGGTGCCAGAAAGACTTCGGCATCCAATTCACCGCCACATAAACAACAGATACAATAACATATGTGACGGACATGAACATCATCCACGGAAACAGCGGGAGTTTCCTCGCCGGCACAGCAAGCGCGTGGATATCCCTCCTGAATCTTGGGATGCCCGGAGCGGAGTCAATGATGTGGGATTTCATCTGGAGGCTTTTCCCGGTAGTTGTTTTATACGCCCCGGCGATGTTGTAGACTCTTTTGGCGCCGCCGTTGCTCAGCGAATGCACGTGCAATCTCTGGATGGATGGATCTTGAGCTAGCAGCGCGGTGACTGCCTGAGCGACGTCTTTCCGGCGCCTGGCTTCGGTTTCGAACATGAATTGCTTGGTGGCGATGGTGACGAGGATGATGCGCGCGGATGGGTAAAGACGCATGTATGTGCGTGTGTAGTAGTCGATATGTTTCGGGGTGGCGTTCATCCAGGAGCAGAAGAGGATGGTGGTTGGGTCGTTAGGAGAGGGTACTCCTGAGGCTTTGGGGGGCTCGTACAGACCGACTACAGGGGAGAGACGTTTGAATTGTGAGAGTGGCTTTGCTGGTGCCAAAGTTGATGATGCCAGGAGTGGTGCATCATCTGGCTCGATTCTTGAAGGCATGATGGTGGCAAGCAGACGATGGCGTCTTAATAGTTGATATGGGACAACTCGAGTAGATGAATCAATCAATCCTTCCCAGGGGAAATCTCGATTTGGCTTTTGTTTCGAAACCTCGACTATAAAACGATACAACCAAATACTGAAAGCGGGAACGGGAACGTCCCGTCAACCGAAAAATTTGATGGACAGCGTGTGAACAAGAAAACAGGTAACTTGAGGCAATAATGAGGGAGGAAGTATCTCTGCTTAAGTTGTACAAATGTAAAATCTAACAGAAGAGAAGAAAATCATCAATGCACCCGACACGGCACAACATTGGTCCTCAAACTGTTGGGAATGGTGATGCCGACGAGGTTATTGGCAAGAAGATCCCTGTGGCTTCCCGAGCAGGATACTAAATCAGGCCCCTTGGCGATGATGTTCAGCCTCCACCATAAGCACCATAAGCAGTATTCGTAATCTTGACAGCTTGGATTGAGGTCTTGAGATGCTCAACAAATTGGTTGTGGAAATGTTTGCGGCCGTACTGAAAGGTTGACAGCTGATACCGAGGTACTTCAAGTTTCTTGTGCGTACAGCATCAGTGTGCGAGCTTGGATCACGATGTGGTCTGGGAGGTTTTGACGGATACAGTAAGCGAGGATTTGGTTTGTTGTTGTCCCGCTTGGATTCAACCAACTCTGCCATCGTCACATTCTCGGCGCGTTCTGTGTAATTTGTTCTTCGGTCGTCGTAACAATCGTCCGATCATGTAAAGATTAAGAGACCTTTTTTCTTATCGTCTTGATTTATCAATTTCCAAGCCATTCATGAAGATGGTGGGTGGCAGTCGATCATCGCCTTAATTGATAATCGACAACCATTTCTACATATTCAGACGAACTGAGGAACTACAAAATGTCTGGCCCTGACAGGAACAAGTAATATTTAGAGCCTTAGTCAGACCAGTGGCTTGATAACTGAAATTCAGTCACTTTATCTAGTACACAAACTACTCACCAGTGAAAGAAGTCTGAGACCTATCACTATGAAATGTTGGCCAAATTTCCAATATTCTCAGTTTCTCATACATGTAAAATCACCAGCAACTTCACGCATTAACTGGATGATAAATTAGAAGTCATTCGGATAGCATTGTAGTGAAATTTCCTTTTAGATTTCACCATCGCAGAGGTCACTGATTTAGCAAGAACCCCTGGAAAATCCCTCGCTTGTCGACTTGCTATTGTAATCCTCAGTATGCCAAAATAAAGCTCTAAACTCACGATTCAGCAGTCCTAGAAGGACGAAATCAAGTATTCGTCCTGAGCCACCGTCTTCAATGATGATATGATGACTAAATGCTGCGCAAGTTATGGTTCTATTGTTATTCTTCTGACCAAATCCTAATTCGATAAAGTTCAACGCTGGAATCCTTCAACAATAGGATAAGCGAGCGAGGAAGTGGATATATTATCCATCCTATTATGCGTCGCCCACAATACGAAAATGTTAAGCACTTTAGCGATACCATCATATAGGGAAGTATATCTTGCGATTTCCTCCACAATGTCTCTTGCTCTCTTTCTTTTCTCCCTTCTCCCTTTCAAGTTTACGGTCTCAAAGCAAATACTCCTTCGAGCAAATCCAGATCAATCTCTCGCATCAGCTACATAACAGCAATAATCCCTCCATACTTCTTTCCAATGCAGCAAAAAATCATATTAAAACCCATACCATGGACTCATCCTCTTCGCCAGATTCAAACAGGAGCCGTGCTGTGAGGTTTTCTAAACACGTTATTGACTCTGTACAGTATCGACATGAAGAGCAACGACCGCTGGGAAGTGTACAATATCTGAGACTGAAATATCTTTTCTGGCTGTAAGTGCAGCTTCTTGCTGATTGTGTCTCCTGGCTGTCTTCTTCAAATAAGATGCAGAACCAAAATGAGAACTCCAGAGCAGTACCATAGCCTTTGAACCATCTTGTGGTAGAAGATGCCGGTGCAGAGCCGGCTGTATCTCAGCATGGATTGAGCTCTGAAACGGTGGTAGCAGGACCTCGAAAGATACATTCGATGAGGAGCGTTTGTTGTGGGATGTATTTTCATTCGCTTATTTAAACTTCGAATCGTGGAAGCATGAGTTGATTGCAAGAGAATAATAGCGAATCGTTCTCCCCTTTTGATGTATCAAGAGCCTAGATCACTTCCCAAAATCTGGACTCCCTGTCAGCTTCCAATATAGAAGTCAAAGTCACAGTCTTGAAATCAAACCACATTCTCATCACGTGGACCACCTCCCTTCCCCAAGTGGCAGGTGTAGACGATTCTTCCTCGCTGCTTTTCCATCAGTAAAAGCACCATACCAAACCTCATCCCCTTCCCAGAGCTCAAACCTAATTCCGTCCTCCTCATGCTTCTCTACCTTACCCCTCTTCGCAATCGCGTTCCCAGAACCCAATTATTCCCGGCACCCCCAGAAGCCAACCAGGCGACCGGGCTGAACCTAGCTCTGCATGCTTCCCCCTTCCCCACACAAAGCTATCCCACTTTCTCACCTTTCGGCGATCCGGAGACCATCTCGAGCCAGTGCCAGCATCAAAGTCGATAAAAGTTACGTTGAGGCGCAGACCAACCGCTTTTGGTGTGCGGGGAAATAAATCGTTTAAGAAGTCTGGTCTGGGGGAACTAGGTCGCTGCATCGAAACGACGCAAACGAGGAGTGAAGGTTTCCGTTGGATTCGGAAGAATGGTTAACGCCTAGTTCCAACAACATCAAGCCATAAAGTTCAGAATCAGATCAGATCTGAGGAGAATTGTGGCGCTTGTTTTGGGCGGTTAGATCGAAACCCCTTCCGCATGTCTCGTATGCAGCAGTTCTGGAGGAACGGAAGCTCTGGACCTGTGGAATGGAGATTTTGCCCAACTGGCGCAGGAGATGCAGGTGAGAGGGCAAAGTCGAGGGCTGAGCGGAACGATCCCGATATCATTTTTTGAAAGAAAGAAAGAGGCGTTTTCTGGGTTTCAGGAAACTAGGAAGTATTTGACATTGTGCTTCTGGATCAGGGTGTGATTTGCGAGATCAAGGTAGTTGGCAGGGAGGGGCCTGGATGCTTGTGCTTTTTCGTTGATCGACCAAGTACGGAGATTCCGAGCAAAGTGCGAATCTTAAGCCCGAAGGATTTTGTGAATTCCTGATATCGCCGATAAGAAACCCTTGTCCTTGCCCTCCTTCTATCCATCCATCCTTCTGCTTGTTTGTTTGGTAGGAGTGTCACATTTCCGAATACTTTCCGCTGTCACGTCCAGCTCCAGGCCATGAGGTGTTGAAAGCTCGCGGGAAAGTCTAGCGAGATGCGGGGCTTCGGCGGGGTGAAAAGGGGGCCGAGGCTATGCCACGAAAGATACCTTAGCTGTCACCGAAAATGGGGACTCGAGTGGACACTTCGCAGCCAGACAGGAAAGCAGATATATTTTGGATCTCGGGGTCTCGTTGAAGCTTTGGGCTGCTTCGGACGAACAAGAAGATCATGAGGCAAAAGTCTAGATTTTTCGGATCAGCGATGCACCGTGACGCTTAGTGTCGTTAGCTGGGAGATGGTGTTTATCGTATCGTATCGTGCACGGTGTTCATGGCATGGAGGGGTATCGAAGTCAAGGATGCATGCAGATGGCCACACCACTTTTGCCATGTCTCCTTGACTTGACTTTTCCTTGCCTCTCCTCTCCTCTCCTCTGCCGGACCACCTTGACGGCCGTTGGTCCTTTCCATACACCCAAACTCTGGCCACAGTAGAACTAGAACTAGAACTAGAACTAGAACTCTTTGGAACAGAATGAAAAGGAGAAATGCGCGAAGGGGCAATGCCAGGCGTTGATCCTTGCCCAGCCCCGGGAGCTGCGAGACAGCTAAACAGCTTTCGTGGAGCTTTCCACACATCTAGGGCCTCTCACAGCCATCCATCGTGGTCATGGAGTTCGACTAGACTCCACCAAGTGTCACCAAAAGGTTTAGAGTAACGCACCAAGACTGACTAATTCTTACTATTCGCCTCGAGGGAGGAAGGGAGAGGAGGCGACAGTTGAATACTTACCAGGTTGTAGCTTTTCTTCCCTGCCGGGCCAAGGGTAACACAGGTCTTGCCTCCAGGACACATAAAACTCTACCCCTCCCCGCCATTCTCCTCTTCTCTCCCTCTCCTCATACATCGCGTTTGTGCAAAATCCAAACAAACAAAATCCAACTGAACTTCGAGATACCCTGTGCATTCAACTTCAATTAAACATATTCACAATGACTTCAGTTCAACTCACCACGCCATCAACTGGCAAGTACACTCAACCCACAGGATTGTAAGTTCTCATCCTCTACCCCGCATTTTGGGGATCTCCTTCACGTCATTGCGTAGTCTGCATTGCTAATGCTTACTCTCCCCAGGTTCATCAACAACGAGTGGGTTAAGGGTGTCGACGGCAAGACCTTCGAGACCATCAACCCCACCAACGAGGAAGTCATCTGCTCCGTCTCCGAGGCCACCGAGAAGGACGTCGATATCGCCGTAGCAGCCGCCCGCAAGGCATTCGAGGGATCATGGAGAAAGGAGACACCAGAGAACAGAGGCAAGCTGCTGGTCAAGCTCGCCGATTTGATTGAGAGGGACCTCGATCTCCTCGCTGCCGTTGAGTCTCTCGACAATGGCAAGGCTCTTGGTATGGCCAAAGGTGACGTCGCTGCGGTCGCTGGATGCTTGAGATACTACGGAGGCTGGGCCGACAAGATCGAGGGCAAGGTTATTGATACCAATTCGGAGACTTTCACATACACAAGACAAGAACCCGTACGTTTTGCAGTGGTAATTCTCAAGACGAGTTACTGACGTTTGCTAGATTGGTGTTTGCGGTCAAATTATTCCATGGAATTTCCCATTGCTCATGTGGGCATGGAAGATCGGTCCCGCTGTTGCCACCGGTAACACTGTTGTTTTGAAGACTGCTGAGCAGACTCCTCTCTCTGGTCTTGTTGCTGCAAACTTGGTCAAGGAGGCCGGTTTTCCACCAGGAGTTATCAACATCATATCTGGTTTTGGAAAGGTCGCTGGTGCAGCTATTTCTGCCCACATGGACGTTGACAAGGTTGCATTCACTGGTTCAACTGTCGTCGGTCGTCAAGTCATGAAGGCTGCTGCTGGCTCCAACTTGAAGAAGGTTACTCTCGAGCTCGGAGGCAAGTCACCAAACATTATTTTCAACGACGCAGATATCGATAACGCCATCTCCTGGGTTAACTTTGGTATTTTCTTCAACCACGGCCAATGCTGCTGTGCTGGTTCCCGTGTTTACGTCCAATCCGGTATCTACGACAAGTTCGTTCAGAGATTTAAGGAGCGTGCCACCCAAAACAAGGTCGGTGACCCATTCCAGGCCGATACCTTCCAGGGACCACAAGTTTCTCAAGTCCAATATGACCGCATTATGGGTTACATCCAAGAGGGTAAGAAGTCTGGTGCCACGGTCGTCACTGGAGGTGAGCGCCACGGAGACAAGGGATACTTCATCCAGCCTACCATTTTCTCTGATGTCACTGAAGACATGAAGATCATGCAAGAGGAGATCTTTGGCCCCGTCTGCTCGATCGCCAAGTTCGAGACCGAGGAGGAGATCATCAAGACCGGAAACAACACCACCTACGGTCTTGCCGCCGCTGTCCACACCAAGGATCTGAACACCGCCATCCGCGTCGCCAACGAGCTCCGCGCCGGTACCGTCTGGGTCAACTCGTACAACATGTTGCACCACCAGGTCCCATTCGGAGGATACAAGGAGTCTGGTATCGGACGAGAGCTCGGCGAGGCTGCGTTGGCCAACTACACTCAGACCAAGTCGGTATCTATCCGCTTGGGTGATGCTCTCTTCGGTTAAGTTTGGCTCGGCTTGGAGGAGTAATGAACTGGAACGGACGGGATGAATTGAAATGAAAACTTGTACATGATTATTAGCCATTTACTATATCAAAATCCAAACAAATTGACAAACAAAGAACTCGTGGTCATCTCCTTCATCACTGAAACGGTATTGTGCATTTGGGGCGGTATTCCTCCCAACCACCAGAATTTCGTGAAGCCTCCCGTCACCAGACCTCGGCAGCATTACAGGGGTCCGGATAAGCTGACAGCTTGATGGCCCAATGTTGAGTGCAGCAACTATTCCACTTTGTGCTTGGGACTTCTACAGAATCTTTTCTATTCAGGATATACTTTTCTCATCCATTTCATGCATCATTTTCTGGAAAATGTATCGGTCTACTTTCGCAGCATCATCAAAATCAAAATGCTTCTCCCCCCAACAGCTCCTGCGGGGTCAATGATATCACGACCATCTTCCCCTGTTCTAGCGCAATCGCCAATCGATACAGTAGTCGATAAGAGACGGCAGCCAGCAGTTGGGAAAAGATGCAAACGCCCGTACTTGGCAACATTCCTCCCAACCACCCAGAAACCCTTCTCAATCCTTTCTATACCCATCTCATGCATGCAAAAGCGAGAGGAAGGATCCGGCACAGCAGCCAATCGAACCAATTGCGATACCAGCCCACCATTAGCTCACCTATTGTTATCCGTCCACCATCGCGTGATTGAGTGCAGACAGCCCTGGAGCTCTTGCCAAGAGGCGAACATGCAGGTTGACATGCAAGCACTTTACCGTCCGTACCGTACGGACATTCAGTCTCTGTGACAGACACGGATGCGTGCAGATGTGCAAGGCTTTGGGGGATGGAAATGGGTAAGTGTGTCGGTGAGGACGGCATGGAATTGGAGGGAGCGGACAGTACCTGGAGCTCCCTAGGCTTATTTTATACTCGAGCTACACGCATGGGAGCTGTGCATGTTGGATGAAGCAAGCCTTGCCAGCGAGCTAGCTACCGGTAACTATCACAAGCTCTCGATGAGCTCAGCTCAGCTCAGCTCAGCCTATACTACATAGCTATAGCTCCAGCCTGCTCTCTTCCCCCTCTGTTCCTTTCTCCCTTCCGTCTTTGTCTCTTCCTCCTCCTCTCCCCTTCTTCCGTTCCAGCTTCTCCCTCCTCTATTGCGACAGCTGTGCTCCAAAGATAGTCGCATCGCTGTACTCAGCGACTCTCCTCTCTCTCGTCTCTCTCTCACCCGCACCCACACGAAGCTACCCCTCCAAACCCGACCCGCCAAAATGCCAATGCCAATGCCACCCCACTTCACCGCCCTCTCCAGGCTCTCCCTCCCTCTTGCGCTCCTCACACTCACCACGCCAATCCTGTCGCAAACCACGAACGAGAATCAGATTACTTGGGCGGCAGTGACTTATACGTATCATGGGGAGAAAACACCGGATTTCCATACCAGTGCGAGGAGTGTTGATTTAACGCCTCTTGGCGCGGAACAGGTAGGCGCATTCTCTCTCCCTCCGTATTTACCAGAGACTTCGTCTTGCGATCGGAGTCTTGAGATCAAAATCCCAATGCTTGCGTCTCCTCAAGCTGTCACACCTAAACCTCCCAAGCCCAAAAAATCCCTTGCTAATGTTTATTCTCTGTTCCTAGCTCTTCCTCGCCGGCTCCGGAATCCGTAACCGCTACATCGTCCCTACGAATATCTCACAAGATACGGTCCCAATCAATGGACTTAGTAAGAATGATCTGGATAACTCTCAACTGGATGTGATGACGACGGATGAGCCGTATTTGGCGGCGAGTGCGCTGGCATTCATGCAGGGTCTATATCCCCCGTTTGATACGATTTCGAGTGATGAGGAGGCGGCGAGAGGGGATGGAGGGACGTATGAGTGAGTAGTTTCTTGATTTTGTTTGATTTTGAGGGAATGGATAAGAGAATGGAAATTGGATGTCTGGGGGCGAGGAGAGTAGTGAAATGAGCTTGATTTGGTGACCGTGGAGTTGTGCTCGAGCGGAGTAAACTTTCGCGTCCCAATTACACCAGGGGGCTTCTTTGAAGGAGACGAGACTAACAAGATCCAGATTCCCCTTAAACGGATATCAATACCCCAGAGTTGCCACATTGAGCGAATTGGATTTCAACCATATCTGGTAAGCTCTTCATGACCGAAGTCTCCTTGATGTTTCAGCTACTGACTCGCTTCACAGGATTGCTGGACAAACCGATTGTAAACAATACTCGAATGCGCAAGCGAAAGCTGTCAACACTCCAGCTTATGTGAAGAAAATTGAGGATACTCAGACATAGTGAGTTTGACTTTGCCTTCGGCCACAGAATTCCGACTTTAGGATTTGTGGTGCGAACCGCTGTTTCTTGAGAAAACGAACTGGCAATCATGAACACTTACTTACCACCTTACCCAGCTACGCCTCCCTCTCCAACACCGTATTCCACTCCCTCGACAGCAGCACCCTCAACTATGGCAACGCACTCACTATCTACGAAAGCGCCCTCTACCAATACCGGCACAATAGCACCATCTTCAACTCCCCCGACTTCACAACCAACGACCTCGCCACCCTCCGAAACCTAGCCTCCGAACAACAATGGACATTCAACACCCCCAACGGCACAAACACCATCAACGCCATCGCAGGCCGCACCTTCGCCGCAAAAGTAATCCAAAAACTAAGCGACAACATCGCCTCCTCGGGCGCCATGTCAAAACTCACCGTCTACATCGGCTCCCACGAACCCTTCCTCGCATTCTTCGCCCTCGCCAACCTCGCCACCGGCCCCTCAGCACCACAATTCAACACCCTTCCCGACCACGGCTCAACCATGACATTCGAGCTATTTTCTATCCCTCCAGCAGACGCCGAGCAGCAAAGTACCAGCGACATGCCCATGCCGTACCAAGACTCGCTGTTCGTCCGCTTCCTCTTCCGCAATGGATCAGAGCCCGGAGCCGATCTGCGAGCCTACACGCTCTTCGGACGAGGCAACGCAGAGACTGTTATCCCGTGGGAGGATTTCAAGAAAGCGATGGTGGCGTTTGCGTTGACTGATATACTGGACTGGTGTCGTGTCTGTGAGACGAAGACGCTGTTCTGCACGGCGTTTGAAGACATCTCTTCTTCGGATGATGGAGATGCCAGCGATGGCTCTTCTTCTGATGGGCTTGTTTCGGGAGGAGCAGGAAATACTGGTGCTGGGGGCGTGAGTCCCACTATTGGAGGCGTGATTGGTGCGACTGTTGCGGTGGCGGCGTTTATTTTCCTTGTTGCTGGATTGCTTCTCGCGGGGTTTAGACTTGAGAAGAGGAAGAAGGGAGGGAACAGGGTCTTTCCGGATTTGGGCGATATCAGCGTGCTTAAACGCAGCGGGAGCGGTAACGCAGGTGGTGGTGCGAATGGTGGATTCAAAGGAGCGGATAAGTTGAGCTCGGATGCGGACCTGGCGTTTACGCCTGGGAAGGGTGGTGCGGGCGCGACGGTTGTGAGGCATGAGAGGGTGGGGAGTTGGGAGTTGGGGGAGAGTCCGAATGGAGAGTCGAGGAAGCAGGGGAGTCTGGATAAGGAGATTGAGAGTGGGAGGGTGGTGAGTGGTGTTGATTATAGTAGGAGGAGTAGGGAGTTGGAGAGGGAGGATCCCTTTGTGGATCCGGTGAGGCCGGTTGATCAGGTTTGAGTGCTGACTCGACTGATAAGCGGCTTTGGTGGGAGAGAGTGATTTCTTTTGTGTTGGGTAGATGGATGGTGGGTTTTTGATTCGGGTCTTCGAACCGCAAGGACCGGATGTTTTGGAACTCGACTATGTTGAGGGTGCCAGCTGGATTTCTTATGATTGACGAACATATAATGATACCCATTCGTGTCTCTCACTACACATATATACCCCTTCTGGAATCTTTTAGTTGAGATATTGCAGATGATGGCGTTTTGGAATATTCCTTTGGTAGTTTGCGGTTGTATTTACTTAGCATACATACCTCAATAGATACATCAAAGATAGCTCTTGAACCACACCTCTCACAGCAATCTTCTCGAGTTCGAAGAGGGGGGATATTTTTGCTTGTAGCTTATCCTTTGCTCAGTTGTGCTATGTGTGAGCTTCATATTCGCAACATAGGCTGAATGCCATCTTACTGAGTTAGATGGGTGCACAATAGGGTAAGGAAAGGAGGCAGGTTTCAGATAGAATTCGCATCGAACATCCCATTGATAATTATCACTAGACATTCATCATTCATATCATCATGACACAGCCATTAAACTCCCAACACTTTCTCAAACCTGCGTAGTATCAAGCGCCACAACACCCTCATTAATCAACGTAAAGTCCTCCGTGAACCACCCCCCATTAGTCACATACAAAGTCTTCTTCTCCTTCGCACTTCCCCTCCCAAATTGCGCACTCGTCGGATTCAACAACAACTCCGTATCTTCAATCACCATCTGCACACCCCCAGGCGTAACCTTCACAACATGATTCGGATGCGTAGCAATCCACGCATCGTTCCCCGCATCCAAAGCGAAATCGTCGTATTGAGACCCAAAATCTCCGCCGACGATGGTGTTGTTACTGATGATCTGTACTGGCCCGGTCTTCTGTCCGAGGGAGTCGATTTTCACACGCCCGAAATGCTGCTTGGCGGAGCTGACGAAGTAGAAATATGAGCCTTTCGTGCGGATCCCGTTTATGCCTAGGTGTTGCCCTGGGATAGTGCGATTGATTGGGGCGAAAAGAGGATCGCTGAAGCTGATGGAGTAGGCGCCTGTGGCGATGTTGATGCGGTAGACGGCTCCTACGTCGGCGTCTGCTGCGAGTATTAAGTCTTTGGATCCGGGGACTGGGGCGAGACCGTTGAGTTGGACGGAGGTGGCGATAGTGGTTATGTTTTTGACGATGGGGTTGGAGGTGCAGAGATCTACGGTCCAGACTGTGAGGCTGCCCAGAGTGGCTCTTGTGAGTGCTAGGTCCCAAATTCCGGTTACGACGACGAATAAGTCTGGGGTGAGTCTGGATATTATTATTAGATTGTTTTCCAGTGACTAGAGGTTGCACATGATATGAGAAACTCTTACTCGGTTATGCCCATAAGACCATGGCCCTCGGGGAACGTGTGAACGACTGTAGCATTGGGTGTGGCAACTGTGGGATCGACACTGAAAAGTGTATTGACACTCATAGACGTGAGCAACAAATCACTATTTGAGCGAACTGCTATGTTCTCAATGAAGTGATTCGGAGGAAACGTGTATATCTGTCGGAGCAGAGGTCCTGGAGATGGGGCAGAGATTGCTAAACTACTCAACAAGCCCAGGACAATCAGGACGGCAGGTTTACTGAAGAGCGCCATGGTAGACAGGTTGAGAATTCCAATTGCTAAATTAAGAAACTCGAGGTTCTACAAGGTGCAGATCTCGAGGGAAGCTCGTCCTTTTCATACCCAAAATTTGGTAAATCAGCTTACATATCCCTGTCGGCGAACTTCCCAGTCGGACAATGGCAGCAAGCAGGGGAGACCATTTTCCCGCTGCACACTACTGCGGGGAACACTCATGCAATTGGAAAGGCCCACAGCGGGGGCATTATTAAGGGCAGATATTTTTGCCAAGATACTCTTGAAGAAGAGGAGCTGATGCCAGAAGGTTACACCGTCTTTTCGGTACTTTGGTAACTTCGTAAGGTTGGGAACTAGACAGGCCTCCTGCAGCCTTGTCACAATTGGCGTGATAAACGTGCTTTTGGCAGCGGGCCACAGGAGACTGAAAAATGCATCTTGACATATTTCGAGAACCATTCGAGGCTCATCGTCAATTGTGAAATGGACCAAGCGTCGTCATGGATAGCAACGACATCCACTTAGGACTAGTAGATTTGGGACAACATATTCGACGACATGCACGTAAGACTATGAATAGTTCATGAGCAACCACAGCAAGCCAGCCAAGGTCAAGGAGGAAGCTATCCGAAAGAATTTACTTGAGCGACCCTAGAAAGCAGATTCAGCACATCGAAGCATCGGGAATGGAATTTGCAGTGACTCAGATAATACTCGGGATTTGTAAGGAATGCAACTTTGCTTGCGATTTCAAGCTAGGGACTTCCTTGGCAAGAGGACAATTTTTTTTTCAGAACAGTGAAAAGTGCTTCTGATCATGAACCATGATTCAGACACGTCCAAATTGGCATCGACTGGTTATACTTAGCCAGAGCACAAGCCGCCTCTTCCATACCATGGATACACAGCTTGGCTTTGTCCGACGACTATGATAAACGACAAGCGGCACACTGGGTACAAATTAAGTGTGGCGGTCAACAGCAAATGACTGCCTGCGGGGGAAGGCTGATTCGAGCATTTAGCGTCGTATGTGGAAGATGTGGTCGCGAAGAATTCCCAAGAGTGTCCTTAGGACGTCGATACCTGCCTGTGACCAAAGTACAGCCAAAGAAAACGTCTGGTTAATGTCGCAACCACAGAGCGTAGAGCATTGACAAAGAGGAGTCGCTACTCGGTGAAGAATCTCGGCTTCAGCATGGCCTCTCTGTCATCCATCAACAACCCGTATATCCTGTCAGAGCAGATGCATCTCATGTGTTGATCGTGTTCTGAATTCCATTGTGTGGCCTCTCAAGACGGTGCTGCAGAGCAAACAGGCGACGACCTTCTCCTTGGTTTTGGATCATCGACGTGTGACATCGTTCACAAACTGGCATCCGCGTAGGCTTCGATTCCATAGACGATCTACCAGATCATGTTGAAGATATAGCCCATACCTCCTTTGTACCAAAAAGTCCTGACTCGGCGCATCGGGATAGCTTCAACTAGAGATAAACGTGTCAGAAGATGCGTCGCCATTTGCGGAGGAATCCAATTGAGGTAACGTAAAGTGCCTGGTAGGCTGTCTGTTATTGCAGATGTGTTGGAGCAGCGAAGAGAGTGACGTGAGGCGAGGAGAGTACAGGTCCCGTTGGAATTTAGGAGGCCGATCTCGCTAATTCTGACGCTACAAGGTCTCGCCTGCTCGCGTCGGTGTGTTTACTTTAGTTTCTAGTGTTCTCACCAACAAGCAAGCCCATTTAGCCAGGCGAGAAGGACTTCACTGTCAAGAATTCCGAATCAAGTCACAGAATACTTGAGTGTCAACATATCACTTGAAATTAAGTCGCACTAGTGTACTCGCCACATCGGAGCATTAAATTGGCATGCTTAGCTTGCATATGTAATGTGAGCCGTCCTTACATGATAGATGCCAGATCTTTGTTCAGCTTCTGGGAGAATGAAGGGCTTGCACAGCATAGCCTCACCGACCAAAGTACCCGTTCCACATCTATTGTTAGGAGAATATACTTCGAAGCAGCGCTGCAAACTGTTCCGGAGTAAGTTGTTTTGCCTGATCCGCAAGTGACAGTTGTTGTCCTCCGATGGCGAGCTCTACAAGCTCTCGTCTCACCTCCTCTGCATCAAAAGGTCCCGCCCAGTTTGTAAATGGATCCAGCTGGTACAGACGATTCTTTCCTTCTGCTAACAGTTCATGAGATACTAAGTGTGTACTAGCTCCACCATAACAGCGATACCCATTGAACTGGGAGTAGCCCTCAGGAGCTGTGTATCGTTGCCAGCCCCAGCCAGCTGGGCAAGCCTGAGACTCTAGGAGCCTCTTTTGTGCCCATTCTTCCTGTTCTTGGAGCTCCACCTCAGATAGAGTATCGATTCGCAGCTGTCTTGTTGCCATTTTCCTGTCATGTTCGCTGGTAAAGGCAGTTGTGATGTCTGGGGTGGTGGACTGCGCGGGAGCTGGAGGTTGTGACTCCTCAACTTGAACTCTTGATTCGTCCTTGAAGAAAGCACTATTTAAGAACTGTTCTGTTTCTGCTGTGGCTGTATTGCATAGCTTCGATGTCGGTAATCCTGATTTCGGCTTTGAACTCGAAGATTTGGTTTTCTCAGTAGTATGTTTCGATGCCGAAGATTTGACACTCTTAGAAGTGGATTTTGATCTCGAGCTCTTTGTTTCTTTCGCGGAGTTCTTGACATCTTGCTTGTCGGTGTGTTTGGAGAGCTTGGAGCTGGGTCTTGATGAGCTGTCTCTCGAGAACGCGCTGTCCAACATGGATCCTAAGATACTTGTTCTCTTGGTGGGCTTCGAAGGCGAGCTTGAACTTGAAGCTTCTGGGAGTTTCTTTGAGTGTGGCGCCATTCCTTCGAGAGAGAGACTATCCTATTAGTGTGGTCGACCAGGTCTTGGGAAGTCCTGTGGTGTTACCTGCGAGCTTAGTTTCAAGCAAAAGCAGTGCGGTTGATCTTATAGTCTCGGGAAGGAAGTTGAGACGCTGCCAGTCAGGCCCCGGGGAGCCCGGGACAGTCACTTAGATCATGGGCACCATATTCTAGTTTCACTGTAGAATCACAGATGCCAACCCAAGTCACCATTTGAAGTGACGACATTAACTAAGAAGCATCTTCCCATCCTATCATTATTCACTTGACTACAAAGCTCTCTGTAGGTAAAGGGTTTGATTCTAATCCCTCTTCAGTGATTGACTGCAACCAATTTTTAAAAAAAAACTTGGTCTGTTCTGAAAACATCTTTGATTGTAACAAGTTGCCATCTACTTTAGCAAATCCTCCTCTCCCACTTTCTGGCCCAGTGGACCATCATATTCAAATAGCCCAGTGCTACGACATACTTATAGTCTGCGTACTAGACCTATCTTTTGAAAAGCGGTGGAGGGCTGGACGGAAATTGGAGTTGAGGTGTTCCGGGGAACAGTTGAGCAAACATATTTTGCATCTGCTGAAACTGCATCTGTGTTCCAGCTGCGGTATTCTGGGCTACTGTGATACTATGATTATCATTGGTGCTGAGTGTGCTTTGTATTTGCTGCTGTCCAGGTGCCATTTGCTGAATGTTCACGGTCTGGCTGAAAGGTGTTACTTGAAAAGCAAAGGCATTCTCATGATCACCAGGGTAGAAAGGTCCATCCCACCAGTTCGTTGTAAGAGATAAAATATAAAGTCCACCTTTCCCCTCCGCCAAGAGCTCATGGGAGATCATATGTACATGCCTGGCTCCTGGCACAGGGGAACCGCAACATCGGTAGCCATTGTATTTCTCATATCCAGCTGGCGCGGTATATCTTTCCCAGCCCCAGTTCTGAGGGCAACGGCCACACTGGATCAACTTTTCCAGTGCCCACGTCTCTTGTTCTTCGAGTTCTTTCTCTGAAAGTTCCTCTATCTTGAGTTGTTTTTTGGCCATTTCTTTGTCCTTCTCGGTTACGTGTACACTCTTCATGCTTGTTGCGGAAGGCTTGGAATGTTGGTGGTCTTGAGGTGGTCCTGAAGGTGGCGAGGAGATTATCTTCGTACTAGCTGGTTGAGATGGTTGAGATGGCTGTAGTGGATGAGTGCTTGTACTCGGCGGTGCTTGAGACTCATTTCTGAAGAATACACTTTCAAGGAAAGTGTCTGATGATGCATGGGTGGACTTGGCTGCTTTGGAAGTTTTCGAACTTGTAGATTTAGTACTTTTAGTTCCATACTTGGTACCAGAGTTGTGATCCTTTGACTCGGACGTAGTACAATCCTTTGAAACCTTCCCCTCGCGACGTTTGGAAGATCTAGATGACGATGACTCGTCTTTGTGGAATGCACCGCTGAGTATGGACTCCACTAGGCTGGTCGACTTTTTGCCCGGCTTGGAGCTGGAGTTTGACTTCCTGGAGGATTTAGTGGTTTCTGGTGCCATGTTGAGTGAAACTTTGGACTTCGGGTATTCGTGCTGAAAAGGTTAGTCTGGTTAATCTTGGGTCAATTTAAAGCTCAATCGGGAACGACGTCTTGTCTTTTGTAAGAGATGGGGAGTCACTGCTCCGCTCATGGCTTCGCATTAGAACACTTATTCACGAACAAGGCCTAAAACGCTGATTGAGGAGAACAATATTCCATTGACTCAATCTGTCAGGAAGTCGCCGCAGTGCCCTGCCTTGATTCTGCAGCTTCGGTCTCGGTCAGCTTCGACGAGCCTCAGAAGTCTGAGCATGATTTCGATCTTGTTGGAACAGAGCAGAGCCTTTCGTGGCTTACACAACAACGATTGGAAGTGTTTTCAGACGAGAATGATATTGGCTTTCATGTACTGTACTTTGTTGACTTGTTGGAATTGGTCCGTATCTGTTGGAAAAGGAGGCTAACTCCAGCACAAAAGGCAAACCCAGAGCCATTACGAGGTGAGAGTGAAGGCCACCTCCCTGAACTGAACCGAGTCTCCAGGTAGTTACAAAGATGCTGCACAGTCCCGCGATACAGCAAGAATATGAATAGCCGCTTATTGCGACCAGCACTCAGTGGTTGGAATTTACTGTAGAGCTACTCTAGACTCATCCTATGTTTCTTTTTGGATCCAGAATCACGGTGCTTTGCAGAACCGGGTCATTGCAGACAACACGCGATGGAAATATGCCGACCTGGAAGAGCCAAGCCATCCGGTTGGCCGAGAGTACCTCGAGGTTACGCAACATATGTCCCTTGCCTTGTATTGGCGTGATTTCGTCGTGAGATTCCAGGCAGTTTTGAACGCACGGAACCTGCTGTGGGATGTGGAGGGTCATATGTAGTGCAGAGCGGAAAAGTTGAATAATTTGTTGTTGAGAAGAGACTCGTAGAAGGTCAGAAGACAACTCCACTACGGCCTTTATTGGCCATTGAGTGAATCCAAAAGCCATGTTTTGTGGTCACCAACATCGATACTGCTCTTCAGCCAAAGAGAGCTGCAGAATGCAACAGAGGATGTTGGTTCACGGTTTGAGTGTCTCGCTTTCCAGCCACAAAATCGCCACAGCAAAAGGAAATCTCCGCATGCTGAAGAGAATATGATACTGAAGATCGCTAAATCGGAGCTATCCATTTGTAATTTGCTGCACAACAGTTCGAAAGAGGATGTCTAGCCGGAGCATGCCTATGTCGGCGCTCGTTTACAGCGGTAAAGCGAAAAAAGAGCTGTTTCGTTTTAGTATAAAAGCAACACGAGCTTGAAGTGCGAGTCCACTCTTGACAAGCAGAAATAGACGCTCTCATTAAAACAAGTCTACTGTTGCAGAGTACATAACAGTGCAAACGGAACGAGGGGCTTTGCACAACCGTAGAAGAAACAACGTATCTTCAACACTGAGAAGGTAAAGCCACTTCTCTGATCCCCAGAAAGATATGTTGATCGAGACAGGACCCACAACCATGATTGTGATTCTCATACTCAAGGGGGTTGCAGCCGCTTACCTGCTCCTACTCCCTGGTTTTATCCTTTACTCTCCAACTTCGACTTCAGCAAAGGCTATCGTGACTGCCCTGCTCGCCCCTACAGCTTTCAACATTCTCATTCAACCTCCAACAGCTCCCACTGCTCTCGGCACCCTCCTTCCCCAAGTTGCAATATCCAAACACTTGTTCGGCACAAATTCCCTGGATTCTATGAAACCTGCGATGTTCAGCTTCTACCACGTTTTTGAGTTCGGCACTATCTTGTGTTTCTGGAGATATTTCCAACAGAAATCGCGTTATGGACGTATCAATGCCTTGAAGGAAAAATATGGCTTTACAGATGACCCCACTTCGTGGAAAGATATGACTGTCGAACAGGCTCAAGAGATTGAGAGCAACATGGCTGAGTGGGAGTTTCCTCGTCTTTTCCAGTTCGCATGGATCTCCGATTTCCTTCGGGTAGGTGACCGTTGTGACCAAACGTCATATCCATGCTAATAATACTGGTAGACTTCGACTGACCCTGGTGTTTCTCGTGCTCTTGTTAAGTCTGGACATAGTAGGTTTCCCCTCCCCTTCAATTCTTTGCTGTCATTGGAGATTCAGAAACAAGGACCTGCCGTTTCTACAGCTTCAGTACAAGATGTGGCATCGAAACATATCGAAGAGGTGACCAATGCTGACTATGTTGACTTTCTACAGTGGTAAACCCGGATCCCATGGTTGAGCATGATCGCTTGCAATCCACCGTGCACTTGATGTCTGGTATGATGGCTTACAAGTTTCGATCTGCCAACCATAGTTTGGTCATCTCTCGCATCAATGAACATCATCACCGATATGGCACCTGGATCAACAGTGACGACGTCCTCTATCTGATCATCCACTTCTCGGAAGTGCCAGTTCAATGGATCAGCAAGTTTGGATACCGGAAGCTCGAAGGCTTCGAAGTTCAAGCTATGTGGCTTCTCTGGCGTGAGCTCGGTTGTTCCATGGGTGTCAAATATATTCCCGAGACTCTTGAGCAAGCCAAGGAGTGGCGCAAGGTAGGTCATTTTAGCCCGTGCTTTTGATCAACCGTTGAAACTTGCAGAACTTTGAGACAAAGTGTCGCTGGCGCGAAGACGCAAACGAAGAAGCTGGGATGGCCATGATGAATGAGATTATTTACTCCGTTCCATCCCTGTTTAAACCTTTTGTTAGAAAGCTCATCGTCTCAATCCTCGACGCCGATATCGTTTACTTCTGCCAAATGGAGAAATTGGGCCCTTCCCCAGTCCTTCGTAGCATAGCCTACAGCTTGTTCGGACTCTGCGCTTGGTTCATCCGCAATTTCTGTAATCCTCGTCAGTCACCCTACAAGCGAGCCCCTGATGCACCAAACAATAGTGTAAGTAATAGTCTCTCCACCTAGAAGGATCTAAACAGCCTCTGACTTGTGTTAGGGTACTTGGAACTTTGGCCACACACCTTACGACACTCTGCCGTTCTTTCAAGAGCGTTCTTTCTGGAATCTGTGGGGTTATGGTGCACTCTTCCGACGCATATACGATGTGCCTCTGCCCAGTCCCAAGTACTTCTCTGAAGGTATCGCAATCGAGCGAATGGGTGCACTTCAGAATACCCCAGAGACACAAGCAGCTGTCGAGACCAAGGTTCGTCAGAATGCCGCCATCCTAGAGACAGCTCTCTACGGCTACCGTCCTGCCATTGGATTCCAAGCTGGCCGACTCCTCCCTCCCGTCGACGGCCCTTCCTACGGTCTTGACATGAATACTTTCCACAAGTCGACTCCACAAGTTCCAGCTTCTACTAAGCGCTTCGAGAAGCAGTTCGAGCGTCGGTCTCTCGGCTACTCTAAACTGGCTGCTATTGAGAAGCCTGAGGATGTCCTTGCTTTTGACAAAAGCGAAACAAAGATCCCAAAGATCGATGGTTTCCTCTCTCCGTCAAAGATGGTGAAGGTCTCTGCTTGATCGCTCAACGTGCCCCACTTGTGAGGAGTCGAGGAGGATCGAAGGACATGACCAAATTTCCTGTTGCTGCCGAATGTATAACAAATTCCTTTCGGATGGTCATCTTGAAACATTCTTTCCTTTCTGATTCAGCTTTCTTTCCTTCTAGCGAATGTCCCGGTCTGTTTTCCACGTTATGTAGTTGTGTTGAGGCTGATTGTCATTCAGTGACAAGTTGGGTATCAGCTCTCCTTCGCGACCCTTCGTTGGCTTGACTCTTCTTTTGATAACGGCCTAGAACTTCCTTAAGTAGTGCGGTAAAGACACAATGGATGACAAATTGTCTTCTCAATACGCCGAAGCCGTTCTTTCTTAGTCGTGAATGTTGTTTGGTTCATATACAAGGATGAAGCGAAAGAGATCTAGAATCTGGACTAATCCGCCGTAAAGGTGTTGCATGATATCATGGGTAACCATAGAGGTCGATCGTCGACGAAGTATAAGATTCAGCCAGATGCCAGTCACCAGTCTCCTACCCCCTCAGCCATACTCATGTTACCGAATGTCCAGAGGAAAGAAGACCCGAGACTTTCGATGTCTCTACTTGAGACTAGCGCACCGCTGCTTTTACAGTAGAAGTTCAAGAGCAAAAACTGCGGAACACCACCGAGATGCCCCTTTACATCACACCACATCTATCTCGGATCTTCACTGCCAGTCGCACTCCTACCAAACAATTCAGTCCCCGTCATCGATCTTCAGCATAACCTTTGATTTGCTTCGACGCCGGATCCCTAGCCGTCACTCGATATTACGCGAATATCACAGCATGGCTGCATGTGGGGTGCCATGGCCATGAGACTCAGGTGGTCGAAATGGCCTGACTTTGGGAATCACAGTTTCAATTGGCCAATGTATTCCTCCTGCACCATGCGGGGAGAGGCGTTCGTCCGAGAATTTTTACAATGCCCTCCAACAATCAAATCATCGCCCGACGCTCCCTCTTGTGCCATGACTCGAGCGAGCTTAGGAGATCCAGAGCTCCGTGGGCAAGCTTTCGGATCAAGGGGTTCGATATTGCTTCCTTGTAGATCTGTCAATCAACACAGCCCCGCTATGTCCACCACGCGCAATTGTTTATGGAGTACTCGTAGCTGGTCGGTCTAGGAACTTCCCCGCAATGGGCTTTACTGCAAAGGGTATGGAGTAAGGGATTGACCGACCCTGGAATTATACGCCGCATTTAGTTGCATCTTGGACGGCTTGGTGGGCTTAGGGAGATCAGAAATCAGTTCATGTTCTGCCATTCAAGCCGTAACTATCCATTTTACCATACGAATGAGACAGGATTTCTCGGCGATTTTGTGACTGGTAGACTTCAAGGGCGGCTCCACTCCGGAGTTTGGCGAAAGCCAGAGGTGCTTGGTGGAAGGGTCGGTCCTTCGAATCATAAGATATCTATCGTTAAGGAAAACACACCACTTTCGAGCCTCGACCGTTCAAGCCGACCACGTGAGGCACTCGATGCCAAGACATACGTATCTCAGAAACTTTGATGACAAGAGCAGAGCTGTTTGGATTCTGAGATCCATGCCAAACGTCAACATCATGCAGAGGCTTGGAACCGTGCTAGCTTTGCATGCAAATTTACCTCATGCACACTGGGGGTCGCCCATGTCCGCCATTAGGCCGGTCCAATTCTGGTGTTCTAGCCAATCTGTTTCCCTCGATGCTCGAAGGGATGCTCAACTCAAAGCCAACGGTTGAGCGGGACTGGGTCTCAGGCGTCACAGGAACCGGATAATTGGAACTCTTTGACAATAGATCACGGAGCTGCTCAAGATAAGACGCATAGGAATTGCTTGGGTGGAAGGAATGACAGGCATGCAAGCTCTAGCGGCGTGATGGGACAGACAAGTGGGGTTATCAGCAGCAAGGTAAGATGGAGGGGTAGCTTTTTTTCTTGAAAGTGGCATGTTTGTCTAGAGTAAATATAACACCGAGCTCTCTGCCTCCTTCAGATACTTTTGCTTCTCATCAATTGATTTTTCTCATACACAAGATAACTGACAACTACAATAATCCATTCCAACACAACAAGCACTTCGATTTGAAACAACAACGAAATCACAATGGCACCAAACATCCCAACTGAGCAATGGGCACAGGTTGTCGAGGAGACCGGGAAGCGTGAGTTATACCTAGAATCTGAGCCTCAAGCTTCCCAAACTCGCCATTCTCTCATATACTGAAACCTTTGAGCTTTGCTGACACTTCCCCAGCTGTCGTCTACAAGAAGATCCCAGTCCAAAAGCCTGCCTCAGATGAGGTTCTCATCAACATCAAGTTTTCTGGTGTCTGCCACACTGACCTCCACGCCGTGAATGGCGACTGGCCATTGGCAACCAAGCTCCCACTTGTCGGTGGACACGAGGGTGCCGGTGTCGTAGTTGCCAAGGGCGAATTGGTCAACGATATTGAGATTGGTGACCATGCTGGTGTAAAGGTATTTTCGAAAATGGAGATCCCAAGTTGGATGTTCTGACATGTCTCTCCAGTGGATCAACGGCTCCTGCTTGGCCTGCGACTTCTGCCAGAGATCCGATGAGCCTCTCTGTGCTAAGGCCCTTCTCTCTGGATACACAGTTGACGGCACCTTCCAACAATACTGTATTGCCAAGGCAGCACACGTTGCCCGCATTCCCAAGGAGTGTGACCTCGAGGCCATTGCCCCTGTTCTCTGCGCCGGTATTACCGTTTACAAGGGATTGAAGGAGTCAGGTGCTAGGCCCGGCGAGACTGTCGCCATTGTTGGTGCTGGTGGTGGACTTGGGTCTCTTGCATGCCAATATGCTAAGGCCATGGGTCTCAGAGTTATTGCAATCGATGGTGGCAATGAGAAGAAGGAGATGACTGCCAAGCTTGGTGCTGAGTCGTACGTCGACTTCATGTCCAGCAAGAACCTCGTCAGTGATGTCAAGGCTGCTACTGCGGATGGTCTAGGACCACACGCTGTCATCTTGGTTGCTGTCAACGAGAAGCCGTTCCAACAGGCTGCTGAGGTATGTTCATGTCCCGTCATGCTGGTCTGATCTTGTAGCTGACAGTTAAAGTACGTTCGACCTCGTGGTACAGTGGTGGCCATTGGTCTTCCAGCAGGTGCCTATCTCCGTGCACCAGTCTTCGAGTCTGTCATCAAGATGATTACCATTAAAGGATCATACGTCGGAAACAGAGCTGATTCGGCTGAGGCCATCGAGTTCTTCAGAAGAGGCGTAATTAAGGCACCGTACAAGTCTATTGGCATGAGTGAGCTTCAAAAGGTGTACGACCTAATGTAAGTCTCCCGTTACATGCCTCAGAGGTAAACAACATCTGACAACTTCCTAGGCACGAGGGCAAGATTGCTGGACGATACGTCGTTGATACCTCCAAGTAATGGAAAACTGGGCAGAAATTGAACAATATTGAGCAATGTACGATCTATTTGATGAAGGGATAACGTCAAGTGCTTGGTTGGATAAGTTTTGGCAAGGTAATGTGAGAGCTGGAAACAGTTCGCTTGTACATAGTCTCTGAAAAATCAAGCTTTGAAACAGGCATGCAATGCCATTGCGATAATTGTGATGATGGGACAGATGACATGGGCCTCGCTGCAGTCGCTTCAGCAAGAGAACGGGGAGAAAGACGACTCTGACCGGAAGGCCGTCGAGTACCGTGCACGTGATCAGCGCATTATTGAAGATTGATATGTCTGAAAACTCCCCAAGCCTCATAACAGCTAGTTCGATACATACGATCTTGTATCAAGGTTATTCAAGTGAGCTCCGCTGCTGTAACTACGATGATAGGATTTGCAGTGGCTCTCCACGTGGCTAAATGATCATCTGGACCAGCAATATCAGCTCCAATTGCTTCCATTTCGGAGTTCGCTTGACGAAGAAGCGAACAAAGAGCGAAGGCATGTGTGCCATGCTCATATGCTTGCACCAGAGCTGGGTGAAAAAGGATGTATCTTAAGTTCACTAGGCAAGTACATGAGTTCTGATTTATGAACATAGTAATGCTTGTAAAAATCCGAGACATTTGCGAGCGGAACTAGACCTTGTAGCAGTAAGCGTCCCTTCGTATCTTTCTAAGGCGTTCTACCTATCACATGCAAGAGATCTCATCGTGCGAACCCCCCTTCTGGTCCCGAGAAAATACCCGAAGTCAACAAAGACTCGTCGGAGCCAACTTCCGACGGGACAAGACTTGACTTCGGTCCCTGTAAGCTGGACAATCGGGACGGGAACACGGCTTGGGATCTCTCGATCTGACTAAAAAAGGAGACCATATGGCTTGGAGGCTTAAACTTGGAGGGATGGATTGAGATTAGATTTGCGAGCTATTCTGCATAAAGGGTTGTTCCGCCACAGAACATAAGTTGCGCCGGGACATATCTCCGGCCCACTGGTATTCTGGCATGTAAACCTGAGAACTTGGCCTCCTTGGATTCAAGAGAAGCTTGGAAGACGAAAACATGTGCTGAAAAGTGTCTGAAAATACAGAGTATTTGGGTGTGCAAAGAAAATAAAGTTGTGACTTCACGACGTCTCCACCAACATGGCGAGTCAGATTTTCTGGAAACAGTACAACTGGCTTTCAAAACGCCACAGGAACCGAGAAGACAACACGCGCTACCACAAACCAACTCTCTCAACATCAGGGATAAGGTATAAGCGACATACCGGATCATCCCACTGAGGTAAAGAAATAGAAAGATAAATATTTTGTTGCAAGTCGCATCGCCAGCAGAGGTAACACAAAGAAGTCGATCCGCTCTTCCCCTGCCTAAGACCAAGGATAGAGGATGTAGGAAACCGCGTCTCCCACCAATCTGCCACAGATAAACCTGCTCGTCACGTTTGAGACACGAGGGACATGGATGTAGATACTCGAGTCGGGTTCCGGGTGCTAATGTGGGACAGTTTTATCAGATTTAGCTGGCAGGACCTGGCCTCTTCCATGATTTAAGGGGTTTGATTTTTAGAAAAACTTGATTGTGGAAAAAGCGACATGCAACAAAAGACTCGCGTTTTTTGAAATTGAAGGGTCGATCGAAGGAATCAATTTCTCAAGGTTTGCGCTAGGTTGGAAAGGATGGAGATCGATGAGATGAGAACCTTGATTTTTTTGACTGAGGCTTGAGACTTGAGGCTTGAGGCTTTAGATGGTCAGGACCAGCAGACCTCGGAGTTCGGAAGGCAGCTGGTGGCACGGATCACTTTGTGGCGGGGTGGACGGCGACAACTGACAAGGAGATCTGAACTCCAGGTTCGAGGTCTTTCGACCTCTGAATAACTTCAATGTTCTGCAAGATTTTCAGACATTGAGAAACGCACAAAGTCAGAGAAGGCAGGTAGGTGATTTATTTTGGTCTATGTTTGGTGTACATGCTTTATTGTTTACTAATCCGGATTTAATGTCGGCTTGATTGAGAAGCTCGATTGCATCATCCGTAACCCCTCATAGCATTATCAATCAACGCGTTAGCAATTGCACCGTTTTAATAACTGCTCCTATCCAGCACATCTCGCTGTTTTCTTTAATCTACATACTCAGTCTCAATCTCCTCTCAATTCATGTCCAAACCTTCACAGCGTCTAACAGCAACAAATAACCATCTAAAATCAACAACGACCATGGCAGCAGCAAGTAACTTCTACAGCATCGTCGCCGGCGTGGGCGCTGGAACTGGTACGGTACCAATTTCGTAACTTTTTCACGGATGCTGACCACCATGCAGGCCGGTCCGTAGCCATCAAATTCGCCCAAACTTATCCCGTTGCCCTACTTGCCCGCAACCCTGCAAATTACGAATCCATTGTCAAAGAGATCAACGCTGCAGGCGGAAAGGCAATCGGCATATCAACCGACGTATCTTCCGAATCCTCCATCAAGAATGCATTTGCAGAGATACAGAAGGAGTTCAAGGGCAAGAACTTAGCAGCTGCCGTGTACAATGTTGGAGGGAAGTTTGTGAGGAAGCCGTTCTTGGAGTTGTCGTTGGAGGAATACGAGGCGGGGTATGAGGCCAATGGGTATGTTATTTCTGTCTAATCTCTCATCTCGTGACCTTTTGCTGAATTGTTTGTCTCTTCAGCAAAGGATTCTTCCTCTTCGCCCAGGCAGTTCTCCCAGGCCTTCTCTCCTCCGTACCTACTTCTCCTCATCCACCATCCCTCATCATCACCGGCGCAACTGCCTCCCTCCGTGGCAGCGCGAACATGTCCTCTTTCGCAAGCGGCAAGTTCGCATTGAGAGCTACAGGACAGAGTCTGGCTAGAGAGTTTGGTCCTCAGGGTGTACATGTGGCGCATGCGATTATAGATGGAGTAATTGATATCCCCAGGACGAAGGAATGGGCTGTAAATGGTGGTGTGGAGGATGGGAAGATCAGTGCCGATGCAATTGCGGACTCGTATTGGTATCTACATACACAGCCGAGGAGTCACTTCACGCAGGAGTTGGATGTTAGGCCATATATTGAGAAGTTTTAAATTTGTGTATTAATAGATGGCAAGAATGGATGAGCAGTGATTGAGTCGCTAAAAAATCATTACATATGTCTACGTGAATAGTGGAAGAGAAACTCGAGTCCGAAGAATAAGTCCAGGTCTTGAAAGTACTTACATTTCTCCAGGGAAGTGTTCAATATATGTAAGGGCATATCCCTCACCATCAAACTCTCATCATCAAGGACCAAGATCTAGAGACAGTCTGCAGGCGAGGAAGGCCGTCTTCCGAAGAATCCAACCTCTCGTTTCCTCTTGCGCTATTGTTTACCTCGAAAACCATGATTCCAGTAAAGGACGATTGACGCGGAGATAATTAGCGCATCCAGCAGATTCAGCTGAAGCACTTGAGCCCATCCCACGATCCTGTAAGTTAGTAGAGGCCAGCTCCCTCCCAAAGCAAAATGTATAGCAACGTAACCAACATATGCGTGCCCTGGTGGGCGACCGCTTGCTTCGGGAGGAACTCCCATGGAGCATTTCACAATTTGAACCAACGTGCAAGCACAGAGGATGTGAAATGGCCATAATTTTTGTCTTTGTTGTTCATTCCCTATGCCTAGCAGCACCAGCCAGCCAGTCAGCAGCCGAACTGATGTGCAAATAACAAATCCTGCCAAAGACGCCAATATGCCCAGGGTTTTCCATCCATCCGTACATTCGTTTATATGCCCACTCCATCTAGGCCTTTGCCTTGGTCTTCAACTTCTCCTTGATCTCGCGGCCGGCCTTGATGCGCTCCAGTATGTTCTCACGGTCCTTGTCGAGCTTCAACTTGGTGATGACGACCTTTGATGGGTGGACGCCGATTGGGACGGATTGTCCGGAGGACTTCTCGCGGACGACACGCTCGATGTGCACGATGTACTTGAGACGGTAGACGGAGGTGATCTTGCCCTCACGGCCCTTGTTGGATCCGCGAACGACGGTGACCTCGTCATCCTTTCTGATTGGGATGGAGCGGACCTGAGAGAGCTGTTAGGAGGGCCGGAGCAAGGCATTGCGCGAAAGGTTTACATACGTTGTACTTCTCACGGAGCTCCTTGCTGAGAGGTGCGCTCATGATGGTACGTCTGACGCTGGATGGGGCATCGTAATGAGCCTTGCGCGACTTTCTCCTTGAGGAGTGGAGGGCTGCAAATTGTCAGTTCAGGTCAGTGGATCGTCGATACAATTGCGCTGAGCGAAATTGGAAACGCAATCGTAAGACTTTGACGTACCGGAGTTGATCTTGGTCATCGTGGCGGTTGGTGATAAACGTTGGCGTTGTTGTCGTTGGTCGTTGAAAGGAGGAAATCTTTTGCTTCACCGCAAAATCCAGAATGTGGGAGCTGGGCGTTAGCGCAGACGATTTAGCGAGAAATCTTGGCGGTAAATTATCACGTGATGACTTCAATGTCGGAGGTGAATTTTGCGACATTTGGCGGGGTAGAAGTCAGCGAGGCCGAAACCTGAATGGAGGGGTCGTGCCTTCAAAAAAGTTGAAGTTGCCGACCCACGTGGGAGCTTCACTTGGACGTAGACTCTTTCTCTTTTTACTTACTGCTTCCCTTCACAGCTCATATTGCGTGATCTTCAGCTGCCATTTATTAGCCTTTTGACATACAAGTTCTTAAGTTGTCTTGTTGCTTCCTAACAAATTATCTCAAATGGCAGACCTCCCAACAACATATGATGGTAAGTCTCGAAAACGTCTTTCCTCGTACATTCCTAACTTCTGAACAGGAATCGTCCAGATAGCAGTGATCGGTGGAACTGGGCTCCAGAAGCTCGAAGGCTACACTCCAGTCGCAACAGTCAATCCCGAGACACCATGGGGATTCCCTTCCGCACCCATTCACATCCTCCAACATAACAACGTCCCAGTAGCCTTCCTCTCCCGCCACGGCGCATCCCACGAGTATGCACCACATGAAGTACCGAACCGGGCGAATATTGCGGCTTTGAGAAGCATTGGAGTTAGAACTGTTATTGCGTTCAGTGCTGTGGGAAGTCTGCAGGAGGAGATTAGACCAAGGGACTTCGTTGTTCCAGATCAGGTCATTGATCGTACAAAGGGTAATTTATTGTGATGAATAAGTACTGCATATAGAATCCTGATTGGATGTGGCAGGAGTTAGACCCTTTACCTTCTTCGAGAAGGGTGTAGTTGGACATGTTGGCTTTGCAGACCCATTCGATGGTCAGATCGCGAAGGTAATTCTCCCTCGCTGGGTGGCATGAAGCAGATACTAATTGCTCTTGCAGGTCATTCAGAAATGCGGAAATGCTTTGGAAGGAGAAGGGATCAGATTGCACGACAAAGGAACCATCATTTGCATGGGTACGTTACTCAATACCTTGCGAGTTAACAATTCTAACAGACCTCCTTTAACAGAAGGACCTCAATTCTCCACTCGCGCCGAATCCAACATGTACCGCTCCTGGGGTGGCTCCGTAATCAACATGTCCGCCCTCCCAGAAGCCAAGCTTGCCCGTGAAGCCGAGATGGTCTACCAGATGATCTGTATGGCAACCGACTATGATTGCTGGCACAGCACCGAAGACGTTGACGTCGCAATGGTCATGGGACATATGGCTGCAAATGGCGGTAACGCCAAGAGATTGGTTGGTGCAGTCTTGGATGAGTTGATCAAGGACGAGCACAAGGATTTGGTGAAAGGGACACACTGGGAGGGATCTACAACCGGCATGATTCAGTTCATGACCAAGGCCGAGGGGAGAGGTGCTGAAGGCGTGAAGAATGTTGAATTTTTATTTCCGGGGGTATTTAGCTCGTAGGTCTGAGGATCTGGAGGAGAGTGGAGATGACTATATAGATATCTGTTCATTATCGCGTGCATATCACCGACGAAAAACACTCGTCGGAGCTTCTATAAGAAGAAAATAGCATTCAATCTATCGTGGATTTCAACATCTATTGGACGGATATTCTGAAAAGTGCAGCAAGCGGCACTCATGACTTTGTGGTAGACATTCTGTGCCTCCAAACCTCGCCTTTTGAATTCCCGACGAACCTACACTACTTCCACGGAGGCACGCAGCACTCTGTGCAGTCACTATGGCAATTTATAATTCTGAATCTGGATTCAAAAGACAAATTTCGGTTGTTGACTCTATATTCCCTGCTAGTAAGAAGATACTTTTGTGAATAGGTCCTATAACGAATTAACATCGTGATGCAGGCAATCGAAAGAACTTGGCACGGCTGTAAGTAAAGAGTGGCTCAAGCAGCTAAAATATCTTCATTCGACTCACGACAGACTTAGGCTGCGGGCAAGCATTCTACGGCCGAGTTCCCTAAGGTAAAACTGAACACTTACTGAGGAGCGCCCTCGATCCTGATCGTATCCTGGATCACAAGCCAACGAATATTCTCACCAGAAGTTCATCGGCAGACGACATGTGCTTGAAACACAACTTACGAGAATGGAATCACAATTGTTACTCAGTTCCACACGCTTTTTATTTTTAACTTTTTTTTTGTATTTTCTCTCCTCTTGATTAGAAACTACATATCATCAAAAACTCCCAAAGCCCATAGAAACAATACAGCCTCTCCACTCTCTCCGTAAGGCGCCCGATTACTGACTGTCAGAAGACTGAAACAATGACTCCGTACTCCACCATCTAGAAGCCAACTCCATACGCAGAGAACAAACATGCTGCAAAAGACCACCCCGTTTCGTACATGTATGCTAGTTGGAGATTGAGTGTGTTCATGCAAAAAAGTGACTGATGGCAAACGAAACAAAGGAAAAAAGCGGCGAAGATGTTGGTGTGGTGGCTGGGCGTCGCAGAGTGTATTATGAGGTGTGATGATGAGGCTGAGTGACGGTTGAAAACAAGTTGTGGATATTGAAGGGCGATGTCTTGCTAAGGCGATGCTTGTTTTTCCAAGTCAGAGGTCTGAACAGCTGTTCAGTGACTCCTTTCCACCATTCGTGGAGTTGAATCGAGCCATTTAGTGTTGGACACCGTTAGGACCCTTCCCATTAACCTTCTTGACCTCAGCGACCTGGCCCTCGCCCTCACCGATTTGAGTAGCGAGCTTGCCGAATTGCCACTCAGGCATGGTAACACCAGTCTGCTCGTGGATAGTTGACATAAGCGGAGGAAGCATCTGGTACATGTTTCGGATACTGTTGATACCACCCTGGCCGTTCTCGCCCTCTCCTCCAGCTTGGTTGCCCGTATTCCAGATTGTCATCTTGGGGTTGAGACCACGGACAGCATCGGCATTGGCCTGGGCAAGCTCTTGGTAGACACCCTTCTCGATCATCATGTATTGGATCAGACCAGCTGGGCCACCGAAAGCAGCAGACAGATCGGAGTAGGCGCCTGCCATGGCGGATAAACCGGCAGCCTCGCGTTGTTGACGGATGAGGTTGGCTTCGGCGTCTTTGGCAGCGGCGTGGAAACGGGCTTCGGCCTCGACTTTCATCTTGTAGGCGTGAGCGTCGGCAGCCTTTTGCTCAGAGTAGAAGGCTAGACAATGTTAACTTTTTCGTATCTGAGGTCGGTAACTTGGACTTAATACGTACCTGCGTTGGCTCTGTTCTGCTCAGCGTACGCATGGGAGTCTGCGGTCTTCTGTTGGGTGTAGAATGCTAGGAAGAGTTAGCTCATGTAGAGATACGCAGACGAGGCTATGGTAACATACCGGCATTGGAGCGGGCTTGTTCCTCGTAGTTACTAGCATCAGCAGCCTGTTGCTTGGATTCTCTGAGAATGGTAGCCTTGACGACATCGCTTGCTCTCAGTCTTTCCAACTCTGTCTGAGCGCGCTTGACTTCAACCTCTCTGCGGAGCTCCTCATCACGGACTTCAGTGGCACGAGTAGCCTCAATTTGGGCGAGATTGACGTCCTTGTTGAAGTTCGTTTTGCGGGTGGCAAGAGTGGCTTCAGCTCGGGCTCTCTCACTGTCTCGCTCAGTCTTTTGGACGGCTGTCTCGGCATTGATCTTGGCAATTTCACGGTTCTGCTCTCCCTGGCGTTGGGCTTCACCGACTGTACCAAGTCTTTGTGCTTCTGCGACATCGACACGAGCCTTTATAACATGTAAGCAATCGAAATTTAGAAATTGGGGAAGGAGCTGACCTGGTTGATAGCACCTTCGTGTGCCTTTCGTGAGAGAGACTCAAAGTAGCTGGACTGAGGAGCGTCACGCAATTCCTTGACGTTCGCGTTGTAGATCTTGAGTCCAAACTGGCTGAGTTCTCCTTGGATATTCTTGAAGATTCTCTTCTTGAAATCTTCGCGCTGAGTGAAGATTTCCTCCATTGTCATGGCACCTACACATGGTTAGATAACTATTATTATGGTCGTGGAGTCGGCTACTTACTGACGAGCACTCGCGTTTCACCCTCGATGATTCCTTTGATGATGTTCTCCAGATGCTGCTTTGGACTGCCGCCTCCATTGCCTTTTGCTTCGGCGTCGGCCAAAAGCATGACATACTTCTTGAGTGCATCACCTTGGTCCTCTGGAGCATCCTCGATGTTGACACCATCGACTGGGGTTTGTCCGGCAACTCCTCCACGTGCATTGACATCAGGACCAACCGTGAAGACGACGGGGAGCAAGAACTGCAGCTTTTCTCTGTTGCCGGTTAATCTGAGATCAGAGTGTTGTGCCACACCAAGAATATAGAAGAAGAAAGCTTACTTTGTCATAGCCTGGAGGTTGATGGAGTAGTCATGTGGTTGAATGCTGAAACGTTTGCACTGTCTTAATCAGTATTGTGATGAAGTCCAAAGATATAGCAACTTCTCTTACTTTCTGGAAAGGCAAAACCCACGAGGACTTGACAATCCTCATGGTCTTCACCCCCGCGCCAGTGATGGCAAGGTACTCATCGGGAGATGCGATTTGGTAGGAGACCATTGTGACTGATATTTATGTGTTCGACCTTGGTAGGGTAGACTGTGTGTCGGTGAAATGGTTGTTGTTGGAGTTGATGATTTGGAAGAACACTTGAGATTGAAGGATATCGAGAAGCCTTAAGTACTTGATGCCTCTTTGACTAGATATGACTGAGTGTCCTTTGATTGAGCTAAGCCTACTAGGTTGTCAGCCAACCCGGGGAGTGGGTATCAGGTGACTCTAACTATCTCAATCAAGCGTGGGCGGATGGTTTCTGACTGATTGTAGTGCTTGGCGGGGTTCCAAGAAGCTTGTTACTTTGGCTTGATTTTAATTGCGGACCACTGGAAGGATTCTAGAAGAACAAAAATCCACTTGTATGACGTGAATGAGAAATAAGAGCGAGAGTATGTGATTAGCTGCGAAGGGGACGATGGTAAGAGATATGATTGATACCAAGGTGTCAAAAAACAGCTCATATATGCTACAAACTTTGAGTTTGACTAGGCTGACTGCCTACAAGAATTGGGCAGTCGTATGGCCAAGTGCAGTGTCTAAAAATGCCGCATATGCTTTGTGAAGGATGAAGGCCTGACTGCCAGCATAGCAGGGCGCCTTCCAAACCCCTCTTCAATGGTGCTCAAAGAAACAAAGACCTGGATTGGGTGAGCATGCCACGTTCTCAAATTCTTGATCGGTTGTCAGCCTTGCCAGCCGGTACCAAGCTAGATCCTCCAGCACTGCCCGAGCAAGCAGGCAAACTCAGAACAAATGGGATGCCACCGTGTTCCGAATACCCGCATCAAGCTCGGATGGTTACATGGAGCTGTCCGATATCGCCTCAATACTTCGGCAGGTGGTAGGCAATGCATGGTGGTGAGCCCGAATAGCTGAGGCCTTTGTTGACTAAAAGGGAGGAATTCACGTCGTGGGTCAGTCGGAGGGCTGAGGATCCCCCTGGCGTCTCGCTTAGCGTCTCGTGACCTTCAATCTGACCTCCAAGACGGGCCCCGGCATGTTCTAGCGGCCTTCTAGAAGGCACAGACGGACCACTGCTTCCTAGGTAAAAGTTGCCCAAGACTTCACTTCCTCCATCATTGGTCCCCTCGGGTCCCCTCAACTCTGAACAAGCGAGACGGTGGCAGAGCAGAACCTCATGGTGGATCTTCCTAGTGAAAGACCGGGGCTTGGGCTTCCGAATAGCTCAGATCCTTGCTCAAGGCCTAGCTCAAGGCAACAAGCAATACTTGTTGCTTTACCCCTGCCTCTCTTTGTCCTTTCATATTTAGCAGTTTCATAGCCTCTCACAGCCTCTCTACCAGACACTTGCCGAGGTCTGAATTCCTGCCCTTTGTCTCGAAACCAGCAGCCGAATTGTTGCGGAGAGCCTTACTGGACAATCCTTCGACACCGAGTAACGGAGAGTTCCGATTTCTGTCGTCACTTTCCGTCTCTTCTCATCCGAAAGTTCTGCAACTTTGGTCGACCAACGGGATCCCAACTCCGTTGTCGAAATCCACTATCATTTCATTCAAGTATTCTTGAAACGTTCTAGAACTCAACCTCGAATCTCCAGAAGAACACCAGACGTCACAGAAGAACATTCCACGGTTCTTCTGGTTCTGGGCTGATTCATTGGCGGTGATCTAAAATTATCGGGGGGCTATTGAGCTCACGAACCGTCACTGACGGCAAGAGCGTATACAATCACACTTGTACGGTCGTCGTTCCTAGGAAGCTCGACTCCGTACTTGGCAGGGCTTCAGCTCTAGCAAAACCTCCATAAGACCGACCAACAGTCCATCAGAATGGACTCCAAGAGTACAGTTCCAGCATACACTCAGGAAGAAGAAGCTGGCCCTCCTTCCTACGACGACACAATATCCAGCTTTCACCCTACATCAGCCTCATCTACATCACAATACTATTCGAGTCAAATTCAGTCTCAACTCCGGACACTCAACACACAGATCTCCTCTATCCAAACACAAAGGGACATCCTCTCACATGCGCATGAAGAGAAGATTCTCTCCCTGTTAACCCACCACATCCAGCTCTACATCTCTGACTTCGCCAATACAGGCCTCTCAAAAGGAAGCCTCATCCTCGTCCCAGCAAAGGCAATACAAGACCCCAAGGCCACACCTACGGACTACGATTTCAGTGAGCCATCAGAATACGACCGAGTCGTTAAAGTCACCGATAAGGAATGCGACAGTTATGGCACTGATGATTTATGGTACTGGGAAGATGAAGATATGGCCAAGCGATTGGTGGAGTATCTGCGACCTCCCCCCAGCACGTTAGAGCTGCCGAAGAGAAAGGAGCAGGTGACACCACAGCCTCAGTCTAAAGGCTGGTCATTCTTTGGGAAGAAGAAAAGCGAGGAGAGGCCGCCTTTGATCGATGAGCCACGGAGTTCAAAAGGATATGCTGGTGCTAGAAGTCTGGGCAGGGAGGGTGAAGATCGAGTTGTTGTTGACGTGAAGGCTGAGGAGGTGGTCTTCAGGACAGAGAATGAGTACGGAATGTATGGTACCGAGAGGGGATGGGGGATCGTAGTGAAGTTGAGGATTGTCCTAGGTCGGAGATAGATGAATCTGATGAATCTCCACGGTTCGCAGACAAACAAAGATGAAATACTGGCATACAGACCTACATACTCCGAGAGCTTCACTTGTTCATTGCTTTAAGTCTATATAATTTGCGGCAAGGACGAAGGTGATTAGGATCGTAGGTGGTGGGCTGTTCCACAATTTGATTTGGGTGTCAACCCCATACAATATTGCCTACTTGGGACCACATATCGACGAAGGATTTTATAAAGTCGAAAGCTCTCCGAAACGTAATAAATGCCAACTTTGAGCATGTGAAGATTGCAAAAGGTCATGCTAGGATGCATGTATACAGGTGCAGTCTGCACGGTCGATTGTAAATTGCTGTGCTTAGTCAATCCATGATCCTTCACAACGCCCATCTACTACAAGGTAATTTAATCCCAGCGAGCATTTAATCATTCAATAGCAACCTTAATAAGCTTTTCTCTCTCGGAAAAGAATGTCCATCCGATCCATTTTCTTGTTTAGCGCTGACGTCCTTCGCTGACTCAGCGCAGCGGTGAAACTGCACTGCTTCACCTGCCACATCAACTCAGTCGTAGACTGGCTCTTGACGTGGCTGAAATTTCCGAGAAAAGTTTATCAGGTAAATGAATCTCTCAATGGCCCTTCTCGAGCTATAATATTCGACCAAAATTCCCTCCTAGTCCCCAGCCGCAAACGTCGCAATGGTCTCGACTTCTCTTGATTTGGGACCTATTCCAAACAGACAGCATAAGAAATCCAAGAATGGTTGTTTACAATGTAAACAGAGAAAAGTCAAGGTAGAACACTTATAGATCTCTTTTCAGAAAAGAGAATGAAAGGGCTTACGGCAGATAGTGCGATGAGAGGCGACCGCTTTGCCTAAACTGCTCCAAGCATTTCCGTAACATGGAAAAGTGTGATTTTGCTCCCCCAGCCAAAAAGTCCGTATCCTCTGGAGATTATGTGACTACCTCCCAGCCACGGAGTACCACGAGGAAACCCAAACAGGTGCGGAAAGGGGCATCTATCAACCTGTTTGGAAATCCGGGAGGCGGAGTGGATCCATTCAAATCTTGTGCTGGAAGCAACATTCCAAATGCCGAGCTTTTCATGCATCACTGTGTGTATTCTGCAGTCATGGTCCAATCTACAATCGCTGACTCAACTAGACTTCTCGAATTTTAAATCGAAGAACTTTCCAATGGCTCTGGGATATCAAGAGAAACCCTTTCAGCAGGTCAATAGATTCTTGGTCTCCATCTATATTCCCGGCTGATTGCTTCAGACATGGTGGTCAATGGCTGCAGATGACCCTGCTATGTTCAATGCAACTCTGCAACTGAGTGCATTTGATCTTGAAGTATTGCAAGGAAGCAAAGAAACACAGAGTTCGAAGCTGCTTCTCAATAAGGAATGTGAGTTGGAAATAGTAGTCTCCAGCCTTAATTGGCGAGTGTTGACTAACTCGCTTCCTCCAGGTATCAGTCTCCTCAGACAACGTGTTGAAGATCCAGTATTGGGAATTAGCGACGAGACTATCGGCTCAATTCTAGTCCTGACCATAGTTGAGGTATGTGTCGAGACGGCAAAAGTTTGATTGGAGCTCGAGTAACTTGGGAAGTCTAGTTCGAGAGAGGCAATTTGAGAATGGTGAAAATGCATGTTGAAGGCCTGAAGCGAATCGTCAGCATCAGAGGCGGTCTGGACGCTATTCGAGCTACGAATCCAGTACTGACAAACTTAATATTTGGGTATGCCGAAGTTAATCTACTCAGCATTGCAAGCGCTGACCTGTGCAGAATCACAATGACTGTCATGACCGAACCCCAGTTCTTCTCGCCTACCGCTTGGAAACCTCTCGAAGACATGCCAGATTACTCCAACACGAAGAGCTTATTCCACTATGAAAACGGAGGTGTATCATCAACACTTGCATGTGCCATCCGGGAGCTGAGGATTATGACCAACAACTTCTCGAACCCACAGTGTATCGGGTGGCCTGCGAGACCAACACCGACGCTGTGCTCGAACATTTTAATTCGCCTGCTTTCCATACCAATCCCGCAAGACCAGGGACCACTTGTATCTTGTGTATCTGAGTGTATAAGACTCGCTACTGTTATGCTATGCTTCTTGCCTTTTCAACATGACTATCCCAGTCCTGAGTAAGTTGTTTTCATTAGTCTTCCAGTCCAGCCCAGCCACTTCACCATGTCTGCCTCTTCACTTTCTTAAGGACTTCCCAGTATGTGAAGTCGTGGACAATTCGTAACTTTAGCAGCCAGTTGTGGATCTCCAAATTTGATTTGTGCCTCGCGATTCCCAATCTTGCTCTGTCGACTAAAATAATGCCGCTAACAGCTCTAGCCTTATGTTCAACGTCCAACTCCACAAGCTCAAAGCCAACCTCGAAATAATGCTTGACATCGGTTCCTCAAGTCATCCCCTCCTGCCATGGATACTCATGTCTGGAGGAATATTCGCGCAGGAGCCCGAGCGAGGATGGTTCATAGGCCAGCTCCTGTCCGCTTCATCGGACTTGGGAATATACTCGTGGGGAGAGATGTTAAAGTACTTGATGAGTGTCATTTATATCGAGTACTTCTGCGAGATTCCTTTTCGACAGCTTTGGGATGAGGTACTGCAAAAGAGGTCGGAGCTGGACTTGGTCGATCTCGATCCTTGGTAGGATAGCTGGAATAGATAAACATGAACAGCGAGGGGCGTTCTCTGGTGCAAATCTCTGGTACGCTTGCGCCGCGATAGAGTGATGTCCCTTTTCTGAAGTCTAATAAAACATTGGACATCGAAAAAGAAACGGTATTGGCTTCGAACTATAAATACATTTATAGCTCTATCCCAGAATTATCGAGGTAGCTAATACCTTGTTGTTATTCGTGCGGTGCACATAAAAGTCTAGCGCCGAGATGGGTTATTCGCAACAGAACTCCCCGTTTGAGGAGCATAAATTCTCCAGTGTCTTAACAGCCTCTTACTCCGGCCAGACAATAGCACAACTTTCCGTCACGAGACACAGATAGCACCACGTGCAATGTTTTGATGTTTTGATTTCGAAGCGACGGCTAAACCTCGAGGCGAGTCGGGATGTCAAATCGCATACTCCCTAGGTATTTACCACGTTGGCTGGGCTTAAAATCTCAAGCTGTCAATGTACTGAAATCAGAATTCGACTTCGAAATTACTTTGGTGAGCTTTTTGTATTTTCATCATCGATATGCTGGGCTCACTGTGTCCTGTCACGTGCGGATGGTTTCTGGTGGCCTGGATCATTTGTGATTAGTCTTCGTGATAATACGAGTGTAGGAATGTCAGTGATTCAATATCTGACATTTGAATCACTCCAGTACGCTTTTGCAACATTCGTTGTCGATGTAGCTGGACCATGTTGTTTCTTTAGCACCTGCCACGTGACATGAGCTGAATGGCGAATTGGATCAGACTGGGCTGGACTTCCATTTTTTTTTTGAGCAGAGTCAGTATAATGTATACTAAATGAAAAAATGAATTTACATAAGCCTTTTCAAGTTTAATTGTTGAAACTTCAAGAACCCGAAGTCATTGTTGCCACAAGCCAATCAGCCTAAGGCATGGAACGAGGCTGAGAAAATAAAGTATCCGTTGCAACTACAGAGAATTATAGTCTTCAACAAGGTGAACAACCACTCGCTCCGACACATAACACAGCTCCGATGGCATCTAGACCAGCCATACGGCCATTCCTACAGGCTGCAAAGCCTCAATTTCGGCCGTCACAACTCAATCGGTGTCTTTCGAACAGCACACGGAGAGCAGACTCGCCATCGCAACCACAGTCTACGAACAAGGGAAAGACCACACACTTCGGGTTCGAAACCGTCGCAGAGGCAGAGAAAGAAGCTAGAGGTAGAATACCGACTTTACGATATAGTGCTGAGTTGAGCTGTACTGATTGGGGTACACTGTAGTGGCGGGAGTCTTCAGCAATGTCGCAGCCTCGTACGATACGATGAATGACTTCATGTCTCTTGGGATACACCGGTTATGGAAGTATGTCGCAGAATCTTTTGTTTTCGTCGACTCTCCTGCTAGAAGATCTTAATGAAGTATGTTCTAACCAAATCAACAGAGACCACTTCGTCCGCGGCCTCAACCCGGGCTCCTCGTCAACCAGTCCCTCACCCGGCTGGAAAATGCTCGATATCGCAGGCGGAACAGGAGACATCGCGTTCAGGCTCCTCGATCACGCAACGAACATTAATAATTCCCCTCAATCTACCATCACCATCTCCGACATCAATCCATCAATGCTTGCCGAGGGCAAGAAACGCTCCTTGAAGACTGAATACGCCAATTCTCCTCGATTATCATGGCTTGTAGCTAATGCCGAACATCTCGATGAGGTAGAGAGTGACAGTATTGATTTATATACCGTGGCGTTTGGAATAAGGAATTTTACGGACAAGGATCGTGCACTGAGGGAGGCGTATAGAGTATTAAAGCCGGGTGGAGTGTTTGCATGCTTAGAATTCAGCGGGGTTACGAATCCGCTGTTTGATGCAGTCTACAAGAGGTGGAGTTTTGGTGCTATTCCGTTGATTGGGCAGCTAGTTGCTGGGGATAGGGCGAGCTATCAGTACTTGGTCGAGAGTATTGAGAAGTTCCCCAAGCAAGAGGAGTTTAGGGATATGATCAAGGCCGCGGGTTTTGTTGTGCCTGGGAAAGGATGGGAAGATCTGACTGGTGGCATTGCAGCGATTCACAAGGGAATCAAACCAGTCCAGAAGTTGTAAGCATACCAGTGTATCATATGTATCATAGGCAAACCTAAGGAAGTGAAGTTCCCATAATTATTTGACTCGAGTACAAAGATTTGTTGTATTTTCTATGTTATAACACCATCGTATCACCAGCGATGTTCTGTCTTCTGCCAGAACTAGAATACACGCAACGCTATTTGAGAGCAAATCAATGATGCAATGAAGAGGTCAGAGTACATAAGAGCTGGAAAAGCCATCATCGCCTCCCCACTTCGAAGCATAAGCTGATTAACTCCGCCTCCAGCCCTAATCGCAGATAGCCCTTGCAGAAGCCAAAAGACCGAGTGACCGATCGATATCCTCGGCTCACAAAGGGTGACCATTAGGAAGATGTACTAGAAAGGGAACTTTTGGTTGAAAGCAAGGGAATCTGGCGTCGAAGAAAGAATATAACTGATTAAGCATCGCCACCAGTAGCTGGAGTCGCGGGAGATGGCGCTGGCGAAGAAGAATCGTTCTTGAATCCACGGCCTCGTCCGCGTCCCCGTCCCTCACCTCGAGTACCTCTTGGTGCACCACGTCCTCCGCGGCCACCTCGTCCGCCTTCACTATCACTGGCTCCGCCACTTCTGTAACCGCCTTGAGGGTTGCCAGTATTGGTTCCGCCCCGGCTGCTTCCCCAATTTCCAGCTCCACCACGGGTACCCGTGAAAGGCTTGCTGTTGTTGTTCTCACGTGGTTGAAAGATCTTAACCAATGGACGACTTCTGTCTTCCCCAGTCCGAGACTTGACGTCCTCTGGTAGGCTTGCGAGAACTGCATCTCTTTCCTCCAAAGTCTTGAAGTGGGCAACCTTGTTGGATTGACCCCATTTCTCAATCTTAAGGATCTTCTCCTTGTCCTCCTCCTTGAACAACTCTCGAACAGCTTCATCCGAGGTCACGTTCATGATGAAAAGACCAATGATAGGATCGCTAGCTGGCTTTGCAACTGGCGAGGTAGCCTCATTAGAGTTTCCATTGGTATTTTGAGTCTTTTCATTCTCTTTCTTATCACTTGGTCCTGGAAGGTTGACCACATTTGTCTGCGGTTGAGGAGTCGCTGGCTTTTGCTGGGGAGCTGGGGAGTCTGGCTTGATGTCAGGGACAGCTGGTCCTCTTGGTGGTTGCTGCGCACCTCGTTGGTTGTATGATACTTGCGGTTGAGTGGGTGGGGGTCTTTGAGCTGGTCCAGTTGGTGGGGCAGCAGCTGCAACCGCGTGGCTCGCACCGGGAGTTCCAGAGCCTGTTGCCGGAGCTTGAGGCTGGCCGGACTGCTGTTGAACGGGATGTTGCTTCGCTCCTCTATGTGCGAAGTTGAACCCCTGGGCTCTCATCTCCGTACCAATGCGACCATCCTGAACCTCAAGAACCAACCATCCGAATGCAGCGTCTGCCAAGTTAAAATTCCACATGTTCTTGAACGCACTCTCGTCAACTTGTCCAACACCAGCAGCATTGGGTCCTCCGACTGGGCCGCCAAATGGATTTCCTCCAAGAGCAGTGCTTGGCATTTTGTCAACTATTCCAAGAGCATTTTGCAGCAGGTTTTGCTGAGCCTCATTTTGCGAGATTGCCGGCTGTACCTCACTCTTAACCGTTTCCCATACATCGTTGAAAGATGCTTTCGAAGCAGCAAGTTTTCCGCGGTAGTGGTCCAAGGTAGGATTAACGCTGAACTCGTTATACGAGCTTCCATAGCGAAAATGAAGACCTGCAGATATCGAGAAGTCGGCTTTCAGCGTAACAGAAAGTTGGTTCAGGATGCCTTCACGAGCAGGGGAGGCGTGTGTGATGAAAATGCGAGTTTCTGTAGGATCGTATACGCGATTCGCAGTGTCTACCAGTTCGCCCATCTGCAAAAGAGTCGTCCACATAGTACCCTGTCCTCCTGCAATGGTTGTTCGTCCCTCGCCGTTATCGAACAGCTTGTGCATCACAACAGCTCCACCAAGACCAAGGAGTCGCAGCTTGACGCCGCCAATCTCTAGCAGCATTGAGCGTGCCTCATCAATAATGTGTAGCTTGTCGACCTTGTACTCGCCGGATCTGAACTTTTCTAATACTCTGACATCTTCGCAAGCACCCCAGACTGTGTATACTGGAACATCGAGCTTCAGGCTGCCGTCAAGAAATTGTGGAAGCTCGGAGAGCGGCAGATCCTGGGGACTGAATCTTTGCTTGACAGGTCCTCCCGGAGTTCCAATAGCCTTCTTTACGTTCTCTGAAATGAGCGGAGAGTATTGCGCGACGTGCTTTAGGGTCCTGAAAATATCGGATTAGCACGTGGCCAGGATTGAAGTATGGGTCCAGCGTTTCTATCTCACTTTTCAGCAATACGGTCCAGCGATGTGCCATCATAGAAACCAAAATCTCCAGTGTGAATAATGTGGTCTGCGCGTGCTTGCTTTGCGAGTTCGTTGAGAGATCGAAGGTTTCCTGCTCCTTGTCAGCTTTGTACAGTGACAAAGATTTCAGCTTCATGCTTACCCCGAACATCTGCTACGCACAACACTCGAACTCCGCCAGTCTGAATCACACGTCCATTGTTTGGCAGTAAAGGCGCAGCTCCCGGAGGTAGTCCCGTATGTCCTGCGCCGCCGTTTGGAAGGTAGCCTTGGTTGTTGTAAGGGTGAGGGCGTTGCTGTAAAAACATGGCAAAGTTAGCTTTGAAAATATAATGAGCGCGCAGATTCGTCGGAATGTCAGTAGATCTGTAGGTGCGTGAAGAGTTGATAACTCCGTGATAGACTTGTGGTTTGTGGGAGGTTGAAGCTGTAGAAGGAGCTGGGGGCAACATACAGAGGCCATACTTGACGGAGACGGTCAAGGAGGGGAGTGCAGAGTGGTATCGAATAAGAAATTAGAGCGCGCTCAAACAAAGAGGTGACGACTGCTTGTGAGGAGGTTCGCGGAGTGAGGTGGGAAGAGAGGTTGACGGCGAATTTGATGTTTTTGAGAACGGAGCCAAATCAGTCGCGGTTGCCAGATTCAGAGAGCTTGAAACCGCCAGAAACGGACAAGGCTAGCAAGGCTGGGCCTTTTATTGGTTCGCTTGCTGCACTAATAGTCACAGCCGACTGCTGACTGCACCCCTGTGCAATTACTTCCCCTTTTCTCTTTCGTGAGAGCATTTGCCAGGAAGATAACACAGCTTCTCTCAAGCCATCATTTATCAGGACGATGCCGACTATGTGGAGTTGTTGAATCCTTCTTGTTCACAGAGTGTCGTCCCTTGATGTGTCTAACTTCAGCTTCGCTCGGTGCATCGTTTATGCAGGTACCAGAAGTCAATACCCCTATTCAATATACTAACCAATTGATATGTTGCCATACCTCCCTCCATTTCAATCATTAATACCTTCCAGTAAGTCCTGGAAGGCATATGACAGCATACTCAGGGTGCGTTTCTGACCAACTGTCAGCTGCTCGCTCGCTCATTTTACTTCTTGGCAAGTGCCAGTATCCTTAGAATGGCCGAAAGGGACAATTCTCCATGCTACAGCCGAAACTGAAGCATCTTCGAAAAGCTCCAATCACAATATTCTTAGAAATACTGTGACTATCGCAGATGGCCGCGACTCAAGGCACAGACCTGACCATTGTTTTACCTCGCAGCCTCCTGCATAACCCATCGATGAAACAGAGTCTTTGCCAAGGACAATGAGATACTACACATCCAGTGACTCGTATACTTGGCTGTGGATTTTGATATCATAAATCAAAGGAGACGGACTCAAACTCTATGTCAGGATTGGAAGGGCGTAAAACAGAACGAAGCACCTTGTAGGACGTGTGGTAAAGTTCTCGCCTCGCTAGTGCCGCTGGTCTGGACCAGGTGGAAGTATTGCCATTATATAGCTGACCAGAGTGGCTGTCACAGCTCTTCTTTTGATATTCTGGAGGCTCCTCGGTGGATTGTGGAGGTCTGGTGCCAGATTTTAGTCGATTAGTGATTATCGTGAAGATCACTATGTTAAAATATGGACGACAGATCTTACTGACATAGTATATCTACAAAATGGACGATATTTTCTTTCTATTGGAACCATTCTGTCAGGCGATGGGTTTTAATACATCCAAGTTTGTAGAGAATTCCGCATGGCTGAAGGGGCTAGTAATAGTCTGAAAAGCTATATTATGAGGGGTGGATTTGGTTAAGCGAATTCGCAATGTCAACAATGTTTGTCTTACGTCCTCGACGTCGTACCTTCTTGAACCACTGTATATAGATAAGTCTGAAAATATTTGGCAAGTCATAAAATCAGACCAATATTTCTAGAGGTGTGTCTTCATGTGGTGCACTGCGGAAGTTAGAATATCTTAGAGTGGATGAGGAATAAACATGATACGATGCCTCGCCCACGAAGTAATAAGCTTTTAATACTGTACCGACAAGGATGGCATAGCTGTGTAGTAAGTCACGACCTATACTCATACAGATCTATTGATCTCTATCGCAAGATTTGATGACAAGAGCGCATTCCTTTGTCTCGTATTTCGTGACAGCACCACGTGGATGAAGGTTTTCCTATCAGATCCTTGATGCTGACAACATGACAGATGCTGCTTTAAATCATCTAGCTTTTCAATGACATTGAGACTTCAGGCGATAACTTTAGACTCGAGTACCTCTGTCTATTAGTAGCGCTTGAAAGTGAACTCCTTTCCAATTGTCAGGGGTCGTGCGACTCTAAGTAGATTTCAACAACATCATTCACCACATTCGTGTGTTTCGCGCCATCAGATCCTGTGAATATCTCATCCACGTTCATCTGTCACAGAACACGACTTCCATCCATAACTCCTCACTACCGTTTCCAAGTCGAAAACATCTGCATCTGCATCGAATTTGCTCATCACAAGCTTGGTTAAACTCCACGGTCAGGATTCCTCTCCTCACCTTCAGCATCTCTCAACTACTTCACGCTGATTTGATTCTTCCACTGCCTTCACCAGACTCAGGAGTCTCGATCTCGGTCTCTACCTCAATACGCTGTACCTGTTTCCAGAGGAGGCGACTGAAACCCTCGTCTTCTGAACGCTTTCATACCTCGCAAGGCCCAATCTCTAAGGATTCCAAGAGTGAACTCAGCGACTTTCACGAACCCTGCTGAAACAGCCTCTGTGGTGACCATGGCTTCTCCATCGACCCGAGCAAGTCTTAAGGCAGTCAAGAGGAGGGCGCCATTGGATAGAAGTAAGCACGCCATTGCTTCATCGCCTGTTCCATCTGATAGCTAACATTCAATAGAGCCTCCCTCTCGGAGATTGTCCACATCAGAGTCGGTCCAGAGCTGAAGGACTTTGGAGTACACAAGGACCTCATCTACCACTACTCTCCGTACTTCAAAGCTGTATTCAATTCAGGATTTGAAGAGACCAAGACAGGTGTCATGAACCTTGCAGAGACCGGTGTCAAGCCATTCGAGTTGTTCGTGAGCTGGCTCTATACCCAGTCTGTGTGGAACAACAGTGATCACGAGGAGACCTGGCCAGATATTGATGATCTTGTGAAGCTATACATCCTTGCCGACATGGCTCAAGTTCCATCGCTCATGAACCAGACTCTGGATGCAATGCAAGATATTAGCGACCTGAAGACAGATTTCCCTTCGGTCGGTGTATTGGCGTTCATTTGGAACTATACACTGGACACAAGTCAACTGCGTCGTCTCGTTATCGACTGGATTGTTTGGAATGTGGATGAATTCTCGATTTATGCGGACTGGGTCAGTGAACTTCCGAACAACTGCATTCTCGAAGTCCTCAAAGCCGCAGGGAAAATCACGAAGCGGTACAGGCAAACAGATGAAGGCTATAATGCCAATCCATTACTGACAATGACCAACTACCATGTTCCTGAGAACGCAGGGAAAGACTCGTCATAGTACAGAGCCGGTAAGCTAAGCAGGCTGCGAAACCTCTCAAATGGAAAAAAGGCCGATATCATGCTTACAGGAATGCGTCTTACCCTTCGGTAAATGGCTGAAACTGTTAGATGCCAATGCGTTTGTGTCGTTCTGCGGTGCAACAGGAGGCATTGGATCTGGCACTGAAGCTGGCATGCGTCTAAGATATGGGAAAGTGAGATTGAGAAGATTGCAAGCCAATCGATCTGCGGATCACCATGCCATACAAATTACGAGCATGTGCGAATTGAGATTTCCCTTGGAAGGACTAGCAGGCTAGGGCTACAATGGAGAATTCTCATCAGTCTAACAATGCGTGCCAGGATTGGTGTTTAAAAGAAAGTCTATGCTGATTAACCCCCCGTGACTGAAAGCCGTGAAGTTGCCCAAAATTTGCTAAAACACTGTACCAACTACGAATCAAAAAGACATTGAAGAAATTCGTGATGAGAAGGGAGGGGTATCATTGATTAACAATTATAATAAGCATATCAACCACACTGAACGCACCGCGTAGTCTCATCCTAGCCACTTCAAGCTCTCAAACATCATGGGAACTCAATTTGCATTCGTCGTCCTCTTCCAAATCATCCCTGCGGCAAGTAAGGCACAAGCCGTCGCCCCCAACGCAATATATACACCCGTCCTATCCGGAGCCTCCTCCTCGCTCTTCGGAAACGCTGAACTAGGATTCGTAGCCGCTTCCGCCAGCGTAATGAAAAGCTCACTGATACTGTTCCACGTAACGCTCACATGTAGCGGCGCACTCATATTCAGCGTCGATGTATACTCATCCGGCTGAGTCTCCGAGCGCTGGGTTGTCTTGTCCTGATCTGCTTTCAGTGCTGTGTAGATAGCCGGTAGGTCATCCAGCTGCGGATATTTTGCTCTCAAAGAAACAATGTGCGAGAATGAGTCGGGGTCGGATGAGTCGTATGTGTAACAGATCAAGTCACATGCGTCGAGCTTAGCTTGATTTTCTAGGATGGCGGGCTCGAGTTCTCCAAGCTCTTCGAGGATCAAGTAGCATTGCTTGCCGCCTTGGAGCTCGACACTATTGACTGCTGTGCGAGGCTTGATGGTGGGTCGGTAGAGGGAGTCGAAGGGTCTGTTGAGGAAGGCATCTAGGAGGGACGATTTGCCTGATGAGGGGGCACCGACTACGTAGCAGAGGACGACATTTCTCTCGACCCGACCTGTTCGCCGTCTTCGCTTGCGAGATTTGGTAATTTTGAGGGCGGACGTTGTGGAAAGGCGAGGACCTCCTGTTGGCTCGAAGCCAAGATATGCCAGGTAGGAGAGCGTGGTGCTTGGTGAAACAAATGTTGTCATGGACCACTGGGCAAGCCAGCCTTGGAGAGTGATATGACCTGCTTCGTTCCGTACAGTGGAAGATGGAAACGAGGTTTCCAGCCAAAAAGAGGGCAAACCGGGAGTTGGCGCAAATAGAGCATCGAGCTCCGAATTGTTCAACCCGCCATCGTTGTCCTTGTCGAATAGTAAGAACAGATCCACGAAAAATCGATAACCAGCCGGGCTTAGTTCTGCAGAGGAATACTCTGGAATCTCAAATTTTGGATGCAAAAAGCTGTCCTTCAAACTCAGGCTGTCCGTATATTGGAACTTCCGCAATATGATCCATATGGTCTCATGTCTCCCTTTCTCTGCAAATATCTTGTTGAGCTGGATAAACCCCTTTTGTTCAATTCCTCTATCAACATCAGAGCCCGGTGATGATTTACTGATAGATAGTTTGATATTATCTAGATCCTCGGCCGACAATGGCTTCTCGAAACATTTGGCTTGGAAGTCATTCATCTCCTGGTCGTTCAAGTATCCATCTTGGTCCTTATCGCAAAGGTAAAATATCCTCTTCAGAGCAGCTACTGCTGCTGGCTTCAGGTTCCCTTCCTTGGAATCGAATAGCGGTGCAATGGGATGCGTGACAGCTTTCTGGCATAGGAAGAAGACTTCGTTCACGTTGTGATGTTCCCTTGCGCTCGTCCGTATACAGGAGTCAATCTCCTTGAACTCTGCCATCACTGGGAGCATCTCATCTTCTACAACCTGCGCCGTGCTCCCATTCGTTGTCAGATCAGACTTGTTGGCACATAACACAACCGGTACATTGACTCCAAGGGAGCGAAAGTACGGCATCCAGAACAATGCCACCCGCTCATAGCTGTAGTGATCGGAGTATACCAGCAAAATAACATTCGACTTCCGGATCTCCTTTCGCAGAGTATTTCGTTCTTGGGGAAGGGCAGAGGTATCGACAATCGTAGTGGTGACGTTCTCGGGGGTTCCAATGCTGGGAGGTATAGTGATTTGAGGGAGGACAGACTGGATCTTGTTGGTGACGAAGACATCTTTGACCAGCGATGTGATGAGGCTACTCTTGCCAACGCTGTCATCGCCAACACAGACAATCCGGACTGTTGCCATCAGACGTCAGCTTGACATGCAAGGCATCTCTGAGGGGAAGGGATCGAACCTGCAGACATTATCGTGTTTCAGCCTTGTGAGCCGCGGCTACTTTATTGCTTCTCCATGCTTCGGATGGCGGGAGCCAGCTGTCGATAGATCCTCTGCGTGATGGTTCCCAAGCTGAATTGAAAGACAGCTCACACGGCGCTTACCTGGATTTGAAGCTTTGGGCCGCGGTTGATAGTTGATGATTCAGTGATCGTCCAAGTGTTCTGATAGGCACAAATGCACAACGTGGGAAATGGCCCAAACTGGCGCCAGAGCTTTCGGGATCCGGGCCTGAAATGCTCCGCTGTCAAGTCAAGACCACTCACTGGCCCAGCGGCGCTGCAGGCACCATCTAGCCACTCTAGGCTCTCCACTCGCCTCCACATTGGGGCAAGGCAAGACATCCATCCTTCAACGGTGCAGTTGCTCTCGACTTCCTCCGTCATTCTACCTCACTTCGCTCCCTTCCTCTACTCTCTTGCAGACTTCAGTTCTCAAATATTACGCATTTCTCCGGTTTCATATTTGCACAACCCCAGCACATATTACGGCTATATCCACTATTGTCTTATAGACAGCGTTCTCCATACTCTGTACCAACAAGCTTGCCCCGCACCACGCCAGTACCTTGCAGACGTCTCACTCAACACAGCATTGTTCTGGATATCTTCGATACAATTTAGAGCATTTTGCTTTTACTGAATTGCACAGTTATAGCTGGTCTGCGCTTGGCGGACGCTCAAAAACGCCATGTTGTAAGTGCCATGATACACCTGCCTTGCTGCTGTGCCTCCACTAATCAACCAGTGTACTCCCACCCCCACCCAGATATCCCTCAATCAATGCGTACAACGCAGCTGTTGCCAATGGAACTGCTCCAGCTCTTATTGAGACTAATAACATCCTGTCACACCCTACGGGACCCGAGTACCAGCTGGTTGTGGGTGAAGGTAGTGCCCGGCGCATTGAGTGTTGAGAGCCAAGCTAATAAAGACGACACAGGAACATACGTTCTAAAAGAAGATCTACACCTTGCGACACCGCCTCCGCATCCCTCAGAAGCCCCAATTATCAATCCGAATCCCCTTGCGACAACACCCCAACCTGCGACGGCTGGAACCAAGATATCTCTGCTTTCGTTCAGCTCCCGAAGTTCAGCTCCGCTTCTCTACAAGGTCGATACGAACAGAAGCACAAGGTCTGGGGGTTTATCTGGTAGCATCCAAGAGCATCCTGCCGAGGACCGAGTTTCTGGAGATAATGTTCCTGGTAGCAGTGATGGAGGCGGAACATCTGTCACTGGGAGTGCCAGGGCAACTCTCTCCATTGGTTCTGCTCCAGCATTCGGCGAAGGCAACTCCATGTTATCCGCAACAAGCAAAGATGCCGGAAAACGAAGGAAGCCCAAGAACAATATCGCCAAGAGTAACTCGTCGTTCATCTCAAGGTGCATTGTCAACGAGAATATGGGCAAGAGGGTACAGGAGAGGCCGGCGGATGGATACTTCGCTTTTGCCAATATCAATCGAGCTTTCCAATGGCTTGACTTGTCCTCACCTCAAAAGGTACATGTGACAAATTTCAGGATGCGGCCTGCACTAACTCGCCGAACAGGCTGATCATTTAACCAAGATTTTGTTCACCAAGGGTCATTGTCTCTGTCATGATATCAACCAAGTTACCAAAGCTCCAAACCATATGGATATCATAATGGGATTTTCAACAGGCGAAATTATCTGGTTCGAGCCAATTTCTCAGAAATACACACGCTTGAACAAGAATGTATGCTATTTAACGAAACCTTATTTTTCATTATGCTAATCCGACCTCAGGGGATCATTAATGCCACTCCTGTCTCGGAAATCCGTTGGATTCCTGGATCTGAAAACCTATTTCTTGCGGCACATATGGACGGCTCTCTAGTCGTGTATGACAAGGAAAAGGAGGATCTGGCTTTCCTACCAGAAGAGAATGGTACTACGACAAATGGTAATGCTGACCAGACTAATGGGCACGCCGAAACCGCCAAGCTCCACGTGGACAAGTCTGTACATTCTAAGAACCAGAAGTTCAACCCTGTATCATTCTGGAAGTTGTCCAACCAACGCATAAATGCTTTTGCATTTTCGCCTGATAACAGGCACTTGGCAGTAGTTTCAGAGGATGGAACTTTACGGATCATAGATTATCTCAAGGAGCAGTAAGTCTTCGATTTGCAAGGCTTCACTTCTCGCTGACATCCCTCTACAGGCTTCTTGACCTTTATGCCAGTTACTATGGTGGCTTTCTCTGCGTCTGCTGGTCTCCAGATGGCAAATATGTCCTCACTGGAGGCCAAGACGATCTCGTATCCATCTGGTCAGTTGCTGAGTCTACCATCGTTGCTCGTTGCCAAGGTCATCAATCTTGGGTCACCGCTGTTTGCTTTGATCCATGGCGATGTGATGACCGAAATTACCGATTTGGTAGCGTTGGCGAGGACTGCCGGCTCTTGCTATGGGACTTCAGCGTAGGAATGTTGCACCGTCCAAAGGCTGTTTCTGTTCGACAGAGAGGAAGCATTTCCTCTCGCTTTGCGAATCCGCTACAGCGAGCCGAAACCCAAAACACAGGAACTAGTAGGCTACGATCAAACTCCAGTCTCTCGGCATCGGATGAAGATGAGCATCTGATTGAACATCCCGTGGAGCCAAGGTCAAACACGGCAATGCTTCCACCAGTCATGGTATGTGCTAGAAGTAGTACAAGCTGCTGTTATTGCTAACAATTTCAATAGTCTAAGGTTGTTGATCCAGATCCACTTTGCTGGTTGGAGTTCACCGAAAGTTCAATTCTCACAAGCTGCAAAAGCGGTAAGTTCTCTGATACTATTGATGCTCAACTGCCATTGACGTGCTACTTTAGGCCACATTCGCACTTGGGACCGGCCTCGGGACGTTGCCAACCAAAGTGAAATCACGTTATCATCTACTTAGGCAGTTTATTTCTGCCCCAAAGAAATCTCTTGCATACTTAGCGCGATACAAAATAATTTATGGAGTTGAATTGTTTAATTTTACATACCTCAAAGCTTGATACAACGAGCTCGTTGCTAATTTCATTCTCGATTTTTTTTTCTTTTGCTGCCTGTGAAGCTTAATATCGCGCCGTGTGAGAGAGGGTTGACCGAAGAGCAGTATACTTTAACGAACGCCCATACTATTCAAGGCAGCCTTCCAGCGAAAGCTTGAGTTGTTTCCAAGTTTCTCTTGTCTGTCAGTCGTCAAATCAGATGTCATACCGGTTATACGGGAAACCTCCAGATGTCCCAGGAGGGCGGGGCGACAACTGTCGGACCACTTCCCCCGCCGGATAAATTGGACAGTGTCCTATCACTGCTCTTTGCTTACGGATGCGAGAGACAGGGTAAATATATAAACACTCATATTTGTACAAAGTTGGAGTCACTGCTTAAAAGGAGCTCTTACCATTTAAGTGCAGCATCCTCTTAATCGACATGTTTGTTAAGGTGACGATGGGCATCATTCCATCCAATTCAGATTTTTCACTCACCGAAGCCCAGAAGTCTCAATTTCTTGAGCACGGCTTCGTCAAGATCCCACAATGTTTTACGCGAGACCAAGCAGCCGAGTTCACTTCTACATTGTGGACTCGGCTTGGTATGGATCCAAATGATAAGGAAACTTGGACAGCTGAGAGGACAAATATGCCATGGCATCGCCATATTCCTGTGTCGGAGTTTGCACCTAAAGCTTGGGCTGCTATGTGTGAACTTCTTGGTGGCGAGGAGAGGATTTCGGACAGTCCTGAATTTAGGGGGTGGAGTGATGGGTTCATTGTTAATCTTGGAAAGGATGAGTACAGCTCTGATGATGATTTGGATTTGAGATGTAAGTGTGTCAAAAATATAATTCCTTCTTCTGTTATCTGGAGGTACGATTGTTCTGAAATCGGAATGTGGCTATTGGGTCATTAATTGATGATGATAGCGCTGGATGGCTGGCATAACGATGGAGATTTCTTCGTCCACTTCCTCGATAGTCCTGAGCAAGCTCTGCTTGTCATTCCGCTCTGGAGCGATATTGAATCCAAAGGAGGTGGGACAGCTATATGTGGCGAAGGAATCAAGCACATCGCCAAACACCTGGTGAATTGCCGCCCTCTCGAGCGTCTCTTCTCATTGTCTAACATGATATTAGTATGATCATCCCGAGGGCACTAATCCTTGGATGCGATCCACTCTCGATCCTACCCACAGCACTTACGAAGGTCGTGAATACTGTAAGCTGTTCTTTTCATAACCAGGTCCCAAAGCTGTTTCAGTCACCTTGATTTCGCCATCGTGGATCCGGAACTGAGAAGTTTCTAATGTCAATCTCTACAGGGCAATCCCTCGCCTGGGACAAATCCAAGATTCCCGACTCTGCTTTCCAAGAAGCTACCGGCGAGATCGGAGACGTCTACCTCCTTCATCCTCTGATGCTACATTCCGTGTCAAGAAACTTACTTCGCATACCGAGAGTCATCACCAATCCACCTGTCTCGCTTAAAGAGCCGTTTTGTTTTGACAGAGAAGATGAGAGCCGGTATAGTCTTGTGGAAAAGAAGACTTTGAGAGATCTGGGGATGGAGGGTGGTTTGAAGGGATGGAAGATCACGAGCGAGAGAAAGCCGTGGGTTTCGGAGAGGATTAGAAAGGTAGAGGAGATGAAGAGGCTGGAGTTGGAAAGGCTTGGTGGTATGAGTAAGTAGTGAGATGGATCACCTTACCGAAATCATTCTCGAACTTTGTATTCCTATTCTGACAATCTCTTACATTATAAATCTGCTGTGCATTCCCTTTAGCATTAAATATTTTACATTCTTCGTCGAACCTTCTTCGATATTCTTCACGTCGGTGATTTTCTTTTCCCAATTCCCAATCTCTACAATCTCATTCTCCTCCCAGGTCGAGGAGCACGAACTGGAAGTCCCAGCTCTCTTTCCTCCCTCGCCTCAATTTCCCAAGCACTCCACTCCCTCTCAACCTCCCTACCCCCACCCTCCTCACCAGATCCTCTCATAATACTGCCAAACCACTTTATGCACTCCTCCACAGCATCCACCAGCTCAAATCCCCAATCCACAACGCGATCCAAGATCCACCTTCAATCCAGCAGTTCTTGTACCAACTCATCAAGCCAAAGATGAAAATACCTCTCCCCATCAACGTTCAAGATAGCCCCAAGATGCAAAAACACCCAGGCCACAAGTACACACACCACCGGCCCAATATCCCACCAACTCCACTCTCCAAATACAAACACGAAATGATTCTTCCATGTCGGCGCAATTGAGTACGCAGACGCGAAGCTGTGGAAAGCGTAACTCAAGCGCGAGAAAAATATCACTACGACGAAGAGAGGAACTATAATGTCGTTCCAGTAGATGAACCAGGTCGTCGCGCGGGCGAGGTGGGCTTCGTCTTCGAGTCGGTCGTGTTCCTCTTGCTGTCTTTGTTGTTCGTAATATTGTCTTCGTCTTTGATGGAACAAAATCTCCTCTTCCGTCATCTCGGTTCCATCATGTTCGTCATGTTCATTTTCCTCTGCCTCTACCGTTTCATTTTCTGTAGCTGGTGCGGCCATGTGATTCCACCAGCCTACTCTATGCGTTATCCAGGCGCAGATTACGAACCATATCGCTGTGACACATAGTCTGTTTAGGGTTCTGTGTTCTAGGCTTGGTTCGGTACTGTAGCTGGGGAATATTTCAATGTTTCCGAAGGGAAGGCCTATGGCATTTGAGAATATTGCCCGAAGAAGTGGTGCTCCTTGGCTGGACATTTTGTCGCGTTGTTGTTGTTTGTTGACTGTATTTGAATTTATATGGTACTTGAGATGTTTTTATATCTTTCGAGGCTTTTGAGGAGGATCTGAAGTACTGTTGTATTGTTGGTGGTCTGGTATGACTGAAATTTGTGTGGAAGGTGAAGAAGTTGGAGCGAAGTGAAAGTTTGAAAAATGCTTTCCCAGCGGATAGGCCGTGTTAATATAACACTCGAATTGCAATTTGGACTGCCATTTCTATTTTGACCGGCTCTTGGTACGGTTTGGTGCCATCATTCTCACGATTTCCTTTTCGGATATCACTAAGTGCTTAGCGTAGGGAGTAGGACTACCTCTCTTGGTACATGATACTTAGCGTCTACTTGTATCTATGGTTAGGAGCTACGCTAGAACTTTCTGACTGTTAAAATCAAGCTAAATAGTCCTTTCCGCAACTAATACATGCTAAGTCTAGGATTCCCCGACGGCAGTCTTGGTTCACTAAGTCCACTGGACGCGAGATATCATCCGCAATGTTCACAGGCAGAATTATACATCTGTCTGGCGACAAAATCTCTTCTCATTACTCTTAGTGGAAAACTCATGCGACTATTATTCCTTGACTCCAGTCATGCAGAATCCCAGGGACCAGATTCGAATCGGATGAGGAGTGTACAAACGCTACTCCACTAGCATCAGGCTCCGGTAGCTTCCCAGAAGTTCTTGTTCTACGATCGAAGCCCCCATAAAGACCGGTAAGCTAGCTATAATGACTGATGTGGCGCAATCTTAGACATGCAACAAAATAATGAGACTGTTGTACATGTGGGTTGTGCCTACTGTTGTGGACTCGAGCTAGCACAGCCATGCTGTGCTCGGCAGCATCTCTTAGGGAGGAACGTCTCGATGGGCCTCCGTGTCATAATAGGTGGATGGTACATTACTCAGAGGCCAGGTCACGGTCTTTAGAATGGTAGATTCATGGGTATACTGTAAATTAAATTCTCAACTGATTATTACTCCAGTGTTGGAGGAATTTCCATAACCCCCCTTCCGAAAAACTCGCTAATGGTCCCAAATTTATCGTTGCTCCGCGCCAATGCATCCAGGAACATATCATGTTTATCAGCACTCTCATCTTGAGCTTTCCTGATCGCACGAATGGTATCGTTATCCTTCCTACAGTTCGGACAGCTGCCTTCCACATTCCCATCTTCCCCAATCTCCATGTTGAGACATGTTTGGTGAAAACTATGCTTGCATAGGAAGTGAACTGCTGGTAACGAGAGCTGGGACCCGCAGAACGAGCAACGTGTGTTGTTGAAAGTTTGGGGCTTCGTGGATAGTTCGGTGATTTCCTGGCGCTTGTCGACAGTCTCGGTGCGGTATGAAGTGATAAGTCGACGATTTGAAGCAATTTCTTTCCTTTCGCGTTCGATTGTCTGCTGTAAATATGTCTTCACCATGCCCATCGTTGCCACGGCGTTTGTACTGAGGGTCTGAATGACTTGTAAAGGTGCCATCAGCCCGTCTTCGTCAATCTTCTTCAGAACAGCACCAAGCTCATCTCCGGCCTCTTCCAGTATTCGAGGGTCGGAAGTGAAATATGCTAGAGCAGCAGGGTATAATTGCGGCTCTTCTGGTCCGTACTTATTCAAAGCTTTGATGGCGCCTTGTGTGTCCTTTGCAGATGTATAGGATCGGAAAATATCGAATCGAAGGCCGGCTTGCTCGCGGACGAGGGTTGTTCCATCTCGGAAGTTGGAGAGATGAGACAGTAGAAGAACGTTGGAGGTATCGATAGGAATATCCTTGCCAGATATGAGCTTCTTGGCCTTAGCCTCCCATTCCTCCCTGTTGGCACCTTTCTTTTCGTTCGATTTGTGGAGATACATCTCGAATAAAGTGGTGTAGAGATCAATCTGGTCTCGTTTTTTCAAATCTTTCTCCTCCAGGCAAGCTTCGAGGAAAAAGATGAACTCGTCTGGATGATCAACGAAGGAAGAAAATGCTGTACGAGGCTGAGGGGGAGTGTATTTCAGAGCCAGTGCCTGCTCCGGGTTGTCAACTATTTGGTTGTCGCTGACCGTGGCTGCAATGTTGCCTTGGGTGAGAGGAGAAGCAACAGCTGAAGTGTTCATATAGGGTAGTGGTAATAGGTCTCTCAAATTTTGGACTGCCGTAACAGCCCCAGCTGCATAACCTTGCTGTACAGCGACTGTCGCGGGCACGATAACATCCTTCTGTGTTTGATATCGCCCAGTGAAGTACTGGACAAAAAGTTCCGTGGTCTGTTTGGGACAATGCTCTAGGAGGACTCTCGCATACTTCATCATGTTCGGATATGCCTTTCTGCTAGTCAGAAAACTCACATTTAAGAAATCGCGGGGATACTCACTGCATCGGGCTCCAGTCGCCAAATGTATTGTAGAGCGTCCGGATAGAGTTTGGAGTCCTCTATCAGGATATCAACTACAAGCTCATGTTCACCATGCTTTGTTGCCAGGTACGCTGCCTGGTCGTAGTAACCACCCTGTCTACACATCGAAATGGCTGTATCTAGATCAAATTTGAGATCACCAGGTGACTTGATGAACTTTTCAAGCTTCCCAATATCTTTAAGCTTAGCATAGCAGTTCAGAAGTAAGGTGGTATGATCGGCCGTAGCTTTGTGATGCTCATGTAATTCCTCAAGGTACTCGATCAGATTATGAATTCGCTGTGTATCCAGAAACTATTACTCTTAGCATTGATCAGCGGAAATACTGAAAGTTCATACCTTTCGAATGACTTGTGATGGTTCAGTATTGTCAATGGCTTTGAGATATTGCTCCATGGCGCCATCGTAGTCCGCTTTCTGGTACAGAAAGTCACCGTACTTGCGGTATATCACATTTTGTTGTTGCGCATCCATCCCGGACTTTTGGGCTAAGGTTATGGAGTCCTTGAACAGATTCCTTTGATACAATATCTCAAGCCTCTGCTGTAATGGCTTTTCGTGATATCGCCAAATCTAGCTTGCGGATTAGCATACGTTCGGTGTACACACAGCAGAGAAGGTCTACCTTGCCATCCTGGGTGAGTGCAAACAAGTCTCCCCATATCTTGAATAAAGACTTGACTTGCGATACCAACGATTCCGAATGCGCAACAAAATGTAGTCCTGTCTCTAACAGAGTGAACGTCGAAGTGTTGAAGAGATCCTCGGCTTGTGCTCCACCAAAACGCCTTAGTCCATTCGATTTAGCAGCACTGATATTCGATGATGGCGGAGAGACAAGGGCAACATAATCCCCAAAAATGGTCACCAAGCTCTTCGGTCCGTCGAACGCATAGCATGGGCCTCGACCGTCAACACCATAGTAGTATATCGCATCACCCCGAACAACTACAATATCCCCAGTTCTTTTGTCGAGGGTCATACAACCCACTGCACAGCCCAACTCCTCCACGACTCTTGGAGCTTGTCCATGCCGTCCAGAAATGGCAAGTTTCAGAATCCGGGAAGTCGTCGATATGTAGAGGGTCGTAAGTCTATCCTCTTCTCGGAATTCAACTCCAGTGATCGGTTCTTCCGACTCGTGAACTGTCCGCTGCCTTGCGCCTCGATCGTGAACCAAATCTCCTCGTACGACAGTAACCGATCCATTGGCGAATCCGACCGCTAATTGCGAAAGATCATCGAGCGCTGTGAAGGCTGAGATCTGCAGATCATTGTTAGCAGATACTCTACCAGACATTGCGTCCACCTACTGGAAACGGTTTCCTCCCATTCTGGATGCTAAGTGTTGATTGACAAGTCGGGAGCCCAGTCTTTTTCACCGGCTTGTCTAACGCCCATACTTTCAACACAGGCTCGTTGGAAATATCTTCCTGTAGAGAATCAGACCAGGTTACCCCACAACATCGTATATACACACCGAGATTGTGACCAACAGAGACGTTCCCTCCACCTGCCTCATGTGCGTAATCGAGCCAGTATCATGCGCCTGGAACGTTCGCAAGATCTTGAAGGAAGAGGAGAGTATGCGAACAACACCATCATGGCTTCCAAGGAAGAGGCTCTCTGAACCGGAGCAGACGCAGCTGATCTCATTGTTGTCGAAGAAGGACCGGCTCTCATCGTCGGGTGGATTAACCTGGCTGACTTCGAAGAAATCGAATGTTTTCCACTGCAGAAGTATTAGCCTTTCTGCCAAACAACAATCGGATGTGTTCAAGACATGGGAAGCTCACCGAAGTTAAAGCCATGATAGCAAACCTGCGATATCATGGCAGCTTGTGGTTGAGTGAAGCAAAGGCAGTGGGGAGCTGGGCTGGAGCTATGTCGCGGCGTCATTTGGCGCCGATGCCTGCAGGAACATGGGGTGGCGGGAGCTGGTACAAATCGGCATAGCGTCAGTTCGCTTGGTGGCTCTCTATGGAGGCTTCACTTCACATCTCAACTTCCTTTCTCATTATCCGTTGAGACATCAGAGATCTGTGGTAGCTTTTATTCAATACAATTTGCTATCCTGTTTCTAGCAGGCGCTCTGTTGGGTTCAGTTGCAATGGTTTCCAAAATTGAGTCTAGAGAGGGTGCTCGACAGAAGTCCAAGCCAAGGCCAAAGAATCGCTTGTTTACTGTTACCGAAACACTATTTCAGTCGTACCTGCGCGTCGCTACAGTGGTCTATAGATCCAATTATCGCCAGTGCCTTTCTAACGAGGATATCTATGTCCCAGACAAATCCTACACAAGTTCGTTACATGTCCACACAAGTATCCGCATCTCTTTACCCCAGACTCCACACCTGCATCCAAGAAACCATGTGCCCAAAATGTCTCCCATCTCACCGGGAAACTCTTTAACTCCTCCAAATGCACAATCAAAACATGCCCAAATTCTGAGACGCCACTCGCATCCAACTCTACCAATCGTCAAATCACGCCCTCTCGTCACTTTCTCCTCGATATTCCTAAAACAAGCAAGAATCCCATATTATTCCCACTCCCAACCTGGATCTTCCACCCCTCAGCCAACAACATCTTTGCAACCGCCGGTCCCAGCTTACCTCCACCAGCGCTATGATTGCCTGCACCGGTGACAATCTTATAAGGCGGCACCTTAGCACTTCTCCCATCCGCCCTCTCCTCACCATGCTCGTGCCACCACATCGTGACCCGCTCACGACTGATGCGCGTCGCATCTTTGACATTCATACCATGCAGATCCACAACCAGCTTCGAGCTCTGGCTGGCTACTAATGCGTCTGCGGCTCGGCTGGCAGCTGCTTTGGCCTTCGTATCGTAAGTCCGCCCGACTTCTGAGTAATAAGCTGCTGCGCCGCCCATCAACGGATTGGATTTTGCTTTGCGGAATGCGTCAGCTGCTTTGGCGAATTCAACATTACGAGACTCCGAGTAACGAGCTGCTGCCTGAGATGAGCCGGCGAAGTCGTGAGGGCCGTCATGATAGACTGCATTGAACGATTTTGGCTTGGCTGCAGGCTCAGAATCGAGTTGTATTGGTGCATGTCGAATATCAAGCAAGATTGCATTTTCCTTGTTGACTGGTGTCGCGAGCGCTTTAGCGAGGTCGCGGGCTGATGGGGCATGGTTGGTGATGTGCAGCAGAATCTCTAAGTCGGCAATCGAAATTGAAGGGAAGTCTTGGTGGAGTCCATAGGCATCGATAGCGACAATGGGATCATCCTCGTAGATTCCCATCTCAGCATGGGCCTGAATGATAGCAGCAATAGTGCCACGAGCAGTCCCTCCATGTTTGTGGTATAAAGAAGTGACTTGCTGGTCAGGAATACCAGTCTTATCCGAGATGAATTCGATGTCTTGCTTGCCGGTATTCCACTTGCTTTCACTTGGTGACTCAACGGGACTTGGCGGCGTGGTCGGGTTGCTGACAATTTTGGCTGCTCGTTTCTTCTTGCCTTTGCCTTTCCGTCGGGGAGCTATATCACTCTCTGAGAATGCATCGACACCTCTGTGACGACTTCCACTTTCTTCAAGGAAGGCTTGAGTCATCAACTCGTCAATTGCGAGACCCGCATCGCCTTTGCACTTCTTCAAAGTCCAAGTTATATCGAAAGGCTTGAGAGCCGGGAATATCCCGATCAAAGCTTGCTCTTTACCTGCTTGGTCGAGCTTGTCAAGCTCACTCGAATAGGATCTGCTGGTGCTCTCCTCCCTCTCCCCCTCTTCCAGATCCAGCCCCTCCAAATCTAACGTACCAGGGTCCTGTGAAAGTGATGTGTCATCAGTTTGCGTCCTTGATTCTCGCTGACTGGCAGATTGACTCTCAACCTCGTCGCGCACGCTTCCATCGTCGAGTCCATGCTGTGGTCCACTAGCACCGCTCGGGTCGAATCCTGTACTCTCTTCTTCTGAGGCAGAGGATTTCAAAATGTCCAGAATATTTCGTGCGGCAGCAAGTTCGGTCGGCCTTTTGATGTCGTAGTCATAAAGAATGGCTAGGAGGGTGGAAGTTTCGATTGACTGAGAATACTCCTCCTAGAACATCTGTCAGTCGAAATCCGCACCATGAGATCTTCACACAGTCGTACGATCAATCGTGCTTGAAGCTCTTCCATCCCACCACGAATGCGCCAGTGTGCGTGTCGGAACAGCGACCAAATATTATCTTCAACTGGCGTCTCTGTAGATCCAACGCGGTGCAATGTTTTTCAACAATTTTTGGAATAGAGATTCGAGAGTGGCTGTCATTGTCAGATTCTTGTTTGAACTGGAATTGAGACCATCCGAAGACAGGTCGAGGTTTGGTGAAGTCATGCCGGAGCTCGGATTAAAGTCCTGCCGCGGAAGAATCGGAGGCTTCGACTTAGTGATGTGATGATCCATTGACTCACTAAAGAGCTGTATCATTAGCTGACGTCGCTGGCTGGCCCGTTGTCCCAATCATAATCAAAGTCAAGCTTTGATCCAAGGCTTGATCAAATATTGATAAGTCATGTTTTCAGCCTGCTCTTCAGCTATTCAGTCAGGATTGGTGGGTATTGCATTTCCAGGTTACCATAATCGCAAGCTGCGAATGCAAACTATGAAATTTCAAAAGGAATTAAGAACGTAGTAGAAATGACTTGATTCATTCATCTATCTAATGAAGTGCAAAAGCTAAAAGACCTGACCTTTCATAAAGAATTTCCCACGTTGATGCGCCCAAACGACCTTCCATGCAATTTGACTCGATCCACTACCTGAAATATGGTGGAAGGGTGAAAACATGATGGGGAAGAAAGCTCGTGAATACATGAAATGCCATGATGTTTGCGCCAATGAACTTAAAGTAAATTCATGGGCAAAAGAAAAAATCTTCGCTTTTCCGTTGTCGGTCCGCATATGCGCCTGTTTATAATGGCAACTTATGACAGATGGAAAGCACCCTGTCCTTCCTTGATTGCAGTTCCCATGCGTCGTCGCATGACATCGAGATCGGTATAGTCAGGAAGCTTGAGGTAATTGACACAGGTCATCACGCTAGGCAAGTAATCGTCTGACGAGTAAGGCGGCTCGCTTGGCTTGCAAACCACAGTGAACATGGGAGTCAAAGACTTGAAACCTAGAATTGGAATTAGTAAGTGGATTGTGGAGAACGAAACTGGGCGAGAAAATTACCGCCAATTGGTAGTTTTGGACTGCCAGTGGTAAACTGCAAGAAGTCTCGACGCTCCGGTAGCGTCAACTCGCTCATGGTTTGAAGCAAGTTCTTTACGCTCTTGCTGTCCATGTTGAAGCCATGATCAGCCTTAATGGAATCCATCAGAGCTAAAAACGTTAGTGTACGAAGCAAAAAGTCATGGGAATGGAAGGGCTTACTTTCGAGAGACCAATCTTCCTCGATACGACCAAAGAGCATAACGAGTTCGTCAGGAGTAAATGCACTCAGTGCTGAATATGGGAAAACCTGGGTGAAGCCCACTCGGAAGGCATCCACTTGTCTCTGCACACCAGTACCTAGGGTGAAGTCGATGACCTTGTCCAGATACAGCTGAACATTGTCGATATCAACGGGAGTTCGTGCACCATTAGGCACAAGCTCGATGGGATAGCCAGGGAGCGTGAAGTCAATACCTAAATCATCAATCTTCATGCCGTCAATCTCCAGTGCTTGTGCATTGGCCACCTTCTGAGCGGCGGTGAGGTTTGGATTTTCGTCAATAGCCTTCTTTGCAATCGCATATTTCTTGATCAATTTTAGCGACTTTGCTAATTGTGGGTCCACGGTCTTCACAGCTCCCAAAGATGGTGATACTGCTGTTGATTCGTCACCGATGCGGAAGAATGTTGGGTTGAAAGATACGTCGATGATTCTGGAATCAATCATTGATCTCGCGACAAATTTTCCAAGCATTTTGAAGAGGTGGAGGATGCGCTTGCCGTTCTCATTGGAGGCTTGTTCCTCGCTCATAGGGGCCGGGAATAGACCACGTACACCGAATGCATACTCATCAGTATCGTTGGCTTCAGTTTCACGCCAGAGCTTGAGCTTCTTCTTGGAGAACTCCTTCGAGACTGTTGAATAGAACTCTAGTGTTGGTCCTAGGCCAGTACCAACTTCCTCGAAGTATTCTACCTCTAGAATGCTTTGAGATGCACCATAAAGCTCCATGACCTTCAAGGCAGACTCCAAGATTTTGGACCGTGAGATTCGTACCTTTTGACGCTGTAGGCGACCGAGAAAAGGTCGCTCGTCCCGATGACGGTCACGTCGAGACTCATCCGCAGATTGGGCATTTTGCCATCTTGTCATGGACCGAGCATAGCCGAAGGATGTGGACTGCAAGAAGAGGTGTCGTGTCTCGAAGGGGAACAAAAATGGGTATAGACGAGCCAAATCTTCGCTCCAACTGGGGAGACAGTTGCTAGCAACTATAAGAGGCTCTTCCAGTTGTCTGTTGAGCTTAGCGGTGAGCTTTGTATTGACGAATTGCGACAGTGGTTCCGCATTGAGCTTCAAAGTATCCTTGTTCTCCGCCAACACATCGTCCAAGTTGGCATTCAGCGCATGCAGAATGTTGAGAAGACGAAGGATTGAGGATGTAGCTGGATGCTTGTCCAAGGAGGCTGGGATACCAGATGCCGTAGTCTCGGTGATCACCTCAGAAGCTTGAGTCAAAGAACTTGGCTCAGGTGGTGGCGGGCCAGGTACACGCTTGAACTTGATTGGGTGGATCGCTGACCATACACTGCGGCTGTTTTGATCATCAATCGTAGTTGATGTGCTGTGGACAGCTCGATAAATAGTGGTCTCGTTCGCAATTACCTTGTCGTCCAAGCTGAATTCAATGTGCCAGTCTTGGGGAATGGCTTGAATAGCAGCGGCGTAAGACATAGGCCGCGAAGAAGCACTTGGCGTTGTAAGAGCTGCCTGGGCTGCGGCGGCTTGAAGAGCTGAGGCAGTACGTGGATTGCTTCCAGGAATTTGTGACGGAGTTGCTGCAAAGAAGATAACGTTAGTAGCTTTTCGTTTGAATGGTTCAAGAAGTTTTGACGTATTCAATCAAAGAAAGATTGAGAGATTGACAGTGCGATGTACTTACCAACACGAGTGCCATCTTCCTTCCGTGCCGTAACTTTGCCACCTGCAGCAACCTCAAGATTCACTGCAGTAGGGTCCGCAGGAGATCCCTCTTCCATATCATCCTCGAGATCGCCTACAATTGCATCCAGAGCAGCGCTGTCTTCCATCTCCTCATCGTCAGTGAGCTGTCTCTCATCTGCACATTCCAAAGCACCAGCCAAACTATCCTCTTCTTGCATGGGAGGCTGTACTGGTGTCTCTGGTTGAGTTTGACGTCTGCTGGAGCGTCGAGCGGTCTTGTCCTGAGGAGTTGCCAAAGTGGAAGGTCCCCCAGGAACCGCAGCACCGGTTGAGCCGGTCTTGGATTTCGACTTTCGAGAACTGCGGGATGTGGCAGGGGGAGGTGCTGTTGGTGTAGCGGCAGTGGCTGATGCCAAACCACGCTCCACGAGCCGGCTTTGACCTGTCTGGGCATACGGGTTGGGCATTCCTGCGGCTGCCAAAGCAGCTAGTGCACTGCTGAGACCCTCTCTTCTCGATCCCCGAGGTCGTTCAGAAAGACTGATTCTAGGGCGAAGGTAATCGTCCAAAGCCTTGAAGGTTGCAATTGCATGAATCGAGACCATGATGTTGCGATATGGTCTTGGAATCTCGGAATCATCGTCTGCTACAAGCTTCAGACGGATTTGTTTGGCTAGCATCGAGGCAGCGCTACTTCTGTTCCCGTCAAATGTGTTCTGGTGGACGGTGACGACCTCGAAATGCTCTGAACGACTCAGAAGATCTTGCAATTTGTGGATTAGAATACTGAAAGGTGTAGCGGGTGAGTCAGCACTCGTAGTTTTTGGCTTCTTCGTAACAGTCCTTCCCATAAAGATCTCGAGGAAAGCTGAGCGAGCATCGTTACTCAAATTTTCGTCTGGGTTGCTAAAGACCTCAAGCAAGACGCGAACAACCTCCGAGTTCAGCAATTCAGCGCTCGTGACGCTCTCCAAGACGTCGCCATCGAAGTAGGACGCGAGGGTGCTGAAGAGCTTCATTCCATCGCCTGGTTTTCTTTGTAGATAATGTGCTTCAATGTCAGACGCCAAGCTTTGCAGACTAGTCAAGATCTTGGTCGCCTTCTTCTTCATGTTCTTACTGTTCTTTTCATTTTCGTGAACATCCAAAAATCTCTTGGCTCGCTGGACAATAAGTTGCTGCATTCCCCCAGCATCTGTTGGTAAGCGATGCTGTGGGCCATCAAGAGACATGGTAGAGCCACGAGAGCTCGGAGAGGGACTGATATCGTCTTGGATATCATCATTCTCGTTATCCTCGTCATTTTCGTTCTCGTCATCATTGTCCTCATCCGAAGAATCATCGTCATCGCCTGGTGCACCTCGTATGGGCTTTTCGGAGTTCTTTTCTGTGCCATTAGCTTCCACAGGCTCTGCTACCTCGATCGATGGAGAGTCCTCGGAGATAGCTTTCGCACTCTCCGTTGCAGTGGCAAGCTTTGCAATCTCAGCAATGACTCCCTCACGGTAGAATTGGTATCGATAAATGTCATCAAGACGAGCCAAAAGTAACTCTGCAGCTTGGAGAGCGTAGTTCACCAAGCTAGGGTGGTCTTGTTGAGATAGTATTGCAGCAAGGAATGAGGCATATGGTACGGATCGCAATGCCTCCATCAATATCTCCTTATCCAGGTTGGAGAGCATTTTGATCTGGGCAGTCAAGACCTTCTGCCGAACACTTAAGTTGACAGTGCTCGAGAAAGCATCGGTCAACGTGGGAAATATGATAATGGCGAACCGCTTGACTTCATTCTTACATCCTTCTAGAAGTTCGATACGCTTCTCATTGGAGGACTTCTTCCGGGAGCCCGAAGAGGAGTTAGTGGCCGCAGCCGAGGCAGCGTCCGCATCTAGGAGATCTTCGGAAGAGATCTCGATTTCTTTAGGCAATCCTGGAAGCAGTTCACAGATGACGTTGAGGGTTTCAATAACCTGGTCTCGCGGTCGGTGAATCAAGGCTTGCATGACGACCACACTATCTAGCTTCGAGGCCGCATCCTCTGTAGCATCTGGGGGTGAAACTCCGGTCAGGATTTGGTACAGGGTCTCAACAACATTCATCTTGAAGAGCTCAGCAGACAGTCTTGCACTGGCCTTTGCTGTGAATGCGAGAACTCGTAAGAATTGAGTGTGGATACTTGGTCCAATGAGATTCGTAGTGCCTGGCAGTAAGAGTCGGAGGATAGCCTTCAGAAGATCCGTACTGACAAGCTCTTCGAGCTTGCTAGGGTGGTATCTGAAGCTCTCAACAACTCGAGAAACACACAGAGAACCCTGCTCAACGACTTTCTGGTCGTTTGAACTCAAAACGTTCAACAGAATGGGCATCACATCCTTAATAACTGGGAAAGAATCCTCGGGAATGTTTCTACAGCAATTGGCAGCTGTAGTAACGGCAGTTCTTTGCGTACTTGTGGCGAAGAAGTCGAGATACGTCAAGCAAGCAGTCAGCCCCCCTTCGCGTACAATTGAGGCAGGGTATTCGACTGAGATCTTTTCAAGAGTCTGTTGAAATATGTTAACTCAATTTGAAATCAAGAGAGAAGTTTGATACTTACGCTAAGCGCCTGTTCTGCCAGATCGATAAAATGGATCTCAAGCAGCTTTGCACAAAGAACCGGGACAGCACCTCCATATACCACGTTGGCTGTGCTAGCAGGTAAAGCCTCCATCAGATTTGCGAGGCATCGGCAAGCAAGAAGCATCATTTCTGGATTCTCCTCTCCAAAGTCGGATGGCTGCATCAGCGAAACCAGCTCCTTGACAAAAGCATCGGGGGAGAAGTGTCCGGAGAGGTTGTCTTCGGTAGATACGAGGAGGATTTCAGAAAGGTCTTGGAGGGCAATCAATTGTAGCGATGGGTCGTCCTTTTGCTTCAAATTATTCAAGATGTCCCGTAATCTCGTAGACACCCCAGACATCATGCCACTCAAGGCTCTTAGTGTGCTCGACAGTCCGTGAGGAGGTCCTCCAGGCCCACCAAAGCCTCCGAAGGGATCATCATCATCGTCATCATCATCTCGGCCTTCGTAATGACGGGCCATCTCCTCGTCTTCATTATCATCGCTCACATCATCTTCACCAGGAAGGGGCCCCTTCTCATCCACACCAGTGTCTACAGTGTTGTCCCCATCTTTTGCAGAATTAATCGTCTTCTTCGATCGGCGCCCGCTGGGAGTGACGGTCGTATCTACTAGTTTATGTGTTAAATTTGTAGCGGAGCTTGATTTCACACGGTGTGACAAACCTTGACCACCCTTCTTGTTTCGTGCAGATTTCCGCTTCGAAGATGTCGTGGCCGCAGCTGGGGGTTCGTTTGAAGGACCAGCAGAATCACTATGAAATAATTAGCGCTTCACTCAACACCTTCCACTGATTGGTTCTTCCTTACCCAGGACTCGACATAACCGCAGCAGTCTTTCCCTTCTTCCGGCGAGATGGAGGAACTGCTGGAGGAGCAGGAGGAGCAGGCGGGGCTGTGTCTGTATCTACAACCTTCTGTCGCTTTGTTCGTCTCGCAGATGAGGGCTTTGCAAGTTCGGCTTCAGGTGCTGGGGATGTGTCGCGGGCGGGGGCCTTGCGCTTTCTTGTAGATGTTGGCGGAGGAAGTTGTCGAGTGGATGAAGCAGCTGAGGAAGCTCCGACAGAAGCAGCAGGTGATTCTGAAGAGCTGGCTGCTTGCCTGGCTGCCGCTCTTGTAATTCTGCTGTTGGGAGGCATGAGTATGTGTGTCTCAACTTGATGTGATGTAATATGGGGCGGGTAGGATGATGTGCTGTGCTGTGCAGTGCTTTGTTGTATGCAGACAGAGGTTGACGCAAATCGAAAGCAGCAAACGCAGGTTGTAGGAAGATATGGAGGGAGGGAGGATTGATCTTAAAAAGTAGAAGAGGGCAGTAGTGAACGGGCAGATGCAGACCTGGAAGTTCCTGAATTCGATACTGCTGCTGGAATAGAACTCATTCGTTGATCCATCGGCTCACGCCATTTGGCGGCAGCGGGGGAAGTGCAGTCGTCGAGGTTTATTGTGCAAGGGACAGTATGGCAGGGTTAGGAGTTGTGTCGTGTTCAGGAGGCGGTGGTGAAGGAGGGGGTGAGGTGTCGTGGGTGGGCGGGCGTGATGGAGGTGAAGTAGGTAGGTAAGGTAGATAGAAGAGATGAAATGGGAAGGCTGTGATGTGCTGGATTGGGGTTGGGTGTTCGTTCGAAAGCGCTGGGCGAGCCTATCAGCCAGTCTGTCGTGCCTTTCCCTTCAGGTTCCAGTGGAGATTCCTACCCGCTACCTTACCGCTACCGCTGCTCGCTTATAATATGTGGCGGCTCCCGTACCAAAAAACCCTTGGCGGTTGAATCAGGATGGCACGTTGCGACACTCGATCAATGACCTACACACAGGAAAGTCCTGCTGCTTCGTTCTTTAAGGACATAACATTGAGACTATCTACAGTCCAATTTGTAAAAATTTATTAAGTCAATTACCTGTGTACATTGCGGCTCTTCTCTTTCTTTTATCAGCCACGATATATTCTCGCTTCTCAGCACGCCATGAGCGGGAATGACGTGGGGTCCGGACTGTGACAGGGTTGTCACCCTCCAGCTTTCTCCGACTTCATCTCGAGCTTTGCACGGACTGGAAATCCCTTACAAGCCACAGCCAGCTTACGGTAATTTACATCGCAATGATCGGGTAAGTCTATATCAACAACATCTCTTCCGTTGTGAAGTGATCAAGACGTGATCGTGCCATTCGCGCAGAGCTACAATGCTCCACTTCACTGACATACTCATTACATATCTTGTCGTTTTCAAGATATCAAAGATCCCTCCGGCTCGCTTCACTTGTTGGATGTTGACATCCATGATGGACACTTGAACCGAGCTAAGACAAATGACAGTCTGATACCTTATCCTTGTCCATCAGCGGGCAAGTAAGTCAACGCGCTATAATCGAATATATATGGCACCATTTGCAAGCTATCGAGGCCAAAAAGATATATTTACCTTTCATATCTTCCCTCTGCTGACCAACAAACGTTTGGTACTTTATTGGACTTCCCAGAACCGCAGCAGCAGTTCCATCCGATACCTTATAGGGCTCAGGCAAGACCTTGGAAGCCGGCCACTGGCAACAGATGTGGACTTGGAGGCAAATCAGTGCTTAGCTGTTGAGCGACCGACAGCACATTCTCAGATCCGCCATTAGGGAGGTAAAAGAAGCTCGTCGCGAGCTCAACTGGAGCAATTGTGTCATTCCTAAGAAACCTGTGGACGCCTTCAGTGATAGCAACGAAGAGGTCCAGCAAACTCTGCAAGGTCTCCGCATTTCGAGGAGAGGACAAGCCTCCAACTCGGTTTGAAAACCGCGATACAGGTCGGGTGTGCTACTCTGTGTACGAGAGAACCGATTCAGAGAAAGTCAGATACAGGATCAGCCCATTCGAGATATTGTGAGAGACAAAGCAAGTGGATGCTCAAATCAGAGCGGATAAGACGTACAAACATCGAAATGCATCCAATTGCCGAGTCATCGAGCCTAGCATCGTTTGTTGCTAGTCCACCTAATGCTTTCTGCGAAGGTGGAGGTGGTATTTCGGGCAGGCGAGTAATGGTGTAAGCTGGAATTCCATTGGAAGTGAATGGTGCCACCAAAGGAATAGGCGGAGGTTGCCTGTCCGAATCTTTGGAATCAGCAGAGGTGGACGAGGCGGAAGTTTCAGTATCCGAGGCCGAGAAGTCAGAGGATTTAACATCGTTATGGGTAGCATCACTATCGAGGAGGCGATAGGGACCGAGGGACTGCAACGGCAGAACTTCAAATATAGAACATCGGTAATTGGGGTTGTTAATTCCTTTCTGTCTATTCTACCGTCTGTAGGTCTATATGACACGATCTAGCTCGGCCCCCCTCACAACTTCCCACTCTTCTCCTTCTTTGGCGCACCCGGCCTGCCACCAAATCCCCATCTAATCTGGTTAGCAACATTAATCTGCACGCCCAACTCCTCTGCAAACCTCCACACCAGACCAGGTTCCTTCTGGAACATGCGTCCTACAAGCACAGCGTCCAGCTCTTCACTTCCTCTGGCCTGCTCCTCACTTCCCTTCCCTGTTAATATAGCCTCAGCTTGCTTCCCTTCAGTGATACTGCCGACAGTCCCAACTAATAGCTTGTCGCCCACTGCTTTCTTGATAGCCTTGGCGAAAGGCGCTTGGTATCCTGGGCCGCCCTTGATCTTCTGCAGAGGAGAGTTGCCTCCCGATGATACGTCCAAGAAATCGACACCACGTTCTGCGAGCAGAGGAGCCAGTTTCACTGTGTCTGCTAGAGTCCAAGACTCGCCCTTGAATTCTGGGTTGGTGTCTAACCAGTCGGAAGCACTAATTCGAAGGAACAGGGGCATGTCCTTTGGCATTGCCTTTCTAGTCAATTCGACAATCTCAAGCGTAAGACGTGTGCGGTTTTCGAAGGATCCACCATACTTGTCAGCCCGCTGGTTTGCAACAGGTGACAGGAACTCGTGGAATAGATATCCATGTGCGTTGTGGATCTCAATAACGTCGAAGCCCGCCTTGACGGCGCGTTCAACACCCGCAACCCAGTTCTTCTTCAAATCCTCTATATCTTCAAGAGTCATGGCAATTGGCTGAGGGAAGGCGTCATTATATGGGGTTGCGGATGGGGCTTTGACTTTTTTTGGCCAGCCATTCACATCCTCTGTAGCTGTAGCTCCCATGTTCAACCATGGAGCGACTGTCGACGCTTTCCGTCCAGCGTGGGCGAGTTGAATAGCGATCTTTTGTCCTTGGGAATGTGCGAATTCAGTGACTTTCTTCAATCCCCACTCACCCTCGATATGATCATCGCTCCAGATACCACTATCCTCGGGAGTGATTCGTCCTTCTGGAACAACGGCTGTTGCTTCGATTATGGTAAGTCCAGGACCACGGGTAAAGATGCCGCCAAGATGGGCGAACTGCCATGCTGTGAAATGACCATTCTCGGACGAGTATTGGCATAAGGGTGAGAGGAAGATGCGGTTCTGGAATGTCGTTCCACGAATTGTAAGAGGTCGGAATACTTTTGGCAGAGGCTTTCCATCAGGCTGAGGATCGGTAGCTGTTCCGGATGGAGGTTCTTGCGCTGGTGTGAAATATGGGACCTATTAATTGTCAATTGGGTGGCACATCACTTGGGGGGCATGCTGCTCACACCAGGTGCGGCCTTATTGGGAATGCCTCTCTTTCCAGGTTCGGTCTCACCGTGCTTGGCTGGTACTGCGTGATGTGTTGACATTTTGAAGGTATTGCTGATTTACTTAATTGGCAAACGGGAGGATGTCAAATGAAGCACGATTGAGTGAGGAAAGTGCAATTGAGCAGAACGAGAAAGACGGTCTGATACTGAAACAGGGAAAGGTTAGATTGAAAAAGGGGACACACAAACGGATGTTCAGATTAGATTATCTAGAAAAGAGCAGCATCCGCCATACTTATATGACACGGAAAGGAGGGATCAACATGGGCTAGATGATGTCACCTTAAATGCCGAACAATTTCCCTCACTTTCTTCCAAAGCGAAACACTAGTAGCATATGCGTCGCTCTAAGCCGGGATAAGTGAAGGAAAATCCAAATAGAAAACACGCCTGCTCCTCAGATTTTCCAGGAAACGAGGCTGCATTTGTAAGCTGGTATGTTGAGGCAGACAGGACGCAACGATCCTGCCCCACGGCGGGGTACATCTTTATCTTAATCCCGAACCGAAGAAATCCCGTCGGTGTTTGTGTGAGTTAATGGATGTGTTGGTAAAATAGAATAGGAATTGTCGACATACGATACAAGAGGCGAATGGGCATTATTTGTAGACAGATACCAGCTCTGAATCTATTTTTGAGAGGCAAAATTATGCTGTCTAGAATTTTGTCTATCTCAAGGACTATGTGGGAAGATGCACCAAAGAGTTGCAACATACTAGTAACAAAATTGAGGTCCAGAAAAACGCCTGGTATTAATGGTGCATGTCCCCTACATCAAAAGCTTTCCAAGAAACTAATTACATGATCACCTCATTGGAAACATCCTATCGATCATTAGTAATAGCCTTGCTTGGTAACGAAAGATGACACTCACTCGCTTCAACTCCTTGAATGGTAGGCAGATGCAATTTTGGACACGAACTTCATCTCCAACACCACACTCCTTACCAAGGATGGTGATGCTCTGGACTTTAACGCCATTCTTGATGATGCTAGTGGTGTGGCTGTTGACTGGTGTTGGTGTACCCTCGACACGAGCCCATGCGCCAACTCTGCTGTTCCACCCAATGATGGAGTACAGGACACACGCGTCGTGCTTGATCTCGGAATCCTCCAGAACAATTGACTCCTTAATTCTGACACCAGCTCCAACCGTAACTCGCGGTCCAATGGAGACATTGGGTCCAAGTTTGGCGGTAGGGTCCACCTGAGCTGTAGGATGTATGAATACAGGTGGAAGAATGTTTGCAGATGCCTTGGAAAGCTCCTTGGATCCCGTCTGCCACGCCTTTTGCAGGTACAACGCGTTTGCTGGAACGGCAGACCCAGCAGTCTTGATCTGTCTCCAGAAATCCTTCGTCTCATACACGAAGAATTGCTTGCTATCTGCCAAGTCACTCAGAATATCCTGTTCTAAACGCAAAACTTCGTTCTTCGTCTCCTCATCGTCATCTTGGAAGAAGGAGGATTCGAGATTTTCGGAGGAGGGGTAAGAGACAAGTCTTGGGCGTTCGGTACGCTTCTTGATAGCCCTTCGAATTGAAGGGAAGATGCACTCGGTAGCAAAGAGGTAGACACCACAGTTGATCAGGTTCGAGATGTGGGATTCGGGCTTCTCGACGTAATGAAGGACTCGGCGGGTGTGTGCGTCTGAGACAATGCATCCGAAGTTGCTAGCAGCGTCCTCGCTGACTCGAGTACCCAGAATAATAGCCTCTGCATCACGGTCCTCGAACAGCTTGAGCATATCATTCAAAGGGAATGAGCAGCACACATCTGCATTAAGAACGAAGAAGCGTTCAGGTTTCCCCTTTAGAATGGCATCACGGAAATGGTAGAGTCCTCCAGCCGTTCCCAATGCCTGGTATTCTCGCAGATATACGATCTTGATTTGTGGGAATTCTTTCGAGGCATCTTTGATGAAGTCGCGGAAGACTGATTCGTCGTAGTATCCAATCATGCATACTTCTTGAATGGCTGGGACTTTGGCGATAGCGGTGAGGCAGTGCCAGACAATGGGGTGTCCAGCAACTTCGAAGAGAGGCTATTTAGGTAGAATCAGTATAGAACACTCTTTGGAGACTCTTTGACGTATGCGGTACCTTTGGAAGATCCAGGGACAAAGGTCTGAATCGAGTTCCTCTCGAAGGGCCGCCAACCTGTAATCCCAGTCAGTGCCCCTTTCTGGAGCTTTTTCAATGCTCCCCGCTCACCAAAATCACAGCCTTTGTAGCGGCATGCGAGCCATTGGCCTTCTCTCTGTGTGGTACTTGCAAAGACATATTGAATTATCCTTTTCAGTTGAGTTCTTGGTAGGTTATGAAGCAATAGAACTTGACACTTTGGCCTCGTAGACTTTCGGTCGACGGCACAACCCGCAATTATCTCCAGACAAGGTCAAGCGATTCTTTTTAGTGTATCACGTGGGGTATCATGGGCTTTGTCTGGCTCCTCTGGCTGTATCCAGCTGCTGCTGCATTCGTATCTTTGACACGTCGTGCGGTACAAAGCGCTTCATCGCGACCAGAAGGCTCTGTCTAAAGCCTCTCTTATAATTTTCTTCCTCTCAACTCAGATGCTCTAGCCGTCAATTGTTCTGTGTGGAACTCGATAAATTGGATGGATGCTGGTAAACGTTCCGCCCCATCAATCGGACTGCCGCACCTCCTCCCAAGGAGATGGCGGGTCAAGACTCCAGCTCCAGCTGGGCTGAATAGGATCACAGCCTTCACTTATCCCATCGGGATGGGTGTGGCATTTGATCTTGAGTGTGTAGGGATGTTGCGCTAGGCCAAAATTGCGAACTCTGGTCCTAAAATGTGGGCGTGAAGAGATTCACAGAGGCTCACGATAGTCCCATACAAAAACAGCGCGTTGGCTGTGAAGAGCTGTGAAAGTTCGCTCACTCTCTTGTCCGAGTAGCTCTCCACTAAACCACACCGCCCCTCCTTTTTGCAGCCCAATGATATTCCCTTGCACTGTTAAATCCTCCTGCTTGCCCTCTGTAAAGATCACAAGTCAGATTGCTTTCTGGCGGCAGTGCCCCTCAAATGAGATCTCGCTTGTGGTCAGCCTTGAGAGCCTCAGAGGATGTTTGAACAAACGTCTGATCGATCGCCGGGCCACGGCCGCAACTGAATATCGGGGCTGTTTTTCAATTGGATGCTGAGTCCCAATGGTCTCATGCAGCATGCATGCACTTTACGCGTTCCTTGCGAAATGATTTTCCGTCGCGAGTATGAAATGTGCGGTTGAGACAGTGGAATTGGACGTGTTGATTTGCTAGTGCGGAAGTGTTTCGTGATACTCGGACGAATATAAAGAGGAGAGCAAACTCTTAGAAAAAAGGCAATACCCTTTCTGCTTCAAATGATTGATATTTTCCTGCCGAATCCTGATCCTTGAACCTGTTTGCTTTCTTGTCATAATTCCACAGCCGGATCTACGTCGATAACCATCATCGCATTTCTGCCTCGCCTACCTATAGCTGCACTGAATGAACGCTCTGCAACTGTTTGCTACCCAACTTGATTAAGCTACTTGGGCCTGCCTCTCTCTCGCCTCCCGATCTCAGCCTTCCGATCTGTCGGGCTCGCGCATATCTCACTTTGAACAACAACCAAGTCTCCCCTCGCCACCACCTCCTCTTTGCTTCAGGCAACGAGGGGCTTTGTTCTTGTATCAATCGAAGGTAGCTACAAAGGCCATTCACCCAATTGTGAACTCCACGGGTTTATTCATCAAAACGTCTTTTCGGAGCCCGAGTAAACAAAGGTACGTTAAGCACACAAGATCTACGAACCATTCATACATCTTATCTCCTGTCTGCTACTTTTCGAGTCACCTTGTCGTTACCGCTATCCTTTAGCCTCGAAATTCATTTTTCAGAATTTCAGCTGGCTCTCATTGCCAATTTTCCGCATTCACCATTTCTACTTTTGTCAATCTCTACTACCTTCTCCACCTCTCTTAGTGCCTGCATCTCAGCCTCACCTTTCCTCAGAGTTCTCTTATGCTGACCATTATTCGACCTCAGATTCTGTAGGCTACCAGAGAGTGCTATCTAAAAATACGGAGCTGTTCTCATGGCTTCGGGCGCTAGAACATTGCCCAAGCGTGAGTCCACTGCCTTTGGCTATCAAACTCCAGATCCAAGCTCGCATTCAAGTCGCACTCGCACACCAACACCTATCAAAAACGAGATTGACTTGACGTCAGACTCCGAAGTCGAAGAGCATACCTTCATCTACCACGGATTGCCAATGAAAAGAGAAGGCACAAGCCAAACATTCAAGCAACAGCGAAGATCAGTCTCTAGTTTGTTCCCTACTCATATTGGTGCTGCTGATGACTGACCACAATTCTAATCAGCATTGTCTTCACCCTCACTCCCTTCTCGGTCTTCTCGTCCTCCTCCTTCATATTCCAGCCAGCCACATCCTACCACAATGCGGCCCCTAGAACCCGACGGGCTCGCAATTGTTGGCCGAGATGCCAAAAGACTTATCGATACTATCGAAAAGTTGAAGCAGATCGGCCTCCAAAGCGTCGACACCGAGCTACCAGAACTAGTCCTTGTTGGAGACCAGAGTGCGGGAAAGAGCTCACTAATGGGCGCTATTGCTGAGATCAATCTGCCGAAAGGCCAGAGCATGTGTACTCGTTGCCCCACCAATATCAAGACGTCGCAGGCAGATGCTTGGAGATGTGTCGTGTCTTTGCAGTTGTCATACACCCGCCAGAAGACTCGACCTAATGTTGAGTTTCCAGGATGGGTCGAAAGCGATCGGCCCATGGAGACGAGGGCGTTCATGACCCTGACGCGCAAAGCTCAACTAGAAGAAGCCCTGCAAATGGCACAGATTGCTCTTCTTAACCCCAGTCAAGACACTAGATCGTTCATTCCAGGCACTGATGAATATGAGCGACGACACGAGACTGGACCGCACGCAGACGAAGCGAAGTTCTCCCCCAACGTCATCTCAGTCGAGATTTGCGGACCTGGATTGCCTAATCTGTCGTTCTACGACTTACCTGGTTTGTTCCAAGCAGCTGAGGACACCACACAGGAGTATCTAATCAAGGTTTTCGAGAACTTAACTCGCAAGTACATTCACCACAAGAATGCGTTGATCATCTGTACCATCACCATGCAAAACGATCCGGGCCTATCCCGGACCAAAGCTGTAATTGGTCACTGCAAGGCAGAAGATCGATGTATCGGAGTGCTCACTATGCCTGACAGGCTTCAAACCAGTGCAACGGCTCATGGCGATTACGATAATATCTTCAAGAAGAAAAAGTTTGTACTACCTCTTGGGTACTTTGTCACAAAACAACCTGGAGCCAATGCGAGTTTAGACCTCGAACGATACCACGAAGATGCTAAGAGGCAAGAGAATGAATTCTTCGATACGGATCCACTTTGGAGAGAAGGTGGGCAGTGGCATCCATATAGGGACATCTGTGGAACTGGGGCTATTCAGAAATACCTTTCAAGGCAGTTTGCCGCCTTGATCTGGAACAGGTAAGAGCTTTCACTTATCTTCAAGATGCAACAAATAAGCTAATAAGTATAGTATTCCTGATCTGACTCAGAAAGTCAACGACCAGACTCGAGAGGTTGATGAGCAGCTTGCTTTGCTGCCCGAGGTACCGAACGACAAAGTCCAGCACATCGTTCGCCGGGAATTGCATGAATTCAGCCACCGTGTGCAGAATCTTGTCACGAGCAGCTCGACTTCTGCGTATTCATTCCACAGCGAGTGGAAGTTGCTATGTCGCCAATTCTTGAAAGCCACAGAAGTTATGAGACCTGGCTGCATTTGCAGAGCTAGCTCAGACGAGGATGTTGGTGTGATTGTACTGGATGATGAATCCGACGATGGGAGGAGTGTGAGTGTTGCATCATCTCCTCTGAATCGCAAGCGAGGGCTTGATGGCGATCAGCATGGAGATAAGAGATTCACAGGTAGCAACATCAGACCCAGAGCTGCTCACAATGACCGTGAGTCCTCGATCTCGCTGTTAGCAGCTCAGCAGGTCAAGCAGGAGGACAGAACTCCTCGCAGAATGATCAACGCCACCCCGAGACGATCTGCGAATTTTCGCAGTTTTAAAAAGGAAGATTTCGGCCCATTCTACGAAGGCTACCTTGACGCAGGGTCCGGAGCTCTGCGAATCATGGACATTCGTGCTTCCATCGAGGCGCACGCGGTTACTGGCATTCCTGGTTACGTCAGTCACCAAGTAAAGGTTGACTACGCCCTGACAGCGATTGCTGCGTGGAAAGGTCCGCTCCATACTTTCATCGACTACACATTCCAAGGACTTCGAAAGGCTATCCTCTCAACTCTGGAGAGTGTGCTCGAGAAATATATCCACACAGAATTGTACCGGAGCTCCAGGAAGTTGATCGAAAAGTTTCTTGATGACAAGGAGAAGGAGCAGCGCCAGATTACCTGCGAGTTCTTTGAGACAGAGCGTACCAGCTTGTTTACAATCAACGATGACTCCTTCAACCAGTACCAGCGAGAAGCACTAGACGCCCTAACTGCGCAGCGGCGCAAGATTCGTCTTGACTGTTACGTGTCGAAGCAAATCCAGAGTGGAGCAAAGGTAAACGACGAAGAGAAATTCAGGAATTCTATCACAGATCAGCAGTTAGGCCCAGACAAATACATGGAGGAGCTCAAGGTCGCCGCGTATATCCGGGGATACTACACCACTGCGAGGCTTCGATTCACAGACACAATATGTGCCAATATGAATGCGAGGTACTTCCAAAGCATCAAGCGTGGTGTTATAGATTATCTGGAAAATAATCTTGGGCTCAATGAGGGTGACAGTAAGTCATGTCGCACACTATTTGACTGAGGTATGCTAATAAATTCCAGGCGAGCAAAAGTGCCGCGATCTACTTGAGAGTAATGCTGAGGTATCAGCTAGGCGCAACTCCTTGAAGCTGAAGAAGGCCCAGCTCCACGAGTTCACAAAAGTCCTCAACAAACTCAAGGCTGAGTTCAACAGCAATGATGGCGTTGACTCTGATGAGGAGATGGAGGGCTACAATTCTGCTGTGAATCTGTCAGGTCAAGCCAATGGCCACCGTCAGTCTAACGGCATGAATGGAAGACTCTATGTAGAGAGTTTTTCTCCAACTCTCAGCGGCTCCATGTCCCAGACGTCAAATCATTTGCAGAATGGAATTTGAAGTCGATACAAAGGTACTTCTGATTCTAAGTTGTGGTGGATTTGCTGCGCCGTCATAGGGTCTCTGGCCCCGCTGCCTCATTACAAAATACCAGATACTCTGACTGGACACACTACATTTCAGCCTGTACCATACATTTTCATACCTTCACCAGCGTTCTGCCTCTTTAGGGAAAATAGGCGGGTTGAGTTGGGGCGCGTTTCATTGTGCGGCTAGTCTTTGTCCAGCTTCCCTTTGTTTGTCATGATTGGATTTTTGCACCTCTGTACCTATGGTACTTGGAGTAATTTGTTCAGCCGCACGTAGCAAGCATAGTCATCTGAATCTTCCTTGTGGGGATCATTCATCCTGGGAGGATCTCTCTATTACTGTTCTGATTTGATGGTTTACTTGAGACATTTACATTTGTGCCTTGAGAATAGCCCTGCTCTGGCATGATAATACTCATAGCACTCTCACAGTAATAAAATTGTTCTTCACAACTTTAGACGTCTTCCTGCCTGAGTGACATAGCTAAGAATTTACAAGCATATTACTCCCCTTTTCTTGACACGATCAAGCTCTGCCTGTTGAAGTTATGCCTATTTGAGCTTAAAGTAAACAAACATATCAAACACCTTAAGCACGCTATACCTTATATCAGCCTTAAATCTCCCTTCGAGTCACAGTCCTGCTGTTTGCCTCGCTTAAACCTTACAGTTTAGTCTTCTTTCCGCTAAGTTCAAAGTTATTGACCTGAATTGCAGCCGATTCACCCTCCGATCAAGGTCGAAGAGGTTCGCTTCCTCCAATTGAGAAGGGTGCGAATGCTAGCGCTATCAACCACACAGAGCTTTCGAAAAGGTACAAGTAGTGGCCTCCGTTTCTTCAAAGTATACCTTCCTTCTTCTCTCATCAACAGAAAGTCTCTCATTGCGCGTGCGCAACAACACAGTCATCAATCGTTCGAGCAATGGCTCCTGCACCACCTCCCCCTGGCTCTACGCCTAAAGCTCGAAAGACTAAGGGTTCCGCTGCCACCAAGTCTCTAAGTCATGTTATCAACAGTACTACTCCATCAAAGGTCGTCAAGCCTGCCAGTACTGCTTCAGTAAAGGCTAAGGTTATTAATAAGGCTACTAAAGAGGCCATGGACAAGAAGATTAATGCTCTCGAGAAAAAGGTTGCTGCAAAGGCCGAGGCCGAGGATAAGAAGGTATATACTCTCTCTTGCGCTTTCTCACTGCTAGCAATCACTAACTCAACTTAGAACATTTCTAAATCCAAACGTGAGGAGAAGGAAATTGACGTAGCAACTATCTCTGAGGCTGAGAAGGTACGCTTTTTCGAGTCACTCACTTTTCAAATTGTGCTTACTAAATTTTGTAGATCGACTACCTTGTTAATTACCGCTTCGAAGGCCGTACTACCTTCAACGCCGCCGACAAGACTATGCTTCAACCTGGCTACCTCTATTGATCTGATCCTCGAGTCTATGCAGCATTCAAGACAGTCGGATACACCGATCCACCACGAAAGCGAGGTGAAATGATGACCGCGTTTAATAGGCGTCAAAATCACCAGAAGTTGGAAGATCGACTGTATTTGAACAAGCAGGTCGCTGAGGGATGTAGAGCAAAGGATGCTTTTCTCATGCCACGCGATTTCAAGGCAATCACCTGGGCTTACAACTTGAAATCCAAATATCTCTGGGATAAGGCAAACCCTAAGAATCCTCAGGGGTTTTTGCCTCGAGGCTACAACACCATGCATTCTTTGATCTGCAAGGATTTGGAGGCGTTTAGTGCACAATATGGTCATCTCTTCACAGATTGGGCGGCTATTAAGGCTAAGCGGATCGAGGAGCAAAAGAAAAGACGATCTAACCGGGAGGCAAAGCAGGCTGCTCAGAAGGCTGCTGAGGACGCCGCTAAGGGTGCTGCCCCTGCTTCGGCTTGAATGCATTTCAAATTCGTTCTGCTTGTACTATAGCCTTTCGACTAACACCACCTGCAAAGAAATGAATCAATCAATTCTGTTCTTTTTACAAATTTTCAAATTATCAGTGACATAGAATTTCGTGACTTGCCTTCTCTCGCTTAGATTTAGTACACCTACACATCACAAAGAAAAGTTTTTCCATATGTATTGTTACTAATAGCAGCAGACTAACTTGAATTCCATCAAATAGAAGCAAGCATCACGACTTACTCGAGGAGTTTAAGAACTTTGAACAGACCCTTTTGCTTATTTAGATACCTATAGGCGTTAAGAAATCAAAATTTTGACGAGGCTGATGTTTCCTCGAAGTATTTCTGACGCGTCTTAGTTGAGGAATTGGACTGGACCTGGAACTGAGATTCCAGCTGTTCAGAGACACAGAATGTCCTGAATTTTACAAATGACATTGAACTACAGCTGTTCTTGAATCCTAGAATAATTGTCGATGTGATCTGTCCTCCGATTGAGGATCTCGGACTTTGAGATCCAGCTGTCGGAAATGCGTGACTGAATGTTCTTAAATTTGGAAATGACATTGAAACAGCACTATTTTCAGAATCTAGATTTATTATCAACCGATTTTGAGACCTAGGATCCCGGATCCTCATACTTGGAATCGTGGATTTGAATATTTTGCATTGTGTAAAGGACATTGATATAACTTTATATCTCGAAACCAGAAATATTTGTCAATCAATTTCTTCTCCACGTGCTTGAGGTGTCCGGCCTTGGATACTGGGATTTAGCTATTTCCAAGGGGGTATGTACATGTCCTCATATCTGCAGAAGACAATGGAAGAGCTTGATTATGAGATTCCAGAAGTTTTAAAAGCTTCACAGCATCACACTTTGCCATCTCCAACTGTACCCTCAGCGTCAAAGTTCTTGTCATCCGTGACTCGTACCTCCGCCTCTAGACGCCTCTTCTTCTCCGTCCTCGTCGTCATATACAGAAGCCCAGTCGTCCAGATAGCCAACGCAATCGACGTCCCAATCATTGCCCACATACCTTTCTATTCAAGTCGTCAGCTTGTCTGCCATGTACATGACTCCCAACATGTATGAAAAACTTACCGTGAATTTAGGTGCAAAGTTCGCAGAGTAGAATAACAGAGACCACCAGGCATTGACAGCATTGCTCCCGCAATTCATGCTCGCGATGACCACAGCCCGCAAACTGTCCTCCTCATACCTCATGGCGTCGTTTGCCCAGGCGAAGAATGTAGCTTGGCAAGCGTAAACGCTGCCTGCCCAGTAGTACGCTCCGAAGATACTGGAAACACTGGCACTAGGATTCAAGATCATTGCTGCAGTAACAACACCGGTGACACCAATCCAATATCCCACCAAGTATCGCTTGCCACCGAGGAAATCGGTGAGAGTGGCCCAGAAGAGTGTTGACACGATACCAACAGCTGGTACACCAGTGGGATAATTGTTCAGCTGGGCAATGGTGTACTTCTTCGTTGATTTCATGTAGATGGCCAGCAGGGAGTTTGAAGAGAAAGATTCCGTCTCGCCGGCAATGATCCAGAGCATGACGAAGCCATACCAGTACCAGGACGTGAACACCCTCTTGACAAATGCGAAGTTCCATGGCGCTCTCTCAGGGACTTCTGGAACTCGAGCGATGGCCAACGCGCGCTCGGCAGATGTGAGGTAGAATGCTGATGTTGTCGAGGGTGTGTCTGGGAAGAGGAAGAGGCCGTATATCGCGACTGGAATCGTGATTATTCCATCGATGATGAAAAGCCACCTCCAACCTGCCATCCCTTGGGCGCCATGAAGCGAAGAGTTGATTGCAGTCTGTAAGAACCCTCCAAACATAGTCCCTGCGAGCCCAGAAGATGTAAAGATACCACTTCGCTTTCCGAGTTCCCGTCCTGTGTACCATGACCCAAGAATATAATGAGTGCCGACGAAAGTAGATGACTCGGCAATACCTTGGAAAAAACGGATCGCCATGATGTGCTGAGGGGTTTTTGCAGCGGCGGTCACCATGGTCAGAGCACCCCAGACAAGCATCATGCTGGGGAAGAAGATGCGGGGTTTGAGATGATAGAGTGCAAGATTGCTGGGCACTTGGCCGATGATATATCTAGACACAGTCAGTATATGGTCACAGTCAAGGGACGCAAGATACTGAAGGTAGCAGCTGGAAAGGGATCGGCAGCAATGATGAAGAGAAGCTGAAAACCCAGGAATATATGTTCTACTCGAGAAGAAGATAGAAAGCAAGCATACCCAACTGTAAACACTGTGTTGATAACGTTGTACTCGTTACCCACGAAATCTAACTCCTCCTTCACGCCACTGACGTATGCATTGGCAAGGTTGGACCGATCCAGGTAATTACAGAAGTACATCAAACAGCAAAACGTCAAGATAAAGAAATCTGTTGATGTTAGTCAATATCATCGTCGAAACTGAGCAGAGTTCTTGAAAGCCTACCAAGCTTTCTGACAAGCTTTCCCTCCCCGGGATGTTCATAGGGCTGATGTATATAATCTTTGACCCGCTTGATGAATGCCATCTTGAACTTGAAGTCCAAAGAGAATTTTCTGCGACAGGTTTATTCTTTCAAGTATACCAGGGACAGCTGAATATGTAACCATCGCCCCCTGGAGTTCAGTCGGACACTCCCGTTTATGAACGACGAAGAATCTCAACCCTAAACGATATCAGCCGCTGGTGGAGCCCGAGAATGCTTGGATGATAAGAAATTCACGGCCAGAGTACGATAACGCGCAAAACGTTCAGATACCGCCGGGAAATCCGTTGATACTGTCTTTCAATCCCCGCTTATATAGAAAGATCCCCCATCTTTGAGTAATTCGTGACCCCGCCCACGGCTCGAAAGTGGGCAGTTTAGTAGCTCGCAGCCGAGCTGGTGATCGTCCATCTTGCCACTGGTCGGTACCAAGTCACGGGTCAAGTCACGTGGAAAAGGCGAGATCGAGAAGTAAACAAAGGCAATGCTGAAGTCAGTCGGCGATAACAAAAAGCAAAAGTGATGTAATAAACAGGATGTCTGATCGATCTGAAAGAACCGACACCATCAACGGTTTCACAAGCAATCGCCCATGTTGCTCCTTCCCAAAAGGACTTAAATTTGGTTTCCCTCGTCAGTTGTCCTCTTCGCCGTCAATCCAAATGCAGCAGCTGGTGTAACCGACGATGCATTTCAACAGCTTCTAAGATTCGATTAGTGTTGGGAATTCTTAAGACTTGAAAAGGTCAGAACGTCTCTTGCCAAGCTGTTGTGTGTAAAGGAAAGGAGAGTCAGAGTGCCAGACTTTGAAGTTGTCTTGGACCTATGGAACACGATATAGGCGAAATCGAAGACAGAAGACCAGTTCTGAATCATCATCTGGCGGTGTGGACGTGGCTGGTCCTACACCTGGCTCAGCTACCAAATGAATCGTGGAATCGATCATAACTTATAATAGTGAGAACGCTCACAACCGGAAATATTACAGTATCATCAAAGTGCGCTGTGCTGAGAACGAATGGCACTGAGTTTTAATACTCGTAGCTTCCAAGAAAATACCAAATAAAATTCAAAACACTTGAAGTGTCATCATTCATTCGTAACGTTGAATAACATATACAAGAACCTTGGGCAATAACGTACAAGTTACGTCCCTTCGATTTCCCCTTTCAGACTCACATCTTACTCAGTATACACGCACCCGATCTGGCGTCCCTTCTCAATCGCCTGAACCTTCGGCGCAAAAGGCGTGCAATTCGAGTTCCCAGCCGGGTTCTCAATACCAGCAGACACCCACACGCTCCAAGCACCATCAATAGAGTTCGGGCAAGCAATCAACCCCGCCTCATTGAAGTACAAATATCCATCTTTAATGTTCCATCCGGTCCTCTCAGCGTTCTTAGGCGTAGGTTGAGCACCAGTGGTGTATCCCAACTTGCCCTGTCCCATACCCGATCTGTCGACATAGAAGGTCTGAGGGGTGGCGGACGCGGCGTAAAGGTTTAGTGTGCCGTCCTTGAGTGTGAAGGTTGCTGTGTTGACGCCGCAGGCGTCACAGCTTGCATTTTGTGCGGGCAGATTGGCGAATAGAGAGCTCTTTGCGGCGCCGAATGTAGCATATTGGATGGAGCTTCCTGATCGGATGGCGAGGAGGCTGAAATAGGCTGGGTCGTTGGTGACTGGGGGTTGAGGAGTTGGGCATGCGGCGGCAAGGCCAGCGAGGGTGGTGAGAGCGGTGATGGTTGTGAATCGCATTTTGATGATTGTGAAAATGATGAAGAATGGTATTTGATTGAGAAATAGGATTTGAGTTTTGTAGTTGTGAAGAGTAGATTGAAGTGGTTGTTGTGTGGTGATGGTGGATTGAAAATACGTCGAGGCAGAGCATGTTTATATATTTTTCATCGCATCCAAGATTCCTTATAGTTTCGAGAGAATACGAGAATAGCATCCGCTGCATCCACAGCGGGTGTTCATCTCATGATTCTGATTGCCTTGTTGTCATCATAGGGGTCCATTGATCGTCGGCATTTGGTTGAACAGAGCCGCTAGCCTCCTCGTATTTACACTGCCGAGCGGAGACTTCGCTTGTGGCAAGCCCCTCGATTGGTGCGGAACGGGTAACTTTTACAGGGAACGACCTTGGCAGCGTCACAACATTTCTCCCTGGCATCGTGACTTTTGGTTTAGCAGACAGGCTGACAGGCAGACGAGACAGAGTACTACATAAGTTACTTCCCCGGACTGTATGAAGTGGATCCGCAAGAATTTTTGTTTGCTGGCTAGCCTAGCTTTGCCGATGAAACGTTCCACTTTCTATTCTAAGTTGATTTGCGGCTGAGTTGTGGAGTAGGCTTGGCTCGGAAACGTAGGTATTTTCTGTTCGGGCATATCGGCTCGGCGAATAATATCAACAGCGAGCAGTTGGATGTTTTATGCATTGAACTCATTTTGATTGGGTCCGGATGATACTTTGTGATTTTGTCGAATGAATGGAAGCATACTTGGTGCCAGAAATATTATTTGCCTTTGTGTCACTCCGAAGGGTGGGGGAGGGGGTGTTAGGGAAGGAGCTACTTGAGGTTTCCTCTGTAAATTACATAACCGCGGCTTCAGCTTACCTTTAACAATCAAGCTCGATACACCCAACACTCTGTCTCCCAACAGGGGGGAACTCGCAACACGCGAAGTTCAGGAAATTCTAGTGAACTGGAACAGCTGATTGTGATGTAAGGAAAGATAATTTGCGGGTTTTTGGAAATAGCAAGTATTTAACGTAGGTGGGTACGATATCAAAGTCATTTAGGTCGACGAATTTTGGCAAGTCGTCTCTGTATTAACACATTCATGCCTGGCATCATGGTGCCAAAATCCTAAGTACATAATCCAACACACAAAGCCTAGCGGCTAGCCCATCTATGACCACCCAATCCAACGCCATATTATAATACAAATCAGCCTCCCAATGCCACTTGGTATCCTACAAATTTACAGGTAGTCAAATTCTATCCATCCCTCATCGTCTTTCCTGCTTGATGATAACAGGAATAGACGGTGCCACAGAAGCGGTTTCATCTACGTCCATGGGATCGTCGATCTCCTCTACTCTCTCAATCATCCCACTGTCTGTGTCAAATTGCGTTGACATGACTAATTCTCCACTCAAAATCTTGCCCATGTGCGAGTTAGTGAAAGTTTGACCTAGCCGGCGAAAGCTGGTCACGAGCCGTAGAAAGTCAACCGGACTCTGGGCGAACTTGCAGATTATGGCTGTCTCGCTGTCTTGCAGAATACGAGTTTCAGGAGAGATGAAGCCATCAGCACTGATTTCAACGCCTCGGTAAGGATACTCGAATCGAAGCCCAAGGAAGCGGCAGAGTCGTTGGTATTCATCCTCGTCGCGCAAGTAAAGTTGTCTCGCAAAGAGATTGAGCACTGTGGAAATTGCTGGAACAGTCCAATCACCCCGGACAGGTGGCGTCGCACAGAAAGAAAGGCACTCTAGACTGCGATTCGAGAGACTCAGACGAGGCGTATAGACATGGAGTCGTACTCGAGATTGACCTCTCATGTACGGCAGCAACTCTTGTACCTCGAAAGGACTCATCACAAGGTAGGAGTCCTGGCGACCTGGACCCTTAAAAGAGAGAATCCAATTGACAGGACGCAAGAAAGAGTCCTTATTACCCTCGTTGTATATCTCGGGCACCAAGACAGTAGCTGCGAAATCGTGAGACATAAGAAGGTTTTCAGGCCAGTCATCTGCGTTCAGTCGGTCGCGAGCACGGGTGAGGTCGAATACCCGGAAAGCCTTTTCCACCCCTTCACGTGAATTTAGCTTGCCGGTGAGGACAAGTTGTCGGATATCTTCGTGCAATACGTGCTTATAAGGCTTGGTTGGAGGTGGTGCCTCGACTTGCTGCTCACGCTCGTTTTCGGGATGAAGCTCTCTTTCCTGCTCTTCATGCAGATCCGAATCACCAAAAGACTTCAGCCCAAACTCTCGGCACTTAACTCGGATAGAAGAGAGTTCAGTTCTCGTCAGATCGGTCTCAGCCTGGATGCGATTTCGACAAACTATCCCCTCCTCGGCAGACACTCGGTCGAGTCCATAGCGTTCTTCTAACGTGAGAGCTTCAGGTTCGAGTATTCCCAGTGGTATTCGGGGTACCAGGCCAGAATAGTCACATGCAGCGCGTCGGCGATAATGACGGATACCCTGTTTGGCACATTAGCATTGTTTCAATTCGGGATTTCTCAAGAGTCTTTGACGCTAAGAAAGATTATAGAGAGCTGGGTCTCAAAAAAATCTAAAAGACAAATGGGGGGAGTGCTGACCTGTGTCGCCCATAAGGGCATGCCCTTTTTCGTAAACTCCCAAGAATTCCGCATAGTCCAAAACAACACATCTTCTACATCAAGAAGTGAGGCATCTTTCTTTCCACTGCACTCTAGGAGTTTCGACCGGACTTCCAATGGAGCACAGAAGACGACTGATTGACCATGACCAAGTTTTCGGAGGCGTTTACAAGCTAAGAAAATACAAATTAGCTAAGTGAACTTTCATAAATCCCGAAATTCCATACCTTGGGCAAGTCTGTCTTTGGTAAGATCGGGTCCCAGAGTAACTATAGCTCGATAGTCCGAAGGCATCTTGATATCTATACCTCGAGTATGCGCCTCATCCTGGAATAGAGCATAAATTAGCACATGATCTGGAACCATCATAGGAGTGAAATGAGACGGCCTCCAAGGAAAGACAGATTTTCTCAAATGAGCGAAGATTGGAACGGACAATGCACTCACAAGATAAATCAGGACCTGGTCCAGTTGCTTGGCAAAGGGAGAGATTAGTAAAGGCTCTTTCATGCCTTCTCGATTCAGCACATAAATGTCATCATCATGGATGAATACTACGGCCTGTGCATTGTCGGGGGACACCTTGTCCAACCAGTTGGAGGCTATTCTCTCGTTGTCGTCAAGGAGCTGGGCGCCGACGTCCAGAAGAACTCGGATTGGGGGATCCATGTTGACTGCTATATCAAGAAGGGCTGCTGCGTCGAGAGCCTCCACCCGTGGTGCGTAGACGGTATCATACATATTTTCAGGCTGGAGCAGACACGCTAGTACCTCTGCATTGGTGGACAGCTGTTCGGGCAGCTCGCACTGCTTAATCGGAATTGGTAGCATGTACTTGCTGTCGTTCGTTCCACTGAACCCAGTAGTGGGGTGTGTCTTTTCGCGAGCGATCTCCCATCCAGAGGACGACAACTTGTTGCTGAACTCCTTCATTTCCTTGGGGAAAACCAAGTGTTCTAAGTAGTAGTCGATGAGGCCCTTCGAATGACGGAGTGCAGGAAAGAGTTCTTGCGTGCATTGATGCTTGTCTCTGAGATTGACTCCGGCTAAGCGCTTGAACTTCTTTGGAAAGTCCTCCGAGTATTGGATCCATCGCACATACTCCTGTGCAGCAATTATGTCAGCCTGATATTCAAGAAATCCTCAAGATGTATCTAAGTGCATTGCCGAAAGATCCTCCGACTTAGGTATGGCCGTTTCTGTGCTCTCTCTTAATATTTGAAGGGGCAAGCTTACCTCCTGGGACTGATCTGAGAGCAGGAGCTCTTCAAAGCTGTCATGGATTTGCTCGTCAGTTAGACCACCATAGTAGTAGGACAAACATGTTAACGCGATCGCGGTATCTGGGTGGCTGAATTCGGACCTAGGGCTTGGCTACACGATCCGCTTATCAGCAATAGCCCTTCAGCAGCAGTCATCAGTGTTGACTCACGTTATCTTTCGCGTGGTATGGCACCGCCAGCATACTTCTCGAGAGATCTAGTCCATAGTTCACTCTCCATTGCTTCTTCGCAAAGACGAATGCCAGCACGCCAGCGGCAAAGAGTCCACGAAGCAACAGCAAACTCATCTTGGTGAACTGGGTTTTGAAGACCTTCTCCTCCAGAATTTCAGCTCTGGCCTTCGACATATGTAGGTCCGTGATGTATTCGAGCACGAAATCTCGTTCTTTTTCACTGAATGTCTGCAGCGAATATTTGAATCAGCATGGGCAAGGTGTGGAATCAGGGTCTAACGCAATGTCTGGAGAAATATTTGGCACTACTTACCCATGTTGGGAAAGACACCATTCCACTTCGAACAATAGCCTTTGCCACTCTCTATAGGAGAATCTTGCCAACATCTTCGTGCAAGATCCGGATTCGAGGAAAAGAACCAGCGAAACCTGTCATGATCTCGAGACCCTACCTCGACAAATTAGCATATACCTCCATTAATATTGCCTGCTTTCGATTCTTCATCTCGAATGCCTTTGGTCCTAGTGATCCTTGGCATACAAACAGAAACCCCTCTCGCAGCCAATCGTTTTCGGGCGGTATGACCATGCTTACCTTCGGAAACTCTTCCATCATCTTTTGTGTAGTCTCACCCAATACCCCAAGTACACGCTGGATAATGACCCAGCGATCAGGACTGAACTGAACATTCTGTTGCAGCCCTAATGTATAGATCAACTCGTACTTCACCGACAGAATCTCATCCGATTCATCCAGTACATCTCTGGCGTGTTGATACAGCCACTGTTGAGTTTTGACCATGAGCTTTCCCGTCTCATAGTTGGCTAAAGAGAGTTCCAAGGAGTCCTCAGGAGAGGGATTTGCCTCAGCCTTGGGGGTATTCAATTCTCGGGAAAGTAGATAATCAATACCCAGCAGCTCAAAGGACAGAATGCTTTCCGGTTGCACCAAAAGAACACCCCCACAAGCCATGCACTCCTCGAAGGTCTTCTGAATCAACTCGGCTGATTGCAGAGTCGGTTTCAATGATCTCGAGATCGGCAGTCGATAGATTCGTCGACCGATCAGTCCGCCCAATTTGCTGACAAGTAACTGGAACATTTGCTCCGAAAGGGATTTGAGCACAACGACTCTGACAAGTTTCGATTGATCTGCCAGTGTTGCAGCGACTATAGGGACGATGACAGAGCTCTTGCCGAGTCCCATATTCAGCTGCATGATAGAATTGGCACCCGATTGAGGCTCGATCATCTCACGAGCAATTTGTGCTGTTCCTCAGAGTAAGCAAGTGTCCAAGGTAAATAAAATGCGTTTATACAAATGCGAAAGAAATTGGTTTTAGCGGCTGAGATGTCAAAGCGAACTTCCTTACCTTGTTCTGGTCTGATGAGCAGGTTGTTCTCTAGCTCTAACAAGAGCCATTCTGGGAAGTCTTCGGGATCCCAATTTGTATGTCCACCATTCGTCAACTCGGTCAAGATATCTGCATCTCGTTTGCCGCATGCAACTATTCGCTGGGCTCTCTGAAGGGATGCGACAGATAATGCGTATCGAATGATAGCCAGTTTCCATTCTGCACTCAGGGTGACGGGATTGTAACGCGCCAGGAGACGAAGAAGTATGCTCGGCGATAAACGAGGCAATAGAGAGGCTTGTCGAGCACTGTCGTAAGTAGTGGAGCCATAAACGACAAACTTCGCAGTAATTTTCTTGCTAAAGATTGTAAGATTGGCATTGCCCCATGGTCCAAATATGAGAGCACTTGGATTGTTCCAAAGCAGAAGAGAGAAAGAACGTGATTCTCCGGTTCTCGGAACGAGCAGATTATAAGAAACGGTGGCAGAAGAAAAGACCTACAACAATGTTCCTGCATCATCTTGGCATTGTTCCAGATGATGCTTCAACTCCGCGTAAGGAGAGGCGGTTGTGAGTTCATGTTTAGTTGACGAAGTGGCGAGAAAGGCGTTGTGGCTATTCCTCATGTCCTTGACATAGCTGTTCTGATAATATCCAGTAGCAGTTCTGGAGAGCTTCGTTAGCAGGGACTTCAACTTTGATGGCCCTTTTTCTGCTTCGCCTAGCTGAATCTGATCAGTAACTTTGAAGAAATCTTCAAGATCGTCTTGCGGCAGAGGCAATTGAGGAGCAGGGTTTTGCAGCAGGTCGTCCATTCTGAGGTAAGCACGTTTGGCTTGGTAGACATCTTCTTGGGGTGGTATAGCGTAATGGTCGGGCATTTCTTCTGGTCTAGGCAGCGAGTCGAGCACATCCTGAATGTCTAATCCCAATCAGCTATTGTAACGAAGAAGTCAAGCGCCTTATTGCTTCGATGTAGTGAGGTGCAGAGCAGCTTGACATTCTGCTTTAGCAAGAGGTACAATATCGGGTCCAACTTACCTTGCACATAAGTTTGAAACTCTAGGTTTCTGTGCCACATCCCAAACATAGATTGGATCTCCCCAAACCTGCTTTTGAGGCCAGGTAGATAAGTCTTGATGTCCGCCGTACGCGGACGGGAAACATTCTTCGTCGGCCACTGCTGCATCAAGGCTTGTAAGCAGTTCCCGACCTGAAGTTTTGTCGCGGAATGATAGGTAGCGACACGTCTATATGCGAGATCCTCTTCGTGCTCCTGAGGAAGAAGGGGAATGAACCTTTCAGGACTTGCATCGAATGAGACTTTGCATTCGTCGATGATGGTTCGGAGACTAGCTTTGTCCGGTTCGAAGCCTTTGGATAAATCAAACTTGTCGTATGGGGGTGGCTGTAAATTACGCAGAGCCGGAACTGTAGCAAAGGCCAGCAAAGTGTGAATAAGGGGTACATTGCGCCATTTTCCATGAGCGAGATTGGCCAAAAGAATCGTTATGCCATACTTATCTCGGCTGGAATCAGAGTTCGACAAGAATGACTGAAGAGGCGTTAGTGTTCGATGGAGAAGGCAGAGTTCATCTCAACTCACTTGAATACTGAACCATTGCTGTGGCATAACATATTCTGGAGGCTGCAGCCAACGTTTGTCGAAACTGCAATCAAAGTTCGGCTGCGGTCCATAGAAAATCGGTCCCCATGACAGCAGCTGCTGGAACAGATTCGTCTGTGGTTCAAGCCGACAGCTCCATGTGTCTACAAGGGTAGAGACGAAGCATGCTTCGTGCTCACGTAGACTGTTAGGAATTGCGTCGCGGGCACCAGCGTATATCGAATCATAGCTGGATGTGAAGTCTTCTGCACCAAAGGTATCGAGCCGGTAATACGCATTGCGTACAGATGCTCGATTTCGAAGCTCTATAGCGCCTCTAGCATCAATGTGATACTTAGTCTTTGCCGCTGCCTGGAACGCACGATACGATTCCGCTTGAGTTAGCATCAGGCCAGCTTCCGTAACGAAACCCTCGTGATGAGACAGTGGGGATAAGTTTTCCCAGCAGACCATCTGCGTAGAATTCACCGTCTCCTTTGATGCTTTATTCTTAGGGTAGTAATCACGACTCGGAGTGAGTTTCGCGAACAGCTTGAGCAGATCAATATGTTCTGCATCAAGTGAAAGGAAAGATCGAGTACTGGCCAATCTCAGCCCATGAAGCGCTTCTTCAGTTCCTGTCCTTCCAGTCAGACTGTCAGGAAGACAATGTGAGGTGAGAGCATGAAGATAAAGTTTGAACAACCGACTTCGAAGGCTGCCATTGTCGACGAGTAGTCCCAAGGTTTTATCGATGTCAAAGCGGTGGTACGATACCTTGTCGTCCGAGCCAGTGGAGATGGTTACTGAAACATGATTATTCTGCTCAAGGTGATGAAATGCCACGCTTCCATGGGGAATAATGACGTTTCGCAAGCGTCCCTCGGCTTCCTTCAAGACCTTGGGTGTAGAGTCAGTGCATACACTATGTAAAGAGTCGTCTTTGGATGCTCAGTGGGATCAAAACAGGAAGACCCCAGAAAAGAAATCAAAGACGAATTAGAAATACCTACCAATTTGTGAAGCAATCCATGTAAGGTCCCAATTTGCTGGTTCGTATCCACGACCATACCTCTAAATTGTTTGGATTCCAAACCGGTATTACGTAGGATAAAGTCTAGATTCATTCGCGGCAAGCGAATCTCGGTCTCCTCAGTCTGACTGTTGTAGAATATATTGATATTCGAAGGGACCTCTAGCGGAGCTAGCCATCGACAGACAACCGTCGCTGTTTCGCTCGCAGGTTCTACCAAGCGGCGGTTTCTTAAAACAAGACCTGCGTTGGGCTCTTGTGGCATCGAAATTCGCCAATTGTCAGCTGAGAGCACCCATTTTGATTCCAATGGTCTAAATTCAATTTCCATAGTCCCTCTGTGGCACCAATGGACGTAGTTGTTGATGAGGGCTTTTGGGAAATCTTCCTCAAGGGCATGGATAGGGATGGCTTCGTACATTTCAAGTCCATGGCATGCTCTGACAATCAATTCTTGACCGTCAAGAGCAAAATGCACTTGAAAGCCATGGACAGTATTCCTCGTTTGGAAATACAATCCCTTACGTGATGGAATCACCGCAAGGATCTTGTTGCCAAACAAGCGGCGGTAGGTTGGATGCTCTTCATACTCGGGCGGGAGGCGTGACAAGGGACGACCGTTGATTAGAAGGTTCCCCAACAATGTATCGTAATGGATCGTCATAGATGAGCCGTGCTCCGATGCTGCAGATTGACTCGTTACCCATCGGTCATTTGGCGCAGCAAGCACGCTCCATGGCGTTCCAGGTTCGTAGTCAGTCCACATCCTTCCTACTGCTTTGTTAATGCCCTCTGGAGCCGAGACAATCTTCTCTTTCAATACTGATTCCATCATATGAGAAGTCCTAGAGAATCGCCTGAGAAGCTCTCGAGTCATTGTGGTCAGAGGTTCTTCTGACACTGGCCAGCGATCATCGATCGTTGTCGCAGCTTCAATGAGTATCGCAACAGTCTCGGTCGACGATAGCAGAGATGGTAGCTGACGAGGGTCGACATCAAAGGTACTATGACAGATGAGTGCCAGCTCAAGGACTCTGAGAGTGAGATAAGCAATGTCATCCTCGTCTGCGGTTTCGTGAAGAAGCTTGCTGACATCTCGAAGCCATCCAACTGTGACCATTCGAGCATGCTGGAGGAATTTGAGGCAGCGAACTCGAACACTTTCATAAAGCGACATAGATAGAAGGCGGGTTGTCAAAGAGATGAAGCAAAGTGCTGCTGTACATCCTTGCCAATTGCTCTCAATGGAGGCCATTCCTGCTTCTATGGCAGACAGTAGGTCTTGGCCGAACCCCTCCTCTTCCAAATCAACGTGCGAATCTCTCGAAACCTGCTGAAGAGCTGATGGACGTTAGTGCGAACATACCACCAGCAAGAATTACATACCAGAGGGTCCAGCTTGACAAGAAGCTTGGAGGAGAAGCAGATACACTTCTTCCAATCCAAAATTCAATGTTCTGGAAACAAGCTCCCGAGCAATATTCATCCATTGAAGTCTATTTCCACAACGCAACGCCACGAACGCATGAAATTCATGAACAGTCATACCATCGGGACAGTCGCCTTGCAACGCAACGACTTCGTTGGGAGTATGTGTGGTATCAGATACAGCATATTGAAGTGGTCGATAGCAAGTTTTTGGAAGCTTCAAAGTACACCTGTCCTGGATGTTGTACTTGCCAAGATGTTCTCCCACGGCACGCTGAGAATTGGCATCTTGCATGAAATAATTCAGAGCGTTCGATAGGCATACACTCTCTTCCGAGGCACTAGAAACGAGTTGTGAGCGACGCGGAGTGTCGACATGAGGTTTTGTGGACGACGCCAACTGCACTCTGTCAGGCTTCGATTTCAGGTGTCTCGCAAGGCCTTCGTATTCAGTAAGTATTGTGCCCCTAGGTTTCACTCTAGGAGGAGGGATTGCACTGAACACATCGGCAAGAATTCGATATGTTGTTGACCTCCAGCTACGGAATAGATCGGGTATATCCAGTTCAAAGACGACAGATTTGGCGGCAGCTTCAGATGATGGGAGCGGCCACTCATGACATTCTATCTTCATCATTGAAGCTTGCTTGATGAGGACACATTTCAGGCAGGTGCTGACATGAGTCTCTCGTTGCGTCCTATTGCTACCTCTGCCAACCCACTTCAGGATAAACTCACATTGAAGATTGCTTGATTCTTCAATGATTTTCGCATGCACAGATCTTCTTTCTCTCAACTCGATCTTTTTCGAATTCTTTTGATCTCTGGCTTCCTGTTCGATGTGGATCCTTAATACCTGGTGGGCATTGGACTGGTCAAAGTACTGGGCTCCAAAGCTTGTCGGCGACAAGACGTCCCCAAATATCGAAGGATTTGCGTTGTTCGAGTTCGTCTTCCGCTTCAAGATATAAGTCTCGACCTTTCGTAACTGGTCCATCTGGTTGGTGCCTTTTGGGAAGAAGTAGAGACCCGAAAAGTGTCAAAGGTAAAGCGGGATCGAACTTAGTTAATAAAGGGTACTGTATCACAAAATGAAGTCAACACAATGATATCTGATATCAAAGGGATCACCGAAGCCATAGTTGGAACAGAAAGGATGAGAACGTAACATTCACGACAACTTACATGGGAGACGGCAGCCTTGTCGAGGGCAACCCATAGAAGCATCAAGGTTAGAACCATGACAGAGAAGCGTTCTGGGGACCCGGTGAAAACAAGCATGAAATTATTCATGTACCAGTTGGTGAGTTTGGACAGCTTAAGCATATATTTCTCGGATTTTACATGTTGCTCGAGCCACGAATCCAAATGTACTGAAACCCACTACAATCAAACCCAATCAGTACCATAAGCACAAAACATAACATTTCCGATTATACTTACAAGTTCCAAATCCAGCAAGCTAAGCTGAATCTCTCTGGTAGTCGGCTCTTTGAGCAATGATGCATCTGGGAGAGACCTTCCAGGACTGTTGATTCGAGGTCGGCATTTGCCTTCAAAGATGATTTCTTCGCGCTCTTCGAACTCTGCGATATGGAGTTGTCTGAGATATGGCCTGAGCTTCGATAGACCTAATGTTGTATCGGTGTGAGGCTTCAATTTCCTGAGATCCGCAAGATGAAATGTTCTAGCTGAATCAGAATGTTTCTTTTGGAGGCTTTGCCATCTTTTAGTCATTAATGTACGAGCAGACCCCATCGTTTCCAAGATGTAACCTTGCGCCTGAGCAGCCCAGGGAAGATCGGTCATAATAGGCCCCAACTTTTGAATGCGTCTGTTTACCTTTGCAAGCATAATGTGTAGTGTGTCGCTGGGAGCATCATCAGTTACAGCCATTTCGAGTACAGTGGCCATGAAGTAAACCATGAACACTTTATACCGAGTCTGATCTCTATTCTTCGTCGCAAGAGTCGTTTGCATCGCGACACGGATCAGCATCCACCGAGGAGAGCGACGCCACGGCTCTACGCCAGATCCCCACACCACCTCATCGCGTGTGCGTTTAAAGATTCGCGGGACTTCGAGTACTGAACCTATGCCTCGCAATATCCCAGGTAGCCATTCGGTGGCGAATTGAGGATCGGCAGAATCACGGAATATACCCGTAGTGTGGCTCGTGGCAGTCTCTAGTGGCTCGATGTCTAAGTACATGAGACAATTCGTGAAATGCTTCTGGAAGTTATGATCACGAATCCGTTGATCTGCCACTGCGATAACAGGGCCAGGGAACCGGCGGACCAGTCTTCCAACGGACGTTGTGACAGCTTTAGCAGATGCAGAAAGCTCGAAGGTTTCGATCGAGTATGTGTGAATCTGTTTCCGCAGAATAAGTCCAGCATTTTGTTGTGTAATGTGCAGGGCAAGGGCATCTATTGACTGGTCAGCATGATAATCCACACAACGCCGGCTCGAGTGTCTCACTCACCTCCAGCTGTCATTTCTTCAATCTTCGCCCCAAGTTTTTTGATTGGCGACTCCAGCTTGCCAACCTCCATGAGGATGCTCAGCATGGGAGGGAGCCGCTTGTATTGGCTAGTCTCATCATCATCTGGCAGAAGCTCTATGAAATTGTTAAGCGTATCGTGTACAAGCTTCGTTAAAATCACTTCTTCTTCTACGCTCGTGTCGTTTTCCGTAGGAAGCTTGGGAGGTAGAAAGACATGGTCAATGATGTACTCCAATGGGAACTCGCCTGGCGCATCAGGCTCCATGTTGAATCGTGTGGTGAGGGTCACTGAATGGAGCCGCTCGACAGTCCTGAAATAGGAAAACCGGTGCTGTGAAGCTTCAGAGCATTCTGAAATCGAGAATTGATCTTGACCAACTGCGAATTGATAAATCAGTGGGATTTTTGCTCTATGGACAGGAGGTTTCGGAGAGAAGGGTTCAAGCAGGGGTTGACGCGCCAACTTAGCGCCAATTTGAAGACGCGAACCCGAAAACACGTGGATTGAGTTCTGCAGCTACCTAAGCGTGTTTCAGTGGGAAACTTGGGGGCGGGCCGCTCCACAGGTCTCTTGATAAGAAGGTCAAACATCGTCACGAATGTGATAAGAAAAGAAATCTATCTAGCTGGCTTTGTAGACGGCTTTCAAGTTTATTGTTCGATTCCTTCTCGTTTCTGTTTGCACCTCTGCCCCTCTTTCAATTTCACTTTCAATTTTATCAGTGTGTACTTTGGGAAGAGGAAATTGTGGGCAAGGCTAGAACAAAAGCCTAGTTACTTTGCTGTTTGCTATTTGCGTGCTTCAAATGTAACATATTTCGCTCTGCGCACATTAGATCAGATTATAATTTGTTGCTTGCCCTCTGGACTCGAAGTCTTCCGCAATTCCCTCTGCATAATGAAGTATTGTTTGCTAAGGCATGTCCTGGAGAAGCGTGATTGTAAGAGAAGATCATGGGGTTTGGGAAAGGCATGCTCAGCAGGGACCAAAAGTAAGTGCAGTACGGACTTGAGGATCTCTGGAGACCCACAAGTCTTCAAGCTTGGTATCTGTCCTAGAATACATGCACAGCAATGTTTCCTGGCTTATCTCGCTGGATAGATCCGCGTTCGAGTCGCGTCGAGAGCTTGACACTGGTAACGAATCCAGATTGGCTGGAAGTCGCAGCATGGAGACATTGGGAGAACGGACAGTCTGAACTGTTGCTTGGATCGTAGAATTCTGAACGATGGTTTCGTAGGTCCGTATTTCTTGTCTGTTGACACTGAAAGGGTTCACAAGCTGTCAGACATTACAGTCCAGAAAGGCAGCGACTTTTCCATCTTACAAGCTCTCTCACACCCGGTCAAGAAGTCATCGGAAACCAAGGCCACCCATCAATAATCAAGAATACAACAAGTAACTAGAGCCAGTGTGATATAGAGTCAGAAGAACGAAGATCATTCATTACACAAAGAATTTCTAAAATTTTGTCTGTATGACTGACTGGCACAAAGGCACAGAAACATGTACCCAAAAAGTACCTCCCACACTCCAAACTCCTTGAAAAATGCACCATACTCGCATATTACTTTATATATAGATTTACTTTCCACCTTCATGCAACGCTACATCTCAAAAAATCAAGCTGTACAATCGATTCCGAGCTTGGCGTGGTTTACTGAGGCCGCCTGATACCGCTCCTTACACTCAACCTCTCCGATCCCATACTCGGACGTGGCGTAATGGACCTATGGGTTGCCGTCGGTGGCCTCCAGCCAGGTTGATCTTCATGTCCTCCAAAACTAACAGGGCTGAGACTGGGGTCGCGATAATGGCTCCCGTGATCCGTGCCAATGTGGCTGACAGGACTCGCGCTAGCGCCTCGAGCATGCATCTGCTCCTTGGAATAACCTCCCTCGCCATCACCAGCATCTCTCGCCGTAGCAGCAAGCATGTCGAGTTCGGCCGTGAGAGTCGTCTGAGACTTGATGAAGGAACCGCGGTTATCGCCCATAGGCTGATATCTTGTCTCGGGGTCTTTGCGGATGACAGAGAGAGTGGAGGCGACGAGGACGATGATCAGAAGGATGAAGACAAAGATGACATTGAGGAAGAAGAAAATTACGCCGCAGACACCGATGAGGAGACCTGGGCCATCGAAAACATCGGTGAAGATGAGGAGGAAGACAGCGTTGAGGAATTGCACAACGCAGATGGCGATGTGCATGCTGTTGGATGTTTTGTCCATATAAGGTCGGATGACGGAGACGCCAATGAGAGCTGCAGCTTCGATGATCAAGAGAGCAATAGCTTGAGCGAGGCCGGATTTCTGAGACAGGCCGACGAAGAAGGATTTCAAAAGGATGTAGAAAAGAGTCGGCGCGATGTACCAGTAGGCCGAGGCGCGGAATTGAATAAAAAGGAAACCCCATTTCTTGAGGGTGGTGGCGTTTGTGTACAAGAGATAGGCGGGTGTTTGATGCTTGTGTCCTGAGCGATGAGCGATGGTCATGACGTGGAAGGCGGCGAGATAGAGAGCACCATTCATGCCGACAAAGAAAATGACTGCCATAAAGACCTCGGCTGGGGAGTCGACTTGTGTGAATTCCCAGAGCGATAGGATCATCATGGGTGCGTAACCGATGAGAATGAGACGGAACATTGTGCCCTTCAACATGATTCGCCAGTTGTCGTGGAAGTCCTGGAAGCGGTTGTTTTGGCTCTCCATCCACCTTGCTCGGATAGCTACGTCGCAAAGTACCTTGAAGAGGAAGATGACGAGAAGTGTGAAGAAGCAGAAGATGAAGTAGAAAGTCACGCATGTGACATAGAGGTTGGTCGGCTCCATTGGCGCGAGGAAGGCTGCCCGCTGGAGACCAGTTACAACATAGGCCCCACCAGCATTGGTGACAACGGTTTGGGTTCGTCGATAGATGGCATGTCCTGCCGCGACGATGGCTTTCCCACCATAGTTATCCAGACCACGCTTGGCAACTTGCACCGATTTGCTTCCGAGTGTCACGAGGATGCTCGTTGGTTTACCTCCAGTACCTCGTTGATACCAAGTAGCAAACTTTTGGAGAAATCCGACCCTGATGATTCCTACCGACCAAACGAAATCCTGAGTCCAGGAGATGACAATAGGTGGGAGGGGGACTGCGCAGAGGCCGATGATAGCGATGTTCTGGAAATAGCTGAATAGTGCTGTTGCGTACAAAGAGACGTGGGCAGCAGTGTTGGTATGGCCAAGTCCAGAAACAATGGCTGATGCTAAAAGTCCAATAATCGCAATCGCTGCTGTTGCCCACTTCACTGCGGTTTGGTTGACTGTCTTGCCATTGGAAAGACGAAGACGGACACAGCCTAGTCGATGCGATTCAATCTGACTGTCGCCCCGGGCATACATGTTGATCTCTACGACGGCATCCAGATCCGGAATAGTATAAGCAATCCCGGGGATGTTTCCGATGGTATCGGTTGAGATATTTTCAAAGGTCTCATAGAAGCCGATATCAATGTGTTGTAACGGGCAGAGCGTTTCCAGACCTGAGAATGTACAAGGATCCAAGTTTGTTCTGAGGAAAGTATAACCATAGGCGGAGGCTGTGACATTAAATGTCACATTACCTTCATATGTCGACTGGCCGTCGAAGGTTAGTGATGCGGATCTGTTCCCCGGTGTGAAAGCAACGTTGAAGAGAGTGGCAGAGATGGTAGAGTTGTCCTGACAGATTTCCAGAGAGGAAGACTGGAAGACACGTTCAGCCGAGCCCAGAGATCCTAGAGAAAGCAACACGGACAGCGCCGCCGCGCCATAGGAGGGGAGACGCATCGCGAAGGTGTGATGGAATTAATTAGCTGAGATCAGAGGTGAGAGAATTCTGATCCGGACAAAGCAGGTGAATAGGTATTTAGGATCAGAATGAACAAAGGCGGGGCACGTGGTTTGGTTGTCCGGAGCTCACAACTCGAGATGCAGGAACGAGTGTGGGGTTAGTGAGTGTGAGCTGGGTCGAGATGGGGTTGAGTTGTCGTCGAAGATCGTTTGATGACTTCAGATTGGCTTCAGATGCTGGTTTGGTGGTCCTTGCGTAATAGTTGCAAGAGCATCCAGATTCAAGAGGGCGTGTGATAGAACAGAGCGAGCGTGAGGGTCGACGTGGCGGCGAGTGTGCTGGGGAAACCGGAGTTCAGGAACAGATCAGACCGGAGAGAAGCAACACGTCGTCATCGAAGTTGAAGATCCACCGGTTAGGAGATAGATGGTTGTTATGAAGAGAAAGATCGAGGGCGAAACGACAACAGGTTTCGCATGTCGTGGTTGATGAGGTGCAGGTGGTGGAGGGTGGTTGTTGTTTGGTCCTGACCCTGGGTGGTGGTGTCGGGTGGCCAAGGTCTGAGGAACTGGCGCGAGAAGCTGACGGGACTGGGACTGGGACTGGGACTGGGACTCGTGGGAGTGAGGAAAGGGAGGGCGGGGAGGGGCAGGCGAAAGAAGGCCGAAAACCTGATGGGATGGGAACTTGAAAAATTTCATTTCCCTGCACAGCCCCGATCCTCCCGGACACGGCCCTGTCTGACCCTGCGAGCGAGCTGCCAAGCAATCCAGCGAGCCCAGTCAGCCGAATTCAGGTCAGGCCCTGCGGGTAAGCTCGTATCCCGACGCTGGCTGGCTCGCTTATCTGTGCACTACAGCATAAAAGCAGAGCGGACCTGGGGAAAGGCAGGGAAAGGGGGGCTGGCTGGCAGGCAGGCAAATATTAGGTTGTGCATTCCCAGCAAACCAGAATGCTGCCCTGTCGAGCCTATTCAACGTATTATGCCCAGCTGGGCCTAGAGGAGAGTATTTACGTAGTCTACGGATCACCAGGTTGTCACGCTGCAGGTGGACGTGCAGTCTTCTTGCATCACATAACATCACATCTTCAACAGTCACAAAATACCTCGCCCAGGGGTAAATTCTCGAAAGCATCGCATCGCACCGCATCGTCTGTTTGGCGCCCTGAGCCCACGAGGCAGGTTGCATCTGTTCGAGAACACGAGAGAGCTTTAAATTGCCATTGACCGTACACCACCGCTGCGCCTCGCTGAAATACCGTACCGACCCCTCCGCTTCCAAATTCAACGGCCTCATTGCCGCCTTTGTTGACTCTTAGACTCGTATTATTGGATCCCTCAGCCAAGCGCCCTGAAAGGCTTTCATCCTTTTCCTCCATTCTTCTCCTCTCCTCCAAACCCCGTTTCCGTACTCTTCCATCCACAGATCAGTTCACCACTCCTTGGCAACCGGCCGCACCGTCGGACTGGAATGCGCGATCCATATTTAGAGGGGCACCACTTCAAAACCACCGAGCCTGCGCTTGTCGATGATTTAAACTTATTTTAGCAGCACCCACTCAGCGCATCCGAAGCTCTTTATTTCGCGATTCCTTTACTCCTTTGGGCTCTGGTTCCTGAAAAATTGCCCCACGCCCCTTAAATACGAGACAAGGTTCTGCTGGGCTCCTGCGCTGCGTCATCTTACGAGGTTCGGCCAACCCGCCAAGTCGATTTTTGGCTCTGTCAGCCTTCCACCTGCAGCGAGCGAGGCGAAAGTTGAATCCGGAGACAACCTCATTTTTACAACGCCATCAACACCCACCCAACCTCGTGCTCATACAACAACAGCATCTCTTCTCCAGATCCACTCGCTCATCTGGAGTATTGAGAGTCGTCGGATAATGAACAGATGATGGTGCGCTTCAATCTGTCCGCGCTGGTGCTGGCGCTTTCTGCTTGGAATTATGGAGTCGCCGGCATCGACCTCGACATCGAATCTGAGGGTGAGTGATGTCGGATTGTCCATTTTGGGCTTCTCGAGAGATTTCAGTAGCTAAAGCCAAATTCCAGATTCGATCAAGTCAGTCGTAAAGACGATTGCTGCAGACATGTTTGAGTACTATTCAGCAACTCCAGGCGTGATCATTTCCAACATTCCGGGCCAACTACCAGGTCCTCCTCCAACTCCCGCAATCACCAATGCTGGTTACTTCTGGTGGGAAGCTGGAGCCATGTTTGGGGCCTTGATCGATTACTGGTACTACACTGGTGATGATACTTACAATAATGCAACCTTCGACGCCCTGCAACATCAGGCCGGGCCAAAGCACGATTACTTCCCCGATAACCAGACCTTGGGCATGGGTAACGATGATCAAGGTACGATTCACCAGCTTATAACAAAGCAGATCACTTATTTTTTCCTCGATCACGTGATATTGACATCCTTCCAGGTTTCTGGGCTATGTCTGCTATGACTGCCGCCGAGCTTGGCTTCCGAGACGCCGAAGAAGGTCAGCCACAATGGATTGCCCTCGTTCAAGCTGTGTACAACATGCAGCATCAGAAGATCGATGATGTATGCAATGGCGGTCTTCGCTGGCAAGCATTGAAATTCCTCAACGGATACGACTACAAGAACTCCATCTCAAACGGATGTTTCTTCAATATTGCTTCCAGACTAGCCTTATATACAGGCAATTCCTCTTATGCTGATGAAGCCGAGGTGATCTGGGAGTGGATGGAGGGCGTTGGCTTCATGGATGCAAAGTACAACGTTTTTGACGGTGCCGGTGTGAAAAATGATGCCAACTGCACTGAAATTTACAAGGCCCAATTCTCGTACAATGCAGGCGTGTTCCTTCACGGTGCAGCTGCCATGTACAAATTCGTAAGTCCCTTCCTCAACACTTCTACAATATCATCATTCCCACGAGCCACACCTAAACAGCCATGCTTGATGTCACCCTCACTAACACCACTCTAGACGAACGGCAGCGCCATCTGGCAATCCCGCCTCCAAGGCCTCCTCACCCAAACCATCGCGATCTTCTTCCCCGACGGAATCTGCTACGAAGTCGCCTGCGAAAAAGCCCTCATCCACTGCACCATCGACATGCTCTCCTACAAAGCCTACCTAACCCGCTGGATGGCCGCCTCCACCAAATTCGCCCCCTTCATAACCGACGCCGTCATGCCCGTCCTCAAAACCTCCGCCGTCGCAGCCGCCAAGCAATGTTCTGGGTCGCCCCCCGACCGCCCCAACGGGCGTATGTGTGGTCTTAGTTGGAGCGAAGGCGAGGTGTGGGATGGAACGAGTGGAGTGGGGCAGGAGATGGCTGCTATGCAGGTTATTCAGGCGAATCTGATTCAGAAGGCTAGAGAGCCGTTGACGAACGCGACGGGTGGAACGAGTAAGGGCGATCCCGGGGCTGGAGGAGGCAGTCCTGCTGGTACCGATCCGACGATCTTGGAGCCGTTGACGACGGGAGATAAAGCTGGAGCAGGTATTTTGACAGCAGTTGTGGCTGCGATCATTCTGAGTGGGTTGGTGTGGGTCAGTTTACCGGATGGAAATGTTTAGTTGGAATGAATGTGTTGGAAGGAGGAGGGGAAGAGCGAGCGAGGAGCTCATGTGAGGATCGGGGAAATACGATATCAGTATGGGCGGAGAAAAGAGGAAACTTGGCTTTATGGATGTATATTTCGGAGTTTGATGGGTTGGACACGTACAAACAAATTTTGCTTGCTCGCTTACCCTGCGGTGTCCTTTAATGTTCTATCTGTTCATTTATGGCCGAACTTCCAGAATCTCGAGTGAACTAAGAAATTGTTCACTCGCACCGTAAACTGCTAATCAACCATGCCCAAAATTTAGACTTTACGTTGCTTTGCTATTGGCCATTGCCAGGAGAATATTCAACGCTCGCTTCCTTTTGCCTATACCAAAGGGATATCTAGAATATCAAAACAACACCAGAACGCCAGTAGTGCTGCTTTATGTATGGGGAGAAATATCTGTGCTAGATGTTTCAAAGTCCAAAATGGTCTCCAAATTGCCACGCTCTTTCCGCATTACCCTGTGCTGTTGGTCCCACTATCATGGTATCCAGCTCGGATCCACATCTATCCCATCCCAATCCTCGACTTTTCAATCATCGACATAACTGCAAGGCTTCAAAGGACCAAGCGGTCTCGTACCCGTAACGAACCAGCTATACACCAATCAGCACACACTCTCTTTCCACAGCAAAGTAATAGTGAGAAAACAAACTCACGCCCGAGTAAAAGCATGAATCCCCGGATCCAGCAACTCCCTCCTCACACCCCCCAACATCGCCCTAACACTCGTCTCATTCCACCCCGCCCTCGTAAACAGCATCAACGTATAATTCTCCACGCCCCCCTCCAACATATTACTCAAAAAGTACCTCCCAATCTCCTTGAGCCTCCTATCCCTCGGCCACGGCCCGATCGGCACGATCTCATCCGCGACCTTCACGTCCTCGAACCCCGCCTCCTCGAGCCAGTTCTGCATTTTGGGGATCGGATCGAAATCCATGCCGAGGACTTCGGTCGCGATCCGGTGGAAGGAGTCGGTCCAGTTGGCGCAGTTGCCGTGGGGGTTGAAGGTCCCGTCCATGCATTCCCAGCGGAGGCCGAACTCGACGAACTCGACGGTGCCGCCGGGTTTGAGGACTTTGTAGGCTTCTCGCAGGAGATTGGGCCACTTTGAATAACAGTGATTTAGAACAATATTTTCAAAATATAGAGGAATTTGAAAGAAGGACTCGGGAGTTGAATCTTGATAAGGAAAATAGAGGTCCCGAATAAGTACTCACGCTTGTTATCGACCCCGCCATCGTGCGGATATACACAAAGTCAAACGACCTCTCGCCCTGCAGCCAAGGTTTATTCACATCATCAATTTCAAACGAAACGTTCGGCGGCAGCCATTGTGGTTGTATGGGCGACTGATCGACGCCAATGATTGTTGCGCCGGGAAGACTGTCTCCCAATTCAATGGCCCATATTCCCGTGCCCGTTCCAATATCCAGAACTTTCCCCGTCGTAGGCGGGAGTTTCGTGCGGGTCAACTCCCCATTGAGAACTAGCTTGAAGATATGGTGCTGCAAGTCTAAACGATCCTGTTCTGTCTCATCGTTCGGGAGTAGACTCTGCCCATCTCGGTGGTACCTGTGACCATGTTCGTAATGAAAGTCGAACGTCGAGGAATTGACGGATTCAAGACTGCTCCGCACGCTCTGGTTGAAACCTTTCATTAGCATTCCGATCATTCTGCGGGGCAAAAGAGGGTCTTCATTCCTTACCTGCTCGTCATATCCGCTGTCTGAGAAGATCTATGGGATTTTTTGCATGGTCAGGGACAGGCTCGCGATGTGAGGTGCAGCACGCAAGCACGAGAGATAGGAGATAAGAGGGGCAGGGCCGGGCATACGTCGGCCTCTATGAGTTCCTCCTCGCCCTCCTGCTCGAGCTGTGCCTGAGCCTGAGCCTGTGTCTCTGCCGGTGGATCGATATGGCCTGATTCACTCATGGTTTCCTGTGTTTGGTGTTTGAATTGATGGTTCACAGTCACAATGAAAACAGATCTGACAACCACTCAAAGGTCGGGGAAGGCTCCGATGGGTTCGGATGTTCCCTAGTGTTCCCGTCATTTTAGACTTCACCGTTAAGTATGGCATAACCGGCGCAGTCTAGCCTGGAAGAATTTAGGCTGGACAGACACTAGTCTGGCCTCTTATCTCTTTTTGGGGTGGATGAAGCCCCAGATGGAGATGAGCTGTTAACCTCATCTAAGTTGTCCCTTGCTTTCGCTTCTATGTTGGTGTGGGAGCTGGATTGATTTATGTCGAGTCGACACGATTCGTAAAACAATTCATGCAGAAACTCGACTGCAAATCGCAAGAAGAACAGACGAACATGAGTGTTGTACAGGTCATCCTTGCCGCAGCAGTACTTCTGCTGGGAACATCATTTGTCAGGAGGCGGTACTTCTCTCCTTTGAGTGATATCCCTGGTCCTTTCGTGGCTTCATTTTCTGCTTCTTTGTGGCATCTCTGGCACATTTACACTGGCCATGTCGAAGAAGCTGTCATCAAACAACACAAACAACATGGTTCGTGTCCCGATCATTGCTACTAAATATCTTCCCAAGTCCTCACCACGCTGAATCTATCATAGGGACTTTCGTCCGAATCGGACATAATGAAGTCAGCATTTGTGATGCGTCTGCGATTCGGCAGGTCCTCATGTCACACATGGACAAAGTACTTCCTGCCTGGGTCGCCTTGGGTTACACGAGCTGAACACTTCTGCAGGGGCCTACATATGCCATTTTCAGTATGCCTGACAAGCGCTATGTAAATCAGATGGCCGAGTTGCATTGTTCAGAACACATGCGGAAAGCCAGAAATCTGGCTGCTGGCTACTCAGTCACAAATGTGATTAAAACAGAGCCGTTCATCGATGGAGCACTTCAACTACTTCGGACCCAACTGGAAAGACTTGGGGCTTCAAAATCCCCAGTCAAGTTTGAACAATGGTTCAACTATCTGGCCTTCGATATTCTGGGAGAAGCAACTTTCTCCCAGTCTTTTGGATTTCTCGAAGCAGGGAAGGACCTTGGCGATACAGTCGCCAACAATGTGTTCTTGCGACTTTACATCTCTATCCTAGGCCATTTCCCATGGGCTCACGACTATCTCCTCGCTAATCCGCTGATCGAGTATTTCAATCTTACACCCTCGATGCACGTTTTCGATACCTGCATGGCAGCCATCAAATCTCGCTCTCAAAATCCCGAGGTAAGGAAAGACATGCTCGAGCAGTGGAAAGACCAACTTGCCAAACATCCCGACCGAATGGACGAAATCGAAATCGTCACAAACGCCATCGGGAACCTCGGTGCTGGCTCCGATACAGTGAGCTCGGTGCTTCAGGCTTTCGTCTACTACATGATCCGAGATCCGGAGATACTGGCGATGTTGAGGAAAGAGCTCGATGAAGCCCATCTAGCAGATGTACCGACTTTTGAGGAAACCCAGAACCTGCCTGTTCTGCAAGCATGTCTCAAAGAGACTCTGCGCATTCATCCTCCAGTCGGCTTCGGTCTCACAAGAGTCGCTCCCGCAGAAGGCATTACCATCTGTAACCGCCACTTTGAACCAGGCACAATCCTCTCCGTCAACATCTGGGCCATGCACCAGATGACGTCTCTGTTCGGCGATGACGCCGCCATGTTCAACCCAAGACGGTGGCTGGACCCAGCCCGAGCAGCGAAGATGAGTTCCGTCATGATTGCATTTGGAGCTGGATATAACCAGTGTCCTGGACAGAATCTTGCAAAACTAGAATTGAATAAGACATGCGCGATGTTGATGAGGGATTTTGAGATTGAGTTGGTGGATCCGGGGAAGGAGTGGAGGTATGAGAATTATTTTACGGTTGCGCCGCATGATTGGCCTTGTGTTGTGAGGAGGAGGAAGATTTTGTGAGATTTGGTTGGCATGAGACGAACTTCTCTTTTTGGAGGGAGGGATTGATATTATGGATCTCTTGACGTTAAAGATATGGATATGATATTTGCTTGGGATATCTGAGACAGATGTATTCACTGGCCTTGTCTTGTACTATCTACGATTCATCTGTTCCAGTTATATAGAAGACAGTTTATGATATGAGTACCCCAAATCTGACTAATACAAGGTTCTGAGAGGTATCCAAATGTATCCAAATCCTGGAAAGCAGTGATAATAGCAAGACATTTAACTCCTAGCTGTAGCTATTTCACAGCTATTTCAATTATTTAAGACGGATAAGTGCCAAACTTGAACACATCAGTCTCATCGTCTCACTCAAAAGCCATCCCAACTACCTGATCAGGTTTCTCGCTTCTCAGTCCGCAACACCTCGCTTTCTTTTTAAGATAGGTAAACAAAGACATCTTAACAAACCAAGCTGGACTTCCCCAATATCACGTCTTTAAAGGTGGGGTCCTTGTCTTCACTCTTCGTCTGCGCCGCGAACTGGTGCAGTGGAGTTCTTTGGATGTTCTCCTTACCCACATATAAGCTTTCTAATACCTTGAGTTCTAACGAGAAAACAAATCATGTTCATATCCTATGGCTATTAAGGGAGCTCGCACATCAAGGAAACTGCAGAGTGATATGGTGGGTGGTAATAGATTTTTGAGACTGGCCACATTTTTCCAACTATTGGGCTGGACTTGCTTGTGCAAGCCAATTATCGCCAGGCTAAAGACATCAACTTTCTCGAGTGAAGATTAGCAGAGGACAGAACACCGCAAGTTCATCAAATCAACTGACTGTATATCCCTCAAACATCCCCAGCACATAACTCCTCGATACTCTTAATGACTGCTTCAAAGACATCGTACTTCCCCACCTCGCCCTCCAGAGCCTTTGCCCTTTCCTTGTACTTCCCATCACTCAGCACCTTCTCCACAGCCTCCTTGACAGCCTCGGGAGTGGGGACTTCGGTTCTCATGTTGACACCCAGTCCAGCCCATTCCACTCTCGCGGCCACTTCAGGCTTGTCAGCTGCCAAACCAGCGACAATTAATGGTGTGCCATGGCTGACTGCATGTTGGAAACCACCATACCCGCCATTAGTGACGAACGCATCTGCATAAGGAAGAAGTTCGTCGAAGGGTATGAAATCTCCCACCCGAGCATTCTTGGGGATCTGGAAGTCATCGGGTAGCACGGCTCCTTCTCTTCCAAGAGCTGCAACGACTAGGATGTCTTCGCACTCGGCTAAGCCTTGCAGCGTTGGAATAATGAGCTTCTCGTACAGATCTGTAGCTGTACCTTGAGAGACGAAGACAATCCGCTTCTTTGCTGCGTTGACAGTGACGTCCTCCCACCAGTCTGGCTTCGCCCTCGTCACGCCCCTATGGCCGCCAGGTAATCCTCCTGCAAAGCGGAGACCTGGAGGAGGGTTCGCTCGCGGATATTCCAGGCTTGGGATACACATCTGTATCCAACGGTGTGGAGCCGTGACATGCAAATCCATGATATGCTGCTTCATTTTGTCGAGTCCAAACCCCGCAAAGATCTCATTCAAGGACTCAGTGAGCTCTTCGTACATCTCCTCCCGAACCTTGGACATCCCTTCATACTTCTCTATTCCAGCGGGAGATGAGTCAAAGGGCAGGCCGAGACCGAATGGTGGAATTCCGGGTCCTGCCAGGGGTAGCGGTGATATGCCGAGACTTATCACGCCTGCTGGCTTCAAACCCTCCGCTCCGAGCAAGATAGGTAATGTACCCCAAAACATACTTTCGTGAATAACAATCACCTGTCTCCCCGGTTCTCGCTCCTCGATACCTCTCAAAATCACCTGTACACTCTCATGCTGAGCGGGTATCGTGCTTCCGAAAATATATTTCAAAGCACGAGCGAGGCGATATGGTCCTGCTGGCGGACCGTGTCTATCGTCATCGGGGAAAAGAGTGTTGATTGTTGACATGGAAAAGTTTGCTCGTCCGAGGAGAGGGACAAATTTGGCGCCAAGTTCCTCGATCATGGACTTGAACTCATCGTTCGTAGTGAAGATTGCTTCGTAGCCACGGGCGACGAGTGTCTTAGCAACGGCCCGGACGGGCATAACATGTCCATGTCCTGGCGTCGAGCAGAAAAGAAGAAGTGGTTTCGTTGGCGAAGACATCTTGAGATGAGAGGTAGTTGGCCGTGCTTGATCAGGGAGGAGGTCAGGAAGCAAGAGGCTGTAGCTTTGTACACCAAGGTCCCAATTTCAGTATCCAGCACGTGAGATAAGCTTGGCTTGGGCCGGACTCCTCTACGTTGCACAAGTTAGTGATGTTGTCTTGGTGAGACTTTGTCGTAAGGTTGTACCAATGAATGAGGTTGCAGCGGCAAAGAGAGGTTGAGGGCTGCCAAGCAGATTCAGACATATGCAGGAGGGGAAAGCTGCATTGTCAGCAAACGAACACACCACAAACATTTGTAGGAATGTCAATACTCCAATTGAAGCGAGTATAATGTCAACTGATTCTTTCAATGGAGAACCCCTTCACGAGATCACGATAAAATGGAACTGACAACGAAGCTGAAAAGCGTGGTATAGAAAGCGGCACCAACTGTACCACTTTTATCAGCCAAGCATAACCCAGCGCTTATCTCATACATGGCGCATGACTGTAACTAGATTGCTTGGTACTCCTAAACCATCGTACCAGCCCACTTTCCCAATAGAGTGTAAAAGACTCGAATGTGAGGATGAGGATTTCTAACGGAGGACTGCACAAATTTGGCAATTTCAGCAACCTTGTTAGTCACGTGTACTGCTGGGAAGGGAGTTTGCCGAGGCCAATTGCCCGCGACAGGGTTCCGAGCACAACACCTCCAACAACAGCTCTTATCAATTGCCAAAGAGCTTATCTCCTGTCTCCACTGGCGTTGTCATTGATCCCCTATTCTTGGCTTCCTGGAGCAATCGGCCATGATGTATCTCTCTGTGGTGTCCATCGCAATGTCCTGCCCATTCTACCCCTCAATTGACCATGGATGACAATCCGCGACCCAGCAAGAGAGCAAGAAAGTCTTGTGAGCGATGCCGTACACGAAAGCAGAAATGCCATGGATTTCCCATTTGCGCGAACTGTGCGAACGCGAAAGAGCAGTTTGTTCAATCTCCTTCTGCCATTGAAGAGTGGAACAGGTAACAGCCAAGACCCATACTCTTGATCTCGCAGTCATCTCTGACTATCCTACTTGTAGCGGCCCAAACAATGCTCTCCTTGAACGAATATCCGACCTTGAAGCTCAATTAGCGACTTATACGAATGCACCTACCCCTCCCAATGTAGCGCAGAGCCCGATCGAACGGCATTCTGTAGTATCACCAACCTGTCCCGAGGCAGAGAGGAGGTTCGCCAATGGCAATATTGCGGATATTGTAGGTTTTCTCAGTCTTGGAGGAGAAGCGGCATATGTTGGATCTTCCTCTGGGTTCTCTTTGGCCACGAATCTCGGGCAAATGGTACAAGCAACTGTTTGGAACAAAGCTCTGGTTTCAACAGTCAATCAAAGCCAGACGAAGCCTCTCAGTATTGCGGAGTTGAAGAAGAATAGCGCGAATCCTCCAAATGATGATATGTAAGTGTTACCTGTTCCAGAAATTACTCTGTTGCATGTTTGGGGATTCTTCTTGTTCTAAATGTTCCATTATCTTGCTACACAAGCATTTGCTTACTATTCTGTCACCAGGGGAGGCAGGATTCTTGACGCATATCTCACAAGAGTGCACCTTCGCTACCCTTTCCTGGATCGATCAGATATTCTGGAACGGCACGGTAATAGATTTGTTCAAGATAATACGAGTCCTAAAGACCAATATGGGACATTCAAAATCTATATGATATACGCAATTGGAGCAACGATGCTAAAGTTGACGGAGGCTTATGACTACACTCCTCCCGAGAACTTCTTCATGAAAGCACTACAGTACATATCCGCAGCTCGCGAGTCACATTCCGTGCATAACATTGAAGCTATGACTCTGTTGGTGCTCTATAATCTGCGCTCACCATCGAATTCCGGAATTGTACGTTTAGATTCTATGTCAATCCCCGTCAAAGTCTCGATTCTCGATGTGATTTGCTTTCAGACGTCGTGATATTGCCAAAAGTTTGTCAATCATACGCTGAGCTAACACTACAAAGTGGTATATGATCGGACTAGCTATGAGAACTTGTGTCGATCTCGGCCTTCATAGGGAAGCATACTACGGCAACAACAAGCCTTACGAAGGCCAACTCCGTTGACGTTTGTTCTGGACAGTGTATTTCCTGGAAAGGGTCATTTCTGTTTCCGTCGGTCGCCCATATAGCATTGCAGACCGCGATATAGATGCAGCTCTGCCACTTGAGATCGATGACACTGTTCGTGATGATAGTCTCATTGCCCGTACTTTGGCTGTGTCTCCTTCGCCCACTTTCCAAGCATCTCGGCCATCGTCGAACATAACACTGGCAATACAAGGCTTTCGATTGAAGCGGTTAGAATCTTACATCCAGGTAAGCATATAGAAGCTTTCATTTCTTGACATGTACCCCGGCTTGCCACCTCATAAATGTGAAAAGATCCCTACTTATTGCCTTTTCAAATAGGGAACGATGTATCGTGTTGACCGTCCCGTCACGTCTCTGACACCAAAGATCAATCCTACTTTGAAGATGCTGGAAGATTGGCATCGAGAGCTGCCGCCCTCATCGCCATATGAGTCGGATTATTTGAACATGCACTACTACAAGGCGATGCGTCTCCTACTTCAGCCGTTTTTGACGATACTGCCACCGACGGACCGTCGAGTCGCACTTTGCTTGCAGGTGTCTGGGCAGATTTGCCAGATCTTCAAACGGATGCACCAGAGAGATTCTTACGGGCATTCGTTTATTGCACTGCATTCTACATTCATTGCCGGTGTTACTATGTGGTTGGTGGACTAAGTTTCTCCTAAAGAATGCCTGCTAAATATTCTTCAGCTACTGTCTCTTTATCTCGCCATCTCTATGAACTTTCACAGTATCAAATGATCTACGCGCTTGCTCATCAGCTCTTTTTGTTATGGCTGAGCGAACCCCGGTAGTCAAGAAGTATCGTGATGCCCTGGAAAATGTCATAGGAGCAACAATGGAGTTCCTTGCTCGCGCACCACCGCCAAATTCCACCCAAGATCCAAGTCTCCCTTCAAACTCAGCACAGGAGCCATCTAGTGAACGGGTTTCGCAACCATACCTTGAGCTCGACGGTGGAGCAGCCTCGATTGCGTTCACTGGCGCAGCGCAAGAGAGCTACTTGAGAGGCTCTCCAAAAAGAGTTGTCGATTCCAATGGCGACGTCAATCTAGCGAGCTTCATGGATGATGACGGTGCTGAGAAAGAAGATTTTGGATACATGCCTCAAGCCCAGACAAGTCCTGGAGCAGAAGGCAGATGGGAAGGGCGGCACGGAGAGCTTGGGCAAATGGATGCCGAGTGGATGTTGAGTTTGTGTGAAGGGGATGGTTTCAACTTACAAATGCTGAACGAGATGATGAGATTCGAGCCGAGTCTTGGAGTATACAAGAACATATGGAAGAGTTTGTTGAAAGTCAGTGCCAACTGCGAATAACGAGGCAATAATAATAGTAACAATCACCGCGGGTTTCATCTTAGGCATATTCGCAAACGTCGCGTCGCGAGCTGTAAATGGTATTCCTACCATTCTATAGTGAATGTAGGCTTGTCTAACCATGGACCTTGATTACTCTTTTGAGATGGCTCTGTATCCAATCTTTGGAAGCCACACACATATCGTCGCGTCAAGAGATACGAGTGTATTTGCATGGACCCCACCCCTTTTATTAAGTGAGAACAGCACAAATACGGCGGTAGGAGGAGAAGTAACAATTCCCCACATTCAAATACCTGATGATGGATCACCAGGCAAATAGCAGCTTGTTTGTGGACTTTCTGATAGAGGCTCAATACAATACAGTTCAGAAAAGTCCTGTCGCACGAAAATATGCTGGGCCATTAGGTTCCCAGTCATGTTTCTAGTTTCGCTCTGGTACAGGTTCCTCTCCTTCAGTACTGAAATATCAAACGTATCACATACGGACACGTAGCTTAAGAGGCATTGATAAGTAATTGATCAAACTGCAGACAATGGCTCGACTCACTCCAGTCGGGCATACACTTATGTCTGTACGACGCGTCCTAAAAATCATGGCATGAGATAGACAACCTACAGCCGGTCACTACAGCATGTGCTTTAGACCGGTTGACAGCTGTGTTACAACTTGGCTGTCTGACATATGTATATTCAATTGCGCACCTTCACGCAACACGGCACGCGAGTCTCGGCTTCCTGTCGTATCCAATTTGGAACCTTTGCTTTTCGGCAGGAGGTCAAGAATGCGATTCTTTTTTTGAAATCATTTACTGATTCACCATGTCAGATGATTACAAAGAATGGCAAAATCGCTACGACTCACTAAACGAAGAAGCATGGGATAACAGCAGGCGTGACGATGCCGACCCCGAGAAATGGACAAAGCAGCAAGAGCGAAACCAAGCTGGGAATATGCGCTTAGCAGCAGAGCAGTACGTATTCGCCATTCGTCACGACTTAAAAGTTGCACACCTGGTTCGATGAAATTAATCACAGAATATCAGGGAGCGTATCGGCCGCGAAGAAGCCCGCGATGAGTGGGATGAAGATGCAAACGACGGACACGACGAGCGGATTGAGAAAGTCAAAGCCAACGAACAGCTTGCTGCAAATCAGTTGGCTCACTTAGATGGAGAGTATGAGTATGCAACACCAATGCAGGATGGTGATGAGGATTTGCATAAGAAATTAGAGGAAGAGAATAATAGGCACTGGCAGGATCGATATGCCCAAAACGACGATAAAGAGGAAGGTGAAGAACACAATAATAGCGAGGAGGGGAGTGGTATGGATCTTGTTGACGAGGATAGCGATTAGAAACATTTAGCAGGAAGAATTGTTCACGATGGATGATCGGTCTTATCGATATGAGCTCATACCCCTGATAGACATTTGACTTCGAGCGAGGAAGGGAAGAAACAGCTACGGAGGTAGAAAAGTGGGACTAAATGGGAGTATTCCTGTAGGGCAATAAAAATGTCTATTTTTGTATCGAAGATTCAAGCGATTGGACTTTGGTCTATCAAACAATGTAAATTTACTTGACGGGTTGACCGAAGACGATTTTGACAAAATCAGTCCACAACGAGGGCAAGGATTCGGTCCGTAAACTTGCTCATCTCTGGCGAATGTTTCCCTTCTACGGTTATTCCGGAGATGTTTACAATGAAAGTATGGATGATGTACACCTTGAGGGCCTTGATGATTGCAATCAGAATACGAAGTCCTTCTGGGTCCTCAAATCTCAGAAGCAGAAGAATCAGACAGGTCCATCAGCTCGTGGAGAATATTAAGAGAACCCTTAATATCTGTCAATGCAAGTGCTACTGTAGAAGCTGCGAAGCAATATCAAGCGACGAGGAGGTTGAAAGAGCAAGTGAGCGGGAACCACGCATAAATCCTCACGAGTCTGCTTTCTTGGCAACGAGTCGTGGTAGTGGATCAGATCAGCAACATGAAGTTCCTCAGCCACAAACCCTTTGCCCCTCTACCCCTTCAATCAAAGCTTAAAATTCACGACGGACACCGTTGATCAAGGATCATTGAACGAAACACTTCTGGAAAATCATGTTAGTCCGGATTTACAGACTGATAAAGCTGAAGCCATTCATGCGCACACGTGCAAATCTGGTGATAGCAGGCCCCCTTGCAACCCCCTCAGCATGCATTCGATCGCTTGGCGGGAACCACCTTTCTCTTCTGGAATCACCTCCGCAGTCTATTTCTGGATCCAGAAACATCACCGTATACTTGGATTTTCGACTTCTTGATACTAGCCAATCATGTTATCCTTCTCCGCACGAGTATGGCGAGCCAACGATGCTACGAATTGTGACTCAGTATCTGTGACACTTTTGATATCGCAAGCTTCACTCAATACTACACTCCCCGGAACCACCACTGCTGATCAAATTTCATTTGTAAACGGGATATGGCTCTCATTCGTGAGGACTTTCTCACACGCGCGGAGTTTGTCAACTGATTGCCGGTCGAATCCCGAAGTCATCGGGGCATGCCCTGTATGAGGCAGAAGTGCGGATAGATCCTGCAGGCGATTTATGTTCATCCCTGAAGGATGATCGCCCGTGAGGGGAAGGTCTTGATATAATGCTTGATATCATTTCCGGAGAGCAGCCAGCACTGCAACCTCGATTTAATATATAAATGGACGTTCTCCCTCAGTAAGTTATTATTCAGGCCAGTGCCAACGCTCATTGCCCACGCTCATTACCCACATTCATTACCAACGCTCATTCCTTCCAGCTCAGCAACTACCCCTCCTCAAAATGGCTCGTCTTACTCTTAGCCTCGCAGCTGCTGCTGCCAGCTTGGTTTCTTCTGTCTCAGCTGCCGCCACTAGTGGGGACTTCAATGTTCTCACTATGAATGTTGCTGGACTCCCGGCCATTCTCAATGGCAACGATGTTCCAGGCGACAAGACAACAAACTCGCTTCTGATCGGAACGCTGTTCGCCAAGTACGACTACGATATCATTCATGTGCAAGAAGGTAAGCTCAAGCTCAATCCACAGATGTATTCCGCGAGAGAGACACTAACACCAGCTAGATTTCAACTATCATGCATCTGTCTATTCCACTGATGATCATCCATTCCGTACTGCAACTTCAGGTGGTGTTCCGTTCGGCAGTGGCTTGAACACACTTTCCAATTTCGATTGGATCAACTTCAGCAGGAAGAAGTGGAATGTTTGCTCTGATGCTTCATCCGCCGATTGTTTAACCCCCAAGGGCTTCACATTCATGCGAGCTCAGATCTCTGAGGGTGTCTACATCGACACATACAACTTGCATGCAGATGCTGGAACAGAGCCAGGAGATTTGACAGCACGTGCTGCCAATTTGCAAGAGGTCTCTGACTACATTAACGTCTGGTCGGTTGGCAATGCCGTCTTAGTCTTTGGAGATACCAATTCCAGATATACACGCACCGCCGATATTCCAAATGTTTTTGCCAAGAATGTCAGTATATCCCTGTTTTACCCGGCTGACTTATGTGGGAATCCATTTTAAAGAATCATCTCTTCTCGCCGTCGGCTCGTCAGAAGTTGATATAAGTGCTAACCTGTTGAATAGAACGGAATGACAGATGTCTTTGTTCAGCTGACGCGCGGTGGTGTGATTCCCACCGTCGAAACATTGTGCGCCAATCCATCTCTCAACAATACCTGCGAGACCGTCGACAAAGTGTTCTACCGAGGATCTCGCCAGCTCACACTCCAAGCTACAAACTTTAACTACGAGTCTTCGAAGTTCGTGCAAGCAGACGGCAACGTTCTCAGCGACCACAATCCAATCTTGGTGAACTACACCTGGACCGCCAGCTCCGACTTCAGACAATCCAACTACTTCGGTGGCCCTCACGGAAATTGGTTCAACGATCTCCCATCACTCCCAGCCAAGCCAAAGGCGTCTGTCCTCAGCTTCCGTGGCAGTTCCCGTGTCGATTCCGTCGGTCTTACTCTCACCAACGGCCAGACCTTCACCCACGGTGGAACCGGAGGAGCGGTTTCGTCATTGACACTGGCAAACACTGAATATTGGGTTTCGGCGAAGCTGTGCCAGGGACAGAAGGATAGCCAGACCAGAATCTTCTCCATTCTCGCTACCACAAGCACGGGACGCACTCTTGCTTCTGGCACCTCGACCTCGGACTGTGTAACCTACTCTGCTCCAACCGGGTGGCAGATTGTTGGATTCAATGGGCAGGCCGCAGATGAGATTGACCAGCTTGCTCTGATCTACGCCCCTAAGTAATGTCAGATTAGTCATAACTTAGTATAGTAACTGATTGTTGTTTTGTACAAATCCCTTTGACTGTGAGCCGCGACTTGAAACTCAAACTCGATGTGATGAAAAGATTTAATCCTTCGGTATCTGGTTTCTACCCAGATGATTTTCGAGCAAACGAAGTCGTGATGTCCCTGCTTGTTGTATTGGTATCACAATTTGGAGTCCTTATTTAGCAAGTCTACAGCTTCCTTGGCCATGCCCCTTGACAAATATCAATTGGGCATTCGAGAATTGTAGATGAAGCACTCACCATGAAGCTTGGTAACCTGCTCCTGCAGCACCATAATTATGAATCACCATCTTATCCGCAATCACTTCTTTCTCCAACCTGGGACCTCCTTTCCTGCCCGCTACTTAATGTCAGCAACCATCGTCATGCTCACCTATCTCAAGACTATAATCGAATATCCAATCTCTTGAACGAAGGAAAAGTTACTCACGTCTCAACCCAACTCCATGCTGCAACACCTTCAAGTCCTCTGGCTTCCCCAACTCCGGAGCAAGCTCACAACACCTCCTCTTGATATCCTCCGCAAACTCCAAATCCACTTCTCCATCCCACTCGCCATCAAACCTACACCCTCCTAGAATGACACCTCCGCCAGGATTTCGTGGAAACACATACGTCGTGTCTTTGTTCACACGTTGCGGTGAGCGGAAGTACATTCTTGTTAAAGGCACTTCGGGTGTTTCTACGAGCATGATTTGACCTCGTGTTGGATACATGGTCTTGTCTTCGACGTCACCAAGAGAAAATGAACCCAGGCCAGTGCAATTAAATATTGCTTGGGCATTGGGATAGGATGTGATGACTGAGGACTTGGAGGGGATTGTTTTGCGGTGTATCTGAATACCCTTTTTGAGGCATTCGGTTTGTAGCCTAGATTCGGTTTAGTAAAACACATCTATAATACGCAAAACAGTACATAAAAGCTCAAATATGGAAATCGTTTTCGGCTTTCAAAATCCCGAGTTTTTAAAATTCTCGACTAAATCTGACCCGGGAGAAAGGGGAAGTAGCTCACCATGGTAGATAAACCTGCACGTTAATCACGAAAGTACCACACTCATATCCAAATACCGCACCCTCTCTCAGCTCCTTCTTCTCCAGCCCTGATGACCCAGTCAGTAAGTGAAATGTATTAAGACAAGTTAGAGAACTCATGACTTACATCTCAACCCCGTCAACCCCTCATACCAAACCTTCCCAGTCCCTTGACTGAGAATCCCCGCCTTCTCAATTTCACTATCATAGAAAGCCTGAATATTCATCCTCTGCACACCCGCCTCTTTCACCCCATCAGCCAACTCTTCAAACTTCCGATACGTAACCTCATCCCACGTCTCCATCCGTCCATTGTCCGTAGCTCCAGAGAGCCAATTTGCTCCCGCCCAAGGCGATGTATAGTTAATGTGTCTATCGCCAGGAAGGTGAGTCGCTAAGATGAGGATACTGGATGATGGGTGTCTGGCTGAGAGCTCGAGTGCTGTTGTGAGGCCTATCACGCCCGCGCCTAGGATTATGAATGTTGGGTCTGACATTTTTGAGATCTATTCAACTGGAAAATATCATGGTCAGTAAATAATATCACGACACGAGATCGCTACCTTAGGCTTTCTGCTCTTTTTTATGTTCTAGAGTTTAGGATTTGTATTGCGATATCGGGACCTTTATGACGAGAAGTTCGTGATTCGATGTCAAGAGTGGGGCTGAGCTGCCACTTATTTGAGACGTTGAAGTGGCCTGCAGCCAATGGTGCTTTGTTTCGATCTCGTATTTGGTGAATTACCGAAAATATTTTGATGTAAATCGCCCCTTGTGACTCTCCATGGAAGGTGTACTTGCTTGAGAGAAACTGATTACCCAACAATGCTGAGTCTGGAACAAAGGAGAACAAATCGGAGCATTGGGCCTGGAAGTATCTGACAGTCCAAAGCTTTTCTTAGTATCAACATTTATTGGTATCATGCTTTTACTAGCCCCTAAATTAATAGCAAGAACCCTATGCGCCCGCAATCCATTCCAGTCCTCAAATAAGTCCAAGCCAGGCACAAGTTGTATATTACAGAGCCCAATCACTCGATGCTCATTTTCATCAGACCATCGTTTGTATCGACCATGCCCTGGAACCCAACTCTCTTGGGACCTCCGTTCGCCTGCTTGCCTTCTCCATTGCTTGGGGGCCGACTGCCCCATGGCTGAAGATCCCTCTGCATAGGGCTCTGCATGATGGGACTATTGTGCACACTCATGCCCGGAGAGACAGCACGACGCTTGAAGCTTGTAGGATCAAAATCGTCGTCTCTCCTCCGCTTATTGTTGACCTTGCGTGTGATTTCTTCTCTTGTCGGCCCCGTTTGCGGTTGTGGAGTCGAGGATCTCGAGGGTGAGGATGGAGCCTGGTCGGAGGTATTTGACAAGCTGGGGAACAGTGGAGGGGTATGAAGAGAGGGCGAGTCGAGGGAGATATCGCTGATACCAGAAGAGGAGCCTCGTGGAAGAAACTGAGGTGGTGGAGGTGTACGGTTGCTATCATCTTTGAATGTCTCCCAAAAGTCTTTGCCCTTCGAATTCCGCATCGCGTGTTGCTTGAAGCTGCTAGACAAACCCTGAGATATATCCGTCATCGTCTCATCTTCTGGTATACCGTCTAAGGAGTCTTGTGTGGTAGGTCCCTGCGAGATTTCAGAGTCAGTCTAAATTTCTTCCCTTGGTATTTCTTAGACGGGTCGAAGAAAAGACCATTATTACAAGGCACCGAGAGATGATGTACACCACAACGCCAGCTCTCCAACATGGGATGAAAAAAAGAGTATTCTGCGTCTGCGTAAGCTGTACGTACCATGGTAGGCGAGGAATGTGTAGTCGTAGTATTGGAAGCCGAGGGATGGCGGGGTTCGAGCTCCATGTCGCTTTCTCGTGTGAGGCGGACAACTTCTGCTTCACGGCGAAATTCGGTCTCAACGGGAGCGCTTTCTTCTGCGAGTGCTGCTCGAATCCTAGCAAATCCCTTTGTTTTGGGCTATAAATTTTGTCAGTAACGTAACCAAAATGGCGCGCGCATATTGCATACTAGCATGTTACCCCTCCTTGTCACAGCTCTTCTGATTACTTTTGGACTCATCCCATCCACATGTTCCAGAGTAGATTTTAATGTGCCATCATCACTCTCGCTCCCCCCAGATATATGCAGTTGGTTTGCCGCCCAAGATATACTTTCGCGACGATTATGTATAGCCTCCGACGTCATCTCCCTTCCAAAGTATCCATTTATACCGTCGACATTGCGCATTGTTGGTGGTGACTTCGAACTCGGGCTCACCATTGAGTTGCCGCTGCCACTGCTAGAACTCTTCCTGCTCTTGCCTTTTTGGTGTCGCAGCCTGGCAAAGGACATGAGAGAATTCACGGCGGGTGACTGTCCAACCCAGCCGGTGCCTGGGCTAGGCTGCGGACCCCCAAAAAGACCATTCATCTTGTTGACTTGTGGGGTCGTCAAAATCGACTCGTCAATGTCGTCTGTGTCCATGAGGACATCGTCGTCGGAGCTGCTACTCGATGATTCAGACATCATCATATTGACGCTGCCCAAAGAGCTCGATACTGTCATTCGGTCGGCGTTCCCCATGGTGGACCATAATGAGCTGGAGTTGATGTTACTAGAGTCGAGACCGCCCGCGAAGTGCAACCCGTTCTTTCTGTTTGGTATGTTCATTGCTCGCCCCGTTATGGTTGGTGAGGAATCTGGAGAGGATTCCGCGAGTGTAGAATTGTGGAGATGTGTGGCTGATCGAGAGAACTCCAAACCTCGCGATCTCCTTGGAAGGACACTAGTTGGTGACCCATATGTTTGAGAATGATCCAACTTGGGGGACAAAGGTACGCGATATGTCGCGGATGTGCTTGGGGACATCAGGTCTCGTGCCGGCATCTGCAGCGAAAGGCCGCGAGGGAAGGCAGGTCGCCGTGGAGTTGACGGGCTGCCTTCGAGGGCACTGTCGTCCTTCGATTTCCGCTTCTCGGGCTCTCGAAACTTCGGGGATGGAGATAGAGCTGGAGGTCCTCCATCTGATAGAGATCGTGCTTTCGAAGGCGATTTTGAAGCTGCTCGTCTTCGAGGAGAAGCATCTTTGTCTTGCGACCCCTGCGACCCTCCACTTCCGCTGTCTTCTCCAACACCAATACTCGGGCCAAGGGTATCGTTTAGTTGGCTTCGTAACATAGCTTCAATTGAGGACTTCGAATGCGACGTATTCGATTTCTGCGAGGTTCCAACGAGGCTGAGGTCGTCAATGAGTGCTGGAGGCTTCAATCAATCGGGCCCTTGGGACTGTCATGGCTGGCTGGCACAGAATAATGGGGATTACTGAAATAAAATTGGCGTATGAGAATAATTATGCTAGGAGAAAACCAGTGAGTGAATAAGCAGTTGAGAAAAAGGACTCGAACAAGAAGAATGTGATGTGACAAGATCTCGCTGCCACATCGTACAAGGCTTACGTCCCGCGGGATCTGCGTGCCATGGCGTCTCGCCAAAGCAAGCGGCTCGCTCGCTAAAGGCTCCTTTTACAAGACCCCTGCTTTGTTTATTTTTTATGTCGAGTCTATTTTGCTTCGCCATGACCTTCTTGTTTGCAGACCTCTGGAAAGCTATGATTCTTGATCCATTTTGGACCTAGTTCTGTTGTCGGCTGCCAGTTGCCCCATCGTTGCATTAGCCGAGTCGAACAACATTTCACAATGCACCACTTTTGTCTCCATTCGTTCATCACTACGGCACACTTCTAAGTTCGGATAGGACCATCTTTTTAATACTGTATTTTCAGGCACTTCATCGCTAAAACTAATAGCCTGCCACTAGCCGGTGTGGGTACACTTCCATCTTGCCTTCAGACTCAAACATAAATTCTGCTTGAAAGCAAATGTAATTCATGGAATGCAAACCTGACTCATGGACTCTCTTTCCAATAATTCAGCTACACTTTCACACAACTCAGAATGCTCCAGGCCAGTTTAATCAGCAGTAGCTGTGATATTCTGCCGATTAGACAGCCTCAAAGGATTTTACTCCGCTACAAGGTGTGGCACTTCAGCACCTGAACTTTAACCTTTGCGCGTTGAGCGATTAAATGGGGCGTTCTTCAGAGTGCCGCGCCACAGGACGTTCCAAATATCAGTTTCGGTCAAGAAAACTGAACGAGAAGCTGGAAATGATTATGATAAGAGTTGTGAGGAAGTGTAGTAGATGAGCATTGAAAGCATGCTTCGGAAAGAAGCCGTAGATATTTTAATACCCTTCTAGAGTGTGTAGTCTGATTCTTCGCATGAGGAGATACAAATCGATATTCAAATACTCATGGCGTTACGTTTATATGTCCAATAAATGCAATGATGATAATTGTGTCCAATGAAAGGAAAAAGAAGTGGTGGATCTAGCCTGCTGTTTAGGCTGCTGCAAATAGGCGAGATGAGTGAATGTGCCCCTGAATACGGATCTGGACTGCGCCACTAACAACAAGATTACCAACATTTACCAACTCAACCTTTTCTGTTCATTCTGCTCTGGCAATATAAATAAGATAGTGGACGAAATTTCCAAGACTTCTCACCACGAAACCTCTGCACACTGGAAATTTCTTCGTTTTCCACTATCTCCATTGCCAAGTCCCACCTTCCTCGCTTACATTTGTCGATATCCTCCAGCTTGTTGGGCTCCTGCCACTACGTGCCCGACAGGCTACGAAATGACACTCCACCAGGAACAAGAAGTGTTCGAACACGCATCCCACCCTCTCTTCTGGATCCTCGCAGTCTTAATTCTCGCATTCTGGGTTTTCAGCGCGGTGATCCCTCCACCATCACCAACCACTCCATTCACCTCACGACGGCAACAGATCAGCAAAACGCACTTCCCGCTCACTTTCACAACCCGTATTGAACCATACATCACCAGTTCTAAATCTAGGGCTCTGTTTATAATCCTTTACATCGCTATCTTAGCCATCCAGCTACTGGAGGGTCATTGGGTCCTTCAAACTTCTCTGGGTTTCGCGAGGGTATTCTTTGAGGGGTTTCCGCCATATGGTGAGGTAAAGTTCTGGGTGTTCGTGGTGTGCCTGAATTCCGCGGGTATTGTGTGTCTTTTTGTTCTTTCTGTTGTTTTGCTGGGGGCCGTGATTGTTGGGACGCACGTTTTAGGGATGCTAGAGTTGGTGTTTGGCACCAGACCCTACGGGGGTTTTTTTACAGACACTATCTGCACTTCCTACAGACATTATCTGTAAATAGGCATTTTAGACAGATTTTCTATCTGTATTTTAGTTAATTGTCTGTATTTTTCTCAGCTAGAAACTCTAATTTTAATCGATTTTTGAAAATTTAGAGTGAAAATACAGATATTATCTGTAATTTAAGGGAAATACAGCTATTATCTGTATTTTAAGAGTTTTCTAACTAATAAAGTTAACTTCCCCCCTCCTGTTTCCCCTTATATTTTTCTTCCTTTCCCTTTTCTTACTCTCTCTCCCTCCTTTAAGGTCTCCCTTTAAAGGTAAGTCTCCCTCCCTCCCAAGGTAAGTCTCCCTCTCACCCCTCCAAGGTAAGTCTCCCTCCCCTCCTAAGGTAGGTCTCCCTCCCCTCCTAAGGTAGGTCTCCCTCTCACCCCTCTAAGGTAGGTCTCCCTCCCTCCTAAGGTAGGTCTCCCTCCCTCCTAAGGTAGGTCTCTCTTCCGAGTGTTCCGGAGGTAGGTAGTAAAAGGTCTGTGTTTAACTTTGTATTGAAACATGAAAAGTCCGAGGTACCTAAACTCTTATACCCTAACACACGCTAATTTGTCTGTATTTTTTTGATGAAATTATTGCAGACATTATCTGAATTTTATCTGCATTTTACTGTGTTTTACTACTACTAGGAATACAGATAAAATACAGACAATTTACAGACGTTATCTGCATGAAAAACCCCGTAAGGAGAGATGAGGTGGTAACATGGAAGAGCGGATGAGTTGACAAGAGTCGCAGTTTGAGAGAACTTTGACCAGAAGCTTTTATGATGCCCCTGGAATGGAATAATCGTGTATAAAAAGTACAAAAATATAGTTATACAGAGGTGGAGAATAAATAAAGTATCAAGACAGATAGACTAAACAAGGTCTGGCTTCAACGGGCAAACAGTAAAGGGAGGATCTGGCCTTCAGAATTCCTCACATTGACTACAAATCTGTAATTTGAAATCAAATCTTAAGACCATTTGAAATATTACACCGAGACTTTTTCAATGCCAGTCTAGGGCATACGACATATTATTAAGTCCGGGGATGAACAGCCTGAAGTCAATCGGGTCAGCCCATGCCAAGCAAATGCTGAGGTCACAACTACGAAGGAAAGAGACAATGTAGCTCCCCTTGAATACAACACCTTATCCTGTCCGGATTACCCAATATTGTCATCTAAGGAAAATCACCGTCTTCCATTGCTGGCTCATCCTCAATGATAGGTTTATGCAACCCAGCTCACATTTTGGGTACGAAGGCGAGCCGAACTAAAATCCGTCCCTTTGCTTAAACGAGGGTTCATCGCAACAAGACCCTCGACTCCAATAGACATTATACGCTTTCACAGCGTTAATAAGCCTAGATGTACTGTGAAATTGAAATTTAGATGTTAAACATTAATCTCCATTAGAGAGAATTTAATTTAGTCGTGGAGTCCCTCGGATGCATGCATTTAAAAAAGGGGAGGTTTTGGTGTTCCTCGCTAAGCTTTAGATGGACTCGTTTGGTTCGCTTAGCGCGTCGCCTAAATTTTCCGCAGTGCCGCATTTTTACGGCATACAAAGCGGGGCACAAAACTATAACGGAACAAAAGAAAATTTCAACATCCACAACCACAACCACAACTGCAATTGAATGCAAAAAAAATGAACAGAGTGGGACTCGAACCCACGCCACTTTCGTGACCAGGAAATTGTTGTTAAGATAACCTTAACCTGGCGCCATAACCAGCTCGGCCATCTGTCCAATCATCTTTCATTGTCGGCCTCGAGGCGGGTAACCAGCTCGGCCATCTGTCCAGATGTTATGCCGGAAACTACTTATTTTAGTTTATATCATCATCAAATTCCGGCACTTGTGGGGTTGGTCAGTTACTGACACAGAATTATGTAGTTAGTATGTCAAAATATGAAAGACTTGTCTTTGTAAATATAAAGTTGTATAAATAAAGGTAGGTAGGTATTTTCATCCGCCGCTTTAATTCTCGACATATTGATGCCTGACTATCACTTTGGTGGCTGAACTAGTATTCTTCCTGGACTGAACTATTTATCTCTTGATTCTTAGGAATCTCTCGCTTGGCGCTCTGGTTTGATGTAATGAAAGCCAATACTTTGGCATAACTTAGGCAAGTTGCAAACATGGTGATTCATTTTTACCACTCATGACTCCGAAAACCTGCTTCATTCTGTAGACACCCGATCACTCAGAATCCTGACTCCATTGGTCTGAAGACAGGTAATGATTCATCGTTTGAATGATACGGAGTCATTGAGTGCTTATCCTGGCATGGACCGCAACACAATTTGAGAGAAGGACATTGGAGGTGTGAATCTTCGCAAAGTATCACATGTGAGGGCTGTTCTAAGTATTGGAAACCTCCCTTTCTTCCTGGGCTTGGGCAATGCTGGAAGCGGTTAGCAGAAACTCTCGGTGATATCTCGAACATCGGATTGAATCTGGAATATGAGCAGTGGCCTTTATTGTTCTACGACTCTCTAGAAATGCAGTTGAATGCTATCTAAGATATGAGACACCTACTTCTCCATCCAGATGCCCACTTGCGTGAAGGTAAACTCCAAAGGAAATTCTGCTCTTTGGTCGGCTCTGGACGGTATGTCAAACTCCCTGCTAAGAATGAAACCAAGACAGCGAGAAGGTCTGGGGTAGAGGCCTCTCTCTGTTTTGTAAAACACAAGAATCATACGCCAATCATCAAACCAACTCAACTCAAAGTCGCACAACGCTGACATCCAGAATACCACCTTGAGCTCTCAACTCACTCTCGACCTCCTTCCCAACAGCCGGTCCCTCAATACCAAGAATCATCAACGCCTCGTTACTCCCCTCCTTTTCTTCCTCTCCCGTTTCACCAACTGGTCCATCTAGAGCCGCCACACTCATGAAACGTATATTGATTCCAGCTCGTCCCAGGATGTTACCCACGCCACCAATCTTCCCGGGCTCATCATAATTATGTAGCACGATCAAGGTTCCCTCCGGTACAAAAGAAGTATTGAATCGATCAAGCCTACTGATATAAATACCCTTTCCGCTCACGAATCCCTCGATGACTTGGCCTTCGGCTCCACTGGTGCGCAATCTCACCAAAGAGGCGTAGACGAGGTCGTTGGACTCACGGTTGTGCGTCTCATTGATCCGAATACCTTTTTCTTTTGCAATGAGTGATGCATTGACGATATTCACATCTCGGCCGCCGGAATCCGAAATCGAAGACGTGAGCCCTTTGACGAGCGCTGCGAAGAGAGGTCGTGTGTTACTTATACTAGCTAGCTCTCCTTCATAGATGAGTTCGAAAGTCTTCCCTCCAACAATTCCGCTACCTGAACCTTTTCGAGAGTAGTGCTGAGTGTATAGCCCGCCCATCTTCTCCACGAGACGCACGAATGGTTGCAATTTTTTGTATTCTTCTGGGAGAATCAATGGTGCATTAACCGCACTAGTTGGGAGTCCGCCTTGGAGGATGGAGAGAACCTGTGCGCAGACGTCCATAGAGACATTTTCTTGAGCTTCAACGGTACTTGCGCCCAAATGTGGTGTAGCTACCACCTTTGGATGTCTGCAGAGAGCTTCAGCTGCTGACCCTGGCGCGGGAGGCTCGGATGTGAAGACATCGAGGCCAGCACCGGCGATAGTTCCGGCTTCCAAAGCGTCAAAGAGAGCTTGTTCATTGTAGACTCCTCCACGAGCTACATTGAGGATCTTGGCTGTTTTCTTCATCGTCTTGAACTCCTCTGTACTGATAAGATCAAGTGTCGATGCTATGAGCGGCGTGTGAATTGTCAAGAAATCCACAATTGGAAGTAGTTCTCCCAACGTGCTGACCAGCTTGACGGATGCTGAAGCCGCTATCTCTGGAGAAGCATATGGGTCCATTGCGACCACTTTCATTCCCAGACCTACTCCCATTCGAGCGACTTTCAGCCCGACTTTTCCAAGTCCAATAATTCCCAATGTCTTGCCTCCTACTTCCGTACCAACGAGTTTACTCCTCTCCCACCCTCCATTTCTCAAGCTCCTATCTCCACCGGGCACATTTCTTGCCACAGCCATGAGTAATGCAATGGTATGTTCCGCTGCGGCAACGATATTCCCACTCGGGCTGTTCACCACAATTATACCATAACTCGTCGCAGCATCAACGTCCACATTGTCAACACCGACGCCAGCTCGAGCCACGACTTTTAGATGTGTAGCTGCTGCGAGGACTTCTGCCGTGACTTTCGTCTCCGAACGGATTATGAGGGCATCGTATGTGGGAATTTGGGACAAGAGGTTCGTGGCAGAGAGGGATTTTGGCTGGTAGATCTCGAAGTGGGGAGAGAGGAGGGCGAGGCCATCAGGGGAGACTTTCTCTGGGATGAGGATTTTGGGACGGGGTGTCGAGGGAATACTCGATGAGTAGGGGGAGTTGGCAGAGGGAGCCATGGTTGCAAATGAGGGGTAATTGGGGGACTTAAAAATGCTTTGTGTAAGAGATGTCTGTAAGTGAGAACCGAAGCAAGGGATTGAATACTCTAGAGGAATGACTTCAACAAAGAGGTCTATAAGAAGGAAGGAAGATAATGGAGCAACACCGACTGTCACGGAGAAGTCTTTCGTATGTAGTCGTACAACGGGAGAATAGAAAAACCGACATCGCTGGCCTTGGTGGGGTAGTGGCAGTATCATTGGAGCAAGATCATCACCCCCGCGTCCCCCGCGTGAGCCTAATGCACGTATCCGCGCTACCCCACCATTCAGGAACCCCCAGCTTCAGCCATGTTCACCGAGTCCACTCCGGAAATGGTGCTGGATGCAAGAATTAAGTCACATGAGCGATAAATGCTTATGCTGACTGTAATAGTGGTGTTTATTGTATTCGTAATCTGACATGTGCCACCAAGCCTGCATCACGTTCATGCAAGTCATCTGGTGCTACCCTCTCTTTGGACTTGCGAAGAGAATTTTACATATACTAGCAGTCATTGGTTAGAGATCTTTAATACTTTGTAGAGCTAGTTATGTTTCGATGTTTCGTACATCACTCTTCAAGTCAAATATACTCCCATAGGCCTTCAGCGAACCTTTGGAGCAAAGCTTCAGCATTACAGGAAACGGCCATGCACATTCGCTCGCATATCTTACTTTTCATTACGACTCCCTCTACCTTCGCACTCCATTGTTCTTGCTATTTGGTATGCCTGTCTTCCAGGCTCGTATTATGAGCCTTCTCTTCTTATTAGCATTACGTTCGTCTTCTTATCATTTCACCGTCAAACTGATTGTGTTACCCTGAAGATCCTCGTCGAGTCAATGGAGTCTCCTCAGCCGTTGAAATCATCGTTATCCATTTGCTGCCCACCACGCTTGCCATCTTTCTCCCATATTTGAACGCTTCGGAGTCCACATAATTGGTCTCCAATTGATCGCGGTTGCTACCCCGCCTGTCGATGCCGTTCCTTTCGATAATTTGCAAGTCCTCCCATTCTCCATTCCATGGTTATCCTCCGCTGCAGTAATGACTTGGGAAAGCTTACTTCGACCGATACTCCTTGCATGCATATGCAAAGAAAAGCTCTTGGGAGGAATAATATCCCCAAATCCACTCACCGGATCGCCTTCATTCCTCCTCCTGATATTAGCTCGCAAGTGGAGTGGAATCGAGCTCAATGGCCTCGCATTCTCAGGTAACAGACGTTTTCCAGGACAACTTTGATGCTCTATCTCTCTAATCATACCAGCGATATCGATTTTAAGTCGCGTCACATCCTCTGCAACTCTCGTCGCGGACTTTGCAATATTCCAAGCCGTCCATTTCCGCTTCTCAACTGCGCGATGCCGAATATCAGCCTCTTTAAAATTGCGAATTTGAGGTCTGAGCAGCTCAATTTCTTCTTGCGTATATGTTGGACAAGAGTGGTAATGTCGCTCTTCGTTCTCGATACATGCTTCGTATGATTCGATCTTCGAGGCTAGGGCTTCGAGATCCTGGTCTTCTGCCTTTAGGATTATCTCTGTTAGGAAAGATACGTCCTTTGAAGTCATCCGATGTTGTATGATAAACAAGATAAAGTCCCTCGCTTTCTGGCGCTGTACTCCGTAATGACCAGGTAATATTCCTTTCCGAGAGAGAAACAATCGAGGTTTGGCAGTTGGGATTGTCCAGTTGCGCACCGTAAAGATGATTATCTCGTTGAGCTTTCTGATATACATATCTCGAAGGTCGGGTAATCTTAGACGTAGTGGAGTGCTTGATTGGAAAGCCATGCGTTTCTGCTCGGAGCATATTTTCTGGATATATAGCTTGAATTCTGTAGGGGGTGTGATATACCCATTGGGCCCATTGTAACGTCTGGATAAACTCTTCAACTTCTTTATGGTACAAGCACGTCGCCTAATGCGTCTGATTTCATTCTCGGACTTGTGTTCTGAGACCCTTCGCTTTGGTGTTTTCTGTAATTTTGCTGGACATTGCGAGCTCCCGTCGTATATCGCTGGTCTCTTGATCGAACTTCGAAGAGCTTGCCTCTCTATCTGTCCAGACCTCCAAGCTTGGGAAAAATCTGTCTGATTATTTCGATTCGATTCAATGCTACTCCGAAGAGACATGGATCCTCTGATAGGCTGGCAGACGCTCCTGTGGTCATTTTGAAGAACAGTATTTATTCCTCTCAAGGCAGATTTTGCGAACATGGTTCTCTTTCTGTCTTTGTACGGGACAGTCATGCGCAGATTTAGCTTACTTCGTTTTGTTTCATTTATGTTCATTCCGTACTCATATCGCTTCGCAATTTCGCATTTATCAGTGAAGTGCTTCACTCCAGACGTAGACATGGCGATGTGCTGTGTCAAAATTTGTCAAGCCTGTGACGAGGTTCAATAAGTCCAGGATTGAATTGAATATGACACTCCGGTTGTGAGCAGGGAGTCAGAAGAAGCCGGTTTGTTGTACTCAAAAAGCGATGATTGTGGTATTGATTTGATAGACTCACAGTGGGAGATAGAGAATTACGATATTCGTGTAGTAAGAAGAAGGTCTATAGCAGTTTATGTCTTACTCCCAAAATTCGAGGGAAAAAAAAGAATTAGTGTGGCTCCATCAGTAGATCATAGTTGGCCCAACAGACCTTACCGTATCGGGGATGCAGGACTGCTAATAGTCCAGCGGAGCACAGAAGTTAGCTCAGGACGTGAAAAACTAGGCCGTGATCTAGTATATAACAAATGTACCTTATAGACATTGTAGTCTCAGACCTTCTGCCCTACGTCTCAATGCTCTTAATGAAATTCAACTTATGGAGGTGTAATTAGTCAAGATTTACCTCCCTGGTCAAAATAGTTTCTAATCAATCCACGGATGAAGAAATGATATGAGGCTTCCAAGACGAAGAATAGCCCAGAGGAGTCAAGGATGATCAGTGAACAACGGACGTATCAGTTTCGGGCTGTAGAAGGTTGCAACTGATAGAGAACTCACACATTGTTACCTAGATTTGATCCCCGACGGGGCTGAGCCAGGTGTTAAGAGCGAGACTAAGAGCTTCCAGCACCCTTCCATTCATCCCCGCTAAATTGTTGGAGAAGCCTGCGTCGAAAGGAAAGTGAGTATTGTATATTATGACTAGTGTGAAGTCTGTCGAAGCAATACATGAAGCGATATGCCATCGGTATCTAGCGGCCATATTTTTACATCGTGCATTACATCAGATTGCGAAGCAAAATAACTATGCTCATGCCATGCCATGCCATACTGTCAAACCCACAACTCGTATGCCATACCGACTCGCAGCAGATCTTGACAAGAGAAGTACTTAACGAGCAGTCTTACATTCCAAGTCCGATTCGCCTCCAAGCAACTTCTGTATCAGCACATAGCTGTAAGAAATCGGCATTCTCGAGATTCTGGCAAATGAAGTCATCGAGGAGAACTTGACGGCGCTCTGCATCAGCCTCTGCGTATCCAGGCCTTTGCCAAATCTCCTGTGGAACTGCTCGATCCCTGTGATTAGCTACGAAGGTGTCCAGGTCATTCAAGAACAATTGAGGTGGAGCAGCTAGCTTAGGAGCTAGGGCAGCAGCATCTTCTAGAAAATTGTTGGTAACGGCCAACTTTTCCTTCACGGTATGATCCCGACCAGATAGTGTTTGCGTTTGAGTACTCTGGTCAATCATCTTTTGACGTTTCGTGCTCGAGGGAGGACGGATGGGTGCGGGCACACGCTTCGTGATGGGAGCAGTGGCTTTCGACACTAATCCGGATGCTGCCGACGCAGGGCGAGATAGTGCCGCACTTTTCGCAGCCAGTGGAGACGGCGCATCCTCAATCCTTGTTAGAGGAGGTGTGACAACCATCTCACGAGTCACGGTCTTCAGCGGTGACAATGCACTCGGATTGGCTGCCTTGAGAGCTCGCGGCTTTCTTTGCGCAACACGCTTGATTGGAGCAACTATTGCTGATCCACTTGAGGTCCCGAGATTATCAAGGTTTGTGATATTGGCTTTCGTTATAGGTGTGGGTTTTGGAAGGGGTGGTAGGTCAATTGCAGATGATGATCGCGGCGCGAGATCCGGTGGGCTAAACGGCGATTCACGTGTTGGAGGTACTGTGAGACTTTGAAGGTCAGCCGGTGTAGATACGGGCCTATCGAAAGGTAGCTGTCTTCTTGGAGGTATCATCAAGTCTTGAAGTTTTGTTGACGTGAAGGATGGTCGACTGGTTGGTGAATCTGCCCTTGGCGGTATCGTAATATTACTTGAAATGTCTTTTTGCGAGATTGACATCGAGTCCGACCGAAACGGATCCGAAGACTGGCTGGTCGTAGCCGGGAGGATGGGAAAGAAAGGCGACGTGGAGAATGTTCGGGATCCGAAAGTCAGGCTATCGGACTTATTTGCTCGCTCCGTCTGCAACTGGCGGATGTAAAGTGATGGCTTCGATTGAGTATTCATATTGCCAGGAACGATTTCATCGGAAAGGGGCTGTGACGGCCGTTGAGTATAGTTCTAACCAGTGTCAGGTGTCAATCGCACTTCTCCATCACTGATCACGTACCTCTCTCTCCCGATTCGACAAGTGCGACGACATCGTCCCTTCCCGAAAGGAAGCTGCGCGGGCTTGAGCTACTGTTGGCAAAGGGCTCAAGTTTGCAAATGAGTCGGAGGCCACCGGGGCTACTTGAGACGAGCCAGACCTCTGTCGCATACTTTCCACTGTTGCAGGCCTCTCAGGTACTTTGAAGTCTGTGAACTGATGTAACCCTGCGCGGCTAGAGGATGTATTGTGAATAATGGTTGAGGATGCTGATACGGGTCGATCTATTGCCGGGGATGAAGACATAAATGTCAGTGGGGCAGGCAAGGGAAACTCGTGTGTTCGTTGAATTTGAAAGACTTGCTTCTGGCTCGGGCCTCCTTCCCTCATTGGTAGCCCAAGACTTCTCATGATTTCTACAACGACAATAAAATCTTCATTGTTGCCGAATCTCATTTCAAATTTCTGGATCTGCTCAACAAACAATTAGCTACACAGATCAGGATCAGGGGTCAAGATCCGTACGACTCCTTCGTTCAGAGGATATCGCATGGCAATACGCGGACTGATCTGTGCCACTTCCACCATTGACGCATCGTGTTGACGAATCCTGACGAGGCGCTCAAGATCCTGCGAGACCTATGGGATATTGAATTAGTAGAGATGCAACATAACTGCGAATGCAATCTTACCAAGAGTTCGGACCCTTTCGATGCTCTCAGCATGACCCGTTGATCGTATGCTCCATTATCATCAACTACACGGGACGTCTGGATGACTACCCTGAGGTTATTGGATGTAAGGTGACTCCATGTCGGGCAAATACTGTTAGAAGGATATGTGACACTTGAAAATTTGATGAGAGGAAGCGAAGCCCATATCCGGCCTTCGGGATGAGATTGAGACATAGTAGAAGCACGAAGAAATGGATTGAGATGAAAAGGGGAAGAGTGAGGTGCCTCAAATCTGGTATATGTTAGTCGAGAATCAATGGTGCTGTGTAGCAATGCTTTCAGAGTCCCCGGTCCTCATGCAAGAAGGAAATGGGGATTTGATAACCTCAATTAATGTTGATAGGAGAGGTGGTTGATGAGGGATGGCTGGGAGAGGAAAAGAAAGAGTAAGAGATTCCGTAGGTGAAATCAACAGCCTCAGGCTTGATATCATACAGTAGCTAGTCCTTATTTGTCTTAGCTTGCTTGGGAATGCAGCACCGCGACTGTCGCGGCGCATTCACGACGAAAGTCAGTCCGAGATCCCAACGGCATTGCAGACTGCAGCATGTCCCAATCCCATCGCATGGCAACCTCGAGCCTCTAATCACGAATATGGCACCTCCAAGTCAGACTGCCCGAGAACCGTCTATCCCCAGTACTTCTGAATACGCCGAGTTTATCCAGAAGCTTGCCGCATACCACGAGAAGCGAGGAACCAATTTTGAGCCTGAACCAAAAGTCGCAAACAGGCGCATTGATCTCCTACATCTTTTCAACCTCGTGGTGGACCGTGGTGGATACGACAAGGTGAGCGACGAGAAGTTAGCCTGGAGAAAATTGGCAGGGGAATTTCACTTGGGAAATGCCAACTTGCCTGCGTACGCTTTCACCTTGAAGTCCGCATACTACAAGAACCTTGCAGCATTTGAGATTACTACAGTTCACGGTAAAGAACCACCACCCAAGGAGATCTTAGAGGAGACTACAGCAAAGGGCAGTGGATTGCTCACTCGCACCTTGGAGAACTATCGCCCATCTGTACGCAGAGAGACGAGCGCATTGGGTATCGATTCGGACGGCTCTGGGGACGAAAGTGGAACACCAACGAGAGACACAATGGCGACCGAGGAGACTCCAGGTTCTGGTGGTAGGGCGACAAGAGGCTTGCGACAAGCTCCACCTCCGCGACAAATGTGGCAACCAGAACCTCAGAGTTCAAGACAAACACGGAACCTCAATGCCTCGTCTCACACATCAACCGCTCAGCAGCATCACGGACAGCAGCAGCAGCAAAGCCAACAACAACAACTACGAGGCGCCTCTACATCATACAATCCATCATCCAATACCGACAACATGTCTCTGGCCGTCGCAAATTATGAGCCTCGTCCACAAATGCCTCTTACCCTGCGACAGGTCATTACTCCAGGAAACAGTGCAGTGGAATTTGCGCGTCTGCAGAAGGTATTGAAGGACGCGGCAGCAGCAGGTCATGGACGAACTCTTGCATCTACCAAAGGCATAATGCTTCCTGGCAGTAAGTCAGACCGCAATTTTGATGCGCGATATTTTACTGATCAGATTCCCAGCTGGATTTGACGGCCCCAACATTTACGTGCGCTGCTTATGTGCCCTGCGGTCTGGAATACCTGCCGAGCAGGACTATGCTCTCCATCATCTTGTCAAAATATCTATGGAGCGGGGAGACAAGTACCGTTTCGAGGGTTTCCCTGGTCTTGCTGAGGCACTGGTAGAAAAAGTCCTCGAAGTCAGCTCATTGTTCTACAACGTTGACTGGGAAATCTCGTACACGGATGATGGTGAAATGGTCAGCGGAGATGTCATAAATGGCCTGACCGGGACCCCAGATATTCTTGAGAGGATAGCTGCACTCTCCAAGCTGAAAGTCGACGACAATATCCACACCGCTGAATTCAGCGACAAGATGCTTCAGATCAATGAGGCTGCTCTCACATTGCGGAATATGGTTATGTTGGAGGAGAATGCCCTATATGTCCATGAACTATCGCCATTACGAGACTTCTTGAGCATTGCTCTCAATTTGCCAAACTTGGAGAGTCTTGTGGAGCTGAAGCATTACGCTCTCGATATTGCTGAGCAAATGACTAAATATCTCCACCTTGGCGAAACCGATCCTCTCTATATTTCGCTTCTCAACCAACTGAATTCGAATGATCGAGGTGCCATATTAACAGCTTTGCGAGCAATTGGAAGGATATCCATGAATCTGGAGGAGAACAATCTACTTCAAGGCGTCCCGCTCAGGGCTATTCAGAACATTATTGACTGGACCATGCTCCATGACGAAGACCTAGTTCACGCTTGCCTAGATTTTCTGTATCAATATACAGCTGTGGTCAAGAATGTGGACTTTCTCATATCAGAGTTACAGGTCGAACCTCTCATAAACCAGCTCGTCAGGCTCTTGCATTACGGTGTCAAGATAGTCGAGAGAGAAATTTATTATGCCAGAGAAATCAAGCGCCCTGCACCAACTACCCTTCCCGCTCTTCCTAAAGAGATATTTTCTCAGCTCGTCCAAGTCGAAGAACCTGAGCGAAGCTCTCAATGGCTTCGTTGCCTGTTTGAAGAAGACCCAGACGAGTCTATCACGCAGATAACTCTCTGGCAAGCCTATCAAGCATGTTTCACACTTCCTCCAGGCAGTTCCAACGTCGCTATGCTTGCAGCGGCTGATTTTATCAAAAACGTCAGCACTACCTTCGAAAAAGCCGCAGCTCAAGTCCAATCCGGAATCGCGCCAAAATTCATCATCAAGGGTATCAGAATGCGTAGTGTTCCAGTTGATCCCAAGGGCGAAGAGGCGAGCAAGTGTTTGTGGCAGGGACCATTCGGTGGGGCTGAGCCATGTGGTCAGTTCTTTATGAGCCCAGAGACCATGTTCCAGCATATCCTCAGAGAACACCTTGGAGCTAGACAACTGGAAGATGGCAAATTCGAAAACACGTCCAACAGACAGTACAAATGCCTCTGGGACAGGTGCCATCGTTTCAAGTCTGCCCCTGCGACAAAATTATTGGACATCGCAAATCATATCAAAGTTCACCTTCCGCCGCGCCACGTTCCTCGCAATGAACCTGAACATTCCGGTCCTCCGCCAGCCAAGAAGTCAAAGCCATCTTATATTATCTCTGCTCCAAAGCGGAGTCTCATCTTCCAAGTTACTGCTCAAGATGAACGTTCTGAAGCTGCTGGAATCCCTCTCAGTGCGGTACTGGTGCTTCGGAATCTAGCTCGAAATATATCAAAGACCGACGCCGAGGCAACGGCAAAGACGGAGGGTGGAGTTTCTTGGCTTGATCGACTTTTCAAGCCCGTCGAGCCACGGCTCTTTGAGATTCTGGCGCACAATAAGTCCTTGGTAAGACATGTTTGCTGTTTCTTCCTATTTCTGCTGCCTACTGACTTTGAAATAGGCTGTTTACATCACGGATCTGGTGGGGGCGATCAAGTCATAGAGAGAGGCGCGTGTTAGGAGGGTTAATATCTACGGTAGCTTGTTATGGACGGAAATCGGGGCGTATTGGCGCAGAAATAAGCTCACAGTTGAAAAGACTTTGTAGGATAATTGGTTGATACCTAGACGTGGTAGCGGTGGGCGATGATGACGAATATCACTGATGCTAAAAGCTTAGACTCGCTTGTCAAAGAGATCTGGTTGCCATTGCCCATGTACAGATGAAGGCGGCGTTTCAAACAGGTCAACTGAAAAAGCAATGGTGCTCTCATGCTTTGCCTGCGCATGCCAGTCCTGCGCATATTCCTTGTCCAATGGTTTCCTTCGCGTGGAACCGATGTTTATAACAGCACCGCCTATTTCAACAGCTTGCAAGCAAAGTCTCAGTCATACACATCTATTCCAAACGCGGAGGTAACAAAGCGGATAGAGATGTTCCTGATAGCTTACATGTCTCGTGGAAGCAACAGCATGTGGTGGAGCTCAGGGGAAAGCAACCGGGACGCCATGATAGTGTAATCCATGTACTTGAGTTTGGTCGTGATAATACTGTGTGGAAAATTAATTCCTGGTAACCTGAGATAGCTACGATATGTGTCACAAATGACTTGAAAGTAAATCGATGGTTAGGGGTTTGGATCCCTGGGAACTTTACCAAGGTCTTTGAGATCTGTGTTCATCAACATGACTGTTCTGAAACTCCATGGCGGCTGAAACTTTTCTCCTGTACGATAGTCAACATAGCATTGTGGAGGACTATGAATACGATCTAAGTAAATTATAACTCTTGTCGGACTATGCATCTCTAACTTGGTCATTGAAGTTATTCCACGAGTTTGTGGTACCACCTCACTTGGCTAACATTTAACAATAATTAACTTTCAATTCTTAAGGGCTCAATTGGAAAACTTACTACTACGGAATCTTAAATTTCGGTATCAATGACTGACAGTGGCATGTACCGCCGTTTCACCAGAAAGTCAAAGAGTCGGAAAGTTGCAGGTGCTTGGATGCAGGTCCACTCAATTGCCTCGGTTGTCTGGTTCCAATCTTTAAAGAATAAAACTGGCTTTCGAATGCACCGATGCCGCACAGATGACCCTGAAACTCGGGATGAAAGAAATACTAATGCAGTAGAAGCTGAGGTTAATATCCCCGGACGGAAAAATCCCAGTTTTGTTTCACCTCCCTGATGGCGTTGATATATTTTTTCTGCCTGACGCTACTGCACCGAAGGATTTGAGAAGCAATAAAAACACTACAACGGAGGTCGCTACGGGCGGAGTGATCAGATGCGGTGAGAATTCTGATTTTAGCCTTGCTCTGCATGTTGACTGTGTTCGTCCAGTGTGGTGCCCAATTGACAACGCTACCGGCTTGCGCTGTAAGCATTTCTTTTCTCAACCCTGACACTTCGAAGTGAAAGGTGGCTGACTTTTATTTTGAAAAGCTTGTATGTGCCGAGTCAACTATGGAAGGCTCAGCTTGCTCATTGAGTGATCGAGCATGCTTTTGCAGAGACATCACCTTCGATGTAGACTTCAACGCCTGTGTGTCGTCCTCATGTACTCTCAAGGAATTCATGAGTATGTAACATTGACCTGTCATATGCTGCTTCCCCCGGTACTTTTTTTTACATTCAGGATGGTATCTTACAACAGCAAACAGTAACACAGAACGTTACGAAGACAGAGTGCGGTGTGCCTATGCGAAAGCTCTGATATTGCTGCAGTCATGTACAGCTTGTCAACATTCTCTGTGGTTGTGCGCTTCGTTGCGAGATTTTCAGACCCTCAATCGACCTTCTGGTGGGACGATGGAGTGGTACTTGCTCTTTTCGTGCGTATCTGTAACACTTCCGGGAAGAGATCTTTCTCTCAGATATCTGACCAGTCATCAGTTGCTGAATACAAGTATCCTAATCAACTGTTTGAAGCTCTGTAAGTAAAATATCCTACAATGTCAAAAGCGATTCTAATATTAACCTGATATTGGCAGTGGATCTCGGCTTGGGCAAAGACATTTGGAATGTTCCTTTCAAAGACATAACCCATCTTCTGAAGGTTCTGCTTCCTACATCTCATCTCCCTTGAGGCAATCTACGAGTTTCTAACAATAATACTACAGTTCTTTTGGGTCAATGAGTTATTATACTTCTTATCAATTTCTCTACTCAAAATCGCATTCCTCCTTTTCCTTTTCCGCATTTTCCCATCTCGACGTTTTCGCCAGGTTGTCTGGTCACTTATAGAACTCAACGCCGTACTCGCTCTCGTATGTGTCATTGTTGTTTGCACGATTTGCCAACCTTTACATTATGTCTGGTTAGTATATATGAACTTTGTGTTTCCAATGTGGCAGAAGTCCCTATCTCCGACTGCGGTACATTTGCTTTCACAGGGGCTAGACTACTGACTACTGGATTCATGACAGGACGTCGTGGGATGGTGAACACCATGGAAAGTGCGTTGACATTAATGCATTGGCATTTTCGAATGCTGGAAGTTGTATTTTCTTGGATCTGGTTACGCTAGGACTGCCAATAAGTCAGGTTATCAAACTGCAGCTGGGAATAAGAAAGAAGTTTTGGGTGACAGCCATGGTTGAGCGTTGGTATAATGTGAGCGATTTTTTTTTTAGTTTTCATCGTCCGGTTACTACTTCATTCATCTGCACAAAGAGCTAACAACACGTCTCTTCGTTCAGAGTGACCGTTATCAGCGTTCTTCGGCTAAAGTCTCTCGTCAATTTTGCCAGCACTTCAAACCAGACCTGTGAGGTAGTCGTATAAATGGCTACCACTTGGCTCGATTCAAAAGCTCACGAATATCTATACAGGGGATTATTGCGACCCAGGAATGTGGTCGGTAATGGAACTAGATATTGGTCTCATCTGCGTTTGCATGCCATCCTTTCGAGCCCTGCTGCTAAAACTGATGGCACACTTCAAACCCGTTACGGTAGATTCTGACGCTAGCCAAAAACGCTTCTCGGTCAACCCAAATCAGATGCTCCAGGTTGAGTGCCGAGCGGAAATAAGACCGCCAGTCAGGAGTGAAGGTATTGCATATGAGCGAAATTACGTCGTGGAGTACACTGAGCGGGAGGGGAATGAGAGCGCTGAGAGTGTGACGCAGATAGTCGAGATTCAAGGAGGAGATGGGATGAGACGTAGAAGTGTGACCTAGAGGGGTGCACGGCAGAATTCTGTGACTTCTTTCCTTTTGGAATGTCAATAATAGAAGCACGTTTCCACAAACCAATTAGCGGCGCTGACTGTCACCAGGCATCGAGGTTTGTGGGAGGCTAGCAGCACACTTTGTTTGCTATCATCTCTGAATCAGTCCGAATCCTCTTGCAGACTATTTCATATAATAGTATTTTTCGAATTGAACTCAATTTGCAGAGCATCTAGGAGTTGACATCCACTGCCGAAAAGTCCGCTCGAACGTGGTTGTTTACTGCCACAAGCGAGTTTTTTCAAAGTGAACTCAGACCGCCAGGGGGCATCGTTGTCACTCTCACCGTTGTACTTCGTTTGCAAGGATATCCATCATCTTGTAGGTTCACTCCAATAATAATGTACTGCACAGGGATGATAATATTAGATATGCACCATTGCTGCCAGTGTGTGTTAAATAATGTTCCTGCTGAGGTGTATCGTCCTTTCCATCCCTTTCACACGAAAGGCCGCTTGTACTGGATTCCACAAAAACTAGTTGGGTGAATTAGCGCGCCTCCCTGTTGACTGAAATATTCGCTTACTACTCTCAAAGTACTTTGGGTCTTCTTGCCAACTTCTTCCTTTGCACAGAGACTTCCAATCTATGCTCACCTCATTCTGTGTCGACGATATCGCCAGACCAATTTCTGCAACTAAGCCTTGGACGCCTTCACAGTTCTAGTTTTTGTCATTAGCGGGGCTTTCTTCATCGACAAATCATTAATTCTTGCTGCATAGTTTGACTTTGGATTCACGACTTGGATAGTGATTTCCAGCTCTCGTAGTCGACTCTCCACAAATTTTTGCACCTCTTCACTTGATACTCAAGAAGGCAACTCTTTTCACCAAAAACAGCAGTCTCAAAAGTTCTCTGATTTCCAAATCAAGAGTGAGTCTCAATGGTAGAGCCAAATGTCCCCCCAGTCCAAGAGTTCACCAGAGACACTCTCCAATTCAAGAAGTCTGGTAACCTTGTCACTCTACCTAGTACATCTCAGCTCAGCATGAACACTCTAGCTGTAGATTTCGGTGGAAAGAAGAAAGACAAAGTCGCCACCTTGAAGAATAAAAATACTTCGAACTCCTTGAACCACAGTTCAGCCAACAACATCAAAGTTCCAACCACCACACCTGGTCACGGCCACACCCCACCAGCAAACAGTCAACCAAAAGCAGTCCAAGGAATGGACACGTCCAACAAAAGACACAATCCTGGTGTCTTCCATCAAGCAAATAATAGCAGTACCCGCAATGCCAAAGGCAAGCCAAAGTCGAAGTCCAAGACCCCAATTATGGCTCCTCCAGCACCCGTCATCGTCCCTGAGACTTTCATCACCTCTTTTCCAGACTCGAAGGCGTCCACACTTTTCCCAAAAATCACCGGTGATCTCAATCTCATTGAGAGCCGATACCGGGTTGATAACCGCAAGCCCAATCGTGATAGAGCCGTCAATGTTCTGCGAGACGAGGTCACCCGATTAATCCGGTTCACTGGCACTGTCAAACTACATGGACAGCATGCCGATGTTGTGATCAACCCAAACAACACAATTCGTTTGCAATCCAGAAATAAACCTGCCCTCGATGAAAAACATGACATCATGGGTTTTGCAAAGACTATGTTTGGCCTTGAGAAGAACCTGCTACGGTTAAAGCAAAGAATCGAAGGCAGGTGGATGGAATTGAACAGAAACAAAAAGCTGAGTGAGACCCATCCGTTGATCATTGCTGGGGAATGGGTCGGACCAGGAATCCAGAAGAATGTCGCGCTCGATGGCCTTCCAAGAAAGTACTTCGTTATCACATCCATCTCACTCAACAACTTCTGGCTTGATGATCAACTATACGCTGACATTGAAGACGAGGATGCTGGGATCGTCCATATTGCTCGCGGCGGTTTCTTCTTGGAGGAGTTGGATGTCACCGATCTCGCAACTTGTCAACAACGCATGATGGCGGTCGCTCTGGAAGTGGAGAAGACATGTCCATTCAGCAAGACATTCGGGATCATCGGTAGAGGAGAAGGAGTTGTCTGGAAAGCTGCGCAACCACTTGGCATGGATCCTCGTATGTGGGTCAAGACCAAGGGTCCGGATTTTGTTGTCACCAGAACGGCCGATCTGCCAAAACCCATAGCCAAAGCTGACATCACAGTGCTGGGCGACGATATGATTGAAAGAACAAGACAGTTTGCTTATGCTACTACCACAGAGCCGAGACTACAACAGGTTTGGCAAGTGATGAAGCTAGAGTATGCCATGCCTATGGACAAGTCAAGCAAGAAGAGATTCATGCAGTACGTCTCTGATGATATCTTGCGTGAAGAGAAGCAAAGAATCAAGGCTTGCAAGGTTGATGAGCAATACTTGACGAAGTGCATTCGATGGATGGCTGAGATTTGGTATGACCAGCGACTGGATGATCTCCTGAGGTGGCAGGCTGCATCGATGCAATTGGAGGCAAGTCCAACTCAGCGCAATGGTCTTGGCTCGAATGAGGGAAGTGAACAATTGCCACCGGAATCCAAAGGGCTTGAAGTTATCAGTGGCGAGGATGGAATGAACTGGTGGTAATTGAGTTGGCGGCGGACGACCAACACATTTATAGCCAGCGCGGTGCTTCTCTTTTTAAGCTGGATCGACCTCTAGATATGTGTTGAAGGGGCAGCATTTCGGTAAAGCACATTTCTTACTCAGGAACGAAACACCTATTAGCTGACGAATTGAGAAGTCATTCTTTCATTATTTAGTCTCAGTGTTGCTTATATTAGTGGAACGTGATCTTTCCCCGCTCTACAGGTACAGGGTCCAACCTACAAAAAGTATCAACCATAGACGTACCTGAAGTGAATCCACAAGCCCAGCTGTCAACAGTCCCATGGACACTTCTGACCAGCAAGCTTCTTGAGCGTTCGAGCCTTGCAAGCATTTTGGCCACAAGAATTAATTGCCATAAAAGTAAGCATGAGAACAAACGGTACTTCGACTTCCGGGCTGAGCTTGGGCTACTGGAAACTCTCTTTAGGAGAAATGGCGGGCGCCTAACAGGTGACGAGCTGCCATATTGACGTACAATGGTACAGCCCAGACCGCGAACGTGCGAGACGCATGTAAGATCTTAGGTCCCTTCGTTTATCTTTGATGAACCTTCCCCAAATATGAACATGATTTTTCCTACGACCTTTCTAACTTTGAAGTGCTTTCGATCTCGTTCTCAAAAACGTCTGTCGTCGAATATTGCCACTCCCACGTCCAGCTATCAACCACTCGCAGTTCTCCTACGAGGATCTTCTGAGTCTCTATTGCCCACAACAATCTCGTTACTCCCATCCCCGCACCTCAAGAGACAATCCTTCCAAGAGCAATACAGTATCGGGATTCAACATGGTCGCTAGTAAGGGCGTCCTCTTCCTCGCCACAGCTCTCACGGCTGTGACAGCCCTTCCAATAAACAGCGGGAACCCCTCCTCGCTCGTTTCCAACAAGCATGTCACGATACGAGTTCCAGGCCACGGGCTCAATGGAGGTCTTCAACTCACTGGGTCTATGAAGAAACCACACACTTCCTCAAATGATCATTCTACAAGGAATGAGAGGGATTCTGTACCCGGTGTGGACGTAGAGAAGTTTCTGGTGCCACAACTGAGCATGTATTTTTGAGTAGCAGCGCAAAACCTGGAAATTCACTACTCGGGAAAGAGCCTGCATCTCAAAGGATCTTTCTCTTACATTACTTGAAGCCTGAAAGTCATAGTACAGAGGGAATTGCGAGGCGTTTGGTAGCCCAGAACATTCTCTTGAGCATACCGCTGTTCCAACCTCGCTTTCTGGCCGCCATGCTTTGCAGCTTGTGCAGGTCTATCAACTTTTGATATGGTGTTTGTATTGCAAGTTCTCGTGGTACTATGATGTTTGAGGAAGCTCGTATTGTGGAGGAGTCAACAAACTATTGTTCTAGCATCGCTTCGTTGCCAACAACTGCACGACTGGCCAAGTAAACCTGATTTTGTTTCCCTTCCCAACTGCATCATCCATCTCATCCCAGAGATCATTGATCTTCTCTTCTGGAATCGCTGGGATGAAAGTAGCGAACAGCCCCTTCAACCACTGTAGGTCTCCTTCGTCCATCCAATCCCCGTCGTTCTCAATCAAAACTTTGACCTCCCCCGCTCCTACCCGACTTGGAAATGGATCGGTATGTCTTACACTCATTGAAAAGGCATCCTCTTGTCCTCCAGTATTGATCCAAATCCGCTTCACACCCTCTTTCCAATGTTCAGGAGAAAACTGAACGACATCAAGCCCAGTGTCCCCATTTTTGACGGTCCTCGTATGAACTTCATCCCGATAGAAATTCCTTTCTACCCATATATCGAAGATACGATCCCAGATACTCTGTGCTCGAGGATTATCAATCATAATGGGTCGACCGTAATGCGAGATCGCAAGTGTTCCGCCAGGCTTTAGTTGTCTCGCGAATTCTTCCATGGCCAAATCAACATCCATCCAGTGGATTGCTTCACAAACAACAAGCAGATCCACTGTCGCATTCTTTACACTACTTTTCTCTCCTTTCTCTTGTAAGAAAGTAAACTTTTCTTTGGGATGCCCATACTGAGAAATCAGGCGCTCGGATGCGATGTTTGTGTAATTGTCGTTTGGGTCTGAGACGATAACGTGCCGAAACTTTCGAGCCAGGTCGTGTGATGCTATACCAGCACCTGATCCAACATCATGTGCGACCCCATATTGACCCGAGTGGGAGTCGTGGTAGTTATAGATGCAATCCCAGAAAGATCTGGGATAGGCTGGTCTGTATTTGATGTAAATGTCCCAGCTGAAGTCAGGGCTTGAGAAGCCGGGCTTTGGTTCACTTGAGGAGGTCATTGTGGTGAAAATGTAGTGGAAGATGTAAGCTGGTAGAAATATCCGATGCTTAGAGGGGTAGGAATTGGTATTCTATACCCATATCCGCCACTTCGGGTGCCAGCATATTCACTAATGCATGCAAGACGAATTGGACATTTGCTTAGCTGGCCTAAGGTACAGCTCAGATCGGTAATAATCTTCACTTGAGGGATATTAATCACTTTCGAGTGTATTTTAATTAAGTTGATTCACGGTCTTCCTGGTGAGTCCGGCTGACCTGTTGGGCATCATTCCTTGGGAACATCCCGAAGAAACACCTCATGGACACTTACCATGAGGTTTTAGAGTTTAGTTCCTGTTGAATTGATTGGTCAGAACAAGGTGGTACAAATGAGGAGTCACGCCAAGTGGTTCATAAACGAGAGCTTAGAGTGTTAAAACAGGGGGTCTCGGAGCCTCGGCACTTCAGAGCTTCTCAGGATCAGGATCAAATTCACAGCTTCAAAAGTTAAACCCGTTTTGAAAAGCTTCTTAAAGGGGGGTTAACAAGGGAGGTACAAGGCAAGGGAGGACCACAAGAGAAGATTACGAGGGGACTACAAGGTGGGACTACTGCGGGAAGAAATCCAAGAAAGCGAGAAGGCGAGGGTGTAAGAGGAAAATAGTAAAGAAAGAAGAAAGGAAGATGCTTAAGGGAAAGAGAATGGTATGCGTCTCTCGAACCCGAGAATTTCGCTTACCTTATCGTTTGTCTTTTCCCCTTGTCTTTTCGTGTGATCAGACCTGAAGCCTCTACAGCCCCTTAACTCAGTGTCATCCACCTTATCCAATCTTGAATTGAAGTGTTTTTACAGTGTATAAGTATGTTTAAATGCCCTGTAAAGAGCTTCAACTACAGTGCTAACGAAACCACGTAGCCGGTGGTCATGAGGTAGTTTCATAGGACACTGAATCATGACATAATCTTACCACCCACGTCACGTTCCGGAGTCAGACCGCCCGTACACATGTCGAGGACTCCGTGGTGCCGGGCAGATATATTCACGTGTACTACTTGGCGGCAGCACCTCTAGGCACAACGCAATATTTTGTGGGGTTGCTTTGTTGTCTTGTACCTCGCTTAAATTGCCACTAAACCGACCTAGGTGGACTGGATGAACACTAGGCAGGACACTTTGAAGGATCTCCACCCACATATAATTATTGTTCTAAAAACGTGTAGGAATTTCGGGTATCTATAGAATAAGAGTGTTATAGCAGCCTTGTACTCATTTTAGGAGGTTGTGTAAAGGCCATAAAATGGCCATACCAGAACCTTTCACGAACCCCTGGACACACGCTCTCTCTGTGGCTCGATAGCCATCATAAGCACTATGTGAAGATCTATTGCTATCTAACAAGAATATGAAAGAGTTGTGATCAGCTACTGCGATGTTGTGGGCATAATCTTAGAGCTAAAATAAATGGCATGGAGCTAGAAGTCAGAAAGACTGGTACGCCAACCAGGCACTAGACGTCGACATTGGCACCTCGGGGGAAAATGTAAATCAACCTCAACAAACCTCCCAGAGCAGCGCCACATATCAACGCTGAGCACTTTGGATATATATATAGCTAAAATCTACACAGGATAACTCAAAAATATAATCGTTGCCGGCACCCCAGTGGCCCGAGTGTTTCCAACCCAGCTTCACTGTCTCACCCAGAGGACTATTTCACGCAACTCGGGACCAACCACCAATCATGGAAGACAATATCTTCGAAGAAAAAGCCGACGGAGAACTGTCTGATACCTCATCAGTCCTCTCGGATGTGGATTCTGAACTATTCAAGGATTTTGATATCGATGGAAGCAATGCATCGGAGCCAGATACACACGAGACTCTCTTCTGTGGAGCCGCAGAAATGTCCGACACAACATCAATCCTCTCAGACGTCCCTTCAGAAATATTCGCAGATTTCGATCTGGATGGTTCCTTCCTTGAGTCCTGCTCAGAAGCCTTAAAGTATAACCCACTCACAAAGCCCTCTCAAAGAGGAAGGCGCAAACATGCTGGGAGTCAAAATATCAGTCAAACATCATACCAGCTCAACATCTTCGTCTCCAATCACAGAATATCTCTTGGCACACTATCAACCGATTATCAACGAAGCATGTCTGAAGCAAGTAGCACGATAATTGTCGATACCAGTACACAAGCTCCTCATCCACCGAAAATGTCACGCCGAGGACGCAGCAGTTCAGATGGTGAGAAAGAATCACCGGATAGGAGGATCACGTCAGCGAATAAAGCGCCACCAGCCAAGGAGCACACACCGAGCAAGAGGCTCATGCTCCCGCTGGATACCAATCAGAACGTGACTGTAGTACGGGAAGATACAGAAACGGAGACGGAAGAAGAACACCAGCCTCCGACACGGAAAATATGCTCAAGAACCCGAAAGAGGAAGAGAGTTAGTCACGCGGATGAGGATTATGATCCAGATGACAGGATGTCTATGAACATTTATTCAAGGGTTGAAGAGGAAATGAATAGATCAAAGGTTAAGAAGAGAAGTGTCAAGACTCGCGAACCAGCCATGGGGAAATTCAAAGTCTCTCGGAAAACTTGCACCAAAGCAACCCCATCAAGCAGCCAGGACGACGCAGAAGCCATATTGAAGTCAGCAGAAGCAGAGCAAGAAGATGATCTCTGGGAAGCAGAACCATTCCAAAAAGAGTACGAAGAAGCAACTGTCGCCAAAATGAGGGAAGCACACCAACTCAATTCAATCACCGAATTCCCACCACCAAGCGGCTGGTACGCCGGAGTTCCCAAAGCCAACAGCCAATGGACAGTCTGCGTCCGACCCCCAAAGCCCACATGGTATCATCCTGACTGGGATGCTGAGAGGCGTAAGCAAGCCGATAAAGCTACTGCGGCGTTGGTCAGACAGGGGGAGGAAGTTCTGGAGGCGGATATGGAGAATAAAAGGTACCGGATGAGGAAGTCGGGGACGAATTTGGTTACGAAACATACGGTTACTTGGTATCAGTGCCATTGGTTTCCGACTGGGAAGCGATGGGTCTTCAATATCTCGCTGGATGGGTATGATGAGTATTGATGTGAAGACTGTTGTCGTTGGCGTGGTCATGGCCTTACTACAGCGTTGCTTAGGTATTTGGATGGGCCTGCCTGACTGTTGAGATACCATTGTATAACGAGTGTAGCGTAAATGATATTATTACCACTATTTTTCAAAAATTAGCACTCGAGAAGCGCTGTAGGAGAAACAGTGGCTAAAGAACATGAAATGTGCTTGGCATGTTGTTCTCGCTAAACTCATCCTTGGCTATTCCTTCGGGGCAAGGAGGGAAATGCTATGTTGGAAATTACCTCTAACAACAAGACAATGAAAGCCCGTATAGTACGCATTTCCTTCATACTTGACACTTACACAAGCTTGATTATCACCGCCAACTTTCGGCCGCTCAAATTCCTTAAACACAGAGCCAGCAAATGCTTTGCACCACTGAAAACCATTCGACACAAGCAATGATACGTCCATCTCGCCTAATTTGCTTAAACCTTTTGCATGAGCAATCGCTACTCTAGAAACAACTGTACCTCTTATAGGCGAGCGATCGACTGGCTCATCTGCAAAGAAACATAGTCCCGTCTCAACACCTGCAGTACCACCGACTGCGACGTTGATACTGGCATCGACAACCATGACAGAGTAGAGGAATCCCAGATCTTCTGAGTCGGCATGCTGGAGATATCGTTAGAGCTTTGAGTGGGTGGTTATAGCTTTCTCAAAGAAAGTTTGGCCGAATGGCGAATGGAATTCTGCTTTCCTCCTTCTAAGACTCTCAAATTGATCAGTGCTTCCAGGATACAGGCTTCCAGAGATCTTAGAAGGGGTCAACTGTTTGCCGGTGAGCTCCTGAGGGTCAAGTGTAAATCAAAAAATAAATAAGAAGGAGAGCTGGCTTAATGCATCCAATGATATAGTCACTAATCCAATGCCATTCCTTTCATAATTGTAATACCATCTCTACATACACAACTCCCTCTACCCGGATATCTCTCAACACCACACTCTTGCAACACACACCAAATCAGACTTTGCTATCCGTCTTATCCACCACCTTATCCTCCGGCGAGAACTTCATGCTGATACTGTTCACACAATGCCTCTCATCCGTAGGCGTGTCATATCCCTCTCCTTTGAAAACATGTCCCAAATGACCACCACAATTCGAGCACACGATTTCCGTTCTCGACATGCCCAATGTGCGATCCTCATGTCTAGTCACCGCGCCAGGGATGTTGTCGAAGTATGCCGGCCATCCGCAGCCGGACTTGAACTTGTGGTTTGCTTTGTAAAGAGGTGCGTCGCAGCCGGCACATGTGTAGACTCCTTCTTCTGGCATGTGCTTGTCGTATTTGCCAACGAATGGAGCTTCGGTTCCTTTTCGTCTGAGGACCCGGAATTGCTCTGTTAGGTCTGTCAGTACATAGCCAATGGTATAGATGGAGGAGGAGAAGTTCGTACCTTTATTGAGAACTGCTCGCCACTCGTCGTCGGTTTTCTGGACTGGATGAGACATGTTGGAGGAGCTGCTGCTGCTTGTACCGAAGAGACTGGACAGGAAAGGGATGGTTGGCATTGACTTGAGAACTGTTCCTCGAGTTAAAGGCTGAAGAGCTTTGTATTGGGTTGAGGCGCGGGCAGTGTAGTTGCTGAGGGTGTAGAATGTACGGAGAAGAGTTGGGAAGGTTGGAAAGCGCATCGAGGTCTTATAGGGAATCGGAGGTGACTGAATGGTATCAAATTCAAAGCAATATCGAGTGATAGGGAAGCTTTAGGAATAGGTATGTTACGGTTACGGTGGCACAGTTACTGCGGCAGGAGTATTTCAAATATTGGAGCTCCCTCCCAATCCCCCGCCAATCATGATGTCAGTCGAAGCTGACCCCACCTTCAGCCACGTCCCGAGAGTCCGACCCTGTCTGCCTGTCTCTGTCCACGTCCACTTTAGCGCCAGCCACAGCTTGAGACAGGCGACAGGCTACGCTTTGTCGAAGGCGATGTGGAATCAAGGCGGCCACTCTTGATGACAGACAGCACCACAACCAACAATCTCACACAAAAATTGCACCCTCGTCGAGTTGCAAAATAATCCCCGAGCTTGATTCCATTCAAGCGCCGATATGTCACGTAGGCCCCCGAATCCTGCTGCTGAGCGCGCGGCGCAAAACACGCAGACCATCAAGAGCCTGCTGAAATTGGAGGGAAATAAGACATGTGCGGATTGCAAGAGAAATAAACGTAAGCTGGACATTGTTTACTTTGGTATCTTAAATCAAAAGCTAATAGTGTTTTTGCGCAGATCCGAGATGGGCAAGCTGGAACTTGGGTATCTTCATTTGCATAAGATGTTCTGGCATTCATCGAGGCATGGGAACACATATCAGCAGAGTCAAATCCGTGGATCTAGATGCCTGGACCGACGAGCAATTGCAGAGCGTTTTGAAATGGGGTAATTCAAGAGCGAACAAATACTGGGAGGCAAAGTTGGCACCAGGGCACGTACCGTCGGAATCGAAAATCGAGAACTTCATCAGGACAAAGTACGAGTCTAAGAGATGGGTTATGGAGGGACCAATACCGGATCCTTCAACTCTCGATGCTGAAGGAGATGATGATGTGCCGTTGAGTCTGGTCAAGGAGAAGCATGCAATTGAGCGATCGACTTCACAAAAAGCTTTGGGAGGACAGGCCGCTGGGCCTTCGCAAGTAAGGAGAGCGCAACAGCCAGATCTGTTTGGAGACGATGCTCCAGTGCAAAGGGCTAGCTCTGCGGCTGCAGTTCCAGCGAGACCGCCTCCAAAATCAGAGCCAGCTCCTCCCAAGCAAACGAAACCTGCAGACTCTCTCCTTGGTCTGGACTTCTTTGGTACTGAGGCTCCTCCACCAAACCGACCATCCAGCGCAGCTCCCACTCCAGGAGCACAATCGCGGCCAGACTTGAAACAGTCTATCTTGTCTCTATATGCCTCCGCTCCTCGACCACAGCCTCAGCAGCAACCATCTCATGCCTCACAAGGGTCATTTGGTGGTATGCAATCCCCACAGCAATCTCCTCCACCAACACAAAGCAGTTTTGGAGGAATGAATGATGCTTTTAGCAGCTTGAGCTTCTCTAACCAGGCTGCTCCTGCAATGCAGGCACCTGCAAAGCAATCTGCGTTTTCAGGCTTAGGCAATTTGTCAAGCCACCAGAAGACACCATCCCAAGTTTCCTCCCCACCTGCCAATCTTGGAGGAGGGAGCTTCTTTGATACCAAGCCTACACCAGCACCAACTCAGCCCAACCGCGGGTTCAGCTCATCGAGTGGCTTCGGTGCGTTTGATTCAGCCCCCGGAATGTCGCCTCCTCCTATCTCAAAGACAAGCTCCGGTCTGGACGACCTATTCGACTTCTCTACGCCTTCTCAGCCAGCTGCCAAGCCTATGGTCGCATCACCTACCACCCAACACTCGTCAGTCTTTAACCTCTCACAGCCCGCCCCAGCACCTCCACCCAAACCTCAGTCCCCACCAGCAGCCTCCAGCGGGTGGAATAATAGCGATGCCTGGGGATCGAACGACGCATGGGGTTCTACAGCAAAGACAAGTCCTACATTGAGCAAAGCAGCACCTCAGTCAGCAAGCACAGGAGATTTTGGATGGGGCGCCGGAGGAACATCATTGGCAAATCAAAGTATTGTTCCAGGTGGCAGTGGCGGATTTAGCACAGGAAGCAGTGCGCCGCCGAAAGTGAGTGCAGATGACGATTTCGGAGGCTGGAGCAGTGCTGCACCTGTTACGCCAGGAGCTGGTACCACCACCCAGGCGAAATCAGCATATGGAGCGAGCGAGGATCTGTTTTCCAATGTTTGGGAATAAAGCGAGCGGGTGATATCGAAAAGTAGATCGCATGTGGATTTCTTTGGTAGAAAGATACCTGCCAATCTATGATTTCCGCATACACGTCCTCCAGATTCATGTTCAAATGCAAGGGACCACTGAAAAGTGCCCCCGCTCGAGGACTTCGTGACAAATAATATATTTCGCTCTCCAAACCTAACGCCCTTGCTATGCTGCAGTATGTTTTAGGTACAGTACAATACAATAGGTATCCGCCTTTCCAAATGTACGCCCAAACAGTGTCTGTGTCCTTATGCCTTGATGCTCCATCATGCATTTATTTTCCTCCCCTATTCTACCCAGTCTTGCTTTAAACTTCCATGATCACGCCCTTTCAGACAAACAGTCCCCATATAAACCACAGCACCAACACCGTCCCAATGATTATCCCGCTCAACTTGAATATAGCGACCTTATTCCCACTTGCAGCCATCCGCCCCAATCTCCCCGCCGAGCCTTTCAGACTCGTGCTCATAGATGAGAATTTGCCAGACTATTGACCTGTTAGCATACGTACAAGCTTCAAACTACAAGTACCAACATAAATGAAACTGTGGACGCAGGAAGGTGACATTAGAAGGGCGAAGAAGAATTCAGGGGAGAAAAGGAGAAGGAAGACTAACCGTATCGTCAATAACATCTTGTGCCCTCGCATTGTCGTAGATATCTACTGTGACGCCCCTTAATGCTGTGACTTTCGCAGATAGCTCAGATAGCCGGGAGTTATTCTGGCGCTCGCGTTCGTAGGCGTCGGACATTGTGTGTGCTTTCTTTCCCGCCCGGGATGGCCTCCTATCCTCTTCGTGATGTGGGTATTGTAGAATTTGGATATAGGCTTGAAAGCGTAGGTTGGCGCAGGAAAGTAGAGTTGTATGGCAGACGTGTAATCCAGGCCTGGGTTTGGCTTGCGCACGTAGAGGGTTAAGGTTCGGGGTGAGGTTGTGGTTGTTGAACTGGATTCGGAGGGTATGGAGACGGGGCTGAACAAGGCGGAGAGGGTCTTGTTTCACTTGACGGAGGTAAATCTTCTTTGTCGCACAGGTACGCTGGGGCGCCCGAGCTTAGAATTGCTACTCGCGAGCGGAGTGACTGATGGCAAGGGGGGATACGTGGATGGAGGCAAAGTCAAGTGAAGAGAGTTGTATGGATGAACTCTGTGCATACGCGGAAGTCGTCGAGTGAAGTCGAGCGAGGTCTGGAAGAGAGTAGCCTTAGTCGGCCCTAACAAAGTCCGCGTGGAGAAGCTGGCTCAGCCACACTCGTGGCTTTTCTGGCGACATCATCTCGATCATTTCTACACCTTAAATTGTAAGCACAGACGGTCTCTTGGTAAAGTCATCTTGCGGTCTGCGATCATTGCTCACAAGTAAATATTATTCACATACCGGGCCCTCATCGCTCTTGGATTTCTTCTGCTTGAGGTGCATATTCAGGCACAGGAAAGGCACCCACCGGCATTGCATTCACGGCAGAGCTGCGAACCCTTGAACGAACATACGCCTCCGGCGGATCTTCTTCCCTTAGAGCCGCAAACTTACCCCACCAACCACCCTTGACCCTATCTCACTCGCAACACTCTTCGAGAGATTTCACAGTCAGCGCAACAACCAACCTATTTCTCCCTACTTCCCGGATCGTCGCAGGTATTTTCCGCAGATATGGGTCTCCATAATCCTCTTCCCTCGTCTATGGCGTGTAAGTACTCGAATTAACTCTGGATATGTAAGTGCCGGAACAGATAGCTGACTGACCTGGCCTCCTCCAGCGGAATGTAAGAAATGTGGCAAGATTCTGGCTTCCTTCGTCGACCCTCGCCAGGCTTTCGGTCCAGATAAGATCATTCCTCCTCAAGTTCTCGCAAATGCAAAGGTACGCCACTTCTGCGCAGTTCTTCGTTCTCCCGAGCTGCTTAAGCTTCCCAACCTATGACATAGCTAACCGGAAGCTTAGGGACTTGCGATCCTCACAGTCATCAAGGCAGGCTTCCTCGGCTCAGGACGATATGGAAATGGGGTCGTGGTTGCGCGCCTTGCAGACGGCACCTGGAGTGCGCCTTCAGCTATTGGAACCGGTGGAGCCGGATTCGGCGGGCAGATCGGGTTCGAAATCACAGACTTTGTCTTCATTTTGAACGATGCCGCGGCCGTACGGACATTCTCACAAGCTGGTTCTCTCACTCTCGGCGGCAATGTTTCTATAGCTGCCGGACCAGTAGGACGTAATGCTGAAGCTGCTGGTGCGGCGAGCATGAAGGGCGTAGCAGGTATCTTCAGCTACAGTAAGACAAAGGGATTGTTCGCTGGTGTCAGTTTGGAGGGAAGTGCTATTATTGAACGGCGAGATGCAAATGAGAAGCTCTACGGCCAGCGCTTTACCGCTGTTCAGCTCCTCCAAGGATCTGTCCGTCCTCCGCCAGCTGCACAACCACTTATGAGTGTCTTGAATTCGAGGATATTTGCTGGAATTTCTGCAGCAGATGATGCTACATATAATGATATTCCGGTGTACGACGACAGACATGACGATGTAGTCTGGGAAGGCAGGAGAGGGAGCGCATACGGAGAGGGTGTTCGGAGAGATCGCACAGGAAGCGTAAATCAGGATAACGACTACGTATACAGCGACAGGCCGAAACGTGCAAGTACTTGGGCGGACGATATCTACGACCGTCCCACTGGCAGTGCTGCGAGAGTAAATTCCTTCAATACTGGTGCAAGTACTATGTCCGGGCGGGGACGTGGAGGTTTCGACGACGACTATGTCTACTCAGATAGTCCGCGAAGCCCAACAGGTACGGTAGGAAGTGGTAAAGTCGGACCAGGAAGACCTTCTGCACCCAAACCTCTCTTCCAAAGTAAAACTGGTTCTCTCCGCGATAACGAGGCTGTGGCTTTGTTTACTTTTGATGGGGAGCAGCCGGGTGATTTGGGATTCAAGAAGGGCGATATTATTCAGGTCACGAAAAAGACTGAGAGTACGAATGACTGGTGGTAAGTTACTTTCAGAACCATTCATTTCTCTGCGCGCCACTAACATTATAACAGGACTGGCATCAGTGGATCCAGAACCGGAATCTTCCCAGCCAACTATGTCGAGATGAAGAAATAGATTCTTCCACTGTCACCAAAATAATGTCAAATCTCCAGCCATCTACCATTCATTTCTTCCTCCTTCTTATCCTCTCTCTGCGGTCGCACCTCCGCATGTGAGTTACAATCAGCATCCCCAATTAGTTTGGCTACTTTAATCCCTTTCCAAGCTTCTGGCGGTACTTGCGTTTCTAGCAAGCGAACGCAATGCAAACAAATTTTACATCCTTTACGTACCTGCTATTTCTGTTCGTGAAATCTGATAGCGGGAAAATACAGGGTGGAGTCGTTGCATATGACGAATGGCGCCTGGTGTTTACTTGCTTGTTTGCTCGCTCACATATTCTACGTCATGCGAAGTTATTATACTGGGTGGCCAGCTAGTTTAGTGATTTAAGACGATTTGGTTGATACACTTTGGAAGCACTTTACGAGATATTTTCGAGGAAGCTTTTTGATTAGTAGCGAATGAAAAGTAGTTTTCGAGCAAGTGTTAGCCCGCCCAATGGTTCTTGCCAAGATAATACTGAGATTAGTGTGGTTTCTGTGTACTTTGCCTGATGTTGACATCATGATTGGGATTGGCAACCTCGCAAGCGAGAGTGGATCTGGGGCAAAGTAAACAAAGCAAAGATCAATGCATAATTCACCAAAAAGCTCCCCTACGCCGACCAGAGGAGTCGAGTGTCCAAGCTAAGCCTATTTCTACAATTCAAATATCAAACGAATTCCCATGAAATTACAAATCCAAATTCCATCACCTCAAATCCGAGGAATCACTGTAACCCACCCGAGCCCAACCGCACCACACACCTACCTCAACCCACCCAAACCCCTCCTCCCCCTCTTCATCTCCCTCTTCTTCATCTCCCTCCTCCTCATCTCCTCCCTCCTCCTCCTCCTCCTCCTCCTCCCCCTCAACAACGCCGCCTCCACCACCGGCGCCAGCCTCGCCCCGGGTAAAAATCTCTCCCCCTCAACATTATACACATCCGCTCTCCTAGCGTTAAACTCCCTCTGCAGATACATATCGCCTGTTACTTTAGCGATCCGGTCTGAAGCGTTGCGGATAGCGTTCATGCGCGAGATGTCCATGTTGGCTGCGAGGGCGTAGGGGTTTCGGAGTCGGAGTTCGCGCTGAGTGGATATGGTGGGTTGAGAGTTGGGGGTGGGGTGGTGGGCGAAGAAGGTGTTTGTTTGATGGCCGGGAGGAAAGAAGGTGGATCGCCAGCTGTGGGGGAAGAAGGGTTGTGTTAGTTTTGTGGAGTCGCAGTGGGTATGGATGGGAGAGAATAGGAATCGACTAAAAGAATCTTGCTGGGGTGTTTGGATGTTCGAAGGCCGAGAAGATGAGTATCAGGGAAGAAGAAATGAAGAAGCTCGCAGTCTTTGACTTACAAGACAGGCATCCTCTCGCCGCCACATAATGCTGTATCTCGTTCTCATAATAAGCACGTCCAACCGCCGTCGCCGGCGGCTCTGGAAAGATATTCAAGTCCATAGGGTTGTATCCTCTCTGACGAGGAATCAGCGGCACAGCAGGAACATCATACAGCTCTCTTGCCTTTTTGGCAAGTGCAGGATGATCAGAGTGGAGGTATATCGCTACCTTAGCAGCAGTAGTATAGTTCTGGTTATTGTGCGCGAAATCACCATGTGCAGGATCCAGACCAACAGTCTCGTAGTTCAGCTTCGCCATATCACCGCATGTAGGACATGAGTGGAGATACTTGCCTCTTACATCCCAGTAGAGAAAATGCACTTCAGATGGAGTCTGTGGGAGTCTTTGCAGTGGGGTTCTACGATGGTGCTGCCAAAACCTTTGGGGTCTTCGCTTTTACCTCGATAATATGTCTTGTTGCAAAGGATACATCTCTGGCATTGGAAATCGCACCCATACTTCAACTTGCAATTCCATCCTGCATTGATAGGACAGAATTCAAACAATTTGGGGGCCACATTCTTGTAGGAAGATGGTGCAGGCGGTAACGTATCGTCGTCGCCATTTTGGAAAGGCCGAGTCGCTTTCTGATGGAACTGCGCAGTACCTTCTTGTACCCAATCTGGCTCGGCAGAATTTGTACTGTCGTATAATCTACAAAGTGAAACTGAATAAGCATGCTTCTTCAAGGCGAGATTTCAAGATTCTTGAAGATGCTGCTCACTGCCAAAGCCCTTGATCTTATTGGATACCGTCCATACTGAATCGGGAATTTTGACAGCTTACTGATAAATTTGTTTTTTAAAGTTCACTGGTTAGTAAGAATAGCTCAAACATTTGGACAAGTTGGTACTTCAAAGAGAGACGAAAGCGTGGTCGAAGTTTTCAGTATCAAATCAGGTGCTCGCAACGGTAGCTGACCTCTAACAGCCCTGGTCGACAAAGAATGAGCCCTCATAGCTCTTTCGTCCTCCTCAATGAGGGACTTGACCTAGCCATTTGCTCTAGGCTCATAATAACGAAAGGGGGGCACTCACCAAGGTCTTTTCCCCACCCAATCTCTCATCAATCTGAAATTCCTCCTATGACGATTGACCAAACTCATATCCTGAAAGATCTTGAAAACAATGTCTTCCAATTCTCGATAATCATTATTTCTTTCGCCTTGTTGTGGGGGGTCAAATCCTCCGTTGAAACATTCTATGCTGTAGTCTGCCTCCCATTTCTGGTGCTCAGCAAAAGATTGCCCGTCGAGGAGCGAGAAATGTTCTGTTATGAGTCTAATCATTACTCGGATCAACAACCTCCGTCTGGTTGTGTAGAAGAACTCAAAGGCAGCAGCAATGTGATGTAGCTAGTTGTATAATATGAAATTGAGGCTTGGAACTCAGCCAGGATAGCAGGGCTGTGGGGCTGCTGAATGTTTTTCATCGGACTTTTCCCTTTTGTTTAGCAATTGAGATCTCTTTATTGTTTTGTTGGATATCTCGTGTTCAATGCTGCATGAAAGGAAGGTGTGCAGTATCGATCAGGTAGTCATGCACAGAAAGCGGAAATCATGCTCCATGTACAGCAATGTTAACATGAAAGATACCAAGTTGCAGCCGAGTCGCACTAAAACAGACAGCATCAAGCACCACCCAATGAACATCAAGTACTAGATCACTTCACACGCACAAATGACAATCAGTTATAATTTCCGAAGAAAGATTTTCTATTAAGAAGTACCTGCCATCTCAGCAGTATCAAAAACGATCGCTCGCAAAAGTCCAATCTCGCAGCCTCTGAAGAACGCCACCGTCCATCTATGAACGCACACCAAACCGAGTCATTTTGTCGCGCCGCCTCGAGAATCAAAAACATATCAAATAGAGACAAAACCACAAAAGAAAGAACCCGCATCGCCAAAGCCGAAGAAGCGACCCCAATGTCCCTCGCAGAAGAAGATAAAGTACAAGCAAAGAAGATGTTCAACCCAGGGCAACCTTCCCTCCTGGCGCTGAAGATTCTTGGTCCAGAGCAATCACTTCCCTGGATCGTCTTTCTTCCCCTTCCGCAATTCTTATGGTGGTCTGTTCTTCGCCTCAATAGCGATCAGTAGAGGGTGTAGCCGCCGTCGATGATGACATTGCTGCCGGTCATGAAGGCGGATGCGTCGGATGCGAGGAGAACTGCGAGACCGTTCAAGTCGTCAACGGCACCGAGGCGGTTCTGTGGGGTAAGGGACTTCCAGATCTTCTTCTGGGCATCGAGAGCTGGGACGTTGTTGAGTGCGGTGTCCATGTAACCGGGGGAGATGCAGTTGACACGGATGTTGAACTTAGCCCACTCAGCGGCCAAGGACTTTCCGAGCTGGATGACACCAGCCTTGGAGGCGTTGTAGCAAGATTGTTCTTGTGGGTAGTTGACAATCCCACCAGACATCGAGGCGATGAAAACAATGGATCCAGGCTTCTTTGCGTCAATCATGTGCTTTCCAACTGCTTGTGCCATCAAGAATGAACCAGTCAAATTGATGTCGATGAGGCGGGTCCACTTCTTGGTGTCATAGGTCTCGGCTGGCATGTTGGAGCTATGTGATCATTAGCTTTGCAAATTCATCGCAGAAAGAGAGGAACTTACTCAGCAATACCTGCGGAGTTGATCAGGACATCTGGAACGCCGTATGCCTTGACCAATGCGTTGATCGACTCGTTGATGGCGTTCTCGTCACGAACATCAACGTTGTAGAAAGCGACTGGGACAGTGTCACCAGTCAAGGCGTGGAGGGATGCAACAGCCTCCTCTCCGAGCTGTTGATTGGCATCAAGAATGATCAGAGCCTTGGCTCCAGCCTCTGCACAAGCCTGAGCCATGCTGTATCCCAATCCACGAGCACCACTGAGAAAGAAGAAGTCAGTTTTAAATATTTTTTGAATGATATTATGAGAACGTACCCAGTCACAACAACCACCTTGTCCATCAAGGACATCTTCTGCATTGTTGGTGGGAGGTTCTGGTATGTAGCCTTGCTCAATGGGCCAGACTTTTCGATGGTGTTTTGATTAACCACAATTGTTGATCTCTCAACTGATCCATCAGCGTAGGAGCTGTGCTTGACCTCAGTGGCGGCCACAACATCTGGTGCTGGCTCATTGAGGGGAGCGGAGAAAGTGATGGGTCTGGCAGCTCTGAAAGCAGGAGTAGCAACTCTGGCGGCGCGAGCCGCGCGCAATGCAGGTCTGGAGAACATGATTATGGTTTATATTTGTTGGGTATCTGGGAAAGTGTGAAAAAGTTCGAAGGTGTTTGTGGTCTTGATATTGAAGATCGGATTTCGAGTGTTTGTTTGTGGAAGATGATGGTCTTGAATGTGAAAGCTGGTCCTTAAATAGTTCGAAGAGAACGCCTGAACGAGAGTCCAGATGATCTTCTTAAATCAATACGTTTGTTGTGCCTGATTGGTATTCAATGACCTCGAAAGTGCAAATGAATGGCCTAATTGGGGTTTATTTGGTCTTTGAGAATGAATTAGCGAGCTGCTCTCTCCGACAATGCAGATTCACTCCAAGTACAACATCGCACAGAACAGGACAAATGAATGAAACTTGTAGCCATACAATGAGTTCTCCTTCAAAATTTCAAGACAACGTCGAACAGGTGAATGAAGTGACGAGATGCTGACGCAACGTAAGGGTATCCGAAAGAAATGCTGATGAGGAAAAAGCCGAAGTATATATCGAAAAGATGCGGCAGAAGAAGCCCAGCTCTTGGTCTTTCCTCTTATTAAATCTCAAATGGAGTTGTGCAAAAGTCGTTTCCTTCTATTCCCAAAAGTTGCAAAAGTCTAGCAAGGGCGGGCAAACAAGCAAACAAGTCTAGCGAAGTAGCAGTTCTTTCTTTTCGTCTATTCGTTCTGGTATTTCTGTGCGAGTCCCCTGCAGATATATATGCTCGAAATGGGCAAACCGGTATCGCCGAGAAGTTGTCAGATGGGGTTGATTGACGGAACAGTCAGTTGTTTCGTAATTTTTCGTCAAAGTGTCAGTGGCGTTGCAAAAGCAAAGCGTATCCTCTAAAAACAAACGTCATTCAAGTAGAGACGAGCGGAGCAAGAGCAGCGAGTTAAACAGAACCTGTATCTGAAAGCGAGCAGTGGAATAAGTACGGATGAGCAAGAGAAAGGAGGGAGGGGAGCAGAGGTTTTTCTACAATTTTTCTGGCTGGACCGTCACATATCGCCGCTATCCGTCAGATTACAGAGCACGCTGGGCTTGGCTACCCTGCGCCTGCAAGGTCACACCAGGGTAGCTGTCGTTAGCGGCGACGTCCGTGCTACAGTGCATGCGTTTAGTGTGTTTAGCGCATGGAGTCCCTGTAGCCAGTCCACTAATTCCACTATTGGCGCTCCGGGTCCAGGATGCTGGGTTCCGGGAGATGGGACTGAACTGGCCAAGGTCAAGTGCCAGGTGGCCCCTAAAGCCCCGAAGAGGCCTAAACCCTCTAACCTTTTTCTAAATCTGCTCCAGCTAAGTGCGATTTTCAGAGATCTTCAGGGTTCAGGAAGAGCCCCATTTTGTGCGTGGGACCTGAATCTGCCTTGATGAAGATTCTGTCTTGGTGTTTTTATTTGCTCGTTCAGGCAGGTCTTGAGCTACCCTGAGCATTTATCACTACTATTTGCACACTGTTGCTGCTGACCGAGTCCGTGGGGGTCCCTTCAATCACCTCGCAATATGTCGACTCCTGTGAGGCGGTGTGAGGCGGGAGCTGCATGTGATGTCCATGGAAATCTCCCATGGTCCAGCCCCCCCAGTGTTTCTCAACGCTTCCCCAGGTACGACCGAAAGGGGTACTGGTACCTCCGATTTCTATTGCTAATGGGGAAAGCTCTGTGCGGCCGTTCAGTGATCAGCTGGACAAGTCTGCACTTTCGAGTGGCCCAGACGGCTCTCGAGGGGTCGAGAGGTAACCTCGAGGCAGGTACCACGACAGGGTAGGGCTGGTACCCAGCGACCTAGGACAGGCTCTGGGGGATTTGTTGTCTCTTCTTTCTTTAGAGCTGTCATGTCACAGAACGGGGAGATCAAACCCGAACGATAGAGAGACTCCGGGTGCGGCTGGCTAAGTGGCGAACTGCTGCCGATAAAGAGTATTTTCGACTTGTGAAAAATGGGGTTGAGACATGAAAGCGGGCATCGAGGAAATTGATATCCAATTTTTAATGTTTTGAGGACGTCTCTGGTGCGAAGTGATCAATATATCAAAATGATTGTTTCCAGCCACAAGACCAACGAGAGCCTCTCCTTCACACATGTGGAGTCGTCACGATTCAGCAGCCTCGCCTGAACCGGAGGGATCTGATAACAGTGCATGCATGCATGGACGAGGCAAGGCATGGCTGCGGGCCGGGTTCAGAGTGGGATTTCCAGCAACTTTCGTTTGATGTGCAAAACAACCTGACAAGACCGAGGACCACAAGCGAGGATCTCCCACGAAGTGTGTCCGTGGAAGCTTGGAAGCCCGGAAGCGGCATGAGAGCAGGTGGAGAGAGCAACGACCAGTGGATTCAACAGGCCAAGAGTATCCACTGTTAGGCAGCGGCATTGTCCCCATACGCCTCATCATAGCTCCAGTCTTCCGCACAGAATGCATTCGCTCCACAAGCTGTATTGCAGCAAAGCTAGCAAGCTATCATGGCGGTGTGAGTGAGAGCTTCGAAGTCCTCGAAGTTTCAAGAGGCAATCCCACGTTGGCAGCATAATATTGGCACTGGCATTCCGCATTGGCCTTGCTGCAAGACAACGGCTTGTCATCTGATGCGAAATAAAATTACGGGCTCGTCAACTTGCTTTTGCGATCCTCGACCACGCCGACAAGGACAACACAACAGTAACACAACTGCACAAGTCACTCCTGTCCCATGGCGTTTGCGTCAAGCTTCAAGGGGAGCGAATGGCCGAGTGGCTGCAGGCTAGAGAAGCTAGTAACGGCACTGATCTGACGGCGTGGGCGTGGACCAGGTGTGGGATTATTTATGAGAGATGCGTGGGACGAAGAAAATAGTAGTCGGCGTTTATCACGAAAGGAGCAGAGCGAAAAGCCATGGCGGAAGGAGGAAGATAAATCACCGAATCAGGCACTCCGAGACAGTTGATTGACTATCAATTCTCCTATGAGAAGACAACTCCCATTTCAAAGTCAGGGCACAGCAGAAGGCTGCATATCAAGAACGATATCTTCAGCACATCTATCTTGGGGTTATCCGCCACCCTCATCCATCCTGCCACGCAACCATCCTCTTCTCTCTTACAGTCCCAAATCCTTGCATCAAAGAACCCAAGCAGCGCACAAAGCTTCTAGAAAACATTACCAGCCGGCTTCCGTTCCACAAGGAAGGTTAGTCCCTTGACACTAGCACCGAAAAAGTCTGCAGTGTATTATTTTTACATTATTTAAGCCTTCGCCTTCCCAATTTTTTCGCCGTAAGGAGGCTAGACGTGAACCTGACTAGGGCTGAGATGTGCTGTGCCGTCCATGCACGCCCTGAAGTTTAGCGACCGTCACTCAAGCCAAACTTGTCCCGCGACGAAACGTGCGGATCTCACCATAGACACTTGTCTCGAGACGGGGATAGCTTTTCCTTTGTTTGCCAGACCGTGGTGTTCGGAGAAGGCTGGAGAGGTTGCTTTGGAATGAGTGCGTATCTGGTTACTTCATCATAATTCCATCCCACCTCATGGAGTTCTTTGGCCTTCTGGTATTCATGGCTCGGAAGACTCTAACAGAGTACGGGACATCCAGATCATAAGAGGCAAAGTTGTCGTGACATGCAAACTTATCAGGTCAGCAAAATACTCCAAAGATAGCACTCGAGCCACTTGAGTGAGGAGGGTTTTACTTCCATCGCCACCTAGTACTCTGCCTACCCCGAGAAATCTCCTCGATTTTCTTCGACCCCCTGATTACTATCCAGCCGTAGCACGTCATGATCTTGCTGACTGTTCCTTTACCTAAAGCCTATAATTTCATGAAGATTTTTTTTCTCTGTATCCAGAAAACTTGAGTCTGAATCTATCAAGCTCTTGGCTTGCAGAATTTCTGGAGCATGCAGAAGCTTAAGAGTGGAAGGAGATGCGAGGACAACGGACAACGGGCAACTCTCCAATCGGCATGTCTCCTGCATTAGGCGAGGGCTTAGCTTGAAATGCTGGACGTCCGAATGCACAATGCTTCTACACCGCAAAGTCGCGTTTCTATCCCAATGGTTTCATTGCAAGGAACGGACCGCAAAGCTCCCCTTTTGATCGAATACTCAACGGGAAGGGTATAGAACAAACGAATAACTGTGGTATAGCCATGTTTCCAATCTCGGCACAGAAATGCTCTGTGTACGCTTCAAAGTCGGTTCAGGTAACGGGTGGCGGTCGAAGAATTAGAAAACCTAGCCTTCACCGTTGCAAGGCGGGGACCATTTGTTATCTGTTCCCGGCTCGTCTGCAGGTACATACATACATAGTGTGTGTTTGGCGTACGTCGAGTCGAGTCACCGCTGGTTTTCTTCAGGCGGGGAAATGTGTCCGGGACCGCTACAGATTACTTTCAAATCTGACATGAATCAGTGCTATGCACTTTTTGACATACAAAATACGTTATGGAACTTGCCCTTGACAAATGCCAGTGCAACAATGAGAAAGCTCCAGATAACCGCAGGTTTTAACACAACTTTAGCTGTGACAGCCCAGCTTGATCTTCATTCATCACTATTTCATTTCAGTAGGTTTCTTGTGATTTTCTCCTTATTGTTTGTGGTTCTTTTGAAAATCTGTCGATCAGTGTGCTCAAATCACCAAGCTTTCTTTTCGATTATCATGATGCCTTATACTTTCCACCGACCGTCTTCTAGCAGCTCCTTCACTTCAAGTCCTAGCATTAGAACGATCAAAAGACTGCAGAATTGAAAGAAATTCCCTCAACCATCAAGATCAAAACCTATACTCCGCCACTCCCAAAAACCTCCTCACAGCCTCCTCATTCAACCCCTCCAAATCAACCTCATTCGTAAACCTCCCCCCCTCCCCAAGTCTCCTCCTCATCTCCCCCAAATCCTCCCCCACCTCCCCATCAGCAAAAGCATACATCCTCCCAAACTCCCTACTTATCTCCACCACCTTCTGCGTCCTGGGCCTCCTCATCTCATCATACACCGCAAACGCCCTCTCCACCTGTCTCAGCTCCGACACATGCTCAAACAGCGCTGTCAGCATCGCCACATCTTCAACTGACTGCGCTGCTCCCTGGCCGTTGAAGGGCATAGTTGCGTGTGCTGCGTCACCTAGCATACATATGTTTCCACGGGAGTAGAAAGGCGCGTGGTCGTGGTCAGCGAGTTTCCAGTCTAGGGTTGGGTTACGTAGGGCGAGAGCCAAAATATCTCGAGCGTCTTTAGTCCAGTGCGTGGAATCCTCAGGTAAAAACAACTTCTTCTTATCTTGATGAGAAGCCCCATCCGTAGTCCCATTTGTCAGTCTAGTCTGCTGCGACTTCTGAACAACCGTCAAGTTTAGCGTCTTCCCGAAATGCGTTGGTATCGCATTCATATACCCTCCATGGCCACATAAAATCGGGACGTAAGTAAGCAGATTCGGATTCAGCTCCCGCACTTCCTCAGCGGGTAAGGCTCGTGCGATCCATTCCCAGTTATCGTGGCATTTGGGCTCAACGGCAGGATGATCTGCGCCGAGGAGATATTTCCTGACAATGCTGTGTACGCCGTCACATCCGATGACAACGTCTGCTTTTGCTGTACTGCCATCTTTGAATGTCAATGAGATACCTTGCTCGTCCTCTTCGATATTCTCTAATCTCTTGCCCAACTTCACCACTCCCTCAGGAGCCAGACTCAAAAATCCCTCTAACTGCTCAGCTGGTCAGCTCACAGCATTCATCAGTGTCCGGAATGAGAACAAAGAATTTCCCAGGACCATTTTTCAAAACACCGGGCGAGAAAAGCTAACAACTCACCAAATCACACCTCGCAACCGTCTTCCTCCCCCTCGCCTTCCCCAACTCCGCCAACAGTACCGGCCTCCCCTCCTCCCCACCAACCCCATCAGCAACCAAAACATGCGTCGCCATCTCCACATCCCTCTCACTCATCAGCGTCGCTCTGCGAAAATACTCCGCCTGCAATTCCGGATCGATGAGTGCAAGTGCACGCATCGCGTTGCCGTGGAACGCAAGACCGCCTCCTATGTCGAGATACTGGGAGGCGGCTTCGTAGACGGTGATGGTGAGATTTTGATTTTGGTTTGGGTTGTTGAGGGTTTTTGATTTGGAGAGCCCGCGGGCGAGGCAGAGACCGGCGATGCCGCCGCCGATTATGGCGATGTTGATTGTCATTATGACTTGTTACTTTGTCAAAGAGTAAGATTTGATGACGAGTCTTGGAAGTTGAGGATTGCTGGGCTCTATACGATATATCTCTGACTGAATTTCCTAATTTCTTACTTCGATAAAGTGGCACAGCGAGTAAAAGAAGGATTTACGTTTTGAAGAGCCATCCTTGTTGCTTGATGATAAAGTAAGGTTTTACGTGAAATCGAAACGCGTAAACACTGCTGATTCGCATGTTCGGATTAGTGGTATTGTCGTAAGTCCTTCTAACGTCAGCGATTAACGCCTCTATTGATCGAGCTAACCGTAAGCGAGCTGGGGTTGAAGCCAGTTGTTTCGTCAACTCCACTTGACAGTGTAGTGAGAGATGAAGATAAATAGATATTGTAGATTGTCTTTGGTCAATGAGAGCGCATTCAAGTCTCTGATATATACGTTAGAAGCTGCTTCAATTCGTTCAAAACTTCATCATCAGGGTTCAGAGGTGCTTTCGCAGCGTTGTTCGCTCCGCCAGTTGCTCAATCCACATTGGCAGATCAGAAAATCACCAGTGCCAATTAAACGAAAAGAGGTGGAAGATAGGTACCCAAGGCTACAAGTCATTTTTCTTGTCTTCTGATGAACTAACTACCCACCAACCACAACTTCCACGCACTTTCCACTATCCATCACCGCCTGCATGTTCCTATGAATTCACCTCCCTGCGCATGAAACAAAGAGCAAATCAAAGCAAAAGCAAAGTTCTTTTTATTTTAATACAAACCCACGCAATCGCATCGCAACGCAAATATGCAACGAAGAAAAGACGAAGAAATTCCACGCTTAATCGTACGACCGCATATGAATGAACGCAGCACCAAAAGAGAAGACGGTCTTGTGAGACACTTTTTTGCAGGTCCATCCATCAATCCATCCAATTGTCCGATATCTACTTCCGTCATCATATGCCCACCTGGTTCAAAAATTGGATGAAACTAATCCCAGTTGTCGTTTCCGTTCGCGGCATAGCCTTGGCTACTGCCATTGCCATTGCCGTTAGATCGACCGCCACCTGAGTTGTTGCTGAGGCCTTCTTGGACAGCCTTGAGGACGAGGTCCTTGGCCTTCTCGACGCCCTCTGCGCTACCTAGAATCTCAATGGCTTCGCCGCCAGCTTGATCACGAGGAACGGTGATCTTGCAGCCAGTGGCTTTGCGGATCTGGTTGACTTTGCTTCCACCTTGACCGATGACGAAGCGATAGGTGCTAGGATCGGGGAGGATAAGGTAGCCGGCGGTGGTGTTCTTCAAAGCGGATTCAATGGCTGCGGCGAGAGTTGCTTTTGCCTTGGTGACGTTCTCAGAAGGGCCGCGAAGGATCCATGGAATCTCACCATCAATAGTAGATCCAGAATTGTTGATGATGTTCCAGATGTGGGCATCCTCGGAAGGCTCATCTGTTTGGAGGGGGAGGTTTGTTCCACTGCCACGAATGTTGGTTGGTGCCTCTGGCTTTGGTGGGATCTTGTGGCCTGCGTGGTCGACAGTAACTTTGTGATCGTTACGAAGTCTTCTGAAGAATTGTCCATTGTCCGCAATGGTGTGGTGGACCTTTCTTGGGACCTGGACAGTCTCACCCTCTTGATCCTTCACTATGTTCAAGATATGATTCTTGGCTGCCTCGACATCTGATGGTAGGCCAGTGACCTTGATCGCGCTTTGCTCGCTTCCCTGTCTTGGGATATCGATCGATACCTTGAACTTCGACTCGAGATCCTTCTTCGTCTCTCCTCCACGGCCAATGAGCGAGCGATGCTTCTCAGTTGGTACATCGAAAGACTCGGTGGTCTGGTTTTCACGCTCGGAAACGATCTTTTGCATGGCCGCAATGATCTTGTCTACAACGTCTGCCTTGCCCTCAACCTTGATGACATTTCCATCAGACTCAGCCTTGGGGAACTGGACCGTTCTTGCAAGCTCCCGACGGTCGTCAGATCCTCCAGCACTGACGACAATGTCACGAAGAGCAGATCCTGCGAATGTCAGTAATGCTCAGAAGTATGGTTCGGGAAATACTAACCTCCAGCGCCGATGAGAGCTCTATGGTGTTTCTTCTCCACCTCTAAAGTCTTTGTGACAGTCGTGTCAAAAACGTCTCTCTTGGCGTCGATCAACTTTCGTGCTTGTGCCACTTGAGATGATGTGCCCTTGATCACAATCTCGACACGTGTGCTTGGGTCCTTGATATCTCTGGCATTTGGAATCTCAATTCTGGCGCCAGTGGTCTGTCTGATCTCGTCCATACCACTTCCACGCTGACCGATCAAAGACGGAATCTGACCAGCTTGGACAGAGATGGCGGCGGTATGTGAGTTATCCCTGAGATATTGGTAGAGGTTCAAGAGCTCATCTCTGGCTTCATCAGCTCCCTTCTTAGGCCCCTTCACGGTAACCTCGTCAGGCTCTTGCTCGCGTCTAGTAGGCTTTCGGCCAGCATCGCTCGCAGCATCGGCGTTTGATTGATCATCCTTCACAGGCTTGGCAGATCTTGGGAAATGTATTTGGACCTTGTACCGTGTCTGAAGCTTGTTGATCTGTGCACCGCCAGCACCAATCAGCTCACGATGGAACTTAGGATCGATCTTGAGGATATATGTTGCCTCATCGGCCCATTGTCGACCGAGTGCTGTGATGTGTGCCTTAGCAGCTGCGGCCTTGGCTTGTGGGCCCTTAAGCTCAACAACTCCATCGTTGACATTGATTTCGACATCGAACTTGTCGCGCAAGTCCCGAATATTGGCACCGCCCTTTCCGATGAGTTGATTGGCATGCTTTTGTGGGAAGTCGAAAGTAGTGGTGAAGCCACGCTCTTTCTCATCCTCAATGGCTGTGGCAACAAACGCATTGACCTTCTCAGCCAACGCCTCAACGGCAGGGGCTGGACCCTTGAGGGTCACGATAGTACCTGCATTAGTGACTCGCACAGGGATTTGATCTGCTTCGCGATCTTGCTGCTCCTTTTGGATGAATCTGCGCAACTTATCGTGGAAGCTGAAGACGTTAGCTAGTACAACTGGTCTCAGGTTGAACAGAACCTACATCTTTGGTACATCAATCGATGTTGAGATAATAGCGGCTTGCTTGCTGATGATATCCAAAATATATTTCCGAGCATCCTCCAGACCTTGCTTGAATGCCTTGATTTCCTCGGTAGTGGGGGTATCTCGGGGAACTTGATAATCTGCGCTCAGACCAGAGTCACCCTCGAAAACGAGGAGAACTGGAGCACCTTGCTCAGAAGCATCTGGAATAACGACATGAACACCGTACTCCTTCTTGACACGGGGAGTAATGTCTCTCTGAATATGGCGGTGGAAGAATGGGTCGATCGGTACAGTGGCCATACGGGAAGGTGGATGAGCTCCGAGGATCTGGTTGATCTCGTCCTTGGCACGGATACCGCTAGCACTGTCTCTGAAGTAAAGTTCCCAAGCACCGGCACCATCGTCTAAGATTGGAGTGACGATACTGGCCTTGTGGAGTGACTCAAGTCTCTCGATTTCCTTGCGATCACGAAGGTATTGAGTGACATTGCGAGCATGCACACGAGCACCTCCGGGGGCATTTCGAAATTGTCTCGAGACGTCCAACGAAGAAGAATTGATACTTGATGCCAAGTCAGTGGCATATTCCTTTGCAGCCTTGAGCTTGTCAGCTGGACCAATGAAGGTGATTATATCTTCACCATCATCGGTTGGCAGGATGATAGCACATTGAGTCTCGCCAAAGAATTCCTCTGGAGTTTTGCCTTGTTGACCGATGACATATTGATGTTGGCCCCGATCAATACCAGCATATTGCTCAACAGCCAGTCTCTGTCTCAGCTCCTGGGTTAACCTCTCAATCTCCGAACGTGCAGCTTGAACCGCAGCGCGATCACCTCCGAGTGTGATGTGGTTGTCGCCGAAAGCTGGAAGAAACTCGGCCTGGCCAGGACCAGCTTTCCGGGGAGGTGGTTGAGAGGTCCAAGTGTGATGTGGGGGTACTCGAACTTGAACACCATGCGACTCCTCAAGCGAGCTTGCTGGCCCAGCAAGGAAGGGGTAAAACTCGGCTGGGATGGTCCGCAGTCTTGTGTTGATCGCAGGAGTTCTCTCGTTTGCAATCTTAGCAATCTCTTTCCTTGCCAATTGAATAGCAATTGGGTTCCCCTCAACAACGATATCAATCATGTCATCATCTTCATCGCCTCCTTGTGGCATGTCTTCCATCTTGGGCATTTGAATACGAGCTCCGGTTGTCTCTTGTAGACCCTTGATTGTCGATCCCTGCTTTCCGATGATATGGGCTCTAGCTGACTTTGGGATGGAAACTTTGGAGGACGACTACGGACTGTCAATATTGTCCCTGAGCGGAGAATTACCTGTGACTGACCTTAGCACCAATTTGAGCGCCCAAATCTCTGATTGCCTGTTGCTTGAGTGCCTCCTTTTGATTACTTGTCTCTCTGAACTCCAAGATGCCATTCTCTCCCGTCCGCATTGTCAAATTTGTTCTCAACTTCTTGTTGATATCCTTGATAATATCTGGCATTGGCTTCTTGAGCTGGTTGCGAGGTAGAACTTCGTTCTTTTGCAAAACAAGTCGCGGAGCCTGGATCTGAACTGCCGGTGTTTGTGACGAGCCTCTAGGGGTGTTCGCACCGGATGTTGGCGTCGCAGAGCCATTGGTTGGGCTTCCATTACTGGTTCCATTAGCAGGCTTCCCACCCCATCTTCCAGCGAGGACTGGTGCTTGTGCAGGCTTTGGAGCACCTCCTAAGCCAGGGAAAGCTGTAGTAGAATGTGGGTCCAACACTGGCGTATTCTCCTTTCCTGAAGGCGCATCCGCTTTGCGCTTTCCTGCTGCCTTGGCAGACATCGTAGCAGGCCATTCGCTTGCGGGTGCTGGCTCGTCTAGATCTTCGAGGACGTGTGTTTCCGACAGAGGCGCGGGGGGGTGCTTCAAGTCGGATTCGTCGACGACTTCATCAACGCTGGCCTTCTGCGCAATATGCTTCAGTTGAAGTCTTTGTGCAGCAGAAAGCTGCCCGCTGCCATTGATACTGTTCTCAGCAGACATATTGGGCGTTCGAGTTGTTTAATGCAAGTGGAAGGCAATGTATAGTTCGGTCTCAAGGCTTATCCGGCAAATAAGAAAACCTGCCCAATTGAACGGTTAGTAAGACTGTAGATTCTGGGAGCCTACGTGTAGAGATAAGATGGAGATTCACTTACCAAGATAACGAAGGATGAACTGGTGAATTGCGAAACCCAACTATCCCGTTAACAAGAGTGACGTTTAGAGGCCACGAAGTCGAAATCCGAACTAGACTTGTTCTAGTTTCTGGAGAGTTGCATTAAGGGCGACGGAAAGGCAGATTCTGTGTGAACAATTGAATGTGCGGGGAAGATGCAGGGCTCATGCAAGACGCCGTTGGGATTTGTCTGAAGGGAGAGGTGGTGGTGACAGGAGAGAGATCGAGCAGCTTCTGGACAGACTGCAAGTGGTGGAAGCTCTCCGATACTCGAAGTGGAGTGGAAATAAGCGAATGCTCCACCACGCCGGTCTGGATCCTGAGGCAGTGAGAGTGGGTGAAAGTGACACCGAGGAAGAGACGTGAAAGGGGGAGGGCGCAGATAAATATTTGATTTTGCTCTCATCCATTCAATGTCACCTATTTCTATTGCTTAACACAGAGAATGTTTGCTTGCCAGCAACAATAAACTATCTGAACGGCACGTCGTCCCTTCAAGGTGCCACATTCAATCGGCTCAAGCCACAAGCAGAGTGGGGCAGGCTGGGAGGTTTCCATTTTGGGTTGGATATCATGTGATAATTCTTTCTAAAATGTCCAACTGGGTAACTTGATACCACCATACTTGGTCGACTTAGGAGAATTCGATGGTCTCCCACACAATTGAATGCAGGCTGCTTTTCACCTTGGTGGCTGGCATTGCACGGTCTTGATGAGTTCCCCAGAAAGCTTGGGTCAAGGCTTAGAAGCTGGGGCAGCAAGACATGGATGAAGACTCTCAATGTTTCCTGGGAAGTTCCTGGAGCAGTAGGGCATATCGAGGGTACTAATTCAGCTGGCTCACCTCTTCTCTTGGGGGTCTGATACCAAAGGCATTTACCTCCGAGTGGCACGATTGTGATTGATGCTTTTGACGTTGCGATATTCAGGTAATATAGTAGGACATCTTGCTCGTGAAGCGGAAGTCCACGATGAAGCCAACGGGGTCAAACGCTATGTAATGCAGCCCAAGCTTCCGATGTACGAAATAATTACCTGCTAGACCGACGCACTGCACGAAGGCCATTGTGGTTAAACGGAATCAGGGACGAAAAGATGATTGTTTTTGGGACCCGATATGTGATCATATTTGGACCGGCCTTGCCTTGGTAACGGGATACGACTCTGGCCCGATTGTAGCAGTCCTGTCCATTTCTCTGTCCGTTTGCTCTCGGGATAAAAATCCGTGATGGGTTGGACAAATCTCGGGTTGCGGAAGCCGAAAAGGAGGCCGAGTAGAAACTGGAAGAATGGAGCCCTCAAAAGCCAACGACTTGTTGATCTCCACAGAATTGTTTTCTGAAAAGCCTATTGGATACCTGAATCTGGTTTATCCGAGAGGTTTTTGTCATTGGCTCTCAAGAATATGGATGCAGACAGTCCCGGAATTCTTGGGTCGGTATGTGTGGAGTACAGAAGACTTTGTTTGTAGTTGGGAACAGAAACACAGAGTTGTTGTGGATTCCCAAAGGTAACGTGTCAATCAAAGCTAGGGCTTCATCTGAAGGGTTGCGGCATTTCTTCCGACTTGCTCGGGGGCTCAATGCTTGAACGGAAGGTATGGAGCCATAAACATCGTGTCACTGCGTAAGTTTTCGAAAATCCGAGTGCAATCTCCCTGTCGAGGTGCGAGCGGATGCGGTGACATCAATGTAGGTACTTGTATGTGAAAGATACAGATTAGCTGCTTTATGTTGTGTTTAGCACAGCGCAGAGCCTTATGGGAGCGATTCGAACAGGAGTTTGAGCTTGAGGTTCTTTTTGAGTACTCACAGAGGAAATTGTTCAGGCCAATCGATACGGTATATCCGAAATGAGAGATGGTGGCGCAGGATGATTAGATTTTCAAGTAGCCAAAGTCTCCAAATCAAAAATTATCAGGGATCAACTGCACTCTTCAGAATCTTTCCAGAGGCGGAGTTGGTCGCACAGCTTGATCGATGTCCCTGTGCAGGAAATCCACGTTGAGGCAGACTCGGTAAGGCGAGAGGGCACTGGTTCGATTGCTATTGGAGAATGGGTGCCGGCTGCATGGAGATGAACTTGTTAGCAAACCAAAACATTTGTCTGCGCATCGCATCATCAGGGTCGAAGAATAGCGCTTCGTTTGCTCGCTCCGTGTTCCGTTTGTAACACTCTAGTTGGCAGGGCGAAGAAGGAGGAGAGCAAGGACGCTCTGCGTATCCGGGAACTCCAATAGAAAGGGCTAACAGAACGATAGCAGGTATTGAAACTGTCAAACGGAGTGAGTTGAAGATACTGGGCCATGCCCAATGCTGCTCTGCGTTGCACTGCACTGCACTGCACAGTACAGTACTGTAGCTACTACACTAAGGGCATCTGTGGATGCAGATGCTGAGACGGCCATCAATTTCAGATGACGAAGGCGCTTGTAATTGTTGGGGGTTTAGAACATCAACATCATCCACCTGTCGCATCCCGAGCAGTTTCTTGCTGTCTCTTGGACCGCCCACATAGACTGAAGGCGGGGCGGACCAGATTAGTTGCTGCCGGAGAGGAAAGTCAAAACAAAAAAACATGTACGGAGTGGAGAGATGTGGAATGAGATAACTTCAACCCGCGAGACGGGAAGCAGGTGAGAGAGCAGTTGCAAAGTTTATATTTAGGTAATTTGGTTGTAACTTACAGTAAGCCTTGAAGCTTCAAAGCCAGGGCAGTGATAATTTACAATACAGTAGGGAAAATAAGCTAGCAAGCTCCGGGTCGTTTACTGTAAGACATGGATCGTGCCGTGCTTCGATTTGCGTCTATTCTTGTGTTGATCTTGTCTCTTGTTGGAATGGATTACTACTGGAGCTCCAACCGCAAGGTGCAACTTACCTTCGTGATTATTTCCTTCCTTCCTTGCGTGGCCGAGGTGGTCGGTCTCGTTACTTACAGTAGGTGGTAATGGAAATTTAACTTGGTTGATTTCTGACCTTCCCTGCTCTGTCCTGCTTTGGTTGCCCTGCCTCGCCTGCCCTGGTGTCCTGCCCTGGTGCCCTGCCCTGGTGCCCTGCCCTGGTGCCCTGCCCTGCGCGTCCTTGCCTGTGCTGCACTGCTGGCTGGGTCTTCCTGGGTTTCCCTTCCCCTCCATGTCAAAGTGGCTTCCAGATCCCATGCAGCCAATGAATGGAACGTCGCCCTTCAACATCCTGCACTGCACTGCCCTGCTGAGTCGGCCAATGATCGCGACCAAAACATTGGGAATCACTCTCATTCTGCTCTGCTCGGCCTCTCCAGCAAACCAGACCAGGCTTGTTTTCAACGCTCGCTCTGCCTCGTGCGTGTGTGCTGAGCTGTGCTGTGCAGAGAAATACTCCGACACTGGACATTTGACATTAGACCCGGATCACCTCGACCTCGACCTCGACCTCGACCTCGTGCTCCTGCTCCTGCTCCTGCTCTTGCTCCTGTCTGCCACTCAACCAACCTCGTCACACCAGTTATCGAGAGCTCAGAACCTGCTCCGACCAGTCTACAGCTATCCCCCACCACCAACTGCCTTGGGCGGGCCTGACCTGACCTTCCCTTCAACCGCACCGTCTTGCCTGTCCAGACGTCCCTCTTCTGGCAGTCCATTGTCAGTCCTTCTCTTTTGCGACTACTCTTATCAATTTTGCGGACATCTAGCCATACATAGCTCTAGCTCTACTCCAGTTCGAGTCCATACACTATCCCCGGTATCTCCTGCGACTCCCACCACAAACAGGCCAATTCACCCGAATTCTTCACCACGCTGCAGCGCATCGCATTCGGCCACCGTCCACAGGCCCTACGCTCCCTGGCTCTGTCGTCGAGAGTCCTGCCGTTACTTATTTATGGCCCCAGGTTTACCGGCTGCTACACAGAAACAGCTACTCTACGGTATTCTGCAGGCGCTTGCTCCCACCTACGAGGCGTGATTGGCTGAGCATTACAGCCAAAGCCGCCTACCCACCACAACCCCTTCCCCAGCTCAAACAGCGTGGTGTCCGTTCACAATCTGGCGCCCGTCACGTCACAGTATGGAGTCAATATCAAAACCCTCTCGACGTCTTCAGAAGAAAGCGCCACCACCATCAGTTGCCCTCGAATCTCAAGCCCAGTCTATCAGAAGTCAACGCTCCTCGAGCAGCCTCCAAAGAGCTCCCTCGGCCCCTCACCCCAGATCGCAACCTGTGTACGGACATTCACGCAAGACTACATCCCCAAATCCGATTGCCTACACGTCGAACTCCTCGAATTCCTCACTCGATCGAAGCGGACCTTCTCCAGTTCTGGCTAGCTCGGAGTTTGGCGCGCCAGGTGGGGGACAAGGGCATTCGACAGGAACGCGTCCACTGAGTGAGAAGTCATCGTCTGAACTGATTGGGGCTCCATTTGATGGCTCTGGTATCCTAAGCCATATCGACTCCACGAAAGCGTCGGGCTATCAGAACTCTCTGCGCCGTCCGCCCCCGCCACCCCTCACTCACACGGTGTCAGATTCGCGGATGATGAACCCGCCTCTACGGCAGTCTGCAAGCTTTTCTGCAGGAGACAGGATGAACGAGAAGACACCCCCTCGCGTGAGCGAGAATCAATTGATCAGCCCAAAGCGGTATTCAGACGAGAGCAAGGAGCCCAAGGTTGGTATGATTAGGAAGAAATCTGCATTTTCAGGATTCATGAGCAGCATTGGAGTTGGATCTCCTCGAGGGGTCAAGATATCGGCACCAGAGAACCCAGTACACGTTACTCACGTTGGGTATGATAATCAAACGGGGCAATTTACGGTCAGTCTAATTGTTTAGAGGAAATAAGTTGTTCGCTGATTGATTTAGGGCCTACCCAAAGAATGGCAACGCATGATCAACGATAGCGGCATCACGAAGAAAGAACAAGAGCAGAATCCAGAAGTGGTTATGGAAATCGTTGGTTTCTACAAGGAGAATGCAGATAAAGGCGGAGATGAGGTGTGGGACAAATTCGAAAATGCCAGAGTGCCAGGATTACGAGTCGGCACTTCGACGCCAGCGCCACTTTCTCCAGCTTTGCTGAACACTCCTAATTATGGATCAATGACCAGTCCGCCAGCAAGTCCGCGATTCCCATCGAATCATGAGACTAGTTTCGAAAACCCGAGATCTCCCCCTCCAGTACCACGGCCGGGACAAGCCTCCGCCTCTCAGATGAGGGATGTCAACGGCATGGTTCCAACTCGACCAGCTCCAAGGCCGCCCGTCGCATTCCCAACAAGGGCAGCTCCACCACCTCCAATGCTCGGAAAAGATTCAGGCATTGGGATGCCTCGACAGAGTGAAGATTTACCAGCATTGGCATATGTCCCTCCAGATTCTGCGCCCATGCTTCCAGAGGAACATCGTTCCAGATCCAATTCACGCGCAAACGGAACCTCTCCTTACGCTACACCACTCCAAGTTACCTCTCCTCAAGATCTCTACACTCAGCAGTTGGTGCAACAGCAAGAAGCCGCCATGCACCAAGCCCAACAACAGCAGGGCTCCATTTCTCGTGCTCCAAGTAAGCGCCAACAACAACCCACTCCTCCGAATTCCCAGGGCCAATTCCAGCAAGCACCGAATCTTAATGGCGTGCCTCATCCTAGTCAGCAAGTTAGAGCTGCTCCAGGTCCACGACCCCGACATCGTGCGCGTCAAAGTACTGGATTTGATATTGTTGCACGCCTGAAGCAGATTTGTACGGAAGGCGATCCAAGGGAGATTTACAAAGATCTTACAAAAATCGGGCAAGGAGCTTCAGGCGGAGTGTTCACTGGCTATGAGAGAGGAACCAATCGCTTGGTTGCCATTAAACAAATGAATCTGGAACAACAACCAAAGAAAGACTTGATCATTAACGAAATTATTGTCATGAAAGAGAGTTCACATCCGAACATTGTCAATTTTATTGACAGCTATCTGGTATCTGGAGAATTATGGGTAATTATGGAATTTATGGAAGGTGGAAGCTTGACAGATGTTGTTACATTTAACATCATGTCTGAGGGTCAAATTGCGGCTGTTTGCAGAGAAACACTCAAAGGCCTCCAACACCTCCATTCCAAGGGCGTCATCCATCGAGATATCAAGTCTGACAATATTCTGCTCTCGATGGATGGCAACATCAAGCTAAGTAAGTCATGCCTTTACCTGGTCTGGATTTACGTGCTAATCATATTCAGCCGATTTTGGTTTCTGTGCTCAGATCAATGAAGCTCATAACAAGCGAACAACTATGGTCGGAACACCCTATTGGATGGCTCCCGAAGTTGTGACGCGAAAAGAATATGGTCGCAAAGTCGATATATGGTCTCTTGGTATCATGGCTATTGAAATGATCGAGGGCGAGCCCCCATATCTGACTGAGTCGCCACTTCGAGCGCTTTACCTAATTGCCACAAACGGCACGCCTGCCATCAAGGACGAGCACGCGCTGAGTCCTGTCTTCAAGGATTTCCTGTACTTTGCATTGAAGGTAGACCCAGAGAAGCGAGCAAGTGCTCACGACCTTTTACGAGCAAGTAGCCCCATCTCTCCTGGCGACGCCATTGCTAACATGCAAAACAGCACGACTTCATGAAGCAATGCGCCGATCTAATCCAGCTGTCACCACTCGTTCGCTCAGCACGCAGCGCTCGAGCACAAGAAAAGGCCCAAAAGGCCGCGGCATCGTAATCTTCTCCCAGACGTCTCCACGTAACGACGGAGTAGAATCGACGCAGAATCAATCGTAACATATTCCAAATCCCGCTCATGAGATATTTGGGTGGAGATGATGCACAAAAAAGCTTTCTTTGACAACCAATTCGAATTCCAATGCTTGTGGATTCGACCTTCGGATTTCCATGGTCACCAAATACATCACATCAAATACTGCAAGAAAGCAAGGCGTTCAGGTTGGGATTTGTATCATCTGGTGATTTATATATTCATCAACGGGCGTACGATGTGATGTCATGCCATATCTAGAGTGCAAGAAGCACGTTTGATTTGTGAGACAGCTGGCTGGACCAATTAGGCATAGGATGGGCTGGGTGGATGGACTTGACAATGTGATTAGACAGATGGACGGCTGGCTTGATGGCATAGCGGACACGGGCATGACAAGGTTGGAAGGGAGGGAGGAAAAGATAGTAGCGGATGACTGATGGAATGGACACGATGCTTTGGGAGGACTGCGAGAAATGATAGCGGCTGATATCCCAGGGAGGTGGACCGTACTCGAAGGCAATGAGAGGAACGACTGCAACGAGGGAACGTCGGGTTGTTGGATTGTCCATATCAAGGAAGGAATGACGGTGGTTTCCTTTGTTTCTATCTACTTCCTGTAGTCAGAGTCAGAGTTCAGAGACATTGAACAGGATGGGAATGAATTTCTCTTGCCTCCGAAGATCACCGATTATTTCTTTTTCCCGCTCTCGTCCTGGTCTCTTTCCCAATGTCAATCTCAGACCTGCCTGCAGTGATTCGGTTCTTGGCGTCTTGCCCGCCTTCCTTCGCAAATTAAAACAAATGACACACAAGACAGCGATACTAGGTGAGCAGCCTCTATCCTCTCAAAGCACACTGATACGCTTTTCTCTCGCTGATCTCGAGTTAGACAGTCTCAGCCTAGGAAACCACGGGAAAAATCTACTCGAAAAGACATATTTTGGAAGGAAAAGATGCAGAACGTCGGGAGGAAGTAGGCAGTATTTCTTGGAAATGGTTATCTCGGGACTCGGCACAACCTTGGCTGGCATCAATTTGGACCTCTTCCTGATCCTCATCTATGATCCCAAGATCGTATTACGGAGTCTCCATCTTTCAGCCTCACAACTCTACCAAGACTGGTACGTATTCTCGTCCAACCGCTTGTCAGCCAATCGGGTTTTCACCAATCACAATCCAAACAGTCCGCCAATATTTCGCTACCCTTGGACATGTATTTGGCCCCCCCTACTCGGCGAGGATTCATGATCTTCAAATTCTTTCGATATGACGGTTCTCATGGTGTCTACGCCCTAGAATCCTTGAGGAGCTCACGGAATTACGTGTATACGTTAGAAAATAGCTGCCTCCAAGCAGTAAGTTGTAGCTGTGCCTCTTACGGGCATGAAGCCTGAGAAGGAACACTCGGCCGAAAGCCCGTTTATGAGGCTCTGGAGATAGCAAACGACCGCATATATGTGACACAAAGCACCCTGTCCTACATAGTTCTGGTGGACAAGATTCAACATCGACGCGACAGGCTGCTTTGGAGCTACCAACATTCCATATTCAGAGCATACATCGAAACAAGCAATTCACCAACGCGTCCCGGATTGCCCACCAATGGCACCACCACCAACTGCACCAACAGGGAAGAAATCCCGGAACGGGTGCAAGACTTGCAAGTATGAACTCATTGTACCGAATCGTTTTTGCAGCTTCGTGCTAACTAATCAGGATCCGGCGAGTAAAATGTGATGAGACCAAGCCATTTTGCAATCGCTGCAAGGACTTACATATAACATGTGACGGCTACGTGGTCAAGAAATCAAAAGGCAGAGAAGGCAGAGGAACATTCTTCCCTATCCTCCCCAAAAGCCACTCCATATCCTTTGCACCCGTAAAATTGGTACCAGAAGTGCAACCGGCACGCATTCTCTATGACCAACAACATCGCTACTTCGATATATTTAGGCAAACCACCGCCGCGACGCTAGCAGAATACTTAGATACAACTCTCTGGAATCGTATCGTGCTTCAAGAAACCGAGGCCAACCTGTCCATCAAACACAGCGTCATCGCCCTTGGCGCTCTTCACAAAGCCTTAGACGGCGATCCTTACCCACACGCAGCAGACACCAAACTTTCTCAAAGTGTCCACTACCGCTTCGCTCTTCAACAATACGGCAAAGCTCTAAGACTGACGCGCACATCAATCTCCTCTCCAGAAAGTCAGGTCGATAGTCGTGCCTTGCTGATCTCCTGCTTCCTCTCCATCTGTTTCGAATGCATCCACGGCTCCACATCTACAGCCGTCGCGCATATTCAAAGCGGGATCTCAATGCTCGATGATTTCTGCAGCAAACAACCCCACTGCATCTCATTTGACGAACGACAAGCTCTCCCCGGCTTTCTCGAAGATGAAATGCTCTCCGTTCTATGCAGACTTGAGAGCGACGTCACAGGCCTTTACGATGCCGGCCAGCTCAGCCCACAGCCAGAAGTCGAAGCAGCAGTCGTAGGCATATTCTACTACATGCCCACAGATGGTTTCCAGAGTCTCACGTCCGCAAGGAAATATCTGGATCTACTCCTCCGTGAAGTCGGCTGGTTCATCACTTCGTGCAACGAACAGCGCTGGAGCTTCCTAGTTCAAGATTCCGGACCGACTGTCCCAGGAATAGAGACAGCTACTTGTCTAATACCAACAATCGAGCAGCAAGAACGTGCAGCTATGTTTCAAGACCTCCTCCAGAAATGGCTCGCTACTTTCCAAGCAACTGTCCACAGGACGCGCCTATCTCAAAATTCAGACGCCAAACTCTCCGTCACCGCGCTCTCTCTGCGCGCAATTTGTGCTTCGATTTCACTCTCCTGCTGCTTTGGGCCAGAAACGGCATTTGATCCACATATTCCTGAATTCGAGCGAGCTTTGCAGCTAGCGGAGGATCTGCACTTGGGTGGACCGTCCTCGAGGAGTGTGAGGCCGACATTCATCACATCGTCCATCTTGATCAGGAGTTTGTACTTCGTCGCGCTGAAGTGTAGATGTAGTGTACTTAGGAGGAGGGCATTGAGTTTTCTAGAGGGTATGCCGAGAAGGGAAGGGATCTGGGATGCGGTTTTTGTGTGCAATGTTGCGAGGGCGGTTGTTGCTGTTGAGGAGGGAGGAGAGGATTGGTCTGGAGAGGCTGGTCTCCCACCTGAGGAGATGAGAGTTACGTCGCTGAAGACTTCTTTCGATCTTTATAAGCGGAAGGGGCATGTACGGTACCTACAGTCTGTGGGATGCGAAGATGGAGTTAGATTTATGGTGGGAGAACAAGACATTATATGGTAACAGAATAGAGAGATATGCTTGGCTGCATGCGTAGTTAGATATACAGATGCATAGAAGACAATAAACGATTGGTTCCCTTCCCGATTGGCCCTCGACGAGAGCTACATCAACACTGCATTACCGGAACGAAGCTGCATCCCCGACTCTGGGTTACAAAAGAGTGCTTTACATCCAAACACCTATTACTTTAGTTACGAGGTTTCATCCCAACAAGATACTGCTTCGACACAAAAATTGGCACCAAGAAAAGCTTCAACTTGTGCGATTGATTCGGCACAAGACTCAGTTCGAACTTCCGCACCACCATCGCCAAGAGCAATCTCAATTCCCTCAGAGCAAATCTGCAGTCAAGTCAGCCCTTGCATTAGATGAGCGGGAACGAAAAGGAGACCCTACTGCATCCCGATACAATTCCTTGGCCCAGCAGAGAAAGGCAAGGTAGCTTTTCGATCTGCTTCATGCCCTTTATACGGTCCCAGCCAGCGCTCTGGTATGTAAAGCTCTGGGTCCGGCCAGTATTGGGGGTCCTTGCCCAGTTCGGCGAGGTTGATTGATACTTGTGTCTGCAAGGCCGAAGTTAGTATGCCCGGCTCACTTTGCTGAGGATTTGATATTTACTTACCCCTGGTGGGATCTCATAGCCATTTACCACCACTGGCTCTGTCGCCAGTCTTCCGAACGCTGTGAGGGGTGATTAATATACTCCCAAGACTAGCTTGTAAGTAGAGAGTGTGAACATAACATACCAACAGCCACAGGCATGACTCGCATACTCTCATTCAACGCCGCATTCAGATATGGGAGATTGTTGGTCTTCTCGAACGTGATCGGATCGTCTCGGGATGGGAAAGCCTCGTCTAGTTCTGCGACGAGCTTCTTGAGTTTTTCGGGGTTGTTGAGGAGGTGGAGGAGGCAGAATGTCAGGGTGACGCTCGATGTGTCGGTTCCGGCTACCATGAACAATGTCATGTCTGCTTTGATGTGACCTTCTAGGCTTCAAAAGAGGTAGGTTTAGTATGCTTTCTTGGATAATGGGAGGATTTGGCGTCATGAGAGAAGCTAAGAAGGAGTGATGTGACAACACGCCACTTACTATTCATTAGGATACTTCTCCCGTGTCTCAATCAACATCTGCAGGAGATCCTTCTTGACATCCTTCTTATCCAAGCTCCTTCTCTTCGCCAGGATATCGTTGAGTCGCCGTTGAATCTCAGGATCCACTGGATTTGGAACGAAAGGTAGATACTTCAGGATTGGAAACTGCGCGTGGACAAACATCTTTTGGAGTTGTCGGGAGAAGATCTCTTTCAGGTGCGTGTTGTTTGTCTTAGTCAAGTTCCAGGATTCTCCAAAGACTGTTGTTGTGAGAACGTCCTGATGGAGTGTCAGGTTTGACATCTACCGAGCTGGATTGTTGGGAGGGCGTTGAACTGGATAGTCGGGAGAGTAACTTTCCCATGACTTACTGCTGTGACATTGGCTAGGTTGTTGAACATATCCACTTCCGCGAAACCATTGCCCTCTTCACACTTCTGCTCGAGGAATTGTTGGAACACGTCGACGCACTCCATCATGGCAGGTTCCAGATTGTTGAGGTAACTGATCGAAAAGCCATGAGATAACAATCGTCGCTACAGACGGAACCACTGTCAGTACAACACAACATTGAACGATAGAACAATTATCCATCATCATTGAGTGCTTACTCTACTCTTGTGGACATCTTTATCTCTCTCCGTAAAAACATCCGAGTGATGGCGATCGGGTCGAAAACCATCGTAGATCGGCGATTTCTTCATTACGTTCTCAACAAGCATCTGCTGCGCAGTATCCTTTCCCTTCACCAGAACAACCTGAGGAGCTACAGGTTCAGACATCAACGACTATTATCACCAGACCCTTTTCAACCAAACAAAGGGCAAGGGGGTGGGTGGGGGCTGGGTTCTAGCCTTACCAATACGGACGGTATCCCCATATTGTTCAAACAGCTTTGGAAGATCGTAAAAGTAATCCCCAGATGCGACACGCAGTCGCCAGCGTAAGGCGGTCAGTTTACCTAGCGCTGGCCCTGGGATTTTAGAAAGTGGTCCCGTGTAAGCAAATATCAAGGCGAGGATAACGCGTCGAGCAATTTCTGCAAGCAGGGTGTACAGCAATAACCACAAATAATTTGCCATTTCAATGTAGTGGAAAAGAAACTCGAAAAAAGATTTCGAGCTTTTCTTTAGGTCAACGTCCATTCGATATTTTATCTGGGGTGCAGTTGTATATATTCAAGCAGGAGGAACGGAAGTCCGCTCCCGAGGCTGTTTGTTCTAGTCCAGAAGTCCCTGCTTTTCCGACATCGAGCGGGATCCGCTCTGCGTATCTCGGTCAGACGAAGGGATTGGATGAAACTGATTGGATTTACGATGCCAGCAATGACGGAAGAGAGATGCTCCTTGGGTCGCTTGGCTGTCAGCAGTAATGTGATGAAGCGGCACAGCTGAGCCTCGCTTAGACCCGTTTTAGGATAGCTTTCATATAGCTTTTTGTTTTATAACCAATATTCTTTGATTAAACATCATCTCCTAGCTTTTCTCTAAAAGTTAGGCACTATGAGAACCCCGATATCAGATGTGGGCAATTCTAAATCCAAGTCTTATATATCGTTTCACAGCAGAATCTCTCATACCATCCACGTGTATCTATATACCCCCACCCCAATTCGGTAGCAGCAGGATGCTTCGAGCCCAGGAGACGGCAGAACGCTAGCAAATACCCTTGTAGACTCTCCATACGCACTTGGATAGAATAGAATAAAACTTGGACAGTGTTAAAAATCCGTTGGTAAGGATAGAATAGTAAGTCATATTCTATTCTATTCTGTTCAGCAATCACACTGATACCGTGTACAAAACAAGTCTTCGACATCACGCCGACATACTACTCACTGAAACATACGCGGAGAACATATGCCAAATTCTCGTATTCTTGAATTGTAGCCCATATACTTTTAAAGTACAGTAGAAACGCCTGAAAATCCCTCCAAACTCGTCCACTTAGATCCCTAACCTGCCACCGCCAAGAAGATATATCAGAAGAAACCCGAAGATGCGGAACCCATCTCACAGTAAATTGCCGGAGATTGATCTCTGTACAATGCTTAGTCTGCTCGACGCTTCTTGTCGTTGGTCTCTTGGAGAATCTGGTATGCCTGGTCAGCAATACCGACTCCTCTCTTGTCGTTGGTCTCTTGGAGAATCTGGTATGCCTGGTCAGCAATACCGACTCCTCTCTTGTCGTTGGTCTCTTGGAGAATCTGGTATGCTTGATCAGCGACACCTCTCTTGTCGTTGGTCTCCTGAAGGATTTGATATGCTTGATCAGCGACACCCCTCTTGTCGTTGGTCTCTTGGAGAATTTGATATGCCTGATCGGCAACACCACTCTTAGCAATGCTAGCAACATCTGCGGAGACCATTAGTTTCTTAGGCTGAAGCTGAGAACCACCAAACTCTTTATTGAGCTTGAGGCGAGGTAATTACCTATTGGTGCTGCTTGGATAAGGTGATCAAGGCTCATGCCGACAATGCCCACAGTAAGAGCGGAGAACTTCATGTTGATAGTCGTTGAATCGTGTGAGAGTTCAGTGAAATGGCTATGTATATCAAGTGTACTAGGAAGTTTGCAGGAGTGCTTTGAAGGTGGAGACTTGGTAGTGGTTCCGGATCAGTATATTCATGACTATATATCTATTGAGAGGCATTGAAACCGTGCAAGCATACATAGTTGGCATAGTTACTCTCGGTTCTCTATCATGCGGCCTCCGGAAAGAGCCAGCGGTTGGAGTGTACAGAAAAATTAATGGCAACGGTGCTCGGTAAATCGAAGGATGAGTGTGTATTCACAGGTCCGATGTACACGTCGCTCAGAATTATAGTTGCATTTCCGAGGTCGGCTCCGGTGGAAGCTTCTTTCCATGACTCAGTGGTAGGAAAAATAACTGTAACAAATGGTAATCTTACATTCAAAGAGAGTCGGTTAAAACGTGAGCCCTGCTTAAACTTTACCTGAGCATCTTCGGAAAAGTATGTACCTGCGATACTTTCGGTTAAGATTTTAGGTAGAACACTCCTTTCCGGGACTTCTAAGAGTCATCCCAGTCGGCAAGGAAGTCTGGTATTCGGCTAGAAGGTGGTAGTGTCCGTCCTGCTCGACATCACTGGGTAAAGGCATGGAAATTTCTGTAGAATCATACAACATTTGACTTAACTATCGATCAAGAGGACAATTATCACTTTTTCAAGCTCCGCTGTAGTCGAAATATTCACCATCTAGATCAAAAGTGATGTATCCAAAATTTGGCCAAATTGGCATCCGCGAGCAAGTGAAATATGAGAAAGTTCCCGACGAGATGGCCTCGTTTGAGGATGGCCGGTCCGACCACCAGCAGGCTTCAGAATATAGCACTCCACATCAGGGATTGTGTAGGACAATTAGACTAAGCACAGTGCTTGCGATTCAAGTTGTTCTCTTGACTGGGTATACATTTTGTTTCTTGATCATCTGGACTATCGCACTCAGAAAGAGGAGTAGTGAGGGCAATATTACCTTCTGTAAACATAGCATTCTACTTCTTCCTATATTTTTTCTGCGCTAATGATTGTATACCAGCGCCGGCTCAAGAGGCAGTGCACCTTGAGCCTCTCGAATTCGATGGAAATCTCATTATACAAAACAAATACAGTGGCAAGCCACGCCCGGCGCTAGACAAGGCTTGGGACGATCTATTGCAGTGTAAGACAAGTATCAAGGACATGAAGAAGTGATAGTTATGCTTATAAATTTTCCTGGCAGACTCCAATTTTCGTATCTCTGGCAATGATCTGAGACGCCTGGGACGAACATCAATACCGATTCCTGGAGAGGAGGATCAATATTTTGCACAAATGAGTGTGAATCATGAGCTTCACTGTCTGGTTAGCGTTATTATATTTCAGCCTAAACTATTCATTCAGAGATACTTATACTTCGAATTCCTAGAAACGTATACGGCAGTCTATGCATCCCGAATATTATTTCACCAACGCCACAGCAGAAGAAAAAGAGCTTCTTAACCAGCACACAGGTAACAATAGACTTCTTTTTCTAAACTTATTGTACTGATACTAGTATTTCAGATCATTGCCTGGATATCATTCGGCAGGGTATTATGTGCCGAGCAGATGTTACAATATTCACTCTTCGCTGGACTAACACAAGCAAAGTTCCTGCTGCAGACTTTACAGGAGCACACGAATGTGTAAATTGGGACAGCATCTATACCTGGATGCGGGATCGTTCCGTAGATATGTTGAGGCCTGGTTGGCTAGTCCATCCTACAAAAGGTTTGATCAAATCATTTCAATTGAGCAGAGTATCTAACCGGTTCATAGGAGTCGTATGGCCACACGGAGAAGGAGATCACATTGGGGTTGGGCATTGATCGTTTATCAAATGTAAAGATATCAGAGTTTTTGCCAGTTGGCTGCAAGCTTTGCTATTCCATCTGTATTTCAGTCCTTCATACAGGTGATAAAACCCCCCTTAAAGTAACGTTATGTGAGATTACATAGGAGAGTGGGATATGCTTTGCGAGATATGTAAAACAATCTGATTCATACATTCTTTTATAAAAATCTCATAAAGTATTAATGGGACACTGTTAGCATAGTGGGATGTGTTGCTTTTACTCACTTGAACGAAGCGGGTTAGAAACCCAGGCAGGCGGCATTGAAACCGGCTATCTGGTTTTAGCGAGAACCTATCGTCGTAACAAGGTTAATTCGAAAAGCTATTATATACTTTACGATGATGTCCTCGACCCATTTAAGCGGACCCACGAATAGCGAAGAGGCCAAACTTAGTTCTAAGCTGCCGCGATTTCCAGCAAGTTCGGAAATGCTCTCCCTGGATTCGAAGATGGGCAACCAAGCCGGTTATCCTGGAAACACCAACCTCAAATTTCAAAAAAAATCTTCTTGCGTAGGCAATCTTCGAAGAACTTCTCAAGATAGGAAGCATCCAGAAGTGTTGTCTATGGACTCCGGACGTGTCCGATTTGCTCGTATCTGGAGCCTAGTCAGACTCTATTCTGGTGCCGGCTCTAATACCCGTCCGTCAAGCTTTGTCAAGCTCAACAGCAATGAAAGAAGTGTTCAGAAATATTTTGCTGGTGCTGACCACCCTTACAAACCCACTCAACCGAGCCTCTTCACCATCCAAACAAGGATTTTCTGCTCAACAGACATTGAAACCTGGTCACATCCGTCATGGCCCGACGGAGTATATGAACGCTCTCAGGAAATACTCTCTAAGTATGGACAAAATGACAGCGACAAGATCAGTACAAACTGGCAGTGTACCCGCGATTCCTCAGGAGTTTGACGTGAGATATACTTGCCCAGTCACGATTGGCACCCCCCCACAAAGGTTATATCTTAAATTTGATACTGGTAGCGCTGATCTGTAAGTAAAAAGGAAGAATCATCTACGGCGGAAAACCAAACAAAGTGATACTGAGGTTGTTCTTCTAGCTGGGTGTTTTCTTCCGACACAAATAGCTCCCAGGTTCTTGGCCAAACGATATATAGACCGGAAGATAGCAAGACAGCGCGAAAGCTTGACAACCTAGCTTGGAAGAGCAGATATGGTGACGGAAGTACCACACAGGGCTTTGTGTATAGCGATACTGTCTCTGTGGGGGGATTGAGCGTGCCGTACCAGGCGGTAGAGGTCCCTGAAGAGGTTAGCTCACGCTTCAGTCAGAACTCATTAACGAGCGGACTGCTTGGGCTTGGTTTCTCGTCCCTCAATAGATGTGAGTGGCAATGAACTAGTGTTTCATACTGACTTTCTGTTCTCGGAGGCTTATTTTACTTTTAGTACGGCCCCAAAAACAACAGACTTTCTTTGAAAAAGCCCAATCATTACTTGAGTTTCCACTATTCACAGTGAACTTGAGGCACAACCAACCCGGCAACTACAATTTCGGCTACATCAATTCTTCCGAGTATACAGGTTCGATCTTTTACACTTCTGTCAACAACAGCGGTGGATTCTGGGAAGTTACAAGTGATAGGTACGCGATTGGATCAAATGGATATATGGATCATCCAATTCAGGCTATAGTAGGTACGTAGCATTCTAAGCTATTCATTAGAGTCGTGGAGAATACTGAAAACAGAATGGTCAAGATACAGGAACAAGCCTCCTTCTTCTCCCCAAAACAATTGTCTCAAAATATTATCAGCAAGTCCTTACTGCGAAATACGATCCGCAACAAAATGGCTATACCTTTCTCTGCAATGAGAAACTTCCCGCATTCACCCTCACCATCAATGGGTACCGTGGTCACCTTCCGAGCCACCAATCCAACTACTCCCATATCAGAGAGCGGCGTAGTTTTCGTCTAGTTTTACCAGTTGATTATCTAAATTACTCTCAGATTAATAATACTCACTGTTTTGGAGGCTTACAAGGCGACGAAGGCATTCCGTTTAGCATTTTTGGCGACGTGCTGCTGAAGGCATATTTGGTAGTTTTTGATGCTGGAAACCTTCGTGTTGGATTTGCTAGAAAATGAGAGAATTCCGAAGGATCAAATCTGCGCCTTCACCTCTTCCTTTCAAACCTCGGTAACAAAAGATAAGTATGGACGCGGAGAGGTGGTGACGAAGAGAGCATAGTAAAATTTGTAAAGGAAGAGAAAGGTGAAGGCGATTCAAGATCAATCAAACTATGGTAGTATGCCTTGGAATATTTTTGTTTTCAGTGAAGCCCAAATCAGTCTAATTGGTGTTTTGATTAGGGCTACTAATGATACATGTTACGGTATTGCTTTGATACTTGCTGCTGTCTTTGGAAAAGTTGACCCCTGCCATTCATTCTAGCTATCCTCAACAACAAGAAAATCGCTACCCAAGTTCAACTTTGATATCCTGAATCCGTAACGCCGCCCAATCTTCACCTCTTGAAGTCAACATAGCATGCGACGTCCTTGTACATGATATGTGTTTGTGTCCTGTTCAAAGGTGTCTTGTCACGATGAGCCAGGACATCAACACAGTGATAAACATGCTCTTCATCAAGATGTCTTTCATGAACGCCCAAGTTCGGATTTGTCAAAACCCTTCCCATTCCTTTAAGCGTATATTCGCAATGCGCAATGTGCATATCCCAAGTTGTCCAGACATCTGCAAGCTGTCCTTCGTTGACTACCTCTTGAGGAATCCTTTCCGTAGACTCTTCGGTGGTAAACCAGCCATAATCGTGTAGACCAGGGCCGACATACTCGGAGTTCAACTCTTTGTCAAAGCATGGATTTGGTATCCAACCAGGAACTAGGAGGTCAAATGTGCACCCTCGTGCCTTCAATGTAGTTGAGTCTCCTTCACAGTGCAAAACTCTACCGTACTCCCCATGGTGCAACTTGAGACCGTCAACGGCGGCATCTTCGGAGCCGGACGTCCCGTGAGAAACGAGAGCGGCGCTAAGCATGGAGGCACTCTGATATGTGCTCCAAGCTACTGAGAACATAGCTGCCATCAAGAGAGGCGCTAGGATTGAGAAGGTGGCAAGCTGGCCTTTGTGTGCTCGCGATCGAGGTGCCAATAAATGATGCTTAGATAACATGTACGGATCCCTCTCATGTGCGTCTGCAAGTGATTCGTCCGAAAAAGAGGCAGAGTATTCGGCCTCTCCTTGTTCTTTAGACTTGAAGGGAAACATTGACTGCAAATAAGTCAGAATACTCATGAAAATCTCCATCTGCACCATCTCTTACTGATTTTCGTGTCCTGACGTTGCTATTCGAGATATCTTTGAGAAGTGGGCATGTCTGACAGTGGAAGATTGATTATAGTCGGGCCTGACGAAACTACGTGTAGCTTAAGACTCGGACTCAATAGAGTTCCTATTCCATTTGCTGTATCCGGTCTTGGATCGCTAATTTTTGCCGCGATCCGAGAACCCCTTTTTCCGCTCGGTTATTGCTGCTTCGAAAAGTTAAACAAGAATCTCGGCTAACTTACCTGTTTCGGCTATTTTGACTTTTTGCATCCTTCCTTATTCTGCTTCCAACCGGACTTCGGGCACTGAAACACACATTTTAGTCTCTGGGAAACTTTAAAGGCTATCTTGAGAAAATGCGTTATGGTTCCCTGCCGAAAGACAAGGAACCGGTGACGCCCCGGAAAAGTATCTGGTACACCTTCTTTCTGGGTTAATTGTGTTGAGTCCTTCTCGATCACCAGATATTGTTTCATTGCGGCAGAATTCAAGTCACAACTAGCAACTATGTTTCCAAAATTTCATAGGGACTCCGATGTGTGCTCTGCTTCTCTCGAAGAATCGAAGCCAATGCTTGACGAAGAATCTGTGATCAGCTCCAGAACGGCCCCCAAACGTCTGTGGATTTACTCTTCCATAATAGCGCTGGTCCTTCTATCTATGTCTCTGAGCATCATCGTTATCTTCCAATCTCGCCATCCACTACCATCTTGGAGTTCAGCGCCCAAAATTCACAGATCAAATGCACTTTCCTGCGGCGAGACTAGAGAGTCTGCTCTTGAGGCTGGGTGTGTCTTCGACCCCTTAGCTGTTTCTTGGCTGCATCCAGAATGCATAAACGAGAATCTCTCGAACCTCACAGAGAACTACCGGTATTACGAGACTAAACACCTTGACGTTTTGGTTCCGACCACTGAGTTGATAGACCGGCCTATTGGCTCGGTCTTCTGGGTGGATGAAGCTAGTCATCAGTTTCATTGTCTTGCCGCCATTTCAAAGTGGGAAAGGGCTGTCAATGGAGGAGGGTGGGTTGAAGAGGATGTGATTGCACCAGGTCATCTTGATCACTGTCTTAAGAGTTTGATACCAAAGGAGGAGGACAGGAGTATTTCTATTGGGGCGATGTCTCAGGTTCAATCTTGTTACAAGATTCACTAAGTGCACTTGAATTTTGACAATGTAGAAGATAATTTCAGAGATCTTCATAAAAAGAAAGGTCTGAAGTAATGTCATAGTCCCCCAGACGGACAAGAAAAAATAATTGGAAGAATCTACATTCATCTACTTTACAGCATGAATCTTATGACATCGAATTCCCGATATAAATGATGCTCATGGTGGTATTTCATAATCAACTAGGTACTGCCTCGAAATCATTCTGATAAATTAGTAGCGGAAGAGTCACTGTTTGAAGCCGTTAAGTACTAATGCTTATATGCGTCTGCAAGTACTAGGCAGCTATAGGTAGACAAGCAAGGAGATTTGATAGGCTAATCATCATGTGGTAGAGTCTCGTGATTTACACCAAAAGCGTACCTTGGATGTTAAAAGCAACTCTTACCGGACTCTACAATACATACATATCGTGCGTTTACCCCCGTGCCCTGACAAAACATGCGATATCTTCAAACTCAAGATGTGTGGTAACTCTGTCCAATGGCATCTGCATGTTGTGTCGACCAGCTATGGCGTCTATACAATGCTGCGTATGTTCGAAGTCGAGATACTTCTCGTTAATGCCCAAGCTTTGGTTAACCATAACTCTCCCAAGACCTTTCAGGACATATTCGCAATGTGTGATATGCTCTCCCCAAGTCGTCCATACTCCAGTCAGATGGCCCTTCATAACAACATCTTGGGCAATTCTTTCGGTAGCTGCCTGCGTTGTATAGTAGAAGATGTCAGGGCTGCCTGGGCCAGTGTAATCTGCATACAACTCCGCGTCGAAGCACGGGTCAGGAATCCAGCCAGACAATACTATATCGAGCGTGCAACCATTTCCATGGGTGAATGGGCTCTCTCCGCAGTGAAGTATCGTCTCGTTGCTTGGTGGATGCAATTTATCCTGGGATGCGAGCTTGGCAACTACACTTGCGCGAGTGCGAACGTCCATCCAGGTCATCGAGAGGGTCGCTGCAATACACAATGTTGCCAGGACTGATAAAAATGACCATTCGATGCTTCGTGGCTCATGGTCTCTGCGAAGATAGGTGGACAGGTGCGAGTGACGAGCTATCTCTGGACCCCGACAAGAACATCTCGTCTACTGCATTACACTGTGGTTAGTCTTTCCTGAAAGGAGTAGTTTTGGATATTGTTCCCCTTACTTGATGCAGTTCTTAAATTCATCCACAGAAGAATGAAAATTTTCAGATCGTGAATCAAGTCCTCGAGTTCGACATATGTGACCCTAGAACATTGGTACGAAGGGAAAAGATACACGTTGGGAAAATTCCTGCTTTCCCGCTGAAGGCTGAGAGATAGGCTCCTGAACGCCGCGTTATATTAAGGGCGGTACGTATGGGTGATATCATGCTCCCTTTAACCAATGCGAATGGAAACCGTACGAGTACTTATCGTTATGAGCATTGTACCGGGGATACTTTAATGGGGATCCGACTGGAGCAGCTCAGAAAGGCATGCATAAAAGTAAGCATACAACTTTCTCTGATGTAGATAATCCCTGGGACCTGGAATTCGAACCAGGCCTTCATCGAATCAGATAGCTGAATTTAGAGCTTGCGAGGGTCATTTATAATTTTATTCTCTCCGCGGACAGTCGGAAACAGATTCTTGCAACTACCGACTCCAATGACTCGCGGAAGCACTTCTCCAACTCACAGCTGCACTAATCGCAGCTTCGTCTGTCGATCTTCGGAGGTGATGTAAACTCAGATGAAAAAAGTATACGCAATCCCAGGGGATGTTGCTGTATACCAAGACGGAACATTATGCACCCAGTGGGCCCTCTACTAAATTAACTTGTCCTTCGGCGCGCCCAACCCCATTCTGCCTAACCTACCAGCCTCTATATCCATTCACAGAGCCCAGAGACACGAGCGCCTGTCGCTTGCATTTCGAACTGAATCTGATGTACGCTCGCGATCTCAACTGTCATGGACGGCTTCGTAGATGTCACGAAAAAAAAGTTACAACGACGGCGGGGCGCTTGTGCTGTATGCAAGGCCAAAAAGGTTCGATGTGATGGCGAAAGGCCAACGTGTGCTACATGTGCTGTAAGTCTATGGATAATCTCGATGGCGACACTTTATCTAATATGCATAACTGTGTAACAGAAAGCCAATACAAGATGCACGTATTTAATGCCGCGGAAGAAACACAGCATGAGTGTGACAACCAACTTTTCGGACACCCCTGATGCGATACAAGATACGAGCATCACAACTTCTAGATATCAACCTTCGGATGTTTTTCAGCCCTGTGCTTCAATCGCGCTTACGTCACCAATAACCTCGAATCTATCGGCATCTCTGGGGTCCCCAGATGATTTAGTGACATTTCTAAACTGCCAATCGAATATTTTCACTGGCAATGGCCCCACGGCAGACGATGAATCGCTAGATAAGTTCGATATTTGTTTTGCGGGCCAACGCCAGCAGAATGAATCCCAGGCCTTCCAAGATATGCTGGAAGGACTCTGGGAATTTACAGAGGAGCCCAGTTCTCCACTGTCCACCGATTGGAATCAAGCAAACCGCAGAGAGGGATCGACACACAACCATACGTTCTCAACAATAACGGATTCTGTGGACTTGGAAGCGTTCCATTTCCCAACTCCCTCCTCGAGTAATAGCAGCTTGACAAATAACGATGAACTTTCAGCCGTGACCAATCCTGCAGGCTCAGACGCGGTCTTTTCCGATCCCTTCATTGTTGATGAGTATCACACCAGCATTGACAACTTCCTGGAATTCCAGACATCGCCAAATATCACAGTCGACAAGTCAATGATGGTATCAAAATGTCGTGATGTCCCCGGCTCTCCACTTTCAACAACCTTCAAATGTGGACAAATCCTCTTGAATGCAAACCACCAATACGCACAAGAAATTCAGCGATGCTGTCATCAAATGGAGGATGAAATTAATGCAAGATTTCATTTTCAGAGGATATCTGGAATGCAGAGCACCAATATGAAGTTGGATAAAGACCTGGCGGAGAAGTGCGCAATTTGTAAGTAATATTACTATTCCAAATTTCCAATAGAAGCTTTGTCTGACAAGATCTTAGTATGTTTCAATGATTTAGAAGGGTCAGTGGGGTTTTTAACCAGTTCGAACGATCATTGAGATTAACAGTACGAGTAGCATCGGACAATTTCTCGACCTATCCGAAACACAAAGAATTCTTGACTCGGTCTGGTCCAATTCGGATAACGCACCAGCAAAAGTGATTTTAGTACTTGTTGCGGTAGCACTCGGCGCCTACAACCTGGACCATGAAACATTCCCGGCAATATCTGACCGTATTGGATTCTCAAATGTTATGTTTCGTTGCGCATTGAAGTGCTACGATGACCGCTTTCCACGTAAGGAATTCATTTTTGATTTTCAGGTTCGTGAAACTATCACAATTTCATAGTGCGTGACTAATCTCTCACAAGGCTCTTCTCAGTCTGGTATGTTCTTTATAAATCCCTTAGTTTGGCACTAAAAGCTGACTTGTGTCAAGTTATACCTTGCCAATAAGTGTGGATGTCTTGTGACATCAGATTTGCTCTCGTCTGCAATTGCATGCGCGCAAAAGCTTCAACTCAACAGCGACGAGGGAATTAAGCGTCTGTGCTTATCAAATACGCAAGAAAACAGATTAAAAAGAGCATTTTGGTTTCTGTATGCATTCGAGAAGCCCTATTGCATGCGTTGGGGTATTGCTCCGGTACATAATACCATATCCGAAAACCGAACGAGGGGCTAAACAGAGGTAGAGACTAGATGAGGACTTTATCAACTACGAGGCCACGGATCACTTCATCTGTAAAGCCTGGGTTCCGTTACACAAGAAACAAGACGATCTCCTGCGCATTTCATGCCAGTATGCTAGACTTTGCTCTGGCATCATCAAGAACCTGTACAGCCAAAAATCGTTAGGGAAGCCTGACACGAGCCTGAGAAACATAGCGAACCAACTCTGTCGCCAGGCAGAGATTTGGAAGAATGCTGCTATCACAAGCTGTGGATCCGGACAAAAAAACACAGGTGGAACGACTCCGACCCAGGACACGGCAGCGTCCCTTCAACGTTTTAAAATAATGTACAGGTACCACGAAGCCAATTTTGCTATTCATGGCAGAGGCGCAAATGTCTCTTCATCGGACCCACCACGAATTGCAGACCTACAGGGACAATACGGTTGCAGGAGGTCCGAACATCGCTTACTCGAAGCTGCCCGAGAAGTACTCTCTACCTGTGGGGACACTGTACCCATCGAAGCGGCCCAGTATGATTGGTAAGTCTCGTAGCTCACTCACCAAAAATAACAAAACATGATGGTGGAGGAATTTGATTTAACGTTTCTTTTCATTACAGGTCGATTCTTCATACTTTATCCACAGCAGCTTGCATCCTGGTCCAACTCTCGCTCGTTTCAAATTCTGTTGAGAAAGACATCACATTTCTTGCCATGATAGCAGGATTTTTTGCACGACTCTCATTCACAAATCAAGTTCCGTTTAAAGAGGTGTCAGCGATGTACAATATATGTTGGTTGCACGCTTGTAAGGGAGACAAGAAGCAAGCAACGAGTTCTGACGGGTATGATTGTTAAGGCAATTTTTCAACCTAGTCACCAGATATTCCAGTAACATTAGATTATCCTTGACAAGCCTTCCAGTTTCGGAAGCGAAACAAATAGAAAAAAATCAAGCCACCCACAGTGATGCTCTTACCGGCGGTGATACTGGTGATGAAGACAGTGACAGAGACCGAATCTTCGAGAAACTAGTTGGTGTACACACACTGTAAGGATAGTTGATCAGTTGATTATCGAATCTACCCAGACGTAGTCGTCTGCATGCTAGCCAAGGATTTCGTCGTTCTCCTCCACTTTTATTGTGAGCAAACTTCAAATACTTGCCTCTATTTCGTTAGTGTAACAGACGCAAGTATCTTTGCGATACTTGGTCTCGCCTCATAACAAAACCCGCAGGATGCCAACTGTACTTTGGGAAGCTCTGGGTAACTTTACGTCGTTGGGAGTGTATTTAGACGTGAGTGAATGATGAACCCTAGAAGGATTAAAGATTGAATATGAACATTGTTACAAAATGTCGGATATATGAGGAAGGTACGCAGCAGCGGCTGCCGCAGCACAGCCTGCACAAGAAAATATCCAACGAATACTCTCTCCATCTGGTTGCCCGCCATTGTTTCCTAACGCACCAAATATTCCCCAGCTTACAAATGCAGCCACAAGCTGAGGCGCTGCTATTGCCATGTTATGAAATCCCATAATCGTCCCTGTATTGACAGCCAGGAAATACGCGGGGTCTTCGTCGTAACAGCAATTCCTTCTTGCAATATCTTCGCTAATAATGGCAAAAGGGACCCAGCTCGACACGGCCCAGCTAGATCCCACAAAAGTAACGATAATACTCGCTTCTAATGGATTTTTCATAAACGATAACGAGAACAAACAAACCGTGAGTAGAGCTATCGAGAATGCCCAGACGAAATAAATATTGCACCCTTTCCTAGTCGTCCGTACCATTAACGGTAAAACAATGCTCGTGAAAAGCGAGGAAACTGAAAATCCGAGCATCGAAAGTGAGGCACGTCTTGTCATGTCACCCCAACGAGTTTGTTGTTCTGAATATTTGAATGGCTTGGTTGGAGAGGATTCAGAGACCAGATCTACATTGCACAAAATTAGTGTTGATACGATGTTATATGGGGAGCTGGAGGGGCGTCCAGGAAGAAGTTTTACTTACACATCTCCCCAATATATCTGTAAGGTGCTTTGATAAGTTCATGATTATAAGTGCATATGATGGGTTTGCTTACGTCGTGATATACAGATAAAAAGGAGCCCAGGCGATCCAGACCAGAAATTGTACTTTAAAAACACGTCGAATCCTTGGGGAGAGACTCTTCGCAATTTGAAATGTTGCTTGAAATGGCTCAAAGGGCTATGAGATTTGACAACCGTTATTTCATCGCTGCTGAGGACCTTTTCTTGAACTGACCAACAAGAGGATATTGTTGTAGCAACCAGGGTGCAAGAAGTAATCGCAGCTAATGCTTGAAGCTGTGTTTGGCCGACCCATGGGAGAAAATGTGGAAGATTGACGAAGTTGGTGCTGTAGCCAAATACATTCCCGGCTTGGATTACCCGGCTTGCCCATGCATTGGCTTGCTCTTGTTGATTAGATGGACAGTTCTCTGCTATCAAGGAGCGTAGGCCACCCTGAATAAGCTGAATGGCCACATTCAAGACGCTAAGCCAGAATACTGCGAATGTAGTTGTAGCATAGAAAACCACTTCGGTGTTCTCAAACACTTGGGACGGCAGATATTCCAGCAGGATACGCACAATATCTGCAGACCACGCAAAAAATAACAGAGAAACTATTGCCGAAAAGCTGCCCGCGACAATATAAGGCCTTCGAGGTCCCCAAGAGTGACGACAACGATCGCTCAGAAAGCCACAGTATGGCTGTACGACTGCGCCGGCGAGTGGCCCGGATATCCAGATGAGGGACACTGCAGACTTTGTGAGGCCTAGCGATAGTAGATAAGGCTGTTAGGAGAAGCTGTCAGTTGGGCAAGAAATAAATTGAAAAGCGAGTACTTACAGTACCACAAGAATATTCAGTGGCAAAGATTAGTTGAAGACTGTTTGCAGTGATCAGATTGGACAAAATTTAAGCCGGAGAAGATTTCAAGAAGTTACTCACCCTCCTAGCCCGGTTGTGAGCATGAATATCGAAAACTGGCTCAATGTGGCTTTGTCAACGTCAAGGAACCCATCATCCGCAGAATAGTCGGCGGCATCTTCAGAGTCTCGTGACAGCAATGATTGATCTAGTGGGATATCAACGGATTCGCGATCCATTTTTGATTTCTCAATCGTAGCATGACAATGTACTCATAACTTATTTTTTGGTAACAAAGCTAAGGACACTGATGGGCTGAAGGAGGCTCCTTCTAGCCGAAACAAGAGAAGTTGCATTCGGAAAACATTCTAACTTATTATTGTACCAATAACATGAGCCAGACTGATTGTTCTGTCTTATTTTGTGGATGAGGTGGTCATGTGCCATAGTCTTCGGGTTCAGGGCTGGCTAGCAACTTTATCCGAGCCGGTAATGTAGAACCGAGTAACCACGAGAACTTGTGAGTTCGGCAACATGGTTTCTTGGGCAAAATCAGTTAGAGGGTTGAAGTAAATCTCTAAAGGTAAAAGTAGGTTTGAAAGCAGATGTTAAATCGAAGGTGAAAGTTAGTTCGGGGTAAAGGTTAGTTCAAAGGCAGAGGTCAGTTTCAGGGCAAACGTTATCTTGAGGGCAGAGGTAACTTTGAGGATAAAGGTCAGTTTGAAGGCAAAAGTCGGTTAGAGAGTATTTTACGTCTCTTGGGTAAAAGTAAGTCTGGAAGGTAATGGTTAGTTTAGGGGAAAAGTCGGTCTTAAGGGCAAAAGGAAGGGTTTTAAAGGTAAAGTCTGTCTCAGAAGTAAAGTAAACAACCTTTATATAAAGTTGATCAGATTTGTTTGAGATCTTAGTAAGTTCAGATAGTACAGATATAACTGCAGTGTCGAGTAGGTTTACACGACGCATGTGCACTCGCCGGTCACAGTTGGTAACAATATTTCTGCCCAGTCACAACATGGTGGAATGGTCTACCCCCGATATCAAATGGCACGACATGAGCCGGTAGACAAGAGGAGTTACAGCTACCTTTCTGCCTTATCATCCCCGATATATACCTGACTCGCGCGCGTACGACAGAAAGTATAGAATCTACCGAAGGTAAAACCAAAGTATCAAAGATAAAGTTCGCGCTCTCGTCTACCGCTGCTTGAAAGAATAGAGTCCCGGAAATCGGTTTTGTGACGAATAAGAGTCAAAGTTCATCTACCTGCCTGCCGGATAGTTAGCCGGACGGGTTGTCGGTACCTATTCGATCTGGTGACCCAGAACTTTACTACGACGCGCACTCCATTCACAGCCGGAGATGAGCCCTCTTTACACGGTCCTGTGAATTATCATTCCATAAGCGGATCTTCACCTCGTGCAGAGGGAACCATGTCATAGATCCATTTACTGCGATAGAATCAGAAGTCAAGTGAGTGAGACTGAACTGCTTACTTGGAAAGAGCGTTTCCTAGTCAGCCGCCCGTGGTTTTCCGTATCTAGATAGAAAATATTTATCTCTGCCAGCTGGTGAGGAATTCTTAGATGTCACCGAAGAAGAGATTGAGAAATTTGATATTCCTCGTTGGCGTCATTGTTGACGATCGAAGCACATGACTCGCCACTCCAAGCCCTTCCTTCACAGAGATCCTATGCGGAACTGCAATATCACATGTCCCATATCTGACCCACAGGCTGAGGCGCGCTCTACTCAAAACGTGACTTGAATGTCGTGTGTGCGATGTAATCTTCATACCTAGCAAGCTTCACAGGCAATCATGCCATTGATATCACCACGCTGAGGTCTGTACCAGATCGTCGTGTTCATGTTTGCGTTTCCTCCACCCACGCTGTGGCAGTTCGATACTCCCAACCCTACAACATGCAAAATAGCTTCTGGTGCTTGGTGCTCATGAACAAGTCGACGACGTACCGCATTCTGAATCCACTTCACGTATGATCGTGTCAGCAGTGTGAGCAGATGGTGAACGCTTTGGCGTGGACTCGGTGGAATCAGAGTACTGGGGATTTGGTAGGCTCTGGTTCGGGACTTTCGCGGAGGAAGGAACGTGAGCTGTAAGGACAACCTCTGACCAGATCCGAGATTGCAGTTGTATTTTCTTTTGACTGATTTAGCTCTTGTTCGGTGCTTTGCGGAAGAGTTGGATTGCTCTATGTGCTTCTAGAGTAGTGTGGTGCTTGAGGACGGCGGTTCGGATCGACAATATGTGACGTATTTGGAGGATGGATGTCAGGCGAAACCGTTTTTCTCAGCGGACTCTGAGGATGTCCGCCGCTCACAGCTGGATTCTGTTGCTGTGTATATGGCTGAAGCGGGACATTACCCAGCCTCTGAGAAGAAGGAGCTGTAGGCTGTCCAATCGCTACTTTGGCTGCGTCCCAGTCTGAAGCATCCCCAAGTCTTTTGTAACATCCTCGATAGCATCTGAGGGTATGGCATCGACGACAGTAGGTTGCCTATAAAGATCTACAATGGAGAGGCTATCTCCACCAGAAGCTGTTAAACCTGCACTGAAGAGTCTGCTCAGCCTAGGTGGAAGTGGTGGGTAGCTCTAGGCAGTAATCGAGCAAAATTGGTGCCTCCGCTTCCTCTTCTTGGTGGACGTTGAGGAGGATACTCTCTTCAGTCCATTCCCGGGCGAACACTGTATTGTTGTACCCTGAAAACTTTCACGCAGAGGTTGATAGAGTGAGTCTGGGGATTCCAATTTGAGTCAGGGAAGCCGGCAAGAGTAAGCGAGAAACATGCGAAATGGAGGAGAAAATGAGACGTCTAACTAGCCTGACTATTACCTGTCTTTGAGATTATTGAGCTAGGGGATGGAACAACTTACCTGGGCTCGACTTGCAAGTGGGAATACACGCACCAGCGGAAGTCCATTATTGATCGCTCGAGAGCTAAAAGAAGAGAACTCACCTTTCGACGAAGGCTCCATGTCCAAATGGACAGATACTAAACCTCGATGTTCGAGTTCAAGATAGAAGAATTGTTCAACGACCTTCCATTCATTGCATTTAGTATTCCTTGCTTTCATAAAATACACTACAAGTTTGCAAGCTCATCTCATTTCATCCAGCCCTCATCCCACCCTCATCCCACAGCACCCCCGTATCCAGATATGGCGACATTTAAAAGCCAAAGCCAAAGAAAAGCAAGATGGAAAAAAAAAAGTAAGAATTTGCTGGTGAGGTAGAGTGTGAGCGGGCTAAAAGACAAAACTGCAAAACGCAAGCAAGCAGGCATATGGTACGACGGTACACAGAGATTATGTATTGCGGCTGCATCGGCGAGAGCATTGATTGCAACTGAGAAAATCAGACGTTCAGGCCAAATTCTGAAGGGTATGGAGGAGCTTCGATCAGCTATAAAGCTTGACATGTCTAGGGCATATCCTCGTTTTTCTTGAAGACCCTGTTTGAGTATTAGCTAGGTTTCGGGTGGGGACGTAGGGGGACAAACAAATGACTCTCGTAAAAGTGAAGCATCTATTCTCAGATTAGCGAGGTACAGGTATAGCATTTTTCAAGCGTTCTTTACCTTTTGTGGGCACCGCTTGTAAACTTGAGCCAGAGGATGCTGGGTCTTGTATCCACCCTTCCACGTCAAGTAAACTACAACGCTTCCCTCATTACCTTCACATGCATCGATAGCAACTACAGCCTCCTCCCAGCTTCCAGTTGGTGGTTTGAAATCGGCGGCTGCTACACTGTATGGTGGAGTGGCGGAGGAAGGGTGATCCTTTGATTTGCGGCCCCTCTTGGCTCCGTTCTCAAGAGGCGTGCCTGTGCTTGCTCTTCCGCGTTTCTTGCCCTTCTTTCCTGATGCAGCCTTCTTCTCTTCCCAAGTGGCCAAGATCAAGTCCTTGCCTCCGACCGACTCAAGATATTCGCTCAAAATTAACGCTGCGGTCTCACTAGAGCGCTGGTCAGCCCATTCGCTCTCACTAAATCTAGAAAGTGATATTTTCATACAGATTCTCCTCTGGCTCCCAAGTCCTGTCCGACTTCTTCTCGAAGCCCTCCCATTTCACCTCGTACTTGATCTCTCCAGTCTAGCCCCAGTCAGTGTAAACGCTAGAATCCCCAAAAGTAGACACTCACACCTTCATCAACGATATGATTGGTAATCTTCTCCACAACGTATTCATCCTCGGGCAGTTCCTCATCATCATCCTCATCCTTATTATTGTCCGATTCGACCTCCAATGGCTCGGGTTCTTCAACGGGCGTCTTGGACTTGCTTTTTCTATCCTGCTTGATTTTCTCTTCCTTCGCCTTTGGAGCTGGTGCAGAGGGACCTGGGGCGTCGAAGTTGCTGCTCACATCGGAGGCTTCGTCGTCGGTAATTTCTGCGCGAACCTTAAGTGAGCCAATGCCAAAGGTTGAAGCTTTTCCAACGATGATTATCGTCGTCGCAGAGCCTCTACTACAGAGAGATTGTAGAGATCGAGGAATCCGATTGTGCTACTTACGAGGAGGCATCTTGTTTGAGTTGGAGGTCGGTTGTTAGAGTACTCAGGGAGGTTGGTGTTTGCGCCTCAGAGCTCAGCGCACGTATTGCAGAAGCAGGGAGAAAGCGGAGGGTAGAAAAGTAACTTCGCAAATTTCTTTAATAGTGAACAGATACCATTGACCGATCCCCTTGACGTTGGCATGCGAAGTGGAGAAGAGGAGATATTTCGAGCTGTTATTAGGAACGCGACTGAGGCGCAAATCCAGTCGCGTAGAAGCTTGGACTTCCCATCGAAGCTAGTCTCAAAAAGGCTAGTCTCATACAGATTGGAACCTCAAGAACCTCCTCTTAAATCCTGAGACCTCAAGTACTTTACAATTCTCGAACCTCTGAGAAAGAAATTTCCTAGCGTTTCTCTGGTGATATTGTCTCTTGAACATGTATTTCAAGCACCGCTTTACATAATGCTGAGGCGAAATAGCTGATGCAACCTCTGCGGTCTTCGAAATCTCAATTGATCACCTCTTCTCGTTCAAAGTACTTATCCAGAAACGACATTTGATTTGCTAGGTTGTCGAATCGGGGACTCCACTCCCTCCTGATTCCATACTTGTTCCTCTTTTCTATCTATTACACTCATAAATCATGAAGAGTACCTGGCCTCTATCGATGCTGCCTCCAGGACTTGTCACCATAATCCACTGTGATGACCTTGCGATTCAACACTACCATATTCGCACAGGCAATATTATCTGAGTCCGCTTTGTGATCGGACATAAATTCCTGTCCATTGTTATAAGCAGAATCTCATGTCCTGACCCTAAGGGGTACATCCCAGAAGCCTTTTTGTGCCATCCTTGATAGCAGGATCATACTTCTCATATCTATTTCTTTCCCCTGTGCACGCAACCCAACAAGTAGCAGTCTATCCATCTCCTCGCAGAGTCTAGCAATACTCGGCTCCGTCTATCAATGAAATGAAACAATTAAACCAATCCCTTGTTTCTGTTGTAAGGAAGCATTGAAAGAAAAACCAGAACTCCATCCATCTCTGCTCCTGCAAACAAATAGAAGCTACGAAAGGCAACGAGAAGTCCACGGCATCGGGATAGTCTAAGTCTAGACTCTTACTTCTTCTCTCAATATCATTCCAACCCCACAATCACAATTTCGCACTCTCCTCCCGCGGGCCCTGATACCCACTCTCACACCACTCCTTCTCCATCGCATCCCTCAACGTCCTCTGCTCCTCCCTCCCAAGCTGGGTCTCACTACCCATCCTCCCAAACCTACTCTCCCTCGTCTCCCTCAACCCAGCACCATGCTCATCCCCCTCCACAAACTCATAACTCCTCACTTCCGTATTCGCCCACCCGGTCCCTACAAATTTCCCCGCTCCATCCCAATCGTCTGTGAAATAGTGTAGGTATCCTCCATGCGTGACAACCACAATTTCAACATCTTGATCCGGATTCAGCGCGAGACTTTGGTCTGCCAATGCGCGGAGGAAAAGTCGCGCTGACCGCGCCCGCCGCTCGATGTGATGCGCAGCCGGACTCCACCTGCCGACTTTCGAGTTCCAGTCGTCACTCACATATCTCAGGTCCACTGTCCCAGCGAACTCTCCGTCTGCGAATTCAGCTTCGAGGGCATCGACGCTTGAGCCGGTGTCGCAGGGCAGGTTTGATGTTTCTTGGAGCTCGGAGAGGGCGAGGATGCGGATACCGCGGGTGATGGCGGTTGGGAAGGAGAGGAGAGTTGTGTAGAGTGTGCGGCGGAGGGGCGAGGAAACGAGGTGGGTTATGCGGGAGGGCGAGGGAAAGTTTTGGCTGAGGGTTTGGCATTGTGATTTTCCGTGGGGGGTGAGGAGGGGGTCGGCGATGGTGTGGTTGGCGAGGGAGAGGTTGTGGAAGCCTTGAGCGTCTGGGAGGTGAAAGTTAGGTCATTGGCTTTGGTGGGTTGGAAAGTATGGGGTATTGAAGGGAAGTACTTACGGCGAACGCAGTGGATGGTGACTTTTGCCATGGTGTTTGATTCTGGATTGAATTTATGGTTGCAGATGTTGGATGTATGAGGATTGATCGAAGAGTAAAATTGATAGAAGGTTGAATAGGGGGAAAAAAACGTAGAAGAAGAGAAAACTCGAATAATTGACGTGCAGATAGTGGAGGACTAGCTCGATGGCGGGGTGTAGTGGGGGTTAGGTTTGATAAGAAAACTGGATCCGGATAGCAAATGTGGATCCAGACAGGAATAGAAAGCTGTTGCCCTTGGAGAGAAGTTCTCTTCAAATTGGAGCTTTTTAAATGTATGAGAGTCTGGCAGAAGTAAAAGAATGAGAAACCAACTTCCATCCCACCCCTATGAATGCATCTTACCTTTCATCAAGCGGTACTAGCATGCACTTACTCTCAACACGCAGCATCCGGTACAACTGCCAGCAAGTTGCAGACTGGTATGACAAAGCCGGGACCCACAGATTTTGTATCCTCTCCGCTCCATCCGCGGTATCCTATAATCTGATTGCAGAACGCAGATTTGTTGAAAGGATTTTTTTGCTTGTCGTTTCGACGCGGACCAACCAAACAAACCAATGACGTTGTAGCGCTGCAAGGCGTGCGAGTTTGATTCGGGAGGTTTGCCGAAGCTGCAGACGGGTGGCTTGACTGGTGAGGATGGATGGGTCGGATGCGCGAAGTGCTGTTTTGGGAAGCGTTGTCCTGACCCTGGATAAATAGATGGATGGCTGCTCTGGCTCTGCCTGTTGCTTATCTGAAGGAAAGCTTGTCAGGCTGGCGGGTAGCATATGAGGATGAGTCTTTCGAGGTTGTATTGTCGACCAGATAATTTATGGTATGAACGTTGAATGATGCCTGTGCTGTTGTGGAAAGATAGGCCAATTGCCACCTCAACATTCAACCCCCCTTAGGCCAGCGCGCAGCTCCCAGCTTGCATCTCGCCGTGACATCGCCAGCGCGTTGTACCTCGACAGTGAGCAATACCGCTCATCATGTCTCGCTGTAATTGCGTCTCCTGTTCGGCTTCTGACAGGTGAGGTATGGCGCTGCTTGTGTCGTGCTGCTGACGTGCTGTGTGGGAGGAAACACTGGCGACGTTCGGTTGGTAAAGGAAAGTTTCAGCATTGCTTGGCGAAAACCCCCACATCTTCACAAGCGAGATCCTTCTCCTCCGCTTTCTCCTTTAGCATCCTGTCATATTCCTATCGGTAATGTTGCAATTTACGTATTCAAGTCTTCTTATTTGTTTCTTTTCTTGCTGATTTTGCCTCCAAACCTCGGCTTTTCTTACCTGCGCACCAATGTCTGCACTCTGAGTAACCTTTCATTTTTTTTTTTTTTGATGCGAACCCCGTTTGCAAGTTGCAGTTGTCGGTCTGCTCTAGCTATACAATACATAGAATAGACGTGTATTCATCAATCCGTTCAACGTCCCTGAGCTTGGGCGAAGAAGACAAAGGGGAACGTCTCATGGCATATGCCACTCTCATATCTTTCCTAAAGTGATGCTAGATCGACCTTCTGAGATGATAGCTAGCTAAGCCCTTCTTTTCCTTCTTCTCGAGGTCAAAGTTTCTCCAGTCCATCCCAGTCATGAAGCCAGATTTATCATAATGTTTCTTCCCCCTTGGTATCTAACAGGGAAAATGTGTTAGAGGTTCGAAGCCCAGCCGGTGTCGTTCTGCACCGATGCGGAAATGCGGTATTTGTATCGAGATCCCGCTAAGCGAGTCCGAATCCATACCTAGGCATCTATCATTACAGCAACGTACTCCCAAATGAATCGAAACAAATAAATCGACTTCTGCACACGATCTAATAAGAATGTGGTTTTCCGATTTCCAGATGAGGTTTCAAGCTCCTTGTAAGGTGATGCCCTATCTCCTTTGAGACTGTATGTAAAACCCGAGCTGACCTCGCAGTAGAAAGTCTGTATTAAAATAGGTAAGGTAAGCATGTATGTCAATTATTCAACGCCTCATCGCATCTCATCAAAGAAGCAGGTACATTTACCTATCTACCTGCCTATCACCTACACCTAAAATTCAATCTCATGCTATAAAAACGATTCAAGAACAAATTCAACTTTAATCCTCATCCTCATTCTCATCCTTAAACTATCCACCCACCACCCACCAACCATCAAAAAAACATGTCCAACCCCAACCCCAACCCCAACCCCAACCGCCAAACCCCCCATCATCGAAAACTCCATCGCCACCCTAACCCTCTCTCGTACCCACCTTCTCGGCCTCAAAAATCCCCTACTTACCCCTCGAAGCGCGTTTTACAATCTCGCTGTCCATAGGCGCCGCGCCAGTATTGTGATAATGCCTACCGCAGCGAGGATCTGGGATCAGTTGGGGGTGTATGATGTGATGAATTCGAGGGAGAGGGATGGTAAGGGGATGGTGAGGGGTAGGAGGGGTAGGAGGGGCTGCGTGACGGAGATGAAGAGGACGGGACGTTTATGAGGAGGGAGGATGGGAGGGTGGTGGAGGGAGTGAGTGGATGGGGGCTGTCGGGGGGAGTTGAAGGGAGATGAGATTTCCTTTAGTTTTTGGAGTTGCATATGAGTTGGTTTGGATTGCATTTACTTGACAAGGATTGTCTGGAATGGAAGACTGACTGACTGATTGTGAAAATGCGGCAGGTTGAACTATATCTATGGGATTTGCAAGAGGAAGATCTTCTTGAAATCGATGTACCTATATGATCAGTTGAAAGACCATCTAAAGTCAAGACCGGAAATAAAGTGGTGTCTTCGCAACATGGCGATAGATAGATACATCACGGTAACTTGTCAAGATGTTGCGCGAATATGTTTCAGATTAGTGCCATTGGAGCCGATGACCTTCACAGTTTCACACGGCAGAGATATGGAATTAAAGGAGATTACCAAGAGTAACTTAACTGAGCGGTAGACGTGCACATGGGCTGTAAATGAGGAGAAATCCCTGGGCACTTACTTAAACCTCACCGCGCTAGGACGCTTCCCTTGCCTGCTGGCGATAGATACCTTCATACCACGAACTACATGTTATCTATCACCCATCTTCTCATTTGCAGAAGTGCTCAGCGCGACCTTGGAACCCGCTATGATTCGAGCTTTACTACAAGATACCTGGAACTGGAAGTCTGGATAGAAGTCATCTTACAGTCTTACTTCCCGGATGACACACCATTTTTTCCTTCATGGATCCCACACAATTGATATTTTTTTCTTATAACATCTTATCCTTATCCGACATTGTAGCATAACACCGTACCCCATACCAATATCCCCATTTCGTACAATTCTATCCAATAATTAATCCCCCATCACCCAAAAATATCATTAATCCACTCCCCCACCACCTCCCCCTCGCTTTTCCCCTGCTCGTCTCCATTCCGAATATCTCCCCTCCTCCCTTCTTCCCCGACTCCTCCACTCCCCTCTCCCCGTATCCCCACAACCCTCGCCCTCGCCTGACTAGCAGCCTCAGGATCAAGCTCTTCATCCCAAATCCTCCGATCAGAGAATTCATGGATAAACACGCTGCGACGGAACAGTGTAGCCATATGATTTGCCTGGCCGCCTGGCGTCGTAGTGGTATCCTCACCGTCTGGACCCTCATTTGACCTTCTTTGGGCTTTAAGCTTAGATCTAGACTTAGACTTGGATTTTGTTTTGGGAGAGGTAGAGGATGAAAGGGAGGATGTGGTTGACGAGGAGGAGGGAAGAGGGGTGGCGGTATGTAGGAATAGCGAGAACGGGATTTTCAGTGTTGTGGATGAAGGTGGGAATTTGAGGTGTGCGGGACGGGAAGGAGGTTCGATGAATAGCTGCGAGATGCGCTTGGCTAGATCGGCTTCTGTGGTTTCTGTTTGCTTATGTGTGGGTGAGGTCGGCTCTTCTCCTGGAGTCAAAGGACTTGCTGCCTCTGAATTTGACGAAGTGAGATCCCCTTCCTCGCTAGGCCACTGATCTTCTGTTTCGGATGGAGATAGTGACGGAGAGTTCGCTGTGGACTGGTCGGAAGAATCTTCATCTGTGACCCATTTTTGAGGGACGGCTAACCCTGAGGTTCGGAAGAATAGTGTTGGTGAAGCGAAGGAGTCGAATGCTGCTGCCGGAGAAGGGAAGAGGTGAGTTTTAAGCTTGTGGAGCGTGCTAGCGTCCCATGCGTTCTCTGGAGTCATTGGACTCCTCTGTAGTGGCCCTGCCGTGGAGCCAAGCTCGTTTTCTGAGGACGAGTCTTGGTTTGCGACCGTCGGTGGGGGAGGCGAGGTCGCGATATCCGTCCAGTCGAAAACGGCATTCTTGGTTATCAACCCGATGATCTTTGTGGGCAGTGTGCGAGACGTGAAGTTCTCTGTTAATGCCAACGAGGTGGCTAGGGTGCCGCCGAGGAAGGAACCGTACATTAGGATGGGTCGTTGGACTGGGAGTGGACGAGTCGGTGCATAGAGTGACTGTCTTGCGTTGGGATTGAAGTCTGTGGTTGGAGAGGGTGCTTGAGGAGAGTAACGTGGGAGGAAGGTGGATAGCAAGAATGTATATCCGGCGAGTGTATCGTGGAGGGGTCTTGGGAAGGGATGATATGCGTACGAGGGGTTGTTGGAAAGCGGTTTAGGCGCGGTTGTGTTTGTTGATGGAGTGGGAATGTTCCATCTGTAATTTATGCTTGCGAGTGTTGTTTTCGAGGTGAGAAGGTAAGGTGGAAGAGGCGGATGGGTGGATCTGAGATGAGTTCCTGTTGGTGGCAGGTGAATTATGAGCGGATTGGCGGGGTTACTGAGTGCGGAAGGGTTGTGAACGCTTTGTTGATGTTAGTAGGCGAGGTAAAGGAGTAGCGATGCACGTGAGATGTTTCACGTGGATATATCAACAGAACTGGATCATCCTCCATCACAACCGCTAGCAGAAGTTGAAAAGAACTCACTCGATAGTAACAAATCCCGCCGATCCACACTTCACTTCAAACTTCTGAACTTCAAACCCTTCACGTGATGATGCAGCTGAATCTGATGAGATCTGCCTGGCGCTTCGTCTGCACTTAGCGATCCTTGAAGATGTCCATGGCCATCTCGATGTCGATGTAGAAGTGGAGATGCCTCTCACAGCCCAGAACGACACCAGCTTAGGCGCAGCAAGAAGCTGCATCTAGCGATGCGTTCGCGTCTGGGAAAGGGAGCGTCTCCGCACCTGCACAAGTTGAAAGTCAGACAACCACAAGTAGCTGAAACATACGTCAGTGGGTTGGTATGTTTGGTTGTTTGGCTTGGAGGCTTGGTTTGAAGATGGTGGGATGCAAATCGATGAAGTGCATGTGAGGCTTTCGAGTTTCTCCGTGGTCCGTGGGTACGGCAAGACTGGCGATTTGGTTCGTGCGACGACGTGGCTGACACCGGGAAAACTTGGAGAAGCGTGAAGGATTGAACACGCGGCTTGTTGCCGGGTAGAGTTGATGGCTCGCCTGACTCGTTCTGTTGTCGTATCGTGTGTCCGGTTTTAGACACTGTTCATAGGATGGCTAGCTGCAGTAGTAGTGATAGTTGCGGGATTATCTGTTATGGTTGTTGACCTGAGCGAGCTGCTTGCTGTGGTGGTCAGGGGAAATGCTCGCTTCAGGCTCGAATAATGGGCGCCCGATGCAACCAATGAGAGCGAGGCTGGATGAATACCTTGGCGCTGCTGAGAATGCCAATCAGGAGGCGTTTTCTTGGACCACGTTGGCCCAGGGCTGGAGCAGCAAGTCGGCGAAGATTGTGACACAAAGCGGGAGCAATTTCTACGATGGGGATGCATTGCGTCTGCGGGCATTGCTTGGTGGTTGTGTATTCTGTGTAAGTTTGTGCTCACGGTCTAAGTTTGGGCAGTGTTCAGTTTTCTAGAGGACGAGTATAGTGAGTAGATAGACCATCGCGACTCCTGAGAAGGCTGAAGTCTGGGCCAGATCTTGAAGATAAAAGTGGATGTACGACAGAAATCGTTGATGCACGACGCAGTGCCTCCGTGCTGCATACTGCAGATTGTCGGGACGGTGATCCCGACTCTTCTGGGGTATCAAATCTCTTATGATTTCTGTACCGAACCGAGATAACGTCCCTTGCAGGGAGGCACAATCAATATTTTTGAACGGCCACCTCCAGCCCGGTTGTCGTCGCAGAGAGACACGCAGAACGAGAAGTGAGCTCAGGAGGGCATGCACAGGTCTTCAACACTGTGAACCGACTCCCGTTATTTTGATCGCCTCGTCTTGAGAAGTGTCTTAACGTTGACAGTAAGAAAAACGTCAGAGATCAATTAGTCGTTCTTGGACGGACTTGCGCCATCGTCCATTATTGTGTTGATGGCTGCGTGATCCCCTTGCTGCGTTCAGCTGGTTGGCTTGTTCCAGGCCCTCTTAACATGGCTGGCAGCACTTCAACCCAACAACAACAACATCATCCTCCACCCATCTATTTCATCCTTACCAACGCCGCCTGCCGCTGTTGACACTTTACCCATACCAAAGCAAGTATGGCAAGTATCGAGGGTATGGTATGCCTTGGATCATCTTCCCGCGTGAAGATTGGACCGGTTATTTGACGAGACACACCTTCGGTTGCTGTTCGAAGGGTCCACATGCCATCCGCCGATACTTAGAAATTACCATAACCAGCGGGTCCACCCAAGCCCGATACAGGCAAGACGTGATGTCCAGCCCTTAACCCTGTCTGCCGCTTTGCCAAGTCGGTGCAAAAGTGGGATTTGCGATTGCCAAGATGGAGAATCCCCAAAACCCAAGCGTCAGATCCAACGCGTGTAGCTTACCTCTACGACCATCTGCAAAGTACTGTAAACACAACACAGAAGTACGAGAATACCAAATCATGCCTACATCGGCATGGTATTTGCACATGTCTATTTGGAAAACACGAAATCGCGAAAGATGGGACGAATTGCAGCCGTGTATTACCATATCTGGATAGGTAGCATGCAGAGAGAAACTGTCGGGCGTTGTTCTAGTGCGCACCGCCTGTGCTGCCCAGATGGATGGATTTGGAGTAGTTGCACTGGCTGCCAAACATCGCTAAATCGCCCGGTTCCCCTTCGTGCACTTCGTCCTCTTCGACGATCAGCTGCCATGTTTCAACCCTCCATCGCATTTGTTGAACATGCCATGGAGACAGTTGTTCGAACATCCGCATGTCAAGACACCGCCATCCTCGTCATGCTATCTTTGACTACCCATGGTTGCTCTGAAATCATCAGGCCAAAAGCACTGTCCGTGACTGGCAAACTAACTTTGCATTTCGTATAGTAAATTTACAATTTACCTACCAACATCATATCCTGCTGTATACAGCCTGGAGAATGCTACCCTCATCCTTTTCTGCGAGCCTACACAATGATGCACGTTTCCTTCTATTGGCATCTCGACCACTCACACGCCGTCGTTCCCCGTCGCTTCTGCACCTGCACCTGCACCTGCACCTGCACTGGGCCGGCTCATTCCCAAACGCTTGCTCCACTCGCTCCACTCGCTCCACTCCACTCTACCCCCCAAGCACCAAGGCCAAGGCCAAGGCCAAGCCCCTGCAGGCTAGGCTACTTGTTAGACTGCCCATGCTCAACCCCGAACCCCTCCTCGCCCTCCTCCTTGCGCTGGGCTGCTGGGCCAGAACCCCTGCACCTGCACCCAATTTCGTGATGGACCCTGGCCTTCCTGGGCCTTCCTGGGCCTTCCTCGAAACTACCCGTGGCAGTCGAGCCGTCCAACTCCAACTCCAACTCCAACTAGAACGAGAACTAGGGACTTCCGTCCTTTCTCCTTCATATCGCATACCTACTTTCCTTCTTCACAACTACACTACATAGTCGACGCGTCGACGCCAACGCTCCTTTAACTTTCATGATCTTTCGACGTCGTCGCCAGAGCATCCTGCCTTGAACTGGGACAAGCTCGTCCTTCTGCCGTATGTACTCGATTCTTGCATTCACCTACTTGGGGCTGTGGGTGACGTACCGAACTCCGCGGAACCAACTAACACGAGTGACATTCAGGGCAACGCAAGGCACGCAATCATTTCCAATCTACCGACCAATTCACTTCGAGTAGAAGGCCGGACAATATATTACCGATCGATGGCGTCTACACAACCTTAATATAGAACGACTGTTGCGCCTTCTTTGCATCGCAACCCTCGGCCAGGGGAGAAGGAAGTTCGATTGAGTACTTTTTGGACGAGCTGCTTCAACACCACAAGCCAACATGGCAAAGAAGAGTCGCACGAGGAATTTCTGTGGGGTTTTGCAGAGCGTACTGGCTGCTGCTGCTCTCTATGGTTTTCTGTACTTGAGCATTGCTGTCTACCAAAAACGCTCACTACCTGCGTCGCCAAAAGAGCTCTATGATAACCCGCTCTCAAGTCGACCTGGGTCTTCCTCCGACCACATTGGCTCCCAAGGACCTTCCAGCAAATTGATTGCCTCAAAAGTCAATCCGAAGGCTAATTGGTTCAATCGACCCGAAAGCCTTGTCACTCCGAGAGACAACTACCTGGGGAAGAGACCACATGTCGACACAATTGCCAACCTGACGAAGCTGGTGGAAGAATGTAGAGGGTCATACGAGAACATTGAGAAGATGCCATATGTTTATGATTGTCTGAAGTATCTGGATGAGGGTACAAAAGAGTATTACTACAGACCAGCGAGAGGGGAAGGGGCCAGCGAACAGTCACCAAAGCATGCGGAATATCTCAATGCGGATGGCGTTGACAATTCCTTGAGCGAGTATCCTGCATACAAACCTGCTTCCAAAGAATCAATGGGACGATGCAATGGCCCCATTGTACCCTACCACGTCTACTGGACCGGACCTGCCACATGGAGAGTCGAGCTGTTCATCAAGAGTCATTTTCACACCCAGAACATTCCATGCGTTCGATTGTTTCTCTGGCTCGATGGAGATCGGGACTCGAAAGCTGTCGACAAAATGTTGAACCAGGATCCCCTGTTTCGGAAATTTCTACCTTTCGTGTCAAGAGGCGACATTGTTTTGAAGACATGGAAATTCCCTTCCAGGATCCCTCTACCGAAAGGCGACAACACAGACGGGAAGGGATATTACAAGAGTCCAGGAAAGGCAAATTCGAAGAACGAGACACTGGTGGCGGATGGACTGATTCGTGACGCCAAGGACCAAGAATGGCTTGTCCTGACGGAGAAACAGATGACGTTTCTGCCAGTTGCCGTTTCTGATGCGGTGCGATTTGTTGTTCTGCATCTTTATGGAGGTGCTTATTTCGATATGGATGTCATTATGCTCAGGGATATGCGCCCGTTGTTGATTGGAGAAGAGCATTCTTTCGCCGAGAGATGGGGAGCGCACCCGAGCCCAGGAGACTACAATACTGCGATCATGTCCCTGTCCGCCAATTCGTCGTTGTCCTCTTATTTGCTCCGTGGCGGTGTGCGAATGGGATTGAACTTTCACCCAAGAGTGGTTGGCGTTATGGCTGTCAAGGATCGCCGAAATCGGGAGTTTCACATGCTAGAAACGGCAGCTTTTGATCCCATCTGGACGGAATTCAACTGGGGTAGACTGGGAAAATGTACCGTTCCCTGCATTCATGATTATGCGCAGGTTTTCAAAGGCAAAAATGCTTTCCCATTGAAGGATGAGTGGAAAGCGTACGATGGGCCGCAATTAGAAGCTGCAAGCAAGAGTGGAGGACATTTCTGGGATATGAGAAACGTTGAATTGAGAGCCGTTACGCCACTGAGTACGGAATCGACGACCATCGATCGAGAGGCGTTGAGCAAGACCGAGTACAGGATTGAGGAAGATAAGTATCCACCCACGAACCGAACTTTGGAAAACTTCTTCCGAGGGGCGTGGACATATCATATCCACAACCAGGTAAGCTTTTTCTGTGCCCGGGAGGAAAGAGAGAGCAAGGCTAATAATCACCAGTGGCTCAAGAACCCTGAACCTTCGTCTTGGCTCAATGTCATCCAGCGCGCACACGACGGCTTCTTCTCCCACAATCGCATGAACCCATATGGCGAGAAATGGGATGGGCCGAGTATACCTGAGTATGAAATCAGTTGGGAATATCCGTGAGCGAATTTGGTCAAATTTTGGATATGATATACTATTTGACTCGGAAAATGTCCTTGGGAAAACAATCTGGTCTGCAAACAGGTGGCAGATTCGAACCACTGTCGAATACCACCCAAGATTTCGACCCAGATCCCGAAGTGGAGCCCCAGAACAGTGTAGTGAGGACGACTGACCCTACCGGCCAACGCGGAGCCCAAGCCGAACTCCGGACGGATTTCACCATGGAATCAATGCAAGACATGTACCCGTTTACAACCGGGATGTATATACACGCAACTCGCAGACCTTGCGAGCGTTCTACTTTACAAAGCTAGCATCTAGCATCCGACATACGGCATGGCGTATCTCGGAGTTTCTCTTTTCCCATCTTCTAACTTCGATGGTGGAGGGTGGCATGTGAGCGGCACCTCTATATGTGGCACGGCATTATATTATAGACTTGCTTTACCTTCTTTCTGCATGTGTCTGTGCTTGAGCTTTAGTGGATCTACGCTGCTCTATGCGATGTGCTTGTGGAGATTTATATGATGCGATGACCTAGCTTCAGCCGCTTTGAGTTGAGTGAGAGAGGAGTGCCATGATGTGGCATAGTGTTATCTCGATATGACGAGCGGTATGACGAGTGATGTGGGGGAGGGAATCTCAAAAGCCTTCGATGGAGGTAGACGAAATCATAGAGCTAGCTAGCTATCCATGCTGCATGCTACTATCTTATCTACAGATGGATAGAAGACAAGCCAGCCAGCTAGCCAGCCCACTGCAATCTGGGGTGAGTGGAGCGCACCTTGACGTTGTGTTGTGGGAGAGCAAGGATTATGTGGTTAAACAAGTAGACGCCAGGTTATAGGTAGCTGTTGGCTGTTCGTCAATAGACAATGAATGAATGAATGAGTACTAGGGGACTGGAGAACTAGACACGCACCGTGTGAGACCGTCAGAATTAACTCCTGACAACTATTCCCAATTCCACAATTCCACAATTTCAATTTCAAAATCAAGTCCTGAAAACGAAGGACGTTGGACGTTGATCAACCGAAATGCCATCCTCACATCTCATCTCACATCTCCCTCTCTCCCTCACCCTCACACACCTCTGTGTTCCTCTCCTCTCTCCCACCTCACTCACCTCACTCACCTCCAGACCAAAACATAGGGAGTCGTGATCTGTGATCTGTACCCAGATCTAGATCACCGCTCCCATTCCATCCATCTGTATTTCTATTCCCACCTGTATTTCCGTCTGTATTTCCATTTCCATTTCTACTTCTCTTTCCCACGCTGTATTCCCACCCCCTCACACCCTCTGCCCCTTCCTTCATTTCTCATTTCTCATTTCTCATTAAACTTCCCGACCGTAAATTTACCAGGCTAGCGAGCTAATCTTAAGTCTTACATATATACATACATACATACATACTTTCCGTATACGGAATTACTGTACAGTAAGATTACAGCCTAGCTAAAACTCAAAAAGGTAGGTGGTATACTCACTCACTTACTCACTCACTCACTCACTCATATACTCCCTCGTACCTACCTGTATGTATCCATCCTATCGACATACAATACATTACGATGCACACCAGTCCAGTCCAGTCCAGTCCAGTGCAGTCCAGTACCTATAGTAAGAGTAGGTAGGTGGGTGGGGATAGGGATGGAAACTCCTAGCTAGGCTAGCTCCCACTTTTCATAAGTTTTTTGTCATATTCAGTGGTGTATTGCTTGCTGGCTTTGAAGGCCCCCAAAAAAAAGAATAGATTTTCATTTTTTGATAGTCTGCGATGTTCAGACATACGGAGAAGAAGGGGAGTTTACGTGTATCTATCTAACTTTAAGTATGATTCATAAACCACCTGTAAGCAGAGCCTCCATTCAAGGTCGTCTTCTATCGATGATTTTGTGTAGTACCTAGGAAGAGGCGAAAGAGGAATCAAATCAAATCAAATCAAATCCATCAACCTATCATCATCCTCAACCACAATCAGCACACTCTAGCAAGCCTGTGCGATGCATTCTTGGAGAGTCAAGTCCAAAAGTAAGTCCAAAAGTAAGTCCAAAAGTAAGTCCAAAAGTAAGTCCAAAAGCAAGTCCGAAGCAAGTCCAAAGCAAGTCCAAAGCAAATCCAAAAATGGTCCAACACAACAAAGTGACGGCTTGGCCACGACTACCAGCCACGATTATCGGTTCCCCATCCTCCTTCGCCCATGTAGATCAAACTGTCAATACACAGTTCATGAGCAGTTATGGCAGGAACAACCTCGAACGTAACTTTTGGTGCCATATCGGCGACCGATGGTTGTGTTGTGTCAGGATTCTTGCCGTAGCGCCTGAAGAGGTGGTGCTTGAGAGCATGTGTTGCACCGTGACAGTAGCTTTTCTTGTGGAAGCGAAGATCTTCGAATCCATCACCGACCATCAGTTTGAGCGACTTCAAGTTGCGGAAGTAGGACATGTAACGACCCCAGTAATCCTTGTTGTACGAGCGGTCGCCAAGGTACTCTTTCAGGGAAACAATAACGTGGTTGACGCGCGCACAGGTGTGCTTGCCTCCTATCAATCTAACAAGCTTGAACAACTTCGTAGCAACACCGCCAGTATGGATGTAGAGTACGTCGTGGTCAAAGTTGAAAGGGACGTAGTAGTACTCTGGGGAGTTTGGGTGAGGAAATGCTTCCTCGTAGGCCAGCTTCGCAAGCGACCGCGAGTCCGAACAGGCATGCAGAAGACTAGGTGGGTTGGTTCTGGTCGTGATTCTGTCGAAGCTCTCGTTCTCATCTGATTGAAGTTGGATGTGGACTTGGCGACCTGCGAGGAGAGCATCAGTGATAGCATAACCCCAAATCTGGTTCCGGAGCTCTCCTGGTAGAGCGGTGAATAGTTCAAATACACGTCCATCGCCTGGGTTGGTTGATCTCCTGACAATGTTCATGATCTCTGCTGGGACTTGGTCAAGACCAGGGTAAGCAATAAGGAGCTTGACCTGGTTACGATCCCGGAGGTTGTCCTTTGCCCAAATAGCTAAGCCACTCTCAGTTCCCCAGAAAGTAGTCGGTGAGCGAGTAGATGGAATGCTCGGTGGGACAACTTTTGCAGCAATGACAACGCCGTTGGCTCCATTAGAACCATAAGTTGCATCAACCTTGGATTCGTTGGAAGTCCCAAGATTGACGTGAGAAGCGGGCATGACCTTCTTGGAATCGATCTTGAGAGCCTTTCGTTCAGCGGCTGCCTCATCAAGTGCAGAAATATACTCTCTACGAGTCTTCATGTCATGAAGGTAGCGACACTTTGGAAACGAGCAGCCACGCCGGGTCAGGTGCTTCTTGCATATCTCCTTGCTTGTAGTGTACTTCGTGTGCCATGCGCCGTTTACAATGGTATAGACTTCGGTGACGGGAGCGTCGGCGAAACGGATATTGGCATTATTGTTGTGGACATGTTTGGTAGGAGCAACACCATTTGTGACGGTAGAGGCCTCGGTAGGGGAAACGTTGGCGGTATGGACATCAGTGATAGAGACATTGCTGTGGTATTCGTGACTGCCAGGGCCGAAACCTCCAGCGCCTGGATGAATGGGAGATGGTGGAGGAGACAAAGGCAGCGTATTCTTCTGAACGACCTGTGTGTACCGTCAGTGGAGTCTCAGAGGCGAGAATCTATCAGGGACAAGAGCTGATCGTTAAGAGATACCGGAACGGTGTGAAATTACACTTTCTTTGGAAGTAAGATCACCAGCGTTAGAAGCAGGTGGAGTGATGACGCCACTGTTGACAGTCTTGACAGTCTGAGGAGCTTTGACACCTTTGGAAGACTTTCTCGCCTTCGATTGGCTATACTCCTTCTGTTGCTTGATACGTTGAGCCTTCTGCTTAATTTTCTCAGCAGCGAGCTTCTTTGCCTTTTCAGCCTGCTCCCGAGCAGCACGCTTAGCAGCAATTGCATCTCGGCGGTCATTGGCGTTGTGAACGTAGGGGCAACCGCCAAAGCGATTCTGCCGTGGACATCGGTTACCGCTGCTGTAGAGCCTGCAGACCACTTCGGAGACTTTGTAGACGTCCATGGCGATAGTTGCACGGATTTAGAGGGATCTGTGAGTGTCAATGAGCTGTTGAAAGAGATGCACTGGGAACTTGCCTGAAGGATGTAAAGGGCTGGTAGTTGTTATATTTGTAATTGAAAGATCTGGTCGAGCCTGACTGTTCCAAGCCAGAGGACACTGTTGACTGACTTGAGGACGAATGGGATGCGAACAGATGGGGACTGGAGAAGAAGATGAAAGTATCCAAAACAGAGAGTTGCGTATACAAGATGTCCTGTAACTTTTGTTGATAGACTGAGTCACAAATAGTAAATAGCTGGATTGGGTAAGAAAGGTTGGCTGAGCTGCTTGAAGATGTAGGAGAGGGAAGGAGTGCCCGACTTTGCTTCGCCTCTCAGCGCACTTCTGTCAACAACAGGAAAGGGTCAGAATAGTCTTACTATTGTCAACAGCATATGACTATATGCTGTGACGCAGCGCAGCGATAAGACGATTATTGCTAATTAACTCTTGAGATTTGCACCATAGCAAAGTAGATTTTGCACGACCTGCTTCTAACAAGTTGCGGACCATGAATGACGAAAGGATTTGCAGCAACCGAAGAGTGCAGTCAGCAACGTAGCCACAAAATAGCTGACAAGTAAAAGTCAAGTGGATAAAACGGTCGAAAGCAAGATATTGAAAGCTTGGCCAGAACCGAATCAAGTCATCTATGAACATAATTAATGAAACGAAAGGCATTATCACAAGCTCTTACTCCCTCAAGAGAGGGGGGATAGGATCAATTATCATATTAGGGATATGAGGTACAATTCCAATGGATAAATGACCTCAGTCTATGCTAGATGCAGACGTCTATGGTACATTTTTTTTTCTCTCGCTTAGAATTCATTCTCGTCACTCCCAGCTATGATGACATTATTGACCTTCAACACCATGCGACAGAGCTGCGTGGCCAACATCAACTGCTGTCTCTTTCCAATTAATGGATCGATGACAAATGCATCCCGCATGTCGTTGCTGCCGGTCTGCATGCAATCCACACCCAATCTGGTGTTCTTCTCAGTAACTTGTCTGCTTTTGATGCTGGCTAGGGTCTCAATGGGTGAGAGACCGGAGTTCTCGGCGAGGGCCATAGGTACAGCGTCGAGAGCATCGGCGAATGCTCGCATAGCGTATTGTTCGAGGCCAGGGGACTTGACTGCTGCGTCTTCGACGGCGAGGGAACAGGCAATTTCGGCGGCTCCTCCTCCATACACAACGCGGTTGTCTCTGACAAGATTTCGTACAACGCAAAGGGCATCATGAAGTGATCGCTTAGCTTCGTCGATGATCTGTAAAGGTTAGCAGTATGCTCCACATGCACCATAGTATTTCCTTACCATCTTGTTGCTTCCTCGGACAAAGACAGTGACAGCCCGGGTGTTCGCACACTCCTCGATCACCAGCATCTTCTCTCTTGTCGTACCAAAGCTCATCTCCCGTACGATACCTGCCTGACCAAGCTTCGCCGCTGAAAGGTCCTCGAATCTCGGTACTATTCTACCGTTGGTAGCAATAGCAATCAACTCGATTTCTGGACCTCCAACCCATCTGACAGCTGGAAGCTCGTTCTGTAACAGCAAGTGGTTTGCCTCGTCATCGAAACCCCACTGGCAAATAACAAGATTGGCACCAGTATCCTTGATCTGTTGAATCATCTCCGCAAACTTGTCCTTCTCGTAAGTCTGTAACTTCTTAAACTCCTCCACACTTGTAATGTCCAACTTGTGCTTCGTCTTTGGCTTCGGGGGCTCGAACGCACACGTCAAAATGGCGATCTTGGCATCGTGAACTTCGGAAGGCATCTGTGGATGGGAGAAGTCCTTGTCGACAATAACACCCTGAACCAACAGGGAATCCTCGAGCGATCCACCGACCTTGCCGTCAACCTTTATCAGATCAAAGTCAACATCCTTGCGCTCCAAATCCGCTACAGACAAGATAGCATCCACAGCGATGTTGGCAAACTGATCATGCGCTTTCGACACAATCTTGCTTCCCAAACTCGTTCTGGCGACCTTCACCAAGTTCTCCTTATGCGTCTTCGTGAACTCAATGACATCGGCAATCCTATCCAGCTCCGCAACAGCAATATCGCAAGCCTGGTCATATCCATCTGCTATCCGGATTGGGTGGATTCCCTTGTCGATGAGCTCTGCCGCCTGCTCTAATAACGCACCAGCCAAAACTACCACACCTGTTGTGCCATCTCCAATCTCGTCGTCTTGCGATTTAGAGAGCTCGACCAGTAGCTTTGCTACGTGATTCGAGATCTCCATTTGGCTGAGAATGGTTGCGCCATCGTTCGTAACTGTGATATCTCCATCGGACGAAATGAGGATCTTATCGAGGCCTCGAGGGCCGAGGGATGTCTTGACGATGTTCGCTACTGTCCTTGCGGCGATAATATGTGACTTGACAGCATCGGTTCCATGTACTCTCTTCTTCTTGCCTTGACTGGAATATGGTTAGCAGCTATGTTTGGCCGGTGTGGAAGCTTCTTACTCTCTGACAACAATGAATGGTCTGCCTTGCTCGTCTTTCACGACCGAAGCTATAGCTTGATTAGTAAACCATATGGCAGACTTGTACTTGAGGTTCCAGCATACCCTGGGACATATCAATATCTAAAAGACACCAGGTTAGCTCGAACTTATGAAGTGGTTGTCAGTCAACAGGAGGTGAAACATACTCATAGCCATCTTGGAGAAAGAAGCAGCCTTGTAAGACTGCAGAAATTATCGAAACACCTTCCTGGAGCAGTTCAGAAGCTTCAAAATTGAAATAGGACGTTGCCGTACACCTTCTCAGTCATGAACGCGTATGGTGGATTTCGTCGCGTTCTCAAAAAGCTTTCAAATTATTTAGTAAGGCGTCAAGGCATCAATATCTTAGCGCAAAGATCAGGTGACTTTCTCACCACCTATTCGACATCACCCTGAGCAAGAATTCCGCGCTTTCGTTCTAGGCAATCGAATATATGATGAAGTAAATACAGTAATACCGTTGCAAGAATGGGAATGTTTTGAGTATTCTTGGCAGTAAGAGACTTTAAATTCACTTCAATATGGCATGATTGCTTCTCCTGTTGTCATCCCCGTCCAAGTTTGCTCTTATCTCTGACTGCTTTCGAGGGTTCCTGAATCATTCACACTGATAATTTTCTATTTGTCGATTGAATGATTCTTCTTCTGCTCTCGCTATCGTTCTTTCGAAGTAAGAAGGGAGAAATGTATTCCTTGTGGCAGCCCCTTCTTTCACGTTACCATCTCGGAGTCGTATTACTCCTTGTATATGCAGCTAAGTGATGCAGCCACCATGCAGTATAATATCTATACTTGAATTCAAGATAACGCATGACATTCTATACAATGCTCAATGCTCAGCTCCAGTTGGAGGGTGATATCAAGCATCCTACATCACTTCGTCCATTTACCATCCAACAGACACTCCCTCTCAACCCACATCTTAGTCACCGGTCCCAAGTACTCCTTACAATCTCATCACAGAGAGTTCAGCACTCCCCCAGATTTCGCACCGCACCGCTCCGCTGGCGATCGCGTAGATCACTCTTCAAGATTGGCTTCCGGCAACCGATCCCGACGTGCACCTCCTTCCACACAGACATTTCCACCATCCACATGCATGTCTCCACACTCAACATCTCATCTTAACATGCATGCATATTGTTCTGTGCTGTACTTTAGCCTAGATGCACTCAAGGTCATGAGATGAATTTGGGGGCGGTTGGTAAGCGAATGGGTAAAAGGGAAAATACGAAGTGACTCCGTGAACCTTACTCGGTACGGGTAAAGTGATTGAATTCGTTGACGAACAAAACATAAGGTGCATGTGTTTACATTTCCTTAGTTTGTTGGATCGGGAAATCTGCAGTTTATGGTACTGTGGTTTCCGTTGCTGCTGTGGTGGAGCTATCCAAAGGTCTTGTTTCGCATGTCATGTTGACATTGGACAGTAAAGGTGGTAGAATCATCTTTCGGATCATTCTGAAGCCATCAAGTTAAGATTTCCTATCCTATCCTATCCAGACTATTTCAACCATCGAAATGAGTGCGCTTTATTGCAACTTTTATCAGACCAAGAGAATTGTTGGTCATCAGCTACAAGACTCCTTCTGACAGCTGTGATGAATCGAGTGGCTCTGCTTCGCGCTAATCTAGCAGTTGCTTGCAAAGTATGTTACGGAGAAGATACACCAAGGAAATAATCACAGGCAATTGTGAAGGCATTTGTTTTGATAAGCAGTTGCAGAACTCGCAGATACACCTGGAATCCGCATAAAGAGAGAGAAAACCACCTGCGATAACAAATCCAAAAATTTACAGCTTAGAAAATCAACAGCACATACGTCTGATCTCTGTGGCTCGACAAAAATACCGTGAATTTGGATGGCCAGTGGAATCTGATCAGACGCCTCCTCGAAAATCCCATCAGCATAAATCTTCAAAGCACGTATTTTGCAGATCCCATCAGCGATCTTCGGAGAAAATCAACATGCGCTCATACAGATCAAGACTATCATTTCGGTCTTAATAATAACGAAGAACTCTTCTTGTGTCAATCACTCGGTCCGGCTAATATCAAGTACCGAACTCACTGCACAAGCGGTAGTGCCCATCCCATCCACTCTCCACCACAAGTCTGTCATGTCATGTCCACGAGACCTAGCGACGACGGTACATGCTTTTAAGAGGGGACTATTGCAGCATTATATCCACGGAAGCCAGGCAATCGTACTCCGCAGTATTCGGAAGATCGTAAATCCAGGATGGATGGGGATATGTTGCGGGTGAGGAAGAAGTGTGATCGTCAAGACTCAAGCTATTGTGTGTTGTTCTGGTAAGCTTACATCCGTATTGTGGTTTTATGTGCTGAGTAGTAATGTTATGCTGCGGCGAGAAATCTGATATTGATAGGTATCTTCAGGGACTATTTATGCATGACTGTTGGATTCGTTGGAGAGACCGTTATCAATAGAAGGCACAGCTGTTCGCTTAGTCACAGGAGATCACTGCAATCATTGGTTCCCCAGTCCGCCTGTCACTTGCCTCCCCTTCCCTGGTCGTCTTGTGCTATCTCACCCCAGCTTTCATGCTCACCCTTAATCTATTTTCTCTGTTGCACAAGCATGCATCCTTGTGTCTATTACAATTAGTTGTTTCTGACCGCCTTGCTGTATTCTGCATTCGAGAAAGGTTCTAGTCGCTTTGTTTGCCTTTCAGGCAATTTTAAGTACACAGTATTAGGCATGGGATTGGAGAACAAACCCCGGGGATTTATTTTCACATTTTCACCTCAGTTATGAACAAAACAATCCTCGGACGCCGAAGCAAGTGGTGGAGAAAGTATGCCACATGTTCTTCTCCTTACAATTCTTTCGTTATTCGTACCTGTTGGTGTTTCCAATTGAGTAACCGTTCCCCTTGAGTGATGATTGGATGATTCTTTTCCCTTCTTCGTGGGATCGATGTCCTCGCCTCGCCTCGCCTCCTCGCCTCCCCTTTCATCAGACGAGGGCTCCGATGATTCGTCAAAGTCACGACCTGCAGTGGGACATCTGCAGCCCACCAAACTGGCGTCCAATCACAACAGTGTATATGTCCAGTTGCCCCCGCTGGCATTCCTCCCGTCTGGGCTCGTCTCCCTGGCCTGTCTCTTCCCCAGACAGGTCTCACGACTGTGCCTATCCGAGCCCATCAATAATGGAGCTATCTATTCGCCGTCGATACCAACGAATGCCGTTTGGAGTTCTGGATCCTGATGCTTCTGTTGCTACCGTGATGGTCTGTTCGCACTCGAATTGAATCAATGGAGATGGTTGTAACGGATGGAAGCACAGGGGACGCCGCACGTCTGCTCGATTCTAGTGGACGTGGAGCTAAGCTACTTCTTTGACCAGCCTACAGATACAACATTTACCTTTCTGGAACCTCTCGATACTTGTACCACACCTTCCTAGGGAATGCCCCAGTGAGATTATTTAGCTCACAATCATTAAGATGAAGACAGTTGCTCTGGAACTTTTCCACCAGGGACCTGGGGAAGTGGAGATGAGCTTGACAAAGCAGAGCTTCCTGATCAGGCTCACGGCGTGTTGCCTCCGTCACCAAAACGAGCCCAATCAGGAGGAAATTTCTCCAATGAACTGCGCATGAATCTCGAGAAAGCGGATCTCGTCCAACTTGCCAAGGACTCCCGCCACATTAAATCGGGTGAGGGGTAAGCAAGCGAAAAACATCCCAGACCTGTGGTTTGTGGACTTCATTATTTGACTGTCTGGCATGTAAAGCAGAAATCTGCTGGTGCAGGTGGGCTCTATCCCATCCCATCCCACCAGGGTTTAGGGACCCGCCCCCTGCCTGTCACTAATATCACCGTGACAGGCTTCACGACTGGGGTGCACTGGATGGAGATGCTGCCCGCAAATCCGGGGTGGCCAGCTTAAGCCTCTTTGAGCAATATAGGCTTACTGCTCCCGGGGCAGTCGCCTGGACAGGTGAACTGATGGCTGCACTAAGCAGTTCGACAGGGTGCGGATTCTGGCGCATGTCACATAAAGGTACGGCAGGCCCTGTGAGCGGGTTTTGTTCTCGGATGCTGCCCGTTCGACGTTGATTTCGATCTCTCGATATTTCGAGCATTGTCACGGCCGACAGAGCCATTCTCGACTATTTGTGTCGCCCATCATGGCCGATAAATTTGATGATGGCGCCAGTAATTATATGGTGGAATATGCTGGTGTTCACAGTCTGGATATGGTACGAGAAAATTGTCAGCCTTCCAGATACTAAGCTTGGTCCTAACATCGCTGGTAGAAACACTCAGAGGTGGAGGTCAAGATAATAAGGGGAAATGAGGCATTTAACGAAGCGATGATGAAGGAGCCTCCGAGGCCTTTCACTTCTGCAACACTGCAACTTTACGCTGCTTGTTTTATCGGCTTTTTCTGTGCCACGATGAACGGCTACGACGGATCTCTGATCAACAATCTCTTGGCAAACCGACCTTTTCTCGAGTACTATCACGGCCAAAATGCCGGGATCTGGGCTGGACTTGTAACGAGCATGTACCAAATTGGAGGCGTGGTATCGCTGCCTTTCATCGGACCATCAGCCGACACTTACGGACGTCGCTTTGGAATGTGGATAGGATGTCTTTTGATCATTGCTGGGACAGTCATTCAGGGTACTGCCGGTCCGGCTCAAGGTGTCAATCAATTTATGGGAGGTCGCTTCTTACTCGGATTCGGAGTCAATGTTGCCTCCGCTGCAGGACCGATGTACGTTGTCGAGGTCTCGCATCCGGCCTATCGCGGAATCGTGACCGCCATCTTTAATTGTTTCTGGTACGTATATCAGTTTGGAATGTGATACAGCACCATATTAACAATATTTCCAGGTTCACCGGATCAATAATTGCAAGCGGTGTAGCACGAGGAGGTACTGACCTTCCAGGAAATGTTTCCTGGAGACTCATTATTTGGTTTCAATTGATGTTTGCTGTTGTCATCTTCGTTGCCGCTTTCTTCTTACCAGAATCTCCACGATGGTTGTACGTCAACAACAAGCAAGATCAATCGAAGGCTATGCTCACGAAGTATCACGGAGAGGGCAATCCAGATAGTGAATGGGTTAAGCTTCAGTTGAACGAGTATGAGGAATTATTGGAGATGGATGGAGCGGACAAACGTTGGTGGGATTATAGGGCGCTTTTCAAAAATCGCTCCACTCGCTATCGTCTCATGTGCAATGTCTCGATATCTATCTTTGGTCAATGGGCTGGCAATGGTTCGTAGACATTCTCATTCTCATTCAATTATCCTAATTTTTCAATCACTAACAATCTCCAGCCGTCCTCTCATATTTTATGAGCAAAGTCCTCGACACCATCGGTTTAGACGACGAAGTCAAACAAGCAAACATCATCCTGATCAATAATTGCCAACAGTTCTGCTGGGCCCTCGTCGGCGCCAACTTGGTCGACAGAGTCGGTCGTCGACCTCTCCTCCTGTTCTCCAACATAGGCTGCTGTTTCGTCTGGCTCGCAATGACCACCTCCGCCGCCATCTACCAGAACTCCATTCCTGCCCCAACAGAAGCAGTCCCCGATCCAGTTGGCACGAACACCGTCGCTGCCACTACCTCGCTTGTTTTCATCTTCGTATTCGGCGCAGTCTATTCTATTGGTTTCACACCTCTGCAGGCTCTCTACCCCGTTGAAGTCCTCTCCTTCGAGATGCGTGCCAAGGGAATGGGATTCTCTGGTTTTGCCGTCGCTGCTGGTACGTTCTTTCCCTTTTCCGATTGACTACATCTCCCTCTTTCTCCGCAAAATAAATACTTACTCAGCTTTCAGCCCAAATGCTCAACCAATTCGCCTGGCCCGTCAGCATGGAGAAGATCGGATGGCACACATACATCATCTTCACAATTTGGTGCGGCATACAATCCATCGTCGTCTTCTTCTTCATTCCCGAAACTAAGAACCGCACGCTCGAGGAACTCGATGAGATTTTCGATTCGCCCAACCCGGTTAAGACATCGATTTCGAAGAAACGCTTGGGCTTCGATGCGTATGGCGAGGTTGTTAATATTGAGGATATGTGATTGTGAGTGCGAGGAAGTTTCGAGGTTGAGATTGGAATGGTGGTGGTAGAGGAGCGAGAACGGAAGGGTTTTGAGGAATTGATGAAGCGGGGACCTGTGAGGAGGATGCATGGTTTTATACCCCTTTTTAAATCGGACGCGGAGGTTTAAAGGACTATTATGAGAAGTCAAAGTGAGGAAAGGAAACTTTCGAAGGTGGAAAATGGTAACCTGACGCGAGTCCACGAGAGTACAAGATACACAGACCGTCAAGAGGCAATGAAGAGGAGGAAGTCGTGTGAAGTGGTGGCACTGGAATATGATCTCAACAAGAGGTCTGGAATGGAATTCCATCGGATACGATCCGACATGTGCATCTGTACAGTACACGACCATGACAAGCAAGTATCAAGGAAAGAAGCGGGAGTCGGACGGAATAGCAGGATCAGGAGCAGGAGGAGTTGGAGTAGGGTGTTTCTAGGCTATCATACCACATTATGATTTTTATACGTACGCCATTTGTTGCATAGGCATGGACTTCCCTCGGAATGGATAGGAAAGCTTGGATGGAATGGTTAGCCAGGTGCTATCAAGAAAATATCAGATACTGAAGGATATATGGCTGATTTTCATTCTGTGTTGAGTAAGTGATCGTTTGATACCTTTTGCAGTGTAGCCCATAAAGTGTATGAAATGGCCAAGCCATGAAGCTGTGGATGATATTATATGGCGATTGATGGTCAAAGAGTGACAATAAAGTTCAATTTGGCGGTGTAAAATAAGCGAAGCCCTGCTGAGGTTGTGTTTATGAAATAAGCGAAGGTTTTGTCGTGACATAAATTGTTCTTGAGGGTGTCCGTGAGTTCCCATAAGTAGATTCATGGTTTAATACGCTTCACTAAGAAGAAAGGCATCGCATTGGTGTGGTTTCCTTGGGTCCCTATCTTGCTATTTAAAGTCCTTGTTCTGATACAAAGGAAATTCATTATTTTCGGCCATAACATGTTGCACGCACCCGTTCCAAAGTCACATTCATTAATGTTGAAAAAGCATAATCAATCCTGGCGTACAGTCAGTCTCTCACGGGTCAACTCCTTGTTTGAATGTCTCCCTGATGAACCTGACTCAAAACGTCCCCTTTGGCAATCGAAGTCTCAAGCTGCTGTTGTTTGACATGGAGGTCTATACTTCTAGGGACGGCAGGCTAGTATGTTTTAGGGGTCTCGATAGCTACGTTCAAGGTGTGGAGCACGCGGTCAGCTCGGACGATGCTGGGACGGTGACTGTGAGGCAGTATTCGGCTTGTGGTACTCACGATATGGAAATGGACTGGTTCGGTGTCGCTTTCTCTCCCTGTGCTATCCTGTCCGACTTCGTGGTGCTGCGGCGGAGGTGGTGGTCTGTCAACGAGTCTTTCTATCACAGGCATACCATGTGCAGTCTCTCGGAGTGTCTGCTGCATGCCGACCAAAATGTCTCCGGGTCCATTAGGATGACACCAAACTGCCAAAATTTGGTCTTTCCGTGGTCCTGCACCAAGTCTCGCGATAGTTTTAGACAACCTCTGGGACCGAAAGAAAATATTTCACCCTTTCCCACATATTTTATGGCCCACGAACCCTTGTATTCAGAATTGGGGTCACGGCTCTTGCGGTATCTTCCTAGTTATTACAGAGATCATTAGAGCTTGTACGGTAGTTTTAAGGACAATGTATAAAGACTGATGGCACCTAATCGATAGTACCGTGAGAGCTTTGAGAACGTGTAATATTTGATCATCATCAACAAAAACTTGGGAATCGCATTGCAAGACTCCAACTCACCTTGAAGAGACTTTGGGATGCATGCATCGTTCAGATGAATAGCTGTTTGTAGAACAGGCTTGTTCTGAAACCGACTAAAGATGTCTCAGCTTGCTTTACTCAGAGGCGGAAGTTCCAGGCACCGGTCTTGTAGAACGGCCATCACACCGCTACTAATGGTTTCCTCCAAGAAGCCTATCCATGAAATATCGTTCGCACGGAGAGTAACACAAACTCCCGGCTGATCTCGCCCTGGTACCCAGAAGAGCTACAGTCCACCATCTTTTGTTTTGCCAGTGTATCTTAGCAGGTTGAGACCACACGAGATGGCATTGCCAAGTTCAGATCGCCAGCTCGGCTGCATGTTCCATAAGTTTCCAAAGGCTTCGTGGTTATCGTCCAGCAGTGCGCGAAGGAATTTTGCCTTCTGATTCGAGGCTTTCCACTCCAAAGCTGATTCCCGTAGGTGATTTATCATTGTGTTGGTCTGAAAAATCTCAATGACGCGAACTCTGCGGGCATTATATGTGCAGCTTGACACCTCAAGTCCCAGTCGCAGCTCAAGACTCTTCACTGAACGAATTTCGGGATTGTTCATCGTTTGCTCAATGAAAGCATTGTTCATCGATCGACCTTCTCTTAATTTCCACCCCTGCTGAAATCCAATAGCCATGTGAGGTGGTGTAATAGCTGCAGTGAGAGTTCGCACTTCCTGCTCCCAGCGAGCTTTTGCGGCCCCCAGGTGAGAGATAGATCCGCTGTTCCTCAACTGTTTCCTGATTTCCTCCAACCTAACCTGACATGTGTCATTGGATCTCAATTGGAAAGGTGCCCCGATGAGAAGAACGTCGCTTTCAACAAATGTCCTTGTGATAGCGCGACTTGCATTCTCGAACTCCCCGATCCTCGCCATCCAGTGACAAAAGACTTCCCTTTTTTCAACTTTCACCGCATTCAGTGATCGCATATCCCACGGGACTATGGTACCTCCACCATCATCATAACTGATAATCTCGCTCTCTTTACCTACCATGCACCTTTTCCACATTGGGCCCCAGATATCACCAAAGGTCACCGCGTTGGTGGAAAGAAATAGTGGAGGAAGATCTCTGACTTGGGTCATATCCGGGAAATACTTTGGTATGTCCGACAACCAGTTCTGGAAATCCTCAAGAACCCAGGCTTCCCTGCCACCTAAGAAATTACCGAGGCATGAAAATGTCCTTCGGCGAAATACGTAGTACTGTCTTTCAAAAAATGCTCCAGGAAGCACCACTGCTGTCACACTTTCCTTTCCAAGATTTTGCGTGTGTGTAGCAGCATAAGAGACCACTGCCATGTCTAGCAGGTGAACTGTACAACGCCACAGGTCCTCCATGAACATGCCTTGGAACTCCAAGCCGGCATCAGTCAGGATTTGTCGACATGTTGTTGACACATCCTTTGCGTAGGTAATCACATTCCCACCCAAGACCATTTTCGCCTGATCACATACTGTTTGATATAGACAGGATTCAAATTCACTTGTCAGTCTTTCAATTGTGCTACAGTCGATCCGAACGAGTCTGGCCACGTCGCGGCGCGTGCGATCCAAGACAAGCACGCTGATGAATTCTGTACGATGTTGCGCCATCTTCATCAGCTTGATATTTTCCCAGACCCTGGACATAATGTTTCTGCATTCGATGAGGTGTTTCAATTGGGTAATAACTTGGTCGTATATACCTGTGATCAAAACATGTTGTCTGTCTAGATTCCCTTGAGGGAGACTAGTAACTTGATCATTGGTTGCATCATTCGCGGCGTTCGTCACCTCGCCACAAAAAGCGAGTATCTCCGACCATTTAGATAATTCGATGGATGCGTTCTCGATAAAAGGAACCTCGAAGGTGATCCTGCTATTGAAAGCTTGATACTTTGTTCCGTCCTAGTACAATGATGAGAATGCTTATTCTACGATACTTGGTCACCAGAGTATGAGAAGTGGAGATGTAACCTGGGAAAGTATTCGCATGGATACTCTCATCATTCACCTTAGCCTAACATTGTTTAGTATTAATCCTTATCCTTAACTTCTGCCCTTGGGCTGAGAGCTGAGGTCTGATTATTGAAGTTGCAATAATCTATGAGACTCAATAACATGATTTCCAATGTTATCAACAAATTGTCCACATCCGCACTGAAGAGCCATTTGCACGTTTTCCCCAAAGTGATGCAGGCAGTCGTCAACCTCTTGCACCTGCCTTTGGAAACGCGCTGTCGTCTTGCCAGAATCAAGCGTCTCTTCAATTACGGGTCGCAGCTCTATCCAGCTTTGCAGGGCAACAAAAAGCACAGCTGGTAGATCCATTTGAAGGGTAGATGAGAGGGCGTCTATATACGATTGAACGTCTTCGGAGATAGCGATTGGAGATATGTGGAATATCGGCAGGTGGGCTTTCAAGACTTGGCTCATGGCAGTGAGGCATTCGACTGTGGAGTAATTGATACCAGTAAGGAATCCTCCAACAGTTGTAAAGACGGCGTGGAGCGTATGTGCAGGAAATTCAATCTCGTGGGAAGAATCTGTCTCGACAATGATGCCACCTTCAAGCTTGGATCCAATCCTTGCAAGGCGATTGCGGAATCCAGTTGACGAAACATAAATCTCCAGGTTCTTTGGCGTCCCTGGGAAGAGGAGCCACACCTTCTTGCATCTACCAATGGTTCTGGCCAATCCCCGTTGAAGAATATCTAAGTCAAATCAGCTCAAAGATATCTAGATTAATGCAAAAGCCTACCGTGATGAAGGTCAACAAATGAGCCTTTTGGCGTTACGTTGATACCAACTTTGAAGCGCTCGGTACAGACATGGTGGGTCGACTGGAATTGCAGGGGCGGTTGCATTAGAATTTCTGATGTATCTGGGGCCCATACATTCAGCAAAGAGTATGTCAACTGCCGCGGAGCCGTGGTTGTAGCCTGGTACAAAGCAGCAGCTGCCATTCGGAACTTCTTGTCCTCGAGATCGGATTTGGCAGATCGCTTCCGTTGAATAGATTGGTCATTACTTCCAAGCTCAGGAGGCACTTCTTCATCGCGAAAAACCTGATAGTCTGTGGATTTCCGTATCGCACTCAGCACTAGGGTATATATTGTCTCCTCTGAGAGTTGCGTTTTACACGTGTACAAGGTGGGTGGCTGACCATTCCAGAGTGAGATAGTGTGCTCATCTAGCGATGACAAATGCTTGATTCCATTCTCAAATTCCAACGGACATTTTGATGCCCAGTCATGTTTTTCTATGTCGAGATAGGCTGAGAGCTGAGGGTGAGGCGGGTGCTTTGGCGGTGGGCACTGATGGCTGCGAATCCGCGCGACAACCTTTCCACACAGCTTACAGACAACCTTCTTCTTCAGACACGACTGAATGTGCTCTGTTAGATGGCCGGTATCGGTTGTCTTGTCGCAATGCGGGCAGGTGACCTTTGATTTCGGCATTGATGTCCTGTGTGTGGTCATGAAGCCGTGGCATGTTGAGGGGAAGCCCGCTAAAGTCCGCCAAATGGCGGGCTCTGGCGTGCTAGGTCGCTGGTTGGCATGGTAACCAAATAGCAGTTCACTCGTAAAGATAAATGAGACCACGAAGACAAAGGCAAGATTAGCTATAGTACCCTCATCAAATCATTACTCTGATAATGTTTCTTAATACTTCTTTATTACTTTAGATTTAGAAGAGCCTCAATTATCAAAATGTCATCCCTACCTACTATCCTAGTAAGGCTTTAGGTGGGTGTAGTGAGTATCAACCTATTCAACAGCTCTTGATACTAGGAATACTCATTTACAAGATTGGCACTATCCCTGGGACATCACATACTTCCAAAATAACCTGATCTACACCCTCTGTGCGCGGGATAGTATACATTATTGGAAAATATCAAGACAATGTTTCGCCATAATCATCGTAGCTATCGAATTCATCGTACTCTGCTGTAAAGTGTGTACTATGAGATAAACATAGCTTAGGCGGCAAATTCCTGCGCTCGCCTCTTGAACCTGATTCTGGCTCCGGGTGGTGGAATACCAACCTCCAACAACCACACATGAGCCGGTCGTTTGCCCGCATAGTCGATGGGGAAATCAATATCGTAGTTCATGAGTACATAAGCCACAATCATCTTCAACTCGTAGTCGACCATGAACCGCCCTGGACATGAGTGCTTACCATGACCAAAAGGCAAATATTCAGGCCCTGTTGACACAAAGGTCAAGCCATCTGCCGCATTCTCTTCGGCCTGCGTGGAAGCCTCACGCTGCCTTGAAAACCGGAAAGGATCGAACTTTAATGGGTCTGCGAACTTCTCCTCATCGCACTGAGCTGGTTGAGCGAGAAAGGAGAAAATCGAGCCTTTGGGAAGTTTGATCCCGTCATCAGTGACGACTCCGTCCTTCATCACTTTCCGCATCATGGTCCGATTGCCAAACAAGTTGAGACGCATTGTTTCGCGAGAAACACTGTCAGTCTTGGTCATCTGGGCGAATTTTTCTTTCGTCCAGCCTGCCTCGTCACTACCCAGAACTCGGATGACCTCGTCTCGTAGAATGGTGATGGTGTTGAATTCGGCATCCGAACCAATGATGTTGAGTAACATGTTGGTGACTGTTATGGTGGTCTGATGAATGCTCACAAAGTTGGCCGCGCAGAGACGCTTTGTCATGATGTCGAAGTCCACAAGCTCTCGGGGTCTCTTCTTTTCAGCAAACCGCATCATCATTTGTACATGGTCGCGTGGCTCCGGGTGGGCTGGATCGTCTTTCTCGTACTTGAGACCTTCCAATCGCTCTTGATACAGCGGTCTGAAATATTTTTTGATCTTGTCAATGTTTCGGTGCGTGTTCCATCCCACGAGTCGGCCAACAAGCCATCGTAGCATGCGAGGTGCTGAATTTCCAAATATGGCGCCCAACATCAATCCATCGATGATACGGTAAGTCAGATCGAGGTACTCATCGTTGCGGCATAGTGGGTAGCCAACGGTGAAACGGCTAGAAGCCTGCGCTGCTATCTTTCTGAGCGTTTTTTCCAGTGGCACTTCTGTCCAGCTTTGGCTGTTGGTACCAAAGTGCTTGTCAAAAGCGTGCTGCAGCTCCTCGTCCAATGCAGGAATGAGACTTTGCAAGACACTACTGAGTTGCGTCTTCACCAATGTGAATTGCCATCCATCTCCCCAATATCTCGTATGGCCGAGACTATACTGGGTCTGGTTGATCTCAATAAATGCTTGTGTTACGCTGAGAACGTCGTTTGGTTGTCCTTGAGCCCACTGCAAGCAGCTCTCAGGCAGTATGATCTCCATGCCGAAGCCAAACCCCGGCACTAAGACCACCTTTCCTTTCTTGGAGTACTTTCCAAATGTTAATGAGGTTCTATTCACTGTCACTACGTAATGCGTGCTTACATTGTGGTAGGCCTCTTTGTACAAGGAAACGCAATCTGAGTAGTATCTCCATCTTGTTCGAAGGCTGAATCTTCTCCGACCAACGGGCTCTCCTACCAATGGCAGGTCTTTAGGGTATGTGGCAGAAGACGACACGGCTCGGTGGAGAACGAAGATGACGGTAAAGATGCCAGCAACCGCAGCTAATGCGGCGTAGTTGATAGTGCTTGGGAGATGGGCTACTAGGGATGCCATTGTTGCGGTCAGGCGGCTTCCAGAGGGTTCTGGAATGCACAGCTTCGAAGTTTGAAAAGAATGTTTGAAAAACACGTTCGCTACTCGAAAGAATATTTGTTGTTCTGTTTCCAGGTCTTTTCGCATATGACATAGTGAAATCTGACCAGTATGTCCCAAGAAAATCTCGCGAGGGCGTCACGGATTATTACGGACAATCACGGAATATGCAGGTATCCGGAAACAGACACATCGTATACTCCATATGGCACACCCCTTCCCTACCGCCAAAATTACAGTATGTACTCAGATTTATGCAGCAATATCTACATTTTTCTAGCAATTTTTCCTTTCAGAACAATTTGCATGCCAAACGTCAATGGAGAACATTTCCAAACCCATCACGCTAGAATGCGGTCTCACGCTTCCCAATCGACTTGTGAAGGCAGCCATGGCCGAGAATCTCGCAGGCCAGAATAGTCTGCCGAATAGTAAGCACTTACTAGCAGCATACAACAAATGGTCACAAGGAGGATGGGGATTGGTGCTAACAGGTGAAGCTGAATCCTTCTGTTTAAAATCAATTCCACTCACTTGGCAGGCAACGTGATGGTAGACTCAGCATACCGCGGAATATCTTGCGATGTTGTGATAGACAGCTCCATACCGAAGGAAAAAGTCATTTCAGCTTGGAAAGGGTGGGCAGAAGCCTGTTCAATGAATGGCACCAAAGCGATTGTCCAGCTGAACCATTCCGGCCGGCAAACCCCATGGCGTACAGGTATTGCTCCCAGCGCTATTCCACTCGACTTTGGCCGCGGTATTCTACCCTACATAGTCAACACCCTAGTATTTGGCACGCCTCGAGAGATGAGTATCGAAGATATTCAAAATGTGGTACAAATGTTCCGGGAGGCGGCATGTCTTGCTGCCGAGGCAGGCTTCGCCGGTATCGAGATACACGCTGCCCATGGTTATTTGCTAGCTTCCTTTTTATCACCTATTTCCAATCATCGTACCGACGCCTACGGAGGGTCGGAGTCAGGAAGGGCGAGAATCGTCGTTGAAGTCATCCGTGCCATTCGAGTCGCAGTCCCTCCTTCGTTCTGTGTAGGCATCAAGCTGAACTCCGGCGATCACCAGTCTGATTCTAGCATGAGTCAATGCATTAGCCAAATCAGCTCGATCATAGAGGCTGGTGTTGACTTCTTGGAAATAAGCGGGGGCACATTTGAGAACCCTAGCTTCTCTACAGGTAGTACTGCGAGCGACGCGGCTCAGCATCCGCAAAAGAATGGACGCGAAGGCTTCTTTCTTGACTTCGCGAGCGCTATCAGGGCCAAATTTCCTCGGGTTCCACTTATCGTCACAGGTGGTTTCCGAACTCGTCGAGCAATGGAAGCAGCCGTCAGAGATAGCAGCTGTGATATGATCGGGCTAGCTAGACCAGCTGTGATGAATCCGTCACTACCCAAGGATATAATATTGAATTCACAGGTCCAGGTGCAACATGCCGTGGCATGCGTGAAGGCAATCGAAGAATCCCGCTTTTCTAAGTGGGCTGGTATCAAGGCCATTGGCGTGGGTGCCGAAACTGTGAGTTTTATAGCAGATCAGCATGTTGTAAGCTGATTTGGTTGGTCCAGGGCTGGTACACGAAAAGAATATATGAGCTTGGCGACCAATTACCTTGAAATTAGAATACAGCTTTGACTCATTTGGAGGTCGAGACTCGAGCGTTGACAGTGGGGTTTCAGAAGGCAGACGCTGGAATACTCAGTGGGTGTAGGAGTGGCCGTGTTTAGAGAGGGCCGACCGCGGTTTACTTTGCAACGTCTGTTATATGACTTAGACGAACTGTCGGCAGATTTTGGACCGAAATCGTTAAGATTTCAAGGCATCAGAACGCTTTTGGAACTCAAGTTGCTTAACATCGTAACATTTTCGCAAAGTCATGTGGTTGAAGACGAGAACGAGTCAAACTAGAGTAATGATGACGACGCCTGCATATTAATATACATATATACAGATATTTCTATATGATGTTCTAGATGTGACCGAGTTATTCATCCAGAATTGATCAGAGCCCACAGTCCATGCGGGATTGTATCTCTGCAAGTCACGCAAAGAAGAGACTTAGCTCGGAATAAATGTCGTCAAGGGAAGTTTTTGTCGATTCAAGTACGCTATCTTACATCTTTCACATCCACGATTCTGCCTGTCATCTAACCCGTACAAAATTGTATCCACCTTGGGACTAGCAAGGGATCTGAGCTGTGATCCCTTATACTCTTCCCATAAAGCCTTGAGGGGTGAATATCTTGCTCGCAAGGGAGATAAGGCCACCAACGAGCAGCATAACGCCACTAAAAATGGATACTTCCAAGAAGCCTCCATACCTCGCAATAAGCGCTCCATTGACAGGGGGACCTATCAGAGCCGCGAGCCCAGCAAGTGCCATACCCATTCCCATATAAGTACCTATGTCGCGAGCATCTTTAGGACAGACAGTAAAAGCTGCAGACCCTCCCGAGATAATTGTCCCCGATGTGAAGCCGAATGCAATCGAGTATATGATCAGCCCTGCAGTGGTTGTGGCTTGGTTCAGACAAAGGACTACCACACCAGTCGCTAGACCAGCGAAAGTGAAAATATTTAACGGGCCAAATTTGTCAGCCAGCACCCCGGGAATGACTCGGCCAAAAGTAGATGAAGCGTTGATGATGGCGAGCAAGTAAGAGGCAAGTGTTGGACCCATGCCTCTAGTCACCGCGTAGGTCGGAATGAAGAACAGCGGAGTGAACATGCCGAGGAACATGCAAAATAATGAGATTATGAGAAGGTCATATCTCACACTGCGGAAAGCAGATCCGATGAAGAAGGTAGTTGTCCGAGGCGGCAGGCGAGCTTTTATGGTGATGCAGGAAATAGCCATGAGCGGCGTGATGATGAAGGCAATAATCCGAACGGACCATCCAAAGCCAATAGACGTGCTGTTGAGCATTTTCGAAAGTGCAATGGGTATGACCACACCACCGATGGACGAACCCGAGACTGCAACCCCCAAAGCAGCGGATCGTTTCTTGTCGAAGTATTGTGACACCGCTGCTAGGGCAGGAAATTGGACCAGGCCCATGGCAATTCCCATTAAAACACCTTGTACAAGCATGAAATGCCAATATTCTATCCAAAATGATCAGTCTTCGGTACAGAAGCGAAGCAGGGGAGAACAATCGACGTTTGCTGAGAAAACCTGAACTCACCTGAACACAAACTCATCATCATCATACCAAAGACGTAGGCGATTGCAGCTGGTCGAATAATCTAAGGATAGGTCAGCCAAGTGCACATCTTCTCAGGCAGTACGGCTGATCACATACCCACGCGCCATAACGATCGAAAAGAGGACCACCCAAAGCACCGGCTGCAAATTGGAGCAAAGCAGACAGAGAACCGATCCACGCAACTTTGTCTGGAGATTCGCCACGGAGCTGGTGTGTGAGGTAATATTCTTGAAAGACACCGAAGGAGTTCGAGAAGCCAAGGGCGGAGAAGAAGATGCAAGAGGCTCCAACAGCAACCAACCAGGCTTGCAAACCTCCATCTGGTGCTTTGCCAACGTCGTGGGTAGCAGCAACTACCTCTGCGGAGTGACTATCGAGTTCCACAGCCGGGATTGGTTTGTGCTCGCTGACGTTCAAGAGAGATTCCTCCATTGCTGCCGAGATTTGTGTCATTTTGAGAAAGGAGTGATGTGATGTCGATATCTGGTTCGTTGATTCAACAGAAAGAAGTGTAATGCGTGAAGGGGAAACGTGGTGGGAACAGAATGTAGAGAAGCGAAGGTAAAGTGTAGCTCAGACTCCAGATTCCAGTTATTAAATCATATACTTTCAGATGCAAGAAGTTAAGTGAATGAACTCCATCAAAGGAGCTATTCCAGGCCTATGTCCGTCGGACTCGGACCCGCAGTACGCGAGCCCGACCCCGAACCCGAGCCCGACCCCGAGAAAGTCATAGATAGGCAGGCCAACAACCAACAAAGGCCTTCGCCTGAGATCAGCCAGAGGATCGGCTCATGGCGGCAGAAACATCTTCAGCAGGACCAAAGTCTCGAGTCTGCGTTCCACTTACAATTTTCCTGAACATCTCCAATCCGGTGCCGCGTCTGTCAAATTCTGTCGAATCTTGCTCTGCAGTAAGACATTAGGCCAGGACGACAGCAGCTATGTCCGAAACTGAACGTCGGCGGCGAAGAGCCCCTATGTAAGTATATGACGCTCACACGAGTCAATGCTCTCTGGGAACAATACTGGGTACTAATCAAGATGTACTACACAGTTCTTGTACACTGTGTAGACGGAGGAAGATCAAATGCGATAGAGGCATGCCATGCAGTAACTGCGTCCGTTCCAGAAATGGAACGTGCGCTTACGACGACGGCGTCAAGATCAGCCCTTCTCTACAATCACGCCATAGTGATCGTGGTGCTCATGCTGGGATTCCGGCAACGTTGGTCTACGAATCTACGACGACGCCCACCGAGAGTCCTTCCAGCGCAACCAGCCCAGCATCCGCTCCTGGCCATCAGTCAAGGAGTATCGTGGCAGCCTCAACAGCTGCATCGACAGTTTCAAGCGATTCCGTAGCGCTATCTCGCCATGGAGTCACCACTTCTGTCGTCGAGCGTCAGGCTTTTATGGAAACATCGCAATCTCGTCTCGCTGGCGTTTTTCATGTCCATCATGAGAGCTCACTGCCGGGCCAGGCTCACGTAACCCGAAGTGTGGGGCATAAATCACGCCTTTTTGGCCAAAGCCATTGGATCAATGGAGTTATACTCGTAAGTATTTGCCTCATTCCTGGTCTATGTTGTATCTCGATCATTGACGATCGACATAGTTTCATAAGCTTTTCGACAAGATGGAGCCATTAGTTCGAGAAGAAAACTCGAAAGCTTTTGCTGGCATGCAAAAATGTAAAGCTCTGGCGAAAGTTATCAAGTCGCAGCGAGAACCACAGTGGCCACCAGTGATTGCAGGCCTGCCTTCAAAAGATGTTTCCGATGAGCTCATTGACTGTTACCTTAACACGAGTGAGAACCTCTACCGAATTCTTCATGTACCTTCTTTCAGAAGAGACTACGAGGCCTTCTGGATTCAAGATTCTGCACCTGATCCGGTATTTATGATCCAACTCAAATTGGTTCTGGCAATTGGATCCATTACCTACGACAATAATTTCTCCCTGCGCGCATCCGCCATTCAACTGGTCTACGAAGCCCAACATTCGCTTTCCAAGCCGGATTACAAGTCACAGCTGAACATTCGATATCTACAAGCAAACCTTTTACTTCTACTTGCCCGAGAAATAGTAGGTGTGAGTGAAGATCTGATTTGGATTACGGCTGGGGCGGTTCTCAGAACAGCAATATATATGGGACTTCATAGAGATCCTGCTGGATTCCGATTATCAAAAAGAACAGCTTTCGCTACTGAGATGCGCCGAAGAATCTGTATGTACTCTTCTTTACCACTTATTCTCCAGAACCCAGGATCTCAGTTTCGCAGACGTGTCTTCGGATCATGTTGATCTCGATAGTTCCCTTGTCCCAAAGGTTAAAACATTTCAGCGCTAACACTCAAAAGGGAACACGGTCCTGGAAATGTGTCTCCAATCGAGCATAACTTCTGGGGGACCACCCCTCATTTCCCTCCAAGAATTCGATACTTTGCCGCCCAGCAATCTTGACGATGACCAGTTGACCGTCGCCGAAGAACCAGTGCCCAGACCAGAGCATGAGTTCACTCAAGTATCCGTTGCTATAGCCCTTCGAAAGACACTTCCTGTCCGCCTGGCAATTGTGAAGTCCTTAAATTCGCTCCGCAGTGGAACTTACCAGGAAACACTACGTTTAGATGCAGAGTTCAGGACATCGTACATGGAACTACGTCACACCTTCCAACGATTCTCAAACAATGGCACTCCTCCTTCTACATATGACATCCGTGTAGTGGATTTTATCACGCATCGCTATCTCTCGGCCCTCCACATCCCATTTCTTGGCCCCGCGCTAAGGGAGACAATGTATGCATATTCCAGAAAAGTAGTGATTGAGACGTCTCTCAAGATCTGGTGCGCAGCTCATCTATCCTCGGCAGCGCTTATGGCCCGCGACAGTACGTCAACGCCAGAGAAAGATAATTTAGCACGACTGACTATTTGCGGCTCTGGATTCTTCCGCACCGTTACGCTACAGGCGAGCCTTCTCATAGCAGTAGAGCTCCAGGCCCAGCTACGTGAGGAGGAAGATTCAGGTCCTGTTCCCCTTCGACCCGATCTCTTTTCCGTGTTGAAAGATGCACAAGCGTGGTCCTTGCGGTGCGTTGAGGTCGGGGAAACTAACTTCAAAGGTTATTTGTTGATGTGTGTTGTTGTTGCACAGATCAAAGGGCTTATACAAGGGACGGCGAACGAAAATTTTGCTGAGCTGTTAGTGCAGGCTGCAGAGGAAGCGGCGCAGACATGTCTGCCTTTGTTGGAAGACAGGGCGACTCGGGAACAGGCCAATGGGGCTACAGAGGATATCTACAATGTCATCCCGAATCAGCCTCAGGCTGATGTTATGGAGGACTGGGACTTCATGGTAAGTGACAACTCATCAAAAGCATAAAGCATTTCCCTCATCCGTTGGGTTCCCTGAAAGTAACGTCGTTTAGATGTCAGATGTGCTGTTCAATTACGGTGCAGTCGATCCTATGAGCTGGGGGTTGGATGAGATGATATCACATGAGTCAGTAGCATACTGACGAGGCGCCCAAATAGCATAGCAGCAGCAGAGTGCAAGTGCCTCGAAGACATTTCTCTCATTGGGAATGCTAGAAGCAGGTGAGAAATGAGAAACGGGAAGCATCTTTGAGATTCCGATCACCATAATACAACTGGGCTTACTCGCAATAACAGGCATCTAAATATGAAATCTTTATGTGAGAAACCTGATGGCTATGGTACGTTGACATTTGTCCGGATAGATTGGAATGAAGCTCCTCTAGATTCTTGCTGCTCCAGCAACAAGCCTCTATCTTATCATTGCCAATCCATCAACAAGGTATCTCCATTGTCGATCTGTGCATACTTCAAACTCTCATACCATAGTTGATTCGACTTGTACACATCTTTTGCTTCCGGACCGACATCTGCAATTTCGGACCCGTTAAGATAGGTACCATTTGGGTGATATCCCAGTAACTCTGTATCGAATGCTGCCAGCATTACATCGCCTGCCGATTTCCAGGTAGTCCTGAACATGCCATTGGGATTCCAAGCTGATGCGATGAGGGCAAGCGTGGGCAGGATCGCCTTGCCAAGCAACATACGCATGAAGATTCCCCCACGGCGAGTGAGATCGCTGGGCATCGCTGCAGGGTCAATAGCAAGTACGGATATGCCAGACAGTCTTGCGTCAGTTGCAAGTCGCCGGGATAGTTCTCGACTGAACAGTTATTGAAGAAAAGTTAGCAGAGTACGAGTATATGCCTGTGGGGGAGGTTGAGTGTGGAAATTTGGAGGACGGGAGCATTAATCTGACTGATTACTGTGGTTGCCAAACCCGAGACATAAATGGGAAAGCAGAAAGACTTACAACATCATGACCTCGCACAGCTTTGCCGCTCCGTAACGCCTTATTCCTGCATTGGCGTCACCAGGATGTTCATCTTTCGAACTCCATCTGCCCTTTGCCAAACTGTCGATATCTACAGGTATGTTCTTCCGATTGCTGAATATTTGCTCGAATTCTTTTGGCGCATACATGTTCGCAGATGAGCCGAGCTTGTTATTAGGATGAGTCGTACTAGCAATTCAGTTGTCAGCTTGCTGTCCGTGGACGTCAAATATAGCAATTACTCATGAGACCAACTGCTCAACACCACAATTCGTCCAGTATCCATGTCCATACTCTTGAGTAGTAGCAAGACCAGGAGAAAATGCGATAGGTAGTTTACCTGGAATGACATGTCAAAGCCATCCAAAGTAAAACTCTGTGTAGTTTGCTCTTGCCATCCTGCGTTCAATATCAATGCTCGAATTGGCGGAAGCGATCCATTTTCAACTCGCTCGTTGATGTTACCAGCAAATTTACGGACACTGGCAAGACTCTCCAATTCAAGGCTAGAAATCTCGTATCTATGCTGGAGTTTATCGGCGCTTTTCAACACGTTGTTGATATGAGGGGCGCATGCGGGCTTGCGCACAGTGTAGAGACCATAAATGTCTCTGGCAAGATTGGAGCGTTCGAGGAGTCGACCAACAATGGAACAGCCTAGTCCACCATTGGCACCCGTAAGAAGCATAGTATACTTGTCTGGTGACATTGAGGGCTGGAGTAAAACACTACGCGACTGCAAGTATGGTAGATAGGGTTCGAGCAGCCTCGAAATTGTCGACTAGAAGCAATGTGAATGCACTGGAGTCACTGTGAGAATCTGCCCAAAAGATTTCTCTGGGTAGCAAAATCCAATGCCGCATTTCGGCGGGGTACATTGGTTGTCGGAAAATTCAGCGGATTAAGACGGAGAATTCATATGGTCTGGAAAGTCTGATTGAGTTGTTTGTCCATTCTCACCAGCCAGAAACCCTGCTGGGCCGAGCTGCTGATGCGAGCGCCACTTAGTCCGTGGGATACGACTGAGCAAAAGCCGAGCAGTCGCCGAAAGCGCAATGAATGATTTGCTTTAACCAGGTGATTTGATTCGATAAGCTGTCGTCTGGATTCTGGCACCTGCGGTCAGTTTCAGAAAAACGATTTTACTCTCGCACCACATTGCCTATCACGATCATATTTGCAAATTTTGTCACCTGTTTGCATATAGCGAGAGAGCTATTTGTATCACCTTTATTCCTCTGCTTCAACTGCAATCGGTTAAGTCGACGACAACGACTGACTATTGCCCCATTCTTGCAAATATGCCTACTTTGTACCTTCTCCCCAGTTTCTCTGTTCTGTTCCTATCCTCTGGAATTATTGCAATCTTCTTGAGCAAGCTTTTCGCTCGCAGCGCCGAAGAAAATCGTATTCAAAAGGCCAACGGTTGTCAACCTGTAGCTCGATACTGGCAATGGGAACCTTTCCTAGGACTTGACCTGGTTTTTACCATGGTGAGGGCCTTGAGAACAAACAAATACCTCGAATGGCTCAGCAATCTTCATGCCAACATGCCCAAGACATTTTCTATCATCTTCTTTGGTGGACGATGGATCTACACCACAGAGCCAGAGATTTTGAAGGCTGTTTATGCTACGAATTTCAAGGACTTTGGCGTCAGTCCAATCCGCCGCCACTCAAAAGGATCATACCCCTTTGCTGACAAGGGTATAAACACTACAGACGGTGAAGACGTATGTTACATGACTTTTACTTTTACCGTCGTCCTGAAATGTTGATTCTTGATTTTCCCCGTGTTTTGACTTCTTAGAGTGTAATGAATCATCAATACTATGTTGGACCAATGAATGAGCCTCAGCTCCTATAGAGATACAAGATTTCTGACTGACTGACCATCGAATGTAGTGGGAATTCAGTAAATTCCTCGTCAAGCCATTCTTCGAGCGCGAAGTTTACACAAGTCTTCTCCGAATTGAGCAGCACGTTGATAAGTTTATGACACTGCTTCCCAAGGATGGCGAAACTTTTGATATACAGCCACTTCTGCAACTTTGGGTGAGTTGCAAAACTTCCTCTCATTTGATTGATGCTCACGTTTCTGTAGTTTCTGGATGTCACGAGCGAGTTCATATTCGGGAAAACTGTGGATGCTATGACGCACCCAGATCGTGCTAAAATCACCTGGACAATGCTAGATGTCTTACGTGGAGGCCGACTACGGGCACAGACCTATAGATTTCTATGGCTTCTCGACTGGAATTGGTGGCTCAAGGCTGTAGCCGATGTTCACGACTTTGTCACGCCGCACATTCGGTCTACATATAAAGAGATTGAAGAGCGCGAGAGAAGATTAAAGGAAGGCTTACCTGTTCCGCCTGAACGGACCGATCTTATTTGGTCCATGGCGTCAAATCTGAGGGACGAAGAGCTCTTAAGATCCCAGCTTTGTTTGATCATCGTCCCTAACAATGACACGACGTCTATTTTTATCAGCAATTGCATATGGTATCTTGCACGCCACCCTGAAGCTTGGGATAAGCTTCGCCAGGAAGTTGCTGCCCTTGGAGATGCCCCTTTAACTTTCCAGATTTTACGAAATATGAAGTATCTCAATGGCGTCTTGAATGAAAGTGAGTGACGCGCTCTCTCCGCATGCTTCTCATATGCTGACACAAGCAGCCCACCGACTTATTCCTAACAATGTCACCCAAGTCCGGGCCTGTGTTAATGATACAGTACTGCCCATTGGTGGTGGACCGGACGGCAAATCGTAAGTTTGGTCGATCTTTCATAATTGGCACATGCACCAGGATCTATGTGCCATGCGAACTTTGAGCAAGGCTAATGTGGCACTGAAAGGCCAACATTTGTCCGTAAGGGAGACGTAGTATCCATCACAAAGACAGCTATGTATCGCGATGTTGACCACTGGGGAAAGGACGCCAACGAATATCACCCTGAACGATTTGATGGGCTGCGAGGTGGCTGGAATTTCCTGCCTTTTGGTGGCGGCCCTAGACGGTGCCCAGCACAGATGATGGTCCAGACTGAAGCAGCATACATGCTAACTCGTCTCGCAAAAGTCTACCGTCGTATTGAGGCTCGTGACACAGCACCTTACAAAGCTGTCATGCGTATTGGGCCCTCTAACGCCAACGGGGTTCAAATTGCGTTGTACAAATAATGAGATGGGGCTGTGAGCTGCAAGGAGAGTCCACTTGAGACAGCCACAGACTTTTTCTTGGCTTGATGGCTTGATGGTGGTCTCATGGATGCATATTCGTAGTCGTCAATCAAGCGAGTTCTCATCTAAATCAAATTGAAATACAAAGCCTGAACATGTCGATATTGATTGATTGAACGTGAGTATGGTCTTATGGCGCCTTGCAGACGCGGCTGAGGTACAATACTAAGGTGCATATGGGGATTATGTGAGAACCGTACAATTCCGTAAGAAGTATACTCATCGACCTGATGTGACTCCCGATAGGACAATATTCCACCCCCACTGTGAATGGCACCACCTTTGCGCGCACCTGTACTTTACCCGCGCACCTGCCACAACAGCTCATATTCTATCTCACTAAGCACTAAGCCTCAATCCAAGCCAGTCCCGAAAAGCTTATGATGGAGACTGGCGGCACGTTGTCAGGGGGAAGGTAAAGAGGTCGGATTCGGTCGCCTCATATCTCCGAACCCCGGTTTTTGTGGAGAATTGAATATTTAGTTCTCAAAATAAACAAGAACTAAATAAACAGGATCGCCAGCTACACGCCTTCATTGTAGTTTTGTTCTGCTGAGTTGATTAAAAGATCGATACTTAGTCAACTAATTAAAAGGGAAATAAAGTTTAATAGAGCTTTCTAAATCAAAAGTAGCTAAAATCAACAAATCAAGTCCAACGATCTATCCTTTTAACTCAGTCAAATGCCGAAAACACACTTTGCCAAGGGGCAGCGCCGAATCAGGTCGCTCAAGCTGCATATCACGTGCCTGTTTCAGCCGTTCCCTCGCTTAATTCTAGGGCAATCCTCAGCGACAGAAAAACAACGGGGATCAAACCGTCGAGGGCTCGGAAATCTGTGGCCAACATCTTCACATTGGGGGGGTACAAAGAATAATCCTTCCTATCAGGTATATTAGATCTTAAGCCCCTGTCGGTCAAATTGAATTTTTACCAGAAAGGTGGACAGCCTCAAGCTCGAAAGAAATCTAGGTGCATACGCATATATGCACACCGATCCTAGAGATGAGCGGCACAGCTTTGCTTGACCATTACTGTCCATCGCATCGCGGGTGAGTTTTTTTATATGAACGACGAATCCAGCTTTGCTCTGTGATTACGCCAGGCCATGCCATTGTTGAGTCTTGGTCTCCAGGTAACAATGGACCCAGGTCCAGTCTACAAGCGACGACGCCCAGCAATAGCGTGCACACAGTGCCGACGACGCAAAATCGGATGCGATCGACTTTCTCCGTGTGGCCCCTGCAAAAGTTCACCATTGAAATTGCATTGTGTATATAACAATGCGATGGAAACTTCCAAGTTCCATCCGATATCTTCCTGGACCCCGAACCCGAACCCGAATCCGACCCCGATCCCGACTCCGAGCTCAAATTCGGCCCCTAGTGCGGATCCTATCTTGCATACCAAGATGCTGAATCATGAGAATGCATATTCATTAATGGACTACCAGTCTGACCAGAAATCTACGGCTGACCTGAATGCGGCTGTTGCCGCTCTTCCGGATTTCCCGCTCAGCCTGGATATGTTGTCAAGTTTGCACCACTACCCTGACGATGGCTTTATGGATTTTCTGGACTACGATTGCAATCAAGGGATTGTCCTTGGCGGCGATGCCAGTATCAGCTCTGACTTCAATTCTGAATCGGCGCTTACTGTTGTTCTTCCTTCTAGCGGGGTGGTACCTGCCCTGACAGACTCGTCCAATTCAGCTTCGAGCGCGTCGGATTCGCCGATCTGGGGGAGAAAAGTCCGACAGACTGATCAGAATGCCCTGCCTCTCAAGTCTCCGAATGAAGTCCACTCTAGCGCTCCTTGGAGTTCGGCGTTTGGTTCTGAGCTTCATAGTGGCCGTGAATCCATCAGGACAGGCGGTTCAGGCTCTGACAATAGGCTCCAAGGATGGTATGCTGCTATTATGTCCTGCGAGAGACTACAATTTCTCGAAGGCAGTTCCGACAATAACACGCGCAGCCAGCCACCGAATGAGGCAATTCAACCCTTGATAGAACGACTTGTCGAATTGGAGCACAGAAGAGACACTGGGAGAATCGATCGTAGCTTGATGAGCTCATCTGCAATGGCGCAAGCAACCTTAACTCTGACTGCAGGGGCCGCGAGACAACTACTGCCACCCCGGGAAACTTGTGATGTTCTCCTTGAAGCGTATATCAGCAGTTTCGAGTCAGTTTTGCAGATTTTGCACGTCCCATCCTTTCGGCGAGATTATCAAAGATTCTGGGAAACTTCGATATCAGAGCTTATGGACGCGGCGGAACCGTTTGCGTGTAAGCTTTTGGCTGCTATCGCTCTTGGGTCGTGCGTGTGCGCCAGCCTGGACGTCAATTGTGACGTCCAGGTCGACGCCAGCAGAGCCGAGCGGGACGGCCCGAGCCCTTCGCTACATCTGACGCTTGCGGAGTGGGCTCTTGTTTGGATTGACTATGGGAATCGATGGCTTGAACGCAAAATGGGAGCAGCATCAATACAGGGCTCGGGATCAACTTCCAGATCCCGACCTTCTGCCAACACAGCGCATGACCTCGACATGGTCCAAATAATGTGTCTTCTTGCTCTAACACGGCACACCCACCATCGCGAGACGCCACTTGGAGGATGCTTCGTTGGAGGTGATTTAACTCGCATCGGTACTCAGATGGGTAAGTTCCCCAGCAACAAAAGATGGCACCACGTGCAGCAAGTAGTAGAACTTAAGCTCATTGTCTACATAGGTTTGCACCGAGAACCACGCATCTGCTATCCAACAATGTCGGCACATGAAGCTGAGATGCGGCGACGCTTATGGGCAACCATTCTTGAACTAGCCCTACAGACATCGTTCGATGAATGTTTACCTGGCCCCATCTCCCCTGAGAACTATGACTGTGAAACACCAACCAGTCTTGCCGACGACGACATGACCCGGACCGGCTTGGCCACAGTTCCGCTCGTCAACCAGAGCCCTTCGCACGCCAAGTCGCCAGTTTCAGTAATCACTCTCTTGTTCAGAACGCAGAGAACTAGGCTTCGAATTCTGCAGCTCGTCAATGCACCTGGGCTGTCAAAGTCATTCGATGCAAGCCACAGCCTGGCAAGCGAGCTGAGCGATGCTTGCCAGGCAGAGTTGACCCCGAACGCTACAGCTTTCCAGATCAAGCTTCTGAATTCCTTCACAATGCCTTTTGTGCTTGCACTCCATGATCCGTTTGCAGATAAGGCGACAAAACACCCTGCTTACTACTATTCGCGTAAGATGCGCATGGAGACAGCTGTTCTGCTACTTGCTCCCCAAGTAGCCATCGCCCCTACCGCCCTTCCACGGAGCCAGAGTACTGCGGAAGCGACTTTCTCAGAGCCGCCTAAAGCAAGCACCATGACCACCAAATTACAGCACTTAGATCTTTACACAGCACTTTGCATACATGGGCACGGCCACTTCGCTCTTGTACAATGGAAAGCTACTGCGGCGTTGTGCCTTGACCTCATCAATGAGCTGGAAGCCAATAAATTCCCTCTTACGGACAGCGCGATGGGAAAGCATATACTCAAAACAGTACAATATGCCACAGATATATTCAAAGAACGAATGCAAGTTCTTGGTGAAGCAAACGCAACTCGTGAATATATATTTGTCGCTTGTGCTGACGCGTACATTGAAGCAATGCTGAGCGGATCTCGTCTTGTGGAGGCGGACAAGGTCATTGATGGCGCTTTAAAGGACGCCTTGGTTACTTGTTGCGAAGCAATTGATCGGTTGAGCGGTAACTTGAGAGCTTTTGAGGGAAACAATAGCAAGCAAGACATGCAAATGTGGATGAGTAGTCAATTTGATGGGGATGAGCATTGAAAGAAGTAACGTTAGAGATTCTGCTACTCAATAAGAACATGCTTCGTGTTTTGAATAGCTCCAGGCTTTTCGCATTTTCTTTTCCAATCATCAGAGACTTTTATGAAATCTTTCTTATTTGTGGTTGTTGCTGCTTACAAGTTCGTGTTTTTGATATTTGCAAATCTGGCCTGCGGTAATTTCATAGGCCGTTCGCACAATAGGAAGTTGTCCAAACCAGATGGTGTGGGATCAAAGATAACATTGCAACCTCTATTTAAGAACTCTCTGGTAGGATTTGGCATCAAGTACACAGTTCTTCCACAATAGGATATACCAACTTTTTCCCCTTGACTTCACCCCTTCTCACAGCGTCCATGCCTCCACCTACTGCAGCAAGACCACCCCTCCTAGTTTCTAGCGGATGAGGACTGATGAGACCACTATCCAAGAACTTTTGTGCAACCACATACCATTTCTTAGCGCACTCATGGTCTTGAGGTCGTGGTTCCAGGTTATACGGGGCTGCCCTGCAGGAAGCTGAGTCAGTACTGCCCTTCCAGAAACAAAACCAGAAGTGCCAAGACGGGACAAGAGTAAAGAATTTGATCCGGGACCAGGGATTTCGCCTGGTCTCGAATATTCCGAGAAGTTCTCAGAGAGGACAAAGGAACTTGGAGAACGCCTACCAAGTGATAGCATGTCCGAATTGAGTAGGCGTACACACCCAAGCTGGAATTACACTACGGCGAGTGTGTCCTCGTAAGGGGAAAGCATCCAGCGCTACATAGCGCCCTCCTTTTGGTCCCAAAGCTTCATAGCAAATGCTCATCGACGCTGTGTCAGTTATGCAATCGAGCACAAGCGCAAGATCACCAGACGTGTACTCGCGTATATCGGCACCACAAGTGGGAGAGTGATAGTCGAATGTTGCTTTCGCACCGAGGCTCAAAGCGTTACTTGCTGAGCTTGAAGAGCATACTGTGATTGGGATGATGTCTACAAGCTTGAGAACTTGTATCGCCATTGCCCCTGTTGCGGTCCCTCCACCGTAGACCAGAACGGTTTGTTTGACACCTTGAACTTTCATGTTCGAGGTCGGATCAGATGGCATCGTTGGCATTGGTAGTTGCAGGTAGTGAAATAAAGACAACCCAACAGTGGCAAGAGTAGCTCCCAGAGATGAAGCTGTCTTAAAATCCATACCTGCGGGGATGCGCCAGACGAGATTTGCAGGAACGGCTACGTACTCGGCAAACGCACCATTGTCAAGACGCAGAGGATTGTTTCCGAACACACCCCCAAAGACGCGGTCGCCGACTTGAAGATTCTTCATATCATTTTTGTCTGCCCTAAACTTATCCGTGTCTACACCGGTACCGGTTTGGACCACAATTCCTGAAAAATCGCTTCCGCTGGTTGCGCCTGGTGATGGCGACAGATCGGCGGATTTTCCATCAACATGATTGATCGAAACACATATAACGCGAACGAGAATGTCTGAAGGTTCGAGAACAGGCAAAGGGGTTGAGCTGAATAGTTCGAGGGTATTGGGACCTGAAATTTTGAGAGCGAAATGATTTGCGCAAGGCAAATTGAGTGTGGCTGTCATATTGTGGAGAGTCGGTTGAACAAGCTAGCCGAGTTTTTGCAAACGATCAGTTTCAAAATTTGTATTCTCACGGGTACGAGTCCAGGGAGAATTGGAATTGGCCAGGAAGTAAGCTGAAATGATGACATCTGACCCAAATTCGTGTTCAACGGATCCTTTCTCGCTCACACCCACAACACGACGCCCATTTCATGACAGCTTATTCTGGGCGCCGTCAGTCTCCCCGACCTGAACGGGATTTTCAGCACCAGAATTTCCCGCGACGAGTTTTCCGTAACATTCAAGCGGGTAATTCAAAGCTTAGGCAGAATTTCACGACCGGTCTTTGCGATGACCCGGAGCAATGCATGTCTGAGTAAGCGCATGCATGAAGTTATTGGGAATTGCGAAAAAATCGGCTGTACATCTCGATTTCGAAGATTGGGTGTTCGTGGGTTGCAGGAAACCTTCTCGGTTGCTGAAAGTGCAGGCTAAGTGAGGATTTCTGTCCAACTTGACATCGCAGTCCAGACTCGAGTAACGAAGAGTAGCAAAAGCAATTGATGTTATTCTTATTCAAGACTTCGAGTAATAGCACTTCACCGAAAAATAAATGCAGCTCTCCCGTCCAATAACGCTTAAGTGTGGTTTGATCCTCCCGAATCGACTGGTCAAAGCTGCTGTAGCTGAGAGCATGGCACCTGGCAACAACCTCCCTGATGAGCAATTTCACAGCCTCTATGCCCACTGGGCTGGGGGTGGCTGGGGCATGATAGTTACGGGTATGCAAATTGAAACCAACAGGAAGATGCTCTGAAAGCAAAGAGCCTTGACTAACCCCATTAGGCAATGTACAAGTCGATACTATGTTTCTTGGGACACATAGCGACCTTGCAGTTGACAACTTAATGGATGATGACACCATCATATCAGCATGGAAATCTTGGGCGACAATACTCAACAAGAACAATACACCAACTGTCATGCAACTCAACCATCCAGGACGTCAATCTCCCACTGGTGCGGGTAGACGCAGCATATTTGCAAAATCAATTGCTCCGAGCGCAATTCCTTTGGACTTGGGATCTGGAGTTATTGCCCAGACTTTCTCTGCTCTAGTATTTGGGATACCGCGTGAAATGACCCTTTCGGAAATCAGGAATATCGTGAAACAATTTGCACGAGCGGCACGTCTTGCAGCCCAAAGTGGATTTGCTGGTGTTGAAGTGCACGCAGCACATGGGTATCTACTCCATCAATTTCTTTCGGAGGCATCAAACAAACGAACCGATTCTTACGGAGGTACCCCAGAAAACAGAGTGAGAATCGTCGTGGAAATCATCAAGGCCATTCGAGCTGAGGTCCCAGCTGGGTTTTGCGTAGGCATTGTCTTGAGCTCGCCGGATCCGCCCTTGAAATTATTCGATATTCAAGCTTTACAGATAAAATCCATCATAGGTGCCGGTATAGACTTTATCGAAGTCAGTGGCGGGACCTTTGAGAATCCAAGCGTAAGTGGCAGCAATCTTAGTTCTCGGTACTAGTCTGGACTGATGTTTCGAATCAGATGTTCACCGGTCCCCACGCAGCCCCCAACCTACAGCCTGAAAATGGGTTGGAGGAGCCATTTTTTGCTGAATTCGCTGAGGCTGTAGGGCATCTGTTCCCAGATATTCCCTTGATATTAACTGGAGGTTTCCGAAGTTGTCAGAGTATGGAGAAGGCGATAGCTCGAGGGGTCTGTCAGTGTGTTGGTCTGGGAAGACCGGCAGTGATAAACCCGGTACTGCCGAAGTCCATCGCTTTGAATCCCACGGCAAGCAAGGAGATTGATGTGTTATATACAAAGAAAATAGAGGCACCGTGGTATGTCAAGCTGTTAGGGGTCCGTGCTCTAAATGTTCATTTTGACAATGTGAGTGTACCTGAGTTCGGCGAGAGCTTCGTTTAATTCGCTCTAACACTTGTTAAGGCATGGTACATTCGACAGCTGAAGGAAATGGCTTCGGAAAAATCAATCACTGTACATTTCAGAACCACTCCGTTCTCCATATGGAAGCCTCGCACAATTTGGACAGCCTGGGCAATACCTGCTTAATTCTCAGCTTTCAGTACTTCTTAGTTTAGCAGCAGTCACTTTTTTGTTGCGACCTGAGTTGCTTCATATTTTACACTTTCTCATCTTTCCTTTAGTATCAATTGACCAGTCTCTAATCAGAAGTTGAACAAAGGATCTAGTCTGAATAAGAGGCTAAGAGCTGCGTATTCTAAATGACCACATCTTTAATATTGACTTCATCCCTTCTACCCTCAAATGGCACATTTTGTTGATGCACTCGAACAGTGGAGTGACAGTGAATTGTGAAATAGAAGCGAGTCTTAGCTAGGAAATCTGATAGCTAGCTTAACTTTCTACGGGTTTTCGAAGATCTAAACCACTTCTGAGGCTTCTTTAGTCACCCAGGCCCGCTTTCAATACGGTAGAAAAATTGCCATTTGAGGGTGGAAGGGAGAGCCTATGTATAAGCAAGTGCTGTAAATACCCGCATTCAAGAGTACCGTCTTGGATCATGACACAAAGTTCTCGATTTATTGGATACGGTGGGAGGACCACCATTAGTGTTCGGAGCGATATCTGTATGGCTACTAGAATATGACGGTGATCATCCAAGGAGACGAAGTTGAACTTGACAGCCGCCTACTCTGATTTGTATACAAGCTACAGAGCAATGTTTGAAACTGCAAGTTATGTCTGACGATTCATTTCAAATGAAAGCCGTTGATGGTTGGGTAAATATAGTGAAATTACGACGAATTTCATTTGACCATTGACTCGTCTACATACGATGCAAAGGTCCGCATTCTGCCAAATATTTTCAAACACATACATCCTTAGGTTTCGAGGCGCTGATGGCGAGAAACCTCCATCTCTTTGGGAGGCCAAGATATCCAGCCGTGCCAGCAACCATGTTGACATACCGCTTTTCAAGATGAAAAAGTCGAACGAAAAAGAAAGGCAGCCATGCAAAAGCATAAAATAGGCGTAAGATAGGCTTGATATTCTCTGACCAGTCACATACTTTCACGTCCACAAATCCAGCGCTCTCAAGAAGGGCTTGAAAATATCCCTCTCTGGACATGTCGTTCACTGGAAGAACAGTATACCGACTGACAAGCTTCAACTGTTCATCAAGCTCGTCATCTGCGACATCTGCATCAAAATCCCTGCGAGGCTCGGTTTCCACCAGTACTATCCTTCCCCCTGGTTTTAGGATTCGTAGGAATCCAGCTAAAACTTTCTCCGGATCTGTAGCATGGCCAAAGGATTGTAAAGTATATATGCCATCGAAATATTCGCGGGATATTGATTGCAGATGATGGAAATCGAGTTTTCGTATGACCAATTGCCCGTCGGAGTCGCTAGCACGCTTTACTTTCTGCTGAGCCTCATCAAGCATGTGGTCGATAACATCTATGCCCGTGACATGCATGCCATGCTGGGCCATGTATAATGCGGTATGACCATTGCCACACCCCGCATCAAGGAGTTTTGAGCCCGTTGGAAGCTCCAGCAAGCCCAGCACTTTATCTTTCATGCTGAAGCAATGACGTGAGCTAAGAGCGTGGGAATGAGGGTAAATATCAGAAGCAAGATACTTACCGCCGAAGACTTGGACCAATTGGAAATGGCCAATAAGTATCCTTTTCGTAGTAGCCAAAGTGATGGTTGCCTTCCAATACAATCTGGTAGACGACACGTGATTCGAAAGTGCCATAGTATGCCTGGAGGGCCGGACTGGCTTCGACTTGAGGTTCTCTGGGTGTTCCTTTGCTGGGGTCCATAATCTACGTCGAAATACTGGATGTCGAATGAGGAGAGTTTCTGCTTGTGTTGGAACAGATCACAAGGAGAAGCGAATCGAAAAGTACTAAAATGGTGAGAAAGTAGCCAGATCTGTTGAATTATGCAGCCGGTATGATTCTAGCAAGTAGAATTTTGCTTATCTCGTCGATGATTTGAAGGTGCGATTTCGAATTTTCCGGAATTCCCCGTGGTCAGCACCTAACGATGAGCTTCGAGAAATCTCTTCCATCTCGGATATTTCTTGAAAATCAGCCACGGAGTAACGGAAATATGTCCTATTGGCATCATGCACGGGCGATGACTTAGAACGGGCTTGAGAATCACTACGATCATCCAGGTTCCTGAAGGGTATGCGAGGTTTTTTGCGAAGTGCAACGCCAATCATTTATCCATGCAAGAAAGCGGCGCGAAAAAGTCTAATAATCAGTGAGATACTATGCATATAGACATATTGGATCATTCATGGGCAACAAAAATTGTATATGCATTTTTTTTCTAAGTCACTTCATCACCAAAGTTTCCCACTTAGGCTCTCTACTCCCACGCTGGTTCATCGTCCTACTTCGGTAAATCCAAACTTGTCTTTAAGATGGCAGAACAGAAGCAAGCACCCGAGACTGTCGCAATTGTAGGGTCTGCATGTAGATTTCCAGGGGCGAGCTCGCCATCGAAGCTCTGGGACTTGCTTCACGAACCGCGTGATGTATTGAAGGAATTTGACTCTGATCGTCTCAATTTGAAACGATTCTATCATGCAAATGGCGACACACATGGATCAACAGACGTCCAGAATAAGTCTTACCTACTGGAAGAAGATCCGCGCTTATTTGATGCCTCCTTCTTTGGCATCAGCCCTGTGGAAGCAGCTAGCATGGATCCACAGCAACGTCTGGTCTTAGAAACAGCTTACGAAGCTTTCGAGTCAGCTGGAGTAACTCTTGATCAGCTCAAGGGGTCTTCGACTGCAGTGCATGTGGGTGTCATGACTGCTGACTACGCCAACATCCAGTAAGAACATGGTCGTGCTTGCTCCCGAAGTCTGATTTCACGTGCTGATTCTCCGTTCATCTAGACTTCGCGACTCGGAAACGGTTGGAAAGTATGCAGCAACTGGCAATGCCAACAGCATCATTTCAAATCGTATTTCCTATGTCTTCGATCTCAAAGGCCCTTCGGACACAGTGGATACAGCGTGCTCAAGCTCACTCGTTGCCTTGCATAATGCCGCCCAAGGATTGTTGTGCGGTGACAGCGACGCAGCGATTATTGCAGGCGTCAACCTAATTCTTGACCCATCGCAATACATCACAGAGTCCAAACTCCACATGCTATCGCCTGACTCTAGGTCTCGAATGTGGGATAAGGAAGCAAATGGCTATGCACGCGGCGAAGGCGTTGCAGCAATATTTATCAAGACCCTCAGCCGAGCCTTGGCGGATGGTGACCAGATCGAGGGGATTCTTCGAAGCACCGGTGTTAATTCAGATGGCCAGAGTTCTGGTATTACCATGCCTTACGCTCCTGCACAGTCCGCTCTTATTCGTCAGACTTATCTCCGTGCTGGCCTCGATCCAATCCTTGATCGGCCCCAATTTTTTGAATGCCACGGAACAGGCACTCAAGCTGGGGATCCCGTAGAAGCTCGTGCTATCAGTGATTCCCTTGTGAGTAATGTCGGAGATGACCAGAATCCTCTCCCTCTTTATGTGGGATCCATCAAAACCGTTGTAGGACATCTGGAAGGCTGTGCTGGTCTTGCTGGCGTACTGAAGGTGCTTCTTGCCATCAAAAACCGTATCATACCACCGAACCTTCTATTCAACGAGCTCAACCCGGCTATTGCTCCGTATTATGGGCCTTTGCAGATACCCACCAGATCTTTGCCTTGGTATGTAATTTCCAGCGCCACACTCTCCCTCATTTCCGTACAAGTTGGAATTGTAACGTGACCGACAAGATAAACAATGACTGACTCAATAGGCCCGTGTTACCTGCTGGTGTTCCACGCCGAGCTAGTGTGAATAGGTTAGTCTCCAAAGCCATTTGATGCTCTCCCCCGGTGCTTCGAGATTAGCACTTACATCAGCACAGTTTTGGATTCGGAGGAACGAACGCCCACGCGATAATTGAAAGCTATGACATCGATGAGATTTTGACGGAGAGCGAACATGGAGAATCCAGGGAAGGACCTTCAGGGCCTTTACTCTATTCAGCCCAGTCTGGAAATTCGTTGTTGAGGACTGTGCGTGATCATTTGGAGCACATGAGACAAAATCCATCTCTCAATCTCCAGGACCTGAGCTGGGTACTTCAGGTAAGGAGGTCCACACATCGATTTCGAACTCATTTTTCTGGTCTGTCTCGGGAGTCTGTTATGATGAACATGTCAAAGTTCATCGACAGCCATGCAAAACTTTCAAGTGCCGATATAGGGCACCAACCGCGTCTAGTGAACCTCAATGAAAACCCCGCTATCCTGGGAATATTCACCGGACAAGGGGCACAGTGGCCTGCTATGGGAAAGGAATTGATGGATATGTCCCCACTTTTTCGTAGGACAATTGAGAAGTGCGAGGCAGTCTTGAATGCTCTCCCAAGAGATCACGCACCAGCTTGGTCGCTGCAGACAGAGCTGCTAGCACATGATCAGACCTCCAGATTATCTGAAGCCGCCATCTCTCAACCTTTGTGTACCGCCGTCCAGATCGCCTTGATAGAATTGCTGGCAGCTTCAGGCATCTCATTCGATGCTGTTGTGGGCCACTCTTCCGGCGAAATTGCTGCTACCTATGCCAGTGGGATCATCAACCTCAAAGGCGCAATGCAAATTGCATACTACCGAGGTTTCTACGCTAACCTTGCAATCGGTACCGGTGGCGAGCGAGGTGGAATGCTAGCCGTAGGGATGTCGCTGGAGGCAGCAGCCAAATTATGTCGCCAAGAAAGGTTTGATGGCCGTCTGCACGTTGCTGCAAGCAACAGCCACCACAGTGTGACTCTCTCGGGAGACATCGATGCTATCAATGCCGCGAAGGAGAAACTCCAGGCGGAAGAGGTGTTTGCCCGTCCTCTAAAAGTGGATACAGCGTATCACTCTCATCACATGAAGCCTTGCGCTGAGCCGTATCTTCAGTCGCTCCTTGCTTGCGATATCGAGGTCACCAGGCCACGCCCCGGGACATGTATCTGGAACTCAAGTGTACGTGGAAACACAGAGCTTCTTAATGGAGATCTTGATTCCCTAAAAGGTCCATACTGGGTGGCAAACATGGTGAATGCCGTCTTATTCTCACAGGCAGTTGAGTCGTCCATTTGGCATGGTGGTCCATTCGATCTCGCTGTGGAAGTGGGCCCTCACCCAGCGCTGAAAGGGCCAGCAGAACAAACTTTCAAGGCGGCATACGGCCAGGCTCCTGTCTACGTGGGAGTATTGAAGCGTAACACTAGCGACGTGGAAGCTTTTACTTCGGCAATAGGTGAAATATGGGCACAACTTGGTCCGAAATCTGTTGACTTTGCCGGTGTTCACAAGGCATTTAGCATGTCTCAGCCAGCTGCTCGCAAAATGCTCAAAGCTCTTCCTAAATACTCTTGGGATCACGACAAAGTATATTGGCGCGAGTCTCGGGTTTCACGAAGATATCGTACTGGAAAAGACTGTTTTCACGAGCTTTTAGGACGACGTACACCAGACGACAACGACCATGAGCTGAGGTGGCGGAATATTCTTAAGCTGAGTGAACTGACTTGGCTCCGTGGACATGAAGTGTTGCAACAGGTCTTGATGCCGGGCGCTGGGTACATCTCAATTGCGGTGGAGGCCGGGAAACAACTCGCAGCCGAGAGTGGGAAGTCAATACGCCTGCTTGAGGTTGAGAATATGGACATTCTTCGGCCAGTAGTCGTACCAGACGACAACAACGGAGTCGAGACGCTGTTTACCTTGAGAATAATCAGTCCTAGAGCAGCTGATCATGGTGAGTCATTTTCTGGTTAACATTTATTCCGTTTGCAACGTTCACATATCAAGGATGCCCATTGCCATTGAGTCATGCTGAAGTTTTCTCGCAGTCGATATCGTGCGTGCACAGTTCTCGTACTATGTTTGTATCGATGAGTCCAAGGGATCGATGTTTCGCACGTCGAATGGCGAACTTGTCGTCCATCTCGGTCTAGCTGCAAAGGATGAAGACTCATTGCCAGTCAGCGGCTTAGAATATACCGATTCTCCTTCGGTTGATAGCGAAAGTTACTACTCACGATTCCAAGATATCGGGCTCAATTACTCGGGCCCATTCCGAAGCATCACTGAAGTCAATAGGTCTCTCAAATATGCGACAGCAACAGCCGTATGGGCCCAGGGATCGTTGAGCGAGCAATATGTCGTTCACCCAGCAATGCTCGACGTTGCCTTCCAAACCATGTTCATGGCTCGTGCCCATCCAGCCAGTCGACAAATTGCAGCTGCATTACTTCCTTCGCATATCGATCGCGTTCGAGTGAACCCGGACTTCGATACCAGCGCGAAAGCCACCATGAAGTTTGAGACTTGGGTTGTGCAGAAAAGTGCTGCTTCATTGACTGGAGATCTGAATGTCTTCCACCCCGAATCTGGAAAGACCTTGGTACAAGTTGAAGGCCTTTTATTGAAGCAGGTCGGCGAATGAGATGCATCTCTAGACCGTCCCGTCTTCTCGAGGACCATATGGGCCAATGACATATCTTATGGTATACCAGAGCTTGTCCGCAACGATATCTCAGATGCGGAGGGTACAAGCATTGCTGACGCATCCGAGCGTGTCGCCCTCTACTATATGAAGAGGATCCTCAACGAATTCAAGGGCTGGGATAAAGCACAAATTCAATGGTACCACCAACGGATGTTCAAAGCTTTCGAAACCCATATGGAGGTAATCCAAAGAGGAGAGCATCCTATCCTACCAAAGGAGTGGTTGGCAGACGATGCGACAGCATTGGAAGAACTGGAAATTGCCCATGGCGCTACAATCGAATTGGAGTTGATTCATGCCGTGGGCAAGAGTATGGCGAGTGTCGTCCGAGGCGAACAGCAGCTACTGGATGTTATGTTGAAAGACGACATGTTGAATAACTTCTACATGAACAGCCGTGCGTTTTCACCCATCAACCAGGGTATAGCCGAGGTGATGCAAAATATCACTTTCAAGTACGCTCGATGTAAGATTCTGGAGATCGGCGCTGGAACAGGAGGGACGGTATGTGATACTACCGATTGGCGATATGAAAAAGACTGACCAAGACGAAATTAGACATGGAGTATCTTGAATCAGATCAACAACGCATACGAATCGTATACATACACTGATATTTCAGCTGGATTCTTCCCGCAAGCAGCAACCAAGTTCGCAAACTTCGCCCACACAATGATCTTCAAGACTCTTGACATTGAAAAGGAGCCCTCGGCACAAGGCTTTCCAGCACATTCTTACGACGTTATCGTTGTCGCCAATGTTCTGCATGCCACTCGCAACTTGCAATCGACACTCCAGAATGTTAGGAGGTTGCTTCGACCAGGCGGATATTTGGTGATGATGGAGACCACAGGAACACAAAGCGTCCGGGTAACACTCATCTTTGGCGGCCTGCCCGGATGGTGGATGAGTGAGGAACCTGATCGACAACTGACTCCTGCTGTGTCTGCCGTGGACTGGGATGTACTTTTACAGGACAACGGATTTTCTGGTGCTGACACCGTTATACACGATCTACCTGACGAGAGCAAACATCTGAGTTCTTTGATCGTCAGTCAAGCTGTTGACGATGCCTTCATGCGACTTCGTGAACCACTTTCAGTCCCAGAAGAATCAACTCCTGTGAGCGAAAAATTGCTCCTCATTGGCGGAAAGAAGCTTTTGACGTCAAAATTGCTCGCAGAAATCCAGAAGGTGCTTCCAAGACAGTGGAAGAGTTGCATCCAAAAAGTCAGCAGCATTGATGACATCGATCTTGCTGAATGGACCACCGGAATGAACGTTATCTGCCTCCATGATATCGACGAAAGCTTATTCGCAAATTTTCTGACAGTGAAACGCATGGCGAACTTGCAAAGACTCTTGATGAGTACGAAAAACTTGCTCTGGGTTACCACGGCTGGAAAGTGTCATACTCCTCGAGGGAGCATGTTTCTCGGTATCGCACGGGTGGTGCCTTCTGAGCTCCCGCATTTGAATGTTCAAGTCCTCGGCTTGGAGTCTGGAGGAGCACCAGCGGCAGCAGCGAGGCACTGCATCGAAGCACTCCTGAGGTTGAGAGAAAAAGGAGGCGAGCAGGTTGATGAGGAGAAAAGAGTGCTGTGGTCGCACGAGCCTGAAATCAACATCCTCGCTGACGGCTCGGTTATCATTCCACGTGTACAGGCCGACACAACTATCAATATGCAGTAAGTGATCCAAGCCCGCGTAAGATAGAATAGAGAGCTTACATCGTGCAGATACAATGCATCAACGCGTTCAATAATAAACACAGTCAACGCGACCAGGATTCCTGTCCAGGCTGTTGCGGGAGCTTCCAAGATGATGCTTCAAGCTGTGGAATGTATTGATGAATCTGGCAACTCGGAACCCTTTCCACGCAGTAGAATACAAGTCCAATATTCTTTGCACGTCCCAAGCAGAAATGGAAGAAGCATGTACCTTGTGTGTGGAGTCAGCGGAGAAGGTGCAACAGAGTGTTGGTTTATGGCACTTTCTCTTGAGAATGCTTCGGTCCTCGATGTGAACACTGAGGATCTCGTTCCTATCGACCGCTACGATTGCACACCCGAGAAACTTGCCGAGACTGCCAGTCATATGTTTCTCAAAGCCATTATCAAAATCTCAAAAGATTTCAGCAAAGTACTCTGCTACGGAGCTGAGGAGTCATTGGCAGCCAGCATCGCATCCAGACTTTCGCAATCAGCAACTGAGATCCATTTCGCATCTTCGAGTTCAAGCTCTCCTCAATCGTGGATCAGAATACACGAGCAATCATCGAGACGAGCAACTCTCCTGAAGCTACCCTCAGACATAAATCTGTACATCGATTGTAATGCGGGTTTGAGGTCTGCGGAATCACAGGGATCAGTTGCTGCGAGCCAGTTGCTTCGAGCTTGTCTGCCTACAAGTTGCGTGGCCTTTGAATTCGACGCTGAACTTTTGCAAATCGATTTGGCCGATTGCAAGAAGCAGAGTCCAGTGCTACTCAGAAATTCATATCAGGACACCAAAAATTTCTCTGGACAGGAACGGCTCGCTTGCGACGTGATCGCAGCAAGTAATCTTTCCGGCGTTGCCGTTTCCTCGCTTCTCCACAGACGCTATGTGACTGATTGGCGACAACGAGAATCTCTCCCTTTGACTATCAGGCCGATGAACCTGGACAGCCTCTTCAAGCCAGACAAGACGTATCTCATGGTAGGAGCGGCTGGGGGTTTGGGTCTCTCCATATGCCGATGGATGATAGCAAATGGTGCAAAGTTCATGGTTATCACAAGTCGAAACCCGCAGCCCGATGCGGCACTGCTCGAGGATGCACGACGTGCTGGCGCGTTGATTCGAGTTATGAAAATGGATGTAGCGCAAAAGGGATCGGTCGATGCCGTTGTTCAATCGGTAAGGAATACCATGCCTCCAATTGTAGGCGTGTGTAACGCGGCAATGGTCCTCGCCGACAAACTGTTCCTTGATATGACTGTCGATCAGTAAGTCACCCCCACCCAACTTGCATTGGGGCAAGATGGCCAATACAGCCACCAATTTGGCGATGACCAGAATAGATCATGCTAATACTGACACAGGTTCAACGGTGCTCTCGCACCGAAGGTACTCGGTACTGAAAATCTGGATACCGTGTTCGCCAAGACACCGCTGGACTTCTTCATCCTCCTTTCGTCTGCTGGAACAGTCATTGGTAACGTCGGGCAATCCAATTATCACGCGGCAAACATTTTGATGGGCAGCCTAGTAGCTCAGCGACGAGCACGAGGCTTAGCAGCGTCTCTGATTCACGTCGGCTATATTGCCGACGTTGGCTACGTGACTCGTCAAGCACATCAAACGCAGCTGCAAGAACATTTCCGCAATGTCCGCTTGATGGCTCTTTCGGAGACGGATGTGCATCACGCCTTCGCTCAGGCCATCAAAGGAGGGAAACCTGGCAGCTCTGTGGGGTCTCATGAGATTGTCATGGGGATTGAGCCTCCAACGGAGCCGCTGGTTACGGGGAGAGAGACACCATGGCTCGTAAATCCACAATTCACGCATTTCGTCCCCAACGCACAGCAAACAAAACAGATTGACCGCGGTGGCATGGCTAGCTCTGGCAACATCAAGAGGCAAGTCATCGAGGCACCAACCGAAGACGACGCGATTGCTGTGGTTCTGGAGGCTTTTTGCAAGAAGCTAGAGTTTGTACTGCAACTACCAGCTGGGAGCGTGAAGGACAGTGCTCAGAGGGCTGTCATCGACCTGGGTATCGACTCCCTGGTTGCTGTTGAGATAAGAACTTGGTTCATCAAAGAACTGGGAGCTGAAGTGCCAGTGCTGAAAATTCTGGGAGGAGATACCGTGCTGCAGATCTGTGTACTGGCAACGAAGAAAGTCATGGCCGCCAACATGAAAACTCCAGCTGTTGTTACGCCAAATGAGAACCCAGTGCCGAAGGATAACACTCCTGCTGCAGCTAGAAAGTCCCGCCTTTCGACCGGTGATATCATTCCAGCTGAGACAAAAGATACTGGAGCAAGTCCATCACAAGAGTTTCGTCAGGATTTCGTCAAGAATGCTCTCGATTCTGACAGCACAAGTGGTACCGACTCTGAAGAAAACTCTATTGGTTCTATTGTTACCAGCAGGAGCGCAGGATCCAGTGTGACAGGGGACTCAATTCCCAAATTTGAGTTGGGCGATAAGGAGGCGGATTTGGGGCACTCTGGTATGTGAAAATTCAGTCCATAGATCGTTTTCTTCTACGGCTTCAAATAAATGCAAACAATACATGTTTCATCATGCTCAAAATCGTAGAAAAGTCTTTTGACCGGTCGTTTTTCGCCTCTTTGATTTCCAAGAGATCTTATGTCCCAAGTCATGGACGATTTTGCTAATACGCTCGAAGATGAAATAGCTGCAGCTATTTCGCCGAAAGATATGAGGGCAGCCGAGAAAGAGGCAGTCGTGGTGGAGACAATCCATGAGGGACCCATGTCGGCAGCACAAGCCCGAATCTGGTTTATGTCCAAGCATCAGGAGAGACCAACAGCCAACAATATGGTATTCCATTACCATGTTATCGGTCCTCTTAACATGGCCAGACTGCGACATGCATTGACCGTCGCAACACAACGTCATGAGAGTCTTCGCACTCGTTTCAATCTACGTCTCGGCGACGGGCAACCTATGCAGGGCGTTGTAGCATCCTCATTGTATGTAGTACACCACATCGCTTGTGCCGATGAGAGCGATTTGCGTGATGAAATAGCCCGAATGAAGGCAGTCGATTGGAACCTTGAAAAAGGACACACGTTCGAAGTGACTGTGCTTGGCCGAACTGCCGAAGAGCACGACATCGTTTTTGGTTACCACCACATCATTATGGATGTGATGGGCTGGTATTGCTTTGTCCGCGATCTGGATAAAGCATACCGAATGCATGCATTGGACACGAACACAGCAGGCTCGCCAATCGAGTATGCCAGAGTGGAACTGGAACAGAAAACGAAAGGGAGCTCTGAACAGGTCCTCTTTTGGCAAAACGAGTTTGCAACTCTGCCCGAGCCGCAAAAACGTTTGCCTTTTGCTAGACTGGGCACGTCGACGGAGCAAGGTACTTATGATGAGTACCGGGAGCTTGATCAGCCCCAACTTCACGCGATCAAGCGGATATGTCAAAATCTTCGAATCAGCTTATTCCACTTTCACCTCGCAGTGTTTCAGGTCTTGCTAGCTCGGTACGAGAGCACTGAAGATGTTTGCATTGGTGTCATTGATGCGAATCGAAATGATCCCTCGTACGCACAAACGGTTGGCTGTTTCGTCAACGTCCTTCCGATTCGGTCCCAGATATCAAGAGATGCCAGCTTTTCTGAAATAGCGAAAGCTGCCTCACAGAAAGCATTGAAGGTCTTTGCTAATACGCTTCCATTCGATATGATTCTTGATAAGGTCAAAGCTCGCAGATCAGCAGACACCACGCCTCTTTTCCAAGCTGCCATAAACTATAGGACTGGTGCAGTAAGTCATCTCCCAAGCCCGAGCGAGGGGTTTCTCAGCTATTTTGGGAGATCACACCTATAAAGGCGCTACTAGGAGCGAGAGATTTCCCTGCTGACTTTACTTAGGTATGGGACTTGCCTCTAGGCGAGTGTAAGATGAAACTATCGCTGACCGACGGCAAAGATGCCGATACTCCATACGACATCAGTCTGGGTATCTCCGAGACAGGTTCGGGGTGCGTCATCGAAATGCACTGCCTAAAATCCAAGTACACGACCGAAGGGTGCTTGATTTTACTCGACTCGTACCACCGCTTGCTGAGCGGTATTATAGCCGACGAGAATGTAGTTCTCAGAGATTTGGCAGTTGCCGATGATGCCCAAGTCTCGAGAGCGCTGGAGCTTGGAAGGGGTCCAGAGGTGGACTTTAGGTGGCCAGCGACCTTGTCCCAGCGGTTTTCAGACATATGTCGTTTGCATGCTAGAGAGAATGCCATCACAGACCAGGCAGGAACAATCTCTTACTCTCATCTGGCTGCACGAGTCAATGTGGTTGCAGACACGGTTCTGAGAATAGGGTGCAGTGCACGAACCCGTGTCGCTGTTTTGTGTGAGCCATCTTTGGATGCCATTGTCGCAATGCTGGCCATTTTACACATTGGAGCGGTTTATGTTCCTTTGGACACAAGCTGTGAGTAAATATCTTAGATTTTCTTAAGCGATTTTCTTTCAGCCCAAGAGACCGTGACTGCAGGCATCACCAAATTTGGATCCATCATTTGGCTGACATAGACTTGTTACACAGTGCCCACGGCCCGGCATGTTGCTATAGTGCAAAGCTGCAAACCGGCATTGCTTCTCTCGCACCGGGCTACGGAGGGTCAAGTCGAGGACTTACTCCATGAAATGGAAACGCCGGCAGGAGAAGCAGGCATGGAGTCCATTGCAGTCTCAGAAGAAACGGAGTGCCATCGGACAGTCGCTTGCTCGGCTACACCGGACGCATGTGCTATCTTGTTGTTCACAAGTGGTTCAACCGGTACGCCTAAAGGCATCCTTCTCTCGCAGGCCAATTTTGTCAACCATATTGCTCTCAAAACAGAAGCCCTTGGCCTCAAACAGGAATGTGTCCTCCAGCAGAGCTCACTAGGCTTTGACATGTCCCTAATACAGATATTTTGTGCGCTGGCGAATGGCGGTAGACTGGTGATAGCACCATCAACGATGAGAAAAGACCCCGTGGAAATGGCAGGTCTAGTAAACCGCAGTGGCATCTCTCTTACTATTGCCACACCCTCGGAATATCTTGCTTGGATGAGATACGGAATGGAGGCGCTGAGAAAGAATATGGCGTGGAGACATGCGTGTATGGGTGGCGAGCAAGTTTCTCGACAGCTCAAGATCGATTTCCGTCGTCTTGGTCTCGTGGGCTTACAATTGACAAACTGCTATGGGCCCACAGAGATTACCGCTGCAGCAACATTCCAACCTCTCGTAATCGGAAGAGACGATGGTGATGATGATGACGATTTGATGTGGTAGGTTGGCTATCTTTTGACATTCTATCTCACTTCCAGGTTTCGTGAGAGAACTCTAGTCTGACACGGTCTTTGACCTATTTCCTAATTTCGACCACCGTCTTGGTACTCTGAAAATGGCAACTTGTCGAATGGTCGTGTACTGACTCTGAGACATCGCGTAGGTCAGTCGGCAAGGCCATACCAAATTATTCGGTGTGCATTCTTGATGACGCGGGCCGGCCACAACCTTTGGAGCACACCGGTGAGATTTGCATAGGAGGAAGGGGAGTCGCAGCAGGCTACCTAAACTTGCCAGACCAAACGGCGCTCAAGTTTATTACCAACATGAGCGGTAGCACGAAAGAACAGCGAATTTCCGAACAACGAATCTATCGAACTGGCGACTGTAAGTAGCCCAGGCTTGTATTCCTTAAGTCCATGACCTTCAGTTTCGAGAGTCGAAAAGAGGAGCAGTGGTTTTTTCCTTTTGGCAGACTGCGGTGCATTATTGACATTCTTGCAGGTGGAAGACTCTTGCCAGATGGGACTTTGCTCTGTTTTGGCCGTTTAGATGGCGATACACAGATCAAGCTCCGCGGTCTGCGCATTGACCTTCAGGAAGTCGAATCAGCGCTTATGCTGGCTGCGGATGGTCTTTTCAAATCCACAGTTGTGTGCGTTAAGAAAGACGTGCTCATCGCCTATGCCACATTGTCCACAAGCACAGCAGAAATCACAGAAGAGAATCTGAGAGGCGTCCTGGCACGTCTGAAGTTGCCCCAGGCTTTCTGTCCAGCCACCATCGTGATCCTTCCCACGTTTCCCACCACGAGTAACGGCAAGCTAGATCGTAAGAAGATCGGTGCACTACCCCTCCAACTAAATCACGGTGGCCCAGCAATGACCTGCTCCTCGCTGGAGAAAATGACAGTTCGAGAAGGCGAGCTGCGCTTGTTGTGGGAACGCGTTCTCGGTCAAGCAACGACCGCAGCTCGCATTGTCCCATCTTCGGACTTCTTCTTATGCGGTGGAAACTCGCTGTTGCTTATGAAGCTTCAGGCTGCTATCAAAGAATCCATGGAGGTTGCAATCTCAACGAAAGTCCTTTACCAGACCAGTACCCTGCGGGAGATGGCAAAGTGCATTGAAGTGCAGCGGCACGAACTCGGCGCGCGTATTGAACAGTTCATCGACTGGCCGACGGAGACCGCAATACCTTCGTGGCTGCTAGAAGATATTTCGAACCTGGCCTCCTCGACGACGATATTGTCAAGAAAGAAAGATGGAATCGAAGTTTTGCTAACTGGGGCGACAAGTTTTCTTGGAAGCCGTCTTTTGCGCGCTTTTGTTCGATCGGCTGTGGTACGCAAAGTGCATTGTGTTGCTGTGCTAGGCGACGATCAACATCTCCTGTGTCAAGATGAAAAAGTTCACAGCTACACAGGAAGCTTGCTTTCATCAACACTTGGTTTAAGCATAAGCGAGAAGAAGAATCTGGAGCAGACAATTGACGTGGTAATTCATGCTGGATCGAACGGTCACTGCCTGTGAGTAAATCTCAAGCCACTTGGACTGAGAAATTTCTCATCCAGCGGTCTTCGAATACTGTTGGTTTCGTTGTACGAGTTCTAACGATGATATAGCAACACATACCAGTCGCTACGAGCGGCCAATTTGCTCTCCACCCACTTCATTGTCTCACTTGCGTTGCCCCGGTCTATCCCAATTCTGTTCTTATCATCCAACCGCGTTGCCCTACTGTCTGGAAACAATGCACCAATCCCAGGTTCTGTTGCTTCTTTCGCACCATCCACCGATGGCAGAGAAGGTTACACAGCGACAAAGTGGGCAAGTGAGGTCTTCCTCGAGAGAATTGTGACCCAACTGCAGACTACAGTCAAGCACAGACTTCAACCTGCATTGGCAGTGTCAATTCACCGGCCATGCGTCATTGTGAGCGAGGATGCTCCCAATTCAGACGCACTGAATGAAATTCTGCGGTATTCGGTCCTGATGAGATGCATTCCTCGTATGAAGAGGGCCGAAGGTTACTTGGACTTCGGACAGGTAGACACGGTTGTTGATGAGATTGTTGGCACCGGCTTGCAGCTTGCTCTGGGGCAACATGAAGACCGAGACATGGGTGCTTCGATTCATTTCAGACACCATTCAGGAAAGGTCAAGACTCCGATAAGTCAGTTTCAGAGGCACATGGAAAATGTATATGGAGGACAATTTGAGGCAGTGGACGTGACGGAGTGGATGGATCGGGCGACTCAGGCTGGGCTCGATCCGTTGATCGCAGCTTACTTGGAGGGTGTGGTTGATAGTGACGGTCCGTTGGTGTTCCCATACATGGGAGAAGAGTGATTGTGCTTTGTTTTCATAGAATTGCCTCGTTGACTTGAAATTGATTTGATGCACCTCTCTGTGTAAGTCGAATTCGCGATGTGACGATTGGGATGATAAGGTAGGTAGATCTTTGCTTCCCTGAGGTAGAGATGAGGTGTCAGGGTATCTACCTTATCCCCACAGTGCACGTGCCACTAAGCCGAAAAAGGTATAGGGAGCCACCGAGGCTTCAGTGAGTTTTCAGACTACTACCATCCCCCCCCCCCCTCCCTAAATGAATGTTACACTGCTGGATTTATGGGGCGGAGGCTCAGAAGTCTATACCTGAGTGGTCAAATAGCCTTGTCAACGTGAAGGCACGAGGGCTCGAAGCAGCGATTTCTGTTGGACAAACACCCTAGAAAGCTACCCACACTAACTCCAGTTTTCTAGAGATTTAACATTATTCAGGGGGGGGTAGTAGTATGGTTCCCTGAAGCGAGCACTATTCCTTCGCTTGTTAGAGGCTCGCTACAGTGAGCCTTACAGGGCCTCGAGGGGGTGTTCTTGGGGATAACAGAGGAGATTCAAGTGAAAGCCAAAAGAATTAGAAAGAAAGAAAAGGAGACCAGAGTCTAGAATAGCGAGGTACAGATCTGCAATCTGTCACGCTTGCTAAACAATATTACAAAGTTGAAGAGACGCACGTATACGTATTCCTCGACGCTGTCAGTCATCTCGGTATATTCCAATACCTCACCACTTTTGTCAAGAGCTGCCACTCTCAATTTCATCGCTCCGAGCTACCGTACAGGAACACAGCATCGAATCCCTCCTTTCCCATATCCTTGCCAACCGTAAACTCCTCTTCTGCCACCTGCAAAGAGGCCGCAATCTCGAGTCTCCACTTCGCAACCTGAGTAGCGCCATTGGAGAGAACAACTTGAGCCATCTGCGCATGGCTTACGTTGTTAAATCCCAAAAAGGTTAAATTCGGGATTCCCAGGCACTAGATACCCTCAATTTTGAAGTCCTATGGAGAAGGCACTACTTTGTCTTTGTGTCGAGGCTCTTTACTTTCTTTATTTCATGACAGTGTTGACAGTTTGGCCGTAGGACCTGATAGGAAAGTACATTCTTCCACTCATGAGTCACTAATAGCAAAACTTCTGAACACAAGAATAGAACGGGTAAAAGTGTGCAACTGTGTGGCAGCCACTTCGATGTTGATATCGAAACCCGAGCCACTATTGACTTCAAATGCTTGACCACTCGCTTAGCGAGACATTAAACTGACTACACAATTGCAAGAAGGCCAGTAAATAAAGCTCCAGTTGATTTTCCGAATCGGCACTACAGCGCCAATGGCGTTTGATGACAAAATCTGCGTCAAGCAAAGAGCAAAAGTATGGAGTTTCGTCACGTCACGTCCATCTCAATGCTTTGAAGGCATCAGCTCGTAATACTCTTGAAAATACTTTCAGAATACATTTGACAAATCTCGTAGGTAAGCTCTTCTTGCTGAAAAAAGAACTGACTACCGTGGATAAAATGACAGTGATGAGATGAATGAAAACCAAAAGCTCCATTTTCAAGAAATACAAGGCGTCAATACCTGTTCGAAAATGTTGAAGCTCATTTGCAAACACAGGACGAAGCGCTCAACAAAAGACTTACGAAGTCAGAAGGTGCTTTCGACATGTTACCAAAGAATCACCGGTCAGGCACTCTTACACAATCAGCCAGTATGCTTGTGCTCCATAATTCAAGGATGTCTTGAAGCAGGAGATATCTATATTTATATCTGCCGATTTCCTCCCCATTCTGGACCTTGGCTGCCTTCAATATTGAGTCTCAACGATGAGTATTCTCATGAGTAGTGAATCAACAGCCTCAGAGAACAGCCTGGGCAAATATTACATACACCCATTTCTCTTCTCCCACTTGCTTATGTATCTCAATCTGAAACCGAAAGTGTGAATAGTCCGCACAGACTATTAAACGTCTACTCCCTAACTTCCCTTGATCGCAGGACTGCATCACAAAACTCGGGAAAATCTTGATGGAGCATGCTGAGAATATTCCCTCCGCTGTTGATACTTACAGCCTCTATCTCAGCAGGAAAGGAAGGAAAAGCAAGAGAACATCCGATCGCCTGTAACCTCATCCTTGTCAACTCTACATTTATACTCACCAATTCCCGTTATCTATCGAGGTAGCACTGACCATCTCCAGCAAGTAAATAAAATATGACAATAACTCCCCTGATAACCAAAACAGAGAAAAAGACAGTCCCCACCAAGCTGACAACAGCTAGCTTCTTCCAAAAAACGAGCTCAAGAGCAGACCTAGCAGCTCACCGCATCAATCAACACTTCCAACATAAATCTCCAAATCTTCCTCACCCAGCCGTAGCACAGTAGGTACCGACCATCTCCACACTGCAGCAGACAGAGCACTCCATATATCATTGTCTTCATTCTTCCCGACTCCCACCCACTCCACAAACCACCCCCCAAAAACAAGGATGTTATACTCCTCCCTCACTTCACTCCTCAGCTCATCTTCCCAAATCGGAGCTAGCCTCCTAGGCTAGGCTGGAGATTCACTTCCTTGAGAAAAAGGATGCAATGTACGTATTACTGGTTGACTAAAGTTCTTTTTCTGAATGAAGATCTGAGGGATAAAGGGAAGAAATTGAGGGGGTGAGTGAAAGAGCCATGAGGCGAAAGATCAAAACAACATACTGTGTTTCAGATCAGAAGACATTCCTGGTGCTTGTATTCTCACGACTCCTTTTCAATTGCACTCGCCTTTCCCTTCCCATGTGAGCCCCAAGTCCAGCCAAGGGAAATAGCCCAGAAAATGGTGGTAGGTAGGATATAATACAGGAGGAATTATTGTAGCATTACAAACTTGCTTGATTTCCGACATCGCCGCCACGAAAAACAACACCAAAATAGAAACAGCCGACAACTCGATCTCCGGTCCCATTGTGTTGTGGTCCATGCAATATATACAGCAGGAAAAAGGACGAAATGGATTCAACCCGATGAATGTAAATGCAAATGTGGATGCGGATGCGAATGTGCTCCTCCATCAAATCGAGTTGTATGTTGGTCCACAAATAGTGCGACTCGCTCCGAAAAAATTCTCGTTAATCGTACAGATCCTCCCATCGCCATCTTTCTTCTTCTTCAAATGAAAGAAAGGATGGATGGATGGATGGATGCAGGAATAAAAACATTACAATATCGCTAATCAGCTGTCCATCAAATCGCTTGCCCACTGTCCCACCAAAGGCAACATTAAATCCTTATCCTCCCCTTTCCTCTCCTCTGCTCAATCACTCTCAAGCACCAATCCTCACGTATCCCTGCACGACAGAGTTCTCCAACCCCTCCATACCCGTACTCATCCCGCGATCTCCATTCCCATTACTGCTCAGTCTAAAGCCCGCCGAGCCAGACGGCTGAGACACCGAGTCGGCCGTGCTCATGTTCATATCTACATAGCTCTCGTCGTCCTCCATATCTGCGTCGGCATCGGCGTCAGCATCGCTGCCCATGCCGTCCATGTCGTTGTTGGAGGGCGAGATCAGGTTCGAGGAGTCCATTGCTATGGTTGGTGTTGGTTGTGGTGTTGTTATCGTGGGCGTTGGTTGTGACTGCTGGGTTTGGACTTGGAGTGGTGGCTGAGGCTGGGATTGTGTTTGAACTTGGGGTTGAGAGTGATTTTGGTTTTGGTTTTGGTTTTGTGTCGGAGTCTGTTGTTGCTGTTGTTGCTGGACTGGAGGCTGAGGAGGCAGGCTCGCTGAATGCGAGGATCCTCCACTAAGACTCCGCTGCGCTGATAATCCGTTACCAATACCATTGCCCCTGGCTTCCCTTACAATGCCTTTCCAGCGGCCAATGACTCGCTCAACAAGCACATCTAGATGGACATGCCTATCCGTCAATTCGAAGCCTTTGCTCAACGTGTGTAGTCCCTGATCACCCAGCACGCGCATCAGCGGCTGTTCGAATGGGATCGTGCTAGGAGGTTGAAGTTTGAACTCCCTGGGATGTTGTAACCGGCTCAACTCGTCGACCTGTTGCTTCAAGTGTGCCGTTTCTTGCTTGTGGAAATCCCGCTCCTTCTTCAGAGTGTCTATCTCTTCTGACTTGCGGCCCAGGCCTCTTGCTAACTCCAAAGTCCATATCTCACTACGCTTCGCTTGGGGCAGAGAGTTCCAGTGTGTGAATACATTGTGTAGGTGTTGTGAGACTTTGGCTTCGAGTTCCGAGGCTGCAGCTTCTGCTCGTTGGGCTATTTCGGTTGGGTCCTCGTGCCCTGCAAACATTTCTGGGGGTGGATAGGAGAGGTCTTCTGTTGGGGCGGTATTTGCTATTGCGACTGAGACATGCCAGCTGTGAAAGGCAGAGGAGAAGTGCTCGACTAAGGCGTGGTATTGAGTTTCGTCTGGGGGTAAAATCGACCAAGAGGTGGCGGAGGGAATAGGGGTTGATTGGAACAGCGTAGGAGGTGGTGGGAGGCAGCGGAGCGTTAGAGCTGGGAAGTCCAGGGTCAATGGATCGTAGTCAAATATTGAAGGGCCATCAATACGTTGTCTAGAAGTCTTAGCATTCTTGAAAAGTGGAGTCATTGGAGGCAGTTACATACTTCGCAGCTCGGATTGACCCCATAAGCTCCCTTAATGCCAATTCAGCAGCTTTAGCATTATCCAGGGCATCTAGCATCTTCTGCTTCTGCTCGAAGGTGGTCTTTGCCAACATCTGCTTGCTAACAGATCTGCTTCTCGGTTCTAGCCTCCTGTTTGCATCCCGTTCGTCGCCATCCCAACTCCTCGAATCGCTGGTCCTAGGCGGCGGAATATTGTTCATGACACCTGTGTTCTCCCATGTGCCCTTATTTATGAAGAAACTTGGCTTCCCCTTGAAATTGACCATGTCTCCAGCACCTTCATCTCTCCTTAAGCTTGGTGATCGATTCCCCTGACCGTCAGACTCGGGGCGTGGACTCCTCCTATCCTGAGCAACAGGTGTACCCGCAGGTGTAGAATCCTCTCTCCTTGACGTTGAATTCCTCGGCTGTCTCCTTGTGATCCCTCCTCTCAGCTTCTTGATCTCGTCTACATCATGAACCCCATCTGCCGGCTTGGGGTTCTTCTCCTTTATGTAAAGATCGAGATGGCGTCCCAGGGAGGAGGATGTGAATTGCTGGTGACAAAAGGGACAGGACTTGTCCTTTGGGGCTCCTGTCTTGCTGCCATTGACGGAGAGGTCTGCCGTGGACCCAGGGGTACCCATTTGTTCGGCCATTTCTGTACGCGCTTGCTCTGCGGAGGTGGGAGGTTTATGATCGCATTTGGTGGATGTTGGATTGGGATTCGTATTAGATAGAGACTTATAGACAACAGAATGTGTGAAGAATTGAAATATCGAATGGTAAATGGAGGGGATCAAGGAAAGAAATTAGACTTCGCAAGTGGGAATCTAAGGGGCATGCAGCTTTGTTGTCCTGGGGGGAGAGGGCTCATATTATTTCGCTTGCACTCAGGGATGGCGCCCACACCCCTGCCCTGCTAGACGCAAATCATCCGTCTGGTCTTGGTCTTCCAGAAGGAACAGCAACACAAACACGAGGACTCGAGAATATCCTGAAACATAACAGGAGGATCCTGTGCTCTCAAGGTTTATTTATATGAGGAGCAACAGGATTAATTGCACAGATTTATCTGATAGATGGCTGGAGAAAACATTTCACAGTTCTGTTGAGTCTCGTCTGCGGCACGTATCTATCACTTATGCAAGCTATTTTGGGATGTTGGGTCGACACTTGGAAATCAAGTCTATGCTTTTCTCTCTACGAACCGCTTGATGCACGCCACCAACCAATACCGGTATCATGAATCATAGCTTCTAGGCTTTGCATAATGAAACAGACTGAACACAATCCCGCCAAAAAAACAGAAGCAAATTGAGAATCATTGGAGGAGAGGATCCTAATTTGGTTAGTGCAATGTGCAAGAAATCCTGTAACGAGGAGACTTACTCTGAAATGCTTCTGCATATTGTTTTGCTTGTTGACGCCCCATTGATATCTTCGAGTTTCCCTTTCTTGAACTTTCCTGGCTCGCTTCTCGATAATCGCAACTTCCTTCCGCTTCTCAGCAGTCACACCTTGCATTCCGAGGCCACCATTTGCTCTGCTAACCATTGCTCTGCCACGTTCTCTCTCGTTGCGGCGAATGATTCTCTCGTCTGTCTCCTCCTCAGAACTTGCTGCTTCTTGGATGGCGAGCTGTTCCTGTCTCTCTGCAGGGGAAGGATGGCTGTGGAGATTCTGTCTGTAATACTTGTTTAACGATCGGTGGCCGGCAGTCCGTCCTGAAGGAAGGTGAAGCTCATAGTCGGAGTAGAATACAGCATGGGCGTGTTTGTGTGCATGTGAGTGCCACCCGTCCTTATTCCGGTGTGGGCGCGGATCATCATGTGAGTGATGAGGATGTTGGTCAAGTTTCTCATATTGATGTTGTCGGCCGGCGGGAACTGCAGTGAGATCGGCAGAGTCTAATGACGACTCGGAACTGTCAGTCTCCCATCCATCGCCTTCCTCCATATTCTCATCACCATCCTTGTCAATTTTAGCTTGACGCCTGGCTCCCAACTTGACACCTCCGCTCTGCTTCTTGCCTGGCAAATCATCCGACTCATCCGACTCATCTTCAATATCTGAGTAGGTACTGGTGAAATCGTAGTACTCTCCGATTTCCAGTTGCTGCTCCTCGGTATCGAACGGAATCTTACAATGACCCTTGTCCCTCATGTGAGTCTGAAGACCAAACACAGTAGGCTTCAATTTTCCACAGTACAGGCACTCGTGAAATTCGTGAATCTTCTCATACAGATTACCAAGTAGTCCATCCAGTTGAACCAAGTAGTTTCGCTCCGGAATGAACATGCCGTGGATACGTTCCATGTGCGAAGCATTCAATTCCATGGATGGCGAGTCGTAGTTGCAGAACAAGCATCGCTTCAAAGCAGTTTCCAAAGTGATCTCCTCATCTGCCGCAGTGACGGAAGATGCTGTCTTGACGGAACCTTCCTTCTCAACATCTGCCGAGTGATGTGGTCTCGACGGTCGTCGTGTGGCTGGCGGAGCATCCTTCAGGTTTGCTTTCTTGATGCTTTCGACCACCTCGTTGAACTCCTCCTCTGCGTCGGAATCTATATCCTCCACTGCTACTGTCGCTGGCTCTCCAAGTGAGAATGTCGAGCTCATTACAGAGCTGGCATCGTCAATCGTCGTTCCTTCGGCGGCAGCCATCTTTGCTCTATGCTTCTGGCTCCCAACATGGTTCTGGTAAGCATTCTTGCTGAAGTATGTTCGTGCACAAACGGTACAAGTCTTCTCATATGCGGCTTTGTTTGCGGCGGCTGTGGACGAAGCCTGCGCTTGGAGGACCTTCTCGGTGAAAGTTTCGGACGAAATCGGCGGAAGAGAGGTGACACGACGCTTCAAGTTGTATCGGCTGGAATTTCGAGTTAGAGAGTGAGGGGATACACAAGATGGGCCAAGACTCACTGCCAGTCGCTGCGCATGTGCGCCCTCTGCAGGTCACTGTTCCTGAACGCCACTTGACAAGTATTGCAGGTATACGGATGGGACGAAGCAGTGTCTGCTTGACCAGACGCTGTTGGGGCCGGCATTCTGCTGGCTGCGATAGAAGCCATGGTGATTTTTTGAGGTCGGGTTTGTGTTGTGTGGTTAGGAAGTTCGATTTGTGTTGTGGCGATTCTCCGTTGATAAGGTTGGTGGGGGTTGAAAAAGTGGATAGGCAATCAGGGCCTTTTTCCTTCAAATTGGGGGGTTTGATGAATAATGCGTTGGTGATTTGCACGCCACCAGAATGTCGTATTTGCGCAGTCGACTTCAAAGGAAGATTTGAGAGGGACAAAAATGTCGTACCGCGTCTCGATACTGAAACTTGTCCTTGGTGGAGGGAGATGGTGGTTGGAAATGAATTTCCTGAATCGTGTATGTGACTCGCAACTTAGGTACGGACTTGCAGCGAGGGAAATGCGATTCAAGAAAAGAGATTTGGAGGGGTCAACTACTACTCGCACTGGATGAGGGAGTGGGACTGGGACTGGGACTGGGACTGGGACTTGTGTAGGTAAGCGAAACGTCATAGGGCATCCGCGACATCCTCGCCTTCGCCCTCCCCCTCGCCCTCGCAAGTCGCGACAGGGCTGAAGTCAGCCGCCGAGGCCAGGCCAGGCGGCCAGCCCAGCGCCAAACAGCCCATGCGTCTTTTGGCTTCCATTCTATTATTGACTTTCAACGGCACGGCACTCTGACTTCGAGCTTGCCTTCAGCCTCTACATCCATCGTAACTTACCACATCATCACCCCCTGAATCCAGAATCGCACATGCGAACGCAGAAACAGCTCGGTGACCCATCAAGTACTTACCTTCACTGCCAATGTCATGACTCGAGATACTCACAGAGTCCATGATGACCGAGAAACCGTCAGTGATGCGGACATCTACGCAGCCTTGTGGGCAACAGCACCCTTCCCACGCCTCCCTGAAGATGCGCCCAGCGAGCTGAAGAAGCTTATGGTTGACGTGGATGATCCAAAGAGAATATATGGAATCCATAGAGCGCGTAGACGACACAACTTCCAGCTATTGGTTGAAAGGTGTGCTATCATCCATTTGCATCCCCTAAGTTTCACGTCCACCCCTAAGTACTGACCCGTTGCCAGATATATCCTCCAGATCCGATATGGCTGCCAGTCGAAAACTTGCACAACTACAACATGCTTCTCTTGCCGCAAACGCGTTGCGAATGGTGCCCCGATTCGCCGATACAATTCCGCCAGTGCCCGGACGTTGGCGATATACATGGCCAGCCAAGATAATCCTGAGATGGGGCTTTGCCATCACAATAGCACCGGTCGATTATATCCAGATGCTCCCAGGCCATGTAAGCCCAAGCCTGGCCTAGCAGGTCAATTACGGACATCTGTCATACAAAGCTCAGGACCCAAGTCGGATGAGAAGGAGTCTTCAAAGACTGCGCCGAAGAATGGAGCTTTCGTCGAGGATTTACCAGATGTGGATAACCACGCCGAGAAGAAGAAACCGTCGGAGGTGCTGAACCGGTGGGCGGAGCTGGATTTAAGTCTTCTAGAGGATGCAGATGCAAAAGACCCTCGTTCATTTGTCCAAAGTGTATTTGGCACTGCGGCATTCAAGATGATAGAGTGGCTTACGCCTAGGAACCTTGCAATTTTTTCTCAGACTCGAGATCATGGAGATTCGGGATCACGACTGTCTAATACCCATCAACAATACGACGCAATCGACCCTCCACTCTCTCACGAACTCAAGGATGCTGCACCGTCAAAGCCTGAGTCGGACCAGGAAGACAAAATCGTAGCCCCCAAGAAATCCACCGTGAATGAAGGACATGAAATACTACCACCATTTGGTATTACTCCAGTCTCACAGCCTACCGCCTCACAAGACGCACCAGGTACTCCCATGCCTTCAGAACCGAAGCCGCATGTAAACTCAGTCGCAAGGACTGCGCCGATTTCGAATAGACGGAGGAAGTCTGACACAATCGAATCACAGAATCCGAAAGGCATTCTCAGTAAGCAGCAGAAACAGACAGATTCAGCTGTTGACCCTATGTCCACACCTACGGCAAGCGTACCTTCCTTGCCAAAACACAAGATACCTAGACAAGCCCTGATTACCAGCCCGAAGATGAAAATGTCGGATTTTAATACTCAAGTCCACGAAATCAAGCCTATAACAAGCAAACCCGTAGTCGGGTCATTTGAAGCACCAGTAGCCAAAGATGATGGCAACGATAGACCTGATAAGCCGCAAGAAACCAGAGAGGCCCAGGTCACTTTACAGACAAATATAGCGCTTACTCCGGATGCGAAGCCATCACCTACCAAGGACGTCCTTCTTCCTCAGTCCATGTCTTCCTTCTCAATCGAGTCAATCAACTTCTTGTGCGATGTCATGCAAGATGATAATTCTGCCGAGAAACACCTTCTACAACCTGCAACCATAGAAGGAAGCTCGAAAAGGATTCGCGAAGCCCCTCCATTTCCGCTTTCTCGGGAAGTCACACTGCCCAGATCTTCCCTTCGATACAGAAACCAGTGGAAGGTGTTCATTGAGCAGAGTTTCTTTGATGTGTTGGGAAAATCTGATTCGCTTCTGAGGTCCTTCCGCGACGAAGATTCGGAACCGTTCGATTCGCAGACGATATGGTATCTCATGCTTCGAATCACTCGAGTTGCTCCCTCCCTGCTGTTTGACCGCCTGTGGAACGTAACTGGCACTTTGTTCCGGCCACCGCAGCAATTGGAGGATGCCTATGAATGGGCCAAAGACCACAAATCTTACTCCAGAAAAGCATTGTCGAATCATGATGCTGCACGGCTGTTGAATATCTGTCTTCACGCATTGATCGCCTCCGCGCCGTTCGTGTCTGACACGCGTCAAATGGCAAATATGTCTCGCATACGCTCATATGGACTGGCAATGTTAAGTCGGGAATACTCCTCTCTAGAGTCAGTGGATTTGTGCCTGGCTTACGAAGATGCTTTCAGCAACGAGCCCGCTTTTAGACTTGCACGTAGACTTTTTGCAGCAATAACAACGAGGCGCCGATTTACAGAGCTTCTTGATCTCCAAAGGGGTAACCGAAATGACCAGTTTCGCGAGTCCGACGTTCTAGAATTGCTTGTCGATTCGTTGAAGTTTCTTGATCTTGGAACCACCCCAATCCTCTACTTCACAGATGATGAACGTAGCCTACACGAGAAAAGGGTTCCTACCTTAATTCTTGATTGGGCAAGAGCCGTTATGTTGCAAGAATGGGAAGGGTCTGCAGAGGTTCCAAACGATGGTCCGTTTGGTGGTGCTCTGGCCATGATGGCAGCCATCTGTAAGTATTCTCGTGACTCTCTGAGTAACAGTATGGTAATTGACAGCAACAGACAAGAAGAGAAAGTCCTTAATTTTAGGGGACATCCACTTTCGGACAGAGTACTTTGCCGAGCGTCTTGATCCAGTGGCAATGCCCCTTGAATGGCTTTCGTACGATCAGAACAAGAAAACGGCTCATCTGTTGGACCACCCGTATCTCTTCGATCCCTCGACACTTGTCACATACTTCAGAGCAATCAATTATTCTCGAATGAACCAATCGTATGAGAGGGCGCATACAACCGGACATCTTGTCTCTCACTTCATGTCCGAGGGAAGTTTGGTGACTGAGAAGTATAAGAGGGATAAATTACACGATCGCCTCCGAACCGCCACATCTGAATTCATGGTACTTGAGATTCGTCGGACTCATGTACTCTTGGATACCTTTAATGCCATCTGGAGAAGAGAAGAGCGGGAGCTGATGCGACCTCTGAAAGTGAGACTTGGTGAAGAAGGCGGCGAAGAAGGCCTAGATTCCGGTGGAGTCCAACAGGAGTTCTTCAGACTGGCCATAGCGGAGGCCCTGAATCCTGACTATGGTATGTTTTCTTTCAGTGTCATAACGTAACCTACTAAGTTCCTTTAGGCACATTCACTATTGACGCTAGAACGAAGATGACTTGGTTTCTACCTGGATCTCCGGAACCTTTGTGGAAATTCGAGCTTATTGGAATGATAGTCTCTCTGGCAGTGTACAACGGGCTCACTTTGCCAGTCACGTTTCCAAAAGCCCTCTATCGAAAGCTACTAGGCGAAGAAGTGACAGAGCTTCATCATATCGCGGACGGCTGGACTGACCTAGCAAATGGGCTCACAACGCTTCTGGAATGGGACGAAAAAGATGGATTGGTAGAAGATGTGTTTGCAAGAACTTACGAGTTTAGCGTCGAGCAATTCGGACAGCCAATCAGCAGAGAAATGGGTGCTTCAGAGAGTCACTGGCCTCAGTTCCCAGAGCTTCAGAGCAATTCTAATCCTGTTGACGCTCCCTCGGTAACGAACGAGAATCGCAACAACTATGTCAGCGACTACATACGATGGCTGACTGATGTGTCCATCCAACCACAATTCGAAGCCTTCAAGAAAGGTTTCTTTTCCTGCATCGACAGACGCTCCATCACCCTCTTCGACCCGGATACCCTCCAATCAGTCGTCGAAGGTATTCAAGAGATCGACATCTCCGAGATGCGCCGCGCAACCCGCTACATAGGCTGGGACGCATCTCATCGCTCTATCCGCGATTTCTGGAGCATAGTCAAACGCTACGATCTCCCGCAGAAGCGCAAACTTCTCGAGTTCGTCACTGCGAGCGACCGAGTCCCCGTCGGCGGGATGCGTAACCTGCAGTTCACGCTGCAGCGTAACGGCATTGATGATGGGCATTTGCCCAGCAGTTATACCTGCTATGGCATCCTTCTCCTGCCTGAGTATTCGAGCAAGGAGGTCTTGAGGGATAAACTGGCGATGGCGTTGGAGAATTCAAAAGGGTTCGGGTTTGCTTGATGCTTGATGGATGATACACTTATTGGGGATTGCGGGTTGGGATGGGACAGGACCATGGGGAAGGGAAGGGAGGGATTCAGAGATGGTTGGCGTTGGCACGTTTGTTTGAAAGTTCGATAGATGTGTAATGAACAGAGACCAAGTGTGTACGCGTGACTCCATTTGATTGCCTTTACATAGAGGTAATCATTATCTTTCTTTCAATTACCGTACACCTCAAACTCAAACCCATCCTTCTCGCGCTTTCGTACAGAACCCGAACCAAGAACCCCCTTTACGAAGCATGAAAATTCATCTCTATTTCTCTTCATCCAATCTCCCACCCCTCCCTCACATTCTGAACCATCCCTCCATCCTTCCTCAAGATACAATCTAGATAATAATAACCACAAGTCAGAACCCTAAACTCAAACAAGTATCACCATTACCATCCATGTCATCGGTGGGTTTTCTGCCCCCTGCCCGTGCATGCACATCCGCGTCTTGTTCATTCACACCCTGCATGTCTACACTTGCCAAGCACCGAAGTGTGGTGCCTGGTGCGTCGGGTCGGTACGAAAAACGATAAGCGAACAACGTAAGTTAAGGTAAGGTACGACGCCTCGACTCGACTCTACTCTACTCGGCGGCCGTAAGCTCCGAGGATACGTACGTACCGACACGAAACTACGGTATGAGTTCGGGCTGGTTAGTTGTTGGAAAGGTAAATTAGTGAGATGAGTTAATTCTCTCAGGCTGCACGTGGGAAGTTTTGCATTACCTGTAGAGAGCTGCAAATACGGCGGGTTGGCAAGTCTTGGGCCGGTACTGGGATGATCGGGATGATCAGGTACTTGTACATGTACGTGTACATGTAAGTTGAGATTTCGCTTTCAGACCCAATCCAGCCAAACTAAAACACTCCGAAAAGCGCATAGGTATACGAAATACGATATGCGATAAGCGATTTTTCCCGTCAGGGGTGATCAATAAATAAGTGTTTTTGAGGAACTGCCGCTCCTCCGTCGTATTTCGCTATCCTGGATACGATACGAATACCGAGTCTGATTTTCATTTGTGCTGGTGTACCCCGCGTTTAGAGATTGCGTTTCATCGGTTCGGATGAGTGAATGGGTAATTGTTAACAATGACCAGTTTGGCATGTCAGCTTACTCTTTTCGTCGGAAGTTTAAGTTAAGAACCGATTCAGAACAGCGGCTGCTTTTTCCGTCATCACTTTATTTGGACTTTTGAACTTGGGGAATCACGCTTCTTCGTTCTATTCTGTTCTGGGTACGAGTCTGTCTCTGTCATCTGACTTCAGTGGTCTGTTTTTGCAAGTTTGATTTTGATAGAAGAGAAGTAACGAGTTCGGGGAATTTGGAGTCGCACTTGGCGAGCTTGCTTGCTTATTGTCGTTGTTTCTTGTTCTATTAGCTTGCTTCTTTCAGATTCAAATCCAGTGCGATTTGCAATTCTAGAGTTGAGCGACAGGAACGGAACTCGAAGTTGGAGACATGGGAAGAATGTACGACCTCGTCGTCCTTGAGCCGACTAGCAGCGAGGTTGGACTGAGGATAGTGGAGCATGTTTCTGAGTTCTTGAGGAAGGATATCAGATGGGCTGTTGCGGGACGAGATGTTGTTGAGATGCGGGAGTGTGTTGAGGGGTTGAAGAGGACGAAGGAGATGGGACGGTCGATACCTGGTATGTTTTCATGTTCATTCTCTTAGTTGTTTTGATGTCTGGGAACATGGACGAGAGAGAGTTTGGGCTGGAGTTAAAGATTGAATACTGATATGTTTGTGGTATAGCGATCGAGCTATGTGCTACTACAAAAGAAGATTTTCAAGCTCTTGCAAGGAGAACGAAAGTCATTATCAATATGCTGGATATTGGAGAAGGGAGGGGAGAGCTGGTCGTTGAGGCTTGTGCGCGTAATGGAACGCATTATCTTGATTCGTAAGTCGGTTCAGCGAGGTTCCTAAGTAGGTTATGCTGACCCATAAACCAGGGCGAGTGACATCCATTGGCTGGGAGGAATGATACGAAGATATCATCATGTTGCACGCCAGAACAAATCGATTGTAATGCCATATTCTCAAACTTTTGAAGGTTGACTGACAGTTTTAGATCCTCTCACATGTCAGCGTGGAAAGTACACCTCAAGATCTCCTCTCGCTCTGTGCAGTCATGGAACTGAAGAACAAGCTCAACTTACAAACAAGAGAGGTGGTCTGCACCATCAACGACTTCCCGTAAGTCGCCAAAATACACCCATCAAGGCCAGACTAACAGACCACAGCGATCAACTTCCAACGTCCTCCTCCCGCCCACCATCCCACCGCTCGCTTTCCTCCTCATCCACAACCATCTCACCCACACCCCTTAAATCTCCCCGCCACCCCCCACTAAACCCCTGGTTCCTCTCACACACCCAAGGCCAAACCTGCACCGCCTCCAGTCTCAGCACCCGAGCCTCTCCCCGCCGCGAACTAACACTCGGTCTCCTCTCCCCCAGCACAACTCTCTCTTCCCAACAAACCCGCGTCCTAGTCCACCGAAGCTGGGCACTGCTTGACTCAGGCCGCTCTTATGGAGAAGACTTCTATTATAATGAGTATAGGGAGATGAGGCCTTGTAGGGAGGGGGTGAGGGAGAAGATGGGGCTGGGTTGGGTGAAGAGGTTGTGTTGTCAGGAGGAGAGGAGGGGGCAGGCTGTGGAGAGTTCGAGCTCGAGTTTTAGCTCAAGCGAAGAGAAAGTCGATAGCGGTAAGACCACGCTACGTGCGATTGCCATCGCGGCACAGGAAGGTCCTTTCCCAGATCGTGCACTGGCGGAGTTCTCGTACGGAAAGTCTGCTGCGCATCTCACGGCTGCGTTTTTGGCGGAAGGCGCGGCGACGATTTTATATACGAAGGGTTTGCTTAGGAGGGTTGGTGGTGGGGGTGTGCTTACGCCTGCTGTCCTAGGGATGGATTATCTGGAGAGGTTGGGGAGGGTGGGTGTTGAAATTAGAGGGGAGTTGGTATGAGGTTCTGGTATGACGCTGAGAGCAGCGAAGGAGAGCAGGATTGAAGAAAGGAAGAGGCGGTGGATATGACATACTTTCATCTTCTTATTCTTGCGAAGATACCCTTGTTTATGGTCCAGATTGCTGGGATGTTTTGTTGATTATTTTCATGATTTAAACATAAGCGAGAGCTAGTCCTTTGTCCCGAATTACTGCCTAAGTGCGGCTGTCGCTCTTTATGTTACATGCCAAACTACTCTGCATATCTATCGCTCCTGTTTGGATCCTCTACCTGGCGGTAAGAAGAGCGCAAATCCTCCTCACCATTTCCCACAAAGATCAACCGCAACACTTTCCAACCCAGGCAAATTATAAGTACGGCTGTCGCTATAAGCATTGCGTACATGGTACGAGCAGCTGAGTAACTGGCGATTTGAATGACCCTCTGCATCTTTTTCTCGGCTTGTGCTCTCGAATATCCCTCACTCATGAACACCTGTACCATTTTAGCTTTATCGCCCTCGATGTCATATTGCCGGTTCTTCAATTTTTCGCGATTTCTCCTGCTAGCTGCAGCTCTCGCCCACATGCGATCCTGAGCACTTTTCTTCTCCGCCACCATTCGCTCCCAAGCTTTGCGATCTTCTTCTTCGTCAATGTCCTTCTTTGTGTCGTTTTCCCTGAGGCGTGACGACGAAGAGAAGGTCCGAGAGTTCGGACATGTGTAACGAGCCGCGAGTGTAGTAGCCGAGAGCCTGGAAGTTGAAAGGCAAGTCCGTGACGGTACGAATGCGAGTCGACGCGAGAGCTTAAACATGATGAATTGATGAGAGGGGTGGTTCTGCGCAAGAATTGTAGAATGAGAATTTACTGGTTTCGGAGTATCTCCGGAACTGTTGGTTGTATGGAAGGCGAGGGCTGCGATGGCTGGGGTCTTCTGGGAAATATCAAACTCTGGTTAGAATATGTCGAAGACGTCGCCGTTATCAGGCATGCATGTGGGTGATGTGTCTACTGGTACACCGCTGGATTTGGTTCAAGACTTGTTGCCGTGGATGCCTCGATATCTGCTCCACGTCATCCGGAGGGGCAACAGGCGCCAATGCCGCAGAACAATCGGCACTGGGGCCAAATTGAATGAGTAGAGAAGTCCGTTTGTGTGGTCTCTCGATTGCTGCGGAGTCGGGATGAACCAAAGCTAGCTAGCAGTGTGCATTGGTGCAGAAGAGGGAGATGGACAAGATATATTCGTCATTCAGAGACACGCTAGGGACTTCGGCATTGGCAAGTGTAACTCAAATGATCTCGATCATGGGCAATTCTGAGGAGACTCGAAGCTATCCTCATTGTCGTGAAGGAGATTCCGAGGGCTCGTTGTCGTTGAGTTGAAGCTCCATCCCTGTTCTGCCGAGGGCGGTGAGACCAATCTTGAGCCGCTCTACCACAATCTTCAGTTCAAAATCCGTTGAAGAATGGCCAAATTGACATCTCAACACCATCTCTGTTTGGAGTTACCCTCATGGTCCATTCATCACATTACAATCCGTGATCACTTACTCTTATCAGTAATTCTTTCGCTATTTTGGTAAATATCATAGTCAGAGTCGGCTCTTGAAAGATCTCAAGACCAACTTTCTGAGACCGGTTGTAACGCAAAGATATGGCACTGGAGGAGAGAAACAGTGACCTAGCTGTCCCGCATTTGTTATTCTCGGGATTGGTAATGTAGAATTTAGAGAGAAGCTCCCCCGGATGCGCCGATCATAACAACAAATGCACGTGTACAGCGACAACCGAAGGTTCTACTTGGTAAGAGTTTAGTGGAGTTTACTAGTTGACATCACCTAGAGCTCAATCATTCGTTCATATGTTGACATGTTAGGTATGACTCAATGATTCGTTAGACAGAGAGGGCTTTCGTGCTTGCCACGTACGATAGATCGCCCATGGATTACCCACACAATTGGAAAATTGTCAAAGCCCGTGTATGTGTACACCCACTTTATTTTTCATACTATTGTTGATCACGTATTATGTGATAATTAATATCGAACAGCTTAAACAGCAGTGCTCCATCATGAATAGCTACAAGGTGCGTAGCGAGCGAAAACAAAGTGTCGCTTAACTAAGACAATGAATCGCCATGACACTGACTCGAGAAAAGGGAACCCAACCAATGACAAGGACTTTGATTTGAACACAGAAGTTCCGTTGCAAATCGCACCTCAATCGGTGAGGCTTCTATTAGAGTTGATTATGCTGAGGCGAGGCTAACCTATCGCAGGTCTCACGTAATGGCCTGGAAATGCAGTAGAACAATAATAGCGAAACCGAGAATAATGGTAGAAGATGAAACGCCAAGTGATTTCACAAAACAGGAAGTAAGAGTAGAGAAATAAATGCGTGATGAGAATAAACACAATGCTTATCATTTCCCAAAATATATCCTCTTCAATGCAAGTGTTGAAAGTCGAGGAAGGTGGTAGCTCCAAAACAAAAGCAGGCGAAAGAAGCTGATGGGTCTGGTCACATCCCAACGAGGCCAACTTCTTGGTGGCATGGCTTACTGTCCTCGGGAAACTGAGCCATTGAAGCTCGAATGGTCCCGAAATACAACCCTAGGATAATAATTGGTTTCTCAAACTGGCTGAAGACGATATCCGCTCGATCCGCTCGATCCGCTCGGATAAGTCCTCAACCGTGTTTATCACCGCTCGCTTGCTAGACTGCGGACATGCAGATGTCATCGAGTCGAGTGCATGCTGTGGTAAATTCTTGTCAGCATTTCTAATCGATCGATGACGAAGCTGCGGTCGGTCCGTCGTCAAATCAGAGTATATTTCCTTGTCTGGCTAAATCTAAAAGCCACGGGGATAAAAGGATATAAGCCAATTTGATGACCCGTACATGCGTGATCACGAGAAGTGACGTTTGTTTGGGTGCAGGTTAAATGAAGAGCTGGTAATTCGAGGGAGAAGCTTTGATCTGGCTAGACCCATGGCGGGTTTAAATCGGCGTTAAGGTTGAGCTAGACCAGACATGTAAAAGCTTGTTTGCTTTGATAGAGCTTGATTGGATACATGTGAACTCCATTACCATGGACTCAGGATTAACTTTCCCATTCGCTGGTTCTGTTTTAGCTTTTAGGCGTGACCAGCTGCTGCTTTAACAGAGCTTGAATATGCAGCTAAATCGCTGCCGTTGGCTACAATGTAAATATGGATCATCTGGATCAAGTCACATGTGCAGGCGTCTCATTGAGGGGGTTAAATCTAGATCTGGCAAGTTGTGATGTGTAAATCAGTTGTGATGTGTAAATCGATTAAATCATTATGGTCGTCGCGCCTCCAAACACCAAGCATTCATCGTGTCTAGCCCACAAGCCGCGCCAGATTCGTATCCCAATGCACTATTCGCTAGACGGACATTTTCATGGCAATCGACTTGTGAGGTTCATATCCCTTGATCTCAAAATCCTCTAACTTCCAGCCGTCAATGCTTCCACCTTTATCTCGCTTGATTTCCAGTTCTGGAAATGTCCGCGGCTCACGCTCCAATTGTACACGCAGAGCATCAATATGATCGAGATAGACATGTGCATCTCCCATAACATGCGTAAGACTTCCAGGGACCAGGTCACAAACATGAGCGAGCATATGGCAGAGGAGAGCATAGCTGGCGATGTTGAATGGTACGCCAAGCCCCATATCGCAGGATCGCTGATACAATTGGCAATGGAGATGCCCTTTCGGTTTATGTTCGCTATTCCCCTCTTGCGCCTGTCCTGGAAAGGAGACGTAAAACTGGGCAAACATATGGCAAGGTGGCAGCGCCATGATGGACAAGTCTTTGGGGTTCCAAGCGGAAAGAATCATTCGGCGATCGTAAGGATCCGTTCGAAGCTTGTGTATAATGTCTGCCAGTTGGTCCACACCTTGACCAGTATAGTCCGTTGATGAATCTTTGTAGTCGGCGCCGAAATGTCGCCATTGAAAGCCATACACTGGACCCAGATCACCAATTTCACGGTGTGTTAAGCCTCTGCTGTCTAGGAATTCGCGCGATCCATTGCCATCCCATATCTTCACTCCAGCTTCACTCAGTGCGAGGGATGATGTGTTGCCCTGAACGAACCAGAGTAGCTCGGCGATAATGGCGCGCGTGAAAACACGTTTTGTTGTAAGAAGAGGGAGGATCGGTCGCCCATTGTCGTTGAGCTTGAATTTGAGTGGCCGCGGTGCGAAGATAGACAGAGTCCCGGTCCCTGTTCTGAGATGTGTGAGATTCCAAACTTGCATGTATTACATATCGATCTGGATATTGACTCACCGATCTGGTCGTTTCTCACCAATGTCCAGAATCTCGCGGATAAGATCGAGGTATTGATGCTCCTCGTGTAATGCCGGAGACGCCATTGGTACGAATTCACCCATAGAGCCTCCCCAGAAGAACGGTTTGTCGGGGAAAGGATTGAAGATTGTTTATTGAGATATGGCAGTAGAAAGCGTAAATCTGCCAAAGTATGTGGTTGTGGAGGGGTATGGAGATGCATGCACTTTGCAACACGACGGGACGCGTCTGTTTCGCGTCGACTGAGCCGAGGGTGATTAGCGCCTGAGCAAGAGCAGCAAGCACACTAACCGCATTCGGGGCGCAAGGAACGGAAGATTGTCGGGATTTATGATAATCAAAAATGGGGTCGCATGTTTCGGTGCGGCGAAGATGCCGGACGGTGCAAGGACGGCATCTGGCAGTAAAGGAACGGGAGTCTCTGCAGAATGGATCTGCAATTGTCTGCTAAGCATCTCTCCACCGTCGAGAAACCCTGTTGAGGATTATCAAGCAGGCCTCGGAAGCTGGACTACAAGAGGAGCTTGAGGATCGAAGTGGGAATGAAGCTGGTGGAACTTCGTCAAGACTGTACATATCGAACGACTTTTGGAAGAGCTTGGAGCTTGGACGATGATAATCGAGTGATTGGACGACATCGAAAACAAACAGACTCGAGACAAGCACCATGACAGAAGCAAGCGAGAAAACGGAAGATGGAAATCGACTATCTGGAGAGGGGCTATCGCCATCAGAGGAATCCTACCACGACCTCCCACCCTCTAAAGAATTCGAACCCATTGCTGGACCAGGCGAAGGTACTCCTAGCAGACCAAATGCTCTGGGAAGGTACCGAACTGGAGCATCTTCGATGTCAGGTGTTAGTAGGACGAGAACGCACAACGGATATGGATGCGATGATAATGAGGACTCGGGGCAGGACGTGGAGGGAGGAGTGCCAGACAAGGACCCATTCGACGTAGTCTGGGAAGGAGGTGATTTGGATCCTCTGAATCCTAGGAGTATGACCACTGCGAGGAAATGGCTGGTGGTAATAATTGTTAGCGCAAGCTCGCTGTGTGTGTATGTCTTCACCATGTCCATTGGCAGTCCAGTCCTTCTTTGGGATTGGGGTGGCAGGCAAAAAGAGTTCTGTATGGAAGTTGAGAAAGTACTAATTTCCACTGCAGAACTTGTACATCTTCGATATATACTTCCACGTATGGACAGATAACCAAGGAGTTCCATTGTTCGAAACTTGTTGCAACTTTAGGATTGTCGCTTTTCATTATGGGTTTAGGCATAGGACCTATGTTGTTAGGACCTCTTTCGTATGTCCAGGTCTACCCAAAGATACTAGATCTAGCTGACCTGTGGCAGTGAGTTCTATGGACGCCGTCCTGTATACTTGGTATCATTCAGTATGTTCATCATCTGGATCATTCCATCTGCTGTTGCCAAGAACATCCAAACGATGCTCATAGGTCGATTCTTTGATGGACTTTCAGGGAGCGCATTTCTCTCTGTTGCTGGAGGGACAGTTGGCGATATGTTCAATCGAGAGCAGCTTCAACTCCCCATGTTGATCTATACAGCCTCACCATTCGTAGGCCCGTCACTTGGTCCACTGATCGGAGGCTTCATCAACCAATATACGACCTGGAGATGGACATTCTATGTCCTGCTGATCTGGGCAGGTGTTGACCTGGCTATGATCATGCTGTTCGTTCCAGAGACCTACCATCCTATTCTCCTACGGAATAAGGCTCGGAAGCTTCGAAAGGAGACTGGTGATGAGAGATGGAAATCAACGATGGATAGGAACACCAAGTCGATCCCAAAGACCATCGGACTTTCGCTTCAGCGACCATTCCAACTTCTTTTTCTAGAACCGATGGTACTAAATCTATGCCTATTCTCTGCAATTCTTCTGGGGATTTTGTATCTGTTCTTCGGGGCGTTCCCTATCGTTTTCGTTGGCAATCATGGATTCTCTCTCTGGCAAACTGGAATGTCATTCATGGGAATCTTTGTCGGCATGGTCCTCGGTGCAGCAACAGATCCCATTTGGCACAAGAACTACGCTCGCCTGATCCGACAACGCGAAGAGAGAACAGGAGAAGTTGGCGGCAGCGAGCCGGAGTACCGCCTTCCGCCCTCCATTTGCGGCGCTATCCTGGTGCCAATTGGGCTTTTCATGTTCGCATGGACGACTTACTCGTCTGTGCACTGGATCGTACCTATCATCGGGTCAACTATTTTCGGCATGGGGTAAGTCAATATCACCTCCCTTTCTCTGCATTTGATTTCCTTTCCTGGACCTATGGCGTATGGTACCAGCTGCTGCGTGGCTCCTGACTTCATGCCGAGCGCAAGTGGCGTCGAGACAGGAAGTGCCGTACCTGCATCAAGTAAGAAGTATCGAATCTCAAGAATGCATATTCCATCTATGGCTGTCTCGATGAGCAGCGAGTTGATTGGCAATACGCATCCACGTTTATGTCCGTTCCGCATCCGCTTCATGCCATTGATGTGGACGCCTCGCTTCGCACACCGATTTTTCAGCCCCTTATAAAGAACAGGCTCCCCAATCTCCCCTCCCTTTGCAGCTGCCTTCGGTTCAAGCCTGTTGCCGGCCGCCGCTGCAGATAATTCGTGCATACATATATGCATATGCAATGCACGTGCCGTTACACCGACTGCACGGTCGAAAGTAGTATCGTGTAGCTAACCGATGTTGGAAATTTCACACAGGACCCTCCTTGTCTTCTCCGGCATCTTCACCTTCCTCGTCGATGCGTATCCACTCTACGCTGCCAGCTCCCTTGCTGCGAATAGCTTTGCGCGGAGCAGTTTTGGAGGTAAGTTTGGATTTCTCGCAATATACTAGTCATAATTCCATTCTAGCTTAAGAAGACTTTGCACTTATACGGTTTCCTTTTTTGAACAGCTGCCTTCCCACTCTTCGGCGTACAGATGTATCATACGCTAGGCGATCATTGGGCTACCTCGCTCTTGGCTTTCCTTACCGTAGCCATGGCGCCGTTCCCGTACTTATTCTTCGTATACGGCAAGCGGATAAGAGGAACGAGTCGATTCGCTACCGCTTGAGCCCTTACTGTATGACATCTCTCATCTTATACGACACCCGATTTTAGATTTGGCGGTGGTGTTGGCGGTCGTATTGTATTTGTACTTTATCTGTTTGGATGGATGTATGAACGTATCTATTGGAGATAAGTGGCATTTCTATTATTGAATGGGAGTGTAGATGGCGAGCTGAGGGTATGATCTCCGTTTGTGAGGTGGTGGAGATATCAATATTCGTTTTATTTTATTTGACATACACATGCATAGCGTGGGAAACAGGGAAATCATTTAGCCCCATGTTAGAAACAGAAAGGAGAAGTGGACGGAATACAATAATGATGAGCAAAATTACATCAAATCACCTCCCAGCCAGCAGTCACATCTTCATTCCCTTCTTACCGAACTTCAGCTTCAGCCTCACCTCTCGCAGCTGTCTACGAGATCCATCAATCACGTTGTGCAGATTCATCTTACCTTACCAAGAGTAGGTAGTGATGAAGCAACCTCACACACCTAGCCAAATCGTTTCAGACGCTGATCAGCAACACATACACATGCACATCCTCACCCTCAGACTCACACATGCACGCATCATCCTTCACCACCATACCATGCCTTACAGCCACCTCACCACATACATACCCAAGAGAAACTCATCACGACTGCTGATCATCGACCCTATCATCTGACAGACCCGACTCTTGGCTTCGGATGAGACAGTTGCGCTACGTCGTGCTGTGCGCTGCTCGCTGTGATACTGTCATACAAGAGAGGGAGAGAGAGAGTACGTACAGGACTCCGTATACAGGACGACAGGATTAGCATGCGGTGGAACATAGTGAGTGGTGTACAGGGGTCGGGGTTCATGGTTCTTGGGACTGGGAGTGGGAAATTCCAGCGTGGTGTTCGAGGTGTCTCGAGACGAGTTAGTGGTGTCGAGTCGTGGTGTACAGTCAGTACGAGAGGGTAAGCTGATCGCCAATAACGTTCATTGGGGCTTTGGCGATGTGATAGCCCCTATCTGTTCGCAGCAATTTGTGAGGAGACTTGCAAAGTCTGCTTACGGTTTAACTCTGGATGCCTTCTCTTGGGGAAAGTGGAGGTAGCTAGCAAAGTAGACCAAAGCCTTTGAGTTGAGGTTGATGAGATGGGAATGCATGTAGTAGTTGATCCAATGTTCCTTTGAGGTTATCATGGCGGGGTAAATCGAGCCTTGGAAAGGTAGTATCGCGTTGACGGATTGGGATTACCACCTTCCTGTTTGGCCGGATTTCCAACATTGTTGGTCCATATCTGGAAACGCGCAATCCAATTTGGCACGAGTTGGAACTCCTCGTTTTTGAGATAAGATCAACTCGGTTGTCTTCCCTTGAAAAGTGCTCTTGAATTTGGCTTTGTGAATAGTGACACAAACCGGAGATATCTGTGCTCATCGCTCCGCCTTATTTGTCCGCGAATATTGCGTTCAAGGAGAGGAAAAAGGGCGAGGATATACATGAAGATGAGGATAGCCTACCTTGTGATTATTTGTGCGATTACGATAAGTGCAGAAGTACTTGGCAAAACGGAGTGAGTGTTTAGAGCAACTCAGCTGGACACTCGATCTTCTCCAGCGTAGCAATTGACAATTGACCACAATTTAGACTCGACGAAACACGAAAAGTGGACAAGACCGAACCTCCCATAGGCAAAGATAAAGACCAATCAGGACATGTAAGATGTCGTGATGAAGCACTTCGCGCCGAGAAAGATTTCCTCCCTCCAACTTGGAAATCAGGGGAATTCTCCTGATCGACAAAAACCCATCCTTGAGCCTGGGTTAGACACAGAATCCCTTCCAGTCTCAAAAACAACACAGACAGAGTGCGACTGCGACTGTAGATATGATGAACCCGGTGTGTGGTACATCCGTATGTTCATCAATAGTTTACCGAGTCGTGGATGGTTCTGGGCGGCGGGTGTGTTGCTGTTTATTTTCTATCTGCCAAAATGGGTGGCGGAGTGGCTGGTTGTGAGTTACCTTTGATTTTTGAGTTCGTTTTTGTTGAATATGGGGAAGAGGTGAGAATATCAGAAGATTTAGACTGATCATGACATTGATGTAGGTTATTACGAAACTGCTTATTTGGTGGAGGGGTGGAGGGTTACCTGAGTCGGGGCCTTTGAGGAGAAGAGGAACTACCGAGAAGATGTAGTGGTTTGGATTATTATCTCTAGTTGTATGACTGACTAGTGGCCGTGTTTGTATACTAGCAGTCATGTTCAAAGTTGTTCAGTATAATATCAAGGCGGAATCTGTAATTATTTTCAATTGTTTTTCTCGAATTTATATATTTGTAGTGAGAATTGGATACTTACCCCACTGCCTACCCTTCAATATTGTCAAAAAAATTGCAGCTGTCTACCCAGCGAATCTTGATGGTGTTTCTGTTTCAATTGAATGCCATACTTGCGTGAAAATCATAGGATTAGCTAGATCTCGATCTCACAGATTCCTGCGGGAATTAACTTTTACCGCAGAACCGAAGTCGCCCATACAAAACCCCATGTTGATTTCCTCGTTGTTGCCGAAAAGCCGAAAGGCTGTCCGTTCATTCCCAGTAGTTGCCGCCTCACTGCTGCAGACGATCGTGGCGTCTTGACATGCGGTTTCAGAATGAAGGCATGTGACCATTGTTGTGATATTTGTGCAACTCTGAATTGCTCCTGTTTGGTGTTTTGGAACCATGGGAAGACCCGTCAGAATGGCTATCACATTCAGACCCAGACCATCCCCCTGTCTCTATGTCCAGCTCCACCAATCTAATCTAATTTTACCAGCGGGAGCCATGCAGTTGCTTCTGCCATTGCTGCACAAATGGTGTATCCAATTATTCAATGTTGTGATCCCCCTTCCCCTTGTTTTTCCAGCAGGATTAAGCGAGCGAGAGAATTGGTGGTCTCGAGGTGGTGTGGCTGACGCCCGGAGCCCGGACCCGGCAAATACCTCCTCCTCATGCTCAAATTTCGACTTCTCGAGGTTGGACACGCAATTCCTGCGAAACCTCACAACGTGCTGCCACGCGCATCCAAACACTCAATCGTGATACCACCCCTCTATCCTCGCCTCCACCACTATTGTGACGCTCGAGAGCCTGCCGCAGGGAGTCAATCAACAGTGCGCGAATTGCGCGCATGAGCAGAAGGCTGGCGTTCCCTTCAAGGTTCTCAGGAGCTCATCCACGGCAAGGGCCCATCCCATCCCATCCCATCCCATCCCAGCGCTAACCACCCCGCCTCCCATCCTCCTCCACCTCCGCTTCAGCTCAGCTCCCAATAATTCGGTCTCAATTTCTCAGCGCCTCTCCACTTCTAACAAAACAAATCCTTACGCTGGCCTCACCCTCGTCGATCGAATCCTCGAAACGGAGCAAAGAAACGAGCATCCAATACTTCGAACCCTCTAAATACAGCAATTCGACGACGGTCTTGGGCATCAATGCCCCCATTTGCTGCAGCGCAAGAGACTAGGACCGGATACGTGCATGCTGGACTCACAGCAGCACGTTGCACCGCATAGCATTGACTTGCTCCCTCCCTTCCTTGCCCTTCCCTCGCAGCCTGGCACTGGCAGCCAGCAGTCAAATTTCCCAATTGCGCAAGTTCACGCCGTGGCGTACAGCTTCGAGGTGCTCTGCTTGGTCTGCGCGTGATCTGGACTGGGCGAGAAGTGGGGGCAACGAAGCAGACAGGAGGCAGGTGGTATTGGTCGGCGACCGAGACGTGGCTCTGTGCTGCGAGCTCGCACTGCTGGGACCGACAGGGCCTTGGGTTGCTGGTAATACTAGAGATTGCGAGAGTGGTAGGACCAGCGATTTGGTTGGGAGCGAGATAGGAGGGCATACACGCGAGGCATAGGACACAAAGGTCAGGATATCAGAGGAGAGAAACAAGCCGTATTGACGGTACATGCGAAGTCGTGTCCGTGTGCTGATATTGGCACGCGACAAAACGTGGGAGGCAAGCCAGAAGTGTCGGGTACATACTTGTTGGCTCTAAATTGCACTGAGGCGGCGCATTGAAGTTACAGAAGCGTATCTAGTGTCCTGCTGAGAAAGAGACGCCAGACGGTTGCGAATACGGAGGAGGCAGATTGCAGGCCAGGGCTTGGGCTTGGGACCATCAAGGACCGTGAAAGCTGAGTGTGTGGGAGTTGCAAGCAAGGCCATTGTGCATTGTGGTTGCGCCAGACGGCCTACGGCACCCACCAATCCGTGCGGGCGTTCCCTTCTTGTGCAACAAATCATCTGCGGCAAGGTTGATTCCCAGGGTCTCTGACGAACGAGGCAACGACTGGGGTTCTTATTGTATTGATTGACGAGGTGTGGTTTCGCAGGCACGAGCTAGCCTCGACAAAGATAGCCCCGAAGTGGATAATATAAGGCAGCATGTCGGGAGATACTGAGATAGATGACCCTGAGGTTTCGGATGGCGCTTCGGAGAATGATTACAGTGATCATGATCATGAGCCCGACGTTGTAGACAAGGAGGACGACGATAATACGGACATGGCCGAGCAGAAATTCAGACCTGATGGTGATGAGAATGGACAGGTCGGGGGATCGACGGTGACAACAAAGCCAAAGTTGGATCCCAAGGATCCTCTAAGACCGAGGAGGAAGAAGGCGAGAAGAGCATGCTTTGCTTGTCAGAGAGCTCACTTGACATGTGGTATGTTTGCTTTTCTTCGGATGGAGGAAAATGTTTGGTTCCAGATGCCATGTTGCATTAGCTCCCTACTGACACCTCAACTTCGTCCTCTTAATGGGTATGATAAGTATTAACGAACTGGTATAGGTGATGAACGTCCTTGTCAACGATGTATCAAGAGAAACCTGGCAGATGCTTGTCAAGATGGTGTTAGAAAGAAAGCAAAGTATCTCCATGATGCACCTGCAGAAGCTCTACGACCTGTTCTGGGTCCAAACTACAACCAGGTCAATAATACTCGAAGCAATAACGTGCCAAATACTACTAGCTCTGCTTCCGACACATCACCAGGAATTGGTGGTTTCTTCTCCCAAGCGGATACATCACCTTCGTACCCAATTTTCCCTGCACAGCAGAATCAAATGCCGCCTCCTCTACAGTCAAGATTATCTTATGGAAGTCAACAACAATCACCGTTGTCACCAACATTCCAAAATCAAATCAATCGACAGTCGTCAATGCAAAGTTTGGGAGTACCCCAAGTTACCAACCAGGATGCCCAAGCTGCATTTGGCGGAGCGCTATTTGACCCCAGTAATCCTGCGTTATTCAACTTCGACTTGGAAGGGTTGAACTTTGGCAATCATTATGGTGCGTTGGAGTTTGGCATGTTGGGACACATGTCTTCTGGAGCCGCGGAAACCCCACCCAAGGACACGACCGGCTCTATCTCGTCACAGGGCATGGGCGATGTCAGCTTCAATGGCGGCGTGTATGGTAACAACATGGGTTCATTCTCGCAGATGTATGGCCAAGACATGCTACAGGACTACTCTGGTATTGATCGCCAGAACACCATGTTCGGGATGAATCCTGGACTACCACATGCCTATGCAATCGGTGCTGGAACAAGCCATCACAGCCCAAGTACAGACGCAAGTCCAGGAGCAAGTGGTATGGGATTTGAGAGTTCACCTACTGCAACAAGTTACACTCCGAATGTCACCTCGCATCAATCTTCTGCCGCACAACGACCAGCTAAAAGGCAAGATACGAAATCTACAGCTGGCAAGTTTGGTCCTACTTCTGTTCTGGGGAAACGAAACCGAGACCCGTCTTCAATCTACGATACAGTTCACGAGCCGTATTCCTATACTACAGGTTTTCACAGCTTGACTGCGTTCCTCCAGCGTCGCTTCTCTGCGAACAAGACTCTACGCATTGCCAAATCTCTAGCTTCTATCCGTCCTTCATTTATATCTTGCACGAAGACGCTAAACCGACAGGATTTGATCTTCATGGAGAAATGCTTTCAGAGAACGCTGTTTGAGTACGAAGATTTTATGCTGAACTGTTGTACGCCAACTCTCGTATGTCGGCGAACAGGCGAAGTGGCAGCCGTGAATAAAGAGTTCACGCTGCTGACTGGCTGGAAGAAGGATGTACTACTAGGCAAGGCGCCAAATCTCAACATCAACACTGGCCGTAGTAGTACAGATACTTCTGGTCCAGCAAGTCTCACCAATACCGGACGAGCAGGTCTCTCAACCCCAAGAATGCGGCCGCTAAATCTTGCCGACCAACAAGGCAAAGATGGCAGACCTCAACCTGTGTTCTTGGCCGAGTTACTTGACGACGACAGCGTCATCGAATTCTACGAGGACTTCGCACGACTGGCCTTTGGAGATAGTAGAGGCAGTGTAACTACTCGATGCAAGTTGCTTAAGTATCAGACGAAGGATGGTCTCGAATCTCCTGAGCAGAAAGACGAAACCACGATCAAAACCAAGCGAGAGATTAGTGGCGGCATTGGCGGCCTAGGGAACCGAGTGAGAGAAATCGATGGTGAACATGGCATTGAGCGTTTACATCGTGACGGCAAGCTGGATTGTACTTATTGTTGGACCGTGAAGAGAGATGTGTTTGATATCCCCATGCTGATTGTTATGAACGTAAGTTATTATTCCTCCCTCGTTCCAAGACTCTACTAATAACCCTAGTTTCTGCCTTGCATCTAAGAACTATTTCCTTTTTTCTTATAGTATACCTCACCAAAATGTTCACTGGCGTATCTGGGATTTTCGGCATGGCTGCATTTACGGGGCTTGAGAAATGTATGACTGGCAATGAATGATGGATTGATGTATGGATCATTCACAAAAATTGGCGTGCTGCATTGGTAATTCGCATATCAGGCCAGGGAAAGGAAGGGGAAATGCATGGGTATTACAGGACGCTCTGCTATGAGCGAGCTTTGGGTGGCGTTCTGGATCTTGCTTGATTTCTTTCTTTTTTTGGATTTTCTTTCTTTCTGATGGGGTGGGCATTGGCGAGAAGGGTCGGTTGAGGAGTGGATGGATACCCTAGGTGAGGGAGAAAGAGGTAGAATGCAGTGTGGCAGAAGCAGGTGGGCTTGCGTTGTGTATATCGTATCTATGCCTGGTGTGGATATTTGATGGTAAATTAGCTGTCCCTGAGGAGATGGGAAGTGAAATACAAAGTAAATTTTCTCATTGCACACTCTTGATTAGCTTTCATTGCTCGGTGAGGCAATCGTGAGTTAAAAATCATATATAATTGCTTAAATGTTGGTGAAAAAGGCAGTCAAAGTGCCCAGGAGAGAATGTAAGAGATCAGCCTCGTCCCCGCCAAGCGGAATGAGGGGCAATCAATGGCATCGGCCAGATTTTGACCCCGCTGCTGATAAACCACAGCCTTGCATCATATCGACAACCCACCACTTTCCACTAATTATTCCACCCTCTTCAACATTCCTTCGCTCAAGTTGCAGCTACGTACCACCTGTTCTACCCTCACTACGGGCTCTTAATCTGCTGTCCTTGCGGAATTCCATTGTATCTCAGCAACTCAATCGACACTATCGCAGCTTCGGAGCTCAAGTCGATTTTGAACACCACGCCGAAACCGAGGGGCTCAAAGGAATATAGTAAGACCAGGAAATATGGCGGACAAGCAAGAAGAAGCTCCTAAAGCCGATGGTAGAGCTGCGCGCCCTGATATCATAGGAGCAGATTCTGGGCCTGAGCCACCGTTTCCACTGCGCATGAGTGGGAAGGTCGTCAGTGGATTCGGGAGAGGATCAAAGGAGGTTTGTTTATCCCAATACACCACACTCCCCGCCTTGCCCTTCCTGTGCAGGAAACTCTTCGAATCTTTCACTGCTGTAAGCAAAACAGCCAGCTAACCAACACCTCCCAGCTCGGCATCCCCACAGCCAACATCCCCGTCGACACCACACCCTGGATCTCCACCGCCGAATCCGGCGTCTACTTCGGCTGGGCGTCCCTCCTCCTCCCACCCTCTCACCCCTCCCTCACCTCAGACATCTCATCAACGATCCCCTCCCAACCCTCCACAACATTCACCTCCGCCTCCAACACGCCCATCCCTACCCTCTCGCCTCCACCCTCCGCCCTCGCCAAAGGCTGGCGTCTCTACCCCATGGTGATGTCCATCGGGTTCAACCCGTTCTACAAGAATACCGTCAGGAGCGCCGAGGTGCACGTCATGCATAGGTTTGAGGCGGACTTTTATGGATGCGAGATGAGACTTGTGTTGTTGGGGTTTATTAGGAAGGAGCTGGATTATGTGAGTTTGGAGGCGTTGGTGGGTGATATTAGGATGGATATTGAGGTTGCGGGGAGGAGTTTGGGGAGGGAGCGGTGGAGAGCGGAGGGGGAGGGGAGGTGGCTTTGGGGGGAGGAGGAGGAGGTGTGAGTGAGTGGGTGGGTGGGTGATGAGCGGATTGAGGAGAGTGGGCTGGAGATAAGGAAGAGAAGGAGATGGAGGGGGGCACTGGGTACATTCCGACAATGTTGATACATATTCGCTTATTACAAGCTATGGAGTTGATGATGGATGGATATAGAAAGGTTGGAAGACATAGACCGATATTCTTTACACAAAAGAAACTTCGATATTACACACCTCTCCTATCTTTCATGAGCGCTCCCCCTACATTGACTTTCTCCTCTACCTCGTTACACAGATCGTGCGGTCTCATCACTTAAACCCGTCTATACCGAACAAACAGTATCATTACACTCAATATCAAGAGTTTCTGTAGTCATTAGACGTTGCCCCTCCTTTGTGTACTCCCTAGTGTCTATCTGGTGGAACACATCTCTCCACCTATCTCGACGGGAGCGGAAGTAACCTTACCTGACTCCTCACTCGCACCTCCATGCTCGTTTGGGAACCAATCATTGACATTTCCAGTTGCGTATTTGTACTACATGAAATAGCCATTACGGCTGTACAGTCGTAGCCATGAATTGCGAAAGTTGTGGATGAACCACTATCTTTGCATTGATCTGACGCCTGGAGTTCATCTCAAAACTTCTGGTATTGAAAGTGGTGGGGAAGGTCAGAAAGATGTAGTTCAGGAGTATCACTGCCGCCTGAATACCAAAGCCACGAGGCCAGCACATTTACGTTGTTTACCTCTCGAAACCAAATCATCAGGTCTCTTCCCCTCTGTATCCACCACCAAAAAAATCATGCTATTCCTACCTACCTACGGTCTCACAAATATCTCTCAGAGGCAGATCACTTCATCACTCATCACCTATTCCATGGATCCATCTCTCCCAGATGCAACCCCTTCTATATCCAGCCCATCCCACATCTCTGCACAACAGTGATAGGGAACTCGCATGACATGCATGAATAACACATATCCATCCGAGTCTTCACAACATTCAGTCGAACTTCAAACTGACAGAATGCAGTGTTCGCATTATCACATCACGTCGCTTAGAGAGAGAAAACTTGAAACAAACAATTGTATGGCGCTAGGTTGCGTTGTGTCCGTGCTATGCTGTACGGGGTTGTGCTGTGTAAGATGTGGTGCTGGGAAAGCAAGTGAGACTGTGATGGGAGGGGTTGGTGTTGTTGTGGGAGGGAAGAGGGAGAGGGATGTGATACATGGAGGGGTAAATAGAGGTGGCTGGTGAGTTGAGTCGAGTTTAGCGAGGGGAGTGAGGTTTGCGACCAGTGAGTTGTTGCGATGCACCACAAAAGAGCAGACATTCTTCGTATTGCCTGTAGGTAGATCTCTTCCTAGTCTTTAATTACATCTTCTCAAAACCTTTATCTTCTTTCGCATTCAAAGTCCTCTTCCTCATCATCATTCTCTCGAAAACAAACCCTGAAAGTGATGTTCAGGTACGCCCCACATCAGTTCCCCAGCCTCCCGCCCGCCGCGCTCTCCCGCCACACCACCACGGGCACCACGCCCCCCTGTCCGACCCACTGTATCCCACCGCCAACCACTCATTCGGCACCATCTCCAGCGCAAAAACTCACTTTCCAGCCTCCCAACCACGTCTTTTCCACCCTCTCTCAATCCACTTCCCTGCTGCAGCTGCCACTTCAGCAAGTAAGTGCCCAAGCAAAATGAACAAGCATTGAATGCGAAAGGCTGGGCTGGTTGGTTAAAACATGTAGGTGCCGGGTTTTTCCTCTTTCCCTTTCTCTTTCTCTCGTTATCTTTATTCAGTCAGTACTGTTGTATCGTGTATTCCGACTTTCGACTTTCATCGTGCGACTTGACTCGACTCGATTGCGATTGCGACTGCGACTGCGTCAGTGTTGTGTGACTTGACGGAGAGAGAAAGAGTAACGAATTTACGACTACGATTACGATTAAGACTGCGACTACGATCTGGTTGAGATAGCTACTCGAAGGGAGCTTTGGAATTGGATTTACAGATTGAGAGGTATGTTATCTTCCCATTGCTGTGATGATGGTTCCTTTCGGAGCTTTTACTGACTTATTGATACAGATATATCTACCCATCTTGACATCTACATTTACATACACATCTATCACCACCACCACACCACACCACACCACACATCGCACCCACCCAAAACCCCCATCCTCAAACCACCTCCACCACCCCTCTCCCTTCTTCCCCCTCACAACAAAACCCCCACAAACCCACCGCCCAAAATGGTCAAACAAAACGACGTAATCGCCATAATAATCATCGTCCTCTTCTTCGTGCTCGCCCTGATAGCATTCGGTATCTACCACCTGGTATCCGTCGCGCGCGGCAGTGTCGGCGGGAGCAGTAGTGGGAGTGGGAGCTCGAGGAGTTTGGTGGATGATTAGAGAGGAGGAGGAGGAGGAGTAGTTTGAGTTTGAGTTTGCATGGAAGTTGGAGATATGGGTTGGAAGGAAATGGAGAGGGAAGAGAAGGGAAAGAGGAGGATATACCAATTTGGCTTTGTGTTATGTGGATGGTAGGATCTGGTATGTGAGGGAGGTACGGCATACGATGCATATATGCGTGTATGGATGCATGAATGAATTGAGGTGGAAGTCTGGTTTGGAGAATATATTTTGGAGGGGTAATGATGGTTATGGGAGAAAGTTTGAATGATATGGATGGATGGGTTTCAATGGGATGGGGGGGATATGGCGATAGGTTGGTATGAATGCACGACATGCACATAGATGTACATATAGCATTTGGCGTTTGGGATTTTGGGGGTTTTACCCAGCCGGATTTGAACATACTGGCTTGAATATAAAGATATTTCATACATATACACACTTGATAGCTTTGCATGGTGTTTTCCCAGCCCAAGGTTCGTTTTCTTCGTTCAATTGCATTTTCTCTATTAACACACTAAAGGCAGCAAGCCCGGAATCAATGACCCGAGATCGAGATCCCGGTGTATCGCCGCCCATCCACTCTTTCTGTACAGTACAGTGCAAGAAAGAAAAGATAGAGAGAGAAAAAGCCTCAACCACTCAGGTAAGCATCGCACGCGAAATATAGAAATCAATCGACCCAAGTCATCGATTTCGAAGAAGGTATGCAAAGCAAGCAGGCAAGCAAAATAGGCAAGACAAGACAAGCAAGCCCCCAGATGACGCCAACCCTACCCCCCAATGCAATACCATATCATTTCATTTCCTGCCATCCATGCTCCATCCCTCCCACCTAACAAAAGAGAAAAAGGAGTTGTATTGTGCGCTTTGTTTTGTTTGCGTAATGTGTATTGCAGACCATGTCATAAACCCTCAGCCTGCTTGCTATGTCTTCGCACACTGTATTCATGTTTTTATTTTCGTGTATGTGATGTTTGCATATCCAAGCTCGCGATAGTGATATGCTAAGCTTTCGTCACATCGTAAAGATCCACCGAATGGAGGGAGCCTCAATGGTATCCATTCTTGGTGTATGTTGGGCCGAGACCACGACCAGAGTATGCGGAACTGCCTTCCTCGAAGTAAGGATGCATGCAAGCCTGCTTGGCGGAGATTCGCCCAGCGGGGTCGTACACCAACATGTGCTCAAGAAGATCCAATCCCTTCTCATCCAGGTTCGAGCAGAGAGGTATCGACTCGTCGCGGATCCACTTGGGGAAGGAGGGTTTGAAGTCGGGGAAACAGGTCTTGTCCATGACGCCTGGCCATTCGGCTTCGGTGGGGGTACCTAGGAGCCTGGTATATGTTAGATGAGTTGTGCAAACGGGAGAGAGAAAACATACTTGAAGATCTTGAAGATCTCGTCAATCTCGGAATCACCTGGGAAAAGTGGCTTTCTGGTACACATCTCGGCAAAGATACATCCAACAGACCACATGTCAACACCAGTAGAGTATTGGCGACCTCCCAGCAGAATCTCAGGTGATCTGTACCAGAGAGTAACGACCTCGTGAGTGTATGTTCGAAGGGGGACACCAAAGGCGCGAGCAAGACCGAAATCAGCCAGCTTCAAGTTACCATCGCGGTCAATTAACAAGTTTTGAGGCTTGAGATCACGGTGGAGAATACGATGGCTATGGCAGTATCGCACACCCTCGCACAACTGGCTCATGAACTTCTTGACCATCGCGTCACCCAAGCCAAGTCTTCCCAAATCCGGTCCAGAGCCCTCAGGGAGAGCCTTGCCTCTGCCACCGTCACTGACTGGAAGCGACTCCATATATTTCTTCAAGTCGAGGTCGAGGAATTCGAAGACAAGGTAGAGCTTGTGGCCATCTGCGTGGACGATATTGAAGAGTCGAACGATGTTTGGGTCGTTCATCTCCTTGAGCAGCGAGATCTCACGGATGGCGGTACTGGGAACACCCTCATCCTCGGCCTCGAGACGGATCTTCTTCAAAGCAACGATTCGATTGTTGTGCAGGAGATCTTTGGCCTTGTATACAACACCATATGTTCCTGGACACGTAAAAGTCAGTATGTTGGCTCGTGTTGTGCCTCCAGCGCTGCACAGCTTCGAAGCTCCTCCCCGCAGGAATTGACCGACCTTCTCCGACCTTCTCTAACTTGTGGTAGTTCTCCATGTTTGCGGGTGGTGATCGAGTGTGCTAATGAGTGTCGAGTATTAATTGATGCACGTTAATCTGCTCCGTCTTCTGCTCTGGTGGGGCGGTGAACGTAAGGAGGGGTAGTTTGTTGGTGCAAATAGCATTGATTTTTGCAGAAAAGAAAACAATCGAGAGCTGAAGTCGAAGATCAGCTGCACTATCGCAGAGTGGAAGAATCGTACTGGGCGTGGAGGTCGTGGGTCCAGGGAATTGTCGAGGTCGCTGTGTTGTCGAGGGCCGTAAACAGAATCAGCGCGAAAGTCAACAGACAAGACGGAAACGCGAAAACAGGGCGGCCTCTAGTCCGCTAGCCGCCTCGCTAAATTGCCTGCGGCTGATGAAATTTGTTTGGCCCAGGAACGACACCAACCAGTCATCGCATATTTTCATTTCTTTTCCATTTCAGAATTATTTTGGTGCCCAGAAATGGTTGCGTGATAGGAAAATCGGCGTTCACCGGTTTTAGAAGCTACATCTCTCGTCAGAGCGGCTTCAGAATGGCAGTTGGCTCCGCCGTGCCTCATGTCCAACCAGGCGAACTTGCTCCTCATGAGCCCGTTCCCCAAGTGATGAAAGATGCATTCAAGTCATGGAAGGGTAAAAAAGCATCATCCAGTCAACTTCGTGATGGAGATGTTATTGATTTAGCTGCTGTCGGAATCAAGCGCAATGACATATCAGTCGACACACTTTGGGCCGCCAGTCAAGCTTTTCAAGCAACTCCAAGACTCCACGAGGAACAGGTTATATCGCTCTCGAAATTTGCGGATTACCACACTGTTGACTCTTATTCAGTGTCTAATATTCCAGGTAGGTCGTTTTCCATGAATGTTCTGAGATTCTTTGCCATGCCATATTCGTCTGACAAGGATAGGCTTGATTGTCATTCAGTCACTTCTTCCTCCAGAGGTTCAGCAAACAATGCTTTCTAGGTTATTCCATCGAGACCTGTCAGATCCAATGCACAAAACAAACCTGCATCTACATTATGACGTCAATTATCCTGGATCTCAGCCTTCGGAGAATGTCAACAGCACCTCTGAGCTTGATGCCACAAGCACTGAACAAAGCTCATTCTTTGGCGATCCGCCAGATCGTGTCGCATTCGTACCAAAGGATCCACAAGAACACAAGCCAATCACCATCAAAGCTGCGCTCAAAAAGAAACTGCGATGGATGACCTTAGGCGGGCAGTACGACTGGACCGCAAAAGCTTATCCAACGGAAGCTCCACCTCCGTTTCCATCAGACATCGCTTCTTTCATTCACAAGCTTTTTCCCACAATGGAACCCCAGGCAGCAATCATCAACGTCTATTCTCCAGGCGATACTTTGAGTATGCATCGAGACGTGAGCGAGAAGGTCCACAAGGGACTCGTTAGTATCAGCATTGGCTGCGATGCCATCTTCATCATCGGACTTGCTGATAAAGACCACCCGCCTGTCTGTGAGGTCTTGCGACTACGTTCTGGCGATGCGGTGTATATGACTGGTCAGTCACGGCTAGCATGGCATGGCGTCGCAAGTATTCTGCCCGATACTTGCCCGGAGTATTTGGAGGAATGGCCTGGAGAAGCATATCCTGAGTGGAGAGGTTGGATGAAGGACAAGAGGATCAACCTCAATATTCGCCAGATGTTTGATGATGAAAAAGGGAATGGAACATAAGTGAAGCGGGGTTTGGAGATCAACTCCAAAGCGAAATTTCGAACGATGGCGCATCTTCAACCTCGTGGCAGCGCCTTTTCTGTTATCAGAAGACATCCTTTGGGCACAGCACGTGAGATATTTCTGTTTTGGATCTCCAACTATATTCATGCTCCTTCAAATGCTGTAGACTAACAAATTTATTCTAGGCCTTAAAACATCCATTTCAGCCACGTCAGAGTGCTAGACACCAGGCTATGATACACTCTGTTCACGGGCTCATAGTTATGGAGGCAGATATTCCCTCACGTGGCTATTTCGTTGTTGAAGCCTTCGCGGAAGTGACTAGTGTAGTAGTCACCTAAGTGCCGATGCTTGGGCTCCGGAGACATGCATAGTATCCGTAGGTGCATGGACCAGAACAAGTGAACCCTTTCACACACTCCGCTGGTTCCTTTCTAGCAATTGCGGTTGCTCCACCTGTGAAACGAGTCAGCTTCTATACGGATATCAGACTTTCCAGACTATCTTACACCAGCTCCCAGGTGCTGCGAGATTTGGAGTAGGAGAGACGGAAGCATCGCTATGGCCTGGATTCACCACACAAGTGGAAAAATAAGCGTTTGCGACTACACATGACCAGCCAGGAGCGCAAAGGAAAGGACCCTGCCAGCTCACTCCCCCGCCTACAGGTGATTAGTCGAGTTCCGATTTCTTGACCGCCAAGCAGTCATTGATACGATTACTTACATTGGCCCCACGGGAAAGCATGTGGTATGATAGGGCCGGTATCTGGCAGACACTGGTAGCTTGGGAATGCAGAGGTTCCAGCTACGAGATGGACTATCAGTTAATACGAGGACTTGAATAGTCTAGCACTGACTAGTGCCAGAACCACTGAAGCCACTTACCTGGACCGCAATGATATCCGGCTTGACAATCATAGGCACCTCGCCATTCCGGTCCTCCACCTAATTTTATGTTAGTGTGGCCCAATGGGTAGAGATGAGAACTATGGGATGTTCACATTGCGCATACGGTACCAGGAGCTCGCTCTTTGCAGCTCCCGCACCTACCATTACGAGCAAAAGACCAGCTGCGAACTTCATGATAGAGGTTTTTTAACAAAAGTAATGGGCCTGAGAGAGGATCGTTGCCAAACAAAGACCAGGACTTTCTCCACACTAAATACTAAAGGTGTTTCCATTGAGTCTCAGCTGCACTCGGTCCAACCAACTTTCTCATTATCACCAACATGCTTTCCCATTATCACACGGCGAATTTTCCACCACTTATTGAAGTATGGCGCACGCCCAATATTTGTCGATTGGCTTTCCAGCTTTGTTGGTTTACGAGGAGTCGACATGTTACCTTTCCAGTTCCGGCAAGTGACATTCCGTAAGTTCTACGGACCGGTCAACCGCTCGCTGTCGCGTAAGGAAAGAAATCATTTCTCCTGGGATGCAGGTGCTTCCTCTTATAGATTTGACTACATTTGTGTGCCAGTCTTAGTTCTCAGCTGAGATCCTTTGCTTCAACAATTCGATCAGATGACTTTGGAGTGTGATAATTGGAAGTCATGGGAACATGGCCAAGAGGTTGTTGGTGCGGCTTTGCTGTCCCGTCACTCCTTTTGTTTTACGAGGCTGGGATGCTATTCCGATTCGTCTTGACATATTCTTGGAGTTGCTCTTGTGATGGAGATTTTTTTCAGCGGAGTTGTTTTGCGCACCGTACTTTGAAGTACGGAGGGTATGCAACGTTGTCTGCATTGAGCAGTCTCTGCTTGACTCTTTCCTCTGGGGGTTTTTGGTCGTTCTCGGGTAAAACACGACACGCTTTCGCTCTCAATTGCAGATTCGTGGAGAACTGAACTATGCTTTCTCCTATCTGGGATTCTGGAATCACAGGCGTCCCCTCGACCGAAGAATGTGTTCATGAAAGGATATCTGATCCAGCATGAAAACTATTTTTGAGCCACCTGGATCATTTGTTCTCCTTCGAGTGAACTTCCTGACCAGCAGCTGTCAATGATAATCTCCAGTGGAGGAAGTCTTGCACACTCTGGATAGGAAAGCGGTTCTTCTAAGACCATCCCCGACAAGACTTTTCAATTCTCATTTGATGAGACGATGGAGGCAGATTCTGGTTTCAAAGAAAAAGCAGATAAGTGATCCGAGTATCAATAGACAAAAAGACCAGCAGGAACCAAGCAACCTTTTCTGCAAGCATTTAGTTCAAAAGTCGAAAATGTATCTCTAATATGATTTCGAGATTACTGAGTTCAAGTCCTGTTACACTCGTTATCGCTTATTTTCCCAGATCTGATTCATCACATAGAGCATGTCAACTTGTGCAGATATGAGAGACAAGATAGCGACAAGAAAGGTGCAAGAAAAGCAGCGAAGGAAGAGCTGATGTTGATAACGCCTCAACGATCGGCGCGCCTGGAGGTTACTCCGACATACTCGCTCCCACTCTTGGTTTCGGCATCATGCCGCGCTAAAAAGCTACCCCTCCATCAACTACATCACTCCCATCACCACGTTGTAATCAACCGACATTTTCCCTCTCTGTACTACGACAATTGCGCCTCGCATATAATTTTCAGATATGGTCGATTGGAAAGCTCTAGGCGCAGCAAAGCGCGATTCAGTCAACGCACTCATCCCCAAAGCCTGGCAATTGCCATCACCTATTCCCTCCGCCACGGAACAACGAGATGTAACGGGAAAGTACATTGAGCAATATCTATCTCCCCAGGAAATAGAAATCACGCAAACGGATGCTGTTGGTATTGTGAAGAATACTTCCTCTGGGACATGGAAAGCTCGAGAAGTTGCTGAGGCGTTCTGTCATCGAGCTGCGCTTGCCCATCAATTAGTATGTGATTTGGATACGTCGTGATAAGCTCAAATTTATACTGATTTGGGTAGGTCAATTGTCTGCATGAGATATTTTTTGATGCTGCGATTGCTGATGCCCAGAAATTGGATGACTACTATGTTGAGCATAAGAAGCCACTTGGTCCACTTCATGGACTGCCAGTTAGTTTGAAAGATCAATTCCATGTGAAAGATGTTGAAACAACAATGGGCTACATTGGTGTAAGTATTCTCTCTACATAATTTAGACGATATTAATCCTCGCCACCGTGTATTATTCGTTTCTCTTGAAATTGATTTTCTATGTCTCTCATTTGCAGCTGAGACTGGATATCGCAAGAGGAACTTCGGCACTAAATCAACACAGTGGATCGACACATTTGAAGGCAAAAAGGGAACCGGAAAAGAAAAAGTCTTCGAAAGCGAAATGGTCAGAGAACTTCGCAACCTAGGCGCCATTCTCTACTGCAAGACCTCCGTTCCCCACACCTTAATGGCCGGCGAGACAGTAAACAACATCATCGGTTACACCTTCAACCCCAAGAACCGAAACCTAGCCTCTGGTGGAAGCTCCGGGGGTGAAGGCGCCCTCATTGGCCTAAAGGGAAGTCCTGTTGGATTCGGCACAGACATTGGAGGCAGCATTCGCATTCCCGCTGCATTCAACGGTCTTTATGGTATCCGCCCATCCAGCGGAAGGATGCCATACGAAGGAATGGCTAACAGCATGGATGGCCAGAACTCGATTCTTTCTGTTGTTGGACCACTAGGAACATCTGTTAGTGCCTTGAGATTGGTCTTGAAAGCGATTCTCAGCCAACAGCCCTGGCTTCATGATCCTCTCGTGGCCGAAATTCCCTGGCGTGATGAGCAAGAACGGGCTGTGCTTGATATCATTAAGTCGAGCGATGGGAGACAGCTGTCTTTTGGTGTCTTCCGTCACGATGGGACGGTTCAGCCTCAACCACCTGTTCGGAGGGCGATTGACATTGTGGTCAAGACGGTTGAGAAGCTGGGCCATAAAGTCATTGAGTGGAAACCGCCTTCTCACGTTGAAGCTGCTGAGATCACTGTGAGATCCTATTACCCATGAGACTCAGCAGGTCAAATTTCTGACTTGACCAAACTTAGTTCAAATCATGGGTCTACGACGGCGGTGCAGATAGTATGGTATCCCTGGCTCACCTAGCCGAACTCTGACTGACACAGCTTTTAGTTCACAGCGCATTTGACCTCTCGGGAGAGCCTATGGCCAGCCAAGTCTCAGCCGTTTACGGTACCCGCAAAGATGAGTACTCTGCTTCTAAAATAGCTGCTGTCAATGTCCAGAAACGACAATATCAGAAGAGATACATGGACTACTGGAACTCCACTGCATCACTTACCGGCACGGGACATCCAGTCGACGCAGTGATCAGCCCTCTTGCTCCATTTGCTGCTGCGAGACCCGATATGTGAGTGCTATTTCCTCAAGTATAGATATTGCAGAACGACTGCTAAGTCATCTCTTTTTCCTAGGTACAAATACTACGGTACGTACCAGAACTCATCACTAATCTGATCGCCTCTTCCTCTCTTAGGTACAAATTTTGGAAAGAACTCGCAAAGACTAAACGTATCATGCCAGGATATTCCGTCTGGATCAATCTCCTCGATTACTCGGCGGCAGTGTTACCGGTTACTCAGGCGGATAAGAATGTCGATGTTGTAGATGAGGGCTACAAGCCATTGAGCGAGGCGGATGAGAAAGTTTGGGAGTCTTGTGAGTCGCGTTATTTCCTTCTCTTGAACAAATTACTTGATTCGGGGGTCAGCAACAATGTCCGAGAGGACTTTGCTAATCATGTTGCAGATGATCCTGAGTTGTATGATGGCACGCATGTGTCAGTACAGATTGTAGGACGGAGATTGCAGGAAGAGAAAGTCCTGGTTTTGACAGAGTACCTGGGAGATGCACTTGGGAAGCACATTGTTTGAGGTTTGATGACTTCCTGATTTTCAATCGGCTTCAGGTTGAAACGTTAATCAATTGAGAGTTACACGATATGATGGGTATATATGATGCTTGCAAATCCCATAAAACAGAAAAATTCCCTGCAATGCCGAGCCCCCTCCTTACTCTTCCGACCCCTCAAGTGCCATGCAGCTCAGAACTTCGCATATTCAACATACTTCATGAATCCCGGATCCTTCTGATCGTCTTTAATGTATCGATTCCCATTATGCATGACCCAAGTATTATTCTCTTGCCTGATACTCTTCTTCTTGTTCTCATGCGGGAACATGATCCTCGTCCCTTCCAACAGCATTCCATATGTGAAGGGATAGAAAGCACGACTACACTTGACGTAGATGATATGTCCTGGTTCGAGCATTAGGACTGCTAGGATGAGAGCGCCGGAATGAGACTCACGTCCACCCAGGTTGGTGCCCAAGATATCCCGTAAGATCTTCCTGTGCCGTTTCTCTTTCGCGATCTCTCGCTGCATCTCACGCATCATGGCTTCTTCCCACATGGTTTCATCCTTCTTTCTCAGCTCCCTCAGATACTGTCTCCTTGTCTCCCGATCAGCAGCCACTTCCCACTCCACCACATCTCGGGTAGTCAGACCGGATACAGATGCGATGGGCTTCTTTGACGGAGGTGGTGAGGCCTGGAAAATCTGTGGCCATGCCTTGTGACAGAGCCCTTTCGCTCCAGCATCTAAAAGACATCTCAGGACATCCGCATTCACATAATCAGCCTCCATGGTTGCAGATTCGAACTTTTGGGCCTTCCTCGTATCGGCGAAGCAGTCGAGTGGAGTATTTCCCTCGCACACAGCACTCAGGCTCACGCCCCTTTTCAACATGAAATCTACCGTGGCGACATCATGGTGTTTCTGCCACAGATACAAATGCAACGCATTGGCTCCGTCTCTAGTCGTGATGTTTGTGTCATTTTTCGTCAGTGAGTTCGGGTCTGCTCCCTTCTCCAGCAACAGTCGAATGAGCATTCCACATCCGAACTTCGCAGCGACGTGCAGTGGTGTCAGCCCGGCCGGGTCTCTGACTTCGATATTTGCGCCGTCATCTAGTAGACTTTCAACAGCGTGGTAGCTCAGCACCCTTACTGCATCATGCAAAGGACTTCCCATCGGTGGTGACTTCAACACCGCCGTATTCAAGTCCAGACATAAGAACTCTTCTCTCAAATAGGCCACCAATGGTGCATGGCCAAATTCCACCGCTTTCCTAAGCACATGTTCTCTTTCCCTCTCCTCCCTACCAGCACCTCTCTGAACCAACAACTCCACAATCTCAACCACAAATTTACAATCTCTCAGTTCCACAACCAATGGGATATAGAGTCTATCCCTCAACACAGCGGTCAAGAACAAGTCCAGCGGACTAACATCATTCTCCCCTTTCCTCGCACTGATTCCCAAATCCCCAAGCAAAATCCTTAAAACTTCAATCGGCCGCGAACTCGTGAGGCACTGCACAGCGACAAAATTCAACGTCACAACCGTCAAAAGTGATATTGTTGCCGGAGTGGTTGGAAATGTTGGAGACCCCAGATCTGCAACAGCCCCTGAACCTGGACCTGACCCTGGAGTGACCCCTGAAGAATGATTCGCAGCGATCAACTTCCCCCGCAAAGACGGCAAGTCGCAACTTCCTCTCAGATACCGCTGTATCTCGCGCTCAAGTCGTACTGTTTTCCCTGCCATTTTGTCCAAATATAATATGTAAAATGCCGATCGATTGCTTAGGATACTTGTGCTACACTTCTTTCTTCCAACTTTTCAAGGGAACAGGATGAAGGGGATCGAAGAAATTGGGTATTTATTCAATTCCAGCATTTTTGTGGTCCTGGAGAATGTGACGCGCCACAGGAGAGACATGTCTTCAGCTGGGCTGATTCTGAATGTAGCATCGTCTGCTTTGGGACGGGTCAACCAATAGCGGGAGGTGTCTCGACGGCTTGCTGGCAAGGATGGAGAAATGTAATCTTATCTTGATTGGAATCAGATGTTTTGTTTTGCGTTCTGGATCTATTGTGACTAAACATTGTGGAATTGGCGACGGGATGCCAGATCGGGATGACACGGGGCTCAAGTGTAGTGTTCGTGATTTTTGTGTGAGCAGCTTTCCGCTGGCTGAAACCAATGTGTTGGTTACTGAAGAACTTATTATTTGGCTACCATCACTGAAATGTGTCTTTTAGAGATCCTCAATGTAGTTTACTGTTTGTGAATTTTGATTGCGAAGTTGTTAATCTTCATGTCGATAAGGTGTTGCTCGAATACTTTGTAAAGAAACCTCTTTGGATTGTCCAGTGACATCAATTTTGTCATAAATTGACGCTGAAGCACAACAGTCCTGAAAACCGTATTATTCTTTAAACATATTCCTCTAATTGTTGACAGTTATCACAAATTCTGAAAGCATGAAGCCCAAAAAGGGCGATCTTGGAGCAGAGAACCGGAGCCAAGCTTGCAATGTCAAGCAAGGGGGCCTTATCGATTTCATTCCTCCAATGTCTAATAAATCTCACTTTGGCCTGCTACATAGTAGTTTCACTTGCATTTCATTCTCCTGGCTATCACCTGCAGAATTGCTAATTATGGGTGTCGCTCTCTACTGGTATCCTTTCTCGAAGATGCTTGGCGAGCTCGCTTACGCTCTGCAGACTCGACCACTTCACTTGGACTTTTCGGTGCAACAAGATTTGATGGCTTCATAGGAAACATACAACTTTGAGACAATACGATATAAGGTGCTCAAACATGTTCTATGTTGTATAATAAGCTAAAGTGACTCTGCAGTTTCCAAGCGAAAGCATGCAGAATTATGGCACCTCGAATCTTGGAACGTCCTATTTTATTCCAAAATTCAGGGTTTAACCAAGTGTTAGTTGTCCAGTGAGTTCAACAAGCTGGGTGAGACTATCACACTACTTTTTTTTTAGAACATACAGTGATAGATCCGGACTTGATAATCAAGCTCGTTGGTTTCCGATTACTTGGTTCCCATTATTCTGGTCAAGACTACATACTGATGCGGTAGCAAGCCTCCTGCTTTCAAACCGAGAATTAAATAAACATTTAAGTAGGCATGACTTATGTTTCTAGAAGTATTGATGGATAGATTGCTAGAATTTGAAAACGTTACTGGTAAGGCATATTTCTGGTAACATTTCTCACTCGCAGGAACGTCACTTTATCTCAACCAGAAACGGCTCCCGTGAGAGCTCCATCTGCTCGTCAAATACTGATGACCTCCGAAAATGTTCTGAGAGTAAGCTGCTAATTAAATGTTTCATATCTGCTCCGTACGTCAACTCAACTGACCGACAACATCGCTAACCTCATTTGACTAGGTAACTTGCCTTGTCAGTGTTGGTGGCTCAGATCACATGACGTGTCGGCGATTCATGAGGCCGACTGACAAGTGGAGCACTGTGCCCCAGATGTACCGACATCACTAAAGTGCTGACGACTTAAACAAGTCTGGACAACAAAACCATATTCAATTCAGTTTCTTGGCCAACTCATATCTGATCCCGTTTCACAACATATTGAAGGCTCGTCATCATCTTGTGTTGCGGGCTTTGTCATGTCAGCCACGGACCCGTCGCCCGAGCCTCCTTCTCGGCCTCCTCAGCCGCCTAAGCCTCAGCGAGTACTTGCCTGTATTCTCTGCCAGCAGAGAAAGGTCAAGTGCGACAGGAAGCATCCATGCGCCAACTGTGTGAAAGCTAGAACTCAGTGTATCCCCGCAACTCAAGTAACACGTGTGCGCAAACGAAGGTTTCCGGAGCGAGAGCTGCTGGATCGGCTTCGCAAGTATGAGGATCTGCTGCGACAAAATAACGTGAGATTTGAGCCTCTTCACAAAGACGCAAACGACAAAGTCTCTCCAAAGATAGAAGATGGAGCAAATTATGATTCAGATGACGAACCATCAAGAGCTCCGGTCATGGATCGACCGTCCCCGGCGACAACTACTAGCTCCGAACGGTTGCCAGAGACAAAGTAAGAATACACCTCTTTGATATTCTTCATACCCGAGGCTAACTGTACTTAGGAATATTTTGCACGCCATGAGTCAAGAGGTATATATGTCTGATATTCAAAACGTTCTCTTGTTGACAAGCAAATATAGTTCCGGGACCCTGACAATCATAGCAACTCTTCAGACGATGACGTGCGTGAGATTCATATCAGAACCGCAATCAGCCAGATGGCCTTAAATGATGACCATCTCCTTTTTGGCTCAGGGAAGGAATCCGTGGATATCTCATCCCTGCACCCTGAACCGATCCAACTATTCAAGCTTTGGCAACTTTATCTTGATAATGTCAACCCACTGCTCAAAGTTACGCATACGCCCAGTCTTCAAGGGCGGATTATAGAAGCTGCAAGCAATATCTCCAATATCGAACCCCCCTTGGAAGCCCTCATGTTCGGTATATATTGTATGGCTATTCTGAGCATAGACGAGAATATTTGCCAGTCTACCTTTGGTTCCCCAAAGGAAGACCTCGCGATTAGATTCCAGTTCGGGTGTCAGCAGGCTCTATTGAATTGTGGGTTTCTGAGAACCGCTGACCGGGAGTGCCTGACCGCTCTGGTCTTTTATCTCGTAAGCCATTCAGTTGTAACCCCCGCACTGCATACTAATGAGCCTAGATGTCAGTCAGGCCAGAGACTGCGGTGCAATCGCTCTCATCTTTACTTGCAGTTGCTATGCGTATCGCCCAACGAATGGGTATTGACAAAGAGGCAATCTTGGCTAGATCCATTCCTCTCGAAGCTGAATTACGCCGCCGACTCTGTAAGTGATGATGAAAACTGCTTGTAGTTATTCCCAAGAAGTCATAACTGCTCTTGATCGACCATCCTCTACAAATATGCACCGCTTGCTAATAGTGCCGCTTTTACAAAGGGTGGACGCTTGTACTCCTCGATACTCGTGTTGGTGAAATGGCCGATTCTAAATCTCCGTCACTTACTCCGATATGGGACTGTAGAGTTGTGCTCAATGTAGGCGATTCGGAGCTGCGACCTCAGATGAAGGAAACTCCACAAGCTCACGGTTCCTTCTCCGACGCAATATTTGCAGTCGTTAGGAGTGAAGTGGGAAATTACGTTCGGCATACAAAGTGGCAGTACGTTAATCCCCCAATTATTGGAAACCCAACCATCATACAGTCCCAATAACATTAGCTAAACTTGCGAGCAGCCTCGACTTTAGTAATCCAGCGCTTCTCCCGCTCGCTCTAGCGCATCAACCCCATGACTTTGTGGAAGGCAGCGAGATGGGTAGCTTGGAGAGCCTGATCGAGGAGAAGTATCTCAGGCATTGCGACCCGGAAATCCCTCTCCATTTCATGACTATCGTATGTAAACTCCCCGTCTTGCCTCTCTTTCCCAAGCGTCGAATTCGTGGAACATTTCGAGTATGTTGAAAATCACCATTAACATTGTCACAGTGGACTGCACGAGGACTCCTAGCCAAATGCCGTCTTGTCGAGCATTATTCAAAGACATCAAGCATACCCAGAGATCAAGCAGATACTGCACGTGAAGCTGCTTTTGTAAACGCCATCACCCTGCTCGAGTGCAACACGATACTCAGCACCTCTCCTTTGACAGCAGGCTTCATGTGGATGACCCAGTTCTACTACCCATTTCCGGCATACGTCCAAATCCTTCAGAACTTGAAGCGTCAACCGCTCAGCGCACGAGCCGAGAAATGTTGGGAAGCTCTGAGCGCAAATTACGAAGCACATCACCACACTCTGGCTGAGCGACTCAAGACTCGAGGCCCACATTTTGTGATGTTTTACAAAATTCTCGCACCAGTCGTTCTTCAGGCATGGACTGCACGAGAGGAAGCCGCTGAGCAGGTAGGGGAGTCAGTGGTGACCCCAAGAATCATCTCGTACATTCGACAGGTCTTCTCGCAATACCCCTTGCCAGGCACAGCACAGCAGGGGTCTACTCCTAGTATGGACACGAATGCCTTCTCTATGCCGATGCCTATGACTTTCGATCCGAACATGTTTTCAGGGATGGGTAGTCAGCAAGGCTTTACCTCACCGGAACCATGGGCCAGCGCAGGGATGGTTGGAATGGCGCCGCTGAGCCTGGACCCAAATCAAATTGACTGGTCTTCCATGGACTGGAATCTTGGGGTCGCACCTCTAACTAACGAGTCGAATGATCTTGGCGGGCAGTCTCTGCAGTATTGATTGTCTCGCAGTGCTCTGGAGGATGTACGAATAATGAAAGGATCGACACGGGGTTAAGGTGTCAGGACAATCGGCACTTGCATCTCCTTTGGGAAAGGAAAACTCCATTCTTTCTAGAACAGTACTTGCTGCATTCATAGAAAGCTGTGTAAAAGCCGCAAGGTTTCAGCAAGCACATAGCAGTCGCATCAAATAAACACAACTCAACGATAGACAGACCCGTCTCTGGGGAGATTTTGATCCGTATTGCGCGAAGTGACTCATTTTCTTAGGTACTGTTGATGAATCTCTACATACAAAATCCCCAACACCCCCAACCAAATAGCGAAAAGATCTATGGGCATCCTCTGCCCTTTCCAGTGCTGATAGAGCAGCAGTCTGCACCATCCTATTCATTGAGTCAGCACCGGTGAAGCATTGGCTTTGAGCCTGAGCAAGAATACATACGCAGTTGACGCCGAAGTTTGCGCAGAAATCGTCTTGGTAACTTTGCTTGGTACAAGGCGATTGAGCAAACTGTCCATGCTGGTTCACACAGCCGTCGAAGTCATTCCAGCAACAATCCTGATCTCTACCGCTGCACTGGAGTGGGTTTAGTAAATTGTGGAGAGGGGAAGTAGGGGGGAGAGGCGAGGGACTTACGGCAATGGCAGTCTGGGTGAGAGCCAAAATGGCGAAGGTGGACTTGATGAGGGTTGAGAACTGCATGTTGAAGGATTGAAGCTTCGAGTTGAGTGGATTGTTGACGAGAGATGTTCTTCTATGGGAAGGAATGTGAAGATGATCGTGAGGATGAGGATTTGAAATTAGAGGGCACGTCGACGGCTTTAAGTATTCAGAGCTTTGCAGGGGGTTTCATTATAGATACTGCTTTTGTCATCATATCCTAGAAACCACCAGATCTGTTGTTCCATCCTCATTGCAGCATGGCGCAGGCGTGGTATGCTCAACCGATGTAAATCCATGGGTGCACTTCATAGATGCTCGACATGGTCCCAGTCGGCCGAGTAGAGAGGTTGTCGTTCTCGCTCCATGTCTCATTTGGAACATCCCAATTCGATCATGAAAAGTCATGTCCAGGGCGATTAATCAGTCCATGGCTCTACTGAGAAAGTCAAATCACGACTCGGTATCCCCAAACATTCCCAATTCGGGTTTATCGTCCCCACGTGCCTTATACATTTCGGTCACAGGGGCAAGAGTACCGGGTACACCGTTGAGTTTTGATACTGCCTTCCAAGCCGAAATTAGTCAAGTCCACAATAAACAAAGTCGCAACCAGGTTTCCGGGTCTGCATGGACCACACTGCAGTCTGTCATGTTTCATCTAATCTTCGGACGTCTTGCATTGAACCTTATCTGAAAACCTAATTTACGCTCAAAAATAGGAGCAAGAAGCTTTCACGGAGATTAGCGAGCCCAGTTGCTGGTAATTCTTAGTTAGATCTATGCATACTTCTCAAAACCTTATCTTACGAACAATGACTCGGAGATGGTTCCAGAATGAGTATAGATGGTATTGTCACTTCTTGATCAGTGCAAGTTTCAGCCGATCAAGTTTCAATCGATCTATTTCTCACATCTCAGGCTGAGTCAGTCGCACGCCAACGGTATCAAACAACGCAATTGCTCCTTGGGAGACGAAGGTCATGGCAGTGTCAACCCCCAACGTTTCAACCTTGTTGGTAGTGATAGAGAAGCCTTCCACTTCTCAGAAAGTTGTTTGAATCACGCTCACGAGATGCAACGACATTTCCATTTTCGCTCAAGCTACTATTCTATTGGGTATGATGACTCGCCCGTTATATCGCAACCAGTGTAGTCGATAGTTTACGGCCGTTCAAACTACCCCGTTTTAAGGCTTTTGAACTAACTGTAGTTTTACTACCTAATTACGAACTGTAGTTAGTTCTAGTACAGCTAAAACGAACGGAACGGGGTCGTTCTAAAGAACGGAGAGACAAACTAACCTGCAAATTTGCCTCTACAGAGTCTCTATTTACTTCGTTAATCATTAGCTCCTTTAAAACAGTATTATCCTATATAACCTCTAAATCCCGACCTTAAGCTCTTATTCTAGTGGACTAGTCTACGACGCGTGTTCTAGATCGCTTTTACAAAGAGGCCTCTAGCTTAGTAATCACTGAACCTACTAAGACTATGTCTCACCTACAGCAGAACAAGGGAGTTAGCTCAGTTAAGTAAGCAGCTGGAAGGCGGCTGGTGCGGTGAGCCTAGGAAGCTTAGGCCTAAAGGCCTTACCTTACCTATACCTCTCTGCCTCTGTAGAATGATCACAATTGCCTTTAGGAATACTAGCTAAAACGGGTTAAAACGAACCCGTTTACCGAGCCTCCGGACCAACTAACAGCCGTTTTGAAGCTTTAGACTCAACGTCAGTCCGTTTATAGTAGGCGGTAACGAACGGCAGTTAGTGCTAGTTCTTAACGAAACGGCAAAACTATCGACTGCGCTGATCGCAACTGCGACTAGCCATCCATAATCGCTCTCAGGTTGGCAATTTCTAGTGACCTAAGGAGTTCGAGTTATCTGCGCAAGAAAATGCACTCCCTATTTGCCCCGATCAGTACTCGGTGACTGAAAAATTTGAAAAGCAGAACATACCGATCAACCCATTATCGTAAGCATCAATAATCAACTGGACTGTTGCGTGCGTCCCACCGACACACAAAATGCTCCAAGAGGAGGCAGGATGCAATGTGAGTAGTACATAAGCTTCTGTCCAACACTTCCACGTCTGTATGAACCATGATCATACAGCCAAAGACAGCCTGGAAGGGCAATTGCGAGGGGAGCGAAACAAACCGATCCCGTCAATGCGATGAGATAATTGAACATTGGAATAGCTTCAGCCAGGAGGAATGATCGAGGAGAGGCCGACCATACATGCGAGCCAAGTTCCCCAATGCACCATTGTATTCTGTTGGAAGTGGGGAGAATTCCGCAGGATGCGAACGAAGAGGTACTTCGCTGCAACGTGCAAATACAAAGTTGCTGAAACGATTAATCCGATCATTCCGATACCGTATGATACTTTTTTGATCGTTGGGCCTGTAGATCCTAGCGATGGCGACGCAACCCATTGTCCACACCACCTGTAGACAACAAGTGCAAGGCTCAGGTAAGCACTTTGAACGATTGCCATACAGGTGAAAAGTGCCTTTCGGAAATCTTTTGGCCTCCTCATTTCCGAAATGACAGGCAAGAATGCCGAGGTTCCGGCGGAGGAAACAAATATCGTTGCTGAAGCTGTCATGCCAGCAATAAAGGTTGGGTGTCCGATAACGTGATAACCAAGATCAAAATCTCCAGTCTGAGGAGCAGCAGCAGGGTGGTCGAGGGCAGTGACTGCCACCACCACGATGAAAACGGCCACAAATATACTGATAAAGCCAGCCCAGGCGAGCCAGTCGATCTGATGAAATTTCCGAACTGACGCCGTGGCAGCTACGACGATTGTTGCGATGAATGACCACCAAACAGTGCATGCAGCATGGGACGAGAGCATTGAGACCGATCGAAACTCCAAGAATGCCTGATCCCGCGCACAAAACGTATGCTATGAGGAAAAGAGCACCAACGATCTCCTTCAACACATTCCCACCAAGTACAGCTGCCATGTCTGCAATGGAGTGACATCCGGAATGCGAATTTCGAAAGTCGCCTTGTACAACGGCTGTGTACGTATTCAAAGCTCCCCAGCCGACCACACTGAGTGCCCCACCTAAGGCTCCTAAGCTGCACATTGCGGAGGGAATACTGAGCACGCCTGTCGCAAAGATAACTACAAGTCTGTAAGTACGTGGATAAGTTTAGAAAATGAAGTCCTACTATACCTTTGAGGAAGATGACAGAAGCTCTTGGCCACCCGACAGTACGAAAGTCGACGCCATCCTTCGTCCTCTTGAACACTTCATTCTCCTCCAGCGGATCTTCATATGGCTCTACAACTCCAGTACCATAGTTGGGTTGGACCTTCTCTTCATCTGAGCTGTTGTTCTTGATTGATACTGCCCGCAGAGACATTATGCGACTTTTGAAACCTGGAAAGAAACTCAAGATTGGCTGAGGATGGAAAATGGGAAAATGTGACGAAGCCCTCGATATAGATACAGAAAGAACAAACCTGTATCTCCGCTGACATAGATTCACAGGAACAAGCACCGAAAGTTCCATGAGATAAGCGGAGGAGTAGTTCGCGCCTCGATCCCCAGCTCTTGAACACCCAAGATCTGCTGGATGACGGAGCTGTGCAGATAAGGTTGACTTTACTCCATGTAACACTCTGCCCGCGATTTTACTGGTCAGTGATGGGATTCAGGACGGCATTTGACTGCCATTTCAAGAGAGTCTAAATCCCATCTGCAACTTTGACAGCTCTCTTATCGTATTGAACCGGGGAGCTATCCCGCCTGCATGTACGGAGATCCGATGATAATGGAAGGGGCAATGATTTTCGACCAAGAGTGGAGAGGTGATACGATATCGACGATGATAATGGTATGTGGTCCGTTCCTCTCTATCACTTTGATGCCATTGTTATCGCTGTAGCCACTTGCACCTAAACCTCAGTAGCACAATGAGGAACAAATGCGGTTGTTGAAAAGATGACGAGGCCTGTTGAATTGGTACTTAGTCAGCCACGCGACCATGGCCAACCATGAAACCTAAACAAAAACTCAACTTCCAGCTAACCTTATGGCGTCTGTGATCAAGCGTGGGCACTTGAACCCCATGTCTTGTTGGTTTTATATACATATTCTTTTGCAACGAGATTTCTGTGACAACAAAGGCCTCGACGTCCAAAGTTTTCACTTGCACTTGATTTGGGTTTTTGAAATTTACCCTTCTCATTATTTCTTTTGTACACGCACAAGCTTCGATCTGAGAAGCAAGGGAGGGTCGAGAGATTTCTAGGGATTCGCTGACCATTCTCTTGCATTGCTCGAGTGGAAGAGACAGATACCACATTGTTCACTTTATCAGTTGAGTACAATGGCAAATGATCAAGTCGTTTTTCAAAGCAAGTGTGCAGCCTTGAAATCATACCATATCAATGATCCTAAGACTCCAACTGATCCCATTTCTTCACTCTCTGAAGACCTGACTATACCGCGGTAACGCATCCGGTCCCTCAATTACGTCCACTCTGCTCTCTTCAGTCTTCTCCATCCTGACCACCCCTTTCTGGTTGTCATTCATACCCACAACCTCATCTTGTCCCAAGATCCCTTGCAAAGTCTCCAAACGCTTCAACTCCTGCGGCTTCGGGTACGTGTACGAGATGACCTCAGAGACAGGCTCGTGTGAAACACCGCATGGATGCTGCAGAGCAGCCCGTTTCTGAGCTCGAGAATCGATGATATATTGAATCAGCATGCTGAGTGGTGTTTTGATGATTATTGGTCGTCGTTGGGAGGCGATCATGTCACGCTCGGTGTTGCGAGCACAGCGAGCGCATTTGCTGGTGTACCGACACATGTTCAATGAACGTTGATGTAACTGTCCTTTGTGTGAGGTTGGTAGAGATTCGAGTGGATGAAATGCTTGTTTCGGAAAAATTCAATTGGATTACAACGAACTATCATAAAATTCTCCTATTGAAAGGTGGCTCTACTTGAGTCTTTAAGTATTCGAAATCAGGAAGGAGAGCATATCTCATCTCACCTGCTCTCCCTGTCACAGCCCACGAAAAACAAATTCTCCCCGTCCGATGAACCGACAGTCAAGTCAAACTTCGAGCCGCGTGTCCCTATCTCTTGATGAATACCGTGCATGGGATCCCAATGATCTGACGAGCTTCTTCAATTGCAAGAAGCCTTTCACTGTTCAGACCCCGAATGTTTCGAGGTCAGGGTGCGAGGTCTGTGATTGGCGGAATTGAGGACCGAGGCATAATTGCTCGCGGCGGTCTGTGAAACGTGGCAACAAGGCCTAAAATTGATGCGAGGTTGATAAGACGATTGGAGTTGAAATCAGACGATACAAAGAAACTTTGGTAGTCTCTTGAGTGGATTATGGCAAATGGAGTGGCGCATGGAAATGGTGATTTTTGCGTGTGGCCTCGCTTACGCGTCTCACTGATGTTTAGATCCAGACAAGAGCTGGCCAATCGCAAGGCACAAGGACTGAGCTAGGCTAGATACTGGCGTTGAACCCGATGTTTTGATTTCAATACGAACAGACTCTGTGTTCTGGACTGAGAAGAAGCGTGGCATGTGGGGAGCCAAAATCGCGGGGTGAGCGACGACCCCGCATCAAGTGAAAGGCCTGAATAAGAATCTCTCCCTGCCTCAATTTCATCTCTCTCTTCATGCTGTTCAGGCGCACTCAAAGTATGCCTAGCGATATCAGCCTGCGTGTCCCGACAAAGTGGACAACAGGAGGTTCGTGGTTGTCATTCTTCGCTCCGGATGTCCGTCCATGGTGGAACTTTGTTTACTTTCCCGCTATTACCGAACGTTGAACGTATCGCCACCTGTCGCTAGTTCGAGATGCGACATTGTGCGATGTGCAACAAACTCCAATTTGATCTGAGCGAGGGCCCGATTGGCAGATTAGATCTTGATTAGCGCATCGTGCCGTTGCATGAGGGAAGATGGTGAATTTTTCTGCCTTGACTGTTCTGGTTTTTCCTAGTCCTTTCCGACCACGGAATTGATAATTAGAGTAAGGATTCATGCGTTTGCTCTGCTAAACAAACAGAATTTAATTGTACATACAGACACGAGAGACAGTTCTAATTGCGATTAGTTGCGATGTTGAATTCTTAGTTGTGAGTAGGAGATCAAAGGGATCGATGTCTTTCGGTGTCTACCCTGTATCACGGATCATTGATCATATACTCATCTTTATGAACTTGCGATATGCAACAGAACTTTATTACCTCCAAATTAGCGAGCTCTGATTGATCATTGGCGTATTGTACGTGGAAGCGGTAGTCCTAGCTTAACTAGCTTTGTTTACTTTCCGAGGCTTGGCGCGTCTCGGTAGATCGATTATCGAGAAGTTTCTTGAGAAAATCGTCGAGGGGAATTGCGACGTGCAACAAAACTTTTTCGTCTTCAGAATTGGTGAGCTCTGATTGGCCCACAACTTTAAGATTAACCACTAGCGTCCTGCACTTCTAGGAGTAGGGGCCGATACTGCCATGATCGAACTCCACGCCATTGCATACTGGATTTCGATCATTTACTTATCTTTGTGAAAGAGCAACGTGCAACAAAACTCAACCAAAATCTTCTTCCCAGTTTTGATTGAAAAGTAAAAGACTGACTGTGCTGCGTGGGAGGTTGGGCAGTTCACATGGTCTTGCACTCGCCAGCATCCTTGTATGGCCATTCAAATTTGGATAATGTGAGGTTAGCTCTATCCTCATGAGCACTCCCAGGGTAATATTGGTATTGAAAATACCTTATCGCTGGGCTCGGGGGTCAAGATATAATGGCTCGGCCTTGATTAGTCAGATGTTTACATCCGAAAGTGCGGGCTCGCTTACGAAAATCGGACCCTGCGGGAAGGACCTTCTGGCTTTCAAGATCGAGGGAGAAGGGGTTTGTTTGTAGTTCTTCCATATTTTCAAAGAATCAAACAACAGTTACTCATTGTCGAGTTCTTCAAAGGTGAATATCTCGGCTAGCTACGTGACACCGCTCTGAAGCTAGCTGTTGCTTGGCAGCAATGAAGTCCGATATCTTCGTGATTCACTCTGCTCGATGCAATAGAATATTCGAGCTACTTTATCGAGTCTCGCTTGCTATTTTACCACTGTTTGAATACAACATAGACAGCATCGAACCTTACAAGTCCATCGAAACTCTCAATACTTGAATAAACATGTCTGAAGCGGAGGATGTCAGTGTGACTGGAACAGCACCACTACCTCAAATCTGTACAACGAAGGATACAGAATCAGCTGATAATACGCCTCGAACAGACTCATCACAAATAACACTCAAAAATGCAACCCCGGAGTCAACTCCCAAAATCCGACTGATATCCAAAAACCCACCCCTTCCAAAGCCCAAACAGGCACAATCAGAGACTCGCTTCGACCTAACACGCATCAGCCTCTCCAACGGTGGGTTCTACATTCCCACTCAAATCTACCACTCCAAAGACTTCATCGACAATACCTACTCCCACCCCTCCGGCCTCGTCTCCACCCTCCTTTACACCGAACTCACCCACCTCCTCTCCCTCAACATCTACCCCCCGGACAAACCCCCTCTCCCCAACCCCTACCGGCACAACCCTCCGCCCTACAGTCTAACCTTCCCTCTCTGGCGCCAAACCGCAACATGTGGCTCTCATCTGTCCACTTGGCCAATCCTCAAGTCGTTCCTCCGTCAATTCAGACCGTGTCTCGATGCAGCGGGTGAAGCCTTCAAGAAGTTCAGACCGGATGAGTATGCGCATATGCTGATCTATCACGATCATTTGATCCGTACGTTTCCTACGGCGAGGAATCCGGGAGTGGGGAGGTCGGTGTGGGAGGATGGGTATAGGACGCCGTTTGCGAGGATGAGGGTTAGTGTTAATGTGGATAGGAGGGTGGGTAGTTCGAGCTCAAGCTCCAGGGGCTTGGAGGATGGGGTGGGGACGTGGTTTCGGGAGGGGTGGAAGGTGGTTGTGTTGTTTGGGGGGTGGGTTGGGGGGAGAGTGGTTTGGGCGACGGAGTGGGGTGAGGTGTTTGGGTTTGAGGAGGCGGAGGAGGGGGATGTGTGGGTTTTAGCGCCGGGGACGGTGTTTGGGTTTGAGGAGGCGGAGGAGGGGGATGTGTGGGTTTTAGCGCCGGGGACGGTGTTTGGGAATGAGGGGTTTGTTGGGCAGAGGGTTCAGGTTGAGTTGTTTGTGCCGGAGGTGGGGTACATGGGTGATGATGAGGATAGTGGTAAGGAGGTAGTGGCTGATGCCAAGTGATAAAATGGGGGGATATGGCATCTGTACTGTTACAGAGATTGAGAGACGAGAATTGACGTGGCGTCGATATGTGCGAGTAATTCTGTGGAATATTCTGGCAAATCTTCTGAGGATTTGTAGGATGCCTAGTTCGGATATCTTGCAATTGATATCGGTGACCTGAGAATTGCTTCCGTGGATCCGATGCTGAAGATAAGTACCACACCATCGTATTCAGAAAACGCTGAAAATGTGGTACGAGTTAACAGTCAACTCTGGTTGCCCGAAACACAAAAGAAATAGGAAAAAAGGACACAGTTAGATTGGAAAACCAACGTGTTTGAACATGTGACCTTGCGCGAGGAATCATAAACGGCGGCACAGCATTGAGATTAGAAACAAGGTCTAACCAGCAGTGTCTGCCTGACTTGAACTCTCGGAATCGTGTCCAGTCCCTGATAAAAAGCTTCCGCTCAACGCAGAGAACCTTTCATTGATCTGCACGATCTTCCCATCCTTCAGATCAAAGTATTTCCTCCGATACTCATGCGAGCACAAACTCTCACCCGTATCATATATTTCTCGTTCCCTCGCCGTCCCTTCGCCTTCATTTGTAGCTTGGCTTCTTTGTAACTCCGCATCGTCGCTTCTTGTTTGATGTGAGAGGATATAGTTGATTTCTTGCGATAAGCGACCTCGTCGTCGATCGCGGGGCATTTGCTGCTGGTGTTGCTGAGTTGTAGGATTGGTATATGGTTGGTTTTTGAGGTAATAATTCTCTGAAAAATAGCGAGGGAACCACTTAGCAACGAGGGGTTTGAGGGTTGGGAGGCAGGCGGCAATGATGGCAGAGGCCATTTCGGACACGGTCCTAGAGAGTTGTCAGAAGTTATGGTGAACAGTACAGGTATGATAAGAGATGTACCATATTCCTGGGCCAATGTTATCGACTGAAATACGTTAGTGAGGTCCAAATGAATAAACAGGCAGGACAACATATCTCACATAGAGGATCTGTGGTCTTGCCGTACTGAATTATAAACGGCAAGCGCACAACGCTTGACAGTCAATTATGTCAGTCTATCATATTTTCACCACAGGAAAGAGGTACCTGTTACCTGATGATGGAAGCTCTATGTCACATATTAGCCTAACATGGCCACCATTTTTGGGCTACTTCGGGGACTTACAACAGCCCGAAGCTAAATAGCAGCAGTACTGAGTCTCTTGGGTACCCGCAGTTTGAGCAATTGCGGTACTGGCATCAAGAGAATTGTGAAGTCAATGGCGATTGACGTGGCGCTCGACGCATACGTTAGAGCATTAACATCCAGACAGGTCGATGGAATACTTTTGTCAAAAACACCTCCTGACAACTGTGAGCAGGCGTACAGACAGGCTTAGAGAGATGACTCACGAATTGGCTTGCATTGAAATATGGTGACGCCCAAGAACCCGAGGCCTGTGGCAACTGTGATGCCTATCATTACAAAGCAGGCGGCACGAAATCGCTCGCCAGGAAACAACCTCAGCTAAGTATGTTAGCAAATGAGCCTTCAAGATCACACGGAGGAAAGAGACCTACGTAGAAGCAGAGAATGGAGCTTTTGATGAGTGTGATGGTAATCTGGTATGCAATCTCATCTGACCAATACAGATAGAGGTTGGGTAAGTGGAACCTTGGATCTACATTGAAAGTGTGCTTGCCCAGTCCAAAAGCAATCACCTCAATAGTGCCTGATATTTGCACGTATCCAAGAACGAGGCTGGCTGCAATAATCAGGTAGTCGTCGTATCCGATCCCTCTCGCGAGCCTGATTCGAGTGTATAGTCGCAAGCCGACGGCACTATTTGTAATGACTCCAAGAAGTCCCAAGATTGATGTCGCAATCACGACTCTGCTTTCAACGGGCTCGTCTTTACATAGATCATTGTTCACAGTTCCAACTTCTGTAAGCTTATCAGCAACTTGAATGGACCTCAACAAGACAGCATTTACTCTGCTGGTCGGGAAAACTGCATGATTTTCTGACACAGTCTGCTAGAGCCTTCTCTATGGGAGGATGGGCACATAGTAACTTGAGGTCCTGAGCTATTGACGGTTCCGAGTCCATGGCGGAGGTCACACAGAGAAGCTGTGAGCATTCAGTATCAATTGCACTCGAGGTCCGATTTATGCAAAGCTCATCGAGCATGTAGGAAACATGGCTTGAATGCCAACTGGTAACGATGATGCCATGGCGGAAGAAAAGAGGAATGTAAAGAGGATAGAAAATACGAAATTGGACCTAAAAGCCCTGGCTGAAGCCGATAAACTCGAAGTCCCCGGCATATGAAAAGAGGCTACGCTCATCGCGCTACCCACTGTAAGTAACCATCATAAGCCATGAGGGGTACTTTGAGACCAGAGCTTTATGCCTTCAGTGGCTTGCACTAGATGAAAGAGGAAACAGGAACAAAAAAAAAATGTAGAATATCATATCCGCCAGCTGCCACTCGGTAGTGCTAACTATGCGAGCTAAGGACGATCGTTCACTCGCATGAAGGCTTTCGTGTTTGGACCCAGTTAGGCGAGGAGAATCCATGACGTTCAAGTCAGATCGGCCAAAATTGACATTGCCACAGATGCCACCGAGTGTCGAAGACTGTCAATTCGATCGCATCGATATATAAAGCCATAGAGCTCAGCTTCTCAATATCGCAAGAGTTAGAAAGTTGCGCAGAGTGAGTTCTTATTCTTCCGGAACAAATGCCCTTGTACACCAATTGATTCATCACCCTTGTACTTTCAGGCTAGAAGGACTGGAGGAGGTGACTGGTTGAATTTTGTGGCGGACATGTGAGCGTCGTCGGAATAAACTTCCTGCTATACCAAGGTGGAACTGTTCCAAAACAGACACTAAAAATTAGGAAGATAGCACAAGGAAGTAAGACGCTTGAGAGTCATCGTGGCAAGTAAAGACGAATCAAGAAGCAGGACTTGGAGGTCACAAGGAAAATCTGCAAAGTAACTTTTCGAGCTCTCAAGGTCACGGCTTAGCTTCGGCATTCGCAGAAATGCGGTTCATTGGATGGTAACAATGATATCCATGGACTCGGACACCTGAGCAGATAGAACAAGAAAATGCGACAACGTGCAATGGTATGGAGCAAGAAGCAAGTTCATCGGCTGTTTGGAGCCTTGGCCTCTATCCAAAGAATCGAGATAGCTGATGCTGTTTCTTGACAAGAAACATCGCATCGTGCCCGTGCCTGTGCTGCTTGATGGCCTTGGCGTAGAGAACGAGTAAGTATTACACGCCGAGCACATTCTCCACTATTTGAGATTCTCGTATCCAGCTTGGCTAGCATAGCTTTGCTTGCGAGGAGCTGAGTTGCCAGTGTCTTCGCTTTCTAGGATTTTGGTGGACAGATCTGCATCGACAAATACCATGAGTTCTGTGACTCGACATGAAAACATATTTTATCTTCCCCACGTTGGCTGGCCGGCTGGATTTGGAAATGGCTCCATAAAAGCTGTTTAAAAACTGGTCTCAGAGCTTTGAATGAAATCAATCGTGCCCAGCAGATGGTTTGGGGAGAAATGGTTGTGGCATTAAGGTTTTTCCGGGCGACGGATGTATGTTCCGCTGGAAGCCGTTGCCCCACTGTGCCCTGTCATCGAGTCCATTTGCTCTAGGAGGATGATCGTTCACGACGCGAGTGAAAAGAATAAAGGACGATAACGACCATTATGATCTGGCCGACCCCCTGACTGGAGTTTCTGCTACTTAGGGACAGCAGATACTAACCCGACCCCTCAGTGAATAATTATTCCGGCCCATCGTCAAGATTTGGTCGAATATTCTCACCGCCGTCTGTGTCTCGCCGCAGTGGCGTCACGGTTGAGACAGACTGCTATTGCCCCTCCACCGCTTCTTGCTGCGAGACAACACATACCTACAGCAACACCTGCCACTATTCAGAGCCATGGCGGACAATCCCCACGCCCATTCCCCCAGAACTCGATTTATACGCAGTCTGCCAAAGACTGCCTCGTCGTCCTCAATTGCAGACATGAGGGTCAACGAATCCCAGAAACTTCGAGTCCTTATCGCAGCAAATGGATCCAAGGACGTGGCACAAGCACTGTCACTGGTCGTACGGCTGTCGAAGAACACGAAGATAGAAACGAGGGCTATTGTCGACGAGGAATCATGGCCGGCCCACCGATTATCCCAAGAGACACTGGCATTACAGAATAGATGCTTCCGAGCCTGCAGGGAGACGGATGAAGCACAGAAGACTATCGAACGAGCGCAGATCGAATACTACAAGCAGCAGGCATATGAACTATGTGATTGGGCAGATATGATGGTACTGGCACCGATCGATGCAGACACATTCGCAAAGATGCTCCATGGCATAACTGACTGCCTACTGCTAGAAATTCTACGCGGTTGGGATGTCTCGAAGAAGATACTGCTCGTGCCGGGGATGACAACCGCAATGTGGGAGAATCCGATGACGAAGAAACAACTCCATAAGATTCAGAAGAAGTGGCAGTGGGTGCGGGTCATGCAGCCGATTCTGTGGAATTACGACAGTGGACCTTCGAAATGCCTGCTGGCTTGGGATGGGTTTAACGAGCTTGTAGATGCGATCAAGAACCAGGCGGAACTCATGACTATAGGACACGATGTGGACATAGCTGCTTCTGGAGCTGCTAGTCTGGCAAGATATAATATCAAGACCGATTGTCTCCTCCCACCAGAGATTTGGACGTTGATCTTCGAACGGGTCGGAGACTGGGAGGTGGCCAGGGCACTTAATGTATACACGAACCTACCAACACCGATCGAATGGCAGCCACGGCCGGGGGATGCAAAAGATGAATTACACATTTATATGCGCTCGCTGGAATGGACAATTCTCACATGTAGTACCGAGAAGATTATCGACAAGTTGAAAACAGCACCGGAGAACATGAAGTTCCTGTCAAGTCTCTGTGTGAAACTTGTCATCAAGTTTTGTCTCACAGATCTCTTAACATATCTGGAGACAAATTTCAAGGAGGTTTTCTGGTCTTCCTTTGGCCAGAAACTCTTACCTACCAAAGCCTCCGCCGGATATGGACGTACTGAGATCCTCGAATGGTGGCGGACGTCTCCCAGCTTTTTGTCCAAGGACTACACACCAGAGGCTATCGATGGAGCTTCCAAGTCTGGATTCGTACATGTTTTGGATTGGTGGCGTCGTTCTGGCCTACCCCTGAAATATACCGAATCCGCTCTGGAACAAGCATCATCGAAGGGACATATCATTGTTCTCGAGTGGTGGAAACAAGCAAGTATGCTACAAGGCTCCTACTATGTGGAGAACGAGTCTCGACAGCGCCATGTCTCGCCGTCAAGAGCAGGAGACGGGACCAGCACACCAAACGAAGCCCAACCTGCTTTAAGACTCAAACCAGGCAAAGCGCTTCTTGCCGCAGCACAGAACAACCAATCGCTTGTCCTGCGCTGGTGGGATAACTCTGGGATCACCATCTCGCACGACGATTTGGTTGCGAAAATCGCATCTGCACATGGACATGTCGGTGTCCTAGAGACATGGCGAGAGCTGAAAGGGGAGAAGATGACATTCGACAATAAAGTCCTGGTTGAGCCAACGAAGAATGGTCATGTCGATGTCTTGGAGTGGTGGAAGAATATTAGCAAAGGCGTAGATGGACGACCGCCAGCTAGAGTGGAATATAAGACCTGCGATATCGAAGAGGCATTGGAGGATAGTGTGGGGAGCGAAGGGACAGCTTTCCAAGTGAAGAAGTGGTGGGCTCAGAATGGATTGAATCTAGGGGTCCAGGTTAGCGAGTGGACAAAGGTCAAGGTTTTGTGAAGTAGTGGTCAACTGGGAAATAGTGGCATTTCAGATTGTATACTACTGCATAGCGAGGGATATATATCACAATACCTTTTTGTTCAATATTCGCTGCCGTATTGGACATTCATGGGACATCTTCGCCGAACTAAGTGGGACAACAACCCGAGAAAATTTGAGACAGCTTTATGGCGGAGAATAAATTGTTCTCGCTTTCAGCACCAGTCAGCTTCCCCGCCTGAGAAAGCGAAGTCATCACAAGTGCAGTATGGCAATTCCTTGGTAAACCCCGCAACGCGGAATTAATCCTGCAATGCAAGGAGAACAGACACGCCAAGACGTTCTGTTAAGCCGGTCTTACTTCTCCAACAATTCCTCGAACAGGAAGGTGCGATAAGGAATACCAGTGAGTTGACTCAGGATGTCGTGCTCGCTTAGGCACCGACTTTGTAAACTTCACCGTGGTACGCGTCTATCCCCTGGTGTCTCTATATAGGATTCAACCTCAAAATTCCAAGGCGTGAACTTCTTAGATCAAATATCTTAAGAATTAGAAGTCCGGTTGAGCTAATCATGGCACCGAATTCCACTGATTTTGAAGATGGCCTGCATTTGTTTGGTCCAGCTTCTCCAGATACATTCGATTTTACCCCTCTATTTGAGAATACGTTCTTATCGATCGTTCCTTCTGCTTTACTGCTTCTGATCATACCTTTCCGTCTCTTCTCCCTACGCAAAGAATCTCGCAAAGTCTCTCGAAGCGTGCTTCAAAGCAATAAACTCGTCTGTTCTCAACCTCCCACTCAAAAACACCACGATCTCACTGACCAAATACCCAGATCCTGCTAGCGATCCTAACAGCCTTCCAATCAGCCATCCTGATTCTCTACGCCATCAACACCCAAGTCCGAACAAGCACATCCCTCGCCTCATATACCCTCGTCCTTGCCGACGCCCTGGGCCTCTGCTTCCTCTCCCACCTAGAACACACGCGCTCCATCCGCCCCTCCACAATAATCAACACCTACCTCTTCACGACCCTCATCTTCGACACAGCACGCACCCGCACCCTATGGATCTCCCACGCCCCACTCACCATAACCAGCGTCTTCACCGCCGCAACGATCCTGAAATTCGCAGTCGCGGTAGCGGAGGCGATCGAGAAGCGCAAGATTCTTCTCCCGCCGTACCAGCGCGGCTCGCTTGAGGCCACGAGTGGGATTTATAGTCGGAGTTTGTTCTGGTGGTTGAATGGCTTGATGAGGATTGGTTATGCGAGGGTTGTGAGGGAGGATGATATGTTTCCTATTGATGAGGAGATGAGATCTTCGTTTTTGACGGAACGGGCGCAGAAAGCGTGGGAGAATGCGCCGAAGACTCGGTCGCATGCGCTTTTCTGGTCGACGTTGAAAGCTAACGCGAAGGCGGTCTTGATGTGTGTATTTCCGCGGCTGTGTCTGATTGGGTTTCGGTATGCGCAGCCTTTGTTGCTGGCTCGGACGGTGAATTTTGTGGACTCGCAGGATAGGGATACGATTGGATGGGGATTGACGGGTGCGTTTGGTGTGGTGTTTGTGGGCATGACGATTGCGAGAGGTAATTATTACCATATGACCTATCGATTTGTGACGGCTGTTAGAGGCGGTTTGGTTGGTATTGTGTATGCGAAGACGGTAGATTTGAGTATCACTGCGTTGGATGAAAGTGCCGCTATCACGTTGATGTCGAATGATGTTGGTGAGTAATCTCTTCCGCTGATGGTAGATGTTATGGATAGATCAAAGGCTAATAATGTGTTCAGAAGCAATCTGCATGGGCTTTGAGACGTTGCATGAGCTCTGGGCAGTGCCTGCTGAGTTGGGAATTGCCATATTTCTGCTACAAAGAGAACTTGGAATCTCATTTCTGGCCCCCACTGTCGTGGCAATTATCTCAACAGCGTGTGTTGTTGGTCTATCGAGATATGTTGGCGGCGCGCAGAAAGCTTGGAATGAAGGAATACAGACTCGTGTTGACGTCACGACGTCGATGCTTGGATCAATGAAGGTAATTATATTCACATGTGCTGGTGGAAAGTTACTGATTTGCTACGTACAGGCTATCAAACTCTTAGGATTCACCGATAAACTCACAGATATCTGCCAGGGACTTAGGGTAAGAGAATTAAAGATTGCGAGATACTTCAGACAGCTTCTCGTCGCACGCGTATTCTTTGGTGAGACTTACCCATCTAAGGTATACTCTCACTTCTGACTAATTAGCTGATAATCACTACAGCCAACTGCATGACATTCGTAACACCACTTGCAACGCTCACTGTCTTCGTTCTCCTCGCTCAATCAACCAAGGAGGAATTAACCACCTCTAAAGCATACACAACATTGTCTCTGATAAGTCTACTCACAATCCCAATCAATACCCTCTTGAGGACGATTCCGGCTCTTAATGGAGCACTGGCATGCTTCGGCCGAATTCAAACTTTTCTGGAGTCAGAGTCTCAGCGTGTGCATGTCCTGCCCCTCGAACCAGGATCGTTTGAAAGAAAGGATGAGAGACAACCGTTTCCTCATATCAGTCATGAGAATGGAGATATTGAACTACGACAAATGCCTGTCACATCAAGACATCCATCGCACAGAAAAGCCAATACACCAATTCTCACAACTCACAACGCGAGCTTCGCTTGGTCCACCACTGGCCTTGCTATCGTCAAAGACATAACTTTCACGCTCCGCCGCCACTCTTCTCTGTTCATAATTGGCCCAGTTGGATGTGGCAAGAGTACACTTCTTAAAGGCTTGTTGAGCGAGACGCCTTCTCTGAAAGGGTTCGTGTATTCTTCCGTCTCAGATATCGCATTCGTGGATCAAACACCCTGGATACAGAATACGAGCATCAAGAAGAATATCAGTGGACAAGAGCTGTATGATGATGTCTGGTTCGACCAAGTTGTCCGAGCCTGTGCACTGGACCAAGATATTGGAGATTTGCCGAGGGGAATTGGTAAGACCATCTGGATATCAGACCGGCAATTGAGCTTACAAGAAGCTAATAGAAGGTAGAAACACTTGTTGGAAGTCGCGGTATCACATTGAGCGGCGGACAGAAGCAGAGATTGGCACTAGCTCGTGCTCTATATTCTAAAATAGAGTTGCTGGTCATCGACGATGGCTTTTCTGGACTAGATGCTGAGACAGAGGAGAAGGTCTTCTCCAAGCTCTTTGGAAGCTCGGGCTTACTGAAACGTATCGGTACAACGGTTATTCTCGTCACGCACGCTGTTCACCGTCTACCATTTGCCGACCAGATCTTAGCACTTGATGCAAGCGGTCGTATGGTTGAGCAGGGTACATTTCAAGAACTGAAAGCTGGAGGTGGGTACGTGGATAGCCTTCTACAACAAGTTGGTGAAAGATCTCGTGGTGAAGAGAACACTGATATCCCGGACGAGGTTGAGCGCATAGAGAAGCTGGCAAGCAGAGCCATCGACTTTGAAACAGTAGACGACGAAAAAACGATACATGAAACTGAGTTTGCCACCTATAAGTACTACTTCGAGTCGATTGGGTGGCGACGAAGCTTCCTCTCTCTGGGCCTTTTCCTGGTCGCTTCCGTTTCAACAAGAGTGACTCAACTCGTCATCCAGTTCTGGACTGCTGCTGTCTCTGCAAATGGAAATGGTGTCAATCCGTTCTACTTGGGCATATATGGCCTTCTCGCGGGTATCGGAATCGTCATGTGGCCTGTGGCTGTTTTTCACTACTTCATGTTTGTAGTACCTGGGAGCGCGGAGGAGTTGCATGCCAGGCTGTTGAGGTCTGTGATGGGTGCGCCGTTGAGTTTCTTCGCGGCGACGGATACGGGTATGACGACGAACAGGTGAATCATCTTCTCTCTGCTCAAGCAGATTCTCCAAAGACCATGGACTGACAGTGCAATAGGTTCAGCCAAGACATGTCGGTCGTGGATGGCGAGCTCCCATTCGCGCTCGTGGATTTCGTCTTTGCTGGCATACAGACAATCATGGGTGTAATATTCATGTGCATCTCCGCTGGATATTTCACTCTCACGGTGCCGGTGGTTGGCATCACTGTTTGGCGTACTTATAACCTCCCCTCGTCACCATTTTTCATATTCTGACCTCAAAATAGTAATTCAAAAGTTTTACCTTCGTACTTCTCGTCAAGTTCGCATCCTCGATCTCGAAGCCAAGTCACCGCTCTATACACACTTCATCGAGACCCTATCTGGTCTGCCAACAATCCGCGCCTTCGGCTGGTCGTCATCTTTCATCTCGCAAAACCTCGCTTTCCTGGATGCCTCTCAGAAACCGTATTACCTACTCTTCTGCATCCAAATATGGCTCGGTCTTGTGATGGACCTCATGGTCAGCGTTTTAGCTATCCTTCTCATGGTCCTTCTGGTGAAACTGAGACACACCATCGGAGCTGGTTATGTTGGTTTAGCACTTCTGAGCGTCATGGGTTTCGGGCAGTCATTGTCATGGATCGTGAAACAATGGACCGATCTGGAGACCAGTATCGGGGCAATATCTCGACTGAAAACATTCTCAGAGAAAACACCTTGCGAGAACCTCGCTGCAGAAATCCAGCCGGTTCCAGAAAACTGGCCATCGAGGGGCGAAATCCAGATCAAGAATCTCACAGCCGCATACACGACCTCCGGATCGCCAATCCTGAAAGACATAAACCTTCACATCGCAGCCGGCGAGAAAATAGGCATCTGCGGCCGCAGTGGTAGCGGAAAGAGCTCTCTCCTCATGACGCTCTTCCGAATGCTCGAAATCCAGCCTGAGAGCTCCATCATCGTAGACGGAATCGACATCTCCACCATCCCCCGACAAACAGTTCGCTCACGTTTCAACGCCATCCCCCAAGACCCCTTCTTCATGAAAGGCAGCATCCGCTTCAACGCCTCCCCCTCCTCCCTCCACACAGACACAGCCATCATCTCCGCCCTCACCAAAGTGCATCTCTGGCCCACAGTCCTCTCAAAAGGCGGTCTGTCTGCACCACTTGAGGAAGAGACCTTCTCGCATGGTCAGCGCCAATTGTTCTGTCTTGCGCGGGCGATCTTGAGGAAGAGTAGGATTGTGGTGCTCGATGAGTTGAGCAGTAGTATTGATGTGGCGACTGATGCGTTGATTCAGAGGGTCTTGAGGGAGGAGTTTGAGGCGTGTACGGTGCTGGTTGTGGCGCATAGGTTGGAGACTGTGGTGGATTTTGGGAGGGTGGTTGTTCTTGGTGGGGGGAGGGTGGTGGAGGTTGGGGTGCCAGGGGAGTTGATTGAGAGGGAGGGGAGTGCGTTTGGGGAGTTGTGGTTTTCGAGATGAGATGGGATGGCTGTTGGATATTGGTGGTGTAATAGGGATGATGTGATTTCAGATACCGGCGACTAGCATGGAGGGCGAAACATCTTCCGAAGCTCGTATGATTGAAAGAGCTTGCCAGCAAATAGGTATCTTGAGAACATCATAGCCACACCGCTGCCATTAATGATTACATCGTCCTGCATTCTTAAAGGCACTGTTCGCTCTGTACGAGAAGCAACGGCAATGCGATATGCAAATTGACCCATGTCCATTTCACAATTCTACCGCCGCCTGAACATCCCTCAAATACTTCTTTCTCACACCAATCCTACTAATACCATGCTTTCGCACCACCCTATCGTAATCCTCCGTTCCCCTACCCGCCGCAAGCGCCTCATCATCCCACGACGTCCACACACCAGGCATGTCTTCTGGAATACCTTCACCATTAGCCAAGCTCTCCATAACCGCCAAAGTCTCCTTGATACTCATGCTAGTCGATTCGAGCGCTTCGATGACAACATCTTGTGCATAGCCGTCGGAGACGTGTTTGGTGATGAAAGCCTCGAGCAGTGCTTCTTTTTGAGAATCGGTTTGTGATTGTGTGGAGGACTCGTAGTTGGTGCTCGAGGAGTTGATGGTGCCTCGAGTGGTGGCGCTGTTCAAGTTGTTGCTTGAGTGGAGGGTACCTCGGGTTGTGGCGTTGCTGAAATCACGCTGAGAGGTCTGCTGTTGAGTTCGAGGTGGTACCCGGTTGACGAATGCGTCGTATTCGTCTTTATCGTTGTCATCATCATTGTCACTTTCCTCTTCAAGAGGTCCAGGGTGAGAGCCTGGGATCACCACATCATCGTCGTCATCGACGTCGTCGTCGGGATCATCGTCCTGAGGCACTGATGGGTAGGTTGGAGCTGGGTGATAGAAGTCTTGTGTTTCAGGCTCGAGGTGTCGAGCAGAAGCTGGTCTCTTTCTTTCGAATTTGATCGGCCTGACTTCCTCAATTGATGAGCTGGCTGATGGCGAGGAGGTTTCAGCCTGCCCAAAATTCAGTGGGGACGGCTGTTGAGGCGGCCGACTCATCTGAGCGTTGTTAATGATATCCTCAGGAGTGGACGGAATTTCCAGTTGCTCCTTGCCTTTGCCTTTGTCGATTCGTTGACGCTTGGAGTATGGCATATCAGAACTTCTGTGATCACTGCCGGATCTTCTTTTCCCGGCAGATGGAGATGGAAGTTGTGGGCGCTGAGGCGAGATCTGGGGGCTATCCAGGTCGTCGTCACTCTCTTCTTGTTCCTTCAGGAGGTCGTCATGTTCCTCTTCCTCTTCTAGGAATACCTGACTTTCTTGACTGTTTTCGGAGTTTCCCTCCTCAATGTCCACATTTTCTGGTTGTTCCGCTGTTTGACGAAGCTGATTCGCGATCATTTCGGCTTCCAGCTCTGAAGTCATGTCTTCGCCCTCTTGCAATTCTCTTTCTCCTTGTTCCAGATCACACAGGATTTCTCCATAGCAGCTTTGTAGATCTCCTGCAGCTTCTCTCTGTTTTGAACCTTCAAAGCCCAATTTTTGGGCGACCTTGACCCATCTTCTCCGCCCATTGACTTCGTCGAATCCCCCAAACTCATCAGATGTAACAACCTGCCACAAGTCAAACAGTTTAATCGTTTTCCCACAGATGACTGGGTTGGGATCTACTTCTAAATCAAGCTGGTCTGCAAGTTGCAAGAGGTTTATCGCGAATTGCCTTGGACTGTTTGTGAAAGACGGGTTCTTTCCGATCTCTTTTGCAGGACTCTGAACAGTTTGTCCAGAGGAGCCCTGTGAATCTTTTACTTCATGCACTCGAGTGGAATTTGAAGCATCATTCCGTGCTAGAGTAGAGTTTGGAGGCGGCATCTCTTTCGAGCGATTTGCTGCTGCGGCCTCTTTCGATCTGATACGAGCCTGGTGTGTAGGAGCAACGTACTCCTTAAAATGATTGTGCCATTCTTGTGGGGTATGGTTCTTATGCTAACATTAACGTCAGCCTCAACCAGAACTCGAATGTGCAAGACAAACCACATTGGACCATGCCATCCAAGCGTTAATGACTTGATCCTCATTCAGATCCATAATCGAATCATAGGCTTCAAAGAGAAGCTCACTCTCTTCATCGGTGAAGACATTTCCGCCAATGGACATTGGCACAAATGGTATTGCTTGAATTGAGGTTGACGAACGTTGAGACCTCGTGCTGACGGCAGGACTGGCAATAGGAGTTTGATTGATTGGTACTGAATGTGGCTTTGACCTGGATTTTGGAGGCGGCGACGCTGAAACCTGAGCAGGACGTCGTGAAGGTCGCGAGACAACTGAGAGATTACGAGGCCGGCTGGATTTCGGAGCAACTGGTGCAGGCTCAACGTCATCCTCCTCCTCGTCGTCCTCGTCATCTTCAGGCAGTGTAGGACGCTTGGTTGCAGAGATATATTTTTTCCACCGATCAAGCCATGATTGCCAGGTGTGATGAGGGTACTTGGGAAAAGTCAGCATATAACAACAACTTCGCCACAGATATTACTTTTATTGCCAGTTGCTTGTATATAGTGTTTCCCAGAAGAGAAGAGCCTCTCCTTTCAGCTCGAATTACCCATTCCATCAAAATTCTGTCATCTTCTGGCGTGAACTTAGTTCTGGTTTTCTTGGTTGGTTGCGTAGACCCAACCTCCCTGACTTGTGCATGAATTGGCCCTGCTCTGTAGTTTTCGATGTTCTCCAGTCTACCATTCCGTATCGACTGTTCTACCCATTTCCATGAAATCGAGCCAGGTGCGCAATCCTTCCGTGCATGGTCGGCAAGTATCATGTCGGCGTTTACCTCCAGCTTCACGACAGTTCCACCATTCGACTGTTGCAATCTTAGCTGGGGTCGCGCAACAATGAAGAGGATAGACCAACCTCAATTTGGTTTTTCCAGGTAGTACGCATTGGTATCCGATGAGACAGCCAGAACGTCTTCCCCTGAAAGAGATCCCCTCCCCCGCCAGCAGCACCTTCGTACACAATTCGGGCAGCCATACTCGCGATTTACTTCTGCTTGGAGCCTCGTCAATTCAGATCCAGCTTGCTACCTTGGGCTTGGCTATCGGGGTGTTCTGTACGCGGATCCAGATCATCGCATAGTTCAGCGCGAACAAGTTGGCGCATCTGCGAGGTTCTGCTCGATCTCGAATGCGACATTGACGAGACGCGACGTGATCCGGTCCGAAAGTATTCAAGACGGGCAAGCACCTGACTCGGCAAAACCCCGGCGCCCGAGCTTGGAAATTCGGACGACACTTCAAGTCATCAAATTCAGTCGGGGTCAGCCACAATCGTGTCAATTAACGAGTGGCATAAATCCACATATAACAATGTATTATCGTTGAGATACATCTCTTATTTACAAGCCTTCCATCCAGAATGGGAACTCTTCGAAAAGTGGCCATTTTGATATTGGTCATCTCCTTTTTCACATTCGTTGCCTTCTTTGGTCGACTACCAGCCTTGCGGTAAGTTGCTAAGTTGTGTTCTAAAACTATCACATCCAGCTCATCTAATGCAGCAATACTCCTATTGGCGCACTTCATAGATTACTATGGATTCATATACCAGCAACTCTCCGGTCATGGGACCAAAGATTGACACAGGGACGTTTAAGCGCTTGGGTGACCAGACAAGCGCACATTCTCTGGAACGACAGACATCCTATTGTTATGGTGAGAGACAGAACTTTTGCTTTGTGTTATTTGCTCTCGATCTCGTTTTTTCAAATGCTCCACTCCCTAATGCTGCAGTGGGGATGGCTGTGATTCTGTGTCAAAGAACCATCTTGAACGTTTCTCCTTTCTTGTTCTTGTCCAAGTCATCTATATATGTAGAACCTTACTAAGCCACATAGATCTTTTTTATCCTTCTCCTCTCGGTATCGGAAGTAATGTTTCTTCCTCCAGCCTGGCAACTACTCAGCACCGCCAGGAAAGTCACTTCTTTCATACTTCTTTCCCTTCCGTACATATTTTTGTGGGCATCCGCTGCTCTGGATCCAGGATATATCGGGCCTGAAAATCACAGTCAAGCAATGAGTCTCTACCCATACGACTTCACGATATTCCATCCTGGTCAGACATGCAACACATGCAAATTGCTGAAGCCGGCCCGCTCCAAGCACTGCAGCATTTGCAAGAGATGTATATCCAAACTAGACCATCACTGTATCTTCATCAATAATTGTGTCGGCTATAATAATCAGAACTATTTCCTCCTGCTCCTTTGGACTACTGGAGCCTTGACCTCCTACGCAACCTATATCGGCTTTTCGATCCTCTCAGACGAGGTCCGCAAGGAGATTCCATCATGGACGATCCGCGGCAAGGGTTTCACTTGGTCACAGTTTGTCAATGTCTGGGCTTGGGTGCTTCAAGAATATACTCGCATCGGTGCCGTCACACTACTATGTCTGCTGACTACACCACTGATCTTCGGACTCCTCGGCTACCACATCTACCTTATTTGGGTGGGTACCACCACCAACGAATCAATGAAGTGGTCCGATTGGCAAATCGAAATGTCAGACGGCTATGCATTCAAACGCTCACTTGCCACAGACCGCCAAAAAGATGAACGCATCGAACCAGCATGGACTCGATGGCCCGTCGAAAGTCAACAAGTCGTTTTGCGAACTGAAGATGGACAGCCTCCCAGAGGACCTGGCGCGATTGGGATTGGTGAGTGGGAGAGGGTGTGGAAGTTGGCAGATGTTGAGAATCTGTATGATCTAGGTTTCTGGGACAACCTGGCTGATGTGTTTCTCCCTGTGAATGGATTCCGAGATCGTGAGGATGCGAGTCCTGAGGCCAGGAGGAGTCGCTCATCGTCAGCTTCAGAGACCGACGCTCTCGTTCCCCAATAATATTCTAGATACAGTACAATACACGAGAGGAAGATCGCCCATCTATACACAATTTGCATAGATTTACAATCCCGGAAATTTACCACCTTATTATTTCATCTTTCCCATCCACGCCGGACGTTGCCAACCGTCCAGATCTATCCACAAACCGGTTCAGCAAGGACATCTAACAACCATAACAGGGGACACACGTACAAACACTTTTTGATGTTAATTTTTTCCTCAACATAGGTTAGTTAGAAAATTATCTGCTTGCTTAATGACTTAAATTCCCGACTCATAAGCATGTCCATAAGGTTTGTTGACTTTCAAGATCGTTCACCCTCACAATGGACATTTCTTACAACTTATGTCAGGAATATGGCATGGCTGCCTTATATTAGTATGCTTTGTATTATTTACCATTCTGAGACAACGGCAGAGGCTGTAATGGAGCAGAAACCGGCTTTAGACAAGATTTATGAATTTGAGGTGGGCACGTGATAATGCGCTTTTAGCGTGTTTGTCTTTTCCCAACAAGTCACGACTTCCTCTTCAGCAAAAATTCTCGATCAACCTGAAGAAGATAAATCCCACCAGAATCACAGGACGATCATCGGCTGTCAGCAATCACCATGGTTTGGAAGGATGAAGAAGATCTGGAGGAGATGTGTGCAAATCTGCGAACTCGGCCTCCGTCACCTGTCCTAACTTGCGAGTCTGGAGTGCTCGTTGAATTGAAAGCGGGGATCATCGCCAGCAAGCTTGTTGGGATATCAGGACCGCCGCAATACAAAAGTGTCGAAGACTTAGCTAGAATTGCATACTGGTCGGAGCTACGAGACCGTCCAGACTGGCAACCCTCAAGGGATTCCTCATCTTCCATTTTCGATGTTACCCCGTCAACTGTGGGAACAAACCACTCGGAGAACGACCAATCACCAAAGCCAAATAGGGCCGAAAGGAAGATGCAAGAAATGTTTGACAATTTGGTTACTCGTCCTTCGTCGTGGTCCGAAACCGATGATGGCGCGAAAATGATGGAAATGAATGCAAAAGACCTTTCCAGAAAACTGCAGCAATTGGTTTCCTCACAGATGGTTGACTCCTCCGATGACAGATCGAGCTCACCTCTGCAGCAACCGTTGAGTACGCCAGATAGTAACGAACACATCTCCAAGAAGCGCAAACTGAGAGCATCAAAAGCTGACGGGACTACACCAGAGGAAGGATCAACAGACAAGAACATGGAAACAAGCGTCTGGCAGCCGGCTCCTACAAAACAAAACAGACCAGGAGATTCTTTTTCGCCGAGTGGGTCGACGAGAAAGGATGACGATATCCACCCATTCTACTGAGCAGCTGTAGCAACCTTGTCACAGTCTGTTGTTCGGATTACACCTTTCAAAGCGAATCATTCGGTCTCGGCCCGTTGGATATCCTCTGATATATCTGACTATTGACGAATAAAGCACAGAAGGCTCCTCGCCTTGTAGGCCAACGATACCGCTATCGCCTCATGTCTCTACCCTTCAGGCCTGTAGTCATCTCAGGTTCATCGGTAATCAATCTTCACCGAGGGTCCGATCAACCGAAGCTGCTCTGGCGATCTGCACACATGTCTTGATATGAGCTAGGAACATCTCAGCAGCCTGTAGCCATCAAGCTTCAGTATGTTCGTCTCCTAGATCTGGAGTCCAAGGTCCTGGACATCCCCGAGAAGCTTTTCATCCCATCTCTATTATTTGGCAATTTTCAGCCTTGGAGACATGCTCGACAGCTTCTAACATGGTGAGGCCTTTACATGTCTTTGTTGAGCCTGGGCGCTGATACAATCTTCCAGTAGGATATCCAAGAGGATCCTGTATCTGCAACATGACGTCACGAATAAAATTCCATGTTCTCCCTGAAAAAACAAACCCATCTCTGGAAACTAAGCAACTATGGCATCTTGCCATCTGGATTGGATCCGACTGGTAAGATTAAGAACCAATCCCTATTCATGACCCCGTTTCCCTTGGCATTCAAACTTTTCTCTGTATTTAGCGAGAATGTGACGCGAGCTAACCCTGTCTTGTTCTCTATAGATGAAATGTCTCTGGGAAGTACCCTGCTGTGAGGCATATACCCAGATGCTCACATAGCTTTAATTTGGATTGGCGACTAAATTCATAAAAGATACGCTTCCAGTCATTTGTCTCATGATGGGTTTAGATGATGCGCTCAAAACCATTGCAAATTGAAAATACAACTTGACACTTTCCAACAACTTTGAGAAACCATCCGATTCCCTGTTGCGTTTGAAAGGATGAATTATGCAGCCAGTCATCTTGAGAAGCGGTCGTCGGTCCAATTTCAGAACCATCGATCTACATGTGCTCTAAATCGCTCGACATTGTGCTATCAGCAATTTCCCTACATCTTTGCATCCTAATATGTGGCATAGGTTCTAAGAAAATTTATTATAAGCTATCGATCGCAAAGAATAAGTTTTGCATTCATGGCTATGATCGGAACATGTGGGGTAGATCCCGGATCCACTGCTCTCTTAGATGTGCTATTCAACATTTGACTAGCCGATGTCCGATCTCCCCAACACTAAGTTCCGGCTATCCTAAAATCCCGCTGTACCCTTGTGTAGATGAACATAGAAGACCCACGTCGCGCTGCCTCTGTAAAAATCGACGCATGACCTGATTGCAGTGACACTACGCTAGCCTCGCTTATGTTTGTTGACTTACAATCTCCTCCCCGCTAGATGCCGGGTGTTGATGTCAACGTGTTCTTGAAAAGATGAGAAATCTCATTTCCCCGGATACTTTTGGTTCTTTCAGGATGATTAGGTTGGATCTCGAGTCGGACAGAGAGGTGTGGTATCGCAAGGTGCAAATGAGCTCGCACCACTTACGAAAGCCTTGTCAAAGTCCTGACCTAGGTATGCACTTGACTTGACAAAAGCTCTTGCAATAATGAGGCTAAATGTTACAGTCCGTCCTGATTTAAAAATACAAATATCTAGCAGTTGTCGGAGTGGTAAGATCAATGCTCAGTTCACGATTCTGTAAATCTCGGGACTTGGCGATGACCACAATTTTATATCGCACTATTGTTGCTTTGCTACGCTGGACATCTCCGCCAGTTTAAACTCGTCTGCCATGTACTTCCAACCGAATCCTCTTCATCCAACGTTCCTGGAAAGACATATGTGCCTGTCGAAGATGTGCTGCTAGTGAGCGTAACCTTTGTCTTCATTGTCAAGGGGGTGTTGACACCGCAAGGAGACCAGACACTTGCAGCATCCGGTATCTGTACGGAAACCGTGTAAACATCTCGTATTGGACCAGCTATTCTTGCTTCTGTTGTGGTATTTTCGAGAGCTTTTGAAATGTTAGCGTTGTGAAATTATGCTCTACAGCGAGAGGTAAAGGCCAGAATGGAATGTCAGAAGGGCAACTCAACCATTCCTGAAGTAATACACAGACTGCATTATCCCAGTAACACCTTTATCAAAAGTTGCATATCCATGGTACGTAGTTTTGGCAACGGAATATTGGAAGTCGGGTGGGTGAGTGATGTTGAATGAGAGATCACATGACGGGCGTCTGTCACTGGCAGATACTCCTGGTCCGATATATGCCTGATATCGGTCAGAAAAAACCGAAAGACTACCCTTGGTAAGCTTGACAAATTGAGCAGCTTTTGGGCAAGTAGGAATACACACGTTTTGCGATCAAGTGACAATGACACTCCTGCAGCGCCATCACGGCATCCGGTGCCTGCTGCGGTGAAGTTCGATATGAAGACTTGATCGCTACTTGGATCTTCCATTTGCCCTGCTACCCTATCTGGGGAGAACATAACAGCACCCACGAATAGTAAGGCAAAGATCCAAAGCATTGTTGCAGAACACGTCGTGGATGAGAATTTTTGTGGTTCTCTCCATACAAAAAGGTAACATGTCACTAAAAGCCTGCCACTAATATGAAAGTAGAAGTTACACCAGTAGATCATCAGCAAGTTTTGTGATATTGAAGTCTTTATAGTTACCAGGCTTTTTGCGATTGATCGGTCTACCATAGATGAGGGTAGTGCCGGCTAGTCGGTAAAGAGGATGGATGCTCAAGGGTGTGACAAGCCTCGTATTCATTCTCGAAATAGTATCAGTAATTTACAAGAGACAGTATTGACGTTGGCCCCATATCAATTCCGTCCCGATGGAAAGTTATTCCAGCGTGACGAGCCGACTCGTCTGATTTACTGGCCGAAGAAGAACTCATCGATAAAAACACCATTCTTCAAGATCAAATTGTGTAGATCAACTGTCTGCACCATGAAGTATCACTTTGAAACCAATTAATTTGCCAAAGCGAAATTCTGTACAGCTATACGACACAAGACTCGGTTTACTCGAAGTGCCACAGGAACCGGTCCTGAGCTTGGCAAGTCACCTTCCAAGTTGGAGAGCCTTTTTATTGCCCCGGACCCCAAAAGAGCTGAATTCTGTCTATATCTTAATCTCCTTGCTTCAGCATTCTCCTGCTACCTATGGTGTGGAAAGCTTTTTGGAACACTAAGTCGATATGTGTGGCAAAAGGGAGTGCGGCACAGACAGATATCAGCTTCCCGGGACCAGCAACTCGGTAAGTTGATGTCTTGGGGAGGTCAAGTTATCTCCATCAGTTCGGTAGCGTTTTCTTCGTATTCAGAGATCTTCATGTGAGTACTACTTAATTGGTTCCTCGCTAGGGTTGGGGGATTATTTGCCGCACTGACGATCCTCCCCGAGCCGCTTGTTTTTGTTAAGTAGATCGCCCAACATCCTTTATTGCCATCGTCTCCTTAATCAAGTCAGTATTTATGTATTTCTTGGAAAACTTGAGTCTCCTGGGTCTGGCGTACGTGGCAGATATGTTTACTTCATGTCGTCTGAGCCACCACTGAGGGCCTGGTATTTCTCTCTACTGTCAATTCACTGTACAGGGAAGTTGAGTAGCTCTGACAAGTTGTGTCTCCATGACTGTCTATATGAACTATATCAAGATCGCTGAGCGGTGGTGACTTTGCAATATTAATTGCCGAATAAGACAAGTAATACCAAGAAGTGCTGAGAAAATACAGCAACCGAATGATTCATTCGTGTGAACTTGACAGTTTTCATGGGGACGAATTCTTACAAACCGAATGCATACTGAGTCTCAGTGACTGGCAGCTTCGGAACGATTCAGCCGAGATGGATAATATGGTGTCGAGCCGTGATGCGTTCCCCGCGTTCGGTCGCTTGGCAGCATGATACTTCTCCATACCCCACGAACCAACATTCCATGAAGCTGGAAGAAATGCGGGACGATTGATCCAATCGAGACTTGAAAGGTTTGCCCAAGCTTCGTCGCCAGTAATGAAGAGTACACCTTGGCCGCTGAGCGGCTTGAGCCCCACCAAGTAAAGGGCAAGCCCCACGTCGACTTCATAGTACTGGATCTGCTAATGGTCCTAGAAAGATCAGGTGAAGGCAATATGACAGAATGAAGGTTTTATGAAATGAGACAGAGGAGTATCATTGCCTTCAAAATGAATCCATATATAAGCAAGTCTTAACAGAAGACAAGAGAAGACAAGTCTTCTGTAGATGACAGTTTCTCTAGCACCAAACGTTTTTTCTGACAGAACCAGATGATTAACCCCCTTCACCCCATCAATAATGCCGTCGCCAACTTTTAATTTACGAGTAAGTACCAAAGTATCTTGAAGGCAGAATGAATCAAGCCGTCTCGGATCACTGACACGGATCAACCAACCAGTGAGGATCAAATACCATGTTTAGAAAACATTATTGATACCCCGGGAAACTCAACACTTGGCTGCATACTTGGCAATGCAACTCCAATGCTGACGAGGATTTCTCTCAATACTGGGGCCCCACGATTACTTCTTGGCTGCTCAAAGACCGGCAAATGTCGAGATCTTCAAGTCCAATTTGCCGACAAGTTGTGCTGTACCTGTAGAGTGCAGATCATACATATAGAGTAACTGTCCCAACAAATCCAAGTCCCAAGCGTGGAGCTTGACTTCGAAAATAAACTTGACGACAACAAAACAATACAAACCATCATGGCGGAGCTGAAGGATACCATTCCCGCAAATCGCAGAGTCTTTATCGCAAATGCAGTTGTTACTCTAGCCTCATTTCAATATGGAGTTGACTTTGGGCTGATCGGAGGCTTGCAAGCCATGAAAGGTTTCCTCGAAGTGTTTGGGTTCCCTGCACCAAAGACGCCAAATGGCTGGAACCTCACCACTGAGCGCCAACAACTCATCTCTTCGCTTATGACACTTGGAGCGTTCCTCAGTTCAGGTGGCGCTGGGTTCCTGGCTATCAAACTTGGGAGACGCCACTGTTTATGGCTCGCTTGCCTACTATGCTGTGTTTCAAACGTTATCATGATGACCACTGAGGACATCATTGTCCTTTACGTTGGACGATTCATCAACGGTTTAGCGAATGGTCTGTTCATGACTTTTGCTCAGCTGTATATCCAAGAGAGCAGTCCTGCAAAATACAGAGGTCTTTTCTTGACGGCCTTTCAGTTCGGTACATCTTTTGTGAGTGTCAATTCGTGCGTCCCCTTATTGCCCACACTGACAGTTCGAAGGGAACACTGGTCGGCACCATTGTTGACTGGGCCACGGCTAAGCGACCTGGAAAATCCGCATACTTGATCCCACTCGGCATAATATACGTCATCCCTGCGTTCCTCACAGTTGCACTATTTTTCATCCCGGAAAGTCCTAGATGGCTCTTGTTGAATAACCGCCGCGAAGAAGGAGTTAAGTCTTTGGCAAGATTGAGGCCAGACGGCGCGGATGTCGAAGACGAAGCAGCTGTCATTGTAGCTGCTATCAATAAGGAGAAAGAGCTCAGTAATGGCATTGGCATAATTGATTGCTTCAGAAATCCTATTGATCGGAGGAGGACGATTATTGCGGTTGCAGGTGTCACCTCACAAGCAGCTACTGGTTCCATGTTCATCATCGGTACGACATTTTAGACCTGCAATCAGCAGTTTGAAAGGATGAGCTAACAATCTTCCAGCATATAAAGCATACTTCTTCACTATGGCCAAAGTCGCAGATCCCTTCGGAATGTCCTGTGTTTTGAGCACCATTGGTCTCTTGGCCTTGATCATCAACTCCTTGTTCGTCGTCCGCTATGGTCGTCGTCGAGTACTCCTGATGACCGGCTTGTTGGTTTGTGGTATCTTACAGTTGATAATTGCTGTGGTTTATGACAAGAATCCTGGCACTAAGAGCACTGGAAGAGTGATTGTAGCTCTCACGTCGTTGTACATGTTCAGCTACAATGTAAGTCTATCGGGTCTTTTCTGCACCGGATATGCTAATAAATCGTCCAGGGTATGGTTGCACCATCTGCTTGGCTTACCGGCGGTGAGATGCCATCTCAGCGTCTCCGCAGTTACACATTTGGACTTGCTGCGGCCATCGGCTTCTTCATGGCTTGGTTGACTCAATTCACTGCTCCATACTTCATTAATCCAATTGCTCTCAACTGGGGTCCACGATACGGGTACATTTGGTTCCCATCGGCTACGGTCACCGCAATCTGGATTTACTTTTATCTACCCGAGGCGAAAGGCCGTAAATTGGAAGAGATGGATGAAATGGTAAGCGAGCCCTTGGTAAAATGTGGCTTTGAGCATCAAGTTGCTAATTCTTCAAAAGTTCGAGCACAAGATTCCAGCACGCAAGTTCCGCAAATATGTCTGTGTCGGTCCATTGCGCGCAGAAGAGAAGCTGAGTAGAGTTGCTTCGTAAGAAGAGACTAAGGGAGAGTGTGATGTCAGAACCCAATCATTCATTATCTAGATTTTGACGCTGATGTGTAGCAGGGAACCGTCCAGACTATTGAGGTAGTACCTAAGTGAAATGTAATGGTGTAGAAAAGCATTCAAATCCACCATCCTAGCAATCATACTCTATGAAAGAATCTATGCATCAAACCAAGGAAGTTCAGTCGCTTAAACAGAATCAATTGATTTACGTATCAGCTCCGCAAACTCTGAAAACAGAATTCGGTATTCCATAGAACTGATGTTCAGAACTCTATGATCGTAAATCAAATCTTCAGCCGCCCGACAGAAGAATTGGAGAATAGTACAAGGTGACATATGGTCCCTTTGCCACCGAATAAGCGAACGAGAGGTAAGTATATGAGGCCTTGGCCGACCCCCCTTCACTTGTCTCACTACGAGTAAATTAGCCTTCAACTTGCCGAGGAATCAAATTGCAAGCAAAACATCATACCTAATTTTCTGAAAGTCGTCATCAAAAGTACTACCAACATCCCAGTTCTCGGACGTGAAGTAGCCCGAAGGGCGACTCGTGATTTCCTTGTCCCTGAAAGGACAAGTCCAAGCCGGAATATACAGCTTGACATCCGGCATCTCTACACCCGGAACAACTTCGAGTCCAAGAAACAAGAATGCTGGCTTGAGATTCATGTTCTCCGTGCCATCAAACAAAGCTACCCAGAACTTCTCAACCGCTTTCAGGCCTTCGTCGATCTCGAAACCACAGCGACGGCCGCCAAGCGTGAAGATGTTTCTCACGTTTGCAAAGGATGAAACATTCTCTTTGACGTATAGCTTTATGCGTGCTTTTGACGGATCAATGCAATCAATTGCTACCATCTCGATACTCTTTCCATGTTCTTCGCCGCCTAGGTTGGAGACGACCATCGTGTCCGAAGATTGCTGTGGTGTGGGTTGTTTGGTGTCAAGAAACGCTTCAATCTGAGACAAGGCTGAAAAAACCGATATTGTTGGTGAATTTAATTTCTTTACTGCCTCGATGACACATTGAGTGTTGGTTTTTCCGGACAAGCGAGCTCGACGGTGAGGGAAGAGGTAAGCTTTGAGAATTGGTGAGAATTGCTCGAAGGGCAAATCGAAGGCAAGAAAACATGTTGGAGTTACTCTTGCAGGTGGTGACAGTTCTTGAAGACATTCAATCTCTGGGTTGGACAGAAACAACTCGAAGGTAAAGTGCTTCCACCATGTTGTATTGAGGCTTGGACATAGCTTCGATGCTGCCAAGGATTCCACGAAGGAGAGAGGATGAGCTTGATTCAGGATATCCGAGGCTGTGCCCGCTTCTCGTCCGACAGGTTCAAGGGTGAATCGGATTTGCTGTTTGTCTCCTTGAATATTCCAGGACGGCTCGAAAGGCGAGTGCTCTTTGGTGAGATGCGGTGTCCAAGTTGAAGACGGGCTAGGTTGTGGGCCGAGAGAAGGAACAATTAAATTATTCAGGAACGCTAAGTACTGGCCATGGAGTTCTACTGGATACTCAGCTGTAGAGAGCAAGTTCTCAAACAGCGTTGTGACTTTGCCTCTCCAGAACGTGTCTGCTGTTGGAGAGTAGGATCCATTTGCTGAAGCACTGTACACAGAACGGTCATGGCCTTCTGTCGAAAAGTGAGACTTTCTCACAGTGTTTGTGGAACAGTGGTTGGCCGAAATTGTTGTGATCGTAACATCTTTTATTGTGGCACTGAGGTCTGGTTTATGCAGCGAGGAGCTTGTTTGAAGGGGATCTGTGTGCACAAACCCAGGGTCGGAAGCCATGAGAAACCAAATGGCTCAATCCAGGATTTTCGAAGTAGAAAAGAAATAGATGGAGATAGGAGTGAGCTCAAGATCCTCGAAGTAGCCTCAAGGTGGGGAAGTCGCTATCGGAAAGTTACTTGCATTGACGTAAGCCTGATGCCAGGAACACCTTTTATAATCGGTGAGGTAGCAACAATTAACGATTCCGAACACAGCTCATCAAATTAGACAGTTTTCCTACTAGCGTACACTGCTCAGGCTGATCCATTCTCTCGGGCGCAAGCAGTGGCGGCGCGCTGAGTGAAAGGTCGGCGCTCTTGAATGAGTGAAGTTACGTTCGTTGGGCCAATCATAATAGATTCCGATATCGATATAAAGATAAGACAGGCTGGGTTATAATAAAGCACATCTCGCATCAAGATCATGCTCTCAGGTAAAAGTTTAAATGGACACTTGGACACGATTGTGGTGGTCAGACCCTTGAAATTAGTGCATGGCGCCTGAAAATGAGCGTTTTTGAGACGTTATCCAACAATAGTGTCAAGTTTCTCTTTGTGCTATATGGTTGCAGCTCTATTTATCTGAAGGTTGTGTTGACATTATGAACGTCCTTTGCGTCGGGCATCATGTGTGAGACCCGGTTTCTCCCCAGAAGATCTCGTTTCGATCAGAAAACAGTTGCTCCAATCTTCATTCTTCAAAGCAAAAGTGACGTATCAACCTTTGCGATGCTAATTTATATTAGTCAAATATCACAGTTCGCATAAAAGAAAGTATATGAGCAGATCTTCCAATGCCTTCGTTCGCTATCACCTAGCCAGCATTATTGTCTAACTGTGCTGCTGCACGCCAAGCCACGAGAGCTTCAGCTGAAAGAAAAGCTTTGGTGGCTTCAAGTCTTGCGTCTTGATCGTACTCCACAACAAACGTGGCGGTGTGATACCATCGATGAAGTGATTCGCCAGCAGCTCAGAGATCGTCACATATGAGGTGGAACAAAGTGTGGTTTTGTACCCTTTCGCTTAGAAAAAGCAAGTTGAAGTGGTAAATAGAGCTGCAGGCGTCCGTCAAATTCAACTGCCCCGAAAATTCACCAAATACCCCATGTACGACCTGGACCAAAACTTCGAGACAAACGCTATTGAAAGTATAGCCATCCATCGGGAATTCGCTATGAGCATTTCAGATTCCCTTGGTGGAGAATGCACATTTGCCTTCACCTTACCTTAGGAGGGTCCTAGGATGAACCGGAAATCCTTGAGAATGTCAACAAGGGTCTAATAACTATCAAATACTGCTTGCTGATCCTCAATAGATCACGCACCTCTAGCGATCCCAAAACCGCCCTTTTCCTTCAAGGCCGGATTCCATTTGTAGAACCATCACGTGATTTACCCCTCCCCCTTTTCTTCTTAGCCGAGCTTGTTTACCCGGGAACCCCCAGACAGGTTGCGACGTCAAAATCATGACTCGAAGGTTCCCAACTGGGTAGAGAGTCTAAAGCCATAGGACCCTGGGTTACCACTCTGCTGACCAAGATGCAAACACTTACACAAAAATGATCAAGCTCATTCCGGCATTTCTCGTTCTGTCACCGACTCGGGACATCTCCACCCCATGTTGCAACGGTAGATTTCCGTTACATTTCCCCAACTCTATATGCAAGTGTTGCTTTAATATTTTCCGGCAACATGGATGAATACATCATTCTTGGCAATTACGTCCAAGCCGTATTCTCCACGTTTGCAATTTGGGGGTAATTATGTTCCTTCCTGGCAGAGACTCTAAGCATATTTGGATGATGGTAATCTTCGGCAGTGGTGAATACTACCATAATGGAAGGTACTATATAACCACCGCGGTTCCGAGAAATGTTTCCCGAGTCAGAGAGTAACTCGTGATTTTCCCTAATCTTTTCCTCCAAAATGTGGTTAAAGTTTTGCCCATTAGAAGTTCTGGTCTTGGTGATTGTGTCATTATGTCACTTGGTCCGAGCAGCAGATGAGTACGACTACATCGTGATCGGTTCCGGACCAGGCGGTGGTCCTCTCGCAGCCAACCTCGCAAGAGCAAATTACACTGTGCTCCTCCTCGAAGGCGGCGACCAAAGCAACGGAAATACAGGCGGGCAATATCCGCCTCAAATCACATGGGATTTCTTCGTCAAGCACTATGACGATGAAGCCCTGACCCTGAAACACAACTTGCTCACCTGGCGACTTACCAATGGAAATTATTGGGTCGGTAATAAGAATGTGCCTACGGGAGCGAAATTGCTGGGTGTTTACTATCCTCGAGGTGGGACTGTGGGAGGGAGTTCGATGATAAATGCGATGGTCACCTTCCTTCCCAGTGAGAGTGATTGGAATTACATCGCGAATTTGACCGGTGACAAGACATGGAGGTACGCTCGTTGTTTATTTGCTATCCCAAGAAGGCTCCTAAATTAACGATCCAATCCCAGCCATGCAAACATGATCGATGTCTTCACCCGCATCGAAAAGAACAACTACCTTCCCAAAGGTACACCCGGCCACGGATTCAATGGCTACTTCCAAACCAACCTCGCCAAACCCACATCTCTACAAAACCCCGGACTCGCCGTAATGCAAGCTGTCGCCTCCTCTCTCTCCCTCGACCCCTCAAAGGTCCTCCAAATGGTCACCAATGACTCCAACTTCCTCGACCCCACCCGCGACAAACAAGTCGGCATCTGGGGTCTCCCCTCACACACTAAGACCAACGGACAGAGATTCAGCTCAAGAGATTATATACTCGATACGATTAATGCAGGGTTCCCGCTCAAATTAAGCATGAACTCGCTTGCTACGAAAATCCTGTTCGAAAATTCAACAGCTTGTGGTTCTAAGCCTAGAGCGACAGGTGTGGCGTATTTACAGGGGAAGAGCATCTACGCTGCCGATCCTCGATTCTCAGCTTCAAACAAAGGCACACCTATGACCGCCACAGCCAGAAAAGAAGTCATCATCAGCGGCGGGACATTCAACTCTCCCCAAATCCTCATGCTCAGCGGCATTGGGCCCGCCGACCAGCTCAAGAAATTCAACATCCCCGTCCTAGTTGACTCTCCAGGTGTAGGAAATAACATGCAAGACAACCAAGAGGTCCCCGTCGTAGGCATCACCAAACAATCCGGGTCCGGGTCACCAGGTGGCTGTGTCCTGCTCAAGACAAAACATGCTGTGTACGATGAGCGAGATATGTTTACCTTCCAAGGACCATTTGTATTCCGTGGGTTCTGGCCAAGCAATCAGAGTAATTCCGCTCTGCCAAACGACAGGGCAGGCTCGTACGGGATCTCGACTGTGAAGATGCATCCGCAGAATCGGCTTGGCACCGTCAAATTACTGAGTGCTAATCCTCAGGATATGCCAGAGATCAATTTTAACTTGTTCAAGGAGGGACGGGAGACTGATATGGGAGCTATGAAAGATACGATTTCTTGGGCGAGGAAAGTTCATGCTAGCGTCAAGGCGCCTGTTGGGCCTTTGACGTCGATTGAGCCGCCGTGTAAGGGGACTCCTAATGCGGATGGTAGTTGTGGGATTGATGACGAAGACTGGATTATTGGGCAGACTTTTGGACATCATCCTACTAGCACTTGTGCGATTGGTGGTGATAATGACAAGAATGCAGTTTTGGATTCGAGGTTCAGGGTACGAGGAGTGGGTGGACTGCGCGTTGTGGATGCAAGTGTGTTCCCTAGGATCCCTGGAGCTTTTCCAGTTGTTGCTACGTATATTGTGAGTGGAAAGGCGACGGATGTGTTGTTGGAAGACGCGAAGAAGGCGGATCAGTGTTGAGTTGGTTAGCCTCCAACAAGATGCCAAGTAAATATTGTACATAGGATGCTCAATACGACGGTCATTTCCTGTTTACACTTTTCCTCGCCAGCTCGCTTAGAACTCATCTTCTTCCTCACCATTCCTCAACGCCGTCAAAACATCCTCTCTCATCTCCTCACTTACCCAACTCCAATCTTGTTGCCCTCCCATATCTTCTCCCATAATCTCATACCCCAACCCCTCACCCCCGCTCCAAACCGCCACCAATGCTCTAACAACCCACCTCCTCACCCCATCCTCCCTCTCCAACTCCCCAAAACACCTCTTCAATCCCTCCTTCTCCACCTTTCCAATCCACTCCCCTCTCTCCAGCCTCCCTCTAATCTCTCTCTTCAAATCCTCCCGTCCGAACCCATCTGCGAGGAAATACAGATCTAGAAGTTCATTTACATCTCTTTCCTCACACTGTCGCTCTTCCTCCTCCTGGCGGGCTTCAAATACACTTTCTAAAAGTTTTGGCGTGTATTTATCTGAGTAGGAATCTAAAGGTGGACTTGGATATGGTGTTAAGACTCTGGTTGTTGTCTTGGGGAGTCTGATTGGTATCCTGAGACGCATTTTCTTAGGTGCGGAGGGGGTGATGAGGCGGATTGTGATGCGTTTTTTGTCTGCTCTGTTAGGGTGATGTTGTCAATAAGTTTCTTCTGTGAGGAAAATATTCTGTACGATAATTGGATGAAGAGAGAGGGAAAGAGAACCTACTGGGGAGTCTGTGGTTCATTGACAATATGTTGTGGCGAAGGAGGTTCATCCGTGTATTTCGCGCACACTCGCTTACACGAAGCAGCAGCAGCAGCTACACAAGCTTCCAGCTCGAGAGACTTCCGTTTGCGTGTGGTGACCATGATTTTGTTTGATATTTGGTTGGTAGTGATTATGTCTGCGAAGGATAGATATCGATGCGTTTTCTTGCTGGTAATCTCAAGTCTCACTACACTGTATTTCACATCCTCTGTCTCTCGTTGTGATACTTCCCCTCTTTATACATACCTCCCCGTTCTCCCATAATCAAAATAAACACAAGTACCCGCCAATCACCTCACACATAATAAGCCGCAATGCACATTCGGAGCCTCAGATTTCCCCACATATTCTTCGGCTGGTCAAACCCTGACCCCACCGCATCTCGAATCCTCCACCGACGGCCAACATCACCCAACCAAGTACACTCGGCCTCTTATTCCTTATTTCACGGAAGGAGCCAAGTTTGTAGGTACAGTGTATTATGCTTACTGGGCGGGCAGCCGTCGCATCCTCTGGCAATCTTACTTATGGCCACAATACTCAGCCACACAGCGCATCAAAACACGCCGAAGCTACCCAAAAACACCGCTGCGCTACCCAGCCAGCTGCACATTCTACTTTCATACTCCGACACAACAGTGAAAACAAAACAAGTTAAACTAAAAGAGAAATTCATAGCTGAACTGAAAACCTATTTTCTACGCAATTGGACTGACATCCATGCTTTAGTCTAATTTCGTTCTATGCTTACTCCATACCCATGCCAACGCCGATCCCACAACCCATAATCCGGGGGTATCAATGCTCCCTCTCCACAAACCATAATCATCTCCTCTTCAATCCGATATACAAAAAACACCGGCGCAATGCCTTTTCAAGTCCCTAAATGCGCTCGATCATTCCGATCCAAGAACCATCCCTCTCTTCCTCAATCCAAGTTCCTCCCCTGTGTGCTCAACGCTGACCATTGGCTCACTTTCTCTCCCCTCCTGCTCCCCCTGCCCCTCCACTAGACACAGACCCCGATCCAGAGGCTACACCCTTACTCAACTGCAAATTCTGAAAAGCAGACTCCAGCTCCCTCCGCTTATCATCCACATGCCCTACAGCACTCGGCAACGGCCTCTCCTCCTGCCTCACACCACCCGCCGCCGCGGCAGCCGCAGCAGCTTTAGCTTCCGCCTGAGCTCTGGCGGCAGCTTGTGCCTGAACTTGTGCCTGCTTGACTGGTACGAGCTCCTTGACGAAATCCTGAGCCTCTTTACATCCTTCCATGAGAAACTTAATAGCAAGCGTAGCTCTCTCTTTCAGATACTCGTTATAGCCATCATACACACAGCAATTAAGCAGCGGCATGATGCCCTCATGACTCAGTAATTGATTCTGCACGATCGGATTGCCAGGGCCATTGCGTCTCGCATTTGTCGGTGCGATGAGCGAGGTAAGTATGATCAGGATCTGAATCTTAATACCCGACCAAGGGAACTTATGAGGTGTATCGTGAAGTGGTGGTTGAGGATGTGGATTTTGGGCGTTGGGGAGAGGTCGCTCATCGAGTGCTTTGCGAGCGACGCCTGCCTCGAGGGCTTTAAGGAGGGCGATGAGTTCGTAGACAGTGTCCCATTCTATGAGGAGGTTACGCATTTCTGGAATCTCGGCGATGACGGAAAGGAAGTCAAGGTATTGGGATAGACCGTCTTTGGCGCGTTCCATATCCCAGAGATCGACGGGGAAATCGCTGTGGTGCTTCTTCTGTTGACGAATCTGTGCTTGAGCCCAGATTAGAGCGAGGCAATCTGGGACAACGCGAGTGCGGAAGTATCCGTAAAGAAAGTGGATGAGCTTCGCGTCTCGATTGTAGTCCTTGACATCGTCGTAGATGGGGCTATCCTTTCGAGCCCTGAACATGTAGGTGATAAGGCGAAGTAGAACTGTCTGTGCTGGCGAGACAATGTCTTTCAAGATCCGAAGAGAATTCCATGCATAAGGCAGCAAGGCGTTATGATGGAACGACTCGATAATCTGTGCGGTGATCTGGAATATGAACTGCTGATCCGTCTGTTCCCACACAGCAATGAAAACCAGCAGCTCTCTCAACAGATTCTTGCCACAGTCCAAAGCCAGAAACATCTTGCATCTCGTCTTCTGCAAGTTCTCTCCAGCAGGGGTGAGACCAGACCCCATAGAATCGACAATGCAAGCTTTGACCGTCATATGCAGAGCCTCGATCTGTTTCGTATCCAGAATATTCGGAATTTCAGTGAGCAAGCCACGAAGTGGGCCTTCCGCGTACGAATCATCATCATCCTCTTCGTCTTCCTCGTCCTCTCCATCTTCTCCATGAAGTGACCGATCATCAATGTCCTCATGCACACTTCCATTTCCATGCTGATGCTCATACTGCTCCTCTTCATAGTGATCTGGATCCTGCCCTCTAGGCATATATCGATGCATGGCATTCTCTTTGCAAGCAGCTGCACGCTCTTTGGCATTTTCAACCGTCTCCATCTGCACGACCCAGCCATCGAAGTTGCGATCTCGGACTTGCTTCCACCAGATATCGATCTCGTGGGATACTCTGGCATAAAGACGATCCTGCTCATACTTGTCCTCCAAATCCGGCTTCCAGATTGGGGTTGTTGACTCTTCTGTCTCAGCCGGGACATCGTCATCTTCTGGCTCCGGTAATGGTCCAGGTGTATATCCAGTTTTGACATCAGCAGAATATTTATCAAGCAGCTTTGCTGCAAGTGGATCCTTCCGGTTATGTCGCCTGATCCAATTCCTCACCTCCTCGTGCACCTTCTCCACATTCAGGTCATCAGGTGGAAGTTCGTGGATAGCATCATTCTTCAGATCTTCGTCGAAGAGCATCTCGAACCAAAATGACATCTTGAACCGATCATTACCCATGGTCCAATTATGGGTGTGTTGTAAGCAGGTAACCAGCAATTTTTTGTCTGCGTCTCATCAGCACTCATTCCTTACTCTAGAACCAGGAACCTACAAAGCTCCGTGATCTCATTCAACTTCTGCCTCCTCGAATCATCCACCGTCTCCCCATCATATCCTTTACTCGTAACATTCACACACAACACCACCAGCTTCTGCACCGCACGGTCAAATCTAACAGCGGCACAAATCTCTTGCGCCGTATCCTTGATCGCTAACATATTCCTACTGATGACCAGGAGATTGTTCAGATAATGTAAATCCTCGCGCAGCGCATCGTAGTTCTTGAGGATCAGATCTGCGGATTCTGAGACGTCATGGCCGGTCCGTAGACTGTCTGCTGTGTCAATGCTTTTTAGGGACCACTTTTCGAGTGAAGGGATGGCGGTGTTGAAGATTTTTTGAAGGTGCATCCAGATATCGACGTTTTTGGCCAGTGTTTCTCTGAACTCAGTGGGTTAGCATGTGTACTTGTAACTGCATGTTTGTACCAATCCCGAAGTCTCCCTTCCCACCCGCTGTACACGTTCCTCCTTTCCATCATTGCTCTTCTCTCAGCTGTTAACCCCTCTGTTACTCCCCTCCTTACCTCTCTCCCTTTCCTCGGCCCTTCCCCCAAGAAACACCTCAAAGAAACACCTTCCCGAAGGGCAAAAAAACTCACCTAACCTCCGCCTTATTCAAACTCAAATCCAACGTCCTCGCCACCATCTTCTTAACCTCCACCATCGCCTTCATCAAGTACTGGCCCGGCCTCTCAAAATGCAACTCCAGCGTAACCAGCGCCCCATTGAAATTCCTCTCCTCCTCCGTCTGCTCGTTCTTCCTCTCCCGCATCCTCTCCATCTCCTTACTCGTGATTCCATACCCGCCCATCCCTATCCCTATCCCGCCTAACCCCATCCCACTCATACCAATGTTCATGCTATTCCCGCTGGAGTTGGGAGAGCCGCCGTTGTTGTGAGGATGGGAATGAGAGTGTGGGTGTGAGGTATACGGGTTGAGGGTGTCGGGGAGGATGCTCTCTCTGTTTGTGCGGTAGGTTTGTGAGCTCTCGTCCCACCAGGTGGCGAGTGGTGTCTTGCATTTGCTGCAGATGGTGGTAGCTGTGCGGTGGGTGGGGAGCAGGTGGCCGCATTCGATGCAGTACATGGTTTCTGTTCTAGGCTGTGCTCCCTGTCTTTCCCGTCTTTTTCGTGGCTGCTATATGCGTTGGGAGATGAGAGGGGAAGAGGGAGTATAGCGGGTGCAGGTGTGTTGCTGGGAGGGAGGTGTATGGGAAGCGCGGAGGACTGAGGGGTGTTGGAGTGGAGGTCTGTGGAATTATTTTTTGGTTCTGACGTTGATGCCCTGCCGTTCCGCTGGGTCGGGTCATGGACAGGGGGCGTTGAGCTTCATCCAATGAGGCGGTGGTGGGGTCCATAGCTTCCATTCAGTTTAAATTGCTCTCCATCTCTCCAAAAGCGAGCTATTAGGAACGATATTTGGATATTCCTGAAGCTTGTTTCAGTCATGCATTTGGCTCAAAAACAGGTCGAGGAACGAATAGAGAGGCAGCACAATAATCACAGTTTAGAGACAGACATTATTTAGCCAGACCAATTGTACAATATGTTCTACCGACTTTTAAGCGCACCAGCTACAATTTGTAGCCTGGTACTCGCTGCCATACGCAGCTTCTGTCTGGAACATCGTATACCCAGCCCCCCTGTGAATAACCATATAATACAATTCACCCTACTGCGTCCCATTCCGTTGATGCATGGAAATATGCACAAATCCATCGAATCATACCGAGCAAGCAATGCCGCCAAAAAAGCACGACTCATCTGAACCCCGTCCACCAATCCCTTACGCATGTACATCTATCTCAGCTTCCTCCCTCAGCTCCAACCGCAGCACTTGATCCCTCCTCACCACCCTTCGCCTTCTTCTTGCGTGTCCTCCTTCGCTTCTTCTTGACCTGCTCACCAGTCACTCCAGCTCCATTCACGGCATCTTCGTCGGGAGAACCACCCTGTGCATCAGAGACATCAGATGGGACCTTTGAACGTGCTGGAGAGGGGCTGGGTTTGGGCTTGGCCACAGAGGTAGTCTGGTAGTTACCATTCTGTCGCTGCTCCCTAGACCCGGGTCTCTCTCCAAGCCTTGTATCGTCGCCCGAGCTGGTCGTCTCCAACACCACCTTTCGTATGCCGCCAGCTTCGATGATGTTTTCTGTGATGCTGCCGCTTCTTGCTGGTCCTTTCTTCTTGGGCACACTACCAGCGGAGTGGAGCGATGTAAGGGTGTCGCTACTCCTCTGACTCTCGTGGCTGTCTACTCTGATCACTGGTTTGCCAGGTGAATCTGGTTGAGATCTCGGCCTGATGAGTGGCTCGTTCTCATCGTTCTTGCCATCATACTGCCGGCTAGCAAGCCTGCCTTGAGATCCAAAAGAACCATATCCTTGCTGTAAAGCATGAACACCGTCACTCGCCTCCTTTCCAGCGGATTTTAATAGACCTTCACCCTCTCCACCCTCTGGTGCAGGTTCTGGATTGTCAAGATACCGCTCTCCGTTCGGGGCTTCGTGAACGATGCTCGAGTCTGTCCGAGAACCTGATCGAGGTCTCAAGGCAGACTTGATCTTTACTGTATTGTAACGTGTCGATTTAGGTCGACTTGCCAGGTTTGATGGTCCGAGATGTTTCAAATGTTCGCGCATATCGTTCATATTGCCTCTTACAGCAACCGTATTCCCATCCATCCCACTAGATGCCCTCCGAAGGAATGTAGTCTTGGGACTGGTTCCATAATTTGCGGTGGTTGCCGCTTCACTGGTGTTCTCGCCAGCCATTATATTCTTCACGGTTGGTTGTTGCTCCTCTGCGAGATCAATGAGGCGACCCTCAGGCATGTGAACAATCGGGTTTTCCGCTACGCTGCCTCTTTGAGCTCGTGCCTTTGGTGCTGGAGCCATCCGTCTAATGGCTTTATGCACATCAATATATACATCCGATTCGTCGATGATTTCCCTATACTTCGTTAGTCACAGAATTTGCCAAAGATATGATTCTACGCACTCTCCAATGAGCTCCTCGATAACATCCTCCAGTGTAACCACTCCTATTGCACCGAAGTTCTCGCCGGGGTATTCCGAGACCATAACCATATGTGACTTTCCTTCTTGGAAGAAGTTGACGATATCGAGACAGCTGGTTTCTGGTCGTGTCTCTGGTAGGGTGGCCAAAGCAAATTCGCTGACCTTCTTGCAATCCTCTGGATCATATGTGATCAAAATCTTGACAAGGAGCATGCCAACAAAATTGAGCTTATTGCCTGGCTCATAGATGGGGATTCGAGAATAGCCAGCGCTGAGTATGTTATCCATGGTAGACTCGTCGAGAACGGTATCCGCAGACATTGTGAACACATCCTCCATCGGCGTCATGATATCTCCCACGGCCTTCTCCTTCAGATCCAAAACGGCACTGATAATAGTAACCTCATCCTGATTCAACCGTTCCGTGGGGCTTGAGCCCAGAGTCTTGTGCAATGTGACCAATGTCTTCAGCCCCGACTTCTTGTATACTGTGCCGTGGTCTTGTCCCAGAAGGTAGTCGAGCAGCTTCGCAGTAGGCCAGGCAATCGGTGCCATAATCCACATCAACCAAAGCACTGGAGGTGCCATATACGCGCCAATTGACAGACCATATCGTACGCAGATGGATTGAGGAATAACTTCGCCGAAGATAACTACTTACTGTTAGCAGGGCTTGTGAAATTGCCACTAAACATACCAATTAAAACCGTACTGCCTAGAACAGCAGGCCATCCTCCTCCGAGTGACCGATCCAGCACAATGGGCAGAGTTTCGTTGACAATGACATTACTGAGCAGCAATGTCACCAGCACCCAATGCTTTCCCTTCTGCAGCAAATATAGAACCTTTTGCGCGTGTCTCTGTTCCTTTCCTTCTCCAGACGTTGCGATGACTTGGAGATACACACCATCCTGTCCCATTAAGCTGCAAACACACAAAATCAGCTTCCAATTCCCCTCCAACCATCGCAGACCGTAACCACGGGGAAAACTCACGCAATAGTCAATCCCGCAAATGCACCACCCAGCAAGACCAGTATCGCAGCTACCGTCAAATATAGCCAGAGGCTCGGATCCTTCGCATCTTTCGGCTCGTCGTCATCCTTCAGCAGACCCAGAAACTCCTTCACCGGCGCAGCAGCCACATGGGAAATCTGCGCCAGTACGAGCAGAAGCACCTTCGCGACACCCTGGGCAGCCGGTCGACGCGCACTCGGAACGTGATATGATGATTGCCGTCCAGCAATCATGGCAGATTTCGAGGCCATGGTCCGTCCTGTCGCGAGCGGAGCTTGAATTGACAGCTGCAGCTGCTGTCACCAAAAGGAAGCAGACAAGCAACTGTGGTCGGCCGGTTGATTGGTCTGGGACGGGGTGGGTTCGTGGTCTGCTGTGTTGGCAGGCTTGGGTTTGCAGGGTCTGCAGGTCGACACGCGGAGAATGGTCCTGGCGGCCTTGGACACTGGCAACTGCACAAGAAAGGAAACGACGACGACGACAACGGCGTGGGAGAACCACTGCGACCGTTGGGGAGAAAGGAAATCGAGGAGTGAGGGCAGCTTTTCCAGGGTTTGCTGGAGCAGTCTGCAGTGGGCAGAGAGTGGTCAATGAGGTAAGGGAGGTCTGTGTCTGTGTAGCTGCGAATATTAGGCGAGCGCGGATGTTTGAATGACGATATCTGTGGCGTGAGGGTTGGAGCTTCCACAACAACAGGTTTCAATAGCACAAAGACCAGATAATTTGTTTTTCTCTTTTCTTTCAACTGTCTATTGATCACTCTTTCTCTCATGATATTGCTCATGACAATATGCACAACAGAATCTCATTGTTCTGGAATATCTCGGCACCTGAGCTGAGCAAAGCAGAGATACCAAACAAGCATCAAGGGTCGGAGCTAACAACGAGTGGAGCAACTAGAGTAACGCAACGGCCGGCTCACGTCAAACTCAATTGGCGTGGAGAGGGCTGCCAATTGAATCGGCTTCTTTTTTTTTCTGTCTTGTCCTACTCAGCTTCTTTGCCAACGAAGTCTTTTCTGACAGCATATCCAGATCTATAAGAGTGCTATTCGGATGAAATGAGACGTTGACGACATCCAGACACCAAAGTCAAATCGGATGGGAAATCCAAAACCAAATCCAAATCCAAGACTCAAATTCAATTCAAGATGGACCAATCCGGAGCTGCTCTGCAATATCCATCCAATATAATAATACTTATGACGAACAGTTCAAGAACAGGTATCTCTATTGTATAATGCTGAGTGGGGCACTTTAACCTGATTGTGAGTGAAGAATTGAGGCAAATGCCAAGTCGAGGTACATTACCTACAAACGTGACTTTATAGTCATGTGACAGCTATCGGGTCTTTCCATTCCATGTTGACTTCGCTTTTGAAGTTCCAATGCAAGTCAGCATTCTCTTTCAACACCTTCAAAAACTGAAACGTTATAAATACTTCTACATCTAGAAGACTTTTCTTCTCTACAACGCAACCCTTTCACCTCCACCAGCAGCAACGCCTCGTCAGATCAATACACTGCTTCACGCTCAACTCAACTCTTCTTCAGCTTTGAGCTGAAATCAAACGTTTGCGAGCACCTCTACTGGTCTCAAAAACAGTGGAGCAGCACGCCAATCTAATATACCAGCTCGTGCCATGGCAAGTCAAGCAACAGCAATGCGTCAAAACATTCCAAGCGATGTCCTCAAGACATACAACTTCCTGCTCTCTTCCAACACAACAGGAATCACCTTCCTCTTCGGTCCTACCTTGACCACTGCTCTCAGTGCCAAAGCTGATTCTCTTACGGCAACGTACGGTGTCACTTCGGCAAGATCATCGAGGAATTTCGCCGACTTATTGCGATTAAGGTGTTCACTTCCGATCAGGATGCCACAAAGACCAGTCCGACTCCTCTAAGTATGTCTCTTCTCTTTTAGGCCTCTATCTCGCATTCGACAATATAAATTAAGCATCATGTACTAATACGACAAACAGTGGATGAGCTCTGGCACACTGCGATCCTTGATACACGCTTCTACGCTGACCTTCAAGCCGCCCTTGGAGTCGCCCTCCACCACCGCCCAGCAGGAGCAAGCCTCGGTAGTGTCGAGACCGAGAACAGAGAGAAGCGCTTGGCAACCATGAAAGCTATCTACAGATCCCACTTCTCGGACTCTATGATCGAGTTCACCCTTAAACAGATTGTACGCACCGTTACCCGGTCGCGTAATATTACCATCTCTGCTCGCTCTCTTGCCGGCACGGTCATCAACGTTACCACCACCGACTACGATACCGTTGATGGATTCAAAATCAAAGTTGCCACACTGATGAATGTACCGACTGAGCAACTGCGCTTGATATTTGGAGGTGCGATTCTCATTAATGGCAGAGCTCCGCTAGCCCAGTACGGCTTCAAAGACGGCAGTACTATCTTTACTGTCCCAAAAGTTGACATGGAGATTGACTTCAGTCTACCAACTCCCTTTTTCGCCTTGAGAAGCGACCAAATCCAGATATTCGTCAAGGGCCTGAACGGAAAGACTATCACGATCAACACGAGCATGATGTCGAAGCTCGCCACTGTGCACAAAGCTATCCTTGAGAAGGAGGGGATTCCAATCGATCAGCAACGATTGATATATGCAGGTAGACCGCTTGATGTCGAGCAAACCTTGAAGGACTACAACATATCAGCCGGCTCAACCCTTCAACTCGTGGGGAGATTGACAGCTTGCTGATCTCCAACCTCCCTCACCATCAAAACCATTTTTGTCGTTTGGACGCATTCGTTCAAATCAGAGACAACATTGCAGATCTAAGCATATCTCTGCACGTTTTCTGAGCTTTTTCTGCAATTTCTTGTTTGAGTTGAAGAGATGCTGGATTCTGATTGCTTTCGAGAATAACACATGGGGTGATTTGGCGTAAAATCACTTCGATTTCGCACACATTCAGATACTAGGAATTAGAAACCGCATTGCTTATCGTTTCTTGGCGTAAATTCAGGAGTCCAATATCGCTCTACACTCTTCATTTATTGGCCGAGTGAGCCCGTATAGCTCCTAATCCAGGCAATTAAATTATTTAAAACATTCTGTAACATATGTCGTCTTGCTTTGTGTAGCTTTGTCCGGCGCCCAGATTAATCGCAGAGCCCTAAAGTCGTTGTTTATTCCTGCCTCGCTTAGCTTTGTTTTCATTTTCTTGGCGCTAGTTTACCCAAAATCAGATCTGAATTTAGAATACTGCTTCATAACACATTAGAAAGCACTTTTAATATACACATGCATGCTTTTAGACTAGTTTCTAACAACTCAATGCATTGTTTACGTCCAATCCGCTAGCTTACCAGAAAACCAGCGCCTATTTCTAAATCAGTGAAATTTTTAAACAAAGCAGAAAGCCTCAACAAAAGCGCGCAATTTCCGAACAAAGCCAAATTTCACAGATCAGGCCTTGAACCACGAATAAGCATCGGAAATTAGACAACCGACAGAACAACAGCCTTATTTTCCTCGCTTAAAACAGTGTCCATCAACAAGCTACAAAATTCGAAATGACGCTGTCTCCATATCTCCCTCCAACCTCGAAATCCGGAACGAGTCTCCCCGCAGACAGACAAAATCAATCATGTCTTCTTCCACATCATCCACATCATTCTCACCATCCACATCATCAACCACATCCACCACATCCACCCATTCCATAACCTCCACCAGCGCCCTAATAATAATCGACGTACAAAACGAATTCCTCTCCCCCTCCGGCAACTTCCCCATCTCCCCCACCATCCGACCCACCCTCCTCACCAACCTACAATCCCTAATCCCCCGCTTCCGCTCCAAAAACGGCCACATCATCTGGATCCAAGCCACCTACGCCAACCGCACCGACGAACCACCCAGTATGGCCGCACAAGATAAAGGCCCCCTCGTCGTCGGTTCCAACGAATGGCTCGTTGCCGCAACCCACGTGCATCCCACGCCATGCTGTGAAGCCGAAACATGGGGTGCAGAAATCTACCCTGAGATCCTTGCGCTTGCGAAACCGGAGGACGAGGTGGTGGTTAAGCAGGGGTATTCTGCATTTTGGGGCGGGAATAAGGGGTTGGAAGAGGCGCTGGAGGAGAAGGGGGTGAGGGATGCGTATTTTTGTGGGGTGGCGAGTGGGACTTGTGTGTTGGCTACGATTTGCGATACGGTTGCTAAGACGAGGGTGGAGGTGCACGCTGTGCCGGATTGTATGGGGTGGAGGAGGGAGAATACGCATGTGGAGGCTTTGAAGAGGTTTGAGGAATTGGGGGTGGATATTGTGATGAGTGGTCAGCTCTGAGTGAGGGGTGTGCAAAACGGTGCATCTTTGCTAGTCCAACGACGCTACAGTCTCGAGTTTTTGACTTCGGTCCTCTGGTTGCAATATACTGTTCTACGGACGAGTCCAGCTTGGTGCAGGAAGGAGCTTAAAGCGTGGATTTGATGTGAGCATGCTGATCTCGTTTTGAACCAATGAGAGAAAGCTATTGCAGGTCATCAGATTTACATTTGTGTGAAGAGTACTAGAGCCTCACCTATTAGATTTGTTTGAGAGGACGGCCAGGATCACAAGTCATGGCATAATTTTGAAGTAATAAAAGGGTGCGAAAATTGTTTGGAGCATCGTTCATCCTCTTAAAATTATATATGCCTGGCTCTAACATTGTCGCAGTTCCTGTTCCTTTGCACCAATATATATCCCAGTTTACTTTACTGTTCCTTGTCCATCCCTTTCTGCCCTACGCAATTTTGCCCTTTTCTTTGGTGTATCTGGTGGACAATGTCTATTCTTGTGCGTGAAGAGACGTGCCATGACAGGATACGGCGTGGCCATCAAGTGAGGAAATAACAAAGCTGATTGGCTGACGACTAACAACAGAGGTACAGCGGCCATAACCCGACCCCCCTGTAACGCAACAACAACACACAAAACAGATGCAAAAAAACTCTATGCAGAGATTCTGTCAAAGACTATTCTCTGGTTGGGCTTAAAATTTTTGAATGCGTGGTTGTAGAGTTATCACGTGTCGAAATCTATGGACATGGGCCCCTGCTAGTGCTATTACCACTTAACCGCTGGACCTCCGTAAATTAACAAATCATTTTGTACTCGTTGCAACCTTCAAGCTGATATATTCATCTTCCTACACAAGAAATTCCTGCTGTGACTGAATCGAGACCCAAACGAGCTCGAAGGTTTGACAATGTATCAACGACTGGTCAGATGCAGAACAGCAACCCTTTTTTCCGCCCCCGCCCCCTATTTCTCCCGCTATTACATTCGTTATTTTGCGACCTTGCCTTCAACCCGTGGAGTTTCTCCAAAGACTATTCCCGTGAAATCGGTCCCCATGTACCGAGCCATGAGCACAGGAAGTGAGACCAGCCGTCCAAGGACTGGTTATTCGGGGATCGATGGCCAACTGCCGCGTTGCTTGGAAATCCTGAAGCATGAAATGACGAGCCCCGAATTTCACGATAGTGTTTGGGGCTTTGTGGTGAGATCATCTTCCTTTGGAGTTAAGATATATCTGTGCCACTTGGCTAATATTATCGTAATGTTCAGATCTATCGTTGCGTGAAAGGAAATGACGCTGCGTGGAATTCCCTCCTACAAATAATCCAAGATGATGTCCGAACTTCGTTTGAACCTGAGAATCATACAAGCCCTATACCAGATGATATCTTGCAATACCACGATTTGCATGTTGTTGACGATAAAAAGCTCTAGTAAGTTTGAATCATCTATATTTTTTGAGTCTGGAAAAAGCAGCTGCTGATCACATGTTCGTCTGATAAGTGGTGCATCGATCAGACAAGTTCGTGAGCATTTTCGGGAATGGGTACCAAGAAGTCTCAATTCTAGACTTCGTCCAGACACTATGATTGATGACATAACCCGTATTGGTGCAGATACAACACCTCGATACATGCTATGCCTCGCAGTTGATCAGATCTGTCTGGAGTCCTTAGATCATCCAGGCAGCAACTCGCCTGTTGCAAAACTGGTTTTCAAAGATTTCAATCTAAAAGAGGAGAGTGCAGAGGAAAAACTAGCCTATGCCGAAAGATATGAGCAGCATACACCAGACGAGGGATGGATGTACATGCCTCTTGCTCAGTATACGGAGACCTACACCGCGCGGATCGCGTGGGATGATTGGTACGATGATTATATCAATCCACCGTTCACGGATTGGTGTGAGGACGAGTCTCATCGAATTGGTCATTGGAGGGACAAGAAAAATTGACGAGGGAGAGGACGTTTCTGGCGATTGATTGAGGCTGCCTCGGAAGAAGGAAGTGGATGGTCTCGACAGGCAGGCAGGTACTTGGAGGATATTGGCTGCCTGAGGAGGTAAGGTCAGGATTGGGCCAGGCAGCTAAAATTGGCAAGACATATCGATCGCACTTCAACAATACCAACTTCGAGCATAGCATACCCTGTGTCGCACGATTAATCTGCAACTCAATTCAACAGGCTGCTAGCAGCATCATGCAAGACCAAAGGTTTCGATTCAACATCACAGACGTCCCAGCCGGTATCCTCCAATGGGTTACTGCTAAACCCGGACAAACTGCTTTGCTTATCAGCAACGGCATTCTGATCTTTACGCCAGCTGCTCTTACGGGCCCGCTCCTTGCGACTATGGGTTGGGGGGCTTCAGGCCCTATCGCTGGTCAGACTTCCAGACGTGAGGCATAAAGAATAATTTAAACTGATCTGTATCTTTGAATTGTATCAGGCTCCGTTGCTGCCTCCCTTCAATCGATACTGGGGAATGTCGGAGCACATAGTGTGTTTGCATATCTGCAGAGTGCAGCAATGTGAGGCTATGGCGTTGCTATTTTTAATTGGCTCGCGCAGGCATGTGCTATAGTTTCCGGGGGGTTTGCCACGGCGTCTTCGTGGCTAGCAGGCCGCAGTGTAGGAGATGAAACGAGTTTCAGCTGGATCTGATATGTGCAACAATTACAGGTTAGCTGCTTCATATTATCATTATAATATAGTAGGTTCGATGTCATGTTCGTTGAATAGCATCTTCATAATACAAAGAGCTTTACGAACATTGAAGAAGTGGGCAGCAGGGTAGGAGTTCTCTGATAAATGTGGAACGAAGGATCGCTTAGCAAAAAGCCATGTGGTGATATTGGACAATACCGAAATTCTTGATCGCTAGAAGATGATCAACGCAACCCACGATGAAGTGTGCCTCTCAGGTTTTCAGACTCTCCTGCTCAAGCCACCTCGTATCGCCTTCCCTTTCCCAGGAATCCTCTTCTGTACCGACGGCCCACTCATCGCGACGGGATTTTCTCTACCCATTTGGAAGTTCTCGCCATCACGACCGAAATTGGAGCTTCGTTCCCTGTCACCACTTCTCCCCCTAGAACGGCTCTCACTGGCCACTCCTTCCAGGTCCCTCGACTTCCTCTTGCCAAGTAAGATGAGTTTCCGTTCTTCCTCTCGTAGCATGACTTGGACAGGGTCATCTGCCCAGTCTGGCTTTTTCATGTGGCATTCAATGCCTTGGCGGTTACATTCAATGCATGTTGAAGCTTGTGTCGGCTGATCCCAGAAGTATTCAGTGTCACATTTCTTCTTGCGATCCTTGCAGGTGTAGCAGCCTGAACTCTTGTTAGTGTCCACTTCTCAATCTCGTAAGCACCTGCTGCCATACGGATCTAACAGAGACTAAGCTGTTTCTATACATGGCCGGTATGGAGCCACTGGAACGATGACTTACCTTCTCGATATCTGCCATCTTGTCTTGGGCTTGACGTACCAGCGGGTGATTCCGCAGCCTGAACTATTCTCCATTGCCCGATCTGTGTGTTATTCCCAGCCATCGAGCGGTTTAAGCTTCTATTGCGGAGCTGCGTTCCAGAATTGTCATGGCTCGGAGTTTCCATTTGTTGCCGTGAGCGAGCTCTAGCAGGGTCGGCTAACAAGCTGTGAGTACCTATGAAGTCGTCCAAATCAATCGATGCCTCCCTGTCGAGTCCGGAGCCGCGAACATCAGGATCGGTATGCATTTCGTCGGCATCATGGTCGCCGTCAAGAACCGCCGGCAAATCCTCGATACCTTCCGTGATCATAATATCGTGCTCTAGATCGAGACTTCTTGACTCTCCCGCACGCATCTCACCAGCGGTGACTGGTCTTTGCTTGGCGAGTTGCATTGTCGGTGGACCTACCGCCTTAGGAAAGATTGCCTTTACGTATGTCTTGACCTGCATTTCCGTGATTTCCCATACCAAATTGTAATGCAGAATTCTCACATACTTGCTCCCCTTCTTCCGACCTGAAGGCTTGAGACATCTATATTCTAAGTCTTTGATAGAGTATGATCCAAGAAAGTCTCCGACGGCGGAAAGCTTCTCCGACATACTTAGATCCCAGGAGAATGAGATTTGTTGAACCTCGACTGGTTGGTTGTAAGTATGTGTTCTAGAAATACAAATTCTCAAACCTACCGTGTTTCCCGTTGATGAATAGCTCGTTCTGCTCGTGCGCCTTTGTCCAAAGCGTATATGACCTACCATTTTCCTCCGCTGGGGGGCATTCGTCGGAGACAATGATGATATCTTCAAACCTAATTTCCCTGTCGTTGGATAACCAAGTATGATTCTTCTTTTCGTCTGTTGCAATGTCGTAGCTCTGGTTCTCCAAAATAATTCCCTGAGTGGAGTTAAGTAACTTCAATATACAGATGCTCAGGGAAATACGAACATTCGGTATGGCCCACTCAATTACTTTCAACCAGAGTCCATCTGGATGCTTCTCGAACTCAACAGCGCCGTCAGCGATTGCATTCGGGAACCAAAGCATGCCTTCTTGGCCTTTGCTCCACGGAACTGTTACTAATGTGCCGTAACTTTTCACAGTCTGTGATTCTCTGATGAAACTTTCTCTAAGCTCCATCCGTTCCTTCAGAGCTCCTATGACTACATCCATCTTTCCTGTTTGACTGTGTCGAAGCTTGACGGTAGTGGCGATGGAGCTTCTTGCCAAGCATTTTCTGAGATAAGATGAGCTGCCGCCAAACTGTCCGAGGAAGATGATTGCCTGAACACAATGATCGCCTGGTCAGCTTCTTTGTTCTTTGTTAAAAATCGAGTACCGCATCTTACCTTGATGTCGGATATATTTTCCAGGATCTGCTTGATTGCACTTTTGAGGGTGTCGATGATCGGGTCAAAGCATCCATCGAGGAGTTCCCTATCGGCAACATTAGTTGCTAGAAGAGCATACCACAGACATTGTATTCCTTACCGATCGATTTTCATAAAATTAGCATAGAAACCTTTGGCTGGATTCGGTCGAAGTTTGATCTCTATAGTCCAAGTGGAGTTTCCGAGTCTTGGACTACAATCTTTCTTCTCCTCCTTGAATAAACGGCAGATACGTTTGATCTGTCGTTCGATATCGCCATCGTAATCATCTTGTGTGATCATGAGTCGAAGCTTCCGCTCAAATTCGGCTTCGACGGCTTCGCCTGACACTTCCAGAGCTATGATGATCATTAGTGTTTTGCCCTTTAGATCATTCAGATTCATACATTTGGTTTTGCCAAGCTGATCGACCTGTAGTGGTTCCTTGGATACCAATTTCAAAACTGTCATGCATCCAGTACCGCCACCAATATCCGCTGCAATAAAGACATCCCCTACCTGAGAACCCGTTAGCAGGTACGGACCAACCCACGCCACGCCGAATACTTACGCTAAGCTCTGCGATGTTCTTTGTTGACTGTACAAAATCGAGTGATCCCTCCTCATCATCCATAGTAGCGGCAAGCCATTCTTTCACCCCGCACAGAGTCTCAGACACAGTATAGACATTCTCAATTGCGAATGCTGCACTTTGGAGTTGGTTTGTGGCAAGAGCTTTCTTTATCGCACCAGCCCCAATTGCTGCCACTTGTCTATGGATCGAATCTGACCATCCAGATGGGAATGCGAGCACTAGCTCAATCTGACCGGGAATGAAGTTTTGGAAGTAGCGTTTAGCGGTTTTGATTACTTCGTTGACAATGACATCAACGAAGTCTGCGAAGAGGTCGAAAGGAGTCTTTCCTAGCACTCGGAAGATTTCCCCACGTACCTTCCGGTATCTTTGGATGGCGGGACTATTGGATTTTGCCTTTTCCGGATCGTTGAGGAGCAGCTTAATGTGCTGGACAACTAGTACGCGGTCGATGGAGAATTCTGGGTCTGGATCATCCAAGTACCTTTGAGCCTCGAACCCCCAAAATAGGAGGTCACCAGTGACTCGATCATATATCAAGTCCGTAGGCAGACATGCTTTGCCGATTGTATCACCTCTATTTCCACCAGGCCAACTTTTCTTCTCAATGGGGGAACGGCTGCTGAGAGGCTGACGATGAGTTTTGCCTGCGGCATCGTGGCTGTCACGCACGCGGGTGAATCGTGCTGTCGTAGTAGCTGTGCCTAGATCAAAAGCCGTGAGAAGAGTTCCTAGAGACATCATAAAGCATTGGTAGAGCAACAGTTGTGGAGAGAAAGATTGACACTGCCGGAGAGAGACTTTGTTGTGGACGGGGTGGAAGAGGTGAGCGGCAGGCACAGTATTGTACTAGCCAGTGACGGAAGCTCAATGAGGCAACTACCCCCCGGAAATCTCAACAAACAACAAAACGCCCCCGTGGATACTCGTTCGACCTTATTCAGGCAGCAGCGGGGCTTGGTGTAGTGTAGAGAAAGCTTCCATACCTTGATGGAGAAAGCAGGTTCCGCCCTACCGTGGGAGTACTTTCCTAAAATAATAATCATATAATATCACTCTTACAAAATTTTGGTAACTGTCAACTAGTAGTCAATTGATAAGGTAGTGATAAGAAATTCTTAACAGTTCAGAGGTCGTTACCTATTTCAGGAAAGTGCACCTGCCACGTTGGGGCGGAACCTGCTTTCCCTTGTAAGTCACTAAGGTATAGTTCCCGGAAGGAACATGTTGGAGAATGAGACTAATCCGCTTAGTCAGATCATACAGTCCCTGTCGCAGGTACTGTGTTAGGATCAACTTGCCCGCCCTCATCTCGCGACAACAGAGCAGACACAATTCCGAAGAACTATCGAACATTCTTGATACGACGCGATCGTGAAGTCCCTCCAATGTCATCGAATCAACGGCGCCGTAAATCTGGCAAGATTGAGAGATGCGAACATTGCATCAGTGCTGAGCTCGAGTGTATTCCTCGGACCAGCTCTGGGCGGTGTGAGGCTTGTCGTGAGAGGGGTCTCAATTGCACCTTTTCAAGAGGACCTAATGCGGGCAGAAAGAGGCTCAGAACTGAGGAGCCGCAAACCCTTTCAGATGAGTTCGAACAATGCTATCTCATTTCTTTCTGGTCTTTGTCTGATCCCAATACAGTGAAAGTTGCCAGGACAGCCGAGCGACATCTTCTGTGACAGTGTCAAGCAAACCCGATGATGCACTGACCGGAAAACATCAATCCAGGAAGGCGAGGAGCGTCAGACCTCCAGTGAAGAATAGCCCCGCCCCGATATTGCCACCGAAGAAGAAGAAGAAAGCAGGACCAGCAAGGTGCGATATTTGCGAGAATGATAATCGCATGTGGCAAAAAAGCCGCGACACCGCCATGGTAGCTTGCGAAATCCAAGAATGCGGGAAGTGGTGGCATCATTGGTGTCTGATGACGGTACAAGATGATGGTGAAAAGGATGCCGCTTCGGATTATGTGATTTTCTCTCCTCAGGTGGGAAATCAAGAAAATGACAATTTGATTTTCATTTGTCCTGATTGCTTAAAGCCACCTGGTCGAGGTTATGCCAATGAAGCGGCTGCGGCTATGTTAACTTTTCTGGAAACAATGAGACGACTCAAGCTAGGCGATCAGGATTCCGAGTTGAGATCGGCTGCGACAATAACGGAGGTTCCTGAAACCCCTGGCCGAATACTGTCTTCTTCAGCAGATCCTGCTCCAAATGAGCCACCCACTTCTCTACAGACTCTAGGTTGGTCAAATACAGAAAGAGAAGTCTTCGAGCCAACTAGAATCGAGAAATTCCAAGGTTACGACAAGTCTGAAGTCACAACTCTCATGCGACATCTGGATCAATCTATAGTCAACTTCTCCCGAGACACATGGGACATCGTGGAAAGGCTCAGGAACGACGAAGAATACAAGTTCCACAGTTGCAACCCGTTGCCACTGGCTACCTGGGATATGGTTGACTCTTGTGCGAACGTCGTTCCGGGAACACATTGGTACACCACTGAGAATGTACAGAATATGACAAGAAGTCACGCGCCAATTACGGCGGCACTACGAGAGGTGCTTGGTGTTCCTCGAGACATGCCCCTCAAAATTGAGCACAAGTTGAAGAGCATGCCGTTTCAGAAGGTCTATGCGACCCTCATCTGGTGGTTCGTGGTGGATGTTCTGCTCAATAAAATCGACATCTATGAGTTGCCAAACATGAAGCCGATGAGAATCATGATGTGGGCCGTGCAACGCTTTGCGGAAGAGAGTAAGCGCTCGGAATGTACCATCTCTGACAACGTGCGTGCTAACTTCCTCCAGGATGGCCGAAGCAAGGCAAGGAAGCCCTCCAGGAGGTGGAGTTACGAACATGGAGCAGACCAGAATTCCAAGCCGTGCTGATGGAAAACAAAAAATTCCTCACGAGCAAGTTCGATGCATTCCTTGAGCCGATGACGAAAGGCTATGACAATATTAGCAAATATTCTCATCCAAAGCATGACTTGATAGAGGCATTGATCAAGCTTTGGTCGTACTTCCAATCACTGCGGGGAACTGTCAGGGACATCAAGCCTAACATCGGGGATCCATTTGATCCCAACCTCTTCCAATTAGCAGGTGATGACACCACGTTGAATCCAGACGAAAGCTTCAGAGTGGCCTGGATTATTCGCCGAGGCTTTGCGTACTATGGCATTGATGGTGCACTGGTTGTAAGAGAGAAGGCGGTTGTCATGGTCGAATAACAAGGAATGGCTGAGGGGCCCTGGATGCTCCTCGCGAGAGTACTACCAAGACGGCGTTTGTGAGCATAGGTTTAGATCAATTGATGAGTTGTGCGCGATGTCCGCGATGTCCGTCTGTTGACCTGTCTGTTGCGTGAGGTTAAATTTAAAGTGAAGCGTTGACGAAGACGCGAGATTCTAACTTTGGACCTAGTTCCCGAAGAATACCCGAACGCCTTTCGTATTCCGTTGCAGCAGACTCAGTTCTTCCCTATCGCTGCGAAAGAGTAGCGATAAGAGTCGGCAGAGCTCTTAATGTTTAAAATTGAGTTTGGAGCATTATACGCAAATAGTTGGTTGTTAAACAAGCTGAATGGTGTTCTAATAGATACGCTAAACAGGCACGTCTATCCAGCTTAGCTTGCCAGCATTCCTTTCAGCGAACGCTCCTTTCTCCGACCCAACAGCCAGCTACCGTCTCTTCTCATCAACAACCCTTATAAACTCATGATAAAACCTCACCATATCCAGCAACCCCTCAACAGGCATCCTCTCATCTACCGTATGCATCATCGTCCCTCTCGGATCCGAACTAGCACGCCACGGCGACCAACGGTAAATCTGCGAAGAAAGCTTCCAGTAAAACTTCGTGTCCGTATTGCCAGTCAACAACACGGGTGCGACAATCACATCCTTCCCGAATACGCTTCGGATGGTCCCTGTCAGCCAGTCGAATCTCTCATCTTCGGGATCGGAACTTGGAGATGGTTCTAGTGCGTCGAGTCCGACAAGAGTGATTGTTCCGTCGTTGGTGCCGGAAGCCTCTTGGCCGAATCCTTGCAGGCCGTAATTCCATTTCTTGGCTAGAGGGGAAAGGAAGCGAACGTAGTAGTCTTTCACTGTTTGGACTGTCTCTTCGACTGCGATTCTGTGGTTCACCATGATGTGGGCGGTCTCTGGAAGGGCATTTGCTGCATATAATTAGTGTTGGTGTCCGCCTGATGGAATCTGATTTGACTTACCCTTCTCCCCTCCACGGACTAAATCCACGGCTGTGGAAGTTCTCACCAGTGCCCTCGATTCAAGCGAGCTATCCATATATTTCAGGACTTCCTTTGCAGATCTGGGATCAAGAATTGCTTTCCGCAGGTCGACTGGAATGTCCTTTGCATGAAGGGCAATCGTCTTTAAGTAAGTCGATGTTGGATTCTTTGCTGTCAACCGAGACTGAAACGGGTGGTCTTCAATGGCTTGGATGATTCTGGCAAGGTATCCGACTAGCTGGTCAGCAAATTTCACCTTAGTGATTTAAGCCACATACTTGCGGTGTGGTCTGGTGGTGTAGAGGAATGTCCTCCAGCAGTGTCGACTGTGACAACCACATCCAGATATCCTTTCTCAGCTGTAGTAGGCAGTGCAAATTCCGTCCCGAAATGTTCCTCAATGCCTGGAATTCCTTCGTCAAACTATATTTCTGTCAGCTAGACGAAACACGACATCACCTCTTTCACTTACTATCAACTCAACACCATCTTCTCCATAGATCTCGAGTAAGCGTTCCGCCAAACATCTAGCACCATAGCCACCCGGTGCACCTCCCTCCTCATCAAATCCAATAGCAAAAACAACAGTCCTGTTTGGTTCAAAACCAGATATCAGAAGCGAATCGATAGCCGAGAGAATAGCAACCACGTTTGATTTGTCGTCTTCTGAACCTCGACCCCAGATATACTTGCCATCATAATGACCTGAAAATGGCGGATGCGTCCATCGATCAAAGGTCTCGTCTGGTGCGGGGACGACCTGAATTCATTAGAAAATACTCTTTTATCGGGAGGAGGGGAAGTTACGTCTGTATGAGCCATAAGCACGAGCGGTTTCAAAGAGGGATCTGATCCCTTCCAGGTGTACAAGAACGCAAATTCATTGATGGTAACAACTTCCAGATCCCGATGTCTGCCACAAAACATGAGCAGGGTATCTACACTTTCAAATCGGCGATACACGTGACTTACACTCGAGTAAATGTATTCTCGAAATACTCTGGGAGTCGATTGAATACGTCCCATCGTGGATCTTCGCCAACCAAGCCCATTTGATCATAGCTGACTGTTGGGATCTGCACTAACTCAGATAGTCTTTGAGCAATGATGTCTCGGAACTCGGCGCTCTCATATCGCTTGAGCGAGCTTGATGAGATATCGGGTCGCTTGGAGGGACAGTATATTGGTTGCTCTGGGACCGTATCTACGCTCTGCCTTGGCACTCTGGCAGAAGCTTTGTTCTGGTAGATAATCGTCATCTTGGTATGAAAGCTGCTTTCATGGACAGATAACTATTGATTCTATGTTCAATTCTGAAAGGGGAAATCAGCCAGCTCTTGATACGCCGAAGTCAAGGGTGGGGTTGTTGACAGAGTGCGGGGTCATAAGATGGTTCACAAGAGGTAACACAGATTCTGTCATCAGTCGGAATAGTCGCAATCGTTCCTATTGCTTGAAGTTTACCAGCCGATTCCACATTTCCGTGCCTCCCTCTGATATTCTGGCAGGAAGGTATTGGCAGGCAGTTCCCCCACCTTTCGTTGTCGTTGCCCCACGCCAGCGGCAGCCAGATTCAGCATCCTTGGTTTTCTCAAGCGAACTTCCTCTTCCGGTCTAGCATCGCTTCAGTCTTCTCGCCTCCTTTTTCTTGACCACAGCTTAGTTTATGTTTAGCGAGAAGCTGACGATGACGAGAAGGGAAATGGAACCCATAATATGGGCGATGGGGTGAATTGGATGTGTCATGGTGGAAAGCCTGAAATGTATATATATATGGGTAATGGAGACCGCGACGGTTGGGTACCCATCGAGTGTTTTCATCCAACCCTGAGAGTCTTGTCAGAGCTCCGAAAAGCACAATGACTTGTAAGAACTCCTAATAGAGAGCTCGCATCGAAATTTATACAATACTGACATACAGCCCAGACTTTCAAGTCCCCGAGACTTTCCCACCTGAAGCAGGCACAACAATCACCCGCCTCTCAGCACTCGACCCGAAAACAACACCCGAGCTAATCGAAACCCTTCTCTCCCGCGACGGAGCCGTAGTAATCCAATCCCTCGCATCTCAATCACTCTGTGCCCAAATCCGCAAAGACCTCAAGCCTCATTTCGATTCCGACAAAGCCGACACGCGTGGATTCTTTCCCACCACAACCCAGCGAGCGACCGGGCTTTTTGCCCATTCAGACTCATGCGTTGAATCAGCACTCACACCACTTTTCCAAGCTGTTGCGGAGAGGATTCTCAATAGTACTTATACGTACTGGGAAGGTCAGAAAACAAAAACCGTGACGGGGAAGCCGCAGATTGCAAGTACGGTCGGGTTTCGTATCAATCCGGGTGGGAAACAGCAACCCTTGCATCGTGATGATGCGGATTATCATACTCGAAATATTGATATGCCTGTTATGCTGGGATGTGTGACTGTTTGTCTCTCTTTGATCGGAGGTCGAAAAACTGAAGCTGATTCAAGATCTACATTAGGCAGTGACGCGAACCACCAAAGAGAATGGAGCGACAATCGTCATTCCTGGAAGTCATCTATGGGGACCAGATCGATGCCCTCTTGATGAAGAAGCTATTCCAGCTGAACTTGAGATTGGCGATGCAATGATGTTTGTCGGCAATGTGTATCATGCTGGTGGAGCAAACACTACGAAGTAAACAACCAACCCCACCCCTGGCATCCCCCTGCTGACATAATTTTCAGATACGAAGCCCGAGAGACCGTAGGTATATTCATGTGCAAAGGTACTCTTCGACAAGAGGAGAACCAATACCTCATGGTCCCTCCAGAGGCTGCCAAGAAACTGTCGCCTCAGGCGCTGCGATTGCTTGGCTATGGGATGTGTCCACCGGCTCTTGGGTTCTACAGGTACCAAGACCCTATGCTGTCTGTTTTCGGTGTAGATGACGAGGAGATCGTCATGAGATAGCCTTCTAATGAGATTGTTCTACGTGTGATAATTCTTTGTTGCTCGTTGATCTTATGGGGGAAAGTGGTGTGTGTTCAAACGGCCAAGATCCGTATACCTCTTAATTCCCACTCCCGAGCTCTTACGGCCCAATCAGGATTATCGCCTGCCCAAAAGTCTTCTAGAAACTTAAGGACTGTAATAAAATGACCAGAACCCATCATCTCGATTATCGTTTGATAATGTGATCTGACCAAAGCCTGTCGAGTAGCCTCGCCATAGCTTTCTGTTCCGAGGATGAAGACAGGCCACGGAAAGTTCTGTATCCATGCTAGAGGATTCTCAAACCCATCTAGAAGTTCCGCCAGCAGATTCAAGGAGTATTGAACTTCCAGTGAGTTGGAGTCAGTCAGACCAAGACTCCTATATGAGTGAAGCAAGCCGGCATGATGGTGGACATCAACGAGACGGATGAAGTCACGCTTTCTCCACTCGAGGTCGAGAATTAAAGAGCCTGCCGCCATTAACGTGGAGCCACGAGCTATCATGAATCTATCACGAAGCCTCTGAGACACTTCCAAATTCCTCGATAGTGTAGGTCCAGGGATGGCAGAGGCTGGGTTTAGGATCGCGCGTGACTCAACAGTCACAGAATGGATGACCTCGAGGAGTTCCCCAAAGATAATTTCCCCTCTTGTGGTATCTGGTAAAATTGCACCATGTTCGATGTCCAGATCAAAGTTTGTTGTACATGCGAAGACATCGAGTATCGAGAGTTGATTTCGTAGAAACGTGTAAAGCTCGTTGTCTCTTCGATTCTGTTTGCCAAGCGCATTCACCAACGTCCGAGCCGCTTGTCTGTGTGTTTGCCAATTCATCGAATTGGAGCCCATCATCTCATACCCAGAAAGTGTAAGCATGGATGCCAACATCCATTCCGCAGTCTCCATATCGCCTTCGGAGCTGAAGTCATGGCCTTGTGCAAGTCGGGTTGTGACTTGTTGAACACTCTGTGTTATGGCCACAACCGCTGCATCGCATGCCGATTCGGAGAACGTAGAATCGGCATCTCCGACCTGTGAGAGATGTTTGGCTGATATAGCAAGAATTGAAAGCATGAGACCTGGGTGTCGTTGTGCAAGCGGCAGCACAAGGCGACGATATGCGTTACTCTCTGAGTCTAGCCAGACCATCAGACCGGCTATTTTCTGATCATAATGATGCAACAAGTGAGCAACCGTTTTATCGCTGGGGAGCTTCATCAAAATATCTGTGGCTGTGCCATAACTGGTTTGGTTCTTCTCTGGGTCATAACATGCTGTTGTGCTGAGCCCTGAATCTTGGTCACTTGGGGGAAACTTCTTTCCCTTGAACCGACCCCGAACCGCGATGGCGTTGGCCCATCGTAGCTTTGGATTATATCCAGGACACGAGTAATGTCTCTTGGCGCATTTCTTGCAAGTAGGAAGGCTACGATCACACTTGATGCGCCTTTGCTTGCACTTCTGGCAATCTGCGATGGAAGATGTGAGATTTATCGACGCAACCTGGCGAAAGAATTAAGCGCACCTTGTGGGCCCAAAGAGATAGAATCAGTGTGTGTAGCTCCCGCTGTCATGATCGAAAGCAAAGTTCCTCAAGGGACTAGGTATTGTTTGTAAACTGATCGATACGTCTGGGAGGTTGAGGAGGACAAGCAACATTACTGCTGTGAGACAGGTCCAGTTGGGGCACCTTGAAGATCAGGGAACTGCGCTAAACTCAAGGTTTTGCAGCACATGATCACTAAAATAACCCGTATCTTTAGCGAGCTCGGCTGGACCTGATCAGCACAATGAACCATATCAAGACTCCAGCGATATATCCCATTTAAAATTGAGTAAATATTGCTCGATCCTTGTGGTTCTGAGACTTTCCTTTACCAAACAAGATACACATCTTGAAATCAACAAAAATTTGATCTTAAGTAAGCCTTCATCCTCGACCTGCATTCACTGTTTCCTTTGACAGTTGGGTATATCGTTAGTAGGGCTTCACGATACGGAAATCAAGGAACATGACCTTCGCACTGGAATATTTTACACCTGGATGAACGGTGTTATCATCATGCGGAATATATTTGACAGGAGTGGTTGTTTGGTATCTGTCCGAAGCCTGTATTGAGTCCGCGACGCGCGAAAGCTCCGCAGTATGAAGGCGGGGTACGCGATTCTGAGAATCCATTCGTGAAACTCGATTAAGCCTTCATTTGAGTCCGCATAAAGATTCGGTGCGATTGAACTTAAGCTAAGCCTTGAATCTGTCAGTTCAGACTTCAATTTCAATTCTGCAGGTAAAATCGACGGATGGAAAAGCTCTAAGCTCTTGTGCCATGCTGGATCTTCACAGAACTTCGGCTATTGCAATGAACAACACGATAGGATACGACCATGTCTTAGAGCTGCGTATTTCCTTCCCGTTACCCATAAAAGAAAAGTAAGCAGTCCAGTACTTCAAAGTATCTGGTCCTCGATACACAATTCTGTTCAAGTCGGCTCCACTGTCATACCGGAGGGAAGTTTGGCGGGGTGGTTTGAGTGCTGACTGTCTGAGTCTTACAAATCTCGCTTCTGCCCGAAAAGGTATAAGTATTATTGCACCCAATCAGATAACATCATAACAGACGCTCCCGAAAGCAATCAAGAGATTATCATCTCAATCAAGATCTTTTTATTCGTCTAAATCGTGTAATCCGTGGGTTCGAGCAGAGTCGGCCATGAACTGTATTGAAGTGTTGACTGAATTTACGTGTTGCATCTGACAAGCTTCGAAGTTCATTTGCCACATTCAAGGAAAGAAGAAGGGACAATACGGCTCTCTTTCTATACCTTCAAGGTTAGATATTGCTAGAAATGTGAAGATAACTAACATTACAGGCTATATGCACCCACCACCATAATGGCGTGGAGTTCTTATTTCCGATGCAAGTCGGGCTGTCTCTGAAAGGCCAATGCAGGGGTTTCTCGTGCACAGTCAGAACCCTGCATAAATACCCACGATATGCAGTGTGTCAGCAACTAGAACCAGTTAGCATGTCGAGACTTCTTGCGAGTTTGCTACAATGTTTTCCTCGGTCCTTTCTCAAATTCTGGAATTCTTGAGGGCCAAGAGAGAGCAAATACAGCATATCATGGACGATTTTGATGTTCACTGCAGTGTAGGGTTTGCGGTGAAGTCTGTTATCAACTAACTCAGGAACCAGAAGGCGCTACCAGAAGTCACCCCGCCATGGATAGTTCACTCTTCGAGCATGGCGTTTGGACGCGACTGCGACAACTTCCCGGCTATACCTGGAACGATTCTAGAGAGCCCTTTCATTCCAGCTACGGAGCATGGTCAGTTCATCACGACTCAATCTACAACTCAGCGCGCGATACTAATGGACGAGTCGTAGGCATGTCTTTGGCACCAGACACGTTCGGCGGAGCATCCCCACATCGACTGCTTCAACCCCAGCATCTTCAAACAGTGCGAGATCATATTACGAGTCCAATGGATCCAGTTCTCAGCAGCCGGACGATTTCTTTACTTATACAGAGTCTCAAGGTGTTGAAAGCACTCACCTGGCAGTTGTGGCTCGTATTTCTCGCAATGTCCTTCGTGAGGAGAGAGCGTACCATACCTGGAAGAGCCTTGCAAAGGCATATCCAAACTCCGAGCATACTGCACCACCGCTCGAGAGAATGCGTTTCCCAAGTCAAGATGGCGAAGGATCCATCTCTGTGTGTATCTTCGAATCCCCAGGTATAAATTACCTCTCGAGATTTATCGACTACGGACCTGGCAGACTGGGACTTCGAGGAGATGACCTTTCAGCCTACCGAGATACCTCCTTTGTTCCAGAACAAATGCCACTTGAAGCGTTTTTGGACTTCGCCATTGGAGCGGCAGAATGTGTTGAGCTTCTGCATAGCCTCCAAATTGTGCATGGCGAAATTAGGGCGGATGCCTTTCATATGAACTTCGAGACCGGGAAAATCACTTTGATTAATCTTGGCACAGGCCGTCTGAAGACATTTGAGCATGGTTTTACGAGCATCGGGTGGGAAAGAATGTCTAAAGATCTCGGTGTAATGGCTAAGCTGTCCTTTATGAGCCCTGAGCAGACAGGCCGGATGCCTTTTGAGCCAGACAGCAGAACGGATATATTTTCTTTGGGGGTAGTCCTGTGGACAATCATATCCAGAAAGCAAGCTTTCGTTGGAGAGTCTCCTATGGAAGTGATCCAGGCAGTCTTGGGTAAATGTCTTCCATCCGTTTGTGACATCAGACCGGATATTCCAGATGTGGTTGGTCGCATCATCAACAAAGCAACTGCCAAGACAGTTTCGGAACGGTATCATTCTGTGAGCGGACTTCGGCACGATTTCATGGAAGTTCGAGAAATCCTCAGAACTGGAAATTCTCCACAGCTTCTCAAGCTGCAAGTTGGCACCAAAGATGTTTCCCAAACGTTTATTTTGTCCCAGTAAGATTGCGAAAGCTCTTCATACCCTCTTTTGAATCCATGCGGATTGTCATGATCCGCAATATTATGCCCGACTCTAAATGAGATTTGCTAACCCCTTTGTTCCACTAGGACTATTGTGGGTAGGGCTCAAGAGTATGGAAGAATTCTCCATGTCATTGAGCGAGCATCGAAGTTACACGCAAACCAAAATCGAGGAAACAATGGCACGAGTCAGCTATCACGCCTATCGGAAGATCAACATTCGGATATGGAATCTCCAGTTGAGCACGAAAATTTATTCAGGGAAAATGACAATATCAGCTCTACTGATGGGAGGAGCAGTCGTCTTACGAATTCAGAGGCTGGAACGAGGCAGCTTGGAGTGTACAAAGCAAATACCGGTATCTCGCGAGCGAACTCTAGATCTCTCGAAGCTGCCCCGGTGCCAAATCTCCCAATCCTTGATCTGAGCTTGCTGGGGAGGAGAATGTCACTGGCAGTAGATTTTCCTAGTTCTGGCGCCAGTGTAAACGAAGACTCCGTATCCGGTAGTGAGAATGTGGCTGGCATTAATTTGAGACTGAAAAACATTGGAACGCCGCTGAAGGGGCGCTGTGAAATGATCACGATAGCAGGACCATTAGGATTAGGCAAATCTCGCCTTTTGCAATCTGTCCAGGCTGAAGCAAGGCAGCGAGGCTATTACGCCAGCGCAAAGTTCCATGACGGGCAAGGAGAAAGGAGGCCATTCGATTCGTTCTTGAAACTTGTGTCGAATTTGTTCCGTGAGTACAACCCGCTTCTCAGGCTTTTATTCTAGTTCAGGATAGAAGCATGGACCAAGACCTCAGCTATATCTGACTTTTTGCATTGTTTGTCAGAACAAGTATTTTCGGAAACGAATATCGACCCGGTCTTGCACCAAGCACTGAGTCGACGGGTGGCTTCTATCTGGCCAGTCTTACACAAAGGCCTTAGACTTCCCGAATTTCTCTTCAGTAGCATCAAACTGCCGCTGCGGATGACAAATCACTCAAAGACTCAATATCATAGTCCCGGGAGGCGCGACTCGTCGCCGAGGAGTGTCGGCTCGGACAGTATTTTGACCCAGCAGAGCCTGGGTGCTCAAACGGCTCAAAACATCCTTCGTCCGGGATTCTCTCCACAATCCATGTCGACGATGCGCACAATATTGGATATCCTGCGAATATTTGCTACGCACAAATTTGTTTGTCTCGGGCTCGATGATGTGCACTTAGCAGATGGCGAGTCAATGAATTTGATTGGTCAAATAATATCCACAAGAATAAATCTAGTACTCATTGTAGCCTACAGGCCCGAAGGAATTGTGTCCAATCAATTACGAAAGGTTCTGAAAGCCGAGGAAACGAAAGGCTTGTACCCTCCGACAAAACACGAGGATTGGCAGCTGACCAGGGATCAGGTACTCGTAGGAATGAAGGAACGTTGAGCGTCACACATGTGCCCCTCAGACAGTTCGAGGAACTGGAAACGATAGAATATGTAGCAGCAACCCTTTGCCGGTCGAAGGCAGATGTATCATCACTCGGTGCCACGATACACTCAAGAACTGGAGGGAATCCATTTCATGTGAAGGAGACTCTGAACAGCTTTCACTGCAACAAAGACATCTGGTATGACTTTCGAGAAGGGGGATGGATGTTCAATCTAAGCTCGATCCTAGAGCAAGTCAATGAAGACGAAGCTACGGGAGCTCGAGAGGACGAGCTTGTACTAAGTCGAATCAACAATCTGTCTCCATCTTCAGGATCAATTCTGAGTTGGGCCTCAATGCTCGGATCGTCGTTCTCATTTCAATTGGTACAGCAGCTTTCGAGTAGCAAGTTTGCCCCCAACGAGCTATGTTTATCAGAGCATGAAGCCATGATCGGTCTCCACGCAGCTCTTCAAGCTTTTATAATTGCTCCCACGGATGACGAAGACGTATTTCGATTCTCTCACGGTCGCTACGTCAGAGCTGCTTCATCACTGAAGAAAGAATACGAGAACCAGATGCACTTCGTTGTTGCTCACATTCTGAGCAGTCTCTACTCACTCGACCCCCAGTACCGGAGTATTGCAGTTGGCTCAATATGTCAATCTCTGGCTACAATCAAGAGTTCGATGGCCACAAGAAAGCAATTTCGAGTTGCTGCGTTGAAATATGCCCAAGCTGCATGTGAAGGCGGGGTCCGGTCAGCAGCTGTGAAGGCATACGCAGCCTGCATAGCCCTCCTCCAGAATGACCCCTGGGACAACGAAGCTGGAGATGTGTCATATGAAGAAACGCTGCAAATCTACACAGGTGCAGCCGAGTGCTACTTGTACTGCAGAAGGTACCCGGAAGCCAAGCAAATTATCCATTCTGTAATACTGAACGCCAGGACAGCCATCGACAAAGTAAGCTGCTGGGTACTTCAGTCACGGACATTTTCGCAGGAAGGAGATTCTGCCAGTGCTTTTCAGTCTTTGAAACAATGTCTTACTGCTCTCAAAGTTGTGGTTGACCCGAACCCCAGTTTCGAAAAATGTGATATGGAGTTCCAACGTTTGCGTCAAGTGATGAGGGCATCAGAGGCCAATGGAATTGTTTGGAGCCCTACTATGGAAGACGAAACCAGTCTTACTGCAGTTGGTGCTGTCCTTCTTGTAAGTCAAATATCCGTGATTTACAGCTCTTCACTTTCGCTTAGCTGCTCGCCTATCATCAAATGTACACAAGGTGCTAATTTCTTACTCCGCAAAGGAAGCATGCAGCGCCGCATTCTGGTCAGACACCCTAACCATTTACCAAATGACTTTGATCCTGATAAACACTTATCTTACCTCGGGCAGCTTTCCTCAATCAGGCATGGGTTTCTTGTTACTGGGCGTGATCGCGTTGACCAGGCACAATATGGCCAATTTCGCAAGCGAGTGTGGAAGCATTGCACTCGACCTCTTTGATCGCTGGAAAGATCCTTACACTGTCGGGCGGGGTGGAGCTATCTATCCGATGTTCTTGGGGCACATCCAGAACAGCCTTCATAATTCGCTCGATCAGCTTGAAGGAACTCTGGAATATGCCATTCAGGCAGGAGACAGGAGATCGATCATCTTGAACTACGGGTTTGTGGCAAGCCTGAGATTCTTTGTGTCCGAAAACCTTGTAGAACTAGAACACTTCTGCACATACGCCTGCCAGGACATCCCTGACTGGCAATTGGACACACCTGGCGGCAACATGATACTAGCCATCCGCCAAGTCTCTCGAGCTTTACGAGGAAAAACCTACACTGACGATCCATTGGGAGTGATGACGGACGAACATCACTCCTCCCCAGGATATAAATCCTGGCTGATAAACAACGTCAAGAACTGGGACAGACCCCTGATGCTTTACGAAAGTATTGAAATAGCACCACTTTTCCTTTACGGTCACTTTTCCAGCGCCGTTGCATTAGGGAATTCTGGTTTAAAGAAGATCGCAGCAATATGGTCCGCAAGAAATACTAGATTTCTTATGTTTTTCCATGCACTCTCCCTGGCTGGTTCCCTCTGGCCCAGAATCCAAGAGCAACGTACGCCTGAGTACCGCAAACAGTCTCCTCAACTATCTTCAGACGTCGATGGCTGCTCCTTGGAGACTGCGCTTGAAGATGAAATCTCGGGGACAAAGACCATTATGAAGTACCTCAAGCGGAAAATTGAACAGTGGCAGGAAGTGACCAATGTGAACTACCTCGCCTGGTCTGAAATCCTGGCCGCCCAGATTGCCGAAATGGAGGACAGCTATCCCGCCACCTTGCACCATTACGATGCGGCAATTGACCATGCATCGGCTCACAGTTTCCATTTCGAAGAAGCACTTGCGAACAGTCTTTTGGGTGAACATCTTGGTCGAATGGGATCCAGAAGACTTGCAAAGATGGCACTTCGTGAAGCGGTTTCTCTATACCGTAGAATTGATGCTACGGGAGTGGCGAGCTATTTACAGAAGAAGCATCATGACATTTTCCAAGCACCTTTCAATCATCATTCGACAGCTGAAGTAGGCGTTCAAACCGATCATGATGAGCACTCTGGCCCTCTCGGACCTCATCCGGATGAATTTGAAGAGGATGAGCCAATTCGCCACACGTTGGAGAAAAACGATCTAGTCGCTGATAAAGTCGACTTGTGGCGCGAAAGCTCAGCTCTTATTGACATGGGCTCCGGCCCGGCTCTCCACATCTTGGATATGACATCCATTCTCGAAAGCTCTCAAGTCATCTCAAGCGTTCTTCAAATAGATCAACTTCTGAAAACGATGTGTGAGATTATCTTGCAGAATTGTAAAGGCGTTGCCACGCTTGCTGCCATCGTTATCGAGGATAATTCCACCGGCTGGGGTATAGCAGCAAGTGGGCTTGCTGAGGAAGGATCTCAGGCTCATAGTCCAATATTGCCACTTAGAAACTCCTCTCTCGTTGTTGAGAGTGTTATCAATTACTGCTCACGATTTCGCGAGAGGGTGTTCCTGCCAGATTTGACGCAAGACCAACAGTTCAGTAATGTCAACAAATACTGGGCTACTAGAAACCCAGACAGCAAGTCAGTTGTGGCTATTCCGATATGCCATGGCGATGGTGAGAATCCACTTCTTGGTGTGGTCTACCTTGAAGGTCCACCGAATTCGTTCACGAATCGTAACCTGGAAGTGCTACAGCTACTTGTAAACCAGTACGTCTCGGGCAAGCCCCTTTTAATCTACTTCTTATGTCTCCCCCTTTTCATAGATCATCTTCTATAGGCATTTACTGACTCTTATTGCGTGTAGAATCGGGATCAGCTACTTCAATTCGCTGACGCTAAAAGAAGTCGAACGCATCTCCTCGCTTAACAAATCGATGGTCGAAGTCCAGAAGAAGGCATTAGCTGAAGCAATCGCTGCGAAGAATAGTGCTGATGCCGCGAGAAAAGAAGCCTTTCGAAGCGCAAAGGCCGCCGAAGAGGCTGCTAAGCTTGCTGAAGAGGCTGCAAAAGCAAAATCTACATTCCTCGCGAACATATCTCACGAGCTTCGAACCCCACTCAACGGGGTAATTGGGAATTCCGAACTCCTTCTTATTGATAATCAACTCCAAGAACATCACGCTGAAATGGCTGATTCGATTCAGGTCTCAGCCAACTTGCTGCTGAGCCTCATTAACGACATTCTTGATTTTTCGAAGATCGAAGCACATCAGATGCAGCTCCACCTGACGTCTTTCTTCGTTCATGAGATGGTTGAGGAAATGGTCCGCTCGATCCCTGCAGCCAGAAAGCAGCTGAAAGCTCCTGCCGTTCAGATTATACAGGAATTCACTCTACCGAATGCAATGGTATACGGGGATCCTGTCCGGTTACACCAAATCTTAGGAAATCTCGTGAGCAACAGTCTGAAATTCACGAAGACAGGCTCAATCACCATCGGAGCTAAGGCGGAATGGGAGACAGAATCAGCAACACACCTTAGCTTCTGGATTGAGGATACAGGGATCGGAATCCCAGCTGAGCAGATTCACAAACTGTTCAAACCTTTCAGCCAGGCTGATACAAGCACTTCTCGCAAGTACGGTGGAAGTGGTCTTGGCCTGAGTATTTGCAAATCCCTTGTCGAGTCTATGGGGGGCAGCATCAAGCTGAAAAGTACTGAGAACGTGGGCACAATTGTCTTCTTCTCACTGACGCTGCCCAAAGCAAACTCTGCAACTGATCATGGCATAAACAATAATGTGAGATCCAGGTCGGTTTCTGCTGTCACAAGCCCGACTGAGCATCACGACTTCTTAGATCTTCCACCAAGCGATATTCGTATTTGTATTGCGGAAGATAATCTAGTCAACCAGAAAGTCGCGTTACAATTCCTCAAGAAGCTCGATTTCAAAGGTGTCGACACCTACTCAAATGGTCTTGAAGCGGTAGAAGGAATCAGGAAGATGGCGAAAGAAGGACATCCGTATCACATGATATTAATGGACGTGCAAATGCCAGTCTTGGATGGTTACGAAGCTACAAAACTTCTTCGAAAAGACTCTAATAGTGTTGTTCGAGGTATTCTGGTCATTGCTTTGACTGCATCTGCTATTGAAGGAGATCGAGAGAAGTGTATTGAGTCGGGTATGAATGATTATCTGGCGAAGCCGGTCAGGCTGGCTTTACTGAAGAAAAAGTTCAGGGAATATATGCACATAGAATAGAGATAATTATATTCGAATAAAAATATATACATATATGTACAACAAATGTTGCTGCAAGTCGATGTGTCGTCGCTTTGTGAATTTTCCCTGGAGGACTGCTGCCAGTCGGCTATTTGAAATTTGGGGGCCAGAAACGCGGGGTAAAAAAGCAACCCCTCCTTCATTTCAGCAAAGAGGGATGTTCTTTATGAAAAGATAAAAATATGAAATAATGTGTATGAACATCATAAAGATAACGAATTGAATACCGGATAGTCCGTATATAATGCCATGATCATATATGATCCCTAGAGAGCAAGCTAAACAAATCCAGTCACGCATACCATTTGGCAATCAAGCACACACCACGACCACATCTTGATTTCTCTCCCGATTTTTGGCAAGTATTCGGAGAAGCAGGTTATAAAAGTCACTCTGGTATCTTAAAGATGCCTAGGAATTTATTTGGGGCATGTTCCCAACACACCTCTGGAAGTCCGGGTCCCACATGAAGTATGAGATGTTCTAAGTTCGATCATTTGCAGTCTGTGGAATGTAGCTTATGACACAATATAGACGCAATTACCAATCAGACCTCCAAATGAAACCCAAGATTTAGAGTTCAGGTGACACAGTTCCCTAGCCTTAAAGCTATGGGAATATTTTAGCAGAGATGCTCATCTGTACCAACCGAGCTAGGAGACCGGATCTAAATATCGGTACCAAGAATTGCGGATTGTGGTAAAAACTGACATCAATCTCCTTCTAGCGTCTCTCAGGAGCACGAATGGCTATATAGTCAAGTTTCTGCAGCTGTTTCAACAAAACTATTCATCTCAAAATAAATTCTCCCTATCGGTTGATCGAACCAGTCACCTACACCGAAACTTGGCCTAGCATTATTCAATCAGTTTGCATTCATTTCGACCCTGTCATCCACTTTTACAAGATGCTTTTTCTGAAATTTATGTTTTTATTGCTTATGGTAATCCCTCCGGTAGTGTTACCAACCATACTACTTGCCAGCTCTCGTACCGCAACTTTGTCGGCGGCTGCCAAGTGTGGGAGGTTCTTCGCAGGTTTTGGCGGCGGCTTAATCGTCACGGCGCTTGTTGGGTGTGCTTATTGGTTCTTGGATTATCACTCGCCGAAAGAGATGGTCGACTATGATATTGGTGTTTCGGAGCTATATGATCCTGCTCGACTCCTGTTTTTCTACGAGGCCCAGCTGCGGCATTGGAAAACGAACCCTAGTTTGGCAATAGACGAGATTATCAGTGAAGACAAACATCTCATGAGCTTGGATGAGATATATGATGATGAGATAGACGCTCTAGAGAGATATGTGGTCTTGAAGAAGAAGATCATGAACAAATCGAAAAATGCGAAGAGTTTAGAAGACGCCACGATGACCTGGCTAGAAGGCAGAGCTGAGTTTTCCATGGAGCTCATTTGGAAGACGCTAGAATGCAGACTTCGCATTTTACGTCTGATTGAAGACTTGATCCAATGCCCAGAGAGCAGAAACCAATTCCTGCTGACGCGAGAACTTTGTTTGGAGTACTTGAGAGTCAAGAAAGCCTTGGGCGAGTTTCGGTCGGAGGGCTGGGCAGCTTACATCGGGAAGCAATTTGGCTGTGAGAATGAGAATGGTTCAGTTTTTTACAACTGTTTACAAGATATACCTGGAGCAATGTCTCCTGCGGAGGAATTAGAGCGTTGTCTTCCAAAAGCTAGTCGACGAGAATTGCGCAAATTCCGGGAACGTTGATTTTGAGAAGAAACAATAGCCCGACGACGCGAAAGAATCTGGTCGAGATGACAACGTGAAACAACTTCATATTTGCCAAAGAACTCTGATAGATTTGAAACATATAATAGAAGGCCAAGGAAAACACCCTGTAACATCCGCCCAACCAGATACAAACGCAATGATATCAAACTCTCTCCTTGCCTGGCGTTGAAGCAGTCGCATTTGTCTCCGAACTTAAAGTAATGACCAACAGCATAGCAAATCCCGACAATCGAGAGACTAGGCCTGTCGAAATTTCTTGCCTGCTTGCTCGCGGGAAGCAGAATCGATATTCTGAAATTGACGCTTCAAAGTAAAGCGCCGTTCATTGGCAAGGATATCCATACCGGAGCTGCCGTTATATGTGCTAGAAATAGCTTCACCCTGGAACCTCTCGATAGAAATTTCTGGGGTTGTCGATTCTGAGCCCCTGATATCTTCACATGAGGGACGACTTGGGATGCTTTCTGTGGGATCAGCGACATTGTCGTCCGGTGGTATCAGATGTTTCGAATTGCAATCAAGAAGTCGCAGCGGTAGTTTTCCATGAGGATCTTCCGAGTCAGAAAGTCCAGAAACTCTCTGCCCAGGAGAGTTGGTCACGTCTCTGTCGTTCATTTCACCCTCATCTTTTATAGCGATCCGAATCATCGCCGCGATATGATCGTGTCCACACGCCAAAGCGAGTTGCCCTGGATTCATGCCAGAGTCATCTTCGACCTTGTGGTTGTATGTTCTCTCAAGAAGCATTTCAACAGCTTCCGTATTTCCAAGGCAAGCAGCCAAATGTAGTGCTGTCTGCTCTCGAGCCAAAATTAAGTTAGCATTTGCTCCAGCTTCCAGAAGCATTTCCGTGGCTGCCAAGTTCTTGCATCGCACAGCCAAAGCAAGGGGTGTCATTCCATCCTCGTTAATGTCATCGAGAGACCGATGTGTTTCAATCAGAAGTTGCAACTTCGCTCTGGATGTGTCGTCGTGCATTGATACCAAGTGGTGAAACGGAGTGTTGCCAAATTTATCCTGTGAAACTGGAAACCTCCAAGTGCCAAGTAACAATTCGAACGTTGGGAAAGAAACTTCGGGCCTGGAGGCGAGGAGAAGAGATGAAAGTGCCACAGCCCATAGTTCAGGAACCTTTTCATAGTCTGCAATTATTTGCGACACAATATCGGATTCATCTTGGCCAAGCGCGAATGTCAAGAAGGAGATGCAATCGGGCTGAGAGCAAATGGCCATCTCCTTCATAAGAAACACTGTGAGCCTCCCATTTGATCCCGACATGGCTTCGTAAAATATCCAATTGACCATTTCTTGGCTTGTATTTCTCGATTCGACGAAGCTTTTCGATCTCCAAAGTATCGCGAACATTTCTACTTGCCAATATTGAGCAGCAATATCTAATGCCGACATTCCGTCCTCGTCCAAAGAGGTTACAGATGCTCCTCGATGTAACAGCAATTCAACGAAGTAAGGCATCTCGCGTGCATCCCGGAAGTCAAGTCCGGCATCTAAGCACATAAGTAAGAGTGACTTGCCAGTCGTCTCATCGTGAAGCTCAACATCGATTCCAGGACACAATGACAACAACAAGAAGCATGCTCGAATGCATGACTCATTCATGGTCAGCATTTCTGCCAATACGCTCCACATCTTATGATTGAAAGCTTCGGATGTCTGGCATGACAACTCAATCGTCTTCAGCACAACTCTGGGAAGTTGAGAGATCTGCCCGTCCTCGCTGTCAAGTATCATTTGGAGCTCTGGAGGGGTTTCATCTTGGAACGACTCCCCAACTGCCACTCTCAGAGACTCGATATGATCCGCGCTATACAGCCAGTCTGGATTGAAATAAGTGCAGAGAATGTTGGCAATGTGTTCATAGCTCCAGGAACGCCATTTGGCTCGTATTGCAGCCTCAATAAGCGTCGAAAAAAGCTCATCAACGTCCCTCAAAGAAATGAGGTCATCCAAGTTGTCTGCCGATAATCGCGCACCACTCCTTATGAGTAGACTGGCCAAGTAAAGGTATCTTGGTTTACCGACAATGTCGAATGCTATTTGAATTGCGAGGTCCAGTCTGTCCAGAGGAGATTGGACTTGGTCAGGCGATGATGGAATGTTCGGACATGCTCCTGCTTGAAGAAGTGCTTTGAACACAGTAAGCTGCGGTTGATAATCATCGTCGCCGTTTATACCACGAAAACAAGCAACAATATCAAACCAAGCGTTCGTCATTCGATCTCGATCTCGATCTTCCAAACATGACATCATGCAACAATGTAGCGGTGTCCCTGAAATACATTGTCTGTTGATATCATCACCATTATCTATAAACATTGTGCATACGTCGGGGAGGGAAAAATACGCTGCCCAATGTAGTGGCGAGGGCCACATGTTGTTCTCAGCAAGTTTGGAAGGATCAAGATCATCGGCTTGAAATCCGATTGTTTCAGCGCATATTCCAGCCCTCTCGGCTTGGCGGAGTCGGTAATCGTAAGAACAGTAGTGCCAAACTACCGCCATTTCCTGAAAGGTTCGACCAGTTTTGATTGTGAAAAGCTCCAGTAAGGCCTGCTCGATTTCTTTGGGATCGCTTTTATGCACATGATAGGGCCAAATGAGTGCAGCATATTTCAAAAATGGGTATTTTGCGCAGAATAGGTCAATAGAGTCAGTGTCATGAGCTTTACCAGGAACATAAGGAAATGTCGCTCCATCAAATTCCTCAAAACCCAGGACCCTGATACAAGTTCTCGCCATAATTGAGTGGTCCCCAGACAGCTGATATTGAGCAAAGCCGGGGCTTCCGACCGGATCAATGGATTGCAAGAATTCCTCGACCGTAAAATGGGCAAGCTCGAGAAGACCGGAGATAGGGTTCTTCCTGACCAGGCTACTACACCAGTACAACAGTTGTTTCTCTGTGGTTATCTGACGTGAGTCGAAGGTGGTATCGCCCTGGCGTACTGCTAAAGCTTGCAACAAATCTGTATTCGTCAGAGCGACGCCCACATCAGCGACGCCCACATCAGCGACGCCCACATCAGCATCATGACCATAAGTGATCCAATGAAGCGCCTCTCTGACCAGCGTCTGATTTTCTTTTGTGCTCCTATTGACGCGTTCCAAGATGCGCTCATAAGAGCTGGGTAAATCAGGTGGGAGTTTTCTCAGAGCGTCTCTCCGGTCCCTGTCGTTGGAACATTCACACAGATAATCCATCGGGCAGGAAACCCATCGGAACCTGGAACAATAATCAGATACGATACCGCAGATAGGCAGAGAACATACGTACATCCCATCGCAACGTTCAGCGATTGTTTTCATGATATGTTCTTTGAGATTGGGATCGCCGATCTCCAGTCGCATATCAGTCGTTCTTCTCTCGATCTCGGAGGCAATGTAGAGACGGATGTCGGAACTCTGGGCGGCGATTGAGATCGTTTGAAAATCTTGAAGTACATGTCCGATATCTATCTCCGGTCGGCTGGAAAATAGGGCTTTGATGGAAGACGAGGAAGCTTGCAATGATGCGAGTAGCCTCGTGACCTCAGCACGGCCATCAGTAATCTCGTCCAGTCCATCGACGACCAACATCACCGTCTCGAATCGAGTCGAAAGCTTGGAGATGAGCTTGCAACATTCTTCTGGCGAAGGGGTACGAATAGATCGGTCGGGGGTAATGTGCTCTTCATAGAATGAAGTCAAATCATCGAAGCAATCCTCTAGGCGCATGATCAGTTGCCTAGCGAGACATCCCAGTATCGTTGAAGCACTGTGCGTGGAGCTGTCTTTGTAATCGCAGTAGAAGAATGCCAGCGCTATATTCCCACTGTGTCAGGTTCTGCGATAGGCCCAGCAAGATAAGATGAATCTTACCTTCTGTTGTCTTGAGTTCTGACTCAATTTTCTGTATAGTCGAGGACCTATCTTACCATCAGTCAACGTCTACCGCAGCAAGTCGGCTGGTGCTCACATCAGGACTGTTTTCCCTGCGCCGGCTAGACACTTCATCAGAAAATTTATCTATTATTGACTTGAAAACCTACGGATTCCATTTATCCAGAGCTTAGATCTCTCTCGAGAAAGCCATTCTTTGAGTTCTGCGCCGTTTGTGAACCAAATGCCGGTCCCGGGCTGTCTGAGACGTATATTTGAGTCTTGCCATTTCCTTGCATTGATGTCCCCAAGAATCTGTAACATCTTGCGTCTTTCGTCGTCTAAGAATGGTATTAGTCAACAGCTCGCAGATGCTCCAGAATATGACCCAATACGAACTTAGGACAATTTGATTTTGGACTATCCGGTGTGAATCAAAGGCACGTTTCAAACAGTGTACTCCGTCTCGGATATCGCACAGTGCAGACCTGAAAGCACGTTAAAGACTAAATTCAAATAACAAATGTTCGGGAAGCGGCATGGTACTTACATTTCTTTCGCATTCATTGCCAAGGCTATGTTCGATTTGTGTCTTTCGATTTCCTCCAGAAGTTCGCGTGTAGCCGATTGTCTCAAGGGCCACTTTATCTTCTCCATTCTAGTCATTGTATCGCCAGCCATTGCCTTTTCCTGGTGAGACTGTATTTTGGACAGTGTCTGATAGCAGGGCTCAATCCACTTGATCTGCATGGTGGGATCCAAAGTCCGAGCATCTCCTTCGAGCCGCCTCGCAACATTCTGGAGACTGTGAAGCATTCCAAGCAGCCAGTTTACTTCACAGATCACCTTCTCGACCGTCTCTCCGGCATCTTTAACAAGCTTGATAAATTCATACCCACGGCGCACCACAATGTCGGCTATTGTGATAAGGCCCGCAACACGGGCAGCAACACCAAGAGCTTCGGCCATGTCGCGATCGCTGTTGACTTTGGGTAGAGTCAAGATGTAAATTCCTGCAAGAGAATGCTGATGGAAGGAGAAATTAGACTTCACCTCTTGCAAAATCGCACGAGGCTCTGTTAGCCCAGTCGCACAACAGGGCCTCAGCCACCACAGTCTCACATGCACGATCTGCCTTAAGAGATCAACAAATCATGTATGCTCGTGTAGCGAGGGTGCGTCGAGAGGCATTCTGTCAGGCTCTGAGACTTCTGAATTATTCCCACACGACACGTATATCTCAGAATGGAAGAAGTTTAAACTTATGATGTAAGAGCTAGGCCACCCGGAGGCTCTCTGTCCGTCATACTAATAATTCTCATTCTTATTCTTCAAACATCGCAGTCCTGTTTCACGATTCTCCCAATTTTAATAGCTGGACGTCAGTGACCCTCTAGCCGTAATCATACGTGGAATGTGTATTTTATTTTCCTCTGAAATAAATTTCTCCAAAATTGGAGATTACCTTGCAAGCTCCTGCAGCTGTGAATTTCGGCTCAAGTCTCCGACCAACAGATCGAACTAATTCAAAGCGATTCCTTCGTTCTCAAGACGAGTGGTCAACTTCCCAAATGACTTTGCTTACCAATTCGCATTCATAGCTTGATACACACCACACCACTTCAGGTACGCCCTTCTTCAGACAAGAATTTCACAATCTTCTCCACAGCCTGATTGTCTCCAGCACGACTTTCCATCAATTCCCTATCTACCCATCCATGTGTGTAGCTCCCTCCAAAATCGATCAAAAAACAATCATCGGTGCCACTCCTAATAAGCACATTCTCTGCCTTTCCATCGCCCCATACCACATCAATTTCATGTAAAAGCGCAACAATGTCTTGGATTTGCTTCGCCCACTTTGCTCTTGTCTCTGAAGAGACTCCAGCGTCCTTCTTAGCCAGATCACTCAACCTACCCTCGTTCGCAATGAATTCCTCTAATATTCCAATCACTGATCCATCGTCGTCAACAACTAGCCCAAGTAACTTCGGCACTGGAAAATAGGCTTCATTTTTCGACAAGGAGATCTGTTTTAAGCAGTCGTATTCGCGCTGTACTGCTACAAAAGAATGCGCTGTGGCGATCTTGCAGCACATGTCCAGTCCATTTATCATCACTCTGGCGATATACCCCGAGCCCACCAGCTTGCCCATTACTGATATATCTCGGGAAAAATAGCGTGGCAAGTTCAGCGGGTTGTCCCCTAGATTCAAGTGGATGGAATCAGGTTGTGGACGTGGAGGAGGCGTTCGCACTATCTCTGTACGTCCCTCGGTCACAATGAGGCGCAGATAGAATTTTTCTGGATTGAGCTCAGAGTAAAGATTCTGTGTAGATGTCCTAGCGCATGCGTTTCCTTCTGGAATAGGAGGTGCTATTGCTCTGAATGTCTGCCACCCGGCATCGAAGACCAGCTCCATGATTGCGTCTTGGGCGTCCTGGATTTTCTCATCGTCATCTTCGTCAAACGCTTTACTGAATTGAGTGAGAAGAGAGGTTACTGGGTCTTCTGGCAGACCCGGCGATACTGTGACGATGAAGTGTTTCGAGTTGCAGATGATGGTGAAGTCCCAATCGTGATTGATCTCTCCAGTGGCATTTGTACAGCAATATTGAACATTGTCGTCCCAAATCGCCTTTCTATCATCTGTTTCCGTCGTTGATATCATCTTTGATGCACTGAGAATTCTGGTCGGGATTGCGTTCTTTTGTTGTTGGCAAGTGCGGCTCTCGAAGCTTTGATTGTTCTCACAAAGATCACGTGCTTTACACCCTAGTAGTCCAGAGCGCTTTGATTGGAACGAAAAGTTACCTAAGGTTAGGCGCGCGGCTTCCAAAAATAAATTACGTTTCAGGAGAGATATATGGGCACAGCACAGTAATCCCAGTTCCTTTGCATCATTCCTTCAGAAAGAACATAGCTCCCTCGATTGTTAACAGCGATGTGCCAGCACCGCACTGGCTATGAAATAATACCTGGCTATGAAGAAAGCACCCAAGACGCAACCAAGAAGTGACTCAAGACAAGGAAAGTAATTGCAACGAGCAAGATAAGGCGTGCACTGTGTTCGCCCGAGATAAATCCGTGAGATCCAGCATGTACCGTCAGTGCAGCCCAGCCCTTGACCGACCGACACAATCGCCAACAAAAGGACACCATTGCACCAACGATGAAAGAGTAACGAAGTTACTCTTTCACCCATTCCAGTCCAAAAACAATCTTCGAGCCTTTCCCAGTCTACCTTCTTAAGCTCTCCAGCAACTGTGGCAGCAACGATGCTCACACACAACATTGCGGCGATATGCATCCACGTAAGAAAGCAAACAAATCCCCCCGGTATTCGGGCCTTGTTGGCAGAAACAACACATCCAGTAGCCACCTAGAGTGTTGTGGGCACATTCGACATGCCCACAGAGCGATTGTGTCTGATTGGATTCCGTGCGAGAAACATTGCTACAAAGTATTTTCTGTCCAGTTCGACCTCGGGGTGCGTTCTCGCAATAGTCGACGGATCGTGTTGAGTGCCGGCCACAGCGGTGGTGATATCTGACGACACTGCACATGCTTGCGTCTAGTACTTTTGTAGCTGATGAAAGATTGTATATTTGTGTATGTGAGAAGAAAGATGGACACAAGGTAGATAGACAGCCAGATGATCAATTGAGAGCAACGTCGCGGGAAGTAGCTTCTATATATTTAAGCACTTACAACAGCGTCAACGTTTTTGACCTCTAACAGACCTTCAGCAGATTTGCAGAAGGTTGCTGTGCTTCGTAAGAGTAAAATTACGATTGGCCCTCTATTCGAGCCGCCAGCCCAAGTATGTCCCAAGCATGTTGGTATTGTCATGTAGCCCAACGAGGCTCTGTCGGTTTCAAAACAATCCCCCGCGGCTAAAAGCCCCGCAAAAGATTATAGAGTAGAGTTATAGCTAGTAAGACAGGTGAGCAACAAACATGGCAGGGAACTAAGACAGGTCGAAGAGATATCACAACTTTATGATAGGCAGTAACATGGCCTTCAACGTAGCAGATAAGATAGTGCAGTGCCTCATGAGCCATCATACAACAGCATAGAGGACGGGAGACCAACTGAAGAAATGACTTTTAATGTGGTTCCCATCATACATTTGAACTCACTAGGTAAGAAAAGCAAAATGGATGAATTGCAGAGAGCTAGAAAGAACAGGCTAGGAGTAATAGTTAAACAGCGGCACATCCCATCTTTATCCTCCTAATTAAAACAGGAAGATAAAGAAGAGGAGAAGAGGGTGGGGAACAAACTAGATGAAAATGGATAATGGATGTATCGAAGTAAAATGCACATACGTAGTACCTCTCGACACGAACATTATTCGGTACAGACTCTCTGCCTATCTTTTAGACTTGAGAACAAAACAATTTAAGCTATTTTTGGGACGACAAGGGAGTAACATGATTCGATTCATGCATGTTGATAAAGCGCCTGTAAGAGAAACTTCATTTGCTATTAAAGGAGCGCAAAAGTGATTTCTCCAGTCTTCGATACTAGCGCCGGGCGGAGTACTGACCTACCTGGAGGAGTTTTCAGAAGTCGAGAACTGTTTCGCTACTGGCACGCATAAAATAGCTCAGTCTACCGTCCAATAGGACCTCATCCATAACTTTGGGCTCCATAATCGGGTATCGTACCATTTCAATGTGCCAAGTAAATTGATTGGGCATCGTTCATCCGTTTGCCCTGGTCATATGCGGGAGGTATTCCCGCATGTACCTCAACACCAATATCTCGAAGCCTGGAGACCGAATTGTAAGGAAAAGGCATGGAGCCCTTCTCGAATAAGAAATGCCTCCGCTGCAGGTAGACATCATCAACTTGGCTTAAGTTCCAGGTCCTTGTGGTAAAGTCGCTTCCATAAAGACTCGAGTTCTGCCTTGCCTGACTTCACTCTTAGTTTGTGTCGCAAAACCCAGCCTTGGCATCGTACAGAGTCGTGCAAAGTATGCCGTCACCTCCTCTGAGCCCTGAGGCTACAGGCCAGTCAACGACAAATGCAGCAGCCACAGCCTCACCGCCAGTCGCAACTCCAGTAAATCCTACTGAGGTCCTCAAGCATCTCGGGCATGCTCAATATTATTTGCTAATACAGTTCATAGGATGACGATACAGGCGACTCTGCACTTGGGGACGACGACGACGACGACGGCAGTAATCTTAATTATGGATCGGTGTCGTCAAGCATCTACAACTTCCGGGTCGAAAATGGAAGGACGTATCATGCTGTAGGTTCACCAGCGCTTGGGATGGACTTTCGCTAAATTCGCACCCAATTTCTAGTACTCAGATGGAAGTATGGTCCTGGTCTAAAAATGCTCCGAAACTGCCTCTCTAACCGCATCAGAATCTTCTCTTCCCAACGATGAGGTTTGTGGAGCGGTACCGTCTTGTGTGAAATGGCTTGATGGGCTGACATAGATGTGAGCTGTAGCGAGAGCAAGATAGGTATGTAGAATCTCCCATCTGCAGGATGTAACGATTGTGTACTGATAAAAATAGGATGGACCTGGTATACCAGTATGTGTCGACAGCTTTTCAAGTCTTTGCACCCTTTTCGAAATATAGAGCATTTCTTCGCCTTCGCTTACAGCAGTTCCCAGCGTATTGGTACTAATTCCCGTTCCAGCGCCATCTTGCGAATGTTTGATGGGAAGGCGTTCTTTGCCCCGGCAGAGAATATCCAGAGAATAGTAGACATGGGAACAGGCACAGGCAAGGTTTTGCTGCATCTTATGAGCAGGTAATACTGACTCGTAGATCAGGCATATGGGCACTGGACGTCGGCGACCAGTATCCAGAAGCGCACGGTAAGAGAACTCTTCTACCCTGTCTTGCGCATCCGTATTACTGACGGTTCTCTGATGCAAGTCATTGGTATTGATCTAAGTCCAATGCAACCCAAATGGTAAATGGATTCCCTTGCAGTGCTGATTTGGTTTTAATTCTCCCGGGGTTGCGCCAAATGTAGAGGTACAAACTCGTTCACATGACCATCTGATTAGACCTGACTGAAGGCTGTCCAGTTCCGGATCGACGACCTCGAGCACCCCTGGGTATTTGAAAAGCCCATCGATCTCGTTCACAGTCGACTATGCTCCGGTAATGCTATTCGGTCCTGGCCCGACTACCTCGCTGAAAGTTTCCGTTGTCTCCGTCCGGGGGGCTGGGTCGAAGCACAAGAATTCGATCTTGCTCCCCAGAGTGATGACGACTCCTTTCCAGCTGACAGCGCCATCATCAGATGGCACAACCTTTTCCATGAAGGCATGCTGAGAGCTGGTTGCGAAATGCGCTGCTCGTCTGCGAAGCTGAAAGAAGAGATGGAGAAAGCTGGGTTTGTAAATGTCCAAAGTGTTGACATGATGGTGCCGATTGTAAACCTCACACTTAGCGGCTTAGGGGAAACTCAGGGGCTAATTATATAGTATTAGTATATCTAAGGAGAGAAAGGAGAAAGAGAGCGTAGGGCTCTCCTAATATAGGTAACTAAGCTAGTGCACGTGACTTATAATATCCCTCCTCTCTATAAGCGTTCTCTCTGAGAATAAAAGTACTTTTTTAAAAAAAAGGAAAGAAAGAAATAATATAATAACACTATATTTACTAAGTTAACTGTTCTAATAGTCCTTAATCCTAACTACTCTATTATCTAGTACTATTTCTACCTTACTATTAAGTACTATTTCCGCCTTACTATCTAGTGTTTATATTAACTTATTCCTATTCTCCCTATCCTTTATTCTATTCTCTATTCTATCTTATATTCTATCTTTTATTCTATCCTTTATTCTATCTATTATTCTACTCTACCTTAGGTTCCTAGGCTTTAGGGTTTATAGTCTCTTACTAGAAAGCGACTAAATCCTAGAACTCCTTAAGTATCTAGCTCTATATAATAATATTCTTAGAAGAGTAAATAAATTAGCGGTTTAACCTAATAAGAGAGAGTAGTATGAACTTAAAGCTAAAGATTTACTTATTATCCTTAGTAATAATATCGAAACTAAGGGCTAAGACACTACTAGAGATATTAAAGATTCTAGTAGTAACTAAGCTTTTTAAGAGGATTATAACTATTAGGTAAAGGTAGTAGATATAATAGAGTTCTAAGTAAATAATAGTATAAGCTACGTTATTAAAAGGAAGAAGAAGGGAAGCTTCTAGAACCAAGTAAGTCTTAAAGAAAATAATAAGGCTATCTTTATCCTTAGAAGGTAAAGTAGTATAAGTAGCGAGCTAGTTTTAGTAGAGTAAAGTAACTAAAGACTAAGCGTTAAAGAAAGAGTATTACTTAATAATTTCCTAGAGTCTAAGAAGGAACTAATCCTTAGGAGAGGTACTATTAAAAGAGAAATTAGCATATTTGTAAAAGACTAATAGACTTATACTATAAATATCAGAGATTATATGAGCTATTATCTCCTTTTTAGTCTCGATCTTAAGTATTTTATAAAGCTTAAGGTAATACTTTATATATAACTCGCGTTCCGCGGCTAAGTTAGTATCAGAGATAATATTAGTACTAAATATATTAGTAATAGTCGCCTTAATAGAACAGGTCTTAGAATTATACTTAGTACTATATTTATAGTATACTAAGTACTTAGGATATTACTTAGTCTAATAGATACCGGAATTATAATAAAGAAAGCACTTAGACTAAGGGTAGTTCTTATACTTATATTTAGTACTTAAGTAGTAACTATACTAAGGGAAGGGGCAGGCGTTAGTAGTATAACTAGTATCCTTATAGTACTTATAAACCTTATATCTCTTTATAATATAACCCTTAAGTCCGTACTTCTAGCACACGAGAATAGCTTAACTTTTCTTATAGAAGGTCTTTAGCTAAGTATATTCAATATTAAGGTATCTAAGAGCGTAATAATTAAAGTAGATAAGTCCTATCTAAGTATAGTCTTCCTTTATATAACCTAGATAATAGTACTTAAAGTAGACTCTACTCTCTTCTATAGAAACAGAAGTAATCTACTTATATCCTTAAAAGAAAAGGAAATACTAAGTATTTATCTTAGTATAATTAACTCTTAATATAGAGGCTATATCCTTTACTCTATTAGCTTAAGGACTAACGGATTCTTCTGTAATAAGATAGAGATAACTATATTTCTAACGTGTAAACGTAATAAGATCGTCCTAAAGAGTACTAATAAAGTTAGTAATTATATCCGAAGGCTAGACTATAATAAAGAAAGAAGTACTAGTTCCTTAATAAATATTATAAGTTAAGATAGAGATCTTATAAGTTAGATCCGGAAGAAAGACTCTATTCTTAAGCTAGTTTATAACTCTAAAGTAAGAAGATAGAATCTAAACTATAAAGTTCTTCTTATCTAGATATTAATCTTAATAGTTAGTAAAGAAAGCGTAGAAACAGTTAAGGAAACCTAAGAGCTATTATTATTAGCTAATATTAACTATAGATAGAGACTTATTTAGCTTTAAAAGCTTACTCTTTTTATATAAAGCTATAACTATATTAGAATTAATATTAAACTTATACTAAAAGAAGGTATATATAAGCTTAGTCTTAGGTATAATCTTTCTCTTATTATTATCTACTATAATAGAGTTATATTAGTAGTTAAAGAGTATCTTTACTAAGTCTATATTAAATATATAGAACTAGATATTAAGAAATATTCTACTAATATTAAGATCGCGAAATTAAGCGAAGAAGAAGTATCTTAGAAAGTTTACTTAAAGAGTAAAGATATCCTTTATAATAAGAGACTAAAAGTAAGGTAGCTTCTACTCTTAGTCTCCGGATAAGATACTTAGTAAAAGGGACTTAGTATAAGTACCTATTAAAGCAGGGAAAAACTAATATAAAGATTAGTATTCCTTATTCTTAATAAGGAAGACCGGACTATAAGCTTCTATTATAAATAGATAGAGAGATATATTATAAGTAGTAAATAGAATATTAGCGCTTACTAAAGTTTTATTATAAAGGAGATTTAAGAGTTTAGTAATCTCAGTGTTCTTAATACTATTATTAAGAGGATTCTTAGTACGTTTTTTTAAGAGATTAATTAGAGTATTCTAAGTATCTTATAGATTAGTCTTAATAAAGTTAACTATAGCTTAAAATAAAGATAAGAAATAGAGCTTAGGATTAAGTCTTAAGTCGCCGCGCTTCTTTTAATTATTATTAGCGCGTCCGAGATTATTAATAAGCTCTTAGACTATAAACTTAGAGGTAACTTCTATACTTATAAAATCTTAATATAACTTAGGATTATACTTAGTTAAAAAGAAGTCAGATTCTATAATCTAAGTACTAACGCGAATAATCTTAATTAGCTTAGTAATTAGATTAAAGGTAGATTTATAGTAAGAATAGAAATAGTCTATAGCTTCGTTAACGAAGGAATTACTATCTATAATAAAGAGGATCTAAGCTATCTTCTCTCTAAGGGCTTAAGTAAAAGCTACTATAAGACGTTTAATAATTATAGTCTTTCTTATAGTAAGTACACTAGAGATAAGATAGATACTATAAGCGAAAGACTTAGGGTCTATTATAATCTTATAGTAATAGTCCTTTTAATAAGGTCTAAGGCTAGAACTAAACTTCTCTTAGTTAGGAAAGTAGAAGTTACTAAGGATAACTTCTTAGTAAGGCAGGCTCTAGTCACCTCTAATAGAGAATTCTGCTATATAAGCTAATAAGCTAGTCATAGTAGCTCTTAGAGAATAATCTAATTTAATAAAATTATTAAGGCTATAAACTAGGTTATTAAAAGTTAAGTTACTAACTTTTATTAAGATAGAGATATTATAAAAGTTAAGATCCTTATCTTTTAAAATATCTCTTATACGCTTAAAATTATTAATATAGGTCTTAATAAAAGGGATAATTATACTAATTATAGAGGTATTATCTCTATTAATACTAGTATATAGATTATTAATTAGATAGTAAAGAGTAAAAGTAAGCTATATAGCGAGGTTTAGTTTAAAAGGAAGTAAGGCGATAGTATACTAGTAGGAATAGGAAGCGATTGTATTCTCTATCTAGGTCTCTAGGATATAATTATTCTTATCCTTATTTATTTTATAAAATATAATAAAGTCTCTATAATCGTTAATACTATTATTATTATTTATAGGGAGAAGGCCTCTATAAATAGTAATAATATTATCTATAAGTAGAGAGTAGTCTAGGATAGTGAAGGAGAGAGTAAAAGTATATAAGTTACCTTCTTTAGAATAAGCTATAAAGTACTTATCCTACTTAACATAAGCGATAATAATCTTAGGAAGCTTATTATCTAGAGGATAAGTCTTTATATAAGAGGAAGGGACTAGAAGAAAAGCTACCTCGAAAGTATAAGAACTAATACTATTAGCTTCTATATAAGCTAGAATATACTTATTATTTAAGATATAGATTAAAAGAATAAGGAAGTTCTCCTAAGAACTTAGAATTCGAATGTTCTTAATTCTATATTATAAGAGAGAAGGTCTAGTATTAGGAAGATAGATATTTCCTTAACAGAGCTTATAAAAGTAAGAGAACTCTTTTATCTAAGTATATATAAGAGTACCAGACTTCTCCTTTTTAATCTTAGATATAAATTTAGCGACTATTAACTTTAGATCCTTATTAATAATAAAGTTAAACTAGAAAGGTCCGCTATTAACTTAGTATTTAGTAATATCTCTAATTAGAGCTTCTAAATATACCCGATTATCTTCGTTAGTTAGAGAAGGAATAGTTATATCTCCCTAAAAGATAATTAACTTAGTAGAGAGAGAAATATAGATCTTATTAGATATATTAGTACTTTTAGGAATAATAAAGTATTTAGGAATAAGCTTATTAAGCTCATACTTAGTAATCTCCTAAGTATAAAGAATAAGGTTAATATAGAAGAATTTATAATTATATAGATTATTAATAAGATTATTCTAGACGCGTTTAACTTTAATAATAAGAGTAAAGGAACTAGCAAGAGAGAGCTAAGTAGTAGAGATCTTAATATTAAAAGCTATCTTATAAATAGGATTATTATTTATAAGAGAGATTTAATTATAAGTACTATAGACTTTATTATTAAAGGCCTAGTGAACTAAGAGATCAGGTGTGATCTATTTAGGAAATAAGATATTTATTATAGAGAGAGTATCTAAGACTAGAGCTAGTAGATTATAAGAGATAGAAGTATTAGCTTTAGTAAGGATATTACCTTAAGTAATAGAAGTAAGATTATTATCTTCCGGGAGAGGAACTTAGAAAATAACTTAAGTAATATTATTACTTTTAAGAAAAGGACTTTTAGTATTAGTAGTAGCTATACTAAGATCGCTATCTTTAGGAAAAGAAACCTAGGAGGTAATTTTAATAATACTATTACCTTTAGGAAGTGAACTTTTAGCGTTAGAAGTAGTTATAATAATATTC